TTTTTGTCGTTAATAAAATTATTTAATCGTGCTTTGCTTTTTGTATGCGTTTCTATTATCTTGTTTTTGTATTCTTCATTTTCAAAATAATTTTTAGAGCGTCATAATCTTCACAATAATTCCCAACTCAACTGGACAAATGGAAAAGTTCATATTCTGAAAAATAAATAATTAAATTCGGTTTCTAAAGGTTTTAAATATAAGATTTCTAAAGAAAACAAGAAAATTCAGCAAAAACAATTGAAAGAAAATTAAAAAAAAAAACTCCGTAAATCGCTGCGAGGATTACGGTAACTGTCTCTTAGCATTGCGTACAAAACGCAGGATCCCACGACACCTGGATACATTTGTCATTTCTCAACAAAATAAATGAAAATCAATCGGATTCGAAGAAAAATTAACCTGTTTCAATTGAGAAATAATTCAAATTCGATTAAGAAAACGCTTAAATTCGATTTGAAATGTCGGTTTCGATTCAAAAATCTTCAAAATCGATTGATTTATTTCTAATTCTCAATTTTTAAATCGTATTCCTTTGAAATTTTGGAATTATTCAAAACAGGTTAATTTACATTCGATTTAGATTGAAAAAAAAATTATTTTTGAATCCGATTGATTCTCATTTACCTACGTTTTTTTGGAATCTCGGTTGATTCAATTCAATTTGAATTCGAAACGCGCGAATTCAAAAATTCAATTCAGGCACACCTCATGAGTTCACGTGATCATTCGAATATTGATTGTATCATATTTGCACCTGAATAAAAAATTTCGAACACGCGTGACCTAATTAGGAATTGCAGGAGGAAATTTTCGAGAAAACTCGCGTTTCACACGTTTCTTCATAATTCTAAACTAGATTCTCCTATATTTAGAATTGATCTTGATAGTGATTCGCCTAAGAAACGCTCGCGAAAATCGCCTGAAATCCTTTCAGACAACCCACTGCAGGAAAAGTTGATTGAAACTGGCAAATTGTCGTTATTAAACCAGATTTCGAAAGTGAACATCGAAACACTAAAACATATTCGCATTCTGCTGGCTTTGATGGAACCGATCACAACAAGAGCGAACAAAAAAATCGCATGAGATCCGCATTAAAAAAATCTCGTCCGAGTGTTCTCTGATTCGCAGCACACAAGAATTGAAGGCGAACACAGAAAATGTCATCATATTTCCGTTCCGACTCCTATGACTAACAATTTTTTTGAGAATGCGGAGGCCACAAAAAAAAATAATAAAAATTGAAGTGTTTCTCATGGAATCATTGTCGACGAGACCAAAAAATCAGTCAAATTGGTCTCTTGGCTTTTGTCGAAAAAAAATTGGCATGAAAAACGAAAAATGAAATGAATGAAATGGGCTTGAACCGATAAGTGACTTAATTCGAAACTCGAAATCGATTCTCCATTCGCCGTGCTTATTCTCGAGAGTCGTTCAGAGTGCTCTTTGCATTCGCTTCTATCTTCACGTCACTTTTTTTCTTCTCTGCGAATTTGCTCGACTACCCAAATTCTTTTTTTTTCACTTCTTTTTTTTCTATTTTTACTTTTTCTTACACATTAGCTTCAAATCTCGAATGTTTTATTTATTTGTTCGAATTATAATCATGAGCCGAATAACATTTTCGTGTGTTCTTTTATCGCATAGAAATTCCCGAAGAATTCTGAGTACACGTGGCATTTTTTCCATGTCGCAGGTATCAATTAAATCAGTTCATTTCAAATATATATCGTTCGTTAAATCAAATATCAGAATTTAATACTAAAAAAATTCATTTTTGCCATTTTTGTTCAGCAAATTTTATAGTGAAAGTATGTGTGTTGCCTCGGGCTAAAATACTAATTGCATTTCGTCTTTTCGCTGACCGGATTCGAGTTTTGCCATCGATAATCTCTCATCAAAATCAATGGCATTTTTGCCATTTCGAAATTGTCCGATGCTAAAAATCAATACATGTTAGCTTAATTGTGAGCGTTGCGAATTCAAAAAAAAAAAACAATTTTTATTTTTAATGTTTTGTTTTGTTGATCGTCATTTTTAAGACGTTGTTGGTGTATTCAAATATCTATTTTCAAGCAAAATATTTCATCTGTTTAGATTAATATGAAAATGTATCCACTTGTAGCCTATAGAATCCAAAGCGAAACCCCACTGTAGCCGAATATAGGCGGCGAGTGTTTTCAACTGCGAATTGCACATATCAATATTTGAGTTTCATCAATCCATCGTTTGAACTTTGCAGTGTTTGCCGACGCATTTTCGCTGAAATTCTCGAAAGAAAACGATTCGAATTCGATTGTGTTGGTCGAAAATCGTCGAAATCTCCTTCCGGGTTTCGTCACACATATTCGCCGCGAGCTATTCAGGCTTCCGCTATTTCGACCAACGCGTCGCTCCAATTTCGGCGAACCCACCATATTAAATGCATTGATAGCGATAATAAAAGACATTTGCGAGCGTCTTGATCGTCGTGTTCAGGATCGTTTCGGGAACCGTCGAATTCGATCAGCATATTTATAATGACTATGGATTGATGAGTCGGCAATGACGGCTGGTTAAACGAACCAAGGGAATAGTATGTGAATCGACGAGACGACGACCCTTCCCCTCCCCCTCCTCCTCCTCTTCCTCCAGTCGCTTTCTTTCCATCTTTTTTGTGTTCGTGTGTAGTCGAAGGTCTGCTTTGTTTCTCTAGCCGACGAGAACCTATCTCACTTAGTCGTGCGGTGTTTCGCGACGAGAGCCCAAACTCTTAGCTTTTTCGATTTCTTGATCATTGAACACACCACCGTCTTCTATACATGATATTTCATTAGCAATTTCATTCGGAATTTTCTGCTTCAATCGGATTTAGTCTTTGGTTTTTGTGTTTGTGAGTGTATGTGTTTTGTTTGCCGCATCGTTTGCATTTCAAAATCTCCGCTCTAGTGTAGTCGATCGGCTTTATCAACCGAATAATTTTTCAAAGTAAATATTTCCACGTTTGCCGTTTTCCACTTCAATATTCTCGAAAACGTTGTTTTGATTTAACGCGATTGTTTTGTTTAATTAAACAAACAATTCCTCAATTTTCTAAAAATAATTTCTATTTTACTTTCACGATGCGAGTATGAAAGTACTAAAAGTGTGATTCTTTTTGAGGATAAAAACACACCAAACATCTATTAGTATTTAGATTATGTTAATATGTTAACTAATTCTATTGAATTTTGTGGCAACAATCAGTCGAAAGAAATGTTTATTTGTTCTGTAAATCGTTTGATCACTGATCTACTCAAAAACTGGATTATTGCATCGATTTTACATTCAATTCCCTATTATTTTATTTGTTCTTTGTCATTTCGAATGTCCTTTGTCGAGTTCTCTGTTTTTTGTGTTTAATATCGTTGATTAAATTGATAGTAAAACAATTTAGATTACTTATTTTTGGGCCGAATTCTAGTTTGAACCGAAGATTATTCATTCACGAATTGCAATCATCATTTTTGTTTTAATTGAGAATGTCATCATCTTAAAACAGACCAGAAACTACAAAAGTTTAAAGATTTGAAATGATAAAAATTTTTCTTTGAAAAATGTGTCAGAGCCATTAATGTTTTTGACTCATGCAACACACTACTTCCTGTTTTTGAATTTCTGATCCAATTTTACGAACCTTCTCCATTTCTTATCTCGAATTTCCTTTTAAGGAAGTGTAATTTCGAGTTGAACGATATCAATGGTTTCGTCGAAACACGCCCCCAAAGTACATAGTGTTGTGTTTAGAAATGGATGCCTGCAAAAATTGGAAAATATTTCGTCTCTTTTGTGCAAACAATTTCGCTTCTGCTTTTCCATAAATTGAGAGCGCATTTTTTTGGACGTGGTCGTGTGTTTTGCTTCTCTAGCATCAAACATCGAATCTAAAAAAAATCATGTGAATCTTGACGAGCACTTTTGTTAGCCTAAATACGCAATCACAACAAATTGGTTCCACTGATCTCAATTTATTCGTGAACAAAATATGTGAATCTATTTTCAACGGTAGGCAAAAGTATTTATATTTTTAGTGCATGAATATTTAGTACAATTTAAGTTGATAAATAAAAGAATGCAGGAATGAACAAAAAAATGAAAATATAATTTTTCAATTTGTGTACGGTACGTGACAATTATGTGTCAACACGTTCACGCAATTCCACGAACTATTTTTTCATTTTTGAACAGAACATTTTTTCTTTTTAGCTGTTCTAATTTGTCGTCTTCTTTACTTGCATTCCATTTTCAACATTACTTATAATTTTTTATTCATTATTTGGTTTTTGATCCCTTATATTTATTCTTAAAGAAGTTTGATCGATTCGCTACAAAAAAATGAGTGAGCACACAAATTATCATACACAGATAACGGCCTATTTGCACGGTTTCGAAAATAGTTTGTGGTTAGGAATTGCACGGAATTCCTTTCTCCCCTTCGTTCCCTTTTTTACATCAAAATTCGCATCGGCACGGCTCACTCTTTTATTGATGATATAAGAAGAATGAGTTTCGACCTCCGAGTATGACATAGACGGCCGCAAGGTTTCAAACTACAAAGATCGCTCAAACATCGCAATTGTGAACAATTACTTGTGTGGTGCACATTTAATTGTTTCGACCGATTTTTTGACCTCCGCATAATCAATCTCGTCGAATTTCGTTTCGGCGAAGATCAATGATTTGACCAGTCAGAAATGCAAAAGTTTTATATTTTTTCGGTATCAGTTGAATGCATGCCTTACCATAAAAAGCGTGTATGTATATGTGTATGTGTGACAGTCTGATGACAGAGCGACCAAGCCGACCTCCTCCTCCTCCTCCATCACTACCTCCTCCTACCCACTGTATCTCGGTCTCTCCGCACTTATTGCGCATTCTTTCAACACTGAACATTCCCTCCTCAATTATCGATTTTTCCTGTTTGAGCGTCTGCGTTTCGACTCATTTTTAAATTAAATTATGAGTATTGTATTTCAGAAATGGAGCCACAGGGTGATATCGTCAATATTAATCCAGATGTCAATCCAGTGGCGAATCCGTCTTTCAGTGGTGTCTCATCTCAAACGGAAATTAAGGTAGAGGTTCGTTTTGTATTCGATTCTTCATTATGGAAAACAAATTTTTCAGAAGGTTCAACACACATGGACAGTAAAAAATTTTTCACATTGCTATCAGGAATATTTGGAAAATTTTGTATACTTGCAAAGGTATGCCGGTTTTTGTTCCAGAAAATTGGGTCATGAAATTATTGATCAAACTACATATTCTAGTTCGCCCACGTTCATTTACCATCAATATTCATTCTATTACGGAACCGTTTTTCCGTTGTTCATGAATATGATTAATACGAAATAATTTTATCCGCAAAATGGGGAACAAAGAATATGTCAAATATTTCGTCAGTTGTTTAACCAAATTTGAACCAGATTGCGTTGCAATTGATAAGATTTTAAATTTTTCAGAGGAGAAGAACAACTAACGTGGTCAATAAAAATCTACCCAAAAGGGAATGGCGAGAACAACAAAGATTTTGTGTTTTTATGCTTGAATCGAGTCGTTCATAATACTGGAAAAGCGAGCAAAATTGGTTTCAAATCGCAGTTCAAGTTGCGAACTGCCGAAAATAAGGATATTGAGGTTAGATTTTGTTGGAAATGATTTTTGAAATATTGAAATTACCGCCAAAATATCATTTTTCCGTCATTACAACCATTAATTTTTTGTAAAATAGAAATATCAATGCTCATTCTTCCTAGTTCTATTCAATGTGACTTCAGATGCGGATCCACCCGAATCCATCACATTCTGACTATGTGTCATATATCAAACGAGATGTTCTTTTCCCGCAAATTCTGCCTCGCGATATGATTATTGTGAATGTCGAGATCGACGTCGCCGTTGAGACAATTACAACGACAAACGAGCCGATCGTTGTAAGAAAATTCATTCGAAATTTTCCCTAATCGACACGATTGATTATAGTTTGATACTCCGGACAGTGGTCAAACGCTTGCACAGGATTATCAGCGGCTGTTCAATGAGGACGTGCTCACTGACTTCACGATTCGAGTCGGAGGACGCGAAATTCGGGCGCACAAAGCGATCTTAGCTGCTCGGTCACCTGTATTTGGAGCAATGCTTACACATACCGATACGAATGAAGCAAAAACGGTAAAAATTCTTCTCATTTTTGCAATTTAAATGCGAAAATCTTCTAAATCAAAGATCAATCCTCAATTTTTTCTTTCGAAATCTGTTTTTGCGACAAAATAGAAAAAATAAATCTTATAAGAAAGCCGTTTTATCCGCGATAATTGGAAGTATATTCTAGAAATCCGTTGTTGTACTGAGAAAAGGTGCAAAAACACGTCTGAAATAGAATGAAAGTGCTTAAATATTTCAGTTTTTTTTTTGGAAAAATTGTCATGAATCATCAAAATATGATTGAAAATGAATTTTGATTGAATTACATATTTCTTGAATTAAATCATTTTGTTTCCTTTCAGTCAGTTCTTGAAATCAATGACATGGAATACGATGTTGCTCACGAAATGATTTATTATATTTATTGCGGAAAATGTCAAAAAGATATCTCGGATATTGCGACAGATCTCCTAATTGCTGCCGATAAGTATGTTCCTGTTAATTTTATCTCAAAACGAAGTAATTTTTATTGTTTTAGGTATCGTTTAGAAGAATTAAAGACTCACTGCGAGAAATTCTTGGTTGAGAATCTAACAATTGAAAATGCGTGTACACTTTTAATACTCGGCGATTTGTACATGGCATCAAGACTGCGGCAACGAGCTGTTCAGGTATTTGAAGCTGACGTCGCGTTATTTTTATTATTAGTATCAAAATTTCAGTATATTCTACAGCGTCCGAAAAGTGTAACAAATACCCCGGGATGGGGGGATATTATCAAACAGCATCCAGATTTAATTACCGACATTTTTAATCAATTTGACAAAACGGTGGGTATTTAGAGAAATGTTTTGTCAAGAAAAAAGAATTTTGCAATTGTTTCAGTCGACGGCGGGTGTCACTTCGTCAGTAACAACCCTTACTGGTGGTCCGGCAATCGAGATTCCCGGCGTTCCCGGAAGCGGCGTCGTTGTTCAGCCACCAAGCGGCCTCTAATCGCCCCCATCCTCACCGCGTAAATTCCGTTGTGATATATATGTGTATATGAATTGTATTTTGTATTGCCGTTATCATCCCATTTATTGGCTTCCTATTCGCTTGAATAATGGGAATTCGGTGCTATTTCTGTTTCTGATGCTACGATTTCACTGTGTGTTCCCTCTTCGCGCTCTCTTTTTTGTTTCTCCTTCCATTTCACTCTGTTCTAATTCGTTTTTTTTTGTCTCGAGTTTTTTTTTCTGTCACCGGGTTGCTGATCTGTCTATATATAGATTATATATTTTTAAAAAGATGATGAATTGCTTGAAAATGTGCTACAGTTTTATAACAAAAAATGTAAAATAAATAGAGGAGATGAAAAAAAAAACAATAATTGTGTGTTAATGTCATGCTTCAGCTGCTAATTATTCGATTTTTGTCAGCTTTAAATACTTGGGCTCTTATTGTCTTAATTAACGGTGCTTTTGGCCATAATTTTCTCTTGATTATTTTTTAAAAACAATTTTTGTTGTAGACACGTGTTATGTTCATAGTATTATTATTATTTCATACATATTCTGCAAAATAAACGAGATCGGAACATGAATTTTTGATTAGAATATTTGATATTATTATTATGACATTAGACTGGCACATGCTTTTCTTGTTGCTAAAGCTGCATAATCTTTGTATTCTTTTTCTCGTCGTTTCTGAAAAAAAATAATGATGTGCTTCTCAAAAATCGGAAATATATTTGCCTTTTCCGCTGAATCATTGTCGGACAGCCATTTTTTGCATTGAGATTTAAGGATGTCGTCGCTGACTAACGGCTCAAAGTCGAATTTCTGGAAGGAAACACATTTATTATTAGGCTTAAGTAATCTAGCAAAACATTCTCAGGTAAATGAAAATCAATCGGATTCGAAGAAAAATTAAATATAAATTAACCTGTTTCGATTGAAAAATAATTCAAATTCGATTGAGAAAACGTTTAAATTCGATTTGAAATGTTGGTTTCGATTCAAAAATCTTCGAAATCGATTGATTTATTTCTCAATTTCAATTATGAAATTGAATTCGATTGAAATTTTTAAATAATTCGAAACAGATTAATTTACATTCGATTTAGATCGAAAAAGTAATTATTTTCGAATCCGATTGATTTTCATTTACCTGAGTTTAAGCAACAATAATGGGGACGCGCTAAAAGTTTCCGGAAATTTTCGCATTATTTGAATTCAAATTGCTCATCGATTTTATTCCATTGAACAAATAAAATAAAAAATTTTCTAATCCAGGATCGAAAAACATTGATTTGGGTATATTTCGCGCAAAATTCAAATTTTTTGGAATTGGTCCGACTATAAATGAAATATCGAGTCAAGCTTAACTTACATGAATTAAATAATTCCTCCAAGCCGCCCATTGGAAGGGTTCAATCGTCGATTTGCCATCAATCACTCGACTTTCGCCGCGGAAAATGTCGATGATAAATACAGTTGTTAATTCGGCCTGAAACTCATCATTCATGCGTCATTTCAAATATTCATATTCACCCAATCAATTTTCGTCAAATGTGCTGCTCCAGTGATCTCATCGAACATTTCACCACTCCACACTTTTTCCCAAAATCCATTTGATTTCTCATAATTTTTGTACTAAACTCAAAAATATTGATTGATTTGAGCATATTAAAACGATTCAAACCTCATCTGCATCATCCGAAGCACTTTTCGAATGGTATTCGATCTTTGGATCTCCGTGGAAAAAACTGAGATGTTGTATTGGAAATGAACCGAAAACAAAATCTAAAATCAAACCTATGGACTCGTTTTGTGTCGAAGAATCGATCCCTAATGAGACTTCCAACAGACGCTGTTTCTCGAAAATTTCCCGGTCGAGTTGCCGTTATCTAAACAATATTTCATTTTTGAGAAATCAATCAAAAGCGTCAAACCTGTTTATCCATGATTTTTCGAGAGCATCCGAGAATTATAACGCACATTAGCATACAATATAATGAGGCCCAAAACTGAAATTATTTAAATAAAATAAAAAATATGTTTTTCTTAATATGTATTATTTTTTTTATGTCTTGTCATTTCGCATTTTGATGGTAAAATATTTTTTGAGCAAATTCGAGATTTCTTGTGATTGTTTCGCTGCCCCCTTCATTTACCACAAAGTGTTTAAGCGAATGTCGTCGTCGAATCGAGCGCATCCGGGCACTTCGATTCCCGATGACGGTCGCGATAATCGCGGCGATGAATAAAGCCCGAAACACGGTGACGTGAACAATTCTTATCTAAAAAACGAATCAATAGGTTCATAATTCAAAAACGATTTTTAAAAAATCGTGCTTTACCAGCAGAAATGACGACGAGAACGCGGCGAGCCAAATATAGCTAAGCTCGCGAGTTTGACCACCGCATTGTCCGATTAAATAAATCCCTACAAAAAAATGAAAAGTTAATTTTTGAGGAATAAAACAAAGAGAAAAACCTGCGGTCACACCGGAGCTCAAAACACAAATAAAAGGTACATGATCGATATCGGTCCATCCGAAGGTCACACTAGCCGCCAGCCACGTTAAAACTCCAATCCAGAATCCGTAAAGAACCGAGAACAAGAAGCGATTGAACGAGAATGCGACATATCTCATTTGCGCGGTTTGCATTCGCCCTTTTCTGCATTTTTTTTCCACAAAAGTTGAATCAAAATTCTATCAAAATACTTGTATTTCTCCTTATTTTGCGGATCTTTGTATTCGCGAACCAGCTCATTGTAATTATCGATATCCTGCCGAAAAAAGAAGCTATCATATAAGCAACCTGCAATTGTTTCGAATTTTTATGCATTTCGTTGTTATTCACTTTTTTAAAACCTAGCAACCAAAATTTTTAAATTTTCGTTACGAGATTACGTTTAAAGGTCCATACAGAGAAAAATGTAAAAATTTGTTTTCGCATTGTTCCTTAAAGGAACATGCCCATCAGATCCACACATCTGATTCTTATCAATTAATTTTCCAACGCTTCTTAATGATGATAAGCATAGAAATCGTTCGATATCAATGACAATTAATGACTCGCCTAACAAAAATACACCAAACGTCGAAAAATAAATAAATGCTTCGGGAATTTGTCGAATATAAAGCCTGTGTAGTCCTAAAACACCTCCAAATATCAACAATAATCTGAAATTCATTGAAGTCGTCAAAAATCGCTCAAAACCTTTCGAATGGTCACCTTCCTTTCCATGGCGGCAGCTCTTCCATTCAATTTCTTGATAATAATTAGAATTAATACAAATAATATATCGTTTATTGCATGCAAGAAATATCGAAAAGACCCAAAACCTTCTAACGAAAACCCAAAAAGATAAACGAAAAAAATGAACATCAGACCATTTATTAGGACGATATGTGTAGAAATAATCAGGGGAAACCTCTTTCTAACTTCTTTTTAATAATAAATACAAAAAAAAAACACGGGAAACAATAAATTAATATCTGATTTCTAATTAATAATGTACAACGGATAAAAAAAGACCCAGGCGAGAGAGAGAGAGAGAAAAAAACCATAAATATAACACGAATATCTAATAAATGCAGTGGGTTTGGAAGAAAAAAGTGGTGATGTTGGGGAATTTTATGCAAAGAAAATGAGGGAATGTGGCGGTTATTAAAACAAACTAAAATTACACGCGATTTTAATCAATTTTAACGGCAGCGTAAATTTTGATCAGGAAATAATGAGCAGCGTAGAATCCAATGGTTCCGGTCATGAAGAAGAATGTAATGGCGATCAATGAGCTACAAATATTTGCAATTTACACGATTTTTGTTTGCTCATTTGGCATTTTTTTTTTCAAATTTCATCTAGTCTCAGCCTACGATTCTTTTTTTCAATCAAATTAAAGGTACTAAATCTTATCATATCAAAATCACGAGATAAATTCGATTGATAAACCTAAAACCATTTAAATTTACCTGTATCCAAAGTACAACACGGTCGGTACAAATCCTTCAATGTTTAACTTCGAGTTATAATAGAACACCGCATAAGCCATAACTGAAAATAAATTATATGAACGAATTTCGACAATGAAAAAAATTATAACCATAGAATGCAGATCCGCCGCTGATCACAAACGATCTCCACCACCAGCGATAATTCTCTGAGCAAAGCGAGAAGTAGGTGGCTACCACTGAGATTTGAGCTGTCGAAATCGCCAAAATCACACTGACAATAAAAAGGAATCCGAATAGATAATAGAAACGGTTCTCCCAAATCGCCTAAAGCAAATATAATTTTTTTTCTCAAAATAAATCGTCAAAACGTACAGTGAAAATGAAGAAAAGCTCGATGAACATGGCGCCAAATGGCAAAACTCCGGCAATAAGTGAGCATGGAATAAGCTTGAGATACCATGGCTGCTCAGGAACTTGGCGTGGGATTTGATTGGTGCGAACTGGATGGGTGTACGGCTGCAATTAAACGATTAACTTCGAAAAAATTAAGGAAAATAAATAACCTGCTTGCGGTATCCGAAGTAGAATCCAAGGAAGATCAATGGCATATCAATGCAGAACCACATAACGAGAAGAGCGACCATCGTTCCGAATGGAACAGCTCCAGATGAGTGTTTTCCAATAAGGAAGAAGTTGAGTAGAAATCCTGCGCCAAGAATCAACGATGGAAACAACGTCGCCGTTTGGACAGCGCATCGGATCGGATTACGACCTTTCATCGTTTTGTAGAGCCTTCCAGCGTGATATCCAGAGACCAATCCCATAAAGCAGAAAAGAAACACTGCAGCGGACATAAGGGAGCCGCGAGAAGCTGGTGAGAGCATTCCGAGCATCGCGCAAACTGAATAAGAATTTTGTGTTGCCGAAAGAAAAAAATATATTCCGCACCGACAACGATGGCGCACATTCCGATGAGCTGAATACCAGTTCCGACCATATTTACGAGAATCATTTGATGTGGTGGGGGACGGAAAACGTCTCCGTGCACCAATTTCCATCCAGTTTCTTCGAATGTATCATCTTCTTCGTCGTCCCGATTGTAGTGAGCAATATCTCGGCGAACAGTGCGAACAATGGTCACACTGAGAAATCCTGAAAAGAAAGACTTTTCATATTATGTATAATTTTCGTATGAAATACAATTATTAGATTGTTTACCTGAAAGAGACAAAACGACAACGATGGAGTTCAAAATGCTGAACCAATGAATATCGACGGTTTTGGTGGCGAGGTAGATATCCCATCGACTCGCCCATGGAATCTGAACGAAGCAATTCAAAGATTGTAATTTTCCTTGATTATACATCGCTCTGCTCCCAATCAAGAGAATATGAGAATGGAATGACTTGTTCGCCATCTTTGAGCTCAAAGTATTCCGTTTCGCCACTAGGAAGAATGCATTGCTAAAAATATTAAAATAATGATATTTTGTATTGACTATAATCACATTTCCATCATTTTTGATTCCTTTAATTGACTCAGCTCGAACTTTAAATCCGACAACTCTAAAAAAATAAACAATTTAAAAAGTAAAATATTCTAATTAAAACCTGAATTTTCCTTCGGAATGTTCATGATATTTGATGGTGAAATGAAGATGATTATTCAGATAGACTTTACCATCTTTTTCCCATCCGAGACGATATCCCTGATCGTATTCAACATCTCCGTTCGATTTAATGAATTCCGTAGCAACTGGGAGATTATCGATTAGCCTTAAAATCGGTAATAAATCTGACTGACTTTATGCGAAATCTTACAAATGCGCATTATATTCTTGTTTAATTCGCTCTTTCAAAAGAGCAACATCCTCTCTCTTTACATTATTTTCGCAAATCGCATGACATTTTTCGTTCTTTTTCATGTAGAACTGAAAAAAGCCCATTAATAATGGCTGGGAAAGTAATCGGACAAATTTACCACAAACGGTGTGTTAACAATTCGGTCGCCTCTCATTACTTCCCCAAGATTTTCTGATTTGTACACAATTTGGCCATCTTTTGGCTTACAGAATGGAAGCGAATAATATTCAAATGGCATAATATTACTTGAGCTTGTAAGTTTAACTGCCTAAAACCGCGTTTGCCGTTTGGATATTATAATTACAAAACCTTGACATCGATTTTATCGTTAATTTCAAAATCCATCGGAGCAACTCCCGGCACATAAAAGCTCTCATCGCTAGGAAATAATGCGAAGAGCACTATAAGAGTGCCGAGTCGTAAAAGTATCATTACCTGAAAATGGCAACAATTAAGCAAAAAGTTCGATGAAATTCAAGCAAAAGCAAGATCTTTGAGACGATTTCAAAAAATTTTCGTGGCAAATCCAGTGCGGCGCGCCGAAAGGGGCGGAGTCGGCAACATCGCGGCTCGCTTTCCTTTTTTTGTTTCAAGCGGCCAAAAAATAATTCAATAATATCTATTGCTATTATTAGCATATGAAGTACACTGCTTTATTGAATTAAAGTTTAATTTAGTGTCGTTTCTTCGGCTGACTTTAAATGGAAAGGCTGCAATGAAAACAATTAAAGATCTCATCGAACTCGGGATGTACCCTTCCAAGCTCTTTGACCAATGTCCTCAAGGAGGCAATCGTTTCGGGGCTGACTAATTGTCTCACTTTTGCACGCAACTGCAAATGTTTGTGTTTTTCAACGAAAACTCATCTATTTCTTCGGAAAATTAGCATTATCGTAGGCAGTCCGATGTTTTGCTTCGTGCCAACAAATTTTCGCAAAAAAAATGTCAACCGACTTACATAAACATATGTGACGGCGGCATAAATAGCATAGGTAAAATATTGTGCCGAGCTCATTGCACCGGCTCTCTGATTGCGCAACTGTTTGAACAGATCGTCGATGTCGACCGTCTTGCCGGACAGCACTTTGCTACTGATGACGTCCGCCAGAACCACGGTCGCCGATCGATTGATTCCATTATCGCAATGGATTACAACCGGACCTTTTTGAAGTGGATCCAGCGAGATTGATCTGATGATTGCGAGCACCGTCTTCGGATTCGCCGGCATATTCTTGGCGTCCCAACGCGGAAAATTGACGACGCGCACGAATTTGCATTCCGAGCATCCTTCGGGCAACAGCTGAAGCATTTGAAGCATTGAACTTTTAAGACTCTCATATGAAATGTTAAAACCTCGACAGTGTAAATATCGGGATTTCCTACTTTATCGTGTTGTTCGACTTTTCGTGTATGAACAAAAAATCTGCCAATCGTGACATATTGGCCTTCGAACAGCGGGAAATACGAAGTGGTTTCGGCAAGAGCACACTGTTGAAAACGAATTCAGCGGATTAGATGGAAGACTCGGTGAATGCCTTACACGAACTGACGTCGTCGCAATTTCCATTTGACTTTTTCCCATATCAAAATTCTTTTCTCGATTCGACAATTCGGCTCCGTCGCCCGATTTGCCCATTTGCGACGAGGCATTGCCCATCATCGACACCGTTTTCGGAAGAGGCGGCGGCTTCTTGTTGGCCATTTCGGCAAGATCCGGATCACCTGCCGGATTGAAAATCGACAAAATCGTCTCACAATTCTTATAGAACACCATCGACCAGAAATCTTCCAACGTTGTCGGCAACGGATACTTAAAAACATACTGTTTCCAAAAATATTCCAATGAAAGAAACCACCCCAATTTTCAAGCCCGACTTTTTTTTTTAAAATTTTAATCCGTTTCCAAAACAAAATCCACCACATTGACCACTTTCAAAAAAAAAGGACCCCAAAATGGGACTGGGAATTGATTTGTGAGTCCGACAAATTTTGTAGATAATCTTCATAAGCAAATTTCATAATTTGTTGTGGATGCCTTCTGAGTGAATGGGACATTTTCAAAAAAGAAAAAGCTTGAATTAATATTCACCTTGCTCAGATCAACCACTCGTTTGTCTGTTTCAAGTTTTTCATTTTTAATTAAAAATTTGTCAGCTTCATATTCAATTTAAGCTCGAACTTATAATTAATCAAAACAATTCTAACTATATATGGTCTATTCAATGTTGAGGCACATAGCCGTGAAGTGATTGATAAATCACAAGGATAGTAGAAAGCAGGGCTGTGCGGCAATGGAACTGCCGATTTGTTTATTTTTGGCAATTTTATGTCGGAAAAAAACCGACGAAACAAAAATCAACGTTCATTGAATAATTTGGGATACCGTGAAAATTCGGTATTTATATTGTCGTTGAAAAAATTTAATAGCCGAAATTCTTACTTTTGGCAATTTGCCGAATCGCCGAAATTTCCGATTGTCGCACAGACCTGGTAGAAATTTGGAGGGACAAAATTAAGGGTCAAAATTCAAATGTAGGGCACGGAAAATCAGATGTGGGACCTCAAAATTGGGGGTTGATGGCGATGGTCCAAAAAAAATGACAAAAAGAAAACCTGTGTGATGATATATTTTCGCTCGAAATCATCAAAAGTCACCATGCTCGCATTGATAAAATCATTCTTATTCGTCTCATCAGTGTCCAATTTGACACGACTATGATCATAGACTACCGCGTCCTAATAATTCCAATTCTAAATCGATCGAACCCCGTTTTATTCACCTTTAGACGATTTTTGCTCTTATTGTTCTCACAAGCAATCGATGTGGTTCTCTCCGGTTTATACTGGGCTAGTTTCGATTCATAATGCTTCATGAGCCCCTTTTCGCCTAAACTTCAATGTACCTTTAAAAACATAATTTGACCTACTTAGTAATGCTCGTACTGATTCGTCGAACTTTTTGAATGCCGCTGTTATTGTCGGATCATAAGCTTTTGAATTAGTTTTTCTTGAGCGAATCACCTCAAATCTCGATTATTTTCTGAATATTTGAATGATTGTCCAACTTTGGTACTTAGCTCTTTCTTTCTCGAATAATTTCGTCTTTTGTCTTTACTCTTTGTCACCATTTTTTTGCTCACATCCTTCTTTTTTTCGGTCTCGGTTGGCGATGCTGCCGAGCTTTTCTCGTTTGTCGTATAATTCAACTGAAAATGTTTTCAACAATCAAAATCTCATTCAATGCGATTTTATCGTCACTTCTTCGTCAAGAGTGTCAGACTTTTTCTTTTTCTTTCCAGTTTTGCGATTGTTTTTACTCAAAAATTATGATTTATTTCTTCTTTTTTTTTTCGACGAAACAATCGATACCTCGAGCCTGTTTTGCGGAATAAATTCATGCTCTACTATTGTTTTTTGAACTGTACTCGAATCGCAATTTCCGAAGTGTTAGGAATGAGTTTGCAAACCGATCCGACGCTTATCATTGCCTTCACGCAATCAAATACCAATCACGTTCTTCATGTTTAATTCGAGATTTGAATTTTTGTGTTTCGTGTAACAATAATTCAAATTTATTTCATTTTTGAATAAATCCACATATTTTTAGGAGGACCTCAAATTGGTGACCTTTGTTTTCAAAATACACATTTATTCCAAAACTATTCTTAATTTCTTGTGAGAATCATATTTGATACAATTGGAAAAATCAAAATGTAAATATTTTCGCAAAAACTCTTAACAAAAAAAACTTTCGATTCGTCACAGAATTTCTCGGATTTTCAATCAATTATCCCGGCTACACTGCTATTGTGCAAAAATGGTAAAAATTGTTGGAAAAAAATGGTCCAGACCAGCCGAAAATTCCGATTTCCGCACAGCCCCCTCAGACTATTGGGTGTCTATTTTTTATTCTCTTTTCAACCATTTTTCGGTTCACTGATTAAGCGCGACGCAAGCATAATGGAAGCATTGTGGGAAATCTGTGGAACGGAAGCATAATGCTTCCATATAGGAAGCATAATGTAATTCTTAGTGGCTGTGGAAGAATTATGGGACGAATATGGATGGAATGAAAACGGGATGAATATGCTTCCGGTGTTTGCGAGCCGTGGAACAAATATGGATGGAATATGGATAAAATAATCATATGTCAATAAACATTATACAATTGGCGTCTGGACGGCAGACCAAGACAATTTCTAGAAAAATCAATACAAAAAACTTATGCTATCATATAAACAATGAAAATTTGAAAATTACATGATACACAACGGACGAAATTTAGCTTCTACCATTTAATGACTTATGTTACTCAGATTTATGTTAATTCAGTCAACTGTTCCTCACTTTGTTTAAAGATTGCCAACTACAATTTAGTCGTATTAATATATTTTTGCCGGTTTTTCCGAAATTGGCATCGCAAACTACTCACAATTTGCTCCAAACTGGTAGCAGACGCGCGTAGAAGAGGCGTGCCGCAGCATTGCAAAACCGTGCGCCGCTTTGCACAATGCGGCCACGCCTCACATTTTCGAAATTCGTTTTCAAAATTTTTGTCCTTTTGCTTTTTCTCAATGAATTTTCAAGATTTTTGTGTTTTTTTTTTTGTCAAAAATTAAAGAATTTTTTTCAAAATTAAAGGAAAAATGTTTTTAAAAAATAAAGGAAAAATTTTCATATTTATCATCAAAATCGAAACCAAAAATAAATTGATAGCATTCGAAAATTTTAAAATCGATACGATGTTTTCAAATCGTTTCCGACACTTTTAAAATCGAATTTAAATATTTTCTCAATCGAATTGTGTTTAATTTCTCATCGAATCCGTTTTATTTTTATTTACTTTAACATATTTTTTATTATCGCTCGCTTTTTTCTTTTAATAAAACATAATGTTTTGAAATTTTTTACAGATGATGACAAGATCGAGAGTGTTGTCAGATATAACTGAAACTGCTCTAGAAGTCAATAACAAAGAACCAGAAGTCCCTAACATGGAACCAAATTCGCTCGACACTTCAGATCCAGATAGTCCAATTTACTCGCCAACTCAGCAAAAAAATTTTTCTCCACAGTCCTCACAAACAACAAAATCAACGCCAATTCCTAAACCTTCGTACGCCCAATTTGTAAGTTGTTATCATCAAAAATTGGCCTGTTCGACTCCAGAAATGGTTTCAATTAGAAAAATATGCGCAATGAAGTCTTTATAAAGTACTTCCTATGTTTAAAGCTTGTTGATTATTTGGTTCCAATCAGGGCTGTGCGGCAATGGAATTGCCGATTGCCGAAATTGCCGGTTTTTCAAATTGCCGAAGAAAATTTCGATCGGTAATTTGCCATTAGCCGAATCGCCGAAATTTCCGATTGCCGTACAGCCTTCGTACCAATATCATTCAGTGGCATTTATCTTTTTAAGTGGGGCTCTAGTACAGAAGTCGCCAGACGCCGACTATATAAAGATCCTATACTTTATTGCAAATATCTATATTACAGATGCTCTTATCCATGGCTTTGGGCAACAACCGACAAATGACTTCAAAGCGAAAGCATTACGCATGGTTCGAGAAGTCATGGATAATCTTCTGTAAGATTTTGAACTATGACTATTAATTTATTTATTTGATTAAGCGATAGAATGCGCCAACGACTTCAAAGGAAATTTGGTGTAGCGCCGGAAGCGCTCGCGGCGCAATTAAGGAAGCTGCTTGATTCTACCAGCAACCCTCAGATGTGAGTATTCATATGTCTTTGAAATTTTAACCAAAATGCCTTTTTGCTTCAAATTTTGGAGTTGTTCTTTCTTCCGCCAATTCACTTTTTATTTTGTGCACTAAAGGGTTTCCAAAAATGCAATAAAAATAAATTATTTTTATTTTTAAGAAAATTATTGATGTAAAAAAACTGATTGTATTTTCTCGAAAAATTTAGTTTACGTAACAATGGTTTACAAGTTTTTCAAATTAATAGGCCCATTATAATCTACTTATTACAGCGTCCCGCTCGATGTCAGTACTGACAATGATTCGAATAGTTCGGCAGTTGCCAGTAACTAATGGTTTGATTATATCTTAATTGAAATTCATTTCATTGTTGTTTTTTTTTTTTATTTTAAATTAAATAAATGTGTTAATATGAAATAAATTTTGAATACAGCAATCAAATTGTTTTCTTATTTTCCCATATGGAAGGCATACGGCTCATTCCATATACGAAACACGCGGTTCCGCAAAAAAATGCTTCCATTATGCTTCCATATAACTTGCATATAAGATTCCTATGATATCCACAGCCGTTCCACTATGCTTCCATTGTGCCTATGCCGCCGTTTATCTGTGTTGTAGCCCAGTTGCGCGATATATGCCACGGCTGTGCGGCAATCAGAAATTTCGGCAATTCGGCAAATTGCCGAAAATAAAAATTTCGGCTATTAAATGTTTTCAACGATAATTCGAAATATAAATACCGAATATTCGCGGTATCCCAAATTATTCAATGCACATTGATTTTCGTTTCGCCGATTTTTTTTGATATCAAATTGCCGAAAATCAAAATTTCGGCAATCCGGCAATTCGGCAATTTGAAAAATCGGCAATTTCGGCAATTCCATTGCCGCACAGCCCTGATATATGCGTACCGTTTCGTTGTGTAAAAATCTGAAAATGGTAGAAAAGGCAAATAAAAAATAACCCAGAATATTGTAGGGAGCAGGCCAGTCATATTCGTGTCCCAACCAGAGCTGTACGGAATTTCGTCTTCCGTTTTTAGAAAATTTAAGTTCCATGCAGCTTTGTTCCCAACCTTATTTCAAACTATCAAAAAAATGTTTTTCAAATTGAAACCAATTTTTTAATTAATTTTTTTCATCGAATCATTTGTTTTTCCAAATCCGTTTTATCTGAACGGCCGACTCGTGAATTAAAAAAACCGTCTCTACTGCGAAATTGACAAGATTGTGTAGTGATTAGTGACGGCTTCAAACAATCCTATCGAAAATTGATCTCATTTACCTTTTTAAAACAATAAATAAAAAAATAGGTCTTGACTGGAAAGGCAGCAAGAAGCTTTGGAAAAAAACGTTGGAAAGCTGAAGATAGCAGCAGCATATGTATTTTTTTAATTCAATTTTTAATTTCAGATGAATGTGCTCTCAATTAATTCACTCTCACAACACTAAAATTTTGGAACAGAATAATTAAAATAGCGGTCAATTATTCACGAATAGGTTTCGTTTGTCTCCCAAAAATTATTTGCATTCCTCATCTCTTCGCCAAATTTAATCCGTTTTCAATTCCATCGCCATCATCTTCATTTTTGCCAATATTAGCTGTTGAAATTTGATGTGCGATGTCGTCGTCGTCCGCATTTTCCGTCTTCTACTCGGTTTCGTTTTCCTCTTCTGCGAGGCGACTTTTAATAGGATATATAGATGGCCTTAAATGAAGGAAACAAGGCGAAGAGATCGGAATTAGATTTGTGCTCTTGCTCTGTGAGCACAGGAAATTGCCGCTGACCACCATTGTTATCGCGTTGGGCAGCGCTTAATTAAAATCGCTCTAGTGGATACTTGTTTCGCGTTTATTAATTTACTAGCACGATCCGGATAATCCTTTCAAATTTCTGAAACCAGTAAACAATTCTAAACGAGTAATTTTAGGAGATGCGACGGAAAAAATATGAGCGCACGATTTTATCATAATTAAATGTAATAAATTGTTTAAATTTTTGTCGGGAACTTTTTTTTCGCAAAAATTCGGCTCTTTTTAACCAAGCTAAAAATCCCATTTTTCCATCGTAAACCCACTAATTTTTTCGGCGAAAAAAAAGTATATATGGTCTCATACACACATCCCTTGCTCAAATTGAATTTACGTCTTCTTCTCATCTCGTCCTTCCTTCCGTCTCGTTTCACCCTTTTTCGTCGCCAACCGGGTGGCTCCCAAAGCAGCAGCAAAAATGAAAAAAAGAGCCACTTTGCATTAGGCCGATGAATGAAGACGAAAAAAAAACGCATGGGAGTCAAGCACAAGGCGATTTATACCCGTCGTGTCATCGAATAAAAAAAAGAAAGAAAGAAAGCGAAAGTGGATGGGTGAGTGGATTAGACGAATTTCGAATAATCGCCTGGATCCAAGTCGGGATTGTAGAATGAGGTCGGAATGAGCCAATCGGGATGAGTCACTTCCATCACACTGCGACCTTGAGCCATTTCGACGGTTGGCATTTCGGAATAGCTGGAAGCATCGAACTCATGAGCCAATGGATGAGAGCTGCGACGTCGAAGCTCCTGAATCATTTCGATTTCGCAATTTCTCGAAAGTTGAAGCAAACGCAACTCGCCATGAGCTCTCACCTTCACCATGCATATTAGAGCCGCCGGCTGATAGGAGAGATAGAATTTATGGGCCACGAGTTCGGGTCTCGTCACCATTTCGGCGACATCGTCGACACCAAAAACGCAACTCGCGTGCGTCAAAACGCCTCGACATTTGTTCTGCCATTGCCATACTTGGTAGCGGGCGATGTAATTGAGGCCCACGTGTTTCACAGTGTTGATAATCGGCGCTTGAAGTTTGAAATTGCGTCGAAACAACACGATATCTTTGGCTTTGATCGCGCCGGGAACCGGAACAACTGAAAAGCAAAAAGAGAACATCGGCGATGAAGCTCGACAATGAAAAGGCGCCTACTCGCTGGCGAACCGGCGACCGACGTCCAGAACGACTCGTCGGGTATCCAAGTCTTTCTCAAGTACTTGTAGAGCTTCTCGACGCGACGACTGCTTATCATGTAGTCGGCGGCCGCGCGCGGCACCGCCACCGACATACTCGATTTGAACAGAGGCACCGGCGGCAAAATCGTCTCAATTGTTTCGCATTTCGTCGTTTCATCGAATTTCCAAAACCAACCTCGCGTCGAAATTTTCGATTATATTCGAATTCTTCAATGTCTGTGTTGAACAAACCGCCCATCGCTTTGAATATACGGACCATTTCGAGATTCGTTCGCATCGGAACATCGGATCCCGACAAATACTGCAAAAGAAACGAATCAATCAAAAGCACCCCCCCCGCGCCCGTTATTTCCTTACTTGGTAATACTTCCACGGATGATTTTGAGTGGCCAAATAATAGAAGCAAGAATAGACATTCTCCAGAATCCCAAAAGTTCCCCATTCCGATTTTGCGCCATACTGAAAACAAATTTCAACCAAACACACTCGATTTTGTGGTTCGAAGCGATTCAAATGACCTACAAAAACGTTAATATTGGGAAAACATTCGTGCAAATTCATCAAAGCCCGCTTGAATAATGGGTCCGCGAGAACATCAATTTTGATGCAAAATAGGTGCTGCGGTTGGTAGAAGAGGCTTAATTGAAGAATAACCTAAAGAAATTGAATGTGTTTCAAACAATTTGTCAATATTTTTTTTACTTGGACCAATTCTTTGTAGACTACTAAACCATAAGCCAACGGATACTCTTCTTCTTCGATTGATGTTGCATTTCGAGCAAAATTAAAATATTTGTCAACTGTTTCACAGAAGTCTGTCGTGTTTTTTAATTCAAACTCGATTGATTCGAAATCGAACGTCCATTGTTTCATTCGTTCAATTTGTCGACTATCTTCTGTGCCGTTCACCACGCTCGTGCAATTCAACGGAATGTTTTCAATTTTTCGCAGTTGTCTGGAATTTAGCCCCGAACCATTTTCATGTTATTAGCAGGGCCGCGCGAACGCAGCCCCTCACGCAAAAATTTAGTTGTTGGCGAATCTCAACTCGAGACTGCCACACGGGTCAGCCTATTCGAAAGTGCAATGAACAGGCCTCGCCATGGGGATTCCGCCTTCTTGATCGCGAAATACCCCCAACCAGGTAAGTTTATGGGCGGTCTCATCGCCGTCTTATATGCGCGCGCGTGTGCGGACACATTGCGGGTTTCGCCGCATTCTATGTTCAGCACGAGGCACTTACGGAATGGCCGCCAAATCATTGCGATAACACGTTTGAAGGGCAACGTAGACGGTAAATATCAAATATAGAATAGTTGGAGTGTCGATTGAACGCCGCCTGAGTCTCATCGTGAAAATGAAAATGGAAGAATACGGATTCGGAATAACTAGTAGAGAAGAGAAAGTGAGATAAATATCTCGTGATCCAAGAAAAAGAAAAATACGAAACTATCAACAAGAAATCGAACAAGATTTTCAATTATTCATTTGTATATTCAACATTTTTTTTTGTTGCACAAAAGGTTGAGCAGTGAAGGAAATGAGCTAGAATGCGAATATTCTCCTCAGACCACAATTCAATTAAATGGTCCCATCTGAATAAATTCTTGAATTTGCAGGTGCCAATCGGTTGAAAACCTTAAATATGTATCAATTGAGCGCGAATTAATAATCCGGTTAATCCTGGTCTCCTAGCATGAGACTCCGCCCACCTCTCAATTTGGGACCTCCGCCATCGACGCGTTATTTTGGTGGCATTCGGTTTGTCATCGAAACATTTTTCAATTAAATCCGACAAATCGAATAGCAGTGGCTGGCTGCCGAGCTGTTCTAATAGGTGGTAATAAGGCGCAAGAGCCACGCGCGGTGCACCTGCTCATGACATTCTCTGCGTCTCGTCGCGTTTCATCAGGTAGCGCGAGAATTCAATTATTTCGCATTTTGCCAATGTTGTACATAGTACGAGGAGACGAGCCTTTTTTTTTATTCGTCGCTCACCAATCCAATATACTCCAAATATGGAAATATCCATATTTGGCGTTCTATTTGATATGAAATTTGACACCAATTCATCGCGAATTTCTCAGATTATCGCGTTCTTTTCAATATTTCCCATTTTCTGAACCTCATTGGTCCCATTTTAATGATTTTGAGAAAATCTTTTTTTTTCGAACCACTCAGGCAAATCAAATAAAATATTTTGAGAATCAAATATTCAATTTTAAATTCTAAAATATTTTGAGAAAATCTAAAGTTTATTGATACTTTCTAAAAGTTATTGAGAATCGCTAAAATCAAAAATATTTTTTTAAATCTTATAATATTTTCCAAAAATTATTGAGCAAATTCTAAATTATCTCAATAAATTCTAAAATCTTAAAATAATTTCAAATATTTGATTGAGAAAAATCTAAAATATTATAGAGATACGTTAGTTTCTCAATGATTCTCAAAATATTTTATTCGATTTACCTGAGGAAGAATTTTTTGAGGAAGAATTTGATTTACCTGAGGAAGAATTGCGTTTGTCTCGGTTTTGAAATTTTCAATCAAAAAAAGAATCGATTCCCCCCATATTAAAAAACATAATTCAAAAATTTATATCGAAATTCATCTGCGGACATTTTCCATAGCAACTTGATTTGCAGTCGAATTCGAAAACTACGAATAAAAAAAATGCGATTTTGCAATTTCTAATCCATCGAAACTCGTAGAAGCAAAAAAAAATGTTCTTTTCGTGGTTTAGCGGTGATGAATTGATGCGTTTTTCAGGATGAGTAAACCGCCGCCGCCGCCGCCGTCGTCGTCGTCGTCGTCTCACTTTTTTTTGTGTCCATTTTTGGGTTAGACGCCAGCCGTCGTCGATGGCTCCGCCCACACTGGTCATTTGTGCGGCGCGCGGCATTGAAATGCGATGAGGAGGAGTGCGGACGAGCAGGCGGAGTCTGTGCTCTTCTGACGAAGCATCATTAAGATTTGGTGTCGTTCAGAAGGAGCACAAGCAGCAACTCTTGAATGCAATTCAATTCTAATACTTCCTCGCATACGTGTGGTCATCTTTCTATTTCTTCTTCTTCTTCTTTTTCTTTTTTTTACATGCATTTTATGTGAGAAGCAACATCTCATCTCCCAATTTTTGGCCTCTTCTGAGCCTCAATTATCCTTTTTTGGGATGGCTGTAATGAGAGAAACTCGAGAATAGGTTGAACCTTCAAATTCCTTTGATGCTTTCCCAATTTTCTTGAAAAATTTTTATTCATATAAAGCATTTCGCTGAAATATTTTTATGCGATTTTTTTTTTGTAATTTCTCTAAATATATTTGAGTATTCGCTTATTTTCATACCAAAATTTTTTATATATTTTTTCTATTAAAATCCAAAGTTTTCAGGTTGCCAAATGTTGCCATAGGAATGAATTCGATATTCCGTATTATTACTACACTATATTTATTGTTTCCAATCGTTCAGGTTCGTTTCTTTCGCAATATCGCCAAATTTCGCCATTTGCCCCCAATTTAATTAAATGGGGTTTCTTAGGAAGAAAAAAATTTCGCAAGAGTGCTTTCAAATATGGCTGAAAAAAAAAAACAACTGAGTCATCACCTCAAGGGACCATTATTTGCGCGTTCGTCATTGGACCAACCTATTTCGACGCGCAATAATGCAAATTTCGATTCTTCTCAAATACAGCTGCATTTGTAATGGCTCACTGAATTCGCGTGCACCAAAACCGGCTTTTATTCGAATGATGAGGCTTTTGATATAGATATTGCCCTTTTTTTTTTGAAAAACTTAAAAATTATTTATTGTAGTTTTGAAAGCAATAATGCGAACAATTGTTTGAGTGATAACTGCGAGACAATTTCATTTTAAGTTTATTCCATCTGCGGACATCTTCCTTGAAATTTAAAATAAAAATGTGGAAGATTGGCTAAATGCTAAAAAAAATTCAATAATAGTGGTCTTGGCACAAAACCAAGGATGTAGATTTATGGTCCCAAGCGTTTGTCACAATGAATATCCAGTCCAGTTCGGTCTGACTTTGAAAACTGAGGCCCTGATTTTTGAATCTTAACAAAAGAATTTCAATTGTAAATATCTGCGGACATTTTCCGGGTTGCGCCACAATCGCCTAGGTGTTGTTATTAGCGGTGGCTACAGAGGACCCGGCTTTTTTTGGAACTTCTTTCGATAAGCCACTTCGCTTCTTCTGAAGTGTTATTTTCAAGGGACCCATTCGAAATTAAGAAAAAACTTCCAAACAAATTTCGATTGCAACGACTTTGACTACATATTTGCCCACCGATAATAATTATTCAATAAACATTAATTATCATAAATAAATGTTGAAAGCAGCGCCTCTTTTTGGCCAAAGTAAACAAGTAACATGTGCTGATGCCGATGATTTACACGGATTAAATGGATACGCGACGAGTAGGCCCGTAGTAGTCAGATGGTCGGTCCGGTCCGGTCCGGTTTGGTCCAGCTGGCACCCACTTTTTTTTCTTCTCATATGTGTGAGTGACCAGAAAAATGTTAATGGATAAATAATTGCCGGCGTTTATTTTCGATTGCGGGGGATCATGCGTGTGTGCTGGAAACATATTTGAAGCGCATAAATATTTGAATTCGTGATGCGTAAATTTGTATTACTCGATGTACGTGCCGTCGGTTGCTATGGAACTGCTCGGATTAGCATTCTGCCTTATTTAGTAGACGAACAATGGGACCGCAGAAAGGTTTCAATGAATGGAGGAACGGCCGGACGAGAGAGCATGTGGACCCATAATTAATATGTACATGTAGGAATCGTCGATTCAAACATTTTTCAATTCGATTTTTTTAATTAGAAAAAAATTTGTTGAGAAATGAGAAATTGTCGGCAGCTGTAAATTGATTTGAGCAATTGATTCCGAAATTCGATTCAATGCAATTTGACCTTATAAGGTATCGGAATTCTATTGGGAATTCGATTCCAATGCGTTCGGGATAAATGCACCACCGAATATACAAATTGGTGGTGTGCAGTTAGTGTGTCTGGTGTCAACACATGCTCAAATATATCGGATGACATAAATAATGTTTGAGGCAAATTGGTGCTGCTGCGCGAGTCGGTTTTTCGAAATAAGACGAAACGAGAAGGCGAAACGACTCCATTAAATTGGCATTTTGAAACAAAAACCCATTATGGAAATGAGAATGCCGATCTTGAATGCGTTTTTTTTTTGCAGGCCCGAACTCTAACCAAAGTTCCGCTTGATGCGCCGATTGGATGGCTTGTCGCCGATTTGCGGTTTCAGAAGTTGATTGCCAATCAAGAGACTATCGAATTTCAGCAATCATTGTTCAGCTATTTATTTCAAATCGACGATGGTTTTCGGGTAGAGCGTCTCATTCTTCAGAATCTCGATGATCTGATCGACGTCGTTTTGACTTTTCAGATTGTCACAAACTCAAGCATCTCGCATCTTCGAGGTGAACTCTTCGAGCTTATCCTAACCGCAAAAGAAGAATCTTACCGTCGGGTTATCGCTTTATACCTCTATGTTGATCCTCCAAGAAATCAGTAATTTTTCAAAAATCCTTTCAAATTTGAATTCAATATTCAAGGAATGCTCATTTCCTATCAAACAACTATCATACGACAGTTTATTCGACATCGAATGTTGGCTCAAAATTGGTGTTCAGTCAGCCAATCGCAATTCGAGCTGTCGATTTGGCCAGAAGAGCCTATATTGCTCCAGTCAGTACTGTTGTCGGATTACCCTTCATGATTGCTTCCAACGGACCATCGGCAGTGGATGTAAGCCAATGTTGTCAATGCTTCTTAATTCCCGCTATTTTTCAGATGGCTGTGAGCACGCCGTTGAGCAATTTCAAGGAAGATCGAACATTCATTGTATACTTGGCCGCGTTCGACGCCGACGGCGAAATTCAATCGCAAACGAAAATCACGATTGATTTGAAAATTGTCGATGAGCCATTCCAGAAATATTCTGTGAATTTCGACGAAAATATTGCGGAAAATTTCACAATTTTCCAAATTCCACAGAAAAAGTCTCAAAAATCTCCTCTTTTTTTGACTCATTTTCATTTTTCAGCGGCTTATCTCGATTTAAACTAGTCGAACCATCGAGATTGTTTGCTGTCGAAGAGCTCAGTGGACGGGTCTCGACACGAAAAGAAATCGGCTACGGGCGATATCATCTTCAATTCGTTTCAAGCAATTCGAAGAAGACCAAAAAGGTTCAACGAATTCTGCTGGAGATTCATGTGAAGCTGAAACACGCGAAGAAAAATCGAGGCAGAAGACACTTGGAAGATCTGGTTTTTGAAGTGAATGAAAACGAAATCGAGCACAATGATGAGATGAAGATTCCATTGATGGCTGGCGAGACGATTGGAGAGCTGAACACTGCCAAGGATTTGCTCATCATTGAGCAAAATGGTACCCCCTATTTGACACATTATGAAAATATTTTGATCAGTGTTTTAGGTCAAATCCGTTTCCGTGCGCCTCCAAACTACGAGAAGACGAGCTCTATTATTGCAACTGTTCCGATCAACGGCCTAATGAATAGTAAGTCAAACATATTTTGATTGATGAGCCGATAATTACTCGGGCATATGCGTGTCCATCAAAATGCTTGCACACACATGCGCGTAAGGGACTCGACTCGTAATTATATTAGGGTTTGCTCCAGTGATGATGGAAGCGAGACGAGAAAATCCTCTTGAGGATCGAATTTGAGTGACCTCCTAGTGGCACTCGCTTGATTTGATTAGGTGCAATCTCGTCCATCGGCCGACGGACCATATGCATTAGTAGGCGGTCGGATTTCACAAAACAATCACATTGGCGAAAAGCGCGTTCGTATGACATAAGCCAATTTATCAAGCAGCGGACACAGTTGGTGGCCGAGCCGGAAGGCAGACCGGGGGATTTGCATGTTTTTAATGAGACCGACCGCCATTTTTGGCGGTGCCACGCGCTTCCCCTTCAATCATTGTTTTCGCCAACGTGAATGAAGCAGCTAGATGGACGAGCGAGAAAGGGGGATTCGAGACGTCCGAAGATATTTATGATTGCCATAAAACATCTGTAGCAATCTCGTGTCGCCATTATTGCGGCTGCCGGCCTATCCCAGCAAATCACTTATTTTTAAATATATTGATAACTGCTCAATAATTATATGTAGACTAAATTGTTTTCCTTATTCGTATTTTTGCCTTTGAGCCCATCATTCAAACCATTACGTGACTAATCCGTTGTCCCGCGAGGATCATGACAGAATCCAATTGTGGTCCTTGCCGGACCCTTGAATAATAGTCACTTATCCAATAAAACAAAAACATCTGCTCGCTTCTAAATTGGCACCCGTTTCGCCAATTCTCACACCAAACAGTCGTAAAACTTTTGGTGGCGTTGAACTTTGGCAATCTGTTTTTGGTGGCGAGGGCCGCGGGGTGTGTTCACCAACAAAACACTCGAGATCCGCCACACTATTTTGTATTTAATAAGTGCGCGGGTGAACATATGGGACGAAGTGGGTCCGAACGGCCGACGGACCACCACAGATATGTGTACTACATGCGGTTGGGTGAACCCGAGGGATTTCGCCAATTATGCGCATGCAACATTTGATTTATACGAAACAATAGCTGGAGGGGACAAAATAAATTATTTATAATTCAAGATGTTCTCGATATTATTTCCGTCGCTGATAATCAGGATCATTGTAAGGAACCAGAACATCCTCATTGATAGTTGGTCTCATTTCCCCGCCGCGTTTGCTTGCACCGAATGCTTTTGCCGCAATTGGTCCCTAAACGACAACCCTCAATGTGGATGATGCATCGAAATTTTACCTGGAAATTAGCAAAGCCTCCCGTTGGCGAATGCACTTCGATTTGAAGCACATCAACGCATCGAACAGCCATAAGTATCATGCAAAAATTGATAAGAAATCGCAACATTGTTATTGTCGGAATTGGGTGATGACGATGATGATGATGATGATGCGAAGAAGGAATGATGCGAGAAACCAACTTGGCTAGATTAGCGGGTTTTTTCTGCTTGTTGATTACATAAGAAGCGGTGGGCGGAGCGATGATTGAATGAATGAATGAATGAATGAATGAATGAATGATTATGGGTGATTCGATACTTCCATTCGGCAATGTTCGGAAATGAATTTCGTAGAAACGATAACCGATTGGTTGGCAAAAACGAATTAAAGCAATTAATTAAACGCGTGGTCAAATATTAAAATATGATAATTTAAATATTAATGAATTCAAGGCCGCGCGCAATCGATTCGAATCAATGTTCGCGATATTGATGAGCCGCCGGCTTTCGTCAATTCACCACTTCCAATGCTTGCCGTCGTACCATTGAATCCAACAATTGGCCGAGTTGTCTTCCAATTTGTCGCTCGAGATGAAGCTGGTGACGGCGACGCCGACGTTCTCTACAATCTGATTGATGTTATTCGTAAGAAAAGAAATAGACGTGCATTGGAACCACCAAAAATGAAAATATTTTCAGCTTCTGGCTCATTCATCGTTGATTCGAAAAGTGGAGTTGTCCGAACTGCGTGGAACAAGTACGAACGAGGCGAGACCTATCGAGTGTCTGTGCAGGCGGTCGATGCAACCCCCAGCGACAACAGCACTTCGCAGGTGTCTGAAGTTGCGATTCTCGAGATCCTTGCTGACGATCGTCCGCCACAGTTCGCCCGCCAGAACTACGAAGTGACAGTGACTGAAGACAATCAAATTGACTACAGGTTAGGCCAAATACATTATTTCTAGAAAACTAGGGGGTTCTATTTTTAGTGTCGTTGACATGAAAGCTCAATCGTTTCGAAGTATTGAAGACGGAAAAACGAAGGGCGAAATCACGTATTCGCTAGAAGGAATCTCATCAGATGAGGCCAAATGGTTCCGAATTGATCCGATTACTGGAATCGTTCATCTGACTCGAGAATTGGATTACGATGATCCGGCATTGCCAAAGTCTCATTCGTTCAAGGGTAAATTTCATGGAGAATTCACATCGATGTTCATGCATTTTATTTTAGTAACTGCCCGCGAAGACAATCGAGAAACCAAGATCGATTTGAAAATCAACATTGGAGACGTGAATGACAATGCTCCGACGTTTACACGACCTCTGTATACTGCACAAGTGCGCGAAGACATTCCGTTGAATCAAGTCATTCTCAAAGGTCTCAAAAATTCTATTGTCTTTTTTTTAAACATATTGCTCATTATTTTTCAGTGACTGCAATCGACAAAGATAGTGGCGAAAATGCGCGAATCGACTACACTGTGGACAACGCGAATTTCACAATCAACGATCGTGGCGAGATATCGGCGAGAGTTCGACTCGACGCCGATCAACTCAACGAGCGACATTTTGTCTATCGGTTCAATGTTACTGCCAAGGATCACGGAAATCCTGCCTTGAGCAGCACCGCAGCAGTTCACGTTAGAACTGAGAACACGAACGACGAGCATGCAGTGTTCCTTCCGACGAGCCACTATACTGCATTCGTCGCCGAAGACGCTCAAGGGGGAACTCCAGTGATACAGATTCAAGCAAGAGATGCCGATCGGGATGAAGTGACCTACGCATTTGTGGATTCGAACAATGAACATCCGACACTGACTATGAATCTGTTCACAATCGATCAACACACAGGTAGTCTATTCGGTTAGAACTCGCAAATGATCATTTCTCGTCTATAGGATTAGTGAAGCTGCGAAACGGTGTGACCCCGGCAGATCTCGCGGAAGCTCAAAATCCGATCAATCTGACGGTTCAAGTCAAAGATGATGGGTCTTGTTGCGTTTATCCCAGCGAAACGCATTTCTCATATGCAACCCTTCTTATCGGTAATCTGTAATTCTGAAAATGTGTCTGAAAATAATATCATTTAGGTATTGAGGATGTAAACAACAACAAACCCGAATTTCCGGATTGTGCTAAGTATAGCGAGATGGCGAAAATCCTTGAAGGAACTTATAAAACCAATCCGCCGACGATCATCAAGGTGGAAGCCACTGACGACGACTCGTCTGCCAATGGAGACATCGTTTATTCGTTGTATTACACTCAATCGGAAAGTAGAAAAGCTTTTGTGATTGATCGGAACTCCGGAGTTCTGACACCTTCCCCACACGTCGTATTCGATAGAGAAACTCGGCCGAGGGAAGATGTGACTGTGAAAGCCACCGATCGAGGAGATCGACCGCTCATCGGATTCTGCCAGTTCTCCGTCGAGGTTGTCGATGTCAACGATAATGCTCCACAATTTGAGCTTCCTTCCTATGAGACGAGTGTTTCAAGATTCGAATCCGTCGGGTACTAACTAGATTGTTTTCCGGTGGCTTCATTTCAAGATAATCAATTTCAGAACATCTGTGATAACTGTATTTGCTTATGACAATGATGCAGCACATAACGCAGAAATTTCGTATTCCTTGGAACCTGATACGACAGCAGGCGAGGAACACGCGAATGACATTCAATTCTTCGAGCTAGTCAACAGAAGAAGTGGAGAGATCACACTCGTCAAGAATATTCCATATCAGGTTTGCTCACGACGTCCTTTCATTTTTTTTTTTTGTTTTGAATTTGTACATTTAGAAGTCGAAGTTTGTGTTCAACGTCGTCGCCAATGACAATGGCGTTCCTGAAGCACAAACATCGGTAGCTCAAGTCATTCTGAATGTTCTTGATCGCCAACACAAAGCTCCAAAATGGCAGAGTAGTCCCGATTGCAAAGCGCTAGTCAGTGTTGTCGAGAATGTCGAGATGAATAGGATCATTCTCCGTTGTCGTGCTGTTTCTGGAGACGGATCTCGAAGTCAGACGGTTTATAAGCTCAGCACGACCGGCGGACACAATTCGAAAGTTGATTCGAAGTTTCGGCAATTTAATCGGTTCGAGGATGGAAACGAATGGGTCGAAGTGGCGATCATGGAACCACTTGACTACGAGCAAATCAATAATTACACGCTGACGTTGTCGGCAACCGATGTCAGTTCACAAGTTACCTCAACGAAGACGTTTGTCGTCGAGGTTCGAGATGTCAACGACGTGGTCCCGCAATTCACTGTCGATTTGTTCACTGGAACAATTGATGAGGAACTGACACCAAACGAATATCTCGAAAAGTAACATATTTTTGGCATTTCATTTTTTGAGATTCAATATTTTTTTTTAGAACAAATGGAAAACCGATAGTGACGGTTAAAGCGATTGACAATGATTCGAATGGACCTCAAAATGAAATTCATTATCGGATTGTCGAGACGCCGGAAGGCCGCGAAACTCGATATTTCAGAATTGATGAGCTGACCGGAGAAATATTTCCGAATGACAAGTAAACGAACCAACATTGGCCTATTATCACTATTTTGCAGATTCGATCGAGAGAAAATTGATATGTACATATTGACGGTTGAGGCACGCGATAATAGTCCATCAGCACTTCCTGGAACGAAAGGTCCGAATAAGGATAATGTGAAAGTTCAAATAGTGATCAATGATGTCAACGATAATCCACCATTATTCGAAGAGCAGAAGTATATTGGAAGAGTGAAAGAATCTGAAGGAGAAGGGCATGATGTGATCACTGTGAAAGCACATGATCTCGACAAACATTCGAATCTTCGCTATCATCTTGTTGGTGCAAATGGTGGAAGAATTCCGTTTGGCGTTCGGACTGATAGTGGAACTATCTTTGTGAAGGAGATGCTCGATTTCGAACATACCGATCAATATCACTTGGTTTTGATCGCATCGGATGGCCGCCACAATGCCACTACAAATGTGTTTATTCACATCGAGGATGTCAACGACAATGCTCCGATGTTTGAGCAACAGAAATATGCAACAACGGTGGTTGAAGAGGACGTCGATGTTCCGAGGGTTCTGTTCAACGTCAAAGCAACGGATGCTGATCAAGACGAGAAGAGCAGCAAGATTGTGTATCGGCTCGAAGGACAAGGAGCCGACGATGTGTTCCGAATCGGCGCTTATACTGGAGTTATTGAGCTTATGAAGCCATTGGATCGCGATCCGCCGGAAGGGGTTCCGTCTTGGAATTTTGTAGTGCAAGCAATCGATGACGACGGAAATGGACTTGTGGGATACGCCGATGTTCAGGTACAGAAATTTGAAAAAAATGTCGATGAGCGACCAGTTTTTTTCTCCAAATTAGCACAATTCTCAAGCGAGTTTAATGTGTTGCGAGCAAGGCGACATCTGCTTGCTGCCGTCTGCCCAAAAATGGTAATTCGGGCAACTCATCAATTATTTACACGAAACTTTGTGTGTTGCGCGTTGAATTCAAATTATTATTCGAATCAACAATTTCGAATTTGTAGGTGAATGTTCGCGACATCAACGACAATGCTCCGATATTCCCCGAACGGCTGTTTGGTTTCATCGAGGAAAATCGAGAGCCGATTCGTACGTTTTCTTGAGAGTTATTTCAATATGATAATTGATATTTCAGATGATGATGGTGTCTATTTCATGGATGTTCAAGCTCGCGACTTTGACGATCCGACGACCGAAAATGCGAACATTGAGTACAGGATAGTAGCGAACAAACTGATCAGTGGAGAACCAGTGTTTCGTATTGACAAACAAACCGGAAAGATTTTCGCGATGAGAAGTCTCGATCGAGAAATCGTGTCTGAAAGGGAATTCGTCATCGAGGTTCGCGCTAATGACCGAGGCGTTCCATCGAGAGAAGGATTCGCAAATGTCACTATCAAGATCCTAGATATGAATGATAATGCCCCATTCTTCGAGAAGGTATAACCAGCCTAAATGATTTAAATTCGAAATCAATTAAAATGTTAGACCAAATATGTGGGTAGTGTCGAAGAGACTGCTCCAGTTGGTGCCGCGATTATGAGCTTTTCCGCATTCGACGCAGATGTTGAAGCAAAGGACAACGTTTTCACCTATCAGTTGGCTGAAGAAAATGATTATTTCTATGTTTCGACGGACAAGGATTCAACGCAATCTTCAGTCGGAGTTTTGAGAGTCAAACAGGTTAGTCACGTTATTCGGCGTTTTGGGAATGCACCAAAATTGAAACTCTGGCAGATGGTCTAATAAACGGTAATAAATCAACAATGGGTGAATTGCTAATTTGTGCGTTGCCTTCGTTCTTTCCTTCCTTATACTGAATCATCATTGTTCCCAGCACTAAAAATGTTAATTACCCCTACTCGACTACTTTTCATTTCATTGTCTCGCCATGCGCAGCATCAGCTTCTTCATTTTTTTCATTCTTTCATTCACTCTTGCTTGCTTTATTTCATTGAGACGGAGTAATTCTCCATCGTGCCCCCTTTCTCCACTTTTTCCTCCAGTTTTAATATCGCCAGATTGAAGTTTTCTTGGAGTTTTTTTCGGCGAAATCTGCTCGACTGGAAGATTAATGATGAACACTGGACGGAGAGTTTTCCCTTTGGCTTCCGTCAGTTGTTCATTTCTGTTTAGTCATGCTTGCCTCTACAACTAATTTTGATTAATGATTACGACGATCTGCGAACGCGAGGTCATAAACATCGGTTTCTTATCAAAGATTACTAAGAAAAAAAAGGAAGAAAGGTCCGTAATTTTCAGAAAAATTCATCAATTGTCGTAAAGTATTGCGTATTGTGTGTAAACACTGTATTAATTGAAATTAAGAAGTTTCCTAATTTTTCTTTCTTTTTTTTAATTTTAATCCCTTTCAAATTGTTATGATAGTTTATATATGAATAATTCGTAAAATCTACGTTCCTAGATTTGTCGAAAATCAATTTCTAGTCGATTAAATCTATATAGAAATGTGTCTGTTGTCGAACCGATCGCCTATTGAGATACCTTGATCGATTCCGGTTGATTTCGGTTCGAATCGTTCCACTCGTACAACTCTTTTCTTTTCTTGTCCATTACTACTAGTTCGCACCCGCTTTTTACAACTACTCACATAAATCGAATTCCGGCCTCTGGGCCTAAAAAAAAGTGCGACAATTTTGCGCATCAATTTAAAACTAGGCCATTTAAAGAGTACATGTGACAACCGGTCATTTTATAATGGTCCCATGGGGTCAACTGCTCATCCGCAACTTTTGCGCAACACTATGCTGTACTACTCATTTTTCATGTCTTATTGTCATCTTATGAGTTTCTGCCTTTTTTTCTCGCTAAAACGCGCCTTTTTCGTAAAACAAATTTGCCAGCAATTTCTTGTGTCTGATTTTATATATTTTTACGACTGTCAACGTTTGATATATGCGCCAAGAGCACGACATCGAGATGACGAATGTTCTTGTTTTAAATTCCTTTTTTAGGAAATTTCTTTTTAGCACAGTCAGAAAATGCGGATTTATTGATTTAAAATTTTGATTTAATGTGATAGATCAATCTAGTATTTATGCGAGTATTATTTTTTCATCTTTCGAAATAAATTGTCTTCTAATATTGGAATATATTGGAAGTTCAAAAACAGAATCTCTTTGTGGTTTTTTACCATCTCGCTCTTCAATGCATAACTGATTAAATTTCCTTGAATTCTTGTATAATTGCTTTAGAACATTCTCAATTTCGTGTCAAAAATTATATAAAAGAGCATGAAATTGGTCTAAGATTTGAATAAATACATAGATGCAAGCGCACGAATCTATCATTGTTCGCCAACTGTTGTTTCCGTTTCAAATTTCAATCGGATGCCTGTTCGACGTTGCGCAACGAATGCAGCACACGCCACCTCAAATTGCGCAACCCATGTGTCACATAGGATTCCTCACAAAACTTCTCAATACCACCAGCTGCATCCAACTCTCGACGCGGCATTTTTTGCTGTCATGGGTTTCGCTCTCGCGCCCCAATAGCGAACCCGATAAGCCAGTTGGCCGTTCTCCCGCTGAGAAACTTGGAGATTAACTATGCATTATCGCTTTTATTATATCACTTTCTCTGATGATTCGCTGCAGCAGCCGGACGCCCCATCGACGCGCGCATTTTATTGAAATTCACCAACTTTTCGCATATCTCGAATTTGCATCGCGTCGATTTTTATTCGCTTCCGGGCATTCTTAACATTTCATATTACTTTTCAAACATTTCACACTTTTCAATTGATCTCTCTCGCTCTCTCTTTTTTTTTATTGGAATTTCTAAACCTGAAGATGCGTCGATTTTTTTTTTGAAAATCGAAAAAAAACCTGAAAACTTAATTGAAAAACGAAACAATCGGATATTTCATATTTTTCTGAGCCGATTGCAAATCGATTCCTTATCGACATTGCTGAATTGTTTATTTTTTTCATTTCAAAAACGAGTTTCAAATTTCGTCGGCCGTAAGAAAAAGGACAAAAGAGCACCGGAGATGGGTGTTTTGTGACAGAAAAAAAAACACAATTTCAAGTTTGCAAAATCATTCTTCTTCCAATCCCTCCTTCTCCGAATTTGGTATCGAATTTCGCGCGATCATCTTGAGATTTGCGTGCCCGATTTTCGGATTAATGCCTCGTTTTACTACACCAGCCAGTTTCTTATTTTCGTATTTTTGTTAAATGTGTTGTTTAAAGTACGTTTCGAAACCGAGGCGGCCGACGATTGCCGATTCGCGACTTCAAAGTGACTCTTTGATTTATTTTGATGAGTTTTATCAGTTTTTGCGCCGGTAGATCACACCCACTTTTTAATGAGCGGCAATTAATTAAACGTGCCGCCAGTGCGGCCAGTTGTCACAAGTCAAACTATTTCGATTGTTTGTCGATCGCCTTGAAATCCTAATGTTCGCCAATTAGGACGACACAATAATGCGCGAAGTGGTCTCCTGCTGCTGCTGCTGCGGAAGAGGCTTTCTGTCGATGCATCCGTCCGTCCGTCATCTTCTCTCTGATTTATGGGTGCCCATTGTTTGACTCTAAAACTTTTTATGATGATTTTCTCTATACCGTCAGCCGACATCTGGTGACCTTCGCGCGCTATTTGCTCACTTTATGATGTTTTCCACACTTTATCGTTATGACCTTCATTATCAGCGGGCTTTCCAAAAAGGAATATTGTGCAAGACGATTGTGATATGAGGGGCTCAAACAAATGGCTCCTGGGAAACAAGTGATAGCAATTCTTTTGTACTTGCAACACAATACGCCCGAAATCGATATTGTTCTCAACTTCCGAAGAATTTGAGATTTTTGACATTTTGTGCAAAGTAATTTCACACCCCTCTCTCTCTCTCTTTCTCCTCGCCCATCTTCCTCAGTTGGATTTCCATTTCCTGATCGCGTCGCGTTCATTTGAAATCAAAAATGAGTGTGTTCACGAGTGCGCCGCCAAAAAAAAAACAACAACAACTTGGCGCTGCGCAAGCGAGTTTGCTGAATGTCAAAAAGAGAGAGGGACTAATCAAATGAAATGGTCACTCAACTGCTCTTTTCAAGTCTTCCCTCTCAATTCATTTTTTTTCTGTGCGAGTTGTCGCCGCGCTTCCTGGACAAGCAAACATTTTGCGGCCTCTTCACTGTCAAGCATTTTTTGAGCCAGAGATACAATTGCTTCACTTGTTTGCTGTGTGTGTGTGTTTTTTGGAGGCCGTAAAGGGTCATTCACTGTTTTTTTTCTCGTTCGAAAACCGCGGTAATTTCGACAAAATTTTGAAATACATTGAGTACTACTGTAGATTATGAATTTGTGTGATTTTTCGTGTAGTGTCTACACATTTCTTTTGTTTTTATTCCGTGAATTTTTGCATTCCAATCATAATAGTTTACAAGCTTGTCGATTGCGAATTCAATTGAAAACGAGATTCATTTCTCACCATAAAATGCGTTGGTTTTCGAATTCGAAAATGCATGTTTCAAAATCGGACAATTTCTTCTTCTCTCTGGCATTCAATTCAATCAAACACCTTGAACAAATAACAACAACACGGGGCTCTCCAATCATCACCATAAATCGATAAGGGTGACTCATGCGACGTATTTAAAAGCAAACCGCCGACACTGTGTCATATCATTATCACAAAATTGTTTGCATAGGTGCATAGGTGGGCGGTAAGGCGTTCTTGCATGTTCGCCTCAACCCGCCATCGTCGTACTCGTAAGTCGCGACGATGATTCCGTTTCACAATCGAAACCCCTTGCTTGAATGAGTCAGAAGCTCTGAAGGCAATTCATTGCTCGTCACCAGGTGTTCCCATCGTAACATTCAATTCTAACACATTCTCTCGTCTCCCTAGTGTTTTGCACTTTTTTTTTAACGCAATTTCAAATCCTTTGGCCGGCATTCCGCTTCATTGAAAGAAAATGTTTATAAACCGACAACGCTTGCCTTAGACTTTCACTTGCCTTCGTCTTTAGTACGAAAATGTTTACTATTCATAACATTCGAATATCGTCTTGAAAAAAAAATGGAATCACATGTGTTTCTGATTCACATGTCGTATTACTGTAGCGCAACTAATTTTGTGCAGTGTTGCGTGAAATGATTGCACACTTTTTCGTTTTTCGCAAATTTTCAAAAAATGATTTTTTTTTTCGATGTCCACGAGTGTCCAATCACCCATTCACGCACTTTTTTGTGCGTAATAGGTAGTTTAACAATAATTTTGAAAAAATTGAGTAAATAATAGAGATTTCCCAATAGTAATTCTCGTATTTGACCGACATACTAAAAAGTTTTAGCCTTGAATCTTTTTGTAGTCATTTATGCAGCCAGCCGTCCATCGGTTTTTCCTCATAAATCACCCCATCATCATTTCGAGTAATTAGCGACGAAACAAAAAAAATGAGTGGACGTGTCGACTGTTTGAACTGACCGCCGCTTATGCGTGTGTGTGTGTGTGTGTGTGCGGCCACTTGATGGGTTGGTAACCAGCCCCAAAGAGCTCAGGCACATCCTTTGTCGGTATTTTGTCACTGTTTTTCTCTCATTTTTTGTCTGATCTTTTTTCGGCACACATCTCTTATGAAAATTATTCGAAACGAGTCGTTTTTGTTATGTTGGCGCTTCGGATACACACGTTCAGCCGGGCGCCGGCACTCCTCTTGACAAATAAACACAGTGAACGAATAGCGCAATTCCGTAGGTCATTCTCGCGCCAAATCGGATTGAAATTTCGAGCCATAACAACGACGACTAGCAAATGGGCGAAAAAAACTAGATATTGGCATTTCCATTCCGGGGTTCATTTCCTATTCTTCTTCATCTTTTTTTTCATATCAATTCAAAGCCAACCGATTCTCACGCTTGAAACCCTCCGCCATTGACGGCGGCGGCGGCTTGAATCGGTAAAAAAGGTTCTCACGCGGTCCCCATTCTAAATGGCGTCTTCGGAATTCTTTCTTTCAAAGTTGTATAGAAAGTAGTTGGTAAATGGCGGGAGGAACACACCACGAAACAAAGAAATATGGGGCGGTTTAAGCCAAGTCCGTATAAGTAAACGAGAACGAACTTTTGAGAATCAATAAATGCGTAAAAAACATTTTTACTGCGCTGGTTGCGACAAAGGTTATAAAAAATTCAAAAACGAAGAGAAAAGTTTGGAAACTTTGTCTTTTTCATTACTTCCTTCATTTTTTTTTCAACTTATTTTCGTTAAAAGGCTTTCCGCATTCATATCGAATAAATATGCAGCTAATTGTATTAATTAAAAATTCTATCGGAAATAGAATATCGAATTGCATCAATCCACCTTTCTTCTTAACATCGCTACACGTTTTATTTTGAAAATTGGGTTATTGATCCAACCCAGAAGCTTCCCAGATTCCATATAATCCATTTATAGGCAAAATTGCGAATTTCGATTAGAATGACGCGTTTTTTTTTTCGAATTCCGATGCATCATTTTCGTATTTCGCACAGTACGCCAAAACGATTTGAAACAAATGTTCACGTTTCCGCGTACTTTCCCTTTGATTGCATTTTATTCTACAATTATAGGAAGGGCGGGGGAGGGTTGAGATTATATATATATATATATATATATATGGATATGTAAGAAATCGTCGAACGGCATCATTTCCGACCTTTGCCTTAATTCATGCCCTATTTTGTGATAGGCTGCGCTCGTGTTTTTATTATAATTTAGCCATGAAAATGTCATTATTCATCGTGGCCTCTCTCCTGCGCGCGCGGACAACTTCAAAAAAAGGAGAACGGGGCGAAGATGATGAATCATTGCAAAAGTCGTCGGCAGCAAAAAAAAAAAACCGTTGCCTCTTGCAAACATTGGCGCAACGCCAAAAACCAGCCGACTGCACACCATGCATGGCCACGTACGGTCGATTTGGAGGGTGGTCCCCAACATCTCGCTATTCTCCGTACCTTTCCGCGAGTTGTATGCATTCGAGGGCCTTCACCTTCGCCGAAAGTGGGCGTGACATTTGGTTGTCTGGGCTCTCCGCGCCCTCACCGCGCACCTGGACTTTCTCTAAACGCGCGCTCGCTGTCGGCCATTGTATCTCTCGCTTTGCATGTGTGTATCTACGCGTATGTATGTACCACCTCCTCGAATCTAGTTGAATACACGTTTATCCGTCGGTCCGTCCGTCGCTGCGCGTTTTTTACGCGCTCGCTCGCTCATCGAAATGCTCCAAACTTGGCTAGTATTCACGGCGGAATTAATATCCGTCCGTTCATTCGATTTTTTGCGCCTTCTTTTCTTTTCTTCTGATTCATTCCATGTTAGTCAACAATGGAATGTCCCCATTCCTTCGTTTTTTTTTTGTGTCTCTTCAGTCCAGCAGTTATTTTTTTTGTCTGCCTATGAGAGCATCCTTTTGTTTTTTGGCTCATTCTGCTCCTCTCATTATGCTGTTCAGTTTTTTTGCCCACTTTTTTGATTGTTCGCAGTTTAGCTTTTTCTGAACGATTGGTCTCAAGAGACAAAATATAGTATGCTCGTGGATTTCGGTCTAAACGAGTGTTTCACAATTTTCCGATTTAAATTCTTCAAATTTCTCAAATTAATTGAAATTTTTCACATTTTTGTGACATATTATTGTTTTTATTCTTGAATTTTGTCAATATCCAAATCGAAAACACTCCTTGAAATTTTATCTTAAATTCATTGAATATATATTCGTAATTTTTTTAATTCAAGAATTTTATCTGAAAAACTGCCTTCAAATTATATTTTTAGCATTCTATTCGTAATTTTCTTCATTTATTTCATTAATTCTTGATTCTGCTTGCTATCTTCGTTTTTTTTCTAAATTCGTTACCGTGTATTATTTTTCAGTAGTGTGCATCAAACGTACAACCAATTCGGCGTAGGTGCCGTTGGCAAGACAAGATCCAGAGTTTCAATATTAGGTCTGAAAAGCGCGCGGGCGTTGTGCATTCCCAAAACCCCCGAAAACCGAGTCTCGAATCGAGTGCTGAAATCACATTTTAGCCGCTCGACTTTGAAGACGACGCCCAGCGATTAGGTTTCGATCTGCGCATTCGCGTCAACGACGGACGCCACAATGCAGAAACGTCGGCACATGTCAGCGTGCTCGACCGCAACGACCATGCTCCCGTCATCCATGGAGCCGGTGAGCACACGCTACGAGAGGACGCCGCGCCGGGAACCGTCCTCGGAGTCTATACGACGACGGACCGCGACGCAAACGATTCGGCCAGGTGAGACTCGGTTACTGGGTGGGGTTGCATTCGCCGCCGCGCTTTTCCTTGCGTTCGCTATAAGCCCAACGCTAGCCTATAACGATCTGTCGCTGCCATTTGGGCTCGATCAGTCGATTCAAAAATCGCGATTCGCGACATTAGCTGGAGTTCGAGCTCGTGATATTCATGTGTTCGTTATGAAGAATATCAGCGAAGACACACCAGTTGGAACTGTGCTTGAGACATTCAAAGCGCACGATCCATCCAATCCGATGTACAACTTCTCGTAAGTCTTTTTTTGCATTTATTTTTGTGTATTATTGCATCTATAAAATGATAGGGTTTGGGCTCGGTAAACACAGCGCTGGGCGTACATTTGATTGATTTTGGTGGTTCAATGATGCCCATAAAGGTTTATTGGAAGACTGCATTTTGTAGTAGATTCAGATCTAGCAATTGTTTTTTTTTGGACTTGGCCATCTGCTTTTTCTACCCGCAATGGAAGAGGATTGAGAGTTTTTTCAAGGTCTGATTCCGTTATGAGATAATGCTTTTTGATTTTTCGTCACACACCATGCGAAATCTCGGCCCACCCTAATAATGTGTGCCCAACGAATTTGTCACATTAGATTTTTGTCAAAACCCATCATTCATTTGATGATCGGCGTGCCGAGTGAGTGAGCGAGAGGCCGATTATTCGCGCATTCTGCCACCCAGACTCCGCCGCTACGAACGTTTATGAATGTTTGTGGGTGTGTGAGTAGAGAGTAGGTAGAATGACCTTTGACGGGTATTGTTATTTGTGTTGGTAGAGGTAGAAGGGAACCAACCCCTCACTCTCACATTGTATGTTTAGTAGGTTGGCGACAAAGTGCGTATATGGAGATGTATTGGCTATTTGTGTGCTCAGGCATCGATTAAGCGTTTTTTTGGGTATGATGTTGGTTCTGAGAATAGAAAGCCCCTCTATGGATTCTTATTGGAGATCAGCTTGTTTCCCAAATTATATATATGAATGGTGTTCACGAGTGTGAAGAATCAATTTGGTCGGCCGGCATCGCTAACCTTGAAAGACAATTTTCCCAAGGCTGCCGTCCTTGTCCCCCGTTAGTTTTTATGCTTTAGACCTTCATTCATCGCCACCTGTGGAACAAGCTCATCGTGGGGGGATAAATGTATAATAAACGACGCTTTGCTGCTGCTGCCGCCGCCGCACCTATTTATCCATGCTCGATTTTGATACACTGCTTTCATCCGCACACGCTCTGCGCGAGTGCGCGCTCGCGCTTCGTGTGGTTTTTTTTCGTTTCGATTCTCTTCTTTTAGCGCCACGCGTGGCGGCGGTCTCGTCACTCGACAAATAGAGCTAATCGAGGAGAAGAAGACGAATACGAAACGTTGTGTGATTTCTGAGTCTTCTTTCGTCTCCAGCAGAGCCCCACGCCGTGTTTTGTTTGTACGGTTTTTGTCACATTCGGCGAAAGCGCGAAGATGAGAGATACTATACGACCTCTTTCTCCCCTTCTTCCAAGTACGGGTGTTAATGGGATATTGTGCAATCGCTGAAGTGATCTTGTATTGTGTTGTGAAGTGGTTTCGAACAGATCGCTTTTAACAGGTGTTCATAGGTCGAATCCTCAATTTTTTCGAAGCGTCGAAAACATTTATTTCTAACGGGGTGGGTAGTTTAAATGCGAAATATGGGTGAAAGTCAAGGTCGCGCTACCGGCAATATTTGAGATGGAAGGCTGTTTCCCCCACCCAGCCAACGAAAAATATCTTTTTTTTGGGCTGATGCAGTTGCACGCGTGCACAATTCAATTGGTCCATTACCTCTCGTCTACTAGCGTGTCGTTTTTTTTGTTGTCTCCACACCGAGTATTTTTTTCGCCTTCATCTGGGGTTATGCAATCTGCTGGGAACTTGTCGAATCGACGACGACACAATCATCATCATCATGTTCAGCTCACAGCTGGGTGCCCCGATTGATTCAGATTAGTTTTTTGTCTGGACACTCGCCGAATTCGCAAGTTTCTCGTCGCGGACGCCGGCCGCGCATCGCCCGCTCTAATGTGTTTTGAATGGTTGTGACCCCGATCTAAGACGAAGATTTGCATCGGCATCTTTTTGGAGACCTCCTCGCTCTACCAGCATCACCTCAACCACCGGTTTCTCGGGGGATTGTTGTTTGCAATCCGAGCGACGGATGACTCATCGACAAATTCCCGTCAGCATTTTCAATTAGCCACCCTGAATGAGCCTATGAATGGAAGTCTAATGATAAGGTGCAGAGTAATTAGGACATATGGTGCCAGTAGATGAGATCCGACAACATAATTGGCGGGCGCGTGCCACCCAATATACAACTAATATTATGAATACATATGCTCGCAGGCATTGCAATACTACTTTTCATGATGTGTGATTCTTATGAAGAAGTGGTGACACTTGTGAATACTCCAAAATCCAAAACACTAGACTTGGCCCTTCGGAAACTGCGGTCATTTGCCGAACATGTGTTCATTCAAAGTGTGCTGCTGGATTAAGGAATGTGTCGTTAGAATGAATGTTTACATGTTTTGGTGCGCGGATCAATTGCCATATTTTGAGGTTTCTGGCGAACCCTAATGAGGACTACGAAGGGGAATGATGAGGGTGGAGGGAGTTCCGTCCGCAAATGGTGTCTAGTAGTTGTCGTACTTCTCTTCCACTAGTAGTAATTACCTCGTGCGCAGGTTTTCCTTCTACTGCTGTCATCGCGTTGGGCTGCACCCCGCAGTAGTAGCAGTATAGTCTGAAAGATGATAGTTTTCGAATCAAAAGGGGCCTATGAGGCGAACACTTGAAAACCGCGCAGGTGCGAAAAAAGAATGAAGTGTTGGGTTACCGAAAGCGCATGCAAAAATAATAACAGCAATGGACGATTGAATTGCAGGTTCCGCATCAATCGGCAATCGGATCCGAAACGACAGTTCACCATAGATCAAGATGGAACGCTTCGAGTTGCACACAAGCTCGACCGAGAAGATATTGCTGTGTACAACCTGATCATCGAAGCTTATGATAATTGTGAGTGGAAAATTACAAAAAAAATGTTGAAACAGAATTGTATGTCTTGAATGTTAAGGTCGAACACATTATGAACGTGTTCTCAGACGAACGTAATATTTACGTTAGATTAGCAGCTTATACTCTAGACAAATATTTGATGATTTGGTTCAATTAAAAGCTTTATTCGTTTCTCCTTTGACCTCTCGTTAAATAATTAAATTTTCCAGCAAATAATATTGGTCGTCAAATGGTCGCTGTTTATTTGCAAGATGTGAATGATAATGGTCCCGAGCCTTACACGGTTCCACGTCCATGCATTTTCCGCGAAAACACGCCTGTCAACCAGCTGGGCACCTGCGAGATTCGAGCCACCGATAGGGATACTGCGTAAGACTTAATCGCTTCATTTTTTTGTCGGCTCCACCAAATATGCACCTGTTCCCGTTTTCAGAGAGTATGGACCACCTTTCACAATGGAATTGGCGCCCAATTTCAAATTCGGACAGTATTTGAATGTGGTTTTCAATCCGAGTGAGTCTATTCAAATGCGTTTCACCATTCATGTTTTTTTTTGTTCAGATGGCGACGGTGGAAATGGTTCAATGACGATCACGCCGCTTCAAGAATTCGACCGTGAAGCGCCGGTACCCGGAAAAATCCTCGAAATCCCATTGAAGTTGACGGATCGCGCCGGCAAGACGAACCTCGCTTCGGTTCACGTGATCATCGGCGATGTGGTAAGTAGACGGGCAGGATGGTTCGGCGAGTTAACGATCCGATGAAATGCGTCCGACTGAGCCGTAACCATAACGGGTCGCGCAATCTTCTTCGAATTACGCGAATGCGCGCGCGCGCTCCGACATTTACAAATTACGCAAATAAATGGATGTGTCGGAAATTGGCGAGGGCGAGTTGCCGGCATAGGAGGCATGCAACGGCTCTCGGGTTCACCTAATTGCTCAAACGAGCATTTGAGAGCCAAATTTGCATTTGATTTGCATTTTGTGACCAGATTTGTTGACCTGTGCTTGTCGGATAAATTTTGGGAGTGGCGCATATCCCACGTTTCGAAAAAAAAACAATAAATTTTGGAATCGACTCAAGGTCAAAATCATTGCGAAAAAAATAAGATTGAGAGGGAAATTGGGGCTCATTTGAATGTGAGGAGAGGAGCTCTTCACATAAGAAAATAATGTATTCGTTTTAATGTACTTGACACGGATTAGATGTGAAGAGCGCGCTAATTAGATGGAATACATTAAGAAAACGACGGGGATTTCAGAACGACAACCCGATGCATGACGGAAAGATGACGATTCATGTGAACTCGTACCTTGGACGACTTAAGCAGACCGTCATCGGGCGAGTTTTCGTTGACGATGCCGATGATTGGGATTTGCCTGACAAGACATTCAGCTGGAAAGAGAGCCGCTCTGGATTCGAGCTCTCGCCCAAGGGTGACATCACCATGGAAGCGAATATGCCGCCTGGAACCTACACAATGTCGGCAAATTGTCATGATAACGCGAGAGATGAAGATGCTGTTGGATACATCACGGTTATCGTTAACGCGATTCCACAAATTGCCTTTGACAATCAAGTAAATCCATTCAATATTCGTTCAAACATCGAAACTCGTCGATTTTCAGGGAGCTGTTCAATTGTTGATTGCTGAGGACACTCCTCTTCAACTTCCAGATGATTTCATTCGTGCTGACTCAAATGGACAATCAATGATGGATCTGTTCAAACAGGAAATGACGGCGTACATGGGTGGAGATGTTAGCATTGATGTGTTCTCAGTTCAGGTACATTCATTCATTCATTTGTTTGTGTTTTTGGTATTCAATCGAAAAAAAAACGTCGTAGATTGATTGATTTAGGTTGACTTAGCCAACGAGTTGGGAAAAGTTTTGGTGAATTTTTGTAGAATTTAAAGATTTTAATATTTTTCTTTTTTTCGGCATGATTACTCCATTTTTATATTCTCTAACATTTTTTTTCGAAAAAAAGTCTATTTGCTTATTATTTGTAGGTGGGAATCGCGACGCTTCAGACAAAGGATGTGCCGGTGTTGAATGTGCGATTCAACGCACGCGGAACAACCTATCGCGATGCAGCACAGCTTAATGGACTTGTCTCGGCGCACCGTGAAGACCTCAAGCAACGTCTCGGAGTTGACATCGTCGGTGTTGGGATTGATATGTGCAAGTTCACCACTTGCGATGCTGGTTGCCAAACACTCCATTCTGCCGATTACGATGGAATCGTCGTCTCGGCTAACAGCACTGTCGTTGTTGGTGTCAATGCAACATCTCGCGATGACTGCACTTGTCCAATTTGGAGAGCTCCGCCAGCTTGTCAGCATTCGGTCTGCCATAACGACGGAGTTTGTCATAACACCAACCCAGGATTCTTGTAAGCATTTTTAAGTTCTATCAATTTTCAAGTTTTTTTTTTACAGCTGTGAATGCCGCAATGACGGATTGAAGGGATCCAGATGCCAAGGTACTACTAGATCTTTCGGAGGAAATGGATTCGCGTGGTACAAGCCGATGCCAGCGTGCACCAGTTTGAACATCTCATTCAGCTTTATGACGACGTGAGTATTCTTTTTTTTAAAGTTTTCTTATTAAAAAGCGCTCTTTTAGTCAATCTGATGCACTTTTGTATTATAACGGACCAATGGAAACCGATAGCACGGGAACCCAAATCGAATACTCGGATTATATCTTCATTCATCTTCGTGGTGGAAGAGTGTCTTTGGAAGTTTCGATGAATGGTCAGAGCCGCAGCACCTTAGAAGTTGCGTCATCAGCGTTGAACGATGGAACGTGGCACGAAATCGCGGTCATGCAAGAAGGAAAACGCGTTGAGCTTGTCGTTGACTCGTGCAGATACCTCGGAATGGGTGCTGATGAATCATCGTGTCGCTCTGAACTCTACACCCCGGATGATGACGAACGGTTGAATATCGTGACACCGCTTCAGATCGGAGGTCTTGCTCCACTCAGTGGACAGGATTATCCGCCAAGTGTGCCGCGAGCAGGACTCAACGGTTGCATTCGCAACTTATACGTGAATGGCGATCAATATGATCTAGCGACACCGGCATTCGAAGCCAACAGCGAACGGGGGTGCCGATTGTGGGGAACCACATGCGACAGCAACTCTGTCGATTCGTTGAATCATTGTGTCCATGGAGATTGCTACGCTGATGTTCAAGGAAGCGCTGCGATGGTTGCGAAATGCGTTTGTGATCCGGGATGGGGTGGATCTCGCTGTGAGCGTAAGATTGAATGGATGCAATTCTCATCCGGTGGATTCATCGACTATTCTCCAAGAATCGCATTCCCCGAACAAGTCAGCGATATTGAGTTGCTCTTCATCGCCGGAAAAGTCAGTGGAGCCGCCGAACTCTCATACGGAACGGATTCTCAACAGGCAATTCATTCATTTTGTTTAATATTCTTATTTTCCCATAATTTCAGAGCTATGTTTCCACAAACCTCGAGACAACAAATAATGGAATCACCGCTTCTGCGAAATTCGATATCGCCGCTGGTGGCCAACGATCGCAGCACGAGCTTCGTGTCAACGAGGTGTTGCTTAAGGAAAATGCGAGCTATTGGCTTCAATTCACCCGAAATCCAACCCGCGCTAGTTTAACCATCGATGGCGCTTATTCGGTTGCCCAACAATTGCCGAGAGGACAACCATTCTCGTTGCAAGTCAATCAGATCATGTTAGGATCGCAAGGACAAGGAAAGGGCTTCCAGGTAATCTAGCATTTAATTTAATTTAATTTATTTCCGAAATTCAGGGATGCATCGGAACTTATCGCTGGTCGAAGCAGAATCTGCCATTGAAGAAAGGAGGTGCGATGGATGAGAACGAGGAATCGATTGTCTCCATCCAAAACACTGGCGGAGTTCAGGAAGGATGTGATCTTCGTATTACATGTGCCGACCTACCTGTCGGATACTGTGGAGGATCGTTCTCCTGCATTGACTTTTGGAAGGGACCATTCTGCACCTGTCCAGATGGAGCGAATGCTATTCTCGGAGAAGACGGACAAGTCGTCGGATGTGGGGCAACTCTAGCCGTGTCGAAACTCGGCATCAGCTCACCAGCTATAATCCTGATATTGGTTTCACTTTGTCTATTGATTCGTAAGTGGAAGTTCATTGTGGTTTATTGTATATTCTCCTTTTTGTAGTGCTAGTGTTGCTTATGGTCGTGTACACACGACGAACACCGATTCCATTCGAAAGCGTCAGACCGGAAGAGATGAATCGCGATAATTTGAGACCGTACGCTGTCGAAGGTGGCGGCGAGGCGGACAATGATCAGGTATGTTGTATTAGAAGAAGTGCAATAATCTATGAAGAGACGTTCCAGTATTCGATCGCGGGACTCCGGAAACCAGTGATGCCATTGGAGACAGGCCTTGGCGGCGCACCTCCGCCGCTGTATCCACCACGCGCTCCCAAACGCGACGACGTTCTGAATTCGCAAATCAAGGATCTTGAATCGGATCAGAACGCGGCGCCGTATGACGAGTTGCGAATATACGACGACGAAAGAGACAACATCTCAGTCGTCACATTAGAAAGCATTGAAAGTGCCCAATAAGGAGGGCGACTTGTTATAATTATTTCATTATATCTCTATATATCCTATATACCTATATTATTATATGTGACCAATCCGGTTCAGCATCTTTTTTTTCTTGTTTCTACACACTTAAAATAATCCTGACTCATTTTAATAATACGGGTACGCGAATAGATACGAATCCAATTTTGTTCCTTGTTACTTTCTTTTTTTTATTAAATATGTACCCCCGACTTTCAATTCATTCTTTCTTTATTCTAACAAAACCTCTTATGCTCACTCACTTTAATTTCTGTTTGGTTTTCTCTCTTTCTTGTATTCCCTAATTTGGCAACTTGTCACTTTTCTATGTATATTTAAAAAAAGAAACACATCTCAAAGTCAGGGAAGAAAAGACTTGAACGCCTTTCAAAGGTCCACACATTCAGCAGCTGCCCCACCCGTCGCCACTGATAATAGTTTATTGTATTTGTAATTGTTGTCTGACATTTCTTGCCTTTTCTCGTTTCTTTTTCTCTTCAATCTTATTCAAACGGGAAAATCCTCCCAAATTTTCGAACAATTTGATGTCAATAAATTATTAATCAAATGATTTTTATTGAGAATAAAGAAAAAATAAATAACAAAAATTGAGCACTTTCTCGAAAACAAAATTGACCGTATTGAGATCATCACAGAAAAAAGTTGAAAAAAAAACGGAAAAAGAGGAATTTAAAACTCGCGTTTGTACAAGTAATCAGGCGGAATATGACATGGAAAATATGCTAGGAAAATGAGAAAAAAACGTAATAAAGGACCTAAAAATATTAATAATCAACATATTCCAAATTCAAAAACACAAATAACAATTATTCTAAATTGAGTTCGTTTCAACTGAAATTTCGGGTACCGAATACATCACAAAAATCGCATTATATCGAATCCTAAATTGAAAAGAAATGTGCGCTTAAATGTGCGACGAGTCGTCTTCCGACTGTCCATCGAAAACTCCATTCTCCAAGAGAGGTCTGAGTGAAGGCCGACGACCCGATGGTCTCAGAGATGGGCATCCGAGACTGTCGGTGTCGAAGAAGTGACGATAAGTGAATTCATAGAATGCTGGATTATTGATCGATCGCACTTTGGGTGGCTCGATCTTATCATTAAGCTGAATCAATATTTATATTCGAATTCTGATGCGAATCTCGTACCTCAAACGTATCAAAGTTTGAAGTATCTTCGGCATGCGAGACTTGCGGAATGTACTCTGCTCGGCTTTTCCGCAAATTCGTGAAATCGATTCCTTTGAACCATGGATGGCGTTTAATCTGACTGGCTCCTCCGTGAGATCCAAGACGATTCGGTACATCGCAAACCAAAGACTGCAAATGATCGAAATAGACGAAATGTATTTCATTCTCCAATTGACATACCGTAACCATATCAAGGCAATCCATCGTCAAATGGGCGCCACAGGAGAGGTCAAGAAATTGTCGCCAATTCACGATTCGAAATTGCGTCTCATGGGCGTTTTCGGCGTGGAACGGCACACGGCCGAACACCATTTCGTATAAAATGACACCCATTGACCACCAATCACATGATTGCGTATGGCCAGACCGTGTGATCACCTCGGGAGCCATGTAATTTCCGGTGCCGACCACCGAATGGGCGAATATACGGCGAGTCTGCTGACGGGCGCTCAACACCTGCGAATAGAACAACTATGTTTTGAAAAATGGACAAAAAAAATAAAAATTTCTTATAAAATTGACAAAATTAAAAGTGATATTTTTTTACATCTTTATGACGAATTAATTATTGGGTCCTCCCATGAGATGGTCGGACTCGCTTCGGAAGGAGATCAACACAAGAACAGCTGAAGGCGCCGAGGATCGAAAAGCTTGGAAAGCTGTGGTTCGCGCCTCAACAGGCGAAGGACGAACCGACTAAGTGACTAAGTGATGACGAATTATTATTGAAAAGCCATATGAATTTCGAAATTTGAGTTAAACTTTTTTTACTGATTTGCACAAAAATTAAAGCACCGTTTTATATTACATTTAATGTCTGCTTCGCGCGACTTCGGAATATTGGCTAAATTAGAAACAAAAATGACTGTGGTCTTGGCGCAAAAATATGTCTAGATTTTCCGGCTTAAGTATAAGGATAGATTAAAGGCGCAAACCCCAGAGGCCTTCTTTAGATTTTTTGGAATTTAGTAAATTTTCCGCAGTCGCGCGACGTCGACAATATTCTTCTTTCAATCAACTTATTAGTATTCTATACAAAAAACTTTGAAAAAATCAATCATAATGTTTCGAGTAAAAAGAAATAATCGAAAACGTAAAATCGTGTGTCGTTTTAGAGTAAATTTTGACATTTTAAAATAACAAATTATTTACCTTGATATTTTTCTCGATTTCAGGCGGTAAAGAGAATGAATCCATTCTCTGATGCTCATTCTCCGGACCGTAATACCGTCGATCATGCGTCCATCGCAATCCGGTGCATAATCCAAAATCAGTTAGTTTGATATGTCCAAATTGATCGATTAAAATGTTGTCAGGCTTGATATCTCGATGAATAAAGCCCACTGAATGCACATATTCGATGGCACATGTCAACTCGGCAATGTAGAATCTGGAAAAGAACGAAAATCAATGGAATCAAGAAAATGTTTGAGACCTGGCAAGTGATTCCTCGAAAATTCCCTTTTGAATCAAAAGGGTCATCATATCACCCCCTGGAACATATTCCATGATGAAATAAAGACAAGATTCGTCTTGAAATGAAAAAAATAATCGGACAATCCATGGAGAATCAGCTTCAGCTAAAATGTCTCGTTCAGCTTTGACATGAGCGGCCTTCAAATATCAATATTGGAGTATTTCGAACAATTTTTTAAAAATTACCTGCTGTTTCATTATAATATCAGCTTTTTCCAGACATTTCATCGCGTACGCTTTGCCGGTATCTTTTTTCCTCACAAGAAGAACTTTTCCGAATGCTCCGACTCCGATTGGCTTGAGTATTGTGAAATGATCCTTGCTCATTTTTTGTCTTCTCAGTCTCGTATACCTTAAAATAGAATAAATTTTAATAAATTAACACAAACAAAAGAACCTTGATTCTTTTTGTTGTAAAAATTCGAGCATTCTTTGTCTCATCGCAGTCGGCAGCTCAGCGGCATTCATCTCCTTCTCCAATTGTCGCATTCGTTTCTCACGTTCTCGATATTGTTGCAGAAGACGTTCAACGTGCTGCTCCATGTAAAATCGAAACATATTCGGTTTGCATGCTTGACATCGTCGTGTGTTTTTCGAATACATTTCCAAAATGCTCTTATCGATCGGAGAAGTACAGCGTTTCACATCTTGTCTAAATATTTAAACGTTCTTTTTCTTTAATAATACGTTTTTGTTTGATGACAAAGATTAAAAATACTTTTTTTTCAAATCGTTAGACTTGTTTGAGATAAAATCGGTTCTTGAAGCAAAACTCGTCCAATTTTTTCATATTGTGTAATTTGCCATTTCTCGAGATTTTACATAATATCTTCAATGTCTAGACACATACCTTTGCAAATTTTCACCGTACTGATTCATCGCTTGAAATGTTATGTCAAGGTTCGGTGGTTTGAACAGCATATGGCGTAAGTTCATCGTTTCCACATTTTCGTTCGCCGCCGAAGTTGAAGGTACAAGACGAGGATCTTGTCGCAACTGAAAACCAATTTCAAAGATTTGAACAAAATTTTCTTTTTTTTTACCTCGTCTGTATAATTAACAAATATTTTTGTGCGATCGGCATCAGAAGTGTAACGAGGACCAATAAGAAACGATTTCGATGAAATCGGACTATCTCCAACATTTATTCGTGTCTGCAAATAATAAAATAGCGATCAATCCTAAGATTCCAAGAAATTTTTAATGAAAAGCTTCTCAGCACAATTGTGCCGTAGAAGCGACGTCGAAAAGAGTTTTTTGTGATTTTGACACTGGAGAAATTTTTTCACCGCTGTTTCGATAAAAGTTTCCTTTTCCGACGTTTCTACGGCGTGATATGCTGAGTTACTGTAATTATTAACGACGCGCAACACATTTGCAATAGGTTTCGTATCGACGGCATACAGTTTAATTTGTTTTAAGGAATTTTTCGTTTTCTTTCTCACTGATTTCATCAAAAGTGTCTCAAAACAGTTTTTTTCAAGATATATATTTTTTTGCTGCATTTCAAAGGCTAGCGTTTGCCTAGTAGCTGTGAACCATCGCATTTTTTCGGGCGGTAATTCAAATTTCGATTTAACTTATGGGAATCCCATAACCGTGCGTACTTCTCGGGGATTCGCCCTTTTCTCGCCCCAATCGGCGCAAATTTGCAGTTTTATGGCCGAATATGGACAACCTACGAATGAAATCCACCGTAAATATACACAGGATGCTCACTTTTTTTTTGCGATTGTAATATTTATTCTCTAAAATATTGTTCAACTTTTTTTTGTCATTTCCTATTTGTTCATATTTTAAAATGTTTGCATTCGTGTCAGTCATGAAAATCAACGTTTACCGTTTGCGGAGATGCCACGTTGATGCTAACCACACTATTAGCCGTTTTTTTGTCGAGCGACGTGTGATACAATGGTTGTGTTTTACCGCTCGATGAAATTGCCATATTCCGAAACGCATCGGGTCTAAATTCCGACCATTCATTAATTTTTATAATTCCGTTTCCCTACATATTCGTTTCTATTGAAATTGTCGATTTCCCAGGCGGAGGCGGTGCCATATTCTTATAATGTTGAATGGGCATCTTATTTGACTTTGGCTGAGTTTTAATATGCAAATGGGTTCGATGAGTATCGAAAGGAACAGGTGTGACTCGTTGAGTATTCGAAGGAGCATCATAAGCTGGGGGAGGGGGTCTTTGCTGAACATCGATTCATATATTCACAAATTGTGGCAAAATCGACTTACAAAAACAGGAGAGACGTTGTTATTAGCATGATAACTAGGAGGAGGCCTAAAATTTCAAAAATAAATTAATAACTTTTTGTTTTTTTTTTGAGAAATACCTATAAGACGACGGTGATGTATGTATCCTAGTTTCGTCAACAGTATGTTGCACTGTATTTCCATTTCGATTCACCACATCTTTATGCTGAACATTCCGATAGACCATTTCATGTTCAGTCGGCATTCTTTGAAATGTCGTTGCCACTCGACTCTTCTGCGCGTATTCATGCTAAAATCCCCCGATTTGACCAAAACACAGCGGCGATCGTTTTCAATTTACCCTTGAACTCGACGACTCGCCGTTTTCATTCGAATGATCGGTGTTTGATGAATTGTTTTCGTGTTCGAATGCCTTTAATGATTCTCGAATTTCCTCAAGTTTGTCGCGATGGCGTCCGACCCGAATTTCCTAAAAAAAAAATCTTTCATCATTGCATTTTTTGGTTATCTTTTGCAATAATCGGCCGGCCGTATCGGCAGTTTCCAACTTTGAAAATGAAATCATACTGTGAATTGTGGCGGAGGCGGCGTTTCCGCCTCGTATTGTACACTCAGAGCTTCTGTCTCAAATTTTAAAAGACACACACTAAAGATTTATGATAATGGGTCCGAAATGGAACACCATTAATTACATGTCGGAAGTTTGCGGACCTTTCGATAATGAATTTTGACATCTCAGATACAGATCGTCACAAAAAATAACAGATCCTCTATGACACGTTATCAATCGTCATGAGACCAATCACTTTTTGATTAAAAAACATTTGTTACTGTAACAAACAAGCACTATGATCCAGTTGTTACTTCTAAACGAATATCTATAAGGTTTGTGATCATTGAAAAACGAAAATTCTCAAAATCATAGAATCTGTGTGACATTCAATATGTTTAATGTCAAAATTTTGCATATCTAAATTATTTTTATAAAAATTATTAAAAGAAACGCAATATGTACACATACAAGATATTTATTTTCATTTGACAAATATTTCAAAAATGTTTGAGTTGTGCAATTTTTAAACGTTCGTTTTTTTTTTGAAGGGCTCTCAACGCATAGAGGCAAGTATTATCATCACACAGATGCAGATGCGTTGAGTAAATCCCATAATAGAATTTCGATTCGCACCGATCAACGCGTAGAAAATCGATTTATATGTTTTTTAATGCCTCACATTGGCAATCATTATAAAATCGTGTGTCGATGATTCACATAACGACAAACACGATCATCGAAAACCGATACTATAACTACAATCAAGAATGTCATTATATTCAATTTTTGAAAGAAACGAACAAAAAGAAAAAAGTAAGAGCAACATACCTGTGTGGTTCCATCACGCTTCTCTGCCGGTCGCATAATACGACTGAAAAAAATACAACAATTAACCGCGAAAAAAGAATTGGCAAGAAATTAACGATTGAAGTGAATGGAATGAGATGAGCGCAATGACGGTTTTATACAAATTGTTGAGAGAAAAAAAAATGAACAAAACTAAAGGCGGCAGGTAAAGCAGGAAACGATCGGAACGAACGGACGAGTATAGTGTGTGGTGGCAGTGAAGACGAGAACCGCCTTTACCCTCTCTCTCGTTCACCGCCTTTGCATTCCATTCCGACACCGTCTGCTTGTCTGCGTCCCCCGCATATCCCGTGGTGTCTCGGTCCAGCTCGTCGGCACTCGGGTGTCTCATTGACTTGCGCACTCTCTCGGTCTCGTTTCCTCCGAGGCCGAGACCATCCTCGATTTCCACGTACAAATTTTCGTCGCTTCGAAGACTGTCTCGTTCGACGTCTTCATTTCGATTTGCGCCCTGAATTCGCTTATTTTTTCCCGCATTTTTTTCTAGTCGTTTTTTTTTTGTTTCATTCAATTGTTGTATTTACAACACGTCCCGATTTTTGTAATATATTCGGATTACTCTGGTAAATGATTCCGAGTCGTATACGAAGAAAGCTCAATCGTATACGCTGATATCGCTCTTCAAACGCGGCCAAATACGATTGGGATTTCTTAATATACGATTGGCATTTCTTCGTATACGATTATAATTCTTCGTATATGATTGTGATTTCTTCGTATACGACTACAATTCTTCATATACGGTAACGATTTCTTCGTATTCGATTGGGATTTTTTCGTATTCGATTGGGATTTTTTCGTATTCGATTGAGATTTTTTCGTATTCGATTGAGATTTTTTTCGTATACCATTTCACTTTACACTACTCGTTTGGCATTTTAACGCTTTTAAATATATGATGTAAAGATTTCTATACCTGTTTATTTAAAAAAAATATGAAAGACAAAAAAATGAAAAAGAAAAAGGAATAAATTAATTAATTTTGGTTGGCGCATCAACCATTTTTTTCCACTGCTCGCGCATTCGATCGTGAATTGTTTCTGAATTAAGTTCATTTGAATGATTAATCATGAGGCAGTCTTCGGCATGTGCAGATTTTGGAGAAAAACGCGAAAAATCTGATTAAGACTAGTTTAGCCGAATCTTTATAATGTTGTCGAGTTTCTTTAAAAGGTTTTTACTGCGTTTCTTTTCAAAATCTGCATAGGCCCACTAAAAAAGTGAAAACTCACAGGAGATAGGTCATATGACCGTGTACCAAATAGGAGATTGTAGAATTCGCCGTTTCGTCAGCCATTCCAGCGATGGTAACCGTCTTTTGTAAAACAGCTGAAATTAATTTAAACATATTTTAAACATTTTTCGCGCTATTTGAGCATACCAATCGCTGTGTTGACAAACCGAACTGGAAGCGTTGCGTGCGGCGGAGTTGGCTTAAACGATGTTGAATAATTCACACGATCGTTATTGGGAATTGTCTGAAGATATTTTTTGCAACTTTAAATAATTGTAAGATACCTTATCGACAAATCTGTTGACTGTAGTATTTATCACATGCTTCAGAGCTGCCTTCATGAACGGAATTTCCAAAAATATTTGGGCGACGTTGATGTCTCCTGTTAAAAGATTTAATACAAATTCAAAGCTTTCGAAACACAAAAAACCCACTATTTCCATCCAGTGATGGAATAATTATTTCTGCGTCTTTAAGAGCTTCAGGGTTGTATACGGCGATCACGTCGATCTAAATTTAGAGAATAGCAAAATTTAAAAAAATACTCACATTGTTTTTGTTTGGCTTTGCCGCGAATTTTTGGGATAAAGTTTCTATCTGGAAGTATAGGGTTTCTATAGTTTCTATTGTGGTACTATGCAGATTTCGCCAAAAACTCAAACAGCGGTAACCATAATTATAATGGTTTTTGCCGGTTTTGACGAGTTCTGATATTTTTTTACGGCTTTTGATGATTTTAATGCTTTTATTCGCGGAATCTGGTACCATTACATTTGGAATGATTGAACAATAAATAAAACATACCGTGAACATGATTCCTTTCATTTAGAATGTATGGTTGTAGAATAACCCGGTCACCGAACTTCTCATTGAGGAGAAATCCCAATACATCGCCATATTGCAGTGAATTTCGCCAACGAAACATCACGACGCTATTATCCGAAGCAATATTTCTTTGTATTGAGTAGTGTGAGCCTTGATAGCTGTATTTCTCAGTAAACAAATCGCCTTTTTGAGCCAGCATTGAGTACTTCAGTGGTACATCTGTCGTTTTTTCGATATCATCATTCTCCGAATATCGAAATAGCAGTTTTCTCAGTTTCACGATAGACACATCATGTTGTTTTCTCGTTGGGTCCGAATCAAGTCTTGCACGAACTTCGGTCGTCAAATCTTGCAAAATTGCAGCACTAAAATTTTTCTACGGTGTACAATTTTATAATAAAGCATACTTCCGCAACATTCTTTGCCTAATTCCCTTTGTGATTTCTGACGATAATAGTCGTTTCAAACTGTGAAAATAAAATCTCGCGAAGATAATGCTTCCCATTGGCCTAAAGCGAAATAATTTCAAAAATATGCAAAAACGGTAACAACCTCTCGACGTAATGACTCTTTGCAAGTTGTCACAGCTCGACATTGACACAAAATCTTCTTCCGCGCAAGTGAGCTCATCTTCAGACGATTCTATAGAATCTATAGAAATTAAATCTTGCTCTGTTTTTACTTTTAGTTATACCTGATGTTAAGTTTCTCTATTTTCTGAAAATAGTTATTTTCTTCATTTTTTCTGTTGTTATCACCTGTTTCTGTCTCGTTCCGATATTCCCTATATATTTTTTTCCATGATTTCTCGTGTGGTGTAACGATATCGCTTTCGATATGCAAATAGTTTTGAATTTTGCGACATATCTGCAAAGAAAATATAGATTTCTTAGAGCGGAGCCAGTAAAATGCACGATTTTTTTGGAAAGTATATATATATTAAAACGCAATATACGCATAAAAATCGAATATGAAAAAATTCGAAAATTTTCGAAAATTGTTTTTCGAATTTAGACGTCAATTTTAATGCATGTCCGCAGTGTATAATTGTGGTGGTTACACTACTGTGATAAAATCCAAATCGTATACGATCCTTGCAATAACGTATACGACGAGGAAATGCGGATGTTTCGTATACGATTACAAACCATTCATCAGAATCGTATACGATCCTATACGATTCACATTAACTAATACGATTACCATTAACGTATACGATTTTAATTTTATCTTATACGATGAAGAAATTCGCTTTTTTCGTATACGACTAGGAATCATTTACCAGAGTTAAAATTTTTGTAGAGCGACACAGATTAATCGAAGGTGCGACTGATGTCGACCAGCCGAAAACCGCTTATCCGGTAAGTTTTGAACATTTTTTTAAAAATCGATCATTTTCAAATGTTTTGGAAATTAAAGAAAACATTTATCGAAAAAAAAAAAACTTTAAATATCAAAAGAAATTTCGTGGAAAACATTATTTATTTTTTAAAGGAATAATTCGCACGCAGATAGACACACAATGCGTAACTGGCCTCTTTTTGCATTCTTGATTGGACTTGTAAGTTTTTTTTCTTCTTAGGTTTTTTCCTTTATTTTCCTATCGTTGCAGGTATTGTTCTTTTATATTTTCTATGTTTATCAAGCTCAAAGCACTGCTTTATCCATGGCAAATGATGAATTGAGATCTTTAAACTCACAATTGACACAGACTAAAAGCAAATTAGTTGGTATAATTTTAAAGAATTGATAAACATGAATTACATTATATTTTTTAATTTTAGATACTTTATCTTCACTGGAAAGTGCAAATACCGTTCAGAAAACGATGGGCACTGAATTAGAGGATCTAAAATTGAAAAAAGATGAATGCAGCGGAAATTTGAGAAGTTCGAAGTTAAGGCTCGACACCCTTGAGAAAGAAAATAAGGAAAAGGCCGAGTCAAACACGTAATTATTTTTAAATATTTAAGAAAATTGTAATTTTATGAATTTTCAGGAAAATGGAATCAGAACTTTCAACGTTAAGAGAAAAATCGGTAAAAATTGTATTTTATTTAAAAGAAAAATGAAAATTGAATATTTAGGAAGAATTAGTCCGAAATAACACGGCTCTTGCGAAAATGATTGCAGCTCAAGAAGTTCTTATTCAACAACTTAATCAAACCGTTACATTGTTCGTTTCTCTTTTATCATTTCTTTCAAAAACTTCGTTTTATTTTAGGCTCCAATTTGAGACGAGTAAGTTGAGAGTGACATCAGAGCAAACTTCAGCGAAGGAAGCGCCGGCTGAAGAAAAGAAGGAAGAGGAGAAAAAACCGAAAGCGGATGAGCCGCACACAACTCCGCTTGTTTTGGCTGCGAGACCGGATTTGAATTCATCGTCGACATCCACTTCTGAGCCGACCGTAAATGCCGAAGGTACTGTATAAATAAAACTAAATTCTAAAATTATTTTTTTTTTTCCAATTGTAGACGCTGCTGATATTGATTCGCCTCAAGGAGCCGCAGACGCCCCAGTTTAATCGGACCACGCATTTGCTATTATTGCTTTAATTTCATTTAGCTTGTCATTCCATGATAATTTCGAGTTTCGGGTTTTATTGGGGGGGCCGATTCGTTGTAAATACCAAACAATAATATTGTGATGAGATTTTTCAAAGCTTTTCTTCTAATGAGTGTTACGCCAATAAACGAGCTTGGTTTTCAATGAATTGTATTTTTTTTTTTGAAATCTAGTGACTTATAATAAACGTGAAAAGAAAATGAAGAAAAAAAAATAATTCAATTTTTTAAAATGCATGTTGCCTTAAACGAGAGAAAAACATAAATTCTCGGCATACTCATTGAGCGAAACAAGTTGATTTTTTTCCGGTTTAGAATAAAACAACCAATTTATTTTATTTTTTCGCCACTGTTTCTCCCAAAATTTTCCATTATTTCACCAATCACGAAAAAAAACCCTAGTTTTGCTCGATGAGTATGCCGAATCATGCGCGACATTTATTTAATAATTATCCGGCAGTCCGCAATTGTCGTCAGTTGTGGCGTTTGCGTACCAAGCGGTAGTTCGAAATTTATGCTCCGGTTTATTTTTTATTTATTGCTCATTTTTGCCAAAAAATTACCTCTAGACCAATAGCAATATTGTTAAAATAGCTTAATTAATTTTTCAAACTGTTCGTCTTGCTTCATAAAATTATAAATTATCGCAAGAAGATGCCGGACACAAAGTTTCTATGGAAACGACATTTATTTCAGATGAAGCTGTTCAATTCACTATCACTTCTAACGAAACGATCGGAGCACATGACAGAGTTTGAAAGTGAAACATAAGTACAAAGTAAAAATGCAAATAGTTTTATAAATTTAGAGAATTTCAACGAACGTGTGATTGGAATTCTCGAGGAAACGCGAGCAACAAACCTCCAAGAATTTCGGAAAAGTCAATTTTTAAAGCGATTTATTTTGGAATAGTTTGTGATTTTAGATGCTCAACGATTTATTGACGAGTTGAGGCTTCATTCGTTCAGTGATGAAAACGGATACAAATTTATTACAATAATGAAGCTTTCGGTATATTGTGGAATCTATTTTTGGTAATTAAAAAATTTTTTTTGAGCACATTCTTCGCAAATCTCCTCCCGATGTTGTTGAAATGCTGCCGTTAAGTATGGTGATGGCCTTGATTAAAATGACAGCTTATAACGGAGCAATCGATATTCTATTGATTGGTTTGGCGATTTTAAAATAAACCCAAAAGAAGCCGTTCCATTTTAAGATGAATTGGTGAAGACGTATGTTCACTGCGAGACGATTTACATCAAATTATTGCCATACGCGGAAAACAATAAAGAGATTTCGAGCTATGTAGGTTTTGATTTAAATTTTAGCCAAAATATTGATTTCTTATAGGAATTGCAACAATTCATAACAGCGTGTTACGTGCCTCTGATGAAAAATAAGCCGGAAAATGTGGAATATTATGCAGCATATATTGTCGGAATCATATTTTTCATTGTTGATTCGCGGAGAAAAGAATTTGCGCTTATTCAAGTAGTTTGGTCGATTATTATTTTTGAATTCAGCGAAATTTCAGGATATTCTCACTTCGACATTACTTTTTCATTTAGAAACCTGCATCCAATTCGATAATGGAGTTCTTCAAATCGAACCACATATTAACTTGTATGTGTTTTTTTTTAATAAAAATTCTTCAAAAAAACCCCCTTATAATTTTGCAGTTTTTCCATCAAATGCTTCCAAAGTGCTCTTCACGAGTTTCGTTCTTTAGATGTCGATCGGAATGGGGTGTTATCGCAATCTGAAATGCTCGTTTTCAGATAGTTTGTCTTCTCAATATTTTTCTTTTGATTTCCTCAATTTTCAGCTCGTTTTTCAATCAGGTGTTCATTAAGAGAGTCTTCGAAATTTCGCAAACCTACGAAGGTGGATTTCTCGATTTCAAAGGATTCGTCGATTTGATCACAGCAATTCATTTCAGACATGTTTGTTGAATCGAAAAGAAATTCAGAATAATTTTTTTTAAGACAAAAGCCTCCGCAAAATATCATTTCGAAGCATTTGATTTGAAAAATGACGGTTATTTGGATGAGGAGGAAATTCGAGAATTGGTCGATTTATTTTCTTTTCCATTTTGATTATTTCTGAAAATTTTAGTGTTTGGTTCTTCACGAATGCATTCCAGCCGAAGAAGCGGTTCCAGATGCTGATGTTTTAACCGTCGAACTCATGGATATGATTAAGTGCAAAGATCGGTATGATTTCTGAATTTGAGTTTTCTTAGTTTTTGCATTTCAGAATAAGTCTTGACGAATTTCTGGCAAGCAAAATGCGGACGACGTTCACGGGCTTCATCTCGAATTATCAAGATTGGTACAAATACGAGAGAAGGGAACAATAACTGTTCATATTTTCCAATCAAAACAACAATAAAAACGATGAACAAAAACTTGGTTAACTATCGAATTTGGTAAAACATTGGAGAAATTCAACAATAGTTCACATTTAGAAGTTAATGAATAATAATAATAACTTTAACAACAAACAACAACGGAACACTACGCAGAAAAAATACAACAGAAAAATTCAAATAACCAATTAATCCGAATCATCGAATTTAATCGAATTTACGCTCTGGTTGATAGGTCCGCCACCATAGCTTCCCTTAAAAAATTAAATTATAAACTTCCAATATTTTTGCACACAAACCTTCTTCTTCTTGGTCTTCTCGTGTCTAAACCGTTTTCCGACGACCAACTTCAGCTTATCATTGGCGACTTTTCCCCATTGGTCGAAAGTCTAAAATAAATTGAATTATGTAATTGAACAAATATTAAAACATACTGCATCGAACGAATTATCTCTGAACTTCTCAGGAACGACCTCCTTGTTGATTTGAACACGGCGATACGGCTCCGACTTCCTTCTTCCGTTCTTGTCGTTTGCAGGAGTTGACTTGACCGATGCAGGAGTAGTCGGGGCGGGTTTTTTCTTATTGGAATCATTAGAAGAGTCAGCATCTGGTGAAGATTTCTTGGCTGGAGCTGCTTTAGCCGAAGCTGGCGTTTTGGGGGCAGGCTTCTTCGTAGTAGCATCATCGGAATCAGAATCGGACGAGGAAGAAGAGGCTGGCTTTTTAGTAACTGACTTTGCCGGAGTTGGTTTGGCAGAAGCTGGAGTTTTCGGAGCAGCTTTCTTCGTGGCAGCATCATCGGAATCAGAATCGGACGAGGAGGAAGGGGCTGGTTTTTTAGTAACTGGCTTCGCCGGTGTTGGTTTGGCAGAAGCTGGAGTTTTCGGAGCAGCCTTCTTCGTGGCAGCATCATCGGAATCAGAATCGGACGAGGAGGAAGAGGCTGGTTTCTTCGTAACAGGCTTAGCCGGTGTTGGTTTGGCAGAAGCTGGAGTTTTCGGAGCAGGCTTCTTTGTGGCAGCATCATCGGAATCAGAATCGGACGAGGAGGAAGAGGCTGGTTTCTTCGTAACAGGCTTAGCCGGTATTGGTTTGGCAGAAGCTGGAGTTTTCGGAGCAGGCTTCTTTGTGGCAGCATCATCGGAATCAGAATCGGACGAGGAGGAAGAGGCTGGTTTCTTCGTAACAGGCTTAGCCGGTGTTGGTTTGGCAGAAGCTGGAGTTTTCGGAGCAGGCTTCTTTGTGGAAGCATCATCGGAATCAGAATCGGACGAGGAGGAAGAGGCTGGTTTCTTCGTAACAGGCTTAGCCGGTGTTGGTTTGGCAGAAGCTGGAGTTTTCGGAGCAGGCTTCTTTGTGGCAGCATCATCGGAATCAGAATCGGACGAGGAGGAAGAGGCTGGTTTCTTCGTAACAGGCTTAGCCGGTGTTGGTTTGGCAGAAGCTGGAGTTTTCGGAGCAGCCTTCTTCGTGGCAGCATCATCGGAATCAGAATCGGACGAGGAGGAAGAGGCTGGTTTCTTCGTAACAGGCTTAGCCGGTATTGGTTTGGCAGAAGCTGGAGTTTTCGGAGCAGGCTTCTTTGTGGCAGCATCATCGGCATCAGAATCGGACGAGGAGGAAGAGGCTGGTTTCTTCGTAACAGGCTTCGCCGGAGTTGGTTTGGCAGAAGCTGGCGTTTTGGGTGCAGGCTTCTTCGTAGCAGCATCATCGGAATCAGAATCGGACGAGGAAGAAGAAGCTGGTTTCTTTGTAACAGGCTTCACCGGTGTTGTTGGCGCCTTAACGACCGGCTTCTTCTTAGAATCATTATCAGAAGAATCCGAATCCGAAGATGATTGGGTTTTTTTCGCTTGCGTTTTCGCTGGAGAAATTTTAGCAATTGGAACTTTCGCGGTCGGTTTCTTTTCATCATCCGTGGAATCGGAATCGGAAGAAGATTCGGCTGGTCTCTTAGCCGTTGGTGTGGCCTTTGGTGTCTGCTTTGCTGGCGTTTTGGCGGCTGGTTTCTTCTCATCATCTGAAGAATCATCCGAAGACGATGACTCTTGTTTTTTGGCAGAAGGTTTTGGCGTGGCTTTAGCAGCAGGAGTTACAACTTTTTTTGACTTGCCATCTTCGCTATCGCTGTCGGAATCACTAGTTTCTGGCTGAAAACAAATTCGTTTTACAATTTCTACAATAACAATGATTACTTTTTTCGCGACAGGCTTCGCAGGAGTAACTTTTGGTGCTGCTTTAACCGGCGTATCATCATCCGACGAGTCAGAGCTGCTACTCTCAACCTTTTTAGTAACCGACGGCTAAAATTCTTTATATTTGTTGAATTTTGATCGAAAAAGAAACCTTCGTTGCAGGAGTTGCGGTTTTCACCTTGGCAGCTTGTTTCTTTTCGTCATCCGATGAATCCGACGAACTTGAGCTCTCCTGCTTCTTTTTAGAAGCCGGAGTTACCTTCGTAACAGGCTTGGTTGGAGCAGCTTTCTTTTTGTCATCCTCGGAAGAGTCATCGGAAGAGGAAGACTCCGCCTTTTTGGCCACGGTTTTTGGGGTAACGGCTGGTTTAGCTGCCAATTTCTTAGTTTTTTCATCATCCGACGAATCCGAAGAATCAGAAGACTCCGCTGGTCTCTTAGCAGTGGGTGTAACCTTTGGTGTTAGCTTTACTGGCGTTTTGGCAGCTGGTTTCTTTTCATCATCTGAAGAATCATCCGAAGACGATGACTCTTGTTTTTTGGCAGATGGTTTAGGAGTGGCTTTAGCAGCAGGAGTTATAACTTTCATTGACTTGTCAGCTTCGCTATCGCTGTCGGAATCGGAATCACTAGTTTCTGGCTGAAAGACGGTTCGTGTTAATTATTTTTAAAATATCAATCAGTATGCAGTCTCGTGAGAAAATTTCCCAAGAATACATATAGTCTATATTCTCAACACTTCTGGAAGCACCGAGCAATTTTTGATATTAACCATCCTCGGTTACTTGCGAGCAAAGAATGGTCTAATTGAGTCGAAATTACAATATTTGAAAATTTTAGATAATGAATCTAGATCCCTGACATTTTAAAAATAGATAGATACTAAAACGTGTCAAGTGTTGAAAAGGAGTCTGAAATTTATAATTTATATGAATTATGATTATAAGTTCTTGCCGATGTTTAAACGACTAAAACGATTTGTATATTCGACGACGCATTTGAGATATTATTTTAAAAATTTTTGAAGATATGAGAATTTTTTCTCGGTAATACACACTGAAAGCAATATTTACTTTTTTCGCGGCAGTTTTCGCAGGAGTAACTTTTGGCGCTGATTTAACCGGCGTATCATCATCCGACGAGTCAGAGATGCTACTCTCAACCTTTTTAGTAACCGATGGCTAAAATTCTTTATATTTTTTGAATTTTAATCGAAAAAAAAACCTTCGTTGCAGGAGTTGCGGTTTTCGCCTTGGCAGTTTGTTTCTTTTCGTCATCCGATGAATCCGACGAACTTGAGCTCTCCTGCTTCTTTTTAGAAGCCGGAGTTACTTTCGCAACAGGCTTCGCTGGAGCAGCTTTCTTTTTGTCATCCTCGGAAGAGTCATCAGAAGAGGAAGACTCCGCCTTTTTGGCCACGGTTTTTGGGGTAACGGCTGGTTTAGCTGCCAATTTCTTAGTTTTTTCATCATCCGACGAATCCGAAGAATCAGAAGATGATGCTTTCTTTGTTGCAACCTTTGGAGTAGCCTTCTGAGTTGGTTTCTTAGTTTTATTATCGTCAGAAGAATCCGATGAATCAGAGGATTCGGTTTTTTTCTTCAGAAGAGCCGCTTTCTTGGCATTAGGAGTAGCAGCAGCAGCTTTTTTATCGTCTTCCGAATCGCTATCTTCGCTGCTAGCAGCCTGAAAATGTGAACATTGATATCGGTTCATGTTTCTACAACTTGCCTTCTTTTGAGCAGATGTCTGTGGTGGTTTGGTCGCTGGCGTTAGCTTCTTTTTGGGAGCATCACTATCTGACGAATCACTGCTACTGGATCGGGCTTTTTTCTGAGCAGATGGCTAAAAAAAAACATATGATTTTTGCAGCATTGGAATTAGACACCTTTCCATTTATTTGGAGTTTGTTTGCCTGCACGTTTACCGGCTTTTGTACTCCATTAACCTAAAATGATTTATAACAATTTTTCTAGAAAATTCTTACCTTCACATTTCCGTCAGAAGAGTCTGAGTCTGAAGACGATGATTCCTTTTTAGCAGCTTTCTTCGCTGGAGGTGCGTTTGAAGAAGCCGAAGCAGTTCTTTTACGTTTAAACTGACTGGCATCAACAATTTCTTCTAACTTTGGTGCATCTTGAGATTTCAACTGGAAAAGAACGTATATTTTCCAAATTTCAAGTTAATAGTTACAAATTCGTCAAGTTGCTTTCGTTTTGCTTCGTTGAACATTTGTGCAACAAGGCCAGGATTTCGTTTCGATATTTCGCTGTATAAAACAGCACTGGCAAGTAACTCAGAACTCATAGTGCCCGGTGAGTACCCTAAAAGCTCAATTTAAAATTTTTCAAAAAAATAGAATAAGAATCATTCGAAAATATTCGAAAACCGAACAAAAAAGGCAAGAAAATGTTCACAAAATGAACTTAAAAATTGGAAATTTGCCAGTTATACAATTCGTGTCGAGATCCTGCTAAACTAAGGGCAGCGTGTTCCTTGAATTCATGCCGTTGATTTCCGAATTTTTCAAGCTGGATTTTAGAAAATTATGCAAATAAATTTAATATAATGAGTAGCATAATAAGTAATAGCTGAAATCAAATAGATCTAAACAGAAAAATTTTCTGACATTAGACGTTTTATGATAATCGAATTTTTAGCTTATGCTTGTTAAAAAATTATACCTTGTTTAAAATATTACATAATTTTTCAGGGTTGTAAAGATGCTCATTTTATGTAATTTGTGCATTTCTTTGTAAAAAAATATATATTTTTTTTAAATAAATACTGAACGCTGCATACCTTTCGCGCATGGAAAAATCTATTGGTCAAGGGAGGAAAACAATGGTTCAAATCTGAAATTTTAGACCAACAATGTTGTGACATTTTGAAATTTGCAGAAAACGTCACTGTACACTTGATTGGAAATTTCGCGAGCTATTTGTGTGCAAAATAAGGAAAAATTCCCAACGAGTGGGCAAAAACTTTTCCTTTGTAAATATTTTTGAGCCTCTTTTGACTTTCCCTCACTTCGAATTCGCATATTTCAACTTAGTCACCAAATTTCCGGTTTTTCAGTAATCAATTCAATAACTTGATACGAATAGGGAAGAAAACTTTCAACAATGATTGATACAATTGATATCAAGAGGTTCGATCAAGGTTGCTTCAGTCGATATTTTGTCAATAATGCGAATTCTGTTCAACGCGGTTCTGATTGCCTTCATCGTTTGTCTCGTCGATGCCAATTTAAAATGTTATATTGGATATTCAATTATGAAAGGTATTCTCTTCTATATAATGAGCATTAGATAACAGGCTCTCATATTAGGTAGCACTATCGGAACAGAAACCAAGGAATGTGAGAAGGAAACCGATTTCTGCTATAATGGAACCGTCGATGTCTCATCGTTCAGCAAACTCCAGAAAGCGGGCTGCAATTCAATGATCTGCCAATTTCATGCCAACAAATGTTTCGAACAAGCAGTCGGTGGTCAAATGGTCACATTCTGCTGTTGTAATACTGGAGATTTGTGCAATGGAGGAGCCGTCACGGTAAGACTTGCTCATTTCCGAAATCTCATTTATTCTTTGATTATTTTATTTTTATTTTTTAGTGAGATAATACCAAAGATTCCTAGTTATTTAAAAGTGTTGACGCGATTCTAACAGATTTCATTATATCAGATTCGAATCAACATCTCCTTTTTTCAACCCATATCTATTTTTATCATCTTTTTTTTTTATCACATTACTCATGAGTGTGTATCATCCCTAATTCGTTAAATTTCTTTTCCATCGGAATTTCCCGTTTAATTTCAGGAATCCGGTTCACTAATGGATCGCGGATTATCGGTGCTCAAAGGACTTATTTCAGCTGGTAAATAGAATAAATATTCAATTTATAATAATGTTTTTATTAATTAGATGAATGTATATACATATATGTCATTATCCTCTCAACATATCAAACAAATCCTTAGCTCGTTGTTTCGATTTTTCAAAAAATCCGAGATTCTGAAAGTATGGCAATTACTTATAATTTTTGCTAAAGAGTCATACCGTCAATTTTGAATTACACAAGTCTCCAGTGTTACAACAGCAAAATTGAATTTGTTTTCCTGCGACAATTTGTTTAATGCATTTGTTGCGAGCGAGCTGAAAAATAAGAAACTGATTGTGAGAATCGTTCCGAATCACTTCCCCGTTCCAACAAATTTGACCTAGGAAGTTTAATAGATAAAATGATTAATAGTTTGTGACAGTTCGCTGCTTTCGTTTCAAAATTTCAAACAAAAAACTCTAAAATTCTCGTTGAAATATCAATATTTACTCTGAGGTGGCAAATTGGTTAAGAAGATGAAAAGAAAATCTTTATCAAACTAATTTTGAGATTTAATGCGAATTTTTTTAATAAAATTAATTTGGAGAATTATTTAATTAATGAAAACCCTCACAATATAAACTTTATAGTAAACCTGTAAATTTTGGAATATTTTAAAATTGAGAAACATACGAAGCATCTTGTGGACGAGCATCCTCCGCCTTTTACTTCGCTAAGGGATGAAATATCAGCGGTCATATTATAGCAATAATCAGTTGCATGCTTGCATGTTTCTTTCGTAGTCCCTTATTACCAAATAAGTTAATTTGATTCGAAATCTTGAAAATCGTTACCAACTGATTGTGCAGCTAAGTATGTGTAGCCAGTATAGCATTCCAATGTCATTGCAACTCCAAAAACCGCGAAAGTCAGAACAAATTTGAAATTGTTCATTTTCTTGAAAAATATAAATTTGAATGAATCACACAGCCGGAACCAAAAGTTTTATTCAAACTGAAGCAAATATAAGACAAATGTAAAAGTATGAAACACGTCTTTGACAAAGTGAGAACAGGCAAGAGACGAAGTTCGACGACAATGTTTGTGTATTGGACACGCCTGCGCGTTTGACTGTTGCTGCTGCTATCACTAAGAAGCGTGATCAAGAAACTAATACACCATCAAATTGGTTGCGGATTCCGGGAAAGCACAACGAATGAATGAGACCATTGCTGTTGAGATTGTTAGTAGGATTAAAGCTTCATTGTCGATTACGATTCGAATTGTCGCTTCGATCATCAAATCTTTGAGGTTTATCTGAAATTTTCATTTAAATCGTAGTCAATTTTTAGGTTGATATTCTTCGATGTTTATTATATTTTTGATTTAATGATTAGTAGTGTAATATGACTTTTCTACTTTGGAGAAGCCTAGAAAACGATAAAATCAATAAAATATACAAAATCTTACAACTTTGACCAGAATTCCAATTGCCTCTTCGTCGTTTGTCATAATTATTCGGATAATTTCCACCGTAATTTTTTCGTTTATGTCCGCCACCACCCTGATAATTTCCACGATTGTTGAATCCTCTTTGTTGATCTCGGGGCTTCCATGGATGAACAATTATTGGATCTTTGAATCCCTCACTTATTTTCCGATACGCTTCGTTTTCCTGAGAACATATTGATAAAATGTACGCTATAAACTTATATTGAAATAAATTGAAAAAGCAACAAAAATATCTATTGTTGAAATAAAAAATTGAAATAAATATTATTAGAAACTATTTTTGATATTTATTTTCCTAAAATATTTCGGTGTTTTTCTTAATTAAAATTCAAATTCTCGATTTAAATTATTACCATGGAATATCGATTTTTAAACATCTCATCTAATGATATCGTCTGCGAATTTCCATCTTCTACCATCCTTAATTCAGAAAATTATGTTTTTATATCGAATATTTGGAAATCGGTAATTTTCGAAAAAAAATGAAATCAAGAAAAGAAATCAAGAATTATCAATGGTCCACATTTGCTGCACTCGCGGTGACTTACTTTTTCCATTTTTTTTTGGGTATTTCTTTCTCGTGCTTCTTTAATAAACATATTCATTTGATAAAAAAATGTAAAGAAAAAAAATACGTATTTTTTCAATGCAGGGTCGCCAAATTGCACCTTAAATGTATTTTTTAATTTTTTTGTAAAAACATTACTTTTCGTGAATAGGTCCATAAAAAACAGATTTTATTTTATTTTCAAATGTTTATATTTTCAGATATTTTGTAAATAATGGGTTTCTTGTCACATGTACTCTCAATCGGTGTCGGATTTTATGCAGGCGCGTATTTCGCTCAAAACTACGACGTAATATTTCATCATTTCATTTCTCAACCTATTTTTGTACTTTTCAGTTCGGAAAACTACCTTCAGTTTCTCAATTAACACAACAAGCCGAAGACTACTTGAAGAAGTATAAGAAGGATTAAAATTTAGTTTATTTTGACTTTAGTTTTATGATTTTTTGCAATATATAAAAATTGCGACATTGACAAGCTTTATTTTCATTGCGGGAAAGGATAATCATAAATAATTGAATAAATACAAATAAAACACGGGGTCGAATATCAAATCATTTATTCAAACTTTATTTCTTCTCGTCCTCCTTCTTTTTCTTCTCGTCTTGCTTCTGTGAAGCTGGAAGATCGTCGACAAGTTGCTGCAGCAATTCCGGATTGTTCATGAGCTCGTCCAGATTGTCCGGAGTGTTGTTTCCAGTAACGTCGACTTCCATCTTATCATCATCTGAAATGTAGACTGATTTTAATTCAAAAATAGGATCGAAGAAAACCTGAAGTGTTATGAGCAGTATTGGCGGGATCGGCAGCTGGAGCTGATGCTGGTGGCGCATTATCTTGCATTGACAAACGCATAGCCCATTCGAGCTGCTGCTCCTCGGTCATAGCGCCCATATCCATTTCCTCAAATGGAATTTGAGAAGCATCCTGAATCGGAGCATTTTGAACAGCAGCTTCACCGCCTTCATTGTTCGCAGCAGCAACTGCCGCTTGACGAGCACGCTCTTCTTCCATACTAACACGAAGAGCCTTAAATCCAAATATTCCTGATGTTAGACGAAATTTTCAATACCAAAGCAAGATCCGGATCATTTTCTGGATCGACGCCAAATTCGAATCCACCAGCTCCGAGTCCACCTCCGTTTCCACCATCATCCGTGCGACAGACAGTAGAAGTCAAAAGAGCATCACTGAGAGCAGATCCGGTTGGAACAACAACTAAGTTCGACCCACTTCCTTCTCTGAATTCATTATTTAAAATAATGATTTCAAATTATTCCACGCACTTTCCGTTAAGAGTTTCAACGAATTGAGAGAATGCCTGCTGACATGATTCATCAGCATCTCCGAACATGATCACATCGCATTGAACTTTTTCTTTTTTGAGTTTTTTCGCGATCTTGACGATTTCGGCGGAGTCAATATCGACGAGTGGACTGCCGATGAAAATCACAATTCTCATTTTATGATTACGATTTTGTCGATGCTTCAACGCCAAATGCGCCACTTTGATTCCCGCGACGAAATTGCAAGTGCCTTTCGGCTCGATTTGGTGAGTCTTCATGAGAAGACGTCCAGCTTCGGTGGACAAGCTCGAAAGAACATTCACATTGCTGAAAATCCGAATTATAACGGAAATTTTGAAAAAAATTGTTTACTCAGCCATTGAAAGGATTCCAACAGCATTTTCAGGATTGGCACGCAACTTGCACTGCATGATCAAGTTAACAGCATCCTGTTGAGATTGAAGACGAGTTGGTTGGAAATCTCCGTTCCGCATGAATTCGGAGTTGTCGACACTGAGAAAAATGAAACAATTTGAAAAAAGAATGATAAGAAACTAACCAAATCATAGTGCTTTCTTGAACCATTTTGTAATTTGGTGGTGAAGTTAGCAGTGGCTAGTAAACACTAAAATGCATCAATTGAATATAAAATGCGCTTCTAAATTATTTTGAAATTTCAGTAAGGATAATTAACGGAAAAAACCGTTCGAAATAAACAAGAACAAAAAGAAAACAAAATTTGAATATTTCATTATGAATTTTTGAAAAGAAGAAAAATCAACAAACAACGGAATAACAATAAATCCTATTTCTAAAAATTATCTACGACCCTTATGTTGGTTTTAAAGGTGCATTAATCTTCATGTGTTCAAACACATCGAAATCTGGACCGAATTCCTGATCTTTACTGTACAATGGATATTCTTTTCGGATGCCAAATCGAGCCAATTCTTCGTCTTTTGGCGATGAGATTATTGGAGAAATGACCTGTTTAGATTCATCAACGGAAATATGTGAAATACGGCCAATCATCGGAACAATGTACTGTTTGTTGATCTGAAATTCAAAATATGAATATAAACAAAGGATTTGAGTGAAACATACGACAATGTAGAATCGGAATAATTTGGCCTCAATATCGAAATTTGGACCACTGATTGCCTTTGGTGGTAGAAATATTGTATTTTCATCAACAAATACTCCCTAAAAATGAACATTTGATTTAATTTTCGAAATTTCTCTTTACTTGTTGCCGCAATGATACTTTCACCAACTTTCTCTCAATTGTCCATGCATTATCCACATTAACTTTAATCGGCACAACCATTTTTTGCAAATCTCGTCCAACAACAAGCAGTTCATATGGAATACGTACACGAGCTGCCAATTCGTCAGCCATTTTCTAAATCGTTCTTTTTTTTTAATTAGGAATTGATATTATAAAATGTACCTCTTTCATATCTGCGTAATATTTAAGATCGAATGGTGATGCATAAACGGCTTTTCTAGACAATAATAAGTCAGTTCGAGCTCTCATTCGATCTACATTGACCACATCGAATTGGTGACCAATTCCTGAAAATTGAGAAAAATTACATTATAAATTGATTTTTGTAAAACCTTCGACATCTTCCAGAAGAATAATTCTAAGTGGACCAGCTTTCTTTAATGTTTCATATTCAACAGTTTCGTATTTTTGAAAATCATGATGATCGTTGGGATTCTTCTGAATTCCTCCAGGTGGTGTTACCTCTGGAGTGAAAACTCGCTTTAATACCCAAGTGTTCTGCAAAAAGAAATTTTTATGAATCTGTATTATTTCGCTTACTCTCGATGATTGTTGACTCAGATTCTGAGCAAAACTGCGTATTAACGATGATGACAACATTTTGGTTCAATTCATCAAGAAAATCTGAAACGTATTTTTATTCTAATATCGATTTTATTGTGAAATAACATGATTTAATCAAATATTATTAGATATGATCAAAACGAAAACCTTGAACGATTAATGGGAAAAATTAGAAATACCGAAAAATTGAAATGATTCTGTTTTTGGATGAAAACGCCAACCGTAGTCACAATAATGATGACTATGTCAAAGGCGCATACATTTTCAAACGAGCGATATCTCGCCACGACGCTCTACGGTTACACCAAGTCGTTTCTCTGCGTCTCTCGTTTGCTGGCGTATTTCATCTGGATTTGGTCATTTCTTCGACTTTCTTCAAATCTTTTCCATTTTTTGACAACCTCACGCGAAATTTTCTTGTTTTCTTCAAATTAATGGGTTGGTCAGATCATTTGCAACGTTTTGATATGCGTGGCAGCACAGACAACGTTTAATTTATCGATTTTTTTTAGTTATCAGCATCACTTTATCGAGTTTACTATTCAACGTGTAATTTGCGCTGCCGCTATGAATAATCCGTATTTTTTACAGATCAGCTAAGCTTGGGAAATGCCACCAGTGCCTAGCAGAGCTAAAGTTTATGCGGATGTCAGTTTCATTTGTGAAATTTCGAAATTGATGAAATTTGCAGGTGAACCCAAATAAACCTCGCGAATATTGGGATTATGAAGCACATGTAATTGAATGGGGTATTATTGATGATTATCAACTCGTTAAAAAATTGGGACGCGGAAAATATTCCGAGGTAAGTAAACATTTAAAAATCTAAATATCTGACCTTTGTTTTTCAGGTCTTTGAAGGTGTGAAAATGAGCACAGATGAGAAAGTCGTCGTTAAGATTTTGAAGGTAACAAGTCTATCTAAAGCCGAATTAATTTTTTTTATTTATCAGCCTGTGAAAAAGAAGAAAATCAAGAGAGAAATCAAGATTCTCGAAAATCTTAAAGGTGGAACGAATATAATTACGCTACTTGATGTTGTTAAAGATCCTATTTCAAGAACACCAGCTTTGATTTTTGAGTAAGTTGATTATAGAGTTGAGAAATAGTAAAGTTTACATTTATTTCACCATAAACTTCATTTTTTGCATAAAAATTTTTTTGTTTTTTATCATGCATCTAGTTTTGTGAACTGAATGAAGACCCTTAATTTACGAAACCTTAATTTTTTTCAGACATGTTAACAATTCGGATTTCAAACAACTTTATCAAACATTGAGTGATTATGACATCCGTTATTATCTCTTTGAGCTACTCAAGGTATTTTTATGTTCTCGCATATTAAAAAAATGTTTCTTTAGGCTCTTGATTTCTGCCATTCGCAGGGAATTATGCATCGAGATGTGAAACCACATAACGTGATGATCGACGCAGAGAGACGAGAGGTTCGTTTTCTTTTTTATCAGATTTGCCAATTTTACTATTTCATGATGATTTTTTTAGCTTCGGTTAATTGATTGGGGTCTTGCTGAATTTTACCATCCACGACAAGACTACAATGTTAGGGTCGCATCACGATATTTTAAGGTATGGTTTCGAATATTTCGTTTAAAACGATATTACATGAAATTTTTCAATATTAGGGACCGGAACTTCTTGTCGACTACCAATGCTACGATTATTCATTGGATATGTGGAGTCTTGGATGTATGTTGGCCAGCATGATCTTTAGAAAGGAGCCTTTCTTCCATGGACATGATAATTATGATCAGGTATCAAATCGAAATTGACAATTTCCATCCGCGTTGTATTTTCAGTTGGTGAGAATTGCCAAGGTTTTGGGAACCGATGAACTGTACGAATATGTTGCGAAGTACAATATTGAACTTGATCCGCGTTTCAATGACATTCTTGGAAGGCATTCAAAGAAACGCTGGGAACGGTATTCAGTTTTAAATAACCTAACTATGAAATTTTGAATATTAAGATTCATCCATGCTGAAAATCAGCATCTGGTTACTCCAGAAGCTCTTGATTTCCTTGATCATTTGTTGCGCTACGACCATGCTGTAAGTGATTTAAATTGAATTTAAAGAAACAAAGTTTAAAAAAAAAACGTAATTTTGTTAATACACTGTAGTTTGTCTAATTGATGGGTATATTTCGATCTTGATTGATTTGAGTGGAAGTTAATTTTTTTGTCGAAATCTAGTAACCCATATGTCATTAATCAATTCTGTTCGAAAAGATTTTCGCCATCGTCTACTTTTTTATTGTTGCGGTTAAGACTCAACTTAATAGATCAAATTTAGACGTTTTTATAAAGAAGCTTTTTTTCGCTATATTGTCGGTGTCAAAAGACTAAAGGGAGGTGGGGCCTTCAAATTTGCGAAATCAGTGTAGATTTGAATTTTTTGTTGACTGAATATTAAATGCGCGTACGCCAAAATGCAATGTACGCAGTCTCGCGTACTTTTCCCTGCCGCAAAACGCATTGGAACATAGCCAATAATTTTTTAAATTTCGTCAAGTCGTTTGACTCCGACAATATTTTATTTGAAAAATACTTGAATTAATATTTTATAAACAATTCGAATGTTCGTATAATTTTTTTAAGAAAAGAGGAACTTTTATATCCTCATGATTGAATTAATGGACTTATTCATGAAATGTTTTTTTTTTCGAATATCGGAAAAATTGGTTTTTTTAACATTCCATTTGAAAACGTCTAGTATTATAATATTTCTATAGCATGAATAAGTCCATAAATGAAAAGAAAAAAATTATTCGTATTCTTTTTAACAACCGAATCAGCTTAATAATATAGAATGATTTGTGTTAACAAAATGTGTTTACAGGAGCGGTTGACAGCTCGCGAAGCAATGGCTCACGTGTATTTCAAACCGGTTGTTGATAATGCTGGTGGCGCAGTGAACGGCAACGGCCCGATTAGCGTTGAGATTGCAGACGACAATAATGGCTCGTTTGCTTAGTTGAAAAAGGAACTTGTTTCGAACTCTATACATGGCAATACAGTACTTGAAAAATCTTAAGGCATGGGTCCAAGTAGCGCGTTTTTCGATTCTCTTCTTTTTCTCGTCTCCGTTGTTTCAACTTTCTTTCAATTAGCGGCTCATGCCCCAACAAATTCCGCCAATCCGTTCGTCTTCTTCCAGATATGAAAATTTTGTGTGTTGTTTTTGCCGCTCTTCCGATTCATTGTTTTCTTTTTCTTTTATACTATTTTTTTTTAATTTTCTCGCTCTTCTAAAATTTTATTTTTCTTCACATTTTCGACGACTTTCGCTTAAATAATATGACTTTTAATTGACATATTTGAGTAATTCCGTGAAAGTTGTGCGTTGTTCAGAATAGTTGAGCCCACTGTGATCGCTTATTTTGAAGGACTATCAACCAAGCAAGCAAGCCAGCCAGCAATGGAAAATTAGCAATTTCGTCTCGAAATTTGCTCATTTTCCAATTTCCGCGTGTTACCGATCGTGCCTCGAGTTTGTTATTCGGATTGCATTCATCCGATTATTACGCCTTGTTTCTTTAATCAGAAAAAATAATGAGATCGAATGTAAATTATTTCTATTTCGATTAATGTTTTTTTTTCAAAATTTAATGGGTTTCACGCAAGTTTTATGCCGCACATAAATAATATTTTAAGCAAAGAAAAAACCCTTCCTTTTTTGAGCTGTTGAAATTCACCCAATTTGAATTACCAACCAATATTGTTTATTCCTATTCTCTCCAACTTTTTCTTTTATTCAGAGACGATTTTTTCCTTATTTGTTTTTTTTGTCTCCTATTTCAATTAATGGTATGAAATTGAAAATTCAACAATTTTTTAGCCGTTAATAACGTATAAACTTTTTCATTCAATTTTCTTGTTTTTTTGTTACTGATTTTTCAATTGTTGGGTATTGTTTTTACCTTGTATTTTCTAATCAGCAACTTAACAAAAAAAACCTTAAAAAGAATTGTTGAAGTATGCTTTATCGACGGTTGGTTCGAAATGTGATTCGAGGTCTCGCCACGAAAATTGAAGCGAATTCATCGACCGCGCATCCGATCTATTTAGATGTTCAGGCGACAGCGCCGATGGTATGTTTCGGAGATATTTAAGTTGAATAAAAATGATGGGTCCAACAACGAAATATTTTCGGGATTTTTGCAGGATCCTCGTGTCGTTGATGCGATGCTTCCATATATGCTGAACGATTTCGGAAATCCTCATTCTCGAACTCATGCGTATGGCTGGAAGGCCGAAGAAGCCGTCGAAGAAGCTCGTAGTCATGTTGCGAAACTCATCAAAGCAGATCCAAGGGATATTGTTTTCACTTCGGGAGCTACTGAGTCAAACAATTTGGCTATTAAAGGAGTTGCGAAATTCCGGAAACAATCGGGCAAAAACCATATAATAACACTTCAAACTGAGCACAAATGTGTGCTCGATTCGTGTCGATATTTGGAGAATGAGGGATTCAAAGTCACGTATTTGCCGGTGAATCAAGGCGGAATGGTGGATCTTGAGATGCTCGAGAACACGATTACGCCGGAGACTTGTTTGGTTTCGATCATGTTGGTGAATAATGAGATCGGAGTGATGCAGCCGGTCAAGGAAATCGGTTGGTCTTCTGGATATTTCTCAAATGTTTTGATTTTATTCTTAAAGGCGCATTGTGTCGATCGAAAGGCGTCTATTTTCATACGGATGCCGCGCAGGCAACCGGAAAAGTGCCAATCGATGTTGATGAAATGAAAATTGATCTAATGTCGATTTCTGCTCATAAGATTTATGGGCCAAAAGGAGCTGGAGCTTTGTATGTGAGAAGGCGTCCGAGAGTGCGACTTGAAACACAAATGAACGGTGGGGGACAAGAGAGAGGATTACGGTCGGGTACTGTAGCTGCGCCGTTGTGCATTGGCTTGGGAGAGGCGGCGAGAATTGCGAATGTTGAAATCGGTGAGTTAACTTCATTATTTTACCACATTTTTTTGCATTTTATCCTCAATTTCTTTGATTTCAAAGAAAATATTTACATTATAATTATTATTTCCGGTGAGCGGAAATTTGAAAATTAGAATTGAAGTTTTCCTATAATTCACACACGATCTTTGTCATAAAAAATTGATGACAAACAAAAATGAAAAGAAGTTGAAAATTTTGAGAAATGGACAAGGCTCATGTCGAGAAACTATCGAAGATGTTGGTTGAGGGAATCAGCGAGAAATTGCCGAATATTGTGAGAAATGGCGATGTGCGATTCGCGTATCCGGGTTGCGTCAACCTCTCGTTTGCTTATGTCGAAGGTCTCGCGAAGAAATGTTTCGATTAATTGATCGGCTCATATTCAGGAGAATCGCTTCTGATGGCTTTGAAGACAGTGGCATTGTCGTCGGGAAGTGCTTGTACATCTGCCTCCCTTGAGCCATCTTATGTTTTGAGAGCAATCGGATCCGAAGAAGACCTCGCGCATTCTTCGATTCGATTCGGAATTGGACGATTCACCACCGAAGAAGAGGTTTGAGCTATTCCATAATTTGTAGAATGTGACGTAATACTTATCACTATAGGGATTAATGTCAGCTGATTTCGTGACGATTTTGGAAATTTGTTTTTTTGCAGATTAAGCACACAATTGACCTGTGTGTTCGCGAAACTCAGCGCTTACGCGAACTAAGTCCTCTTTGGGAAATGGTCCAAGAGGGAATCGATCTCAAATCAATCCAATGGAGTCAGCATTAATTTGGTGCGATATATATTAATAAGGCCTTAAATAGCTAGTAGAAAAGAAAATCTGTACATTTATCTCATTGTTGATGTTTTCTCGAGTTATAAAATATTATTATTATTATTCCAATGCAACCCAGTTTGGAAGGAAATATTCTGATTTGTTGAGCATTCTCTCCATTGCGCTGCCTTCTCTTGGCCAATGTTTATAATAATAGACCTGAAATTATGACGACGTTTAAGAATTTGGAACATTCTGACGTACATTTGGTGACGCATTGATATTCAGATAAGCGGACCACCACGAGAATGTACCCGTTGACATAATGATTGTATCGCAGGAAGCCAGGATCGCCATGTCCACTTCACGTGGACCCGGACAATAATAGTATTTGGAATTCTTGTCAGGTCGAAGATAACGGCGAACCCAGTAGATGTCATCGGTGCAGATGATAAAAGCTACCTGAAACGGCTCGAATGGATTGCTGAAATTCCGGAAATCCGTACACTTTCGTATATTTCGCTGATTTGCTTCATCGCATTCTTGTAATAGCTGATCGGAGCCGCGACGTGACCGTGCCTCTGATTCCTCGAATTCATTGCGATGTCGATTCCGTGTCTGACGTGTATTCCGACAGTCATCGTATTCGCCAACGCGTCTTTCGGATCCACTTGGATTGTCTGATCGTCATTTGCCACGTTCGTATCGATTACAATTCCAGATCGAATTGCCAATGATACTCCGACATCTTCCATGAATGATTTCACCTTCAATTGTCTTTTTTTTCCTTCAATCTTCTCGGCGAAAAAAAACGATTTTGTTGATGATTTGTTTGCCAAACGATTTATGTTTCTTTTCATCGTTTTCATTTTTCGAATAGTTTTACACGCAGCGTCCGCCGACTTCTGAATTCGGTGGTGCACCTTTAAATTCGCGCTGAGATTTCGCAAAAATGGTAAACGAGTTTGATAATTTAAAAAAAAGATTTTTTCAAGGTGCCTCAAATTAATCTGCTCACGATAATTCTAATTTTTATTTTATTATGCCGGCGTTTTCCCAAAAAAAAAACACATTTATACTGTCCTCTGGTAACTCAAAACCAATCGGATCCGACAAAATTCGGCTCCGGAATCAGCCTTATCTGATTGGTAATTCTACGGATCCGATTAGATTTTCTTCGAATTTGTTTTGTTTTAATATTTCAATGCGAATCGGATTCGACAAATAACCAATCTTATCCGTAGAATTACGAAACGGATAAGGTGGATTCCGGAGCCGAATTTTGTCGAAAAAAAAAAAACACAAATATCACTATTTTTCATAATAATTGCTATCCAAATGACGAAAAATAGACATATATTGTCGAATTAGGAGTAGTTATACCAAAAATCGTTTTTTTTTTCTAGTTCTTCAATCCGTTACTCATTTTCTCTTCAAAGTTTTCGAAAAATACGGAAAAATAGCACACAGAATGAAAAACAAAAAAATACAGTACCGACTTCGCGACGTGACCTGCGCAACTTTTCGCGTGCGCCTTTGAAAATATGAATTACGATATATCGCGTCAATTTTTTGTAATTTTCGACGTGCGTGCATAGGGAATTCAAATGAAAAAATTTGATTTTTTTCCATTGCATGAATAGGTCCATTAACTGCGTACTTTGCATTTTAACGCACGCGCATTTAATATTCAGTCAACATGAAATTTAAATCTACACTGATTTCATATTATCAACGTTTCCACCACCGATGAGTCGTTTGAAACCGAGAATACCTTTTGATGAATCGGATCCAAAAACGTGAACAAATTTCGAATAATCGCCTGATTGGCCGGATGAAAATATAGATAATTTTGAAAGTATCCATCGATTTCCTCGATATTTCTAGTCGCGAACAAATTTTCGAATTTTCGCCATGAACAGCAATCCTGCAAATTCATCAATTCGTTTCTTTTTTGTCGTCATCCCCCACATTTTGTGTGAATTTCAACGAATTCATTTGTTCGCTGAGCTCCGCGATGACCGATCGCGAAGCAAATTGCACATTTTTCTGGTTGTTGAACGAAAATGCTCGACGGAGCACAAGATCATCGGGAGCAATCAATGTGGCGTTGTGCTTTTCGGCTAATGTGAAAAGCGCGGCGAATTGGAACATCTGATTGCCCATTCCTGAATTATTGCGTTTTCTACGATAATCAACAACATATGGTTTTTTTTGCAAATAGAAAATGATAAAGAGAGAGAGAGAGAGAGAGAGAGAGAGAGATTCAAATTGATGTTCGGACTGGTATGCGCCTTTAAAAAAAAATTCTAGGTTGTCAATGATTTGAATTGAACAGAGCAACCCGTTCGGACGAAAAAACTAAAAACGTTGGAAGAGAAAAGCTTTAAAGGCGCATGATTATAAATATATTCAAATCAATTGCCGATTTAACATTTTCAACTTTCATTTTTCGTCACCCACCATTGCTATAGTCAAAATCGGATGTGAGGTATCTTTTGGCTCCATCGAGCTCTTCAATGTTTCGAATAATATTCTGAATCGGCTCGATGTTCCACTTGACATTTTCAAGTGTCACTTCCTGACCTATAAACCGATTCCCATTGATTGTCGACAGAAAAAAATGAAATCACGAACCGCCTTGTGGGAAAATTTGCGTTTTTCCATAAACTGTCTTAGTTTCCAAATTTGTGTCGTCCCGTTTTGTCGTTTGAAACAAAATAATAGTGGCGAAAATAATGAAGAGCGTGTAGGTTGAATAGCGACTCGCTGAAATCGAATTTGAAACAATAATTCTCGTCGAGACTTGCCTGATACTCTGACCATGGTAACAATAATCACAATGAGATAATAAGAACGGCGAACAGCAATGAATAGAAAAACGAAAACGGACAAAGTGGGTCATGGATTGGTTTGCAACACGCGAGAGGGAGTCGAACCCGCGTGGTGTGGCGCGATAGTCGCGCGCGTTCCCGCGTCGATCATCGCGACATTGAAGTGGGTTTGCCATTAAGTGCCTACTCATGAGGGGCGAACTTCCAACGGCGCCCGGCCGAATGTTTGTTGTTGAATGATGTGTTACACAAAAATTTCGACGTGCTGACTGGCCCCGAAACCATTTCGCTTTTTGTCGTCCGCCTGCCCTCTCTCTATCTCACCTTTTGTTCTTCCCGAATTCCAGTATCTCAACTCGACTTTCTTTTCTTGTTGCTGTTTTTTTTTTGTCGAGTTTCTTCGGCACGAGACTGGTTTCAGTGTTCCATTCGTCATCGTCACTTCGTTTTTTTTTCAACCAACATGCGAGTGCTAATAGCGATGGTGGTGCTCGTGTGTGCACTCGATGCACAAAAAATACCGAGTAAGTTGGCGAGGTGTCGGAGCCGACGCACGCGTTTCCAGTCGCCGACATTTTACCGGGTTCGCGTTGTTCAGATTTTTCGGTGACCGACGCCGAGCTGCTGGAAATGTCGCGGAGATTGCGAAAAGCGGACGCGAATCGAGCGAACAAGAATCAGATCAAACTCAATTATCAGGGTCATACGACGACTCGCGACGACGCCGACAATGCTCCGCAACGGTTGTCGACGGCATTCAACAAGCGATTTGTTAGCAATGTCGAATTTTAGATTTTTCACTTCCGTCGATTCGTCGCTTCTTCGCAAACCTTCGTACGAAATGTATATTGCGATGATGGATAATTTCAATCGGCAAACCGGCGTCATCGAGCCGAAAGTTAGTGCAAAAGAAGAAAAAGACGAAGTCGGCCGATTTTTGACCTACGTTGTCGAAACTGGACCGATGAAGGAGCTGTATAATTGGTTCAAAGCGAAAGGTATTCTTTTTTTGTATTCTATGTGTTTGGGTCTCACCGCGAAATTCGCAATTTCTATTTTTCGCTAACAAAAATAAATGTACCTCGTAATTTCTCGAAAATGATTTCAAATCGAAATGGTCCCATTATTTTGATTGAGGTCATCCAATTGCGACGAGTCCGACCGTATTCCGCTATTGGATCGGTCAATTATGGTTTTCGCATTATTCGCGAGCACTCGGCAAACCGGACACGTCGGGATTCGAGCACGTCTTCATCGGCGAAGTCAAAAACGGCGAAATTTCGGGAATGCACAATTGGCTGCGATTCTATATGATGGAAAGAGATGCGTCGGCGAAATGGGACTATAAAGGATTCGTTGTGAAGCGATTCGTAAGTTGCGACGACGAATCACATATGATACGATTGAACAGAATGTGATGGCGGCGGTGAAATTCTCATGGGAGAACGAGTTGAAGAGGTCGGGCTCGATTCTCATCGGAACATCGCCCGAATTCGACATGGCCCTCTACACGATGTGCTTCCTTTCGAGAAGAGGACGAGAAACGTGCGATGTTGGCCATCCGAATCGCAATTGTCTCTCCAATTCGTTGATGTTGTGATTTCAGGTTGAGCTGGACGGTTGTCCGCTGCAGATCACGAGTTACGAGTTGTACCAGCAGAACAAGGTTGCCTTCGAGAGCATTCGTGGTTCCCATCGAAATTTGAATTGCTTTTTAGGTTTACATCGGCAGCATTTTTCCGTCAGCCGGCCGAATAACCGACCAATGTCGTCGACAAAACAGTTAATCCGTCCGTCCGTCATTCATTCATTTATTATTTTTTGTTGCGCTTTTTTTTTTTGGAATGAACATAATAATCTTGAACAAAATACTGGTGGGAAAATATGGAGAGCACAGGACAAAGATTTGCATATTAGGATTAGTAATATATCAAAAATTCACCCGTCTGTGAGAACAGGAAAACTTCGAATATGGGAGGGTCGAAAATAAAATGAATCAGACAATGAGAGAGAGAGAGAGAGACAGAGAGAGAGAGAGAGATTCTTTAATATTTGGTCTAGCATTTCATATTTACAACGGATGCAACATCGGGCGCGAGTCGAAGGATGACGACGACTCAATTCTAGAAGGCCGAGAAGAATGCCTGACGCGGAGCCAACGAATACATTGAGAAGAGACTCTGGCGCGGTTTTCTCGTCGGCGCTGGCGAGAAAAGACTGTAGGAAGTGGAGAGAGCCAGACTTGTGCTCGACGGAAGAGCTGCCGGACTGTAGGCGCGACGCAGCGACGACATCGGCAGCGAAGACGACGACGGTCGGTAGGTGCTGGAATGAGACAGTTGAATTGTTGATGACACGAATATCAGCTGCGGACAATTTCTGGTTATTTGAAAAAAATCGTCATCTCCCACGCTCAACGGAAACACTATTTTAAGCGAAATTAAATATTCCGGAAACGCGTTTCCGGCTTTAGTGAAGATTGGAAAAAATGGAGAGAGAGAAGACGTACCTCGCTGAGTAAGCTCTCGGCTTGATCGATGTGATTGTGGTCGGCTGCGTCGGAATGTGTCGAAGTTCGCGTTGCTGCCGCATTCGGCGCAGATCCTCGGCGTACACGTCCGGAATCGGCATGTCGCATTCCGGCGTCTGCACCATTTTCACCGAGGCGGTGCCGCGCAATCGTCGCTCGTAATCGACCATCTGTTTCCAGAAGCCAATGTTCGGACGGATGACCGGTCGAGCCGCTTTCACGTAGTGATACGCCTGTCGCAGGGTCATGTGCTCATACTTCACCAGGTAGATCATGACGAGCGACGCCGACCGCGAAACGCCCGCCATGCAGTGCACCAAAGTCCGACCGCCGCGTTCCTGGAAAAAAAAAACAATCCGAAATAATTACATTTCCCTTTTTTTCTTTTTTTTTTCGTCCCCCCCCCCACGTTCTTATTTCACCAATCTCCTTAAATGACCATAAATTGTAATAGGCCATTCGAACCGGTTTTTCAAAATTGAGATCGATCTATCTTACACCCATTGGTTGTTATCATGTGATGCATCATCATACCTTGACGGCACGAATTTTGTCGGCGACGGTGTCGAAATGCTCGCCGAGACGAGCGTATGGATGGTCTTCAACGCGGATTTTCAGCGTGTCAACGCCTGCAACACAACACACTTAAATATACACAGTTAATGAGATGTCCCATCGGGTGGCTGTCTGGCGGAGTTTCAACGTTTTTGCGTTCTGCACAAATCGTCGCGGGATCAATCCCCCCGCTGGCAATTAATTACCTTGCATGTACGTCGATGGCTCCTCGGTGGTCGCATTCACAATCATATTGATTTTTCGTTGCTTAATCTTCTCGGGTTTGAGTACACTCGCGCCGGAAAGATACAAGTGATCGTTGATTTCCGACATCTGACCGAGCACGCCAATTCTCGACATTTTCTGTGATGAGAAAATTACCGATGAGACGCACACAAAAAAGTAGATTCGCGTAGAAATGAAGTCAGAAATCTGTGGGATGAATCGGAAAGCAACATCATACATGTAATTCATCACAAGTAAACGAGGCTCGATCAGCTGTTGGGCGAAACAATTGGGAAGCGGAATGGCGAGCAATCGAATGCACACATGACGAGCAATTTTTGTCGCCGGAAACCGAAGGAATCACCAAATCAATTTACACTTTTGCGATCATGAAAATGAAATTTCTTTTTTTTTCTGGCCTTCAGAAAAAAATTGTTGTTAATATCAATGAATGGTAATTTGTGTGTGCAATAAATTTGTCTCAAATCACAAAGTAAAAAACACACACAATTGTTCTGGTGGCATGTCGAAAGTGAAATCGCAGGTTGAACACAATGCCGTCGTCGCACTCACGCACGAAGGCAACCATCTCTCGACTACGAAATACCAGTTTGGGCGGGGTCAACACGCAGCTCGCACGCGTCTAGACAGCATGTGAAACTAAGAGACGCAGACACGAAATATTTGATGTTTTTTTTTGAAGAAAAAATACAAGCAAAGTGTTATAGGTGTGTTGGATTTGGAAATGAACTACCCCGGAGGCCGGCGGAGGGCAACACACACACACACACGCGCGCTCATAAGAGAACAGCTGTGTGACGGTGACTGGGCGGAGTTTATCGGAGGGGGGGGGGCTCCTCTTCTTGGAAGAGTACGAGAGTACCCGCGGGAAAAATTACACTTTCAATATTTGGTGGGAGGCAGGCACACGTCTGGCGGTTCGTTCGTCGCCGCATTCCGGAATTCGAAATTCAATTCACATTGCAGCTAACGAAAGTGTCCGATTTGGTGCAAAAACCCTTAAATGTTTGGTGTCAAATTGGAGCACGGCATCCTTTTTTTTTTGCTTGCACAAAATCAAATGAAAAGGAAAGACGACGAATTACCTAAATGAGCTGCTTCTTCTTCTTCTTCTTGGCGGCATGTTTTCTTTTTTTTTGTCCGCCTCTAGTAATGATGACGACAAGGGGAGAAAAAGAGAGGAGGCAAAAAATCCAAAAATCAATTCATACTGGCTTAAGGTGGATTAGAAGATGGAGTGAGCGCGTGCAGCGGAGCAAATCTGATTAAGGAACAAGTGATGCGCGGCGGGCTCAAGACATGTATACATACATATTTATTAGATTGGATGTTTGGATTTCAGCCGGTGGGGGGAGGGGGGATTAGCGCAAAAAAAAACAGACAAGAGAGAGAGAGAGAGAGAAAAGCGTTGGCGTATGAATCTGATGAATTATTCTTGTGTGTTCTGGAAGAAAAAAATTGAACAATCGTCAAAAATGCATTAATTTTCCAATTTTCGTTTTCGACACACGATTGTCGGAAAAAAAAAATGAAGGCGAATGACAAGAGCGAGTCGGCGATCTTTGGTACAACACGAGAGGGGACGACGAGATCAATTGATCGACTGAAAATTGATTTCAGATTGAATCAGCAACAGAAAAATGGGGCGATCACACGCCTCATTTAAGAGAGCATATTTGAGCATGAGAACCACGTGGCACAGATTGAATACAAGTGTGCTCATTTGTCGAATTTCTTGGAAACATTTCGCGCCAGAAAAAAAAGATAATCATTAAATAATTCATTTGGCGGGTATTTTTTTCCCCGATTCTCGTCAATTAATTTATTCATTCATTCGAATCCATCTAGTCGTTGATTATTGTCGGCGTCAAACGACTGAATTCACGAATTCGGTGTAGATTTTTTTTTTGAATATTAAATGCGCGTACGCTTAAATGACTAAAGGGAGGCAGGGCTTTCAAATTCGCGAAATTAGTGTAGAATTAAATTTTTTGTTGACTGAATATTAAATGCGCGTAAGTTATAATGTAATGTACGCAATCGACGCATTGGCACATAGCCAATAATTTTTTTTTAATTTCGTCAAGTCGTTTGACTCCGACAATCGATGATCATAATCTCGCCCATTCCTTGGTTTTTTTTTTAAATTCAGATCAAAAATATTTGGGTAGAAGTTGTCGACGAGAGCGATTTTTACACAAAAAGCAACACCAACTGCTTGATTCTTTTTTTTCCGTGTGCGTATTTTTGGATGCGAGTCGGGAACAAAAGAAAACATTTTTTAAAAGTATTTGAAGTAGTTCAATATCTCAAACGTCATGGGAATTCGAGTTGACATTCGGCATATGTCCATCATTTTTTTTTACCGAAAATGGGGTTCCGACGATGAAAAAAAAGAGAGAGAGAATGGCGCAATAATCGCATCGCTCAAACATCATCATCATCATCATTTCGGTCAGTCCATATTTGGTTGGTGTTCGCGAAACAACAACAACAAAAAAGAAGCACGCACGAGCAATTCATTGGAAAGAAGAAGGGTGCGAATCGAGAGGAAAAGAAAAAATAATTCGGCTACTCGTAAATCGAGACTCGCGAAATTTGAGATCAGCTTAAATGCGCCGTCGATGCTCCGAATTCGGCGACAACGGAAATCTCTATTAATAGACGAAGCTGAATGCGGATTAGGAAGTGAGTTTCCTGGGAAACCGAGACGACAAAAAAAACACACACACCGACAGAAATGAGCACATCGAATGTGCATTTGTGATTCATTTGCCAATCATATCAGCAACACACATTTCAAATTTCAAAAATAAACGGGACCGCACGCGAACCGCAACGCGTCTGGCGACATTGAATAATTCTAGTCGGCGGTCGACGATGAGATGAATGGGTGTAGATTTACGGGCGGTGTGGTCTCGCGCGGATCACATTTCAATGATTTTCTAAATTTCTTGACATTGCAAAGAATTCGCAAATAGACCAAGAAGAACTAAAAAAAAAAATTTCACGTGAAAATAATAAAAACTGCATTCATTCGTGGCGAGACCTTGACGAAAAGAGCGCTCGTTCGCCAACTTTTTTCTTTTTCTTTATTTGAAAAAAATGTTCTCTCGATTGCGATATTTTAAACTGGAAATTTGTGTAGATTTACGAGCATGCGTCTTTTGCTATGGTCTCGCCACGTCAATGCTTATTTTGTAGTTTTCACGTGAAATTTTCATTTCTTTGAATTTTCATTGAAATTCCAAAAATTGTCGGCCCTAAAAATGCAAAATAACCAGTTTGTCGGCGCGAGACCTCAGTGAAAGGCGCATGTCCGTAAATCTACCCACAAACGTTCGACGCCGGACAATATTTAATACATATTTCGACATTGCAGAAGGTGTGCGAAACTCAACCAAAAATAAACCATCTAATTGTCCGCAGATTGTTTTCATCAAAAATATGTCAATAAATGTTAATTCATGGTAAATATATTTCATTTATGCGCATATTCATCATTGGAAAAGGGCAATTTCTCGATAATTTGCAATTCAATTATTTCGCGAAAAAAAAAAACGAAAACGAACGCGCTTATAAATTAGCATTTTCATTCTTTTCTCGAAGAGTTCTTTTGAGCCGGAATTTGTGGAGATTTATGAGTTCGGATGAATGAACTGTGACGAGATTTCTCTTATTTCACAATTTCTTTTTTATGCGGTCAAATGTCAAAAAAAAAATAACACAACATTTTTAGAAATATCAGAATTTTATTGTAAATTTGAAAGAAAAGACAAGGTCTACTGAAATTGTTTGAAACAAATTTTAATTGAATTTTTTCAAAAAAAATTGCTTATGCTACGGTATCAAAAAATATGTGTACGCACCGTGACGTCGCACTACACCCAATTTTTGTTTCTGGTTCGGAAAAAAAGTGGCCGCCTATCGTAATTATTCGATATCTAATATAGATGTAATGCTTCTCAATTATAAGGTCTTGCAGCGAAAAATTCTGGTTGGCTGTTTTTTTTTTTTGAGAAACGCACTATAAATATTGATTTTCCCCTCATATGATTCGGGCGAAAATCGAAAACAAAACGTTTTGTAAATATTTTTATTTCGAAATAAATGATTCGCTCAAATTTCACTCTTCCTTTTTTTTCGCATTTTCAGAACAATCGCCCAAAAATGTCTCTTTGTTTCACTCTCGCGGACAATGGCTCAATTTAAAATTTACAGAGACAATAGAGCTGTTCTTTGGTTTTAAAAATCCCCAAAAAAAAATAGGGAAGAAGGATGAAAAGAAAGACGAAAAAAAGAAGGGTTGTCGAAAAAAAAAGTAACTTGAGCGGTTTTTTTTTTGAAAAAAAAAAAACTCGGAGAAGCCAGTGGTGCGTGAATAATAATCGAATTCGGAATTTCTATTGTTTTGGCGACGAAAAAAAAGGCAAAAGTTGGAACACAATTCGAGTGCACAATGAATATGTCGAATTGGAGAGGGTTTTTCGGATGAAAGGAAATACAAACACACAAAAAAATGAATAAATAGCGGATCATGAAACGACGCGCGAAACGATCGAAACCGAGCGCCCCACAAATATTTTCTCATATCTATTTTTTTTATCGCGTCCGTCGTGTTTGTTTGTTTGTTTGTTGTGTGTGTGTGTGTTGTAGTGTGTCTGGTGTCGACGATGAAGGAAGCAACGGTCGAGAGCACCCAGGTGTGAGCTCCGCGGAGCAAACACACGAGTGGAAGCCGGGAAACAATCTGTCTGTATTGTTTGGCGAATGAATAACAGAAGGCGATATGAACAACAAATTGCTGAACGATTTGTTGTTGTTGCCTCGTTCGCTTCGAATTCTTCTTCTTCGCTTTTTTTTTGGTTCGATAAATGTGTCAATTGCAAGGCGCACGGAATTCAGCGAATATTTTTGCCGAGGGGCATTGCGGAAACAAAATAATTGGAGGAGATTTTGCAAGAATTGCACCTGCAGAATAAATGAGCCATGCTCTCAGAGCTAATCGAAATTAAGACCATCGATTCATATTCGAACTCATTAGTAGACGGACCTCTTAATTATTCGTTTAGGCGGGAAAACGAAGATCAAAACAAATTGAACAATTAGGCAATTGGAGTGACAAAATGATTGTGGTGGAAAAAAAACAATTTGAAATGAGAAATTAAGATTTTTGAGTGGCCAGCATTCTTATTTACTCTGAGTATAAGCATCAGTGTTCAATTTTTTGTTCAGCATTTTGTAATAATAAAAATAATTCTATTTTTGGATAGCGTCCAAACAAAAAGGAATGTTCGCGCCGGATTTTTTTTTGGTTTTTTTTTTCATTATTTCGAAATACCCCCGAAAAATCGTGGGAGGCTATTGCTCTGATTGTTGACATTTTGCAACGAGTCGTTCACCACTTGAACAATTCAAAATTTCAGAATCGATTATCAGAGATCAGATATTTTTTTTTGAAAACATTTCTTACATTTAATTTATTAGATATGTAGTTTTAAAGAGAAAAAATTGATTTGAATCTTCTTTTCAAAAAAAACCGCGCGGAAGTAAATTATTTAAAATGAAGATGAATGAGTGGTCAGATTGAGAGGCGAATGGCGCGGAAAACGGAAATAAATATGCGAATGTTTGGAAGGAATTCGAATTGTGATTTTGTGTAATTACTAATTAGTTGATTTCCGACCGGTTTGTTTTCGGTTAAACACCAATTATTTTGTTTCAATGATTCTTAACAAAGTTTTTTTTTGTAAATGACAAAACAGACGAACTAATACCAACGAGCTTCTGCCCATTTTGGTCTTCAGCCATCAAATCATCGAGCTCGTCCAGTTCGTTTTCCCCCCTTCAAAACGAGCCATATTTATCCAATGACTTCCATTTCCTTGCGGCGATTTGGAAACTTATTTGACGATACCAGAAAATGGCAATCATTTCGATATTTCCCTCTCATTCGATTTTCTCCGGGAAAACCATTTCGGGATCAAAACCGAATGCGTTCGAATATTCTCGAACACCGCAAGAAACACGCCGTCGGTATTCCAAAAAAGGAAATGCCGCCTAGAGGAAGTGATTATCGAGATAATAAAGGCGGGAATTTCAGGAATTCGAAAGCCGCGCCTCATCGAATCAGATCAGATCAACAATGAGTCATGAGAATCGCCGCGAAAAACACACAGACGCACGCGTCGCACCAAAAAATGTTGGGCAGAAAATTTGTCAAGTCATTTTCGGTATGACTGCGCACCCGTCGTCGTCGCCGTCGTTTAATTTGATACGACGACGACGACGGCGACGACGCCGACGACATTCGATGCGCGGCGCCTTGTCCGCCTATCGATCACTTCGTTTACCATCGTCGCTCAACGCCAATTTATTGTATTTATATTCATATCAACTTTTCAATTCTTTCTCGCCGCCGCCGCCGCCGCCCAGCCGATTATTATGATCAACATTTTCAATTCGCCGATCGAGCCGTCAAGTCTCGATGAGTTCGCCGACGGCAAAAGCGCAGCCGATGAGAAGCAGCAGATTTTCGATGCGGTTTGTATTTTATCATCATTGTTTCTCAATTATGGGCGGCACATTTGAAAACAAATTTCGCAATTTTGTTCAATTGAAATTCGTCCAATTAATGGTTGGTTGGACATGGTAATTACAAAACAAGAAACTCGATAAATCCTATTAGAAAAATCGGACCTGTTTTGGGTTTCGTTGTCAATAATGGTCCACAAGCTGAGCAGGCGAAGAAAATCAAAAAAAGACTGAAAAAAATACATTAGAATTTTTGAAAACGAATTTAAAGATTATCCCAACTTCCGGTAAACCAAAAAATGTCGAGCGACGCTTTTTCTCAATTTGCAATGTTTTTTGATAACTGTATAAATGAACCGAACTGTTTGCGCCAAAATTCGAAAATTGTCACTTGATAACTGCTATGAGCAAGTGCGCTCTATTGCGATATCAACAGAGCTTCTGCGGCCGTATTTTCCTCGCTTCGTGGACGCATGAATTCAAAGTTTTTTAATCGAAAAATATGAATAATTTAATTATTAAAATCGCAAAAAATACGATGAACCAGTGATTATTTACGGTGAGTTTAATTCGCAGGTTATTAGTACGGTACAAAAATTTCCACTTATTAAATCGAAATTTGAAATGATTTGAATTACCGCCTCGAAAAAATGCAGTGGTTCACAAACATTTTAGATGCTCGTTTTTTTTGCAATGACAATTCTTTATGTGTTTTTAAAAGAAATCGGCGAAAAAATCTGAAAACAGCACAGAAATTAGATGATAAATATTACATAGACGTGGAAACAATAGTGGACGAAAAAGTGTCATGGCCGAATAATTCGCGGCCGTCTACGTATTAGCCCATCCGAATCATAAATATTCTAGGCCATATTTTTCGCTGTAATATTTATTCCCACGTAGACTACTATAGTATGGGGGGAATATATACTATGTGGGAATATAGAGTTCGGTGATTTCTGTTAATCTACAGATACAAGGTGCGGCAAAATTACGTGTGCATCGAAAAGACGAAATAACTTTTCCAATAAAAAACACCAAAACTCGTTTAAATTGACACCACAATTTATTGAACGTATAAGAATAACGAATTCAACATTAAAAAATAATCAACATTGTTCGATTCTTCCCCCTCCATTTGTTGATATTCCCCCTTAAGACGCTTCGGGTAGACGTAAGCGTATGAGCTTGTGTTTAATTCGTACACACGTAATTTTGTGTATAAATCAATAATAACCTTTTGAATATTAAAAAAAAATAAAACTCTCTTCCATCCTTTTTTCCAAATAATTTTTCATTCGTAAAAAAACCGATCACAATGAGTAATTGTGAACTATCGTATTTTTCTTGAAGATTTTCAAATTTTGATTTAAATAGTGGGAAATCGGCTACCGTATTCTGGATAACCTGCGAATCAAACTCACCGAAAACGGATCGACGCAACTCACTTGTGGCCTAAGAAATTGTCCTCAAAAATAAGGTTCGGCCACGGCCACACTCGCTGGATTAAATATATTAATTCAGTAGAAATAAATGAATACGTACATATTTTTTGTGTTTACGGTTTCGAAAACCAATATCAAAAGAAAAGTCACAACTTCGTAGAAATAAAAATTGTGTGACGGAGCAATACCCATAATTTAAAAAATTGGTCCGGGATTGTGTGCCGCACTTGCAGTATTTCTCAGAATTTGTGTGCCGCACTTAAATTTTTGCTTTTTGAAAGTGTTAACTAATTTATTAAGACCGCACGTGTGCAATTATTAGAATTTTTACAATTCTTTTTTGATAAAAAATTCAAATTATTTCAATTTCCTTTTTGCCAATTTTAATATAACCAATTCTCAACATTTTATTTCAGAATCGAAGAAAGCCGAAAGTGACGTACAATGCAGACGGAAGAAAAGTTTCAACAGAAACCGTTGGAGAATATCGAGTTGTTTCGTTTCAGATTGTCGATGGCGTCATTGAGCAAAAAGTCACCTCAAATGCTCTTTGGTCGACAGCAATAACGAGAGGAGTTGCCAACGAATGGAGGGAAGAAGCGACCGGAACACGCATGCAAAAGGCTAAGAGATACTGTAAGTATTCCATTTTTTTTTGCCATTTTTTCTTCTCTCGATGAATTCGTTCGTTGTCGATCCCCGAAAATTCCATTATAACATATAATACTCGAAGCAAATCGAGGAAGGCAGATTATAATAATACAAGTGAATATATTTCCATGCCAACCGCCTAATCCGCGTCTCATTAATCCGTATTTCGTTCATTTTTTGCAGTGAACCGGGCACGGTACGACGCCCAAGTCTTCGTGCACCGCTATTCGACGCCGCTGCTCATCGCCGCCAATCTCTCGCTCATTGTCATGTTTTTGTATATTTGTCGCGTATTTCCCTTCTCATGAACTCTATTAATTACATAAAAAAAACGAGAAAAAAAAGGAAAATCGACTAAAAAACGACGAAAATTTAAGATAATACAAATAATTTTAATCAATAGTTGAGAAAGAGTGAGAAAGGGAATTATTCGATTTACAATTGAAACGAGAGAAAAATTGTGAAGGAACAAAATTAAATCGTTGATGGTAATAATGAGAAAAAAAGAAATAATAATGATAGTGATAATAAAAGGGAAAATAATTGAGGAAGAAATAAATAAAAATCAGAATAATACTTTTTTTGAATTAAGTCCATATTCTAAATAATTTCCTAAAACATTTCATTTTGTTGGTAAGCGGAAGAACAGAAAAAAATAGGAACACTGGTGCGCAATCGTCCACGTAATATTGTATATGATATGAGCTAAAGGGGAGGGGAGGAGAGGGGGAAAACAAAGAGGAAGGGAAAGGGAAGGGGAGAGGAAGGAATAAAACAAACGAAATGGTTATTGCTCACGTATACTGGCTGAACAGCCTTCGAGTAACTAACGAAATGGGCCAAACTGCTCATTTTTTCTTAAGTAGTGGTATTAGTAGAACTATTGCAATTTATTGTCGCTTTAACGAACATACACGGACCGCGCTGGCGGTGTTGTGTATTCACACAAAACAACAACAAGAAATCGAGCAAGGAAAAAACAAAGAGAAAGAGAAAATGATGAAGTTGAAGGAGAAAGGTATTGTGACGAATTCGAGAAGTCCAACAAACTAGGATGATGAAAAGCGAGAAAATTATATGAATCGGGACCAAGAAAAGAAACGAAAGAAGAAGAAGAAGAAGCAAAAGAAACGAACATGATAGTGAAAAATGATGATGATGATGATAATAATGTTGATGATGTTGAAGAGGAAGAGAAACCACACACACACAAGCACAACTGATGATATTTCGAGAAGAGCATTTTGAACCGGATTTCGGAGAAACAAAAACACGGCAAAACAATTGAAAATCAATTTCGGCAGACGACTCTAAACATCCGAGAAGATGTAGAGGTTGTTCGTAGCTGCTAGTGCGATGATGTTGTCCTTCGGATGCCACGCAGTGTGCAGAATCTTACGCTCGAATTGAAGTTGATCCGATAGCAGATCCTCGTCGGGCTGAAATTCCATAATTTGTTTTTTTTTAAGTTTCTAAAATTTAAGAATATTTTCTAAGTTTATTCAGTTTTGGGATATTATCGAAATTGACGAAACACCGAAATTCTCACCGAATCATTCTGTGTCGTCGTGCGTTTTCGCTTTCCAGAAGCGACAACAGTGCGAGATTTGAGCACACTGTGGCATTCTTGTGGCCGCGCTTCCCACGTCTTCGCCTCGTCAGTTCTTCCACGAGCGTACGTGCGGAACAAGTTGTGATAGGAGCCCGTAAGAATGTGTCTATAACCAAATCAACAAATAGAATGAAACAATCGCAACAAGCGACTCACTTGTCATCACCACTCCAGCCGCATTCGAACTTATCGAAAATCGAGTCGTTCTCATAAAGAGCACACAGTTTCGTCCTCAAATAGTTGTGCACCGGATAAGTTTCGACCGGCTGCGATTCCATATTCAAATCCCATACCTGAATACGAAGAATTACAGGAAATTTTCCAAAACAAAAAGCAACGAAACAAACCTTAACAGTCAAGTAATCTCTTGTGAGCAAATATCTACCATTATGCGAGAATTTCACGTCGCTTACGGACGCAATGATTTCAGAAAAGAATGAGCGGGTTTGTGGATCTTCTGGTTCTTCGAAAACTAAAAAAGAAATGCGAAATATCGAAAATCAGACAATTCGAAACTCACTTTTGGCGTACGCATCGCATAAAGCACGATCGCGCATATCGCATAACCTAATCGAACCTTTCGACGACGAATAAACGAACCAATTGCACTGAGTCGGATGGAATTCAGCAGCAGTTATTACCTCGGTCAATTCTTCCATATTTGTTGGTTTGATATCGACAATGTCTAAAATGAAATGTTGATGCAGATTAAACTCGAAAAAAAAACTCACTGAAAGACTCGTTGGTAATCTCCAAATTCCACAAATTTACACGCAAATCATCGGCAGACAAAAATGTCTCCTGAAATATTCAAAATAATTGCTACTTTGTTTCTTAAACGTACAAACTATAACAGTTACTATTCTAGACTCATTAATAAAATATTTCTCTACATATTTTAATAAAACGAACAGCGGATTAAAATAATCCAATTAATTCTCATTTTCTGTTCGTTTCTTTCATTTGTTAAATTCTAAATCCAATTATCCAAAAAAAAGAAAATTTTGTACCTGATCCGAATTGACAGAAATACTATTGACATGGTAAGTGTGGGCATTGCCGTAAACTCGTCTCGGGCTAGCTTCAACTATCAATTCCATCGGAACAATCGACGGGATTTGTAATTTTCCGCGGAACGAGGAGGCACTAAAGAATGAGAAATTTTTGATACGGATTAAAAGGATCAGTCAGGGGCTACGAACTTGACACGATTCGTCCTTGGCAGATTCCAGGCGTCTTCGGCGATTTTTCTCTCGCGCTCACTGATCTTCCACAATTTTATTGTTTTATCTAAAAAAAAACAGTAGAGTTGATACTCAAATAAGAGATTCAATTGATACCATTCGTCGACAGGATGAAATTCGCCGCATTCTTCTTCTTAAGCCAACGGATTTGGTTAATCTTTTCATCGATTTCTAGCGATTTCAGATAATCAAATTCGGGCTCGTGTGATTGAAATGTTGAATACACATTGTACTCTCGCGAACGGGCTCCCTTCACATATTTTCCCTGGAAAAATGTCAAAATTGTTGAAAAGCTTACTAGAGGCGGAAATAATTACGCTTTGATCCCTCTGGAAAATCACTACTCGGCCGCCTTTGTCACCCGTCGCCAAGTATTCGCCGTCGTGTGAAAACTCGACACACGAGATGACGTCAGCTGAAAGAAAGAGGTGGGGTTTGTTAGAAAAAAATAATTGAGATGAGGGAAGTAAGAAAAGAATTACCTTCAGTGTGAACACCATCTGCGTCGATGTTTCCCTTCACTTGGCTGAATTTCCACTGGATCTCTTCAGTGGCATCTGAAATATTTCGCATTGCTCTTTTCATTTTTCAATTCATATTTTGATTCAAAATTTCATCAATTTCGCGTACTAATCGACCACATGTGGGGCATTATAAAAACTGACCCAAAACATTGTGGTTTTCGGAAGCTTTTTGTAAGCGGCGATTAGACATTATTCACGTAAAGAAAACACAAGGAAATATGATATTTTTTGGCGGCATCAAGAAATACATTGTTTTTGTGGGGGAATAAATTGAAAAACAATGCAAGTTGCGAAATTTGTTTCCGAATATTTTGTGTTTCTTCTCGCCTTGCTTCGAATCACGAAAAAGAAACATATTTCGACAGATTTTTCAACATTCTCATCCTGTCAATCCCAAAAATTTAGAATTGATGGCCTTTAGGAAGAAGAACAAAAGAGTTCACATTTGGCACATTTAATTCGACACCCTATTGTCTAGCTTTCGCACCCGGTCCGTTTATTGGGCGACAATAATTTGTATCGATGATAATTTTGCAGTCAAAAAACGCTCAATAACCCACGTAATGCATATTAGCAACAAAAAACCGAATTAGATAAATGTTTGATGCGATTTGCACCGCTTTGCACTTTTCGAATTGAATATGTGCTCACCGAAGTTCTGATCGCGTTCAATCGGCCCTTCCGACGTGTCCATGTCGCATTCAGAATTGGCTTGTTGCGAAGTAGTGGCTGGTATCGGCTCGTCGACGTCCATCACCATCTCTTCTATTATTCACCTTTCCGTCTCAAAAATTGCACGAGATACAAGAAATGAGCAGCGAAGAAGAATGTGAAAAAGCGAGATAAAAAAAAGGACAAATCGGTCGTCGATTGAATCGATAAAATGTGCTGAAAAACGCGAGAATTTGTGTTCGACAAAAAATCAGACGGTTAGAGATGAAGCCGATAATAAACGATTTTTTCAAAGAAGAAGAAGTGGGTCCAAGGGAAACAAACCCAAAACCAACACACTTGAATATGAGCGAACAAAAAATAGCTGAAAAGAAAACGGGACGACGAGAAGAGAAAGAAAGGAACGAGCAAATGAACGCGTCCGACCAGTTGCGACTCATTTCGACCGACAGAGACGCAGATTGACACACAGACCTAGAGTGTGAGTGTGTGAGTGTGTGTATGTCGGTGTGTGCGCTGATGGGCAACAACGCGCGGATCAATATGTGCCACTAAATACTGTATATGATACTCAATTTTCAGTTTAATCATAAGCACAACAAATCAATGGATTATCCAATTAATTTTTGCAGACGATCAAGAGAAGATGCATTTTTTCAATTAATTTAGCGAAATTTTCATAAGTCAATATTAAAAAATTTAAAGTTTCCACAAAATTTTCAACCTTCGATCTTACCAAATTCTGCTGATACAATATACGAAATGATTGGTATCGGTTGAGAAAAAGAGAAGAAATCAAATTGCAACGTTGAAAAAAATAATTTAAGGAATGTTAGGAAATCGAAATAAGAAACGAAAAACGAAATCAATAAGTGAATATTAGAAGGGACAGCACAAGAATTATACATATAATGGTGATTGGTAGCCAATAAAATGACAATACGCGAAGATTAACACATTTGCGATGAACCAAGAAATGTGCACGACGACGCCGGTAATGGGCGGTGTATCCAATACCCAACCACTAAAGAGACCAACAGTATCGTGAAAAATAGGAATATACCGGAAAAAAAACCCGTTAAGAATTTTGTCGGAAGACTTTTTCCTAGTCAAAAAACTTAAAATAAAATACGGGAAATTGGTTCTTCTTTGAGCTTTAGTAGTTTCCAAACAGTTTGCGTTCAGTTTTTGCAACAAGGACAAATAGTAAATAAATTCGAATTGATGAATGAAATGACGATGAAAATGATGATATGGATTCAATCACCTATATTAAAGATTAAAAGATAAATAAAACAAAACAGGGTAATCCTATTTGCTGCTTTTTGTTTTCTAATGCACATGTCATTTTAAAGAAGAATTGATTTATAAAAATCGTGTAAAATAATAATTTTCATAAAAACGTATACCATTTGATTTTTACACAAAACGAAATTGAAATATGCAACAAAAGTAAACGTGAATTTGCATAAAATGAAAACTGAAACGAAATTGGATGAATTATGGACATCTAGTAAAGAAATTTTTTGATATTTCAATACAAACTGTATTGCATCAGCTGGTTCTCCAAAGTAGTGAAATTTTGAGTCAACGCCTGAAAATAATCAGCTATTCCTTTAAAGAAACACTACAAATCGAATTTTCCTTTTAAAAATCGGAAAATACAAAAACAAGAGTTTACAGGGTGTCATTTAAGTTCCCGCACAAAAGTTAGACGCCATGAAAAGCTTGGCTGTCGCACTTTTCGTGCACCAATACAATTTATTTTTGTTAAATAAGGTGTATTTTACTTACTTTTCAAGTTTCACTTCATTCGGATGTGTTTCCGAGAAATGGCGAAGGCTAACATCCATTGCGCTTCCATTATCGAACTTCATAAGCGAAATGAGCGCCCGACAGAGATCATTCAACGCCTCGGTGTGCCTCGTAGAACGGTTTATGACACCATCAAACGATTCAAGGAGCTAAATACGACCAGTGACCGTCCCAGACAAGGAAGACTCGTCTCAGTAACCACTCCTCAGAAGATCAACGCCGTCAAAACGAGGATCAGGCGAAAACCGCACAGGAGCATAAGAAAGATGGCGTCAGACATGGGAATGAGCATCTTCGCTATGGAACAAATGGTCAAAACGAAGCTTGGACTGACCCCATATCGCGTCCAAAAAGCGGCAATTCTATCGGCCGTCAACTAGCAGAGACGCTTCGAAAAAGCAAAACGACTTTTTGCTCGCACGCGGTCTGGAGAACACCTCGCCACTGTCTTCTCCGACGAGAAGCTGTTCACTGTGGAGGCGGCATTCAACTCACAAAACCATTGAGTACTTGCCCAGACATCCCAGAAAGCTTCTGAGAAAGGAAGAACAATTCATCCAGCCTCACATCCTGCCAGTGTGATGGTTTTCGGTGCCATCTGCTCAACCGGGAAGTGCCCCTGGTTTTCGTGGATCAGGTGGTGAAAGTGAACAAAGAAGTCTACGTTCGGGACATTTTGGGGAAGCATATGATGCCCTGGGCCCAAACGCATTTCGGTGGGAAGATATGGGTCTTTCAACAGGACGGAGCACCCGCCCCTACTGCCAAAACTACTCAGGAGTGGTGCCAGACCCATTTTCCCGACTTCATCAAGTCATCCGAATAGCCTGCTTGCTCCCCAGACCTGAACCCGCTTGACTTCTCCGTGATGGGGTCTTGCAGGAGAAGGTCAACGCAAAACCCCACTCAAGTGTAGAGGCTCTGAAGAAGACATTACTGGCGGAATGGGACAATCTTTCCATCGAATACCTGCGTACCACAGTCGAATCCAACCCGAAGCGTCTCCGTGAAGTCATAGCTGCGAAAGGAGGCCGAATCAAAAAGAGTTTATAGATAAATATTTGTTATACTATAGATAAAAAATATTTCGAGTCTCGTTTGATTTGGACTTTTAGTTTCAGAAATATACGTCTTCAAAGTTGTGCGGGAACTTAAATGACACCCTGTATTTGGGTATTGCCCAGTTGAGTACCTAAACCATCTGCTTATGAGGCCACCCAAATCGAAAAAAAACAGACGCTGAAGCAAAAACCAATTGCGATTCGATTTTTGTGAGCCAATAATCAATAGACGTGTTCAACACAGAGCAACCGTGACAATCTCTCTTTCTCGCTCTCTTCCACGACAGTGTTTCTATTCGCTTCCGGTTACCATGCACCACCATCACTACCAGCTATCATCTCACAATGCGTGTGTTGATAACGCCCGCCGCAAAAATATAATCCGTTGATTGTGGCCACAAAATAACACTGGAAACGCAGAACAATTGCGTCGAAGACCGTCAATCTCCTAATCCAGAATGAAGTAGAAGACGAAGGAGCTGGAGCAGATTAGTGTGAGCAGCAGCACAAGGAGCAGAAGAAACCTGCCGCATTCAAATCTATATATGTATAATACGCATACGTATATGAGATTATTTAATATCGATTCGAATTCGTTGAATACAAAATGAGGTGTTTGTTGTCAGATTAGCATTCGCAAAAAGGAAAGAGAGAGAGAAACTAACACAAAAATACAATATGGCCGATGGTTGGTTGTGAAGTGCTCAGAAAAATCAAGCTGAATGAGCTTAATCGCTTCGAGACCCCCTCGGCCAACAAGAAATTGGTCAATTTGAATGTGAAAAGGAAATTAAACGTGAAATATTGGTGGTTGCCGTGCACCCGAACAACGAATTTAATATTGTAGTATCAAGAATTTATGACGTGCTGTTTGTGTGTTTTAATGAAAAAAAAAGGAAGAAGATGACAAAGAAGGAGAAAATACGCACTTTCACGTCATCTCGTCAATCAATAAAAAGACGCAATCAAAATGAGCAATACCGGGCGATTGTTTAAACGGCACTTCGAACTTTGATAAAAATCGATCATTTGAACACACAAATTCGAAATCCACCAAAAAGCGGCAAATGTTTGTGAGAGTGGAACACGAATTTCTGAAAATTTCATCAAAACTTCGGTAATCATTTAAAACTTTTGATGAAAATTCTGGAAGTTCTTATCGAAAATGTCAAAAATCGCGTTTTTTTGGCGTCTGAAATAAAAAAAAAAGCGACGACAAACGAAACAACAAAGAAAAGAACTTCGTTTCGTTATTTTCTTGTCAAAATCTGATGGCTGATAGTGATGAGTCATTGGTAGAAACTTGAAAAAAAATACCAAACTGAATTTTGGAAGAAACGGAGGAGGAAAACAAGAACCTATCAAAATGAAATGCACTATGCGAATCTGGTTTTAAATCAAATCCGACGATGTCATCGTGAAAAAATTCGTTCTCTGAACAATTCATCAGAAAATCTGAATGGGTGGTACACAATTAAATTAGGCTGGTCCGATCAACAGCTATTTTTTTTTTCGAAGACGACGTCGAAATTACACGGCAAAGCCAGCCAGATTGAAGCTTGTTCTCCGTCGAACAAGGTTTTTCGAGGCAGACCACCGACCCATTAATTAAACCCCAATTGAGAGGGGTTTCGGCTTGTAAATAGTACAAACGGAAATAAACGAAATTTATCCCCTACGATTGCTAGCTACGTGGGACCCCAGAAAGCACACGCTGAGCGAGTGAGAATCCGCAGAAGCAAAAAAAAACATACACACACACACATAGACACACGGACCGCGACACAGTTGGGGCGACGAGTCAAGAAGCGCCATCGACGACGAGAGGCGCGCACACACACACACACACAACGACGAGACGGGGCAACAGATGGCAAGCTGCCTCGCAAAAAAAGACCGCAGCCGTTGGCCCTTGCCACGACAATATGGAGATGAGGTGAGCCGCGCCGAATCAGGCTCGCCTGATCGCCGCAGGGCACATCAAAGCAACAACAACAACAACAAGCAGGACGGGCGAGAAGAAGTAGAAGAAGGCGACAAAGACAACTAGGCTGGCGCGGAAAACGGCACACTCTCGCTATCAGTCAGTGTTCGACCATTTTGCAGTCACCAAAAAATATTGATTTCGATCAGTGACGGTTTTAAACATGGCCCATCGAAAATTTAAAAGGAAAAATAAAATGATTTGTACCATTTAATGAATTGACAATAATTTATTATTGATCAGTACCGCCATCTAAATTGACTTATATTAAGACAATAATTTGACTGAAAAAAATCATTGTTGTTATTTTTGTGTAATATGTCACAAATAATTAATGTGATAGAAACCGCAATATCAATCGTTTCAAGACCAAGGATGCATGAGATTCGAGATTGGTACGTACATTCGCGCTATCAGTTTCTCTTTCAATGGAATTCTCTTTTTTGCAAACTCCTTCATATGTCACCTTTCGTCAATTCAAAAAATCGCGAATTGTTCGCGTCTACTGCAGTTTTTCAATTTCGGTTTATCTGTTCCACACAACATTCCTTTGTTCATGTGATACAGTTTCTCTTATACATTCGCTCGCAACAAAAAAAATCGAAAATTAAAAAAACCTATGAGTGTTTTATGATCTCAAATTGTTCCAAACTCTCCGAGGTGGAGCTCGAGAAATTAATAAAAATTCATAATAACAGAAATTGAATAAAAAATCGGTTGGTCAAAATCGTGAATCGTAATAAAAAAAATTATGTGTATGAAAAGAAAAAATGAATAATTGGTCGTTTGAGATTACCTTGAAAACATATTGATAAGATCACAAGAACATCCATTCCAGAACGAAGATATAGAAACCGGTTCAAAAATGAAGTAAAAAACCCAATTTCATTCAGATATATCTCTCAACGCAGCGTAAAAACTCATCAATCTACGTAATGAAAGTTGAATAACGCAACGAGGCACCCACACGAAAAAAGAAAAAAAAATAATAATAAAAAGGAAAAAAATTGTGGATTCATGGGCAAAAAAGAAATGCGAGCCATATGCGGACTCGCTAAATAACATGCACAAAACATTCGTTTATATATATATATATATATATATATATATATATATATATATATATATATATATATATATATATATATATATATATATATATATATATATATATATATATATATATATATATATATATATATATATATATTCGCTTTTGCACTAATCCTGGGTCGATATATCGATTTGAGAAGAAAATTTGGCGAATTGGACGACGAGTTCTTTGTGGGAGCGAGCAACGTCAAGAGAGGCCTCTTGAAATTTGTATCTCTTTCCGCCTACATACCCTCAGACGTACTCAATTGACTAGTTTATCTTAGGTTTTGTTGATTGCTTAAGCAGTGTTTGAATAAGCATGTTTTGATATATCGACGGTTGAGTTGAGCTGATGGCGAATTGCGCGGGATTTATTAATGATTTTATACGGAAACTTCAAAAAAATCGACAGACTCATTTCGATAATGATACGCAACCACGTAATTAATTCGTGTATTCACCTCACCTCACAGCAGCATATCAGATGATTAAAAATCGGCCTAATTTTGAAAACTGAAACTATTCAAGGAACTCAAAGCATTTCGAATGAAATCGACCGAATAATTGAGTAAAACCTGTATTTAAAAAGAATTAAACTTACAATATATTGACAATTGGTGGAAAATCAAGGAATCAATTGAAAATATTCACGAAAAATTTTGAAATTGGCTGTACGCGAAATCGCGTGTATATTGAGCCGGTGTTTACGGACGTCAATAGCATACCGTAATATTTATTTTGCTGACTTCAGAATAGTGAATCGAAAAAAAAAAATAAATATGGAAAATACGAATCTAAACTACAAATGATTATAGACAAGTAAGGAAATAAATTTAATTATTGTCGTGGTTTTAACCACATTGGTATTGATTAACCCATAAAAGCATTATCACTAGAAGCATTGACGTCATGCCCGAAGTAATAGTTTCGCAGACGATTCCCCCCTTCCCCAATTTTATTCCTTAATGCGCGCCATATTCACACGTGAAACAATTTTTCTTGTAATCATTCCAATTCTTGTGGTTTCTAGAAATGTTATTCAGTTCTCTGGACCAAATTGTCACATGTGTGAGGTGAAAATGAAAAGAAAAATAATGAGAAGGAAAATGGATAATGTTTCAGGTAATTCTCAATAATGTTCGATTTGAGTATCACAACAATTTCACAAATGTTTCCGTGGATCAACTCAAACATTCGTTATATCTGTAAGTATTCGGAAATAATTAGAAAATTGAATAAAACACATTAAAACATTTTTAATCTTAAATTTTGCTTACGAGATCATCAGGTTGTTTAAGAATTAGTGGGAAGCCAAGTTATTTCAAACTTTCTCTAGAAAAATCATCAATTTTTTTGGAAAATTAGGAAAATATTCCAAAAGATACGTAAATTCAATTTTATCGCGAAGTTTTTAAACTACGAACTTTTGCCTTTCAACACAATTCATATTTGTTATCAGCAAATGTGTCAGAAGCTTCGAACCGTTTATAATTCTTCTAAGCTCAAAACAATTTTGGAATCTCAATATTTGTTCAATTTACTAATGCGTATTTCGCGATAAATGCCAAGCTTAATCCAAAATTGGCGGTTTCTTTTTCGAAAACACAAATTAAATATTGTAGGCAATGCGATTTGAACCTGAACGGATTCACCGATGAGCAATGCCACAAGCTCGTCGACAAAGATGCCAGCGACATTCTTGCTCAGCTTCAAGCAGGAACATCATCGTACCGTATATGCCAATCAGAAAATCTTTGCTGACACAATAAAATTCACAATTATTTGAACACAATTGTGCAATACAAGAATTTATCGAAAACTGTTTTATGCGAGTAATCGAACATTTTATTCTTTGTGAAATATATACCGATATTTTCTCATGGGTGGCCTCACTATCTATAATAATACAGTAAACCTACAGTAATGCGAAATAGAGGACATACACTTGCATAAACGTGCACAGAAACGATGAATACCGCGAAGGAAACAAGAAATCCGAAATAGACGTATCTACAAACAATATCCTGTGGATCCGTAGATTTGAAAAACAGATGCTTCAAATCCACTGAGCTCTGAATGTTCGTCTTTTACAGAATCATCGTGTAGGCCAAAGAAATACCACCAAATTTGGCACCAATGTTAACAGTAATAGTTTCATTACAAAAAATATCAGAAATGAGCACCATTCACTGAATCCCACGTTAATTTCTTTATCATTCCATATAAATTTAAAAATACACAAAAATAATTAGTTTAAAAAAATGAGCGGTCACCCGCAAAAGACAAAAAGGCATTAATGAAGAAGGCATGGAAGATGAAACAGAACAGATCACAGATTGATTGGTCGCATGACTCGTTGATTCGATTGTTCTTGCTGTAAAAAATGAAGCCGATGGGTTACGGTATGCGCCTTTAAACTCAAATTACCAAATCATTTCGGCACGGAACTCTCGAGAGGAAATCCAATATTTCGTTGTTGTCGACGAAATTGGGATTCCGCAATTTCTTGGAAAACTTGTTGATTCCCCAAATGAGGATAATCCAGCGAAGAGGAACAAAGTATAAAAGGATAAACGCGAGAATGAGCACGACAACGGCGAGAGTCGAGAGCCACATATTGGTGAAATTGAATGTGCTGCAAAATGGATTCATATCGGAAACAAATGGCCGAATGAGAATGAGAGAAAGAGCAAGAAACGAACTGTTGGACTCTTTCGATTAGCTGGTTAACGAATACCAGCGAATTTTGAACGACAACGAGAGTTTCTTGAACTGAGAATATCGTATCCCGAATGCTTGAGCTCTAAAAACAAATTAAAATTTGAAATGTCAAATATCGCTGAATAATTTCAAAATTCTTAAAAATTTCTTCTTACCTTATCATCTTCGTCTTCACTTTTCGATCGAGCCGATAATCTATTGATATTCTCGTCACTTGATTTTCTCTTTATGAAGTTCATCGCAAAAATGAAAAGGATAATCAGTGGAAGAAAGTAGATCTCGAAGAAATAGACGAACAACACGAAAAACTGAAATCCATGTTTGAGAAACTTCACTTTTTTATTTGAGCTGAAAAAAATACCACAAAAGCGGCCGCTGATTTCGGTTTTGATTGCCATGACAAAAGGTATCCAATTGTCTCTGTGATGCTCAGAATGCTTAGTGCAAAATCCTTTAATTCCATGACGGTGGCTCGAAACAGCGAAGCTTTGAATTTCTGCTCCTGCGCGATGTATTTGGTCTCTTTCGGCTTGAATGTTCGAATCGCAGCACGAATCGGATTCCATATCAAATCCATTTCGAGCAAAATGTCGCCTTTCACGCGTTTTCGCAATTTCTCATCTTTCAACGCATACCATCGACGTTCGCAATTTCGTATCTGAAAAGAATTGCCTAAATTACAAATTGTTGAATTAAGAGTTGATACCGATATCAATGGAATTGAGACTCGTCCTAGAAATTCAAATCGATTGTTGGGATCCTCATCATAAACGGTGAGCACCAAGCAGGTGTGAATATCTTTGACTGCGCTGAAAATACCACAGTGAGTCGAACGGTTTCGCAATTAAGCCCAACAAACTAAATATTTTGTTCCAATGCGGATTCAATGTCTTGTATACTGTGTGTGTTTGCACTCTTGTATTCACCAATTCCACCACCACAAATGGGTCACTTTTCCCACCAAAGTCTTTGGCGACGAGATCTTCAGCACAGAAGACTTTGACTGTCAAGACTCCAATATCGGAGATATCAGCAAACGAATTGAAAATGTCCTAAAACAGATGCTCATTTTCATTTATCTTCAACGAAATTCTTACATATTTGGCAATTCTCGCATTTCGAACATCATTGTGATTAAACTCATCCGTTTCGATTTCTGTCGCCAAATTTTTCGAGCTTGATACGGTTATTAGTAAGTGAATTTTAGCATTCGCGCTTCCTTCTAATGGGTACCATTCTTGAACAGTTTCATCGAACGGAAGTCCATCAATGTCGATTGACAATCTAGCAACTGGATGATGATTTCATTCACAATTCAATTCCTATTACCTTCCAATGACTGTATTCGATGATCTATCAATGCAAACAATTTGAAGAATCTGATCAGAGGTGTCGAAAATGTGCATATCGAATTGCTCAACCCACTTGGGCTCTGAACTAGCTGAGCAGACCTTTAAAAAAACAAAAACTTTGATTACGTTCAAATGTCGAATATTCCAAAAACCTTTGTTTTGTACTTTTCCATTCCTAATTTGAATTTACAGAACGCATCAGGACTTTTCGTCTCATCAATTCTGACACCATCGCCTTCGACAAGCACCAAATTCACATTCTTGCTCCATTCCTTCTGCTCATTCGTCCTTTCTTTCCTTTTCTCATTCGTCGATCGAGATGACTTCGCGGCAAACAGTTGCACTTCCTGTTGGGTCATTGGTGTCAACGTGACACATAATGAGACCCTCCCAGCTGGCATTAAGGACTCATCTACGAGGTTGAGTACAAGCTCTGTCGGTCTATAATGCTATCTTTACTCGATTTCACATATTATTTAAATAACTGACGTGCTCCATTTAATCTTCTCTAATTCCACTTCAGCACTTCCCATAAAATCATCGGTACAGAACCGATCAAAATCGAAAACTTCGATCTTGAGTGGACTTGTCACATCATCGACAATCATTTGAAAGTCCTCATCCCAACACGGATTCAGATTCTTGAAAATCGTGTTCGATTTGTAGACAATTGCCTCCTTGTACCGAAATTTGACATAAGGATCGCTACTTCCTGAATAACAAAAACGAACTGGTAGCAATTCACGCGAAGGCCATAAAATCAATTATATGTTTCAATTCAAAAATTTGGGGTTTGAAAAAGTATTTAATTATAATATGGAACAACATGACATTTATGAGAATCGCACTCCACTGATTTTTTTTTTGAAAAAAAATTTCCGTGGTTTCTGATTTTTAACATTCAAATTGAAGAAATTCATGGAAAAAAATCGACATAAGGTTAAAAATTGGCGAAAACATAACATTAAATTATCATAATTGTCAATTAAAATGAAATTAACTCGATAAGGTTTCCGGCAGGCTCATATTATTGTTAAATATACATAATTTCGGCGTGAAACGACTGAAAGGAGGCGGGACATTCAAATTCTCGAAATCAGTGTAGATTCAAATTATCTGTTGACGGAATATTAAATGCGCGTAAGCTTAAAAAAGGTACGCAATTTCGCGTGATTCTTGCTGCTTCGAGACGCATTGGCACATAGCCAATAACTTTTTAAATTTCGTCCACTCGTTTGACTCCGACAATAGATTAACAGTGGAAAATCAGCATTACGGGAAGCCTGCGAATTAAATTCATCATAAATTGAGTGCAATTTTTTGCGATTTTAATACAAATACATATCATCTACAATTTTCGCTATAACGTTTTAGTTATTTTTGCTAATAATCTGAGTTTCGAATGGATTAGAATTTTTAATGACATTAGAAAATCAACGATTACTGACTAACCAGAAGCGTCTTTGACAGGAAGTTCTTCTCCACGATTCAATCGCACTTCTAGAAGCAATGTGACGACGTCGGTATCATTTGTTGGAATCGGATGCGCCTCTTCGGCAACATCTTCATTCTGCAATTCACACTGATTTGTTGAACAATGAAATTGAGGGGTGACGGGCGGGGTTTGCATACAATAGTGGCAGATGATAGACTACGGTACTTGACGCGTTGATTTGATGCGGTTCGCCGAATAATACTTTTGAGATTCAAGTTGACCATGCTCACTCACTCGAGGTGTGAATGAAACGATCGAATGCCGCGAATCGATTCGGCGAAAAAGAAAACGCGCATTATTTTATTCATATTTATAACGATTTTTTCGAAAATGTTCCGATCGAGTGTGCACTGTTTTGGAGGAGGGTCGTGTCTTCTATTCAAAAAATGCCGCGTCGGCGCCCCCATTCCTCTCCCTCCCGACCCCCCAAAGCGTCGTTTCTGTTTTGCCCATTTTGGCCGACGCGTTATCATTCTAGCCGGCGCCAACGTTTTAATTGCCTATTACGAACCTCGTCGGCGTTGCGAATGGTCCTGAAACGATTTTTAATGTGAGCGTTGGTGAACGACGAACATGATCACCTTGTGAATGCGAATGAGTCGAGGAGACGACGAAAGCGAAACGGCTGCGATTTTCGTGGCGATTGCGGTTTGTCGACGAGCACTACAAAATCACAAAAATTTTACTTGAAAAAAAAAACAAAACACTTTGACTCACATAAATGTTTTAATTTTTATTTTTCAAATATAATAAGGAAAATCTGAATTAATTGAATTTAATTGACCAAGATTACTGTATTACTCTACTGTGTAATCTATTGTAAATCATGATAACACTTTAAAAGAAATACATAAACGTTTAATCGAAAATAAAACAAAAAATGATGTCAATTAAATAAAATGAGGCTTGGGTAGATTTACGGACGAAATTTTTCAATAACTGCGGCATCTACGCTCTACTGAACACTTAATATTTTCCATTTCATTTTCAAATTCATCTGAAAAAAAATTATATTGTCAGCGTCAAATAACTGATCGGTGTCGGGAAATTCAATTTCACAAAATGTATATTTCGACGAAATTGTGAATTTACGTGCGTACACTAAAATTTAGAGTACGCAGGCAGGCTCTTTGCGGCTCTTTGCATCGAGACACTTGGCATATATAGCCAATATTATTTTAAAATTTTATTTCGTCGTTTGATGCGACAGTATGGTTTCCGAATAACATTAATGTTAACGACTTGTTGATATTCTCTCTTTTTTATTTTAAAGGTATGCTCGGGCTCATTACGATGCTTTAGCGTGGAACTTTCTGAAAACCCTTCACTATTAGAATGAGCTCATACCGTTCGTCAGATTCTGCTTCTTGGAATTTCTCATTCGTCTTTTCCGTCGAAAAACCAAGAAAATGCGAGAAATTGCGAAAATTGACATGGTTGTTTGGAGGCGCAACACACGAACGAGCGAATTCAGCACCACATTGAATGATGATGTATTTATATTTTCATTTTTGGCTCTGCTTTTTTGAGACAACGAAATGTGAAAATAAAAATCGCCGGCGAAAATTCAGAGGGCACAGAACAACAAAACTCATTCATTTTTCCCGGCACCATACATCTTTGATTAAATTTTTTGAAAAAATTCTCGCAAGGCGAATATGAATGCTTATTTTGAAGATAATAATTGAATTACTGGTAGTGAGAATATGAATCATTTTCTCGAAAACAAGATCCCACTGGGACCATGTATAAATATGTATTTACATCATTTTTTAACTGAAACACTACACTTTCAAATATTAGTCGAATTTTAGGTCAAAATTGCAAATTGGTTTCTGATTCGAAAAAAATGTGAGTTTTACACCGATAGATGAAGAAAAACCAAATCCAAAGTCTTACCCGATTTTCGTTTTCTTCTCGTCAACGGCGAACATCCAATAGAAGTGGATTCCAGTATTGAGTCGTCATCCTCGTCAATTCGGCTCATCCCATTCTGCCGAAATGCTAAAATGAAAGAACCATAAGAATATTCATAAAATTCGTCTAATTTGGTGAAAAAATAGAATAAAAATGACAAAAAAGAGAAAAACGAACAGAAGCGAAGTGAATTTAACGCGCGAATGAATGGCAGAGAGGAGGAGAAAATTGCGAATGCCTTTTATTGTCATTCAAAAATAATAAGAAATTCATTTAAAAAAAATTCACAAATTAAAAGTTTGAAACTTAATTTTTTATTTTAGAATATTTAAAAAAAAATCAAGATTATGCTGAGAAAGCCCGTCAAAAATAGCAGATTTTATCGAATTTAATCGAGATTTATATAAGTAGTGCAAATTTAAAGGCTTCCTCTCGGAAAAAAGAGAGATTAGAGTGCGCTTCTCCAGAAAATATTCGATTCGTTTCAAGCGGAATTTTGCGAGCAAAAAAAATGTTGAAAAAATAACACCGGCAACAAAGGCAAAGAAAATGGGCGTTGAAATAAAAACAAAATTCCCAGCGGACATTTTTTTCTTCGGCGATCAAGAGTCCGCTTTTACGCCGTTTTTTTTTTTCTTCTTTCGCCTTGCCCGTATTTGGCGAACATCAATCAAAAAAGGATTGTGCGCCACTTTCAAATTTCGCTCATTTTTTTCCGCTTTTGGTTCCTCGTCAATAGTGCGAGAAAAAAAGAGAGAAACAATTGAGAGCTGAAACATGTCGACGGACGAATGAGGTTCAACTAATTAGCTCAACTAAACTGAATGAATGAGTTTTTCGACGTCTTGACATTGATGAGGTCAAACCTGCCTCTATTTAAGGCAAAATTATACATAAAGCTCAAAGTATGCATGTGTGAAGTCAATGGTAAATTCAAGAAGGAGAGGGGTTTATAATTTCAGCTAAACCAATTTTTTGGACAACGAGAATTCTCAAAAAGGAAATGTTTTTTGATGAATGCGATTTTATTTTCGCACGAAAAAAAAGCAATAGAAGAAAAACAAAAAAATGAATCAGAATTAATTGATTGCTCATCAATAATCATTGTCTATCTTTAGACTTCGTTGCAAACTACAATTGTGACCAGCTCGATAATGTATTATCAAATTTTTAACGATTTCAGACATCTAAAAAAAAATAAAAATTTGATTGCGGAAATTATGGAAATAAAAGAAGCCATATACAAATTTGGAAAATATAGTTTTAAAACGAAAAATTTTGATCAAGGCACCCCGAGATGTTCAGAATGTGTCAAAACAAATGAGGCTCAAAAAACGCTGCGCCAATTCTCGTAAAAAATAGAAAAATAAAAGAAGGAGAGATGTTGGCGACGAATCTGAATAGCAAATTGGTGGTGTGCGCTGGAATATCAAAAAAGGCGAGAAAAAATTAACAAAATTTGTTGTTGTTCGGCTAGAAAAAAAAACACAGATATTGGAATAATTCAAGACAGAAATGATTAATTGCAAAAAAAAAGCAATTATCGAATGACAAACACATTATGAGATATTCGTAAAAAAAAACACGATGGGAAATTCGCCGCAATTTGATATATTCGACGATTTGGAAGCACCCTATTTTTCGTTTTTTTTGCCGAAGTCCATTTATAAATTAGAAGAATTTTGAGAGCATTTGTCCGAAATTATTTCGAAAATGCGACAAGAATGACATACGAAAAATCAATATAATTGAATCGAGCAGGCAGGCATTCTCTCTCAAATATAAATAAATTAAATTAATCTGGCAAGAATAGCGAAGGAAAGTGATAATGATATATATTATTACCATATTTCCATGATTTCATGAAAATTTTTGATTAAAAAAAATTTTTTTTTACAAAAATGAAGAATTATTAAATTTTGACAAATTCCGCGAATATGAGAGCAAAAAATAATGACATTTGAAAGGAAAAATGGTTAGTGTGAGATAATTTTGATAATCGCAGAACATTCCGAAAAAAATTCATCGGAAGAATATCAAATCAAGAGATTTCTTAACAACTCACCAAGGCGAATATCGAATCGATGAGCAATTAAGAAATATTTCTTCTGAATATTCGCTAGCATTCCATCCAGACACCTAATGAATCAAATTCGAAAGACGGGGAGACAATTCTTTAAAAAAAATGTCTCCCAGTCGGACCACCTCCCCCCATTAATCTTTTTGAGGTCACGACAGTTTTTTTTGAGTGAAAACCTCAAATTATGCTATTTGTCAGACTAAAAGGGCGGGCGAATCGGAAAAAAATAGTTGGTGTTTGGCATATCTTCCCGAGAGGCAGCTTCTGCCGCATAAATTAATTTCCGCTGTTCTCTCGAAGCTCTTTTCTCAAACGAGGTGCCATCGAAGCATTTATTCGTCACGTAGGGGGCTAATATACATTAACATTCATAATTTAAGAGCAACTGCTTTCTTCAGATATTGTGATTTATCGTCAGTGGTCAGTAAATTGGCACATGCTGTATAAAAATATATATAGAATTATAAGAAATAAATCAATGAAACTAACCAATGAAATGATCAGTATTCGATGGAATGAAGAATGTACTGAATTCGTCAAAAAGCTAAAAAGCATAAAATTGGAAAAAAAGACTGTAAGTTGTCATTTTGACACTGTTATTAATTGCTAGGATTATTAGAATAAATAATCGAAGAATCACAAACCATTTTCCATGTTTTTTGCTGCGTTTTATAGGCCTTCAAAGCTTTTGCAAAGTTTCTTTTGTTCTCTTCACTCATTGCGTTAATTATATCAGAAGTACGAATCTGCAGTGCTTTCTGATAATTATCAGGTAAAACATTATTGATTTTTCCCTATAAATAAATTACTAATTTCTATATTCTATCATCATAATACCACAAGAACGAGTTTCTTTTTGTTCGGCGGTGGTCGTATTGTCTCATTCTTCACGCTATCAATTTTTGACGAAGATGGTCGTGCAGCTAATTGGAACATTGGTTCAAACTCAGGAAGAGCTCTTTTTCGATTGACTTCCACTTCGTTCTTTAAAAATGATTTTTGATTTGAGTAAATTAAGAAAATTACAGTAGGGAGGCGAAATCCGCCGGCAATCGTAGGAATCGGTTCAACATTTTCAACTTGTTCTTCTTTGACTTCCGGTATCGATTCATTTCCAAAAAGCTCGTTAAGAGAAATTTGGGGAATATTTCTCGACGAACTTCTAAAACATAAATTGACCCGAAAAAATACATTTGAAGGTTCAAACTTTTCGCTATTTTCTTTCTTTTTCCTGAAAGAAGATGCAGTATTTGATTCTTGTCGATGTGCATAAGATGTTCGAGATTCCTGATAGACAAACTAGCAAACGAAAATAATTTTTTTTTACTTCCACAAGGTGTTTCCTTTCTCCGAAAAACCTCGATATTCTAGCCGAACAATCATTCGTATCGCCACGCGAAATCGTATTTCTCAGCCATTTGGGGAACATTTCCAATTTTGCCGAAGCATATCTTCGATTAAACCGTGTGATTAGGAATTTCTACAAAATGAAACCTCGAGTCGATTAGCACAACTGCTCCAAAATCATCCTTGTGTCGCAAAACTCTGCCAATTGCCTGATTCACCGCTCGAAACGCTTCCATCTGGTACCAATCGCGAGATGATTGACGCTCACTTTGCTACAAAAAACATTTCGCTTCGAAAACAATGTGTACGACCGAAAACCTTGTTGTTGTCGTTGAATTTAATGTCTTCGAGGAACATTTTTTTGAGAACAACTCGCTCGTCGTTTATTGGTGGATAAGGAATGCCGATAATGACGACGGCCCGAGATTCGGCATCACAAAAATCAATTCCTTCACTAACCTGAAAATGATTCAAAATTGCTAAACCATTTCGAAATAGCACCTACTTTTCCACGACAAACAGCGAACAAGGCGGCTCCTTTCGAATTTCGCACACCATTCACATATTTCGCTCTGACCGCGACCAACTCATCCTTTGCTCTTGGCTCGACGACAACATCCTTCGATTTTGTCATTTTCTCCCAAAATGTCTCCGAATTGTTGGCTCGTTTCATCGACTTCCACGAATTCGTCAAATCTTGCATTTGAGCGTACGACGCGAAGAAGACGATGACGCCTTGTGGCGTCTCGTCGAGAACGCGGATCAAGGATTCGGCAACGTCGGCAATATAATCGGAGTTCGATCTAAACGATGTAGTGGTTATAGATTAGTTTCTTCGGATACCGATTGGCATATGAGCCCGTAATGTTGTTCCTGTAGCCTTTCATAACAACTGATGTGACGACTGGAACGGTTTTCAGAGCATGCTCATTTTCTAAAATTGCTCCGAAGTTTCTGCATGATTTCAATTACTAAAATTATTCGACATTTCGATTCTTACAATCCCATGTTGAAAGTGAAACTTTGAATAGGAGATAATGTTCCACTGGCGAGAAGAACATTCCGAACACCACGCATTTTTAGCATTCTCATTGAGATCGAAGCTTGAAAGCAAAAATATTTGATATGAAGCTGCAAGTTTAAAATTTTCTGATAAAATATTACAAATGTGCGACTACCATGCCATTGACATCTTTTTTCAAATAAAGTTTGCAATTTCTAGCAACAATTCGAGGATCAACACGATCAGCAAGCTGAAAAAAAAAGAAAGAAATGTGAAATTAATTTTCAAAAAACTTTAGAAACCTTAATATCTGAATCTCCAACAGCTGCAGCAACATCTTGAGCATGAGTAGAAAAAATTGAAAGGATGAAATCACAAACTTTTTCCATTCCATCGCCTTTTTCAGTAAGTGGAACGTCTTCGCCTGAACACGAAATTTCGATAGATCGCGTTTCGAAACGAAAATCGGTATACCTTTTGATAGAAGATATGAAGTGGCATCTCTCAGAATATCAACAACTCTTTCAATTGAATTTCCATCAAGACCAACTCGTTCAAATATTGCCAAAATCGCTTCGCCATCGCTCGCTTTTCCATCAAGATTCGGAATTGATTTGAAATTTTCATTTTTCCATGCTTTTTCGAATTCTTCCTCCAATTTGAACATCTTTTCAAGAACCGCCATCAAATCTTCGGTTCTAAGATTTTCGATCAATTTCTTTGCCAAATCCATTTTCATTGTTCCAAATGCCTGCGTAGAGCTATCTCCTTCCATTCGAGCTTCTTCCTCTTCTTCGACTAATAAGGCCAAAACCTTTTTGAGCTCTTCAATACACATCGCGACATCTTTCGACGTTATTTCAGCAGAAGCATTCGCTTCGCAAATCGATTCCAAATTATGAGCTTCATCGAAAATCACAATTGAATTTTTCAAATCCAGCTTATATCGTCTCCTCATTTTCGGATCAATCACATAATTATATGGTAAAAGAACGAGTTCAGCGGTTTCGGCTCGTTTGCGACTCATAAAATACGGGCAACTTCTATTAAAAAAAATAAATAAAATATTTGTGAAAAAAAGAAAAAAAAATTACGAATGAGTTTGTCCAACTTTCACAAAATCCTCAATATCCATTGCTTCTCCTTTATCCAACATTTCGCCCATTTTTTCCTCGGTAGTTTCTCAAAATTGGTTTCCTTTTTATTGAATAGTTGAATTTGAATAGTTTACTTTCGTATGTATTATAATAATGACAAGTTCGTTTAGAGACCATTCCACGACAAACATGGGATTGTCTATTCGATTCGGCGATCTTTTTCACCTTTGGATGAATACAAAAATGTTCGCGAGATCCCAAAATTGCAGTTTTAACCCTTGAAATGTTTTAGATACATTTCGGCGCACTTTTGGAACACGATTACCATTTGTATTCGGTTCTGTTAAGTTCATGAACAACTTGTTCCAATTGTGAGTGAGTACGAGATGCGTAATAAATGGTGGGCACAAATGAATTCTTCAATTTTTCGAGACAAGGCGCAGAATCCACAGAAGTTGCTAGAATATCGACATTTTCATTTCAATTTTTTTCAGACTTTACACTGCATCATCGAAAAATCAATCGGTTTCAATTCTTTTTGTTTTTGAACCCAAGCCAATGTCGCACACAGCAGCGAAAGGGTTTTTCCAGTTCCCGTCGGACTCTCCAGAGCGGCATCCATTTTCTGAAATTCGTCTTCCGCTAGACAATTTCATTATTGCACTTCCTACCGCGTCCAGAACATCAATCACATTTTTCATGAAAACTTTCTGGCACTCATACGGCTCAAACGGGAATTTGATGCTCATCCGTGAATTCACCCACACTTCCTTCATATCTGGTTCAAATTTTCAACTGTCAGGCTGATAGTATTCGATCGATTCTTGTGGTATAAAATTTGAAAATTTCAACAAAATCGTATTTTAAGTTTATCAAACAATTGCATAAATCATTTATTAGCAACAATTGCAAGATTTCTTGGTGAGATCTTTGGGTCAAACAATGGAACTACCGCTACCGTATACCCGTGTTCGCGTAAGAATTCCACACGATCATCAATAATACATGTTTCTATTAAAGGCGCAAATATCATTCGAATTGTATCCGTAACATCATAATATTCGCATGGGAGATCATAAAGTGAGGTTTTCAATAGTTTTGCATAGTCTTCTCTGATTTTCTAAAATTCAAATGTATTCTAATCTGAAAAAAACTAGTAATACGTTTAAAATGCGTTCAGTTAGATGTTCGCCTCGTTTCGCAGAAGCTCGTTTAATGTATTCTTCAAAACTCGTCATTTTCGGATCGCAATTAACCTGAAAATGGGTGATTTTTATTGAAAATCAGTGAAATAATGCTACCGAACACATTCCAATATTTTGATCATCAATATTATCCGATATTTTTGTAATCCATTTCTCAAGATGCGCTCGAGCATATCTAGTGAAATTCTGAAATTATTAGTGAAATATCTAGTGAAATTCTGAAATTAATTTTTATTTCGTATTCGAAAATTTTCGAATACGAAGTAAAGTAACTTACGGGTTTGTCTCTAACAATTATACGTAAATTTTCATTTGTGTGACACGACATTTCCCTGGCAACATATCCCAGTTCAACTCCTTTCCATTTTTTGCTCAATGGAAATAATCCAATTGAATTGAGGTCATTATTCTGCGATACTTGGGCGCCAGGCTGACAAAAATGAAAACATTGAAACTGCTTATGATAGCAGCAGCCGAGAAGAATAAGACTTTTTGCTTTTCGGCTTTTACAAAAAATATTCAAAATTGTAGTCGAAAAATCACCGCAAGTGTGAAGACCAACGAGAATAGCTTCTTAATATATTTATTTTTCAATTTTTACACGAGAAAATTTACCATTTTGGCTGAATTCATCGATTTTCGCTGCTAAGTCATCAGTTACGAAGCTAGTAAATCTTATTGGGCAATTTACTGCAAATATACGTTTACTTTAATCAAATTTAATGCTTAATAATCACTGTTTCTTAATGATTGCCCTATAACCGTCTCATCTAATGAATGCGCAGCAATTGTGAACTGAAATAAATAAATTAATTAATATAAATATTTTTTTTTAGTTTTCACGTAACCTGCTCATCTCCATCTACGGCCATTACGGCTAGATCAAGATTCATCGCAACAACTCGAGATAAATGTCCAACTCCTGCTCCTATATCGATCAAACTATCAATTTCTTAATTGTTCAAAAAAAATTGACGAGCATTTCTGTTGGTTTTTGATACCGCTGAATTTCTCGCGAATCTGTTTAATCAGTTCGACAATTCTATCAATCTCATGTTGCTTTTTCCGTTTTATCCTTTTCATGGATTTTATTGTTACTTTAGGAAATTCATCCTATATTGGAATAAATTTTTGATTGAAACTCGGGACATACAATCATTTCTATATCTGCACATCCTTCATTCCATTTTCTCTTCAAAGTTGAAGGATTTTCCACGGGTGTCCTTTCAATTGCCACTTTCTTTATTATTTTTATCAAACAAATCAAGGATAACGGCAACACTCGGCGAGATGGCTCAACTCCGTTTACAATATCAACGACTTCGTCAATCTGAAAAAAATCTACAAAACTACGCCTTCTCATTTTGTAACCGTTGATCTTTTCAAAAATTCTCTCCAAGAATTGGGTAAACTATACCAATTATTCTTGGAAAAATACTGTATTGATCTTAATCCAATTACGTCATGGTACGTTTTTATAATACTCCCCACCATTCTTGGTTCCATTGGCACGATTCTACAACCGTCAAATTTCAACTTGAACAGTTTCCAAACAAGATATGGGAACAAGTATTTATGTTTTTCATAGTAATTGCAATAGATATGTTCAAATTATAAATTCATTCATGAAACAGAAAACAACAAGTGAGTTTAGATTTTCTCAGAGACGACGGCCTCCTTGACAAGCATAAGAGTTGGAACCTCGGTTCCATCAACGTCTCTATATTCAATAATAGCAACTTGTCCTTCTCCTGATCCCAAAGCCTGTTTCTCTCCGACAAAGAAGGCAAGGTTCTTGAAACGGTCCTTGGCAAGAAGGCTCTTAACCCATTCCTGGATCTTGGTCTTGAAAGCATTGATTTCCTCTTCCGATTTTCCATTCTTGGTCATGTGGTCGACAACCTTCTTCATGAACTCCTTGATGTAGCCCTTGAACTGTTTCGGATCCTCGTAGAGGTTCATTTCCTAAAAATGTTTTCATTCAATTGATACTTCTTCAGACATACAGAAAGATTGTGGTTGAGAACAATATCAATACCGCGCTCAACATGCTCATCGGTTCCGTCGTCGACCTCTTCTTCAGCTGATGGGTTAGCTCCAGCAAGAACTATATCTCCTTCCTTACGCACAACGTGCATTCCCTTGAACTCATAGACGAGATCGTCGACAAGTTTCATTGGGAAAGAGTCAGAGGCGAGCTCATCATCTGAATATGTACGTCAGCTAAATTATTCTCAAAAGTATGGCAACACGGCATTGGCCCACTTCTGCGAACTTAAATTAACTGTCTACTTATTTACCGCACGTAACTCGCCAGTCTTTCATTAGAAAGTCCATCATCTCTTGATTAGATAATGAAAAATGCAGAACGCAATAATCACTACCATCACCAAAAGGGTGAACATTCAAAAAGAATGACTTAAGGTGTGCGATACATGAGGGAGAAACGGCGGAGTTTTTTCATCATTAAATGGCAGAAGACTTCGCCGTTTATCCGGCATGGCTCGCTGAGAAATAATTTTCGACATCGCCCGACCGCGGAAAATTGGTTAAATGCCAAAAACAATTACTGTGGTCTGCATAACTAAGTGTAGATTTACGGGCCTAAATATAAGGATAGTTTAGAGATGCACACCGCGCACTGACAATGTGAAACCTCCTTTTAAAATTTTGGTATTTAGCCAATTTTTCCGCAATCGCGGACGTCGACATGATATCAATTCTTACCGGTGAAAACATCCTTGAAGATCAGCATCTTTAGGAAATGGCCAGGTACTGAAATGAATTTGTTTAAATTGTTCTAGAATAAGCAAGACGATATGAATGGTGCATAACCAGATGAACCAATATCATTAAAAAAAACTATGGGTTAACAATTTTATTAACAACAAATTCAGATTCATGAACTTAGTCGAAAAGACCGAATCCCATGTCGTCATCGGACTCCTCCTTTGGCTCTTCCTTCTTAGCGGCTGGAGCTTCAGCAGCTGGAGCAGCGGCGGCTGGGGCGGCAGCAACAGCGAACTTGCTTGGGTCAGCGATGAAGGCCTTGATGGTCTCAGCCTCCTTGAACGAAACATCGGTAACGGCAGCAATTCCCAACATGTTTTGCAATCCTCCGGCCAACGAGTGAGCAACAGAAGCGAGAGTTGGGTACTTGACGGCCAAAGAAACAGCAGCAACGTTGCGAACTCCAGAAAGGAAACGCTTGCGGAGCTCCTCGGTGGTCATGTCCAAAACTTCCGGCGAGTACAAAGTTCCATCGTCATAAACTTGGCGAACGACCAAACCGTACGAGAACGGAGTCACACCAAGCATGTTAAGGAGAGCAGACTCGGAAGCTCCGACTTTGTCTCCTTCCTTGATGAGATGAACCTGTAATCAGTTGAATTATTTATTTGTTCCCTAACAAAATTTACTAACCTCGTTCAAGATTTCGATGGTACCTCTGGCAATCTTGGTAGGAATCTGAAGGGCCTGGAAGAACGAGGTCTTTTCTGGTCCCATACCGGTGTTTTGTGGTGGGAGCTTGACGTCACATGGGGCGATGGCTCCGGTCTTGGCTGGGGCTCCCTGAAAATAAAAATAAACATACAACTATTTGTAACCTTTCTCACACCTTTCTGTTTTCCAAAAGTTTGGAGCGGATTTCACCAAGATCTTCTTTGGTGAAAACGAATCCAACATTTTCGACGATGAACGGCAACAACTTCTCAAGCGATGGGTTCTTTCCGAGATGTCCACGGATGGCCTTGCGGATCATGGTGTTCTTACCCATAAGAATTTCAGCGTGACCTAAATATTTAATAAATTATGGGAGTAAAATTTTAATTCATGAACCTCTCATGGCTTGACGGATTTCCTGCATTTGCTTGGATCCGACATTGTCAACACCAACGATAAGGCACTTTGGGTATTCCTCGAAGAGTTCGATGAGCTTGGTGAAGTAGTTAGCCTTCCAAGTAGCTTTGTCTTCCCTAACCATCTTGGTGTGTTAAGGATCGTTTTTGAATCACGTTTTAAAGACTGAAATTAAATATGAAAACTCATCGATTACTTACAAAAAAGACAACGAAAAAATATAAAATCCCAATTTTACTCATTTTTTGATGAAACCAGTGTCTTGGGATAATTTAAGAGAAGAATCATAATTATCACATAATGGGAAAAATTTGGAAACGAATTTTCGACGACTCGGGGACAGGATACCAGGAAAACGTTGAAAAACAGTGAAAATTTTAGGATTGAAAATAAATGTTCGTCGGTGTCACTAAAACATAAATTCGTGGCAGAGAGCCTGCGCGCACTAAACTGCTTGCGTCTTTCCTCGTAAATTTACAACTGTCGCTTCCTCGTTGTTAAATTTGCAAGTTCAGTGGAAAAAACGGCTTTTCTCGAAAAATAATTAAATTTTCTTTGTAGACTTTTAAAAATTAATATTCCCATATATAATGTAATTTTTTTCCTGATTTTTTTTTCTGGTCAACCATCTCGAGAGGACCGTTTTCTTTCGACGTTAAATGCAGAAAAAGTCCCGGACATTGTGGTATCCACGGGAAAAATTCCTTTTAGGAATCGACAAAATTTAGAATATGTCACTATTAAATTCAAAATAGGCCAACATCAAAATACGAGAATTGATTAACGCTCAATTACTTAACAAATGAGATTTAAACGTGCGACGTGAAAAGCAATCATTTTATTTTAATATGTATGACGACAAGAACTTGCCGAATCTGAACTACGCAGATGTATTTTCGCCTACTTCTGTATTTTCGCCTACTTACAGATTCTTGATTTGTTTAACTCTTTTCCTAGAATTGCCTTTTTCACCATTTGCTTTTCATAAAAAAACAAATCGTCGATATTTATTTGTTACATTAAAACAAAAAATCAAAATTTTGTTAAAGTTTAAAAACGGCCTCTTGTAAAATGCAGAAAAAACAGGAAGAAACAAAACATTTGGGATATTGTACATACAAATGCACAAATTGGAATTAAAGAACCGAGACAAGTTAAAAATTAATTAGATGGGCTACATAATATTAGAATAATTATGCGAAATCGGATTTTTTTGTAACAAAAACGAGATCAATGTTCTTCAAATCCAATATAATTAAGAACAAACAATGGCAAAAAACAAAGAAATATTAAAAAAAAAACATGAGATGAAAAGCGAACGTGCTCATTGGTTACCTGGTCCCGGTTGATCAGATGTCTAAAACTTTCCTAATTGTACCCAAATATTCAAAATCAACGATTTACCTCAAGCACGTTATTCATAATAACATCAACGGTTGTAGATGGCTCTGGAGGCGTTTGTGGTTCAATTGGAGCGATGTGCGATGATGATTGTGATGACTGCTGAAATTCGTTGGTGAGAGATTTACATTTGTTTTAATATTATTGTTACCATATTTGGTCGAATAGGATCAGTGGAAATCTGAAAACAAAACATTTGATGTATTAAAATCTAAAAAAAAAAAACGAGCGTCGTGCGCCGATTTATGGTGAATTTGATTTATCCGTAGTAAGATATCCGAAATCGTATTGTTTAAATTCAAATTTGAATGTCGTCCCCGTAAAAAAAAGACAATTATACATGACGATCAATTTTGTATAATATTTGAAATAATTCAAAGTCTCTATTACGAATGTTGAGTAATCTTGCTCACCGGATATTCAAGAGACTGGTCAACCATTTCGACCGATTGTGGCTCGTGTACATCTTCGAGAAGGAGTTCAGCAGAACCGCTTTGTTGCGACGGATTTGGCGATGAATCATGAGATTTAATGACGGCTCTTCTCCGGGTTCGCGTGTGTACTCCCTAATGATTCTTATTTTCCATATTTTGCATGCAATAATACGAAAACCACTTTGCTTTCGCTAATATATGTATTATTAGAACTTTTGGTGCGTAAAAATTGACCTAAGAAATTGGATCCAAGTTAAGCTTTGGCTGCATATGAAAGCCACAGTATTTATCGAAGGTGCATACAAAAATTAGTCATTTTCAAAAAGTCAAAAGTCAAATTAGTCATTTTCAGAGTCAAAAGTGAAATTTACTCAAAATGAATAGTATTTGAATTTGCGTGAGTAGTCTGTCTTCGACAATACCTGCTGTTCATCTCGTTGCTGTTCTGCTCTCTCTTCCATATTCGGCGATACCGCAACCGCTTTTCTGCGGTTTCGTGCTTTCGAAATCTCAAATAAATTGATTTAATTCGAATGATTAAAAACAAACATTTACAGCTACATCATCGCCTTCAACATTTTTTTTCGATCGCGGTGCTTTCGCCGCAGTTCGGTGACGTGCCGGTCGTGGTTGAGGCGACTGAACATCAAATGCTATTATGATTTAGAAAAATTTGTTTTAATTACATTTTTGACAGGTGCTCTACGTGTTCTTCTGCTCATCATTGTCTCATCATTCTCTTCAGAATGTCTAGAAACCTCTTGCGAATCACCCAGCGGAATAAGAGGATTCTAAATAAGTGCAATAGTTTTAATCCGACGATATAACATTCGGAATGTACTTACATATAGTTGAGGTTGTTGCTGGTGTTGGTGTAGCTGATTTTGTTGATGTTGTGGCACCACCGGCATCGAATGCGAGATAACCGGAACCATTGAGGGAGTTCGAGGCTGCACGGTGTGCGACAAATGCGTCATGATGGGCGGTCTCGGCTGCTGCATCGCCATATTCTCGATTTGATGAATCGGATGCGGAAGAGGCTGCATCTGTGAGTAATAGAGCGATAGTCTTTGCTGAGTAGGATGCTGTTGGAATGCCTTAATATTTGATATAATAAATGCCAAAAAATATAGTTAATATCGAAGTAGCGAAAAATTGGCTGGAAGAAAACCATGACAGTCGTCTATACGAAAAACTAAGAGTAGATCTACGGGCCTATAGCCAATAGAATAGGTAAAAAGCGCACACTTACTCATACTTTTGCCTAAATCTTTTTTTTGGAATTAAAGATCGAAAATAAAGAATCTTGTTTGTATCGCGATTCGCAGTCGTTTTTATAAATTACGAGTTATAAGTATTTTAATTTGCTTACCATTTGGTTTGGCTGCTCCTGAAAATGAACCAATATATTTTAGTTTTCTAATTTATTAAATACCTGTTGGTAACGCGATTGAGCATTGTAATGATTTTGTATCATCGACTGTAAATATTTTAATCATAATATTTTCTGATTTATTGAAAATCAGAAGACTTCAAGAATTAAATTCGGACATTAAAATGAATCGGTTTAATAATTCGATTTTGAAATATTGAAAGAACTTCGCGAGTCAAAATAATTGCATGTTAGGTTTTATAGATCTTAAAATTAAAAATTACTTAAATTCTTACCGATCGTTGCATTTGCATGTGTCTCATCTGAAAGATGACAGTTGACAAAATTCAAATACAAATAAGCACTACCTGATCATTCGAAGTATTTGAAACATTTAGAATTGGTGTTTGGGGCTGATATCCATGGGCATATAAATTCTAAACATACAGTAACTCAAAAAGAAGATTGTATATCTCACCGAATGAATTTCATGGCTATTTCCAATCGGGAGATTCGAGAATGACTGATTCATCAATGAGTTATTCGAAATCTAAATTGGTAATTGTAAGATAAAAATATGTGACATTAATAATTTTATCTATTGCTGTTAATGGGTTCTAACCATTCGTCGAACAGGAAAATATTGAAAATCGCGAAAAAATTTAAATTTAATTAAAAAAGGATTTCTTTCAACATTGAACTAAAAAAAAACTCTAAAAAATCGTTGTTAAGATATATTGAGATATATTATCGTATATAATTGTGTTGTTTAAAAATATCGAATTCATATACCTGATAAGTATTGGCCTGCTCGAATGCATCATTAATAGAGCTAGGATTTCGCGCGTTCCAGTTATTCGGGTAATTGCTCATATTTTTCACATCACTGTACGGAGACAATAAGGTATTAACCTATAAATCTAATTTGAAATTTTATATAGGGTTAATAAATTCACCGCATTTCCAACCGTTCGGTGAGCATTCGTTAACCTTCGTGGATCCCAATAATTAACCTAAAGTAATAATTATTTTTATTTTTCAAATCCTATTCTATTTCTTTACAGATATCAATATTCCTTTCGCGATTCTGCATTTATTCTAAAAAAAAATGATGAGTCAATACAGAAAAGTTTGAAAAATACCTCAATAGGCCCCAAAATATTCCTGTTGGTGTCACAGGCGAGCATCACTAGTGATATATTTGTTAACTGCAAGTAAAAAATTGATTTAACATATTAAACCTAATCGAAATCATTTCGTTGCTTGAACAATATGTTTCATTTTTATTTCTCAAAGTTCCATGCGTAGATTATCATCAAAATAAATTTATCGTCGTTGTTCCACACCGTGCAAATTTACCTCACTTGTTTGGCGTCATTGTACGACCAAAATATCAAAATTAATATTTTGAGCAATATCAAAAACGTATCGCAAAAATAAATCAAACATACACTTTGATTACACTCATCGATCTCCTCATATTCGCAGTATTCAGGCATATTTTGATCGAACTGAAGTGGTAATCGTTCTTCATTCTCCTCTACCGCATATTTGAAAATTGCGAATTGATTTTCACCCTAAATCATTCAAATCATTGGGCCGCATATGTCATTTCTATTACTTCAGTAAAATGATCCTGTTTGATGGAAGAGCTAATGAAATTTATAAGAAACTGAAAAGAAAACAAAGAGCAAAATGAGTTAACGGGACCAACAACTTACAGCTAGCATAGGTCCTTTTATTTCGTGGAACTCTGCAATACTTTGACAATAGTTTGTGTCAAAAATGATCAATTCGGCGATATGTCGATTCAGTGCCGCTTCGTGTTCCGGAGTTTTCGGAATACGATAAGCGATTCGAACCACCCATTCTTTTGGTGCACCCGGCGGCGATGAACGCGCGTTGCAAACCGGCACAACTTCCATATTGTTGTGCACGAACACATTTAACTGAAAATTGGCGAAATTGAAAAATTACCATATGTTTTTTATTACTAAATTGATGTCGTCGTAATTGGCTGTGGTAACGTCTTTAATCTTATATTCCACAGACAACTCCGTATTATTACGGCAATCGATCTAAACAAACAATTTGAACCGGAAAATGAGAAGAAAAAAAATGAGAATGAAAATAACTTTTTTGATTACGTATGGAATGATCTCGACAGATGGTATTTCGATTGTCTGAAAATAGATATTAGCTAAAATTCTGAAATTTTCTTAAATCACCTCATCATTGTAGACTTTTCTAAAGAATTCCTTTATTGCCCGTTTTTCCTTAAAAAAACATATTTTCAAACGAAATTTCACCGAGATTCGATTACCTCAGTTGCTGCCGTTCGTTTATGTTTCTGAAAAATAAAAGAATTTTAGATGTCTCAAAGAAATGAAAAAAAAATATTTCGCATTTTTAAACATAATTATAGTCGGCGTCCGTCGACTGCTGTACGCGGGTAGATTTACGCGCATGCGTCTTTCCAAATGGTTTCGCAAGGACTAACAGGTTATTTCGAAATTTATGGAGCGGTTCGATAATTTTTTAATGGAATGACGTTGGAAATTCAAAGAAATGCGAAACTCATCAAGAAAAATGAAGCAGTTCACATGAAAACAGCAAAATAAGCGTTCACGCGTGGCGAGACCTTTTCAAGGCGCATCCGCGTAAATCTACCCTCGTCGGACGCCGACTATATTACCTCATTATCATTAAGTCGTCTGCGATTTCCCAATGACTGCATCATCTCAATTGATTGTGTTAAACGTGCGAAGAACGTCTCATAGGAAGTTTCGTCTGAAAATTACCTAATGTATTCCAGCTTCTAAACCAATAACACATGAAACTATATTTTAGTTAGTAGGCAGAGAAAAGGAAAACAAATAATTCTAATACTTATCGTATCGTAGACTTAAAAAGTTCACAAAAAATGTGCAGAACACATTGGAATAAATCAACACGAAAAAACAGTCAAAAATGCGGCGAAGATGATGATGACAGACATCTGATTTATTGCTTGCGCGAGCCCCGCCCATTATCGGTTCGGCGCTGTTTATAAATAAAACGTCTGCAATAGGGATAAGCGTTGCGACTGAGTTCGGGAAAAAAATCAAGAGCAGATATCGGATCGTACTCCAGGAGAGATCCCCTACACGATAATGTTTATTTATTGACAGATGTGTTACAAATTCGGCGGCGAACCAAAATTGTAGCCGTAAATATGGGGTCGTGTAGGGACGAACAACACATGTCGATCAAAAAATTTGCGCCGAAATTGAGATGGACGACGTTTTATGCGCCGACGCTTCTCCTTCGCGCGCGCTTTTTAAATTTTTCGGCAACGTTCCAAATTTTAGACGCTTGGCGCATTAGGGCGCGCTTGTCGCCATGCTTATATCATGGAAAATGGTGAAGCTCAATCGATTTTCATAGAAGGACCGAGAAAATGAAGGACATTGAAAATTGCGATTTTTGGTAATAACAGTTTTCCGGAATCTCGCATTTATCGACTCCACTAATGTCGTAATGACTAAATTGTTATCAAATTTTCGAATCAACTGATAATAAAACTACCACAAATTTTCAAGATTTTCCAAAATGATACATAATGGGGCAATAGTATTTTTGGAACAGGCCTACAGAAGAGATAAAACGGATATCAGAAAGATAAAAACTGGTTATATTTCAAGCGGGGCCGAAATATCGTCACGTTTCGGCGCAATCGTTTTTTGTTGTAAATCTGAGTGATAAATGCAACGTATTGTGGATAAGAAAAAAGTGAACACGTCGCGTATTTTTGGAATCGAATATGGTAAAAGAGAGAATGGTGAAGAGGACTCTCTCTCTCTCTCTTTTTCTTTCTTTCTGCTCCCAATAATTTCCTTCCATATTAAAATGCCCTTTTAACTGCCAAACTCTCACATTTCGCACGGGAAATAAGGAGCGAGCGACTGCTACGAGTATAAATACAATAAATCGTGAGAAAATATGCCGGCGCGAATAGTTTTTTTTGCAACCAGTTTTGAACTCGTGCTACAGTAATCTGCAGAAAAGAGTTAGGAAAATGCGCAAACCGACTCGTGAACATTATAATCAATTTTTTTTAAACAAAACAAACATCGTTTTTCTTATCTCTACCAAACGATGAACCTATATTCAAAAAGCTTAGGGTACTACAAATTTTGTAATAGCTCGAAAACAATTCGTGAGTTTTTTGATTATTAATCATTTTTTATTATCCCAGATTTTGGTTTTTCTAGCAAATAAATGAAAACTCTAACGAGAGTAAGATGTTCGCTTAACCTACAGTATTACAAAGACGCATCGAAATTTTGGCCTTCGTTTAACTTTCCCTTATTTTACATACCTTTGAATTTCCACACATAAAACGATGAAATGCAGACAAACAGACGATAATTTTTGTCTGCCACACAGCGCATTTTTCTCACAAATATGTTTGTCCGGCAAACTTTTGTTCAAACCTTCTTGTCATTCTGTGAAGATATTTTCGAATTTTTTTTTTAATCAAATTCCTTACCATTATTAAGGTTGAACCATGGCAAAACGGACAAAAGTCGAAGATTTGCCGAATAATGTCACGATTCAATTGATCACTTGGTTCATTAACAATTATAACGCCTATTATGGTATGAACACAAGCAAGTTTTCGAAGAAAAATGGGACTACAAAGCAGCAATTTTGGACAGAATGGGCCCAGGAGCTTACCAAAATGGGATATCCGCGAAATTCGGAGCAGGTGAGCATTTCAGGAACCCTGAAAAAAGTTGAAAATGTTTTAGGTGAAAAAGAAAATAAATGGAGAAGTTCGTTTCGTGTATGATATTATAATGGCCGAAAGAAATGGAGAAATTCCAAGAAAACCTGTCTCAAATTTAAGCGATTGTAGAAAAATGCTGTATGATTTTCTCAGCAAGATGCCAAACGAACGATTTCATTATGCGGGTAAAATAATGCCTTTAAATTGAGTAATTAACATATTCAATATTAGGTTATAACAATCCAATAAAAAAACGGACATTAACAGAAGACCTTGACTATTTGAAACAATATTTGTCAGATAACTTAATCGCAAAACTGGAAGAAGTCAGCGAGGTAATATAAAATTAAGTGAATATTGTTTAAACCGGCTAATTCCCTAAAATATTTAATATATTTAAAATCCTTCAAAAAGTTTATTTATATATTTATTTTTTATTATTTATTCATTATAATATTGCATTTTCTATAATTTATATAAAAAAATACAAACTCTGAAACTGGGAAAACAAAAAAATGGATTAAAAGTGGATGAAAAATAGTTTAGACCATAGAAGTATCTATTTTTCATCCACGTTTTAACAAATTTCAGTCTGTTTCCTAGTTTCAGTGAATAATAAATCAAGAAATATTTTTCCCAATAATAACAGAAATGTCATCTACAGTATTTCATTTGGTACGAGACCAATTTTGAATATGCTCATGTGGCTTTATTTCTGTTACGGTAATTATAAAAATGCGCAATATGTGAATATCTGACCAATTGGTTATTTGAACACAAAACTCCTTCACACTACACGAAATTTGAATTTCAGATGCCCAAAGCTGCAAAACGAGCTTTTTCACCCGACACATTGCCACAAGATGGTAAAAGATGAGAAGTAGTAAATTATAAATTAAAATTTTTGAAGACGTTGTTCCGATAGAGAGTTCTGGAGATTCAGTGAGAATTATTTTAAACTCAGGTGCAAGTACTCCAGGTAATTATCTTATTTTCTAAATAAAATGAGATTATATTTAGTTTCCCAACGATCATCTCCAAGCATAAATCTTGGAAATAATGGCGCTCCAGTTTACAATTTTATGAGCCGAAAGCCTATTGCTGGCTTCAGGAACCCATCCGGAATTTTCTATTCCAAACAGGATATCATTTCGAATCGCACAGGTATCCATTTATTATCCTTCTGTATCACAGCAAATCGTGCCGTAGAAACGACGAAGAAAAAATGTCGTTGTCTCTGATAATCCCACACTCTCTTCACCGGCGTTTCACCGAAACACTCTTTATTCGTCGTTGTTTCTAGGGCACGGTTTGCCGAGATTATAATATTAATTCTTAAGAAAACACTTGGTCATTTCTACGCAAAACATGTTATTCGAAAGAATGCCAAACTGAAAGTTCAAAGTAATTTGCCAATTTTAGTTATTTTTTTAATTTCCTATTACTTAGGGAAACGATAACAAAAAATGAAGATTTGGAAGAACAACAATTTATTGAACGAATTAAAATAGCTAAACTTGAAATCCAATTATTGGAGAAGAAATTAGAATTGTCCAAACTTCAATGTGATTACCTAAACCACTGCGCAAAACGTTCGATTCCTGTGAAAACTGATCTCGATACTAATTGAATGTGTTAATTATTAAGCCTGCCATATTAAATATAATAAATGTATTTTTATCATCACCATTTTCTTTGCTTATTTCGGTTCGGTTTCCTTGGCGACATCGCAATCTATTTGTAATTTTGAGCAAACGCGCTCTATTGAACAATTATTGTTTTTTCGTTCAATTTTCGAAAAAGCCACGGATTTTCTAATTCACTCCAATATTTTACATTCTAATTATAGGTAATTATGTACGGTGGCCATGGATCATATGGGTAAAAATAAATAATTTTCTAATTTCATTAAAAAAATTATTTTAGTGGTTATCCACAGCAGATGACAGGATATGGGTATCCGCCGGCGCCTGGATATCCGTAAGTTGTTAAATCCATTTTCGATTTAAAATTTCAAATGTTTCAGGCCTCAGACAGCAGCGGCGACGGCAGCAGCATATTCGGCGTACAGTTATGGATATGGAACGGCGGCTGCTCAAACTCCAACGGGAGTTCCGAACATTGCAGATACATATAATCCGCAAAATATGTATATGCAACCACGTGAGATTTTATTTGTTCAATTGGTTTTTCTTATCTCGGAAATCTCATCGAACGAAACATTTCTTTCGCTTTCGGCAAAACAATTGCAAATTTTGGAAAAAACAACGACAAAAAAATAGAATAATAGGTTATATTAGTCGAAGCAGCAAAATAGCATAATTTGTGTGTTTCGCCCGATGAGTTTCCCAAGAAATTAGTGATCTAGAATAATTCCAAAATTAAATCGCTCTGGAAAATCGAATAAAACATTTTGGGAATCAAATAATCAATGATAAATTATTTAAAACGGCGATTCTTGCGTTTCCATGAAAAGCTCACATCACAATTTAGACTCTCAAGTAACCTTTAAACCAAGTGTGTTATTTGATTTGACTAAGCGTACGTTCATACGGTACTTATAATTTATTTAGAAAATTGCTTATTGACCTTTGAGAATTGGAAAATGGGTTTTTTATCATTGAATAAAAATGAAACATTTTAATTTGCAAAATAGATACAAAGAAAGAATTTATATTTCAGAGGGTAGTGCTTCGACAAATTACTACACTGCCAGTAAAAAAGCAGCAACAGTGTCGAACACAAATTATTCAAACTACGATGCTGCTGTGTATGCGGCCGCTACTTCATATTTATCGTCAAAAGCCACCGGCTCAACGAAAAGTTGGATGAGTAAATCAGCGACTACCGGCACATTTCCAACGAAGAAACGATTTGGGATCGGCGCGAATAGCGGTGGAGATTCGAATCATTACTATTGCGAAATTTGCAAAATTTCGTGCGCCGGTGCAATTACATACAAAGAACACATCGAAGGACAGCGGCACAAGAAACGCGAGGCTCTCGAAAAAGGCAACAGCTCGTTGAGCTTGCCCAAGAATAAGTTGTGCTATCGATGTGAATTGTGCAATGTGACATGCAGTGGACAAGATTCGTATTTGGCACATGTGAAGGGTGCGAAGCATATGAAAGCACTGTCGCTCTGCAAGAAGCTCGGAAAACCGATTCCTGAAAATGCACCGACAATAATTGCACCAAACGAGACCGGAGGCACACGTTGCGTGGCTGCCAAGCCGGCGATCACATCAGGACCAGAGCTTTATGGTGTAAAAAAGGTTGTGGGCATCAATACAGTGAACTTTGTTGGTGGTTCGAAACTCAGTACAACAGGACAGCTTGAAGAAACCAAGGCGAAAGTGATTGAAGCGGTTTCGAGCGCAGGCAAACCAAGCATCGAGGTTGAGGATCCGAAGATTCAAGCTTTAATGGCTGCCGAGGAAGTGAAACCAGTCGGAGAAGATAAAGTAATTGCGCAGAAAGATGCTGCTGGAAAACTAATACAATATCATTGCACGGTGAGAAGTTTAAAATATATTAAAAGTCAAAATTCGCTTCTTTTTTCAGTTGTGCGACTGTAAATTCTCGGATCCAAACGCAAAAGAAATTCATATTAAAGGACGTCGTCATCGTTTGTCATATAAGCAGAAGGTTTCAAGATTTTCTTCGTATGAATTATAATCGAATTTCATTTTCAGGTTGACCCGACTCTAGTTGTTGATTTGAAGCCGTCATCAAAGCGCAACCGTGAACAGATAAAAACGCGTAAATTCTCCGAAGGATCTTCAAATAAAGCACCGATTCCCCGCCCTAATAATGGTCCCATTTTTGGGTCTCCTAGTGTTGAAATGCGTAGAATGGAAGTATTAGATGAGAGGCATATTGAGGTATACAATATATTTTTCGAAAAATCGTTTTGTAATGTTGTTTCTCAGGAAAAACACATCAGCTTATTCCCGGGAGCAGATTTCATGGCCAATTTGGAGTGTATGATTGTGTCCATCGAGGGTACTCTCAAATCAGTGTCCGAGGAGTATGAAAAACAGTAATTCAGTTTAAATGTACTTTCTTTTTAATTAGCGTGCTCTAGATACAAACTGGCAAATACCGCGACTATTGCGGCTGATGGAAAAGATGAAAAACGGACCCTTCAGGGTGTGATTCGAGTCGGAATTTACGCCAAGGGCATTTTTATCAAAGGAGATTCACAGGTTTTGTAGAAAATATACCAATTTTCTTGAAATACATTGTTAATTATTGTAGGTAGATTTGGTTGTTTTGTGCTCAGAGCCACCAACTACGATAATTCGCGACCGTGTCAAAGAGATTTTCGAAAAAGTCACGGTATTCGTGAAGAATCGATTTTTCTTGTTTTAAGTGAAACTTTTTTTTTAGTCGGAATTGACTATCGAGACCGATGATCAATCTGCTTCCTGTCTCATTGTCAAGTCGAACTCTTTTACGGACATCCGTTGTAGGGTGATGTTCACTTGTCCTCTTCTGAGAGATGCACCGCCAGGTTAGTTTGTTTCAATTGAATTGGCATCCCAGTGATGAGAATTGGTGTTGTTATTCGTTGAAAAGAATATGGCATGCCTTGTATTCACGTCGAATCCATCATTACAAGAAAATGTTCAATTTTCTCACGCATAATTCAAAACGAATCCATATAAAAAGTCGAGCATTTCATTTTTTTGAAGATGTTGAATGTGCGGATCGAACAACGTGCGTAAAAGCGCTAGCCTATATTCGTCGATCGAAATGGTTCATTGCTCGATGTGTGTATTTGAATTCGTGTCAGAAAGTGCTCCATTTAATGCGTGATATGAAAAAACGCATCGAGTGCTGGAGCGATTTCGATGGTCATGTAAGGAAATTAGAGAAAATGAATGGAGGTTCAACGAAATTTTTTTCAAGATTCTCGAGCTTCTCGTTGAAAAGGTGCTATCAAACTGTCCGACTGAGTTGAATCCGAACGATGCGTTCCGAAGGGTTCTTGAAGCGATTGCGACAGGTGTCTTGTTACATGGTATACAACTTTATCAACAGTTTTCAATGAATTTGTTTTATTTTTAAAGCTTCGATTCATGATCCGTGTGAGAAGGAAAAAACGAATGTGTTTGAACAAATACCGCTCAAAAAAAGATTTGAATTGACGTCGAGCGCGCAGAATGCTATCCGATTGATTTCTTTCAACCAAATGTACAAGGTAATTTATTTTTTTCGATAATAAAATCCACACGTAAGCCAACAATTTTCTTGAAAAGTATTGCCGAAGAAGTCGAGCGTCTGCGAAAAATTGGCTAAATTCCAAAAAAAACAATGAAAGTGTTCTTCATGCAAAACTAAAAGTGTAGATCTATTCTTGGCATTCAGTCAATATTTCGCAGTCGCTCCACATCAACATCATCACACTATTTTGCGTACGCTCATTTAATATTTGGTCAACGTGAAAAGTTATCGTAAAATCTACAAGGCATTTCATGCTGGCGACCAAAACGGAGGTCTGCCCGCCCAATTTGAAGCTGTAAAACTTGTTCAAAATGCTGATCGCAGTCCTTCCAAAACCATTTGAAATATTTAAGTCACAAATTATTTCACTTCGATGTACATGTCACTTCAACGATTTTTCCGATTCTTGAATATGCCGTTTCCGAAATACACTGCTTAACGGACTGCACTCCTTTTCAAACCGAATTTTTCCTTTGCAGTCTTATGTCTTCATCTGAAAATTTTATTAATTAATCTATTTGTTCATTCTTTTATGTTTTTATAAAAGAAATTAACGAAAAAATACGTGGAATGTGCCCTTGGTGGACATTTTTCTTTTGATTTTCGTTTAGTCCGTTTAGTTTCCAAAAAAAAACAAATTATTTTTTGTGGATTTTCGTAAACAGATGAAACTTCAGAATAGAATTACCTTGATTTTGAAAATAAGCTCTTGTTGCCATCTGTGATATTATTAAAAACCTTCTAGTACGATTTGTAGGTGCTTGGAATCGAACGTCTTCCGGATATTCGCCCATCGCTCACAACTGATCGAAAACGGTCGATTGACAATGGTGATAATGAAGATTCTGGTAGGAATAGTTTAATTTGCTAACGAATAATCAATAAATGTGTTTCAGTCGATGTTAAACGAGAAAAATTCGACAACGACGTGAAAATGGAAGGGCAAAATGAGTAATGACGAAGATTAATAGGTTTTTTTTCGGGATACTCGCAAATCAAATGATCTTTCGAAAAACGTTTCATATTTCTTTCTTTTGTTCCCTGTTGTTTTTTGTTTGAAATTTTCTGCTTGAAAGCAATTTCCACTGTAAATTCATTTTTTACCACAAGAAAACATTCTTTTTTTATTATAAATATTATATTTATAATATACGTAGCAATAATAATTATCGGAACAGAATAAAAACCCCGAATTGATCACACAGATTGTGAAATAGGAAAACAATTTGAATCAGGCAAGATGAATAAAATGGCAAGAACCAAAAAAATGGAGACAACAAAACAATTTCGTTGTATTTAAATTATATAATTAGCATAGTTAAACGACTAGGAATGAGACGGGAAAGTGTTTGTAAAGCTGTAGATTAGGCAGACATCGAATCCTAACAAATGGGATCGAAATAGGGTTGTTTGGTTTTGGAAATCGCGAGAAAATGATTAACAATCGGAAGAAATGACGAGATTTCCAAAATTTGCTAATAATAAGAAGAATTGGTACCGGTAAATAGGCGGGGAAATACATATTTGAAAAACAACTAGAACGACGAGGGTACGAGTACGACTATAATGCGAGATTCGTGTTGTGCGAGGGCGTCCATTGCGATGTCATCTGCTTCCACTTGTCATAATTCGATTCGAGTTGCTCGAGAAGTTCGGGAAGGTGCGCGAATTCGGTGAATGTGGCGAATGCCTCTCGTGCGAACATGTCTATAATATGCGTCAACCGATTAATCTCAATGCATTCTATTCTGTCGAAAAAACGTGATGTGTGTGTAGATTTACGAAAACAAATCATTCGCTATGATGAAAGTTACATTTTTTTTTCTTATTTTCACAGGAAACTTTTATTTTTTTCATTTTCATGAAAAAATAAAAGTTTCCACGTGATTATTTGAAAAAGAAAAATGTTTCAGAATGTCATTTCTCGTTTCAAGACCGACCAAATCGTGGGATATGTTTTTTTTGAAAATTATTAAATGGCTTACCGATGAATCCGCATTGCGTGATAGGCACATTACACGTATTTCTATCGAACACCTCCATCGTCACCGGAAGTCCTTTTTCTTTTTCTTCTCGAGTCTAAAAACGATCGATAATAAATTTTTACTCGATTTATATTGTTTTCCACCTGTTCGAAGTATTCTTCAACAATCCTATATGCCCATCTTTGGCACAATGTCCATTCTCGTGCCGGATTCGAAATGTCGGCGCATTTGATGAGCATATCGCATATCGTCATCGAATTCTTTTCGCGTTGCTCGTCGACAACATCGATGACGCTCATTTTGTTGAATTTTGCGAGATATTCGAAGTGACGCGAAATATCCGTCGCGAGCACCATTTCGACCATCGCGTGACGCATTGACATGAATTCTTCGCGAGTTAGATGGCAAAAGATATTTACCTAAAACATTTCAAAAATAAAATTTTTGTTAGTTTCAAAGTTTTATTTTTAAGAAATTCTTAAAATAATTGACTTTGTCAGAAATGTAAATTAAAAAAATGCGAAATATTTTCTCGAAAAACTTCATTTCTCACATTTGCATTGTGTTGGAGTGTCAGCTGAAACGCCAAGGCGATATGATGGTTCTCCAAAATCGAATTATCGTTGTAAAGCACCGCCAATGATTGCCTTGTATTAATGAGATACGCGTTTCCGCGACCTTCAAAAATGATTTCTATTTTTATGATTTCCTCGATTGCTTTTTCACCTGGATGATCGAGATCATGCACGGCGGCTGCTAATAGAGCGGCAACCGCGTGATTTTCATTCACATGAGTTGCGACTGATGAGGAATCTAAGAAGAATGAGGTAGCCTAAACATTGGAACGTTCATTTCGGAATTTTGCCGATTCGACTGGAATTACTTGTAAGACATCGGCTGCATGGGTTGCATTGTGATACGTATTGCCAGCATGATAATGTGCTTCAATCGATAAAATCCATCTATTTAACAAATCGTCGGAACATCCTAGTACTTCACATACTTTCCATCTCTCGAAAACCTTCAAATTCCAAATTTGATCAATTCTGGACAAAAAGAAATGTTCACCTTCATTCCTATTTGACTGAGCGCGTGATGGTCGGAAACCTTCTCCAGGTGCAAAATATCAAATTTCCAGAAATTGTCATTTTCGAGCGCATTTTTCACGTCAGCCGAGACTCGCCGTTTTTCGCCATGTGAGCCTTAAATAGATTTGTATTAGAAATACCACTTTTTAAAAATTTTTGATAAAAAATGCCGTCAAAATATGAAATAAATTGAAATTCCGAATAGTTTGGCTTTTTAGGCACCAAAATGTTTTAAAATTTGACGAACAATTTAGTTGAAATTATTTTTTTATTGAGTTATGTTGAGAATTTAGTTAATTTAGTTGAATCGAGATTTCCGGTTTACCTCGTTTTTCGCGATGCGCATCAACGACACTTCGTTTTCGTTGCCTCGCCGGATGATGCAACCGTATTAATCCATCATAGTACTGCGTCGCAATTCGATCCGAATCGCGGAACCTCGTAATTGAAGGCGCATACAATTCGTGCGATGACAACGTCTTCAGCGCTTCCCGCACCAACTGCGCCGGCTCGCCTTCAATTCTCGAAGCGACATCGCGTAGTGTCGTCAGCGCTTCAGTGATTGGCGCCTCGATGACACCCGTTTGGCTTTTCAGACTTTTCAGCGAAACGTCGCGGAAAATGGCCGCTTCGCTGGTGGTGTTCGAGCGTTTCATATACACGAATTGACTACTGAAACATTTGAAAAACAAAATGAAAAAAAGAGAGTGATGAATAGGAAACGAACTTGTTAGCAAACGGGACCCGTATGAATTTCCACTCGGTGCTATTTCTTCGCCTATCGTGTTCGTCGCCTCGGGCTCTCGGCAAAGACTTCCGACGCATCTCCGATTCGGGCTGTCCGATCACTTCGGATCGAATGCAGCCCGTGATATTCTCATAGGCGCGATTCACGTACTGCACGATGCGCTGCTCGTCGCATACTTCGATTGCTTGTTCGGCCTACAAAATTTGACGAATATTTTCGAAGGCAAAAAAAAAGACAAAATTGACCTCATCGAGAGCGGCAAAAAGTGCAGGAAGGACTCGAATTCGATTCGCTAATCGTGCTAAATAATCGAAAAATGCTATATCACGAGAGTTCCAGGTGGTATGCTGAAAATTGAAGAACATTATTGAAGCATTTAAATAAAATCTAACGTGAGCAATGCTTGACTGTGCGAGTGACCGTCTTCTTTTGTCGCTGATATGCCTAAAAAAGAAATCATTTGGAGATTCCCAATAGTTTTTCGCAAAACTCACTTTTCGGAGATACTGGCAATCAGGATATCCTCTGTTCCGACGGCTGATATATCTCTGAAAATTAATTAATATTCAATTAAATAATTTAGGTTTACATTTAATGTATTCTATCTTTCTTCGATATTCTCTTCATTTATTCAATAAACCCAATATGATCATTTTTAATTTTCGGTGATTCTCTAATTTTTCGAATTTTAAGATCAATTCCCTCAGCACATTTTTCCCCCATTCCGCATCTTTAAGAATCATTCGCTGTTCGTTATCAGCAAATATTATGCGGGCATTAAAACGTGAAGTTTTTGTGTTATCGTATCAATTTTTGATAACACCACGTACATATTTCTTGGCTTAAAAAATCGACGCAGCCTCTGAGACCCCGTTTAAAATATATAGCACGATGTTTGGCCGTTGTCGTCGTCAAATAAAATTGAAGACGACGATGAAAATGAAGTAAAATGACATGAAGAAAATAATAAAAATAATAATAATGCCCGAATTATTGGCTTTTTTATCGGACGATTGAGCGGAAATTTTATTGGTCTGCCCTCAACCCTTTCAGTCCGCAACGCCGACGAACAATTTGTACGACTTTTGCAAAAAATGAAAACGCAGCACAAGGAAAAAACATGAAAATTTATGAGAATTCAGCATCCCATTAGCATCAAATTTATTGCACTTCACATTAGTCAAGAAATTGGAGATTTCAACCAAAAAAACAACTTCTTTTCGTCAAGTATGTTGTTTTGAGAGCATACATTAAATTTGACGACTAATTGCGTACATATTTCAAAAAACAAACTCGAAATTTCAAAATTTTTCTAACGAGAGCCGAAAATCTAATTTAGCTAATAAGATACGATGTTGGAAGAAAACCCACTGTGTATTTTTTCCGGGGATTTCCGAAAGCAAAAATTGAACATTTTCCGGTGGTCATTGATTTTGGAAATTCTCAATTGTCGTTTTTTTGCGTCAATTTCGGTTCGATGTTTAATCTGTTATTGCGCAAGCAATGCTCATCAATCCACTCTTCCCACTCACACACACATCCATAAACATTTTATCGGCATATTATCCAGAGAATGACGCATAATAAATGTATACATATAATATGATATAATTTCTCAACCCCCTCGTCGTCTTCGTCGTCCTCTCGCCTTCAACATATTAAATATTAGCCGCGATTTGTTATGAGAAGACAAATTTTCGGTGTGTGTGTTTGTATGGGTGTCATACGATCGCGTATTATTCATTCACATTCTCACACACATACACACACACACGCAATGTAACTGTATTATATTTGGACCCCCTTCACTTTTTCGTCTCCTTCTTAGGGCATCCAACAAACATTCGTGATTCATTCATATTGGGTTTTGTTGTCCGAACCGCAAAAAAATGTTCAATAAAAAATCGTGACGGTTTCTCGTTTTTCTTTTTCGTTTCGGGAATCGCTTGATGAATCATGCACTTATATGGTGCGAAACAAGCGAGAAACACTTACTTGGCGATTTGGCATGGGTGCGGAATGTGCAGATCGATGAATACGACTAGCGGACATACGGATTCGACGTCGGATGTCGCCTGGAACAAAAATTTTCAAATATTTTATTTATTGTTGAAAAAGATTGAATATATCAGTTTTTGACTGTGATTTTTCAAAAAAAAATGGAAAAAAATGTGTAAAATATTAATAAAATATTTCAGATTTTACCTTAAAAACCAAAAATTGAAGAATTTTTTTTTGAAAATTTAAGAAATTGTGACTTTAAAAATTTTATTTTCAATTTGAGTTCTACTCACTCCCAACATCTAAAATCTCAATTTTTTTTTCTAACCAGGCTTCCAAAATTCGAAATGTTTGATCTACCATTTTCAACGATAACTAGAAATAACCTGCGACGGAAAGGTGATGGTGCAATTCCAGCCGGCAGTTCGCAGCGCATCGACAAAAACACTTTCGCCGGTGCCCTCTGTGACGAAGATCGCCTGAAAACTCTCGATTGCATTCCTTCGATGGTCCCTTCTATTTTCTTTTCCCCCCCAAAAAAAAAACTTGTCAGCATATTCGCATTGACAAATGGTCATATCCCGCGCGGCGCGCATAAATGGATAGGGGAGTTTGTTGTCATTCTATTTTTTTTTCTTGTCAGCTTCCGACTGGGGGTGCTTCTTCTTCAGCTTTTCGCTTCTCGTTTCGTATAAATAAGTTGGCTAGAAGACATATAAAGAGAGAGAGAAAGAGAGAGAGAGAGAGAGAGAGAGAGAGAGAGCTGGACGACTATTTGAGTTCTTTTTTTGTTGGCTGTAGAAAACGCGAGTTTGACTAGCGCTTCTTCTCGTTATTCACAGCACACCAAACGGATATATCACAAACGATTTCTCATGAAGACGATGGAGAAGAAGACGAAGAAGAAGAAGAAGAAGAAACATCAAATTGAGTCGCGTTTGCCTTTTTTTGGACATGCTTTGGCTGAGCCGAGCCTTCGGGAAACAATTATTCATTCTTTTACTCGAAGCTTTTCCCCCCTCTTCTCCCAAAAACATCGAAAATCTGTCGTCAAGTTTGATGTTGTCCCAACTTGACGAATGGGTTTTGGCGGCAAATATAATGCTTCCAGTTAGTTTTGAGTGGCGTGCATTATAGCGTAAGGTTCGATGACATAAACGAGAACGAAACGAGTGTGTATGTGCATTTCTGCGTCATATATGATGCATTTTTTGATCTGTGTGCAATTTTGCGTGAAAAATTCGGTTTGACGGAGGCGGATTCACAAATAAGCAGAGGGTGGCAATTGAAAAACACTAGAATTCTATTAGTCGCAATATTCGATTTTTGATCTTCGCCAATTAAAAAAAAAATACTGAATGAAAACGAATTTCAAAGACGAAAAAAAATGAGAAATAAATGAATTAAATTGAATTGATTATAAATACACAACATAATGATTCATCGAGAAAATTTGTACATAATCAAATTCAAATTTTCTTTTTCGAAATTTCCGAATCTCTGAAAAGAGATTTGGATATATTTGATCTACTAGAGGAATGTTAGAGGTGTTAAAAAATGTTGGGGATCTGCCGTGGTGTCATGCTCAAAACCAACGGGAGGGTTGTCCTTAATGAAATGCCGAGATACTGGATTTGATCTACCATTCAACACCAATCAATTTGAACAAAAAAAAGGCGAAATTAATAAACGTACTCTGGGAAGCCCCGCCCTTATTCCCATCAAATGAACGATTTGATCTACGCCGCCGCGGGAGAAGGGGTCGAACTATGACAAATTTAAACAAAAAACAAATTGGAACGAGAAAAAAAAAAGCAAAAACAAAAAACAAGAGGCAAACAGAAATGAAATGAAACAAACCGTTTTATGAAGGCGTATCTGCATCGGACCATACGTGTCATAAACCGCATGTGGTGGTCCGCCGCCGCCGCCGGCAGCGCCGCCAACCGTCAGCAATGGTGTCGGTGGTCCGCCGCCGCCACGTGCACCATTATTCTCCGAATACGACCCACCGCAGCACCATCTCATTGCAAAACTGGCCGTCGCCGCCTGCTCACACTCTCTCTAGCGTGCCTTGGGGTCCCCCGTGTGTACGCTAGTATATGTGTGTGTGTATATATGTGTGTATGTATGTATGTATGCGGGTATGTGTGTGTGTGTGTGTGTGTGCTCTATTCAACTCTCGCCGTCTCGCTCCGACCAAAAGCTGTCCAGCCTCCGGATGCCGTCAAGAAAACGCGTGTTTTCGACGACGGCGGAGCGATGATGAAAAAAAAATCCTCTGGCTTGTTTTTTTTTTCTCTCGTCTTCGTCCCCCTCGGTTCGTCTTCGTCTTTCTTGCCCCCTTCATCATCTCTATTGGCCATCGTCGTATCGATTCGGTTGTTGTGTGTATCAGTTTTGTTGGAGGACCCCCCCAATCGTCGTGCTTCTCTCATTCACGCTATTTCAACGCCACACCCCCTTCTTCGACCCTCTTCGTCCCCCTTCCTGCTTTTATGCGCGCCTTGTCGTCGCGTCTCGCCGCTGCGCTCCTGTTGCTGCTGCTCACGCCACGCCCACAATTCTTCATATTTTCACAATTTCAGGTACGCGCCTAGAGCGCATCATCCATCCATCCGCACGCCGAGTGTTGAGTGTGAGCATGAGTGTGAGCACCACCCTGCCTCCCCTCCTTCCACTACTCCTCCTCCTCCTCCTCCTCGCCCCATTCCCTCCCCCATTGCACCACACCATTCCAATGAGAAGTGTGCGAGATAGATGATGAGAGCAAAACATTGGCCATCGGGCAAATCGGACCCCCCAACGGGACTCCCGCTAATTAGTCGCCATAACGCGCCAATCCTTGTTCCAATTCTCCGACTCATGATTCTCCGACTCATACTGTGAACAAGAATACTGTAGAATTTGAAAAGAATCGGAGCTGGGTGTACTGAAGAAATGTTCCTTAAAAAAAACAAAAAAAAATTTGGTGGATTCAACCATATTTGGGTTACGGTATTCGGAACCTTGAAAAATTCTCGTGATTTTATTGTGAAACTTCCTGCATTCGACGATTTCTCGACAGACACTGTAGCCCTCTATTACATTCGCTTCGCTAAATTCGCAATTCTTCTCCTTGCAAAGATTACGGTATCCGGTGTTAATGTAGTCAACACATAAAATGTGAATCCCGACATTTATGGGAGATCGTAAAAACGAAAATGACGGTTTTTATTCGATAAATACCAAAAAAGCGAGGCGGAAGATCGAACATTGAGCACTGCTTTTTGAGTAAATTGTTTGTGGTTAAAATTTAAAAAAAAATTATTCGTTGTTTGAAAAAAAATTCATATGAGTCGTTTTGTTTTGTTGTTCACAAAATTTCCACCAATTATGATATTCCGTTTTTTATTCTGCGTGGGGAAAGAATAGTTAATTATGTGAATTATTCATGAACTCGGTTTTTTTTTTTTGGAATTCTCCTCCTTCATCGGTGTGATATGAGTGGGTGCGCGTTTTGTGCGGCGGGGATTCGCTGAAGACGGAGACCAACATTGAATGATAAAACGAAACAGATCAAATGACGAATTTTATTCGCTGCGTTTTTTTTTGCAGGTCGTTTATCGTGAGAACAACGACGATCTATCGAATAGTTCGAAACCGGTTCGTTTTTGGGAACTTGTCGAATATATCCCGACAACACCGCCACCACCACCGCCACCACCGCCGCCGCCAACTACCACCACCACAACGTAATCAAAACAAATTCCTCTTCATGGTTTTTGAGGGCCTTAATCAATTTTTCCGATTGTTGGCGTCAAACGACTGAAGAGAAGCGGTACCTTCAAATTCGCGAAATTAGTGTAGATTTAAATTAATTGTTGATGGAAAATTAAATGCGCGTATGATATAATGCAATGTACGCAGTTTTGCGTACTTCTCGCTTCCTTCGAGACGCATTGGCACATTGCCAATCAGTTTTTTTTTTTCAAATTTCGTTTAGTCGTTTGAATCCGACAATAGAAATTAAGAGATATTCGAAATAAGAAATAAAAATTTTGACACGAAGATATTGCAAACAAAATTTAGCGAAAACGTCAAAAATAAGCAATTACTCATTTTTTTGTTTGATCGCCTCAAATAATTTGAAAAATTAAAAATTTTGCTGCCTATATATTTTATATATATATGAATCGAATTCTGCAGAACCACAACAACGACTGAGAACCCATGCGAATCCTCGAAACCAGTGGATTTAACGCGTCGTCTGCGCGACACAAGCGGATACGACAAAATCTACATGGCAAATGATTTCGTTTCGGCGAGTGCCTCATTCTCGGACCTTCGAAACTTTGTCCTCAAACCACCAGCCGAATATCATTGCGGAAAACGATGCCAAAGGTTTCATTTCAATAATAATATATGATTCAATGTTCAATCGTATAGATCAAGTCAAATGATCCGAAGCATTATGAAAGGCCACGCTCCGAGTGAAGCCGTTCGCGCATGGTGGGATGAGGAAGAATGGGACAGACGGAAGAAGCGCAAGTCGGGATGGGATGACACCTCAAGATTGCTAATGAAGAATACGGGAACTTCGAGACATGTTCTGGGGATGACCGTAGCCGTTGAATGTGACGACGAAGATGGTCCCTACTCAAATGGAGGGTGAGTCAAAACAGACACGTTGAAGTATACTTCGACAATTCAAACAGTTTGTGCTGCTGACAACTATCCGGTTTTTAGCTACTCTCTATGCACAACATGTCGCGCCGTTCGCCATCTTCCATCGAATTTCTTTCCGCGCGTCATCAACGAAATCATTTGCTCTCAAAAATCGTGTCTTCATTCTGAAGGCAAATGCGTCCAACGGGTTATGCCAATGAAGGTATAAATAAAAAATTAATTTTTTTTTTCAAACGTAGAAATATAGTATGTATTCCCGCTCCAAAAGAGCGGCTACCGTAATTTCCAATGTCGTCAGACGCGTTGCGGTTCGCTTTTTAGAATTTCTTTATATAAACGATAAGCGCAATGTTATCATTTTACTATGAATGTCGGGTCCCACATATTTTGAAACAGAAAATTGAGTTTTCTTTGCTCTTTAAAAATATATATTTAAAAAAAAACCAACTGAAAGTCCATTCTTTTGCAGATTCTGCGGAATGTGGGCACGAAAGAATGCGCTCGCTGGGTGCTGAGCACCGTCGAGATTCGAACGTGCTGCGATTGTGTGCTGAGTCCGAGCTCACCACTTGTTAGCTACTTGTAAAAAAATGGGAAATCATAACAATTTTTGCGAATTAATCTTCTGATATTTCTGGAACACCAGTATAAAAATAATATTAAAGGTCCCCCATTTCCAACATTCCATTATATTTCCATAATGCATGCCCAATGAAACAAAGACCGGTGACTAGTTGAGAAATAGTTGAAAAAAAAAACAGTTCATTAATAAAAATAAAAATAAATAAATAAAATGCATTTATCGTCTTCGATCTCTGCTCCTTTCTCTTCGTTTTTCTCTGCTATGCGATCTGCAAAAATAAATGAATATCGTCGTGGGCTGTGGGGTTCATGTAATCAACGGCGTCTTGAGCCCTTCGAATTTAATTAACATCATCTTAAGCGACAGCTCCAAATGTGTTTGCTTGAATCATCGAGCGCCAAACAGCGACAAAAAAAAAATCAAAGGAAATGCAAAAAGAAAATGCATGCGAGGGGACTTGATTACTCTTAGTACTTCAGAAATCTTAGGAAACCTAGATCTTCGGAACATCGAAAATCTGAAAATACGCACCTTCTTCGATGATCTCGTTCCTTTTCTCGCCGTCTATCATCATGCCTTCTACGATCCCTCGAATCTTCACGACGCCTTCTTCTCGGTGATTCTCGTCGTTCCTTTTTCGGCGAAGGTGATCGTCGTCGTCTCGGAGATCGCGAATCCCTTCGTTCTCTTTTAATTTCCCGTTTGATCTCCCTCTTCGGTGACCTAATCTCTTTCTTCACCACACCATTCTTAGCTTCTGAAATTTCAAATTTGAATTTGACATTCCTATTTATTTGATTAATACTTGGCTTATATTTATAATTTTGAGAAACAGATTGCGAGAAATCCACGTGGATTCGGCGATCATCAATCAGCACATTATCCATTTTGAAAAATGCTTGCTCGCAACTTTTCGCCTGCAAAATTATTTAATTTTTCTTTAGAATATTCGATAAACATTTAAATTACATTATCAAATTCGATAAACGCATATTGAAGCGAGTCATTCGTTCGTCGATCACGTATAATCTGAAAATTTACAAAATTCTTCAAAATAGAATGAAAAAAAAGCGTCAAACCTCGCAATTATTAATTTTTCCAAATCGCGAGAAAATGATTTCAAGATCTTCATCAGTTGTAACTGGATTCAGCTTACAAACGAACAGAACATTCTCAGGTGGAACCTCATCGGCATCTTTCAAATCTCCGACCATTTCAAGGATTTGCGCCTGTTCGGCCATTTCTCGCAGCTTCATCTCTTCGGCGAGCTCTTCAGCGGTTTTTCCCTCATCTTCATTTTCTTTTTCGTCAAGAGCGATTTGATCTGTCTGAAATTTTACATATATTTAACTTAAGAATTCATAATTTTCAATTTGAAACCTTAACAAGCATCTCATAAGTTGGAGATGGAGATCTGCTAGGATATTTCAGCCTTTTATCATCGTCAAATGGATCATCCAAAACAATTGTGTGCGAAATTCTGAAAAACGTATGATTTTAAGTAAAAATTACAAAAAATAATAGTTATTACAATTTTGAATTCAGAAAAATTTTAACAAATTACCTAATATCTTTAAACGGTTTATTATTCGGATCAGTTAGCTGCTCATTCAATCGTTCAATCGTCTCGAGACCTTCAGTTACTTGTCCGAATATTGTATGCTGCTCATCCAAATAGTCTAAGCTAAAATTTAAAAAAAATAGTTATCTTTTTCAAAAACTTCACATACTTTTCGCCGAGAGTAATGTAGAATTGAGATCCAAGCATATTATCGCCATTATTCACAAACGAGACAATTCCTGGAAAACGTTAGAAGATTCCTTGAAGACGACTGAGAAATATATACCAATTCTAGTGTGTTTCATCTTCGGCAAGTCTTCTTTTTCGAAAAACCTCGCCTGATCGCCGTACAATGAAGCGAATATCGATTCTCCGCCTCTTCCGGTGCCCGTCGGATCACCAGTCTGCGCAACATAATTCTGCTCAATGCTGTGAAACTGGCACAAATTGTAGTATTTCATTTTGCACAATTTCAAAAAATTTAAGCAACCTGAAATATAAAACGATTTCTTTTCAAAAAAGCAAAAAATATATATGTACAAAACTAACATTTTGGTCGCTCTTTAACAAACAAATCAATAACGAGGTCTCCAAGTGTGGTTTCGACTAAAACCGCCATCTGAAATCATTTTGATTGAAATATGAAATTGAAAGTGAATAAAAGTATATTAAATCGTAAACGAACAATCATAAAAAAGGAATAACAAAAAGTATCGAAGTGAAATCGATTTATTTCTACATTGACCCGAACTAAATTTGGAATGAATCCCCCCAAAATTCTAAAATGTGCATAATTCATTTATTCCTGCGTCGCTGCTCGTTTGAATATCCTTCCTGTATAGATTCCAGCAAAGATTCCTCCGACGCCAGCTGCGATACCCGCGAGTCCCGATCCCGCTGCGAGACCCACCGGACCACCAAGTGCCAATCCGCCGACGACTCCTGCCACAATCGGAGTCTGCAAATTCAACATGATATTATCCACAAATTCTTCTAAACGTGTAGATTTGCAATAAGAATAGGTTAAAGGCACACACCAGAGCCCCAAGACCTTTCCCCAATGTTTTTTTGGAATTTAGCCAATTTTCCGCAGTCGCGCGACATCGACAATGAAATTGTTAGAAAATTGTACTTGTGGCACCTTATGGGCCTATTCACGCAATGAAAAAATTTTAAAAATCATTTTTTTTTCATTTGAATTCCCTATGCACGTCGAAAATTACAAAAAATTTTCGCGATATATCGTAATTCGCCGCTATTTATTTTAAATTTTTTTTTCACGCGAAAATTTGCGCGGGTCTCGTCGCGAAGTCGGAACTGTAATTTTTTAATGGTTGCTTTTTTTTTCCAATTTTTTATTTTTTGAGCGTTTAAAATGTTTTCTTTTGGAAATCTGTGAAAGTATTTTGGTTAATCAACGCTAAATGTCCATAAGAAGCGTCATCGAGCGAAGTCTGCATCAAATAAACACAAATATCCCTATTTCTCATAATAATTGGCATCTAAATGACGAAAAATAGACTTATATTGTCGAATTAGGAGTATTTATACCAATAATTGTTTTTTACCTCATTTTTCAATCCGTTAGTCGTTTTCTCTTTAAAGCTTTCGAAAAATACTGAAAAATAACACACAGAATGAAGAATAAAGAATTACAGTACCGACTTCGCGACGTGACCCGCGCAACTTTTCGCGTGCGCCTTTGAAAATATGAATTACGATATATCGCGTCAATTCATTTTTTGTAATTTTCGACGTCCGTGCCAGGGCTGTGCGGCAATCGGAAATTTCGGCAATTCGGCAAATTGCCGAAAATCAAAATTTCGGCAATCCGGCAATTCGGCAATTTGCCGATCGAACGTTCGCTTCGGCAATTCGGCAATTTGAAAAATCGGCAATTTCGGCAATCGGTAATTCCATTGCCGCACAGCCCTGGTCCGTGCATAGGGAATTCAAATGAAAAAAAAAATAGATTTTTTTTTTAATTTTCTCATTGCATGAATAGGTCCATTAGATTACTTTGATTTGGAGTCGAGTTATTGTTTTTATATTAATTATTGTTTTATTTTTTTAGCAAATTGTTTTTATTTGTCAAAAACTCAAAAATCAAACCTTTGCAGCTTTCGACTTCACCGCTTTCTTTAATTGATCATTTCCACGTTTCACATCTTCGGTGGCTCTTTCAACTTGCTCCTGAAAATTTTCTTTATCCGTTAGTTCGCAATTCATGCTAAAAAAGAAATTCGCACCTCAATCGAGTCGACCGCGTCGTGCTGCTCATGGACAATTTTGGCCAATTCCGCGAAAATCTGCTCCAAATCCTCCATTTCCTTCTGAATCTTTTTCGTCCCTTCGGCCTTCATTCGCGCATCTTCGGCGAGTTGACGCATCTCATTCTCGCGTCTTGCCGATTCTTGTAGATGTCTTAATTCGAAAACAACTATGGTTGCGAAAAAATTGGGGCTCACACCTTTGAGCCTCAACCTCATAAGGGTTTTCCTCATCTGCTTCATAAAATGAGGATGACGTTTGGAGTTGAGGAAGCGATCGATTGACCTTCACACTCGTCTGAATCTGTCGACGAATCGGCTCAATTTTTAAGTCGAAGGCTTCGAAATTCGTCGGATCAATGTCAGTGCGGAGCTGGAGGATCTGCTCCAGTCCCTGCATGAGTTGCTCCTCATACTGTGTGATCTAAAAATAAAAATTTCTTTGAAATCATACAAAATAACGTGATACCGTAATTCGAAGTTGCCGATTATCTCTGGGACCTCCATCAAGAGCAATTCTCTGCAATTTTTTGAGTTCGACGAGTTTCGAACTCGCCATCCTTTCATATCGATCAATGACTAGGACCATTCGATCCCAAGATGTGTTCGACATCTAAAAACATAATTAAAAACTAAAAAAAAGAGAATTCAGAAATATATAAAATTGATAAAAACAAATCTTGAAAAAAGCTCGAGATGAAAAAAAATGAAAAAATTCATCGGAAACGAATAACAAAAAACCGATTAATATAAATAGTTATCGCTCAATTTTCGCAATAAATCTCCGGATTTCTTTATAAAATTCGCGACCGGCAGCGTTTTGAGCATCCGAGATCGTCGACAATGTCGTCGTCAGCTGCCGAAGTGACGTCATCCCGCCCATTAGCAATAGCTTCTCATCAAGCTGTTCAATTAATGCTCGAATCTGCAAAAAATATAATAATTTAAGGATTGACTAAAAAAAATGTTGAATACCTTTCTTTCAGCCGAAACATCATTTTTAACACCCGTTCGCAGTGCAACAACTATCGATCCATTCACAATTTTCTCAACGATTAATTCGAATCGAGCCGCGACAGAAATCAGCGGAGACAGACAGTTTATCGATTTTATAAGCTGAAAATGAGAGAATTCCGAAGAAAAGTGAATTAATTGAAAAAAAAAAACCAACCAACCTTCAGTGCTGTCCAATATTGGCGATCCTGGAACAATTTGCAACCAGTCGATGTGTTTTCCAAAGCTCTGGAAATAAACAATTTCAATAATTCAAAACATCGCTCGTCATATTTTCGTTGATTTTTTCAATCAAAAATATTATAGTTTCTTACGTTGGTGCGAACATTGGAACAAAAAGATCATCATCGATCGCTTCTTGAATTCGACATCGAATCGCATCCAATAATCCAACAAACTGTTTGCTTTTCTCATTCAAAGTAGGAATCTTGTCGAAATCGGCGCAAAATTGCATCAATTTGCGGGTCTGTGATAGCGAGAGCGGGTCCCATGTCTCACGGACCAAATCGATCAGGAATGGGCACACGATTTTTTCAACAATCGCCGGCACGAGACCAACAATTGTCACATGCTCGGGCTCGATTTCACTGTTGTTCGCACCCGCCAAAATTGCGCTTTTAAACCATGGCATTGAATTAAGAAGAGTTTCCTTCTGTAATCATAGCGTACAAATAATAAGTTTGAAAAAAACATTATCATCGCAAAAATCGAGAATTCGTTTTGAGATTGCGAATTCTTGTGCCGTACTAGGGACAACCAAACCCCACAAATCTATAGATAGCGTTCGTTTTTGCGATGGCAATGCTCAAATTTCTTCTCACCCTTAGAATATCCGCTGTGATTAATTGCAATCGAACATACGGGGAACATAATTTGGGCAAACATAAATAAACATAAGCGTCTTGAAACGATTTCGTGTCAACCGCCAACCAATCCATCATCCTACAATGGAAAACTTGTCAAAAAAAATTGATGGTGAGAATTTTACCTTTCTAGAACCTTCTTTATATCCGAATACTCTTCAAGTGCGTCAGCGAAAATTACCGAAGCGACGGCTTCAACTTCATCTGAAACAACGAATAAATTGAAAATTCGTCCGCAATGAGAAGTTGATATCAATATGATTCCAAAATAATACAAATTTAACAATTACCGTCAATCTGTTTATCCGCCGCAATTTGGCTATTCATTTCCTCGTCGTCGGTACTCATTCCTTCTTCATGCGATATTCCGACCAACGTCGTTTCTCGTTCCCTCCATCTTCTTCCACGTCTAGCTTCTCTCTCCGCGGCTCTTGTCGCAGCTTCACCAACTTTTACCGTCGAAATATTTTTTCCGGCAGCACATGCCGTGCATTCGGCATACTGATCTCGGACATCCATTCTGCGCCGCTTCGCGATTCGCAACATTCGCGCATTCTGCGCCGTTCGCTTTTTGTCGGCAATCTCATTGATCTCGGCGACTTTTTCATTGAGGCATTCGAGCAAACTTCTCGCATAAACTCTCAATTCTTGATACATGGCGAATTTGGTGCTCAAAGATGGCATTTCCATTTCAATCTTTTCCACCATCGATTTATTCTCGTCGAGATGTTGCTTCATTTTCCGCATTTCTTCTCGCCGGAAATTCAATGCTTCATCGCGATCTTGAAGTCGTAGCTTCAATTTCGCAAGAATGTCTTCTATTTTAACGACGCCGCCTGTATTCTTCGGATTGAATGATGTTTTTTCAATCACAACATCCATATCAATATCCATATGATCATCATCGTCTTCAATCGGCGGAGGATGTCCGTATAATTTGGTGGTGTTCCGTTTTTCCTCACGAAGTTGGCCAATCTTAAATGGAAAATTATCACTAAAGAAATCGTATATAAAGGGACAATTGATGAGACTTACGGCTCTTCCGCTGACTGCTTTCCTAATTTGTTGCTTCTCCCATTCTTCCATTTCCGGATTCTTTCGATAATCCGAATTCTCGTCATCGTCATCGTTATCATCTCCGTGCTCGCGATTAAGAAATTCATTTTGCTCTTCTCTTCGTCGATCTTCGTCTGTTCGAAGTAATTCGCGAGCAGAATAGAATTTGCCCGCCTCTTCTTCATCTGAATCATCGTTCTCGTCCTCCCGAATCAGACGATCTCGCGCTCCTCGATTCCTTATTTTCTGATCGTCGTCCAATGGAATGTAGCCGTCTCTTCCTTCTCTCCGCATCCGCTCACGACGTTTTTTCGCTTCATAAACGGCCTTCGAGTCGGGTATTCCAGCTAAATATTGAACAAATTTATAAATAGAAGTACACCTACTTAATGAGGAGATATAAATAATACGTACCTAACGAAGAGAATTTGGAATTCGTATCACTGCTAAAGCTGATAGCTTCTTCGTCAATGTCAAGATCTTCATCAAACCCTCCAACGTGTTTCGCTGAGGCATCTTTATACTTTTCCAGATATTTTTGTCGTTCGCTCCTTTTATCTTTTTCCTTCTCTTCTTTCACTTTTTTCTCTTTGCTTATCACAGATTCCAATTTTTTCTTTCTTGATTCTTCTTCGATTCTTCTTTCATTTTCCATTTGTTCAGCTTGTTCTTCAAGTTTGTGCATCCGTTTGAGTTCTTCGACCTTTTTCTTGTTCTTTTTCACTTCAAATGTCGAATCTGCACCTTCATCCATATCAAAACTAAAAGTTGAACGCTTCTCAGTGGTCACCTAAAATTTGAACTTAAAATATGCAAAAATCACAATACTAACGATTACCTTAACAACTTTTTCCGCCTCACTTTTCTCGGAACTCTCCTTTGTTGGCGAATTTTCGTCCCAATCGTCATTTTTTCGTTGTCTAATTGCCCCTTTTGCTTTTGGCTTGCGAAACATGCCTAAAAAAGTAAATTTTATTTGAAAAATGCGAAAACGCTATAAAAACCGCCACGGAAAAATATTCGAAAAATGAGCAGTCGTCAAATGTGACGCAATGTCCGCAAACATCGCAGCGTGCCTGCTGCGGATCAGCGATTTTTTCCGCATTTTTCGCATTTTGAATAAACGCGTTTTGAAACAATTTATTTATTCTTTTAGATGGGAGACTACGTTCCAGGGTTTGAGCAACGTGAAAGTGATGCTCGCAGCTTTGGTCATTCTCGTCTTCCAACCCTTGGAGCTATTCCTGTTAAAACTAAAGATGGAAAAGTGGTAATGAAAAAAGTGAAAGTTTCACGTTATGTGGCAGGAAAAGTGTAAGTTTTCTTTTTTTTTCAACTGTAAAAACTCTTAATTTAGACCAGAATTCGCTAAAGGCGTGGATTCAGAATCTGAATTGGATGATTCCGATCAGGAGCAGGACCAAAAGAGAAGAGATCGTCGTCGAAGCTCCAGTGAAGACGAAAAAGAATATCGTTCAACTAGAAGACGAGACGATCGTGGACATGCAAGTTCAAGTCGACATGTCGAAGAGCCGGAAATCATCGGCAAACAAGAGGAATCTGATGAAGATGCTGAGAAGATTGAGGAACGTCGTCAGCGAGCACGGCTCCGTCGTATGGAGCTCAACGAAGAGAATAAAAATGAAGAAGAAGATGAATCCGAAGAAAGTGATGAGGAGGATTTCGAAAGAAGACGTCGGATGCTCCGCGAGAAAGCGTTGAAACGCGAACGTCAGGAAGAAATCAAAAAGGAGATCAAAGAGGAGCTCGAGGAGCCCGAAGAAGAAGCTGACGATGAGGAAGAGGAAGACACTTCAGAAGAGGAATCAGATGAGGACGATGATCCAGTACCAAGGCTGAAACCAGTGTTCACTAGAAAAAAGGATAGGATCACTTTGCAAGAAGCTGAAAAAGAGAGGGAACGGGAAATGCAGAGGAAGTTTGAGGAAGAGAAACGACGGGAGGAAAGGAAGCGGGAAAGTGCCAAAGTATGTTTCATTTGCAGTTTTCAGACACGGTTTTTCGCACATACTTACTCTTTTCAGCTTGTGGAACAAGTTTTGCGGGAGGAAGAAGAAGCCGCGAAACGAAAAGAAGAAGACACTCTCGATTTGGATTCCGTTAAAACTGACGATGAAAGTGAAAGTATTGCATATGAAGCCTGGAAATTACGAGAAATGAAACGGCTAAAGAGAGACAGGTACTTTTTTTTAAAGAATTGAGTTCTAGAATGTCAAAAATATCATTTATTACAATCGCAAAAAAAGGAACGCAATGAGTAATTCTGGAACATTGTAATTTTTTGTGTGGTTATTCAAATTTTGATTTAATGATTCGAAATCGATTATCGTATTTCGTATAACCTGCGAATCAAACTAACCGTAAATCTACCGCGTGGTGCTCTTTTTTTTGCGATCATAATACATATTTGAACTTAAAAAACTTTTCATGTTTCTTTTTTAATTTCAGAGATGAACGCGAGCAGATGGCCAAAGAGAAGGCGGAACTCGAGAAAATCCATGCGATGTCCGAAGAAGAGCGCATCAAATATCTCAAGGCAAATCCGAAAATTATTACAAACAAGGTTAACTCTATAATCAATTCAAACTTTTAAATGATGATTTTAGCAAGAAAAAGGAAAATACAAGTTTTTACAAAAGTACTTCCATCGAGGAGCATTCTTCCTCGACGAGGAAGATGAAGTGCTTAAAAGGAATTTCGCCGAGGCAACCAATGATGATGTGTTTGATAAGACGGTTTTGCCTAAAGTGATGCAGGTATTTTTCGAGAAAACCATTTTATTGGAGAAAATTTTATAATATTAGGTGAAAAACTTTGGAAAAGCGTCAAGAACCAAATACACGCATTTGACTGCTGAGGATACCACCGAACATCAAGGAGTATGGGCATCGCAGAATTTGCTTAACACACAATTTTTCACTAAAAGAGCCGGTACGTGATTCAAAATTGTCCGCGGATTTCATTAAATATCACTCTTTCTTTGTTTTTTTTTTCAATATTTAATTATTCAATATTGCGGATATATCCGCCGGATACGTTTTCAATTTTTATTCTTCATTATTTATTTTGAAACGGATATTTTCGCGTCTTTTTTTTTTTGGAAATCGTTTTCTTTTGCGAAAACTTGCCCGAAAAGTGCTAATTTTGGATATTTTCAGCTGGCGCGCGACCCGTCTTCGAAAGACCTGCATTGAAAAAACGCAAGGATTCTTAAATAATAATAAAAATCGTCTTAATTCATTCGACACCAATTCCATATTTCTTTTTCGTTGTTTTGTGTAATGTTGTGTTTATTATAAATGGTTTTTCGTACTATTCGGTATGAGTGTACAGAACTTGTTCTTCCAATTATGGGCACCGCCCTGATGCTTGAAGTTTTCGTGACAGGAATTCAAATTTCCCGCCGCTTTTCTTGCTTATGCCCGCTAATTTGGTTTAGTTTGAGGGTTTGTTTGTTGAATTTGACATCACTGATTAAGCGCGACGCAAGCATAATGGAAGCATTGTGGGAAATCTGTGGAACGGAAGCATAATGCTTCCATATAGGAAGCATAATGTAATTCTTAGTGGCTGTGGAATTATGGGACGAATATGGATGGAATGAAAACGGGATGAATATGCTTCCGGTGTTTGCGAGCCGTGGAACAAATATGGATGGAATATGGATAAAATAATCATATGTCAATAAACATTATACAATTGGCGTCTGGACGGCAGACCAAGACAATTTCTAGAAAAATCAATACAAAAAACTTATGCTATCATATAAACAATGAAAATTTGAAAATTACATGATACACAACATACGAAATTTAGCTTCTACCATTTAATGACTGCTACTCAGATTTATGTTAATTCAGTCAACTGTTCCTCACTTTGTTTAAAGATTGCCAACTACAATTTAGTCGTATTAATATATTTTTGCCGGTTTTTCCGAAATTGGCATCGCAAACTACTCACAATTTGCTCCAAACTGGTAGCAGACGCGCGTAGAAGAGGCGTGCCGCAGCATTGCAAAACCGTGCGCCGCTTTGCACAATGCGGCCACGCCTCACATTTTCGAAATTCGTTTTCAAAATTTTTGTCCTTTTGCTTTTTCTCAATGAATTTTCAAGATTTTTTTGTGTTTTTTTGTCAAAAATTAAAGAATTTTTTTCAAAATTAAAGGAAAAATGTTTTTAAAAAATAAAGGAAAAATTTTCATATTTATCATCAAAATCGAAACCAAAAATAAATTGATAGCATTCGAAAATTTTAAAATCGATACGATGTTTTCAAATCGTTTCCGACACTTTTAAAATCGAATTTAAATATTTTCTCAATCGAATTGTGTTTAATTTCTCATCGAATCCGTTTTATTTTTATTTACTTTAACATATTTTTTATTATCGCTCGCTTTTTTCTTTTAATAAAACATAATGTTTTGAAATTTTTTACAGATGAAGACAAGATCGAGAGTGTTGTCAGATATAACTGAAACTGCTCTAGAAGTCAATAACAAAGAACCAGAAGTCCCTAACATGGAACCAAATTCGCTCGACACTTCAGATCCAGATAGTCCAATTTACTCGCCAACTCAGCAAAAAAATTTTTCTCCACAGTCCTCACAAACAACAAAATCAACGCCAATTCCTAAACCTTCGTACGCCCAATTTGTATGTTGTTATCATCAAAAATTGGCCTGTTCGACTCCAGAAATGGTTTCAATTAGAAAAATATGCGCAATGAAGTCTTTATAAAGTACTTCCTAAGTTTAAAGCTTGTTGATTATTTGGTTCCAATCAGGGCTGTGCGGCAATGGAATTGCCGATTGCCGAAATTGCCGGTTTTTCAAATTGCCGAAGAAAATTTCGATCGGTAATTTGCCATTAGCCGAATCGCCGAAATTTCCGATTGCCGTACAGCCTTCGTACCAATATCATTCAGTGGCATTTATCTTTTTAAGTGGGGCTCTAGTACAGAAGTCGCCAGACGCCGACTATATAAAGATCCTATACTTTATTGCAAATATCTATATTACAGATGCTCTTATCCATGGCTTTGGGCAACAACCGACAAATGACTTCAAAGCGAAAGCATTACGCATGGTTCGAGAAGTCATGGATAATCTTCTGTAAGATTTTGAACTATGACTATTAATTTATTTATTTGATTAAGCGATAGAATGCGCCAACGACTTCAAAGGAAATTTGGTGTAGCGCCGGAAGCGCTCGCGGCGCAATTAAGGAAGCTGCTTGATTCTACCAGCAACCCTCAGATGTGAGTATTCATATGTCTTTGAAATTTTAACCAAAATGCCTTTTTGCTTCAAATTTTGGAGTTGTTCTTTCTTCCGCCAATTCACTTTTTATTTTGTGCACTAAAGGGTTTCCAAAAATGCAATAAAAATAAATTATTTTTATTTTTAAGAAAATTATTGATGTAAAAAAACTGATTGTATTTTCTCGAAAAATTTAGTTTACGTAACAATGGTTTACAAGTTTTTCAAATTAATAGGCCCATTATAATCTACTTATTACAGCGTCCCGCTCGATGTCAGTACTGACAATGATTCGAATAGTTCGGCAGTTGCCAGTAACTAATGGTTTGATTATATCTTAATTGAAATTCATTTCATTGTTGTTTTTTTTATTTTAAATTAAATAAATGTGTTAATATGAAATAAATTTTGAATACAGCAATCAAATTGTTTTCTTATTTTCCCATATGGAAGGCATACGGCTCATTCCATATACGAAACACGCGGTTCCGCAAAAAAATGCTTCCATTATGCTTCCATATAACTTGCATATAAGATTCCTATGATATCCACAGCCGTTCCACTATGCTTCCATTGTGCCTATGCCGCCGTTTATCTGTGATGTCGACCTTTCATTTCGTGCTTACAATTTTCGAATGCTCCGCCCATTCAAGGTATTTCTTCAAATTTCTCATATTTTTTTCAAGCAGTACAGTTTCTGCAAATTGTTTTACATTTGAATGATGGCTCTATCTGACAATTTTCTGCTTCGGACAATTAAGAAGATACTTTTCGATTTAATTAGTGATCATTTGCTGGCGCATTATGTGCCAAATGAGTTTAAGCCGATCTTACCCATAATTACGGCTACCTCACCGTGCAAGAGAATTCGACTTTTTAACGAAAAGCGACTGGTCTTGGTTCTTCGTGTGCACCTCTATATTCTTCTCATAATTGTACACCTTTAGTTTTGCGTCAAGACCGTTTCGTTGTGTTTTTTTTTGGCCAATTTTCCGTAGACGACAATAATTTTCGAACTGTAATGCGCAGAAGACGAGTTTTTCTCTTGTGTACGAATAACAATGCTTAACACTTCCTTTAAAATTATAAATTCAAGAAGACGAAATTCAAAATCTCACTTTTTTTGTGAAAATTAGAGATTTTTGACCACGATCGTCTGAGAGAGTTTTCAGAATTATCTCAAATTGATTTCTCCTTTCTATTAAATATTTGAATTTCAATTTTCTTTTCTCTTCAATAACCTGGTTAAAAATGTTTTTCTTTTCAAATGAAATCCTAAATTTCGCTATTTTTTCACACGTTCTTCAAAAATATAATTCAATTATAAATATTACGTTAAAAATATTTGCTCGCTTTTTTGACAAGAGAATAAAAAATTAATTTCGTACGAAGGTTCCAAATATTAAAATTGAATTTCAATTAAATGTCATTTTTCGACGATGGAAAATAGAAAATTCAAAATTAACTAGTTTTTCTTTGTGATATTATTTCAAAAGAAGACTGAACCCCTAAAATTTGAAATCCACCAATAATTATCTGAAAATTTGGCGAGTATCCAAAATTCCATTTAAACCATAACGAGATCGATATGTTTTAAGCAAATATTCTCTCATCTACGGAAAAATTAAGATCTCTAAGTGAATTCGAAAATGTCCGCAGATGGAACTTTATAAGTAGGAAATCGAGAATACCAATTAAAACAAAAACTGACGTAAAAGCTCTTGAGTGTCAAGTAGGGACCCCTCATATAATAATGTGTTGTGTGTGTATGTATTTGGGACCCGTTAACTCGTTTCCATACAATGACGAAATGAAATTGAAAGAGTACACATACACACGTCGAGCATTAGCCAGGAGCACGAGCTCATGCTCATGAGCATGAGCCTCCTAACCGATATTGGCATTTACGAAATTAATTAACCGAGTTTTGTTGTTTTTGGATTTTCTATTTCGAGAGTCAAGCGTTTTTCATTATTGAAATTGTGTGTCGAACCGGCCCAAATTGCGTTGCGAGCGACGTGCGCTCGTAAAATTCATGAAAATCTCGATAAATAAATTTCCCAAATTTGGCCCCTCCTCCTCATTGTCTGAAATACGTATCTATTTTCATTTCGAAATTAATTGAAATCCGAATGTTGCCATGAGTCATCAGACCCTGGATGAATGTTTATAATAGAAAAGACGGAAGAATGAAAGAGCGAGAGAGATAATGAAAACCATCTGCGGACATTAATACGGGAATCAATTCAATTGAAATCACCGAATTTTCATAAAATTGAATTTTAAATGCATTGAAGTCCATTGTGTTTTTCCAAAAAATCAATCCACGTGGCTCGTCTTTTCCATTGTAGATCAGGTCTTTTTGACGAAAAGTACTCCTCCTCGTCGTCGTTTTTTTTCCTTTCAGTTGAAAATCAGAGACTTTTTTATTTCTGTCGGGACCAATTCTGCGAAAATTAAGCTCCGCCCATGTCTTTGTGTTCTTTGCCAATTTGGGCATCCGACAGTTGTATTTTCGACAGAGCTGCACGGAATTCCGTCTTCCGACTTCCGTCGAAAAAAAAATCGTTCCTTCCGTATTCCGTTAAAAAATTATTTGTTCCGAATTACGTTTTTAGAAAATTTGAATTCCGTGCAGCTCCTGCAGAAATTTGGCTGAATGCCAAAAGAAACATTTTGAAAAAGGACTTTGTATATTTAGTTTTGCGCCCAGACCGCTTCCATTCTTCTTTTGGCATTTAGTCAATTTTCCGCAGTCGCGCAACGTCGACAATATGAGTCAAATAGATTTTCGGATTACACACCTGACCAAATTCAGCTGCCGACGTTTTCCGGGTTGGCTTCTCAGAATACACAAGTAGCGACGGCTTTTAATCAAACTTCGCGACACTTTTTGTGAATGGGTTTAAAAAAAGGATTAAATGAAAAATAAAGTGCCATGAGGATCCTTTTTTACGAGTTTTTTTTTCTTTTTTCACTTGAAAAACATTGCCAAACAAAAAAAAAAACAGAAAAACATAAAACAAGGAAAAAGTGTTCCGATTTATTTTTTTATTTATTCATGACATAATATGAGGCGAGTGACTCAATCGAAAATCGAATCAAACCAATTCGCAACCCTTCTAATCCACTTCAGTTCAAACATTCTTTGTTTTCGATTGTCTCCAAGTTCTTTTCTTTGAGTTTTTGCAAAATTCTTCACAAAATTGCATTACTTCTTATTTTTCTCGAGTTTGTGTGAAAAATTGGCATTTCTCCAACACAATGAATCCGATTCTGCACTCGATGAAAAAAAAATCTCCGAATTCACAGAAGAATGAAGACAATATCATTTTTATAAGCAACTTTTGAAAATTTTCGTCGAAATTTTTTAATTACAGTAGTTCGTTTTAAAGGCGCATGGCCGTTTTCGATAATGGTCTCGCAAAGAAATCGTTTTGTTTTTAGAATTTAGGCATTTTTTTTTGAAATTTAATGGCCATTGGTTTTTACGGACCAAATAATACGGTATTCTCAATTCTAAATAAATTTTGAGGAATTTCAGCAAAAAAAATCTGCGAATCTCGGTGTGAATCTCGTATTTATATTGTAAAAAGTGGTCAGCTGACCTCGAAAAGGTGTCAAAATGACGCGCAAATGACGTTTGAATGTTTCCATCGAAAATAAACCAAATCGGGACCACAAATGTTCGATTTGCTTGAAAACAAAATTTGAAAAAAAAAAACACACACACCCATAAAAATTTATGTTGTTTTATTTCCAAAAAATTGCATGTTTGGCTCAAAGCCACACCGTTTTTCGTGAGTCATCTCAACCGGAAATCGCATTAAAAAATGGATTTTCGGCAGGAAATGTGTTCCTAGACGATGGTCCGAATCATCGCCACATTTCACGCGAGAAAAATGAAAGTTGCGGAAGTGCTATAAATAGATAGGGACCATTATATTTATATTTTCTCGATTATGATCAATTTCAAACAATTGCGCAATTACGTATTCATTGGCGTCTAGTCGCCGTGTGCTGCTCGCCCTTCCGCCCGCAAAGTGTCCGCCAATTGACCACGCCCACCTCTCACCCAACAGCCCACTCGTTTTCCGAATAAACGGGTCCGTCGCCGTTTATGTTGACGATGCACTCGACGACCTCGATAGCGGCGAATTCAATTAGACTCGCTCAACGATATTACCTTTCTTTTTTCCGTCAATTGTTTTCGCTCATTTCGATTTGTCTCTCATCTCTTTTTTGATCTTCAACCCACCCACGTCGTCGGATTCTTTTAAACGAGTGCGCTCGACACAAAAAAAAGCGATGGGTGTTCGTCGTCACAAATAGAGTTTAGGCGACGATTGACCACTGATTGTGTCGATTTACGAGAACTAGGAAACCAGTTGGATATTCAATTATTGATTTGATCTACCAAATGCGATTGTTGGCGTCAAATGACTGATTTCTGATGTGCTAACATGTTTCGATGCACCGAGAATTACGCGAGACTGCGTACATTGCATTATAGTTTACGCGCATATAATATTCAGCTAACGATAAATTTACATCAACACTGATTTCGCGAATCAAAAATAGCCGCCAAATTCTTCGTTTTGACGTCGAAAATAGAACTAAAATAGCTTGTAGATCAAAAATTCGAATTTTGCACATGCTTCATCATATCGAATCCTCAATTCTTAGTCTTTTGGCTTCCCGCAGACGATTTCCACCTGCTTCATATTTTTCAAGCCATATATCACAATTCACTTTTCTCGGTTTCCATTTCGACGCATATCTCTCAAACAATTCCATTCAAGCGAAACCCCGATAATTGTCCGCAGATGATTTTACATACGTTCACGAACATCATTCGTCCTCGTTGATTTCTCGAGGGAATAAAAAAAGACAATTCTCTCGTTTCCTTCATTAGCAGAATTATTTCCAATAATTTATTAGCGTGTTTTTGGCATTCTTTCGAATGTATACAAGTCGATATACGAATATGGAAATCCTTGTGAAATTTATGGCACCCAGACGAAAATTTGATGCGATGCCATTCGTTTTCGAATTTCGAATTGCTTGCCATTCATCTCAGAGCACATTTGCCGTCTGATCTACCAAACTTTGAAAACACGGTGGTTCGAGACTACTCGAGAAGGCTTTTGCTCATTCGCTCACCACATAATTGTGGGCGTGGTCAGATCGGCGCGCATCGACGGCTCGTCTTGAGCGCATCTTCCATTTTTTTTTGCATCATTGCTATAGCAACACATTGGAGCCAATAAATTTCCAGCTGCGAGAGATTCTCCCCCCTCGTTTTCAACGTCATCAGAAGTTTTTCTTCTTGTTCTTCTGTGTTTGAGCGAAACCGAAATGACATCATGAAACAGAAACTTGTTAAACTCTCGCCTCCTCCTTGTTTCCGTCGGCCACGCCCACATCTACTATAAATAGTAGTAAACGGCAAATGTCCGCAGCAAGTGTTCAATTAAGCCATTCCGAACGAATGCTCATTGATGCGCGTCTCGATTCATTTAATTTCTAGTCGAGTGCACGGTTCGGACCCTTTTCGCGCGTTTCTCTTCGCCCCCTCTGAAAATCGTGTCCCGAATCAATTTCAGCAGTTTCCAAGCATAAGTGTTGCTCATTTCGTCATTCTCATGTTTTCATTTCTGCTCCAGACGCGGCCCCTTCTCGTATACTGTTTGATTCGTTGTGTCTTCCGAAGACTACAGTACTCGTGCTCATTTTTTGCTAAGCTTCTCACACTGATTCAAGTGCTCAATTTACTAATGGTAGATCAAACTATATTCCGTTTTTTTTAATACTCAGCGATTCGATATAAAGGTCATGGTTGGTTTTGGTTGAAACGTTGGGGTTCCACTGGAGTTTCCCAAACCTTTTAATACTACTAGTACGACACTCCAACCGTCCGCACCGCCCTCGATTTAGCTTGCCAGGCTAAAAATTGAATTGTTCGTCCCCGATCGAAGCGCTGAAGAATCTGAATTTGAACGCACACGATTTTCCGAGCTCAAAGTTCGAAATCAAATCATTCAAGTGGAAAATTCGAGAAAGAAAAGTGTTCTGCGAAAATAAAAATTTCAATTTTCAAGGTTTTTCGAACGCATATTTCTCGAAATTCATTAGGCATTTGTTTGTTTCAACTCGACACCCTTTAAATTATTCCTCGTGTTCAATGGTCCCCAAATTCGAAAAGCTAATCAATTTGCAGGTAACAAAAGCGACATGAGTCAGAAGCTTCCATCTCTCCTACAGATTTTGCTGTTCGCCCAGGTATTCACTTCAACGGACCACTCAAATCAGGACCACAATTTCGTTTTTTTTTTTACAGTGCGCACTCATCTCCATTTGCGCCGCCTATCCATATTTGGTGCTCGCCGAGCCCAACTACAGGTAATCGAAATTCAATTGCCAATTTTTGGCTCACGACAAAATTGAATTATTTTGATTATTGAAAACGATGCCAATAATATTTTTTTGTTCGTGTGTGGTCATCGAAAAAAAAAATTGGAAAAGAAATTTCAGTGTGTCACGCACTCTGAAATTTAATTAACGAACCCGTCGGTCTTCTTCACATTTTTTCGCAGAAAAATATGAAAAATAAAATTAATTCGCGAACGCGTGACACTAATTATTTGATGATAATTGAATTTTGATTCGACGAATAACCCAATTAATCAATTTTCTTTTTTTCAGCACATCTCGACACCTTGTGAAGCGCGCGTTCGACCGATTTGATAATTCGGGAGTCTTCTCATTCGGCGCAAAACGATTAGATCGACTTGACGATCTTGAAAATGAATACGAGGATCGCAAGAAGCGCGCTTTTGACAGGTCCTTCAAGATGTTTTTTTTTTTAATTTCTGACGAAAATCAAATTAAATCGAAAAACTTCATCGATGATATTTCTATTAAAAAAAATAACTCAATTCATTTTAACATAATAAATCAGCTGCGGACATTATAGAAGATTTTTCCGTCCACAAAAATTACAAAATTAATTTTTAAAAAATTCAGATTAGATAATGCTGATTTCGGACTTCGCCGCAAACGCAGTTTCGACCGAATGGGAGGCACCGAGTTCGGTTTGATGAAACGCAGTGCAGGACGCGTTTCTGATAGAGGTTTGAGCAGCATGGATTCGAGAAAACGCTTACAAACTTCCCATTTGAAGATCAATTAATCGAGAATTTGGCGGATTCGATAGCCGCATTGCGACAAGCTCGCTCCATTGAGAATCTCGGGCCACTACTAGTCACCTACAACAAATAATGACAATATTCGCCCCCTCCGACAGTTTTTTGCTTTTGATCTCCTTCCCTCTCAGCACACGTTTCCCACAATCCATTCTCGCGCCCCTTCAAATTGTCTACTCCCCATATCTCCTTATAAGGTTTAGTTATCATACATAAGTAATTTATTATAGAAAAGGACCCCTCCTTTTCCAATCAAAGCTCCTTCCAATCAACACAAATCACATTCTTCAATATTTTTTGGAGATGTACCATAAATTGTGTATCAGAGATGAAGAAGAAATAATAAATGCAATTCATCGTTTTTTTTTGAGAAATTTCAACAGAAAATATTCGATCAAAAATGTCGACGAATGTTCGATCTTCCGCACAGGTGAATTTCTCGATGAAAAACCGAACGTTCGACGCCGTTTCTTGAGTAAACACCCTAGTTGTGTCACTTTTTCATTATTTTTAAACTCTGAAATTGCATATGGCACTACGCATCAGATTTCACGTTGAAGTGGCGTCAAAATGTCAAGCTTTTTTCGTCGAATTGATTTCGTTGAACCGTGGGCGGCGGCGGAAGATCGAACATTCTGGGCTGCCCATTTGAACACCAACTCGTTAAATCAAATCGGACACCGTGCAGACGTCCAGCGGACGCGAGTACAGCCGAATCAGAACGGACGGCAATGTTCGAAAATTCGCGGACCCCACTCGGACCCACATAATGGGACGAGCAGCGTCAGAGCGGATGAGTTTTATGGACCTATTCATGCAATGAAAAAAATTTAAAAAAAATCGATTTTTTTTTTCATTTGAATTCCCTATGCGCGGACGTCGAAAATTACAAAAAAAAAGAATTGACGCGATATATCGTAATTCGTCGCTATTTATTTTTAAAGGCGCATGCGAAAAGTTGCGCGGGTGTCGTCGCGAAGTCAGTACTGTAATTTTTAATGGTTGTTTTTTTTTAATTTTTTGAGCGTTTTAAATATTTTTTTCGGAAATATGTAAAAGTATTTTGGTTAATTAATGCTAAATGTCCATAAGAAGCGTCATCGAGCGAAGTCTGCATCAAATCAACACAAATATCACTGTTTCTCATAATAATTGGCATCTAAATGACGAAAAATTGACATATATTGTCGAATTTGGAGTATTTATACCAAAAATTGTTTTTTTCCCTCATTTTTCAATCCGTTACTCGTTTTCACTTCAAAGTTTTCGGAAAATACTGAAAAATAACACAAAGAAAGAAAATAAAACATTACAGTGACCGGCGCAACTTTTCGCTTGCGCCTTTGAAAATATGAATTACGATATATCGCGTCAATTTTTTGTAATTTTCGACGTGCGTGCATAGGGAATTCAAATGAAAAAATTTGATTTTTTTCCATTGCATGAATAGGTCCATTACATAGAAAGTGCAACACGTGGCAAATATTTTCAGATGTCAATTCCAACATAAAAATGTCTGACAAATCGCCCAGGTGCATCGCTTTGATGCTGATCAATTTTTTGCAACCATTTTTGCAATTCAAATATGTTTCTCTTTTATAAGTTCACATCACTTTGTTTTTCTATTCAAAATATGATTAATTACTTACTCAACAAACGACCGCAAATGTTCGATCTTCCACCTGATTTGTGGGAATCGTTAAAGCGGAAGATCGAACATTACGAGTAACATTCTGAGTAATAAATCATTCAGTTTTATGCAAAACCAACAAAAAATACCAATTTAAAGCAAAATATCGAATGGATTCCGAATAATAGTCACATCTAATCGAATTGGCTAAAAACTGCCTTCATAATGTAACTGAATGATTCCAATTCAGATTTTTTTTTCGAAAAAATAAATTGGAAAGCAATTATGCTGTTTTCAATAATATCAATTAGCGATAATCTAAGATATGGTCACGTCAACAGGGGTCCGAATTATCGACGTGAAACATCAATGCATTTGATAGCTATTTTTTAACCTGTTGGCGATGCAAAGTGGTATTAGAAATAAACGTTGGTCGATTATTGAGGCGATGATTCGTCGACGAGTCGTTTTAGTGTCAACACACAAAGGCGTCTCAAGAGAGAGTACGGCGAAGAACAAAATCGAAGAGATCTCAGCTAGAATGAAGCTTAAAAAACGCAACTCACAAAGGGTTGGCATTTTTGGAACGCGAATTAATCAATTGAATTGCACGATATTTTGAAGTTTCAAATTCGGTCACCACGGTCATCCGGAATGCAATCAAACTCGAAACGTTTAAATCGGCCCGATTGGAAGGTGGTAAGATTCAAATGTGATCGCTATCGAACTCAACTCGCCTTCTAGACGATCGCCGCGAAAATTGCTAGAAAAAAAGGAAAATTGTCTTCCGCCGAACGGTGTAGCCCGCCGGTATGGTGGCCTTGATAGTTTATAAGTCGAGAACACAATTTTCCTTTCGAGATTTATAAATTATCCGTTTTTTGATGATGTCTATCTCCCTGAAATATCACTTTTTAATTTCTATATATTATGTAGAAGTTTCAGGAAGAAAGATTGATAAAACTAAAAAAATGGTAAGGTTTTAGTATTTGGGTTTTTGAAGTTGATTATAGGCTTAAAGTGTCTATTGATGATATTTAAAAAAATTTTTTTATTATTAAATGAAAATTGAAATTTAGTGTGTTGTTTTTTCAAACAAATGAAAATTTTGAATTCTCAGCTATTCGAAAAGGGCCAACCGTTGTTAGTTTTGGTTTAAATGTTGGGGTTTCACTGGAATTCCCAAAAACTTTCGCTTTTCGTACCCAAAAACTTTAAACGCTACCATTACGACACTCCAATTACACACCACCCTCGATTTAGCAATTGTTTTAATTTTCATGCAGGATATTTATGGAATAAATTTTCACGGCTCGCGCATCACACGTATGGCCTAGAAAAAAGTCCATATAAATAAGGTTCGGCCACGGCCACACTTGATGAATTACTCAATTAAATAAAATAGAACTAAATGAATACGTATATATTTTGTGTGTTTATGGTTTCAAAAACCAAATATCAAAATAAGACACAACTTCGTGGAAATAAAAGAAAATCGTGTGCCGCGTTTTCAGTTTTTTTTAATGATGGAATTTGTGTGCCTCACTTGCATTTTTGTTTTTTGAAAGTGTCCAATTTTTTTCTAGGGCGCAATTTATCCCATTTTGTCACAGTCGCCCAAATTTCGACAATTTCATAGCGTTCGCTGTTCGACTCGATCGAATCGTCGAATTGTTTGAATGTTGCGTCATTTATAGTGCATTGTACGTAGTGCGAGCGTAATTTTAATTTTCAAAGTAAATTTATATTTCTCTGCTAAAACCTCTGTTTCTTACGTTTGACTGTGAGCCATCGAATCTCATTCACTATGAAAACGATTGAATTCAGAAAGAAGACGGAGGTGGACGTCGGCTCACCAAAACGCGGTCATCAAATCAATTGAGCAAAGAAGATTCATCGGAAGTTGTAGCGAAGAATGCACGGCGTTTGCGTAATAGCGCAGAAGCACCGAGAGGCATTCTGACAGATGAGAATCAGCCAACAAATTGTGAAGGGAAAGAAGTGAAAAGCAAAATACCAACGACGCCCGAAAAAAAGCCGCCTTTCAATATACAGTAAATAATAAATCGATCAATTTTTATCTGCAAATTGTTTTCAGACGAAGGGAATTTATTGAGAAATGGATCAATGGAGTTCTCGAAGCTGGCGTTGCCACGCTGATTCAAGAATTCAAAATGACGCCTTTCGAAGTGCCGTTGGACGAATGCACGTATTTCCTGAAAAATCCCGACAAAAACCGATATCCGAACGTCGGATGCTTGGATCGAACCCGATTCGTGCTGCAAGGCGACGACAATTTTTATATTCATGCCAATTATGTCAAGTAATTTCGAAACGCCGATGGTCTTGATTAAATCAATGATCTCAGAATCTGTGATCGGAAGAATCGATTCCTGTGCACCCAGGGGCCGTTGCCGTCAACGGTAAACGATTTCTGGCGAATGACGGTGTCGGCGGGCGCGGAATTTATCGTGATGCTTTGTGCTTTGATTGAAAATGGCGTATCAAAGTGCTACAAGTATTATCCGGATCCTGGTGAAGAAGTCGAGACGGAAAACTTCAAAATTTCGAATGAAGGCGCCGTTGAAGTAAGAGCCTCATTCTAGAATCTATCGATATTGGACAACTTTTTGTTTTTGAAGGGATTTTCCAAATTTGTCATTCCAGTTACCTACACTGTCAGTGCAAAGCAAGGATCGCGTAATTCAGCAAAAATTTAAAATTTTTGTGAAAAATGAGAATCGCGCGGTTCGTGTGTCGCACGTTCAGTGGTCGAATTGGCCGGACCACGGTCTTCCCGATTCGTGCGAAACACCACTTCGAATTCTATCCCTAATTCGGAAGTCAATGTGAGAACAATACGTATTTAGTGATTCGAATTGAGACACCTTGTTTCAGGCAACCCATCATTGTTCATTGTTCAGCTGGTGTCGGAAGGACGGGTACCCTTGTGTTCGTCGAATCACTGATCATGGCTCTTCGGTATCCAAAGAAGCAGAACCCGAAGAATGCGTTCGTGCAGCTTCGAAAAGACCGAGCCAAGTGTATTCAGACACTCCATCAATTCGTGTATGCGCATCGTTGTGTTCTTGAATATTGTTTTAGTAAAAAGCATAAGAAGAATGAAGAGAAATGGGAGAAATTCAAGGAGGTGAGAGATGAATTTTTCAAAATAAATTCATATTGTCGCCAATTTTTCAGGATTACGCGCAGTTCATGTCAAAAAAGAAAAAGAACGACAATAAGGGGAAAAAGAAGAAATGCAGTGCTTCGCTATCGGCTGACGAAATTATTGATCCGAACACGGCTCTTACGACGACGACGACGACGACGACGACGACTGTCGCAAACAGCACCACTCCGTCTCCAAGCCCTAGTGTGAAGGTTAACGTTGATGAGACAGCGGAAATTGCAAATCCAAGTAAAGGCTTATTGGTCAAAGATGAAGCTGAGCAAACACCTGATAACAGTGCGAGCAGCAATACGCCGTTAAAAGCACCACAACAACCGACTGATTCTCCGTTTCCAGACGGCGACAAAGAAATTAACGACGATGAAGAACCGTGCTCGAATCTTGATCCAAATTAGTAAATCGTAATAATTTGTTTGATTTATGAAATCTGCATTTTGGCGAAATGTTCTCGAAACCCATTAATTTTCCTTCTCTGCTACCGTATTCTTTTTAGTATGTTTTGATTTATAACCTGTCGGTAACTATGCGGTCTCTATGTAGCACCCGCACAACACCTTCTCATTTGCTATGATTTTCCTACTACTATTCATTCTACCTTCGTTTCGTGTTTTCGCTCAAGGTAGGCAGATCAGGAAGGAGAGGCGTTTAACATTGGATTGACTAGTTACGACACCACAATTGTTTTCGAAATGCTCGATTTCCGACATCGACCGAGTTCTCTCGGAGCATGAGAATTATTGCATGACGGATGATGAGGTCGACAAGCTGTGCGAGCTGCAAATGAGTACGGAGAAGGCCAACGATGGTAACGCTGATTCTTCTACTAGAACTATTATACCATCCTCGATTATTTATTCAACACAGTCTGATTCAACTGATTATACAGAAACTATCACAACTAAACCAGTGTCACCAGATTATAAAGATGATTATCTTAAATACGTGCCAGTATCGAAACCTGGTAAAATAACGCAATTATTACAAACATGTTTGATTTTTAGACACCACGAAAATTTATTCAACGACAACCGAAAAAATAGTGGCAGGTAGCATAGATATTTGAGAATTTTCGAGTGCTATTAGTAGCCAATTTGATTCAATTTACAGAAGAAACTAGTAGCACAATAGCAATAGAAACTACTAGAATTCACGCAACAGCAACAACGAAACAAGTGGAAATTGAAACCAACGATTATCGGACCACATTAGCCCAATCGCATATTATTCCCGAAACAACTACGATTCGAGGAAAAACTAGCAGAATCAGTGTTACAGCACCTTCACAGTCGAGCATGACCACTGAAACGAGCACGATTGATGTGATCGCACCCACTAGAGTGACACGTGCTGCTACCACTATAGCTGAAATATCTACAGAGTTGCAAAATACAACAATTGCGGCATCAAGTACTCAATCGAAAACGAGAGCTGAAAAAACGCAATCGGCAACTATAACAACTTTTACTCCAGAAGCGACAGAAACGAATGAAAAAACTGAGACGACAACTCCGACAACGACAATTTCGGACTCGGCAACTAATTCAAGACACAGTTCTATTGAGAGTAGTCGAGAATTTTCAACGACGCCAACGTCAACGCCAATGGCTACGCCAACGGTTTCGCCAAGGGTTACGCCAACGTCTACGCCAAGGGTTACGCCAACGTCAACGCCAAGGGATGCGCCAACGTCAACGCCAATGATTACGCCAACGGTTACGCCAACGTCAAGCAGCTCGTCGACAATTGAGACCTCGACAAGATTGCCTTTAATAGAAACAACAATTACTGAGACTACTTCGAAATCAACTGAAAATCCAACGACTCATTTAGAAGGCACCACTTCGGACTATACCAGTATTGGGACATCTTCATATTCATCCGAGACTTCATTTAACTCGAATCCAACAACATCTGCTATTTTTGAAACGACGACGACATCGATGAGTGATGTATTCACATTTGAAGTCACCACAACAGTTGATGTACCAAATGAATTGTCATCGACATCGACATTCAGCACATTGGAGACAAGTTCTCGATCACCTACGTCGACATCTACTATCGAATCATTGACAAGCACCGCAGAGGAAACAACTAATTTGGCATCTGAGAAGATTTCGACGGCAAACGAACTTGCAACAGAAGCGGAAACACCGTCGACGATTCGAACCACAAGTGAGACGACAACTGAATCTTCAACAACTTCAGAAAGCTTGAGTGCGACATCTGAGCCGACAACGTCAACGTCAACGGAGACGATAGCAACTAGAAATGATTCAGAAACATCAACAAACTCAGCGACAGAATCCTCTTCTATCACGTCAACCATTGAATCTCAGCTATTAATTTCAACTCCAAAATTGTCGGCCTCCAGTTCGATTTCAACGACCCCAGATCGACCATCGACTACTGAATCAGTGGATTACACGTCTTCTACTGAAATGCCTGATATCATGACTTTATCAACATCAAGAACATCCGATAGCTATTCTACGACGATGACAACGGAACAATCTACTAGTCCTACGCTATATAAAGATTCTACGACAATGGAGATTCAGACAACAACCCCAGATCGACTATCGACGGCAGAATCAGCGGATTACACGCCTTCTACTGAAATGCCTGACATCACGACTTCATCAACGTCTTCAGCAACCCCAGATCGTCTATCGACGGCAGAATCAACGTATCAAACGTCTTCTACTGAAACGTCTAAAATCAGACCTTCATCAACGTCTTCAACAACTCCAGATCGACCATCGACTACTGAATCAGTGGATTACACGTCTTCTACTGAAATGCCTGATATCATGACTTCATCAACATCAGGAACATCCGGTACGACGATGACAACGGCACAATCTACTAGTCATACGCTATATGAAGATTCTACGACAATGGAGATTCAGACGTCAACAACTTCAACTGAGTCTTCTTTCGAATCCACTACGACATTTTCAACGAGCACAACGTCACCTCCTTCAATGAAGACTGCAGAAGTTAGTACTACAAATACTAAAAGGGAGCCAACATCTACTCAAGCATCGCAATTATCCACAACAACTACAACGAATACGACGATGAGTGTGAATCCCATTGAGATTCAAACGGAATTCACAAGTCATACAAGTGCGACGACATCGAAATCAGAAGTAACGAAGACTACAGTTCCAATCAATTGGATATTAACAAATCATTCAACTACTATTGGAAGTACTACAAGAAGCCCAACAAATCCCACAACAGCATCGAATGAACGAGGAACAACAGAATCTCAGTTGGAAATCACATCGAATGGCATCACGTCTTCAACCACTCGGACAACACAAACTACGAAACATGCATCGATTATCACTAATAGTATTCCGATGGATAAAACGAAAACATCTGAATCGATTGCTAAAATGACGACAGAGACACCAATCGATATACATCAGCATTTGATCAATAGAACAACTAGGCAGTCGACTGATTCTTCAACGGCAATAACCACGTCGATTGCGACGACTACTCCTGATCCTAGTAAGTCAACCTCATCCGTTTAACGTTCTCAATATGTAGGATGCCAAATCGACTGCCCCTCTGGCTACCTTCAAGGCACTCGCGATTGTTTCTTTTTTGCGCCGAAAGAGCTATCGATCTCATATCAATCGGCCATTTCGTATTGTCGAATCCAGCCGCACAGCGATCTGATTTATATCGACCGACTGCGTGATATTAATAATATTCACATTTTACAGCAGTACAGGTTCGATTTCGGATATTTTTGTTTCGGAATGTGATGTTACAGTGTGGTCAATGATCTGAATTGGTTTTATGCGAATGGCGGTGGTTCGAAAGCCGAGCGAACTGACCGAAGCATTGCAATCTTCGATGTTTTTCAAATGTTTCAATCGTCGACAAATATTGTGAGAACCGTTGGCGTTTCTGAGAAATTCTCGAATATTTCGGCTGTATGTGTCCAGCCAAGTGAGCAATTCGCCAACGAGCCGCGCAAGTCCAAACCATTCCAGGATTTTGTGATCCGCCACTCTGTAATCTTGGATTAATCATCGAAATTGAAGAATTGGATGATAAATTGATTCCAGCGAAAAAACTCATTTCAAGCAAAGAGTCAACAACGTGAGATTCCAACTTTCGTTCGAATTGGTCACCAAACTCGAATTCCAGAGTTACATGTAAATACACAATGGAGAAGACGACGGTGAGTTGCGGAACTCGTGGAGCATTAATACCTCATCCAACTCAAATTACTTGCGAGCGTAATATTCTTCGAGATTCGCTTAATTTATTATTTGAGATGTTCTAGCTCAAACCGATGAGCTGCTGATCGGTGATAATACTGGAGACGCTGTCGCTTCGTGCTCAATGTGCTTCGGAAGGGGCACATCGGAGTGTATTCCTCTGAACAAAACCGATCCGGCTACTATGTATCAATGCAAGTGCAAAGAAGATTATACGGTGTCGTCGGGAAGAATAATAGTAAATATTATAATAAATATTCAGCTGAGAACTTGCTGGTATACGAAAAAGCTGTGTCGTCCTGATTCGTGCGGCGAACGCGGAACATGCGTCGAAACGAACGGCAATATAAAATGCGAGTGCGAATGGGGATACCAGGGAAGTCGTTGCGATGATCCGAGAGATCCGGCCGAGAAGAAACCCAATGCCGAATTCCTCACGGTCTGATCGACTCTATCCCTTGATTTGCTTTTATTGAAATGATTCAGCGACTTTGGGATTCTGTAGATGGAACATTTATGAATGGCGTTCAACTAACTCTCGGCACTGTTTTTACAATGAGCGCCAAAATACTTGGCAAAGTGGTAATATCAAATGATGAAGACGTAAGCACTGATTATAGGGACCATCGAATTGATTGTTGTTCAGGATCCGCAAGAGACCCATCAATCCTTGCGAGCAATACTTCAGACCATCGCCACAACCAGCGCGATGCTTTTCCACAACCCGTATTTGTTCATGATCCCAACGGCGACATGCCGAACCTATTTTCTCATTATTCACTTTTTGTTCATATACAGTAAAATTGAAATCGGAAAACACCAAATGATCCTTGAAATTGAAATTCCAGCATTAACTCAGTGGATGTTCGAGGGCTTCAATGCCAACCAGGTTCTGCGTTGTCGTCATATAAACGAGTGGGAGATCGGCTATGACGGCCGCCGCGATATCGGCATCATGGCCGTTCCACGACTTGTAATCTCGTGCATCATTGTGCTCACCGTGCTCATCTCGATCTATCAAGGCGGCTGGTATCAGCTCGTTTCGAGTTGGACATGCATCGGCGTCATCTGCAAGTCGACATCGTCCATGTGGATTCCGATACTGTTCACAATAATGTGCCTACTCTTGATGGCCACTGCGGTGTTCGAGAACAGTGTTCGGATCATCTTGTAGGTTGAAAATGTCTCTGTCTCATCTACCGAATAATTTGAGTCGCCGTCCACTTCTGGATCTCGCGATTCGACAGAGAATCGAGCTGGAAGAAGGAATCATTCGTGGGCAGAACATCGAGAAATGTCGCCGCAATCCTGTGTATTGTTTCGTCGGAATCATGCTTCTCGCAGCTACTTGGATCCTCACGATATTGTCATCCGATAAGGATGACAATAAACTATTGGGGCTTATCGCAATTCTGTTTACTGGAATCTACACATTGTTCTCGTGTATTCAAGGCCTCGTCACGTGTCCATCTGTAAGTCGGCCGGAATTCATTAAAGCAGTTCAAGACATTTTCAGACATATTCCACAGTGATTCATTTTCTGATGCGCAAACTTCCGGAAAGAATCGCGCCGAACTACGAGGAGATGAAGATGTGGACGAGAGATGAAATTAAAGAAGTCTACAAGTTGCCGAAAGAAGAGCGAAAGAAAATGATTGAGGTAGACGAAATGGAATTTCGAATAATCGCTTCTGATTAGGAGCACCTTCCACGCAATGCTAGACGATATCTTCAATACAAATGGGATCATCAGTTGGCGAAGAAATTGACGAATGAGACAATCAGTATAGATGAGGCGATCATTCAGATTCTAAGGGAGCAGATCGATAAAATCGAGGAGAACGATGGAAGCGAATACCAAAGAGAGCAAATTTTGTGAGAGATGAGCCCTCGATTTTAGTTTTGACAATTGATTTTGATTAGGGAGACATTTGTCGATTGGGCAAACAAAGAAGATGTTCACAATTTCGATCGGCAACTAGCCGCGGTATCGATTAGAATATTCGGAAAAACCAAAAAAAAAACAACAACGACGACGAATTTCAGATTCATGCGAGCCATGAAACTGTTCAAGTTTGCGGAGTGAATAATGATGGAACCACAGTAACCAACTCGTTTTTCATCAATCCGCATTTCGGAAAATTCGAACCGATTGTTGGAGAGGCGCTCACGAACCCCGAACACTTGGATATCGAAGAACTTGAAAATAAAGAGTACGAGAAGCATCGAAGGAATACGAATGTTGTGAAGGTTGGTGTCCGCAGCACAGTTGGTCTAAAGATATTAGCGCAATTTTTGGCATCAATAATTTTTTCTTTAGTCGCATTATCAAATAATTCGAAGCGAATGCGAAGCGCAATCGAATTTCATTCGATCGGCCATCCATTTTAAGTAATTACATACATATTTATGCAATCCACAAAAAAATGAACGTTAAGGCATTTCGGAAAAATCACAGAATAGCGTTGCGGTGGAAGGAAATCGACGAGAATATGCTAATCAGAACCAAATAAATTATTTCTTGAAACTCCAAATAAAGCATTTGTTAAGAAAATATGCTATTTTTTTGGGGGGTAGTGTGAATTGGGCAGTGGCGCGCCGAATAAATTATTGATAATGCTGCAACCCGAGTGTTGGTAAGATAGAGCTCTTGAGATCTGGCAACCGTAATGGTTGATGAAGTGGATTCGTCGGATCATGGCCGAGCATTTGAGGCTGCTGCTGCTGCTGCTGCTGCTGTTGTTGTTGAGGGTTCGGTGCCATTTGTTGGACCATTTGGTGTTGCGACACCATTGGGTCCATATGGAAATGAGGGTGGACCGATGGTGGCGGTGGTGGTGGAGGGGGTGGCTGTTGCGAATTCGATGGCATCATGTGGTGCATCTGCGATAATTGCGCGTACATCATTGGATTGTTGTTGGGGATTTGTTGTTGCTGTGGATCCAAGCTGGCACCAAGAAGACTTGGTGGATTCGTCAGGTTGTATTTCTGCAAGACCATTAATAGCATTCTCAATCAGTAGTTGAAGGCTCACCAATCCATTATCGATAATGCCATTGTTGTCCATTTGCGAATTCGACGGCCCCCCTTCATCCATGATATCGTCTTTTGTGTCTTCCTCTTTACACGTCGTCGACTTCCAATGCGTTCTCAATCCACTCGGACTGATGTACTTCTTTCCGCACGTTCCGCAACAATACGGTCGTTCGTTGGCATGAAGCCTCTTGTGAAGCCTCAGATGGACATACTGTGTGAATTTCGCGTCGCACACATCGCACGTATACGGCTTCTGGCCGTTGTGAAGCCGCAGATGCGTTTTCAAATTCGACGTCGACGAGAAGCGCTTATCGCAGATCTCGCAACGATGCGGCCGTTCGCCAGTGTGCACCAAATGGTGTTTTTGAAGATGCGCCAATTGGGTGAACTCCTTGCCACACACTTCACACTTGAATGGCCGCTCTCCTGTGTGGGTCCTGTAGCGAAACGCATTTGATCTACGAATGAAGGGACCATCGATTACCTGACGTGCACCTTCAAATTCGACAGTTGTCCGAACGTCTTGTTGCATTCTTTGCAAGCATAACGAGTTTTTCCATTTTCTTGCTGTTGCACATACTGAACCGAAAAAGAGAGCGTTTGAATCAGTGTTCAAATGGTAGATCAAAAACTCACATTCGGTACTCCACTAAACGACGCGTCGTTATGCGATGCCGCCGATTGATTGTTCATAAACGACGGTGTGTGATGGAACGATGAAGCATGCGCCGATCCCAATCCGCCGAATCCACCTCCCATTCCGCCGCCGCCGCCGAACGCCGGTGTTGCAGTGTTGAACAGCGGATTCTTGAGCTCGTGCTGGAAATCTTGACTTCCATAAATCGCCGCATAGTTTCCAAAGTGAGCACCGGCGGTGGCGGCGAGAATCGGTTGAACGTCGACCGGCTGGCCAGAACGACCGCCCGTCGCCGTAATTGTGGCGGTCTGCGCAACCGGCGGCACCCAAATTCCGCTTGTCGTGCCTGCAGAATACCGAATTCATCTCAATTTGAAGGAACGCGACAACTCACTTGTTAGTTTACTCGTTAATTGCTGCGTACGTCGGAAGTAGTCTTGGAATAGCGTGAGCGGGTTCAATGGAGAAGGTCGAACGGGCGCCGAGAATGTCGGAATCTTCGTCGGCACAGGTCGAACCACCGGATTTTGAATGACGTTCGGTCGAGAGAATTCCGATATCGGCTTCGTACAGGCTTTGACTTCGATCGAATTGTCATCACTGATCGACTCGCTGTCACTCTGAGACGAAGCATCAGTGGTGAGTTCCTCTTCCTTCTTGATCGAATAGTCGATGGCAATTGGAGAAGCTGGAGCAGGTTGAACCTCTTTCTCTTTGCTAGGCCCACATTTTTTCACTCGCATCTTCGCACAACTTGGGTATTTGAGCTTCCGCGAGTAATCCCTACTGAACCAGAAGCAGAGTTCCGTATTTGGTGAGATCGATTTGATCGAATAGAAATAAATGTCATTGGCTATCTGAGCGGCGACGAGATTCTGCGATTCGTCTTCGTCGGCTGAGCACACGTACTTCATCCAATTCGATTTCGAGTCGTCGATGACCGACACGATTTTTGTGACACGACCGCCGGACGGCGAGAACAACTTCCACTCATCGGGGAAATCGTCGAACGGCACCTCGAGCTGATGCTGTTGGCCGGCCATCGTCGCCTCGGCCGGACACACTATCGATGATTCAACATCGACGAGACGCACCTCACCGACCAATGGTCCGAAACGGGCACCTCTCGGAATGAAGTCGTTCGACCAAATCGAGAGTTTCTAAAATTGAATCAAAAATGAGGAGCTGCCATCGAATATAATTCAGATTACCTTCGAATCTCGCGATGAAGGTCGCAAGACGAGATTTAATGGCAACGAGCATTTCGCGCGTTCCCCGGAATTACCCTGACATTTTGATTGGTTGATTTTTTTTGTCCTTCAATTGCTCTTTTGAGAACTTACAGACGACACTGGTTTATCAGGAACATGAAAAATGCATAATTCGGATAAGCACTCATCGCTCGATTGCTTCCAATCATTTTCGGTTGTTGCTCGCGACGAGCCTACAAATCAATTTTGATCGATGAATTCCATTTGAGACGTGAGTGAGACTCTCGATATTCTAGAATTGGCACCTACTTGCTTCGAACAAAATCATGAAACGCTTTGTGTATATTTTTCATTTCAATCTAATCAATGCTCGAAAATGGAAAAGCGATAAGAGTGAAATAGATGCTCACTGGTTGACAGGCCAATGCCGACCGGCGACGATGGCGACGTTGTCGTTGTCGCCGAATTGCTCGTTGTCGTCGTTGTCGTCGAGAATGGAGCCGGTGGCGCCGCCGAGCCGTCGTCGCCGCTACCCTCGCCCATTCGAAACGATTCGCTTTTGGTTCCTTCCTGCAACAATGCGATGAGCTCGTGTTGGAAGCGATTCGATTCGTTGTCATTCGATTGCGAGCTCGACAATCGAACCATCAAAATCTTGGGCGAATTCAGCGAAACGTCGACGAAGGAAGGAGAAGATGGTGAAAGAAAAAAGGACGAGGTGAAAACTGATAACAACCCCCCAAATAATGGCGCGGCGCGGAAAGTGAGAAAAGCGATTTTTTGATACGGCCAGTCGCACCTCGCTCTTTTCGAGAATTCCTAATGCTTCTTCTCCTCTCTCTCTCTCTCTCTCTCTCTCTCTCTCTCTCTCTTTTTTTCTTGTAATGCCAATCACACACGATCAGATCGCCTTCGTTTATCGCGATTAATTCTCAAGCAAAATAGTGTTCCACTATGAAATATCGCCAAATAACCTGAATTTTGTCGGTGTTTCGACGCATCCAAAAAAAAATGAAAGGAAACGAAAAAGAAAGTGCACTACCCGATTTCGGAATAAATTGATTATATCGAAAAGAGATGAGATCACAATTATTTTTTTTCAAAAAAAAAATGAAATAATTTAGAAAAAGACATCTAAATTATTATCTTTTTGGTCTGAATTTTATTATCTTTTTGGTTTATTATCTTTTTGGTCTGAATTTTCGAATTTTTAAAACCAGTTTTTAGATAGTTTAAATATTTTTATTGGCTAAACTTGCAAGCATGAAAATTAGTGGAATAATAATTAATTGAAACTTGAAACTAATTAACTCGAGGAATTGGAAATTTCAAAATAAATCGGCAAAAATGAGTATTTTCTGATTTTTTTTTAAATTCACAAATAGCAAAAAATACAAAAGATTTCTTTGACAATTCGAGAAAAAAAGATAGTTAATGTCGGAATTAAATTAGAAGAAAAAATTGAAAAAATTTTCGCATTTAATTTTTAAAAATTTATACAAAAGCTTAGAGATTTCAAATAAAAAAAACGAGGAAAAAAAATCGATGAACCGCAATTGAAATTCGCTGAAAATTCCAGGACCAAGGTTTTCACACAAATTTTGTGGGGGCGGAGTCAAACGGCTACAGTATGCATAAAGTTGAAACAAAAACAAATAATAAATAAGCTGAGAAGGGAGGCGAATTGGGCGATCGCAAAAAAGAGTGGCGAGCGAGTAGAAAACGAAGCGAGGGCGCGTCTACAGTAATCGGAAGAAGACGATGGAGTGTCGTCGGATTCTCTGCGACTCGCACACTCTCTCTCTCTCTCTCTCTCTCTCTCTCTCTCTCTCGCATGCGTGGATTTGGTGTATCTTTTGGGGATCTGAGAGTGGCGCGACGACGACGAGGAAAGCCGCCGTCTGTGTCTGCTTCTTGTGTATAAGCGTTTGCGGCAAAAATGGACGGACGATAGTGAGGCGAGTGACCGGTTTTCGCTTACATAATGGACGTCGTCGACGTCGCCAACGTCCAAGATTCAGAATCGGCCATTCAGGTTTTGTTCAGGAGAAAATTCGAAAAAAAAAGACGAAGAAGAAGTGAGGAAGAGGAGGAAAAGCTTGAACGATCCGGCGCACGCACTTTTGCGCACGCCGAAAGCGACAACTAGATTTTCGGTTGTCATCTTCTTCTCCTTGGCAGCTTTTCCCCCCCCCATTGATTTCCATTCAATTTGTGGATAGTGAAATTTTTGCGTCGGCGATCATTGACGATCCAAGGAGATCGCGCAAAAAATCGGAAGATTTTCAAATTTTCTATCGAGAATTTGATGGCCAATATGCGACACATAAATCGAAACCGGGTCCAAGTCTTGAAGAGATAAAAGTATTGTCGAAATCAGACGACTTGACAAAATTTAAAAATAAATTGTTGGCTATGTGCCAATGCGTCTCGAGGCAGCGAGTAGATTGCGTACATTGCATTTTAGCGTACGCTCATTTAATATTCAATCAAACAAAAAATTAAATCTACACTGATTTTGCGAATTTGAAGGCTCCGCCTCCCTTTATTCGGTCTGTCGCCGACAATAAAATACATTTTCATAAAAATCGATTGAGTAGCAGTTGCTACCAGAGTGCCATCTTTAACAACGTGAAACTCAAAAAATATGTCAAAAAAACGTTGCGGACGCTTCGCGGGTTTCGCCACCCTCTATTGTTATTACACAATCCCCTCTAATTGCATGTTTTGTTTCGTTTTTTTTTTTTCTTATTCCTCCATCGAATTCCGATTTTCTCGAGATCGGCATCCATTCATTATATATATTGTTTTCATTTGCGAGTAAATGCATGTGTATTTGTGTGAGGGTCAAGTTCGTATATAATTGATTTCGCGCGACGAAATCGCCTAGGAGAGACGCACTCGCGATCGCAATGAGCGACCGATCGAACAACGAGTTCGGCGAGGAAGGCGAAAATGGAATAAACGAAACGAAGAGAAGATGCATGCATATACATGCGTATTCGTTTGGGGTTTTTACGCGCAGCGATCGGGCGGGCCGGGGGGGCCGTCGACGAGGCCCCCGCGGGCGGCGGCGATGGCGGCGGCGGCTGGTACGAAGGTGAAAATCGGGGGGCAAACGAATCGCAAGGTCGTCCGCGCATTTCTCTATGCAACGAATCGTTCGATGAGGCTAGAGGAGAGGGTTGAATACAATTCGCTTCGTACTCATGCAAAACATCGAATTAATGAAAGTGGATGAAGCCTCGAACGATGTCCGCAGCTATCAACTCAACTATCAATCGATATTCTTAAGAATTGAAAACACCAAAAATCGGAATAATTCAAACGTCTATCTTAAGACTAATTAAATAAAATCACGAAATCCACCATTGAAAGTGTAAAAAATGATGTTTTCCGCATAAAAATCATATATTGAATGTATAGTACACTGGTTTCAAATTAACCCTCCTTAATTGGAGCGATTAATCCCAATTAAGAACAAGAATCCGAATAACGGCCGATTGTAACAGTCAATTCGAGATGCATTCGGTGAAAATCGTTTTATATGTCAGAAATTTGATTTTTTTTTTCGAATTCAAGAACAATGCATATTTTAATACTCAAGTGCAAAGAAAACTTGCTGGAATTCAACAATTTTCGACAACACATTTTTATTTACTACTTGGGACCATTTAAATCCGAAATATCAAAAGCTACATATTTAATTCAACTAGAAGAGATCATATATAATTTCTGTGATAATTTTGAAGATCAAAAAATCCAAGACAACGAATTGCATGAAAAAGACTTGAACAAAATTAAAACAAGAAATTAATCGAATCGAAAGCGACGTGAAAACTAGCTGCGGACAGAATTCGTCGGGAAATGTCCGCAGGTGCGAAATTATAAAATTATGCACAGCAAACCCTGTGATTATTATTATTAGTAAATCAACATGGATTTGCAGAAAATAGAAAATCAATAGAAAAAGCGCACCACAGCCGCAATTTTAGGTGACCTTCCGTTTGGGGCCCTAAAGGCGAGAGAAGGGGGAGGAGTGCGCAATTCCGACGGTCGAATAAAACGACATGAGGGGGACGACGACGTCGTCGTCGGGACGGGAGACACCACACACACCGAGTTTGACCTTGAGGTTCTTCTCTAGAAACGAGATGAAGAGAATTATTGGTGGGGTCGGAGGGCGAGAGGCTGGCAACTAGGTCAGTTCGAGTGTCGTCGACTATCCCAAGAACTATTTTCCTTTCATGGGAGGAGAATCTGTGTTCATCAGGGACGATATCGAAATCGACAGAAGAAAAAAAAAAACGAGGGAAACACGAAGCTTGTCCGCTGACACGCTTCGCTAGCTCGCCGATGGTCCGAATCGACTGTTGCGCAACTCTCCTCTTCGCTCCGCCCATCTACCGTAATCTGGATAGTCCGAAATGCGAAACAATTTTCGAATCCCTCGTCGAGAGGGATTCGAAAAAAAAAAGAAACGAACAAATAGATTATGAATTGAAACTATCAAGATTTGAAAAAAGAAATGCATTTTTTGCTAGATTCAAATAATCCAAGAAATTTCAAAAAATTGCTCCTTCCCAATTTCAGACGTTACTCTCGAAGCGAAATATCACAAAGCCAATACATCTCGAAATGATTTGACATCATTCCATAATTGGTTGGTGTCTTATCATCAATCTTAAACAAGAACGTCATTAGCGATAAGCGCGTTTGTGGGTGTTTCAATTTCGTTTCGAAAAAACACACAAACACAGGCAGAAACCAGATCAAAATTGAGGTATACAGATGAATATGAGAGAATTTGAGGGATGAACGTTGGATGGAAAATGCAAAAGAGGAACGTACAAAAACCAGAACTCTCCCCCCTCCCATTCGATTCCAACCCTTTCGTCCATTCTCATCGGACTGGTCTGTCTGTAATAGCGCGCACCGTAATAGCGCATCGAAACGCGAATTATCCTCTCTCTCTCTCTCTCTCTCTCACACGTTTTCGCTCATTCAACATTCACTGGTCACTACGATTTGGCGGAAAATCTTTATTAGGATATTGGCTAAATTTAAATTTGAAATAACAAAACACCCGCAATAATTTCAAATTTTCTTCCGCAATATCGTGTGCACATACAAAATCAGCTACGACGGAGGGGCGAGGATTACAATACAACACGGACAAAAGAAAAGAAATGTTCTAGACTGGGGGAACCCGGAGACGAACTCAAAGCTAAACATTCGGCAAAATTATACAGTAGTTATAAATAGATACAATTGGAAACGAATTTGCGTATTGATTCAATTCATGTCGACCGGCAACGGGTGGTCGGGAACCAGTGAGGCAAAGAATGAGGTGATGAACGAGTAGCAAGTTGCGATGAACACGTGCACAGTGGATGGAGCTGCAGCAGGTGGCGCATCCTAAAATAGGCATTTTTGAATATTTTTAATCAAACTAATGTTACGATCGCAAAAAAAAAACGAGCACCCATTTAAGGAGAGTTCAATCCGTAAGTTATCGTCTGAATGTTTTAATCGAAATTTGAATAAAAGCACCGAAAAATACGATACTCCATTATTTCTCAATGAGCTTGCTTTTCTTTTGTTATAAAATAAATTAAACTAATTCATTTTAAATTTCGTTTCACATTTAAAAAAAAACGAGATATTTTTATCAGTATTTATAAATTATCACTTCATGAATTTCCAATTTTCGAGACCACCTTTTATGGAAAAACGAAAGTACGTCCTTGTTTGACAATCACTCTTACCTAGTAAAATTCGCAGAACCGGTTTTTGAAATCACAAATACTCACCGCATTATTTTCACCGGTGTTGTTATTGTTGACCGGCGAGTTTTCGGCACCAGCGCCTTCTCCAGCTTGAGCTCCGTCCGCATTCGCTGCCGCCGCAGCGGCATTACGACGATTCTCACGGGCCAACGACGCGGCGCGATTTCTTACGTGATTGCGACGGAGTTGAACGATATAAATGAATAATGCACATGTGAGAACTAGGAAGAAGCGTTCGAATGATGAGTACAATAGGACAGCCTGCAACATTTTTTCGAGTTAGCTTTCGACAAAACAATACAATTTTTACCGAAAACAAAAGAACGAGCTTGAAGAGACGATAGAAAATTTCGAGAATATCTACACGTTCGCCAGGATTAACTGGACCAGCAGGTGGTTGAGGTTGAGCGTTTGGTGGATTTTGAGCATTAGCCGGGGCTGCATGATTGTAAGCAACGTGTGCTTGAATTACAGTAGCGTTTTCTGAAAAAAAAAATCATGATTCTTTTAATTTCTATAAAAGAACGCTATCAATATTTTAACTATGGCAATTTTTTTTAAAATCTTACGCATTCTGTTTTGCATTTCATTCAGAAATGCGGGATTTGTTGCGAGATAATATTGATACGAGTTGTAGTATCTGATCCAACTGAAATTATCTAATTTCTCAGTTCTCGAATTACTTTTTTTCACTTACGCGTTATAATAAGCTTCGTATTGCGCTTGAAGCTCAGTGGTTTGCCCTTGCAGGGCCCACCATTGATCCCAGGTCATTTGCGGAGGAGCATCCGCAGGCTCAGGCGACTGTGGAGCACTTTGGGAATTATTAGATTCTTGTTGATCGGTCCGAGGATGAGGAGGTGTTCGTTGTTCCACATAAGGTTCTGAACATACAAGATGGAAGACTTGAGCGCCATCGACAACACTTCTAAAAATTTTTAACTTTTTTTAAAATTCATGTGTCGACAAACCTTTCTCGAATAATTGTTGAGAGAACTTGTTCGTCTTTGAGAAAGACTCCCGAGAAGATTAATCTTTGAGCAGAAACTTCCTTAATTTGTACTTTCAATTTTTCATATACATTTTAAATTTAAATACCGGATGGGAAGATGATAGGGTTTTGATATGTTCCTTAACACGTCGTATAGTCCAATCCATAGGGCAAGTAAAAATTAAATCTTCAGCGGATTGGTGACCTGAGCGAATGACCAGCTCAATTTCTGCTGGAGTGGAAGGCTCGATGTCTTCGGACATTCTGAAAAAAAGGCAAATATTTATTTTGCCATAAAATAAAGGAAAGAAAAAAGCACGGTAAAAAATGATTGGATGTGTTTTGTCATGAACATGATAAATGAAACGATATTAATGTTGGAAAATTCGCGAAAGCGCGCCATATTCGACAATAAGCGCACGTGTTCAAGAGAAAATTTCGCAATCGATCGATCGTTGTAGATTTACGACACGTCTCCTTGGCCCGTCGGTGGATTATGGTAGCGCGCGGGTCTCGCCACGACCCTGCTTGTCTGACGTCGCAGAGGGTCGACAGGCCTAAATTTTCGTCCGTTTTTTCGATTTTTCAACCGTTTTTGGCCATTTTTTTTGCAATTTTTGTCCATTTTAGGCGCCTTTTTACACAAAAATTATCTATACTATACTTTTCACGCTAAAATGACGAAAGTTTAATTATTTTTTCAGGTTTTTTTATTAACTATTTTTTAAAGAATTTATTCTCTTGTTTGTTGCTTCTCGCTTATGTCCGTTAATTTGTTCAATTTTGTAGATGTCAGATCTTGGCGATTGGCTTCGAACTGTGCCAATAATCACCAGACATTGGTTCGTTATTTCCGTTATTCTGCCACTGCTGGGAAGATTTGGATTCATTAATCCAGCATGGATGTTTTTAGAATGGAATTTAGTCATAAACAAGTTTCAGGTAAGAAAATATTATGAAAATTTAATTAATTATGAATTTACCTTTTAAGATTTGGCGACCAATCACAGCTCTTCTTTTTTACCCCCTCTCGCCACAAACTGGATTCAATTGGTTAATGATGGTCTACTTTTTGTATACATACTCCAAATCGTTAGAAAGTGATATTTTCTCTGGAAGGCCTGCTGATTATTTATATATGCTTCTTATTTCATGGTTTGTCTGTGCGGTAAGAAAAAGGCATATTCTAAGCAAATTTTAAAAAAATTTTAGGGCATGTGCATGGCGATTGGAGTTTATTTCCTTTTAGAGCCAATGGTGATGTGTGTTTTATACGTATGGTGTCAAATGAATAAAGATACTATCGTATCCTTCTGGTTTGGAATGCGATTCAAGGTTTTTTATAGTTGAATATAATCATAATTTTATGTTTATAGGCTGCATATTTGCCATGGGTTCTTTGTGGTTTCAACGCCATTTTAAGAGGAGGAGGATTAAACGAGTTGATTGGAATTTTTGTTGGTCACGTTTACTATTTCCTCGCCTTCCAGTATCCAGGTGACCACAATGGTGTTCGGATCTTGGAAACACCTGAGTTCATGTATCAATTGTTGCCAAATGAAGAAGGAGGCGTCCACGGATTTGGTGGAAGTGAAGAAGCTCGAAGAAATCCACCAAGACCTCGGGGTCATGTTTGGGGACAAGGTGTTAGACTAGGACAATAATTTGTGAATAGTATGTATGTAAATTTCTGAGTACATAATTTTCTTGCCTATTCGTGTATTTGCAATTGCTGGCCAATTGATGTGATTTCTAAAGCGGGGTTTTTATTATTGTTTGTAAATAAACTATTTAAAATTTGCTGAATATTTTATTTTTTTCAACGAGTTTTCAACTCTTGTATATCTCGTATTTCTTTTCATTTATTTTTATTAACAAAGATGTTCAGGTAGCCATGCAAAACGACGCTGGAGAGCTTGTTGAGCTTTACGTCCCACGCAAGTGGTAGGTGCATCAAATGATTTTAGTTTATGGATTTCTTTGTTTCAGTTCGTCCTCGAACCGCATCATCGGCCCAAAGGACCACGCTTCCGTCCAAATCGACTTTGTCGATGTTGACCCAGAGACTGGTCGAATGGTAAGATTGGTCCCCCCGCGTTAAGTAGTGTGTCGAAGGCACAGAAAAATTGGCTAAATACTAAGAAAAACGATGAAAGTGACGTTTGTGTGATGATGCCTTTAACTTTAACCTATTTGCTAAATTTACCCGTAAATATAATCAGTTTTTGCCAAGACGCTTCTATAGTTTTTGGCATTTAGCCAATTTTGCACTCAGCAAACTGATTTTTAATGCTCAACCTTGAAGTTTTTATGCTGGGGTACATTTTTGCGATCATTTTATTTTCTTTGGACCGTTTAAAAAAAAACTTATTAGGAAAGACAAAATTAGTCCAAAAATTGAAAGACCTCGAAATTTAAAAACTTTTATATTTTCACACTGTACATGTCTATTTGACGTTTCATATGTAAACAATACTTTTGCAGAAGTAGGTGTATATGAAAAATTAAACAATGAAAGTTCTATGCATAATATGTTTTTTTCCAAAAAAAATGAAAAAATTACATTAATTGTGTAATTTATTACTTTTTTTTATTTCATGAAAAATTCCATCGCGTCGGTTCATGTAATTATTATGCGTTACAACAAACTTTGTTTCCAATTGTCTCACTGTACATGTAAGATAAGCTTTTAAGGACGTTTTTTCGAAGGTAGGCGACAAAAAAATGACAAATTTAATTAATAAACTCGTTAAAAGTTAATATTTTCCCGACCTGGACAATTTTTGGCGTTTTCAAAGTCATAGTATATATTTCAAATAATGTAAATACTGTTTTAAATCCTGTTTTATAGCTGGCCTTACTCAAGCTTTTGGATTTTTATGAAGATAATACTTTTCAGATCCCAGGAAAGACCACCCGCTACGCCATCTGCGGAGCTCTTCGCCGCATGGGAGAGTCGGACGACGCTATTTTGAGACTGGCTCAGAAAGACGGTCTTGTCCCAAAGGACGCCTAAGCTGATCTGTTACGTTCATAAATTTTGTTACTGTTCTAAAGAGATAACAAAATTCCAAAATAGTTGAATTTTGAAATGAGCGCAATTGTCTGTCAAAAGTGAAAGTGCACTTTGACACAAATAATAGAACTCGATCGATCAATCCCCTAGAGGTCTGGAATCTCAGAAATTGACACTAAAATGAGTTAAAAGAATTGAAGGGGGTCATTGGGGTCCGACTTTGAAAAAAAAATTTTTTCTTTTTCAAGAGTATCCAAATTTGTCCGCCCGAATCATATTCTGAACCATTTCCTTTTTACCGTTAACCAGTGGATTTCCGCTCGCTATAACTTCTTGCTCTTTTACGGCACAAAGGGCTTATTGGTAAATAACATCGGACACTGCACTGACGGTTATTCGAACGAGTAGCAGCGGCAGATCGGACCCCGATGCTTGAAAAAAAAGTCGAATATTGGAATGGGTGCGTGATTGCGTTTGATCTCTAACAAGTAGTGGGTCGTCGTCAAGTGAAAATACACGTTGACACTTCTTAAATTGTTGCCAATTTGTCTGCAAACGGATACCACCAATTCGACGGAGAAAAGTTCAGTGCACACAGGCGGCGACAACAATGGAAGTAGAAGAAGCTCAAAACACTTTTTCTTCTCCGGCGTCGTCGCCCGTTTTTTTTCGTCCCGTCGTCAATTTTTGGCCGACTCCTTGTTGAGCACCCACTCACTCACAAACAAATTCGATGAAATTAGAACATTTTTGTCGCCTTCTTCCTCTTTTTATTTCCCGCCTCTTCGTCTCAATTTTTTTAGTCGGTTTTCAATTTCACACCGCAATCCAGCCGTTTTCTATTATTTGCCCCGCGACTTTTTTTTCCTTTCTATTCGGACCCTCTAAATAGAAAACAATTAGTACCGTATTTAGCGAAATTAAAGGCGCAATCGCGTTTGTGTTGTTTTCGCGCCATTAGCTGAAACACGGGGCAAACGGGTTAATGAAATGGAAAAAACGTATGAATGGAACAAAAAAGACGAAAAAAAACTAGAGATTTCTATGTTTTTTTGCATTTTGTGCTTGTCGTCAATTCTCATTCGAAAATTATTAAGTGATTTATTAAAATGTGTTGTCGAACCCCAGATTCGAAAACAAACTAACCTTAATTGATTCAATCGGACCTTTCAAACTAGAAATATAATCGTGGACGGAAGAATTGGGTTTCGCAAGGAAAAAACTCGTGAAAGCGAGTTTTATTTAATTTAACAATCATAATATGAAAGAGAATAATTTTTAAGCAATTTTAGGCAATTAAGTTTTTGTCAAATGAGCGAGTCTGCATATTTGCCTTACAGGACCAATTAAAAATTGCAGGCGTAGTTCAATTTTTTTTCAAATTCGTCTGTCGACGACGAAACCGTTCACTAGAATTTCGTTTTGGTTTTAAGATTAGGAGGACCACGTGCATTGTGAGAGATTTCCTCAATTATTCTTGTGTAATTCTCTTCGAATTATTTGTTTCCCCAATTTTCGAAAAATGAGAATTGACGGCGGTTCTTGCAAATTTTTTTTCATATTTTTCGCAAATTTATTGTTACATTCTGTCTTCGAAATTGATTTATTAGCATGTGAGGTTTAAAAAATCAGAAAAATATATATAATTAAATTGAAGCGCGCGAAAATGTGCTCAAAAACACCGTGAAATCTCATTTGAATAGATTTTCGATATGATTTTTTTTTGCAACCAATTTGAGCTTTTTGAGTTTTCATCAAATTCCGTACTTCTATTTTAATTGATGCCGTAAAAAAATTTTAAACTGAAAATTTGAAATTGTGCAGAAACATAAAAAATTGAAAATGGGTATCACCGTGAAAACTGAGTTTCACGAATTCGGCAACACCGTGCTTAACAATTTTGGAATTCGAGAATATTGCAATAATTCTTAATTATAATGAGCGGGAAAATTTTGAAAAATAATTGTTTTAGATTAATATTTCATCACGATAATATTCGAAATCGTCGAATCGCCAAATTCGATTTTTTAAAAACATTTGCAGATCATTTTTTTAAAGAGAAAATGTAAAAGTTTCTCTCAAAGAGCTCTCTTATCGCCCCGAAAAATTTCGATGGTCCAAAATTGATCAAGGTGCTCGTTTTTTAGCCCATTTCTGAAAAAACCGGCTATCAGAATCAATCAGCACAAGAACATTCGATGGTCCGTAAACATTCCAGGGTACTCGTTAATGGTAACAGCTTGGTATTCGCAAAATTCAAGTTTTAAGCATTTAAAAAACTTATCGAATATATATATTTAGGTTGAACGAAATGGGCGTGGCCTATTTGGTTCTCGCTTGGAAACTCCCAATTTTACGATTTTCTGCAACGCGCTTTCATTATTTGTATATTCAAGCTTCTCCTCATATTTTGATGCATTTTGGTATTGAATTTATTGTTTTTTTTTTGGACTTGCAAATGTCCGCAGATGCTGATTTACAAATTTTGCTCAATTCGGCGAACTTGACTGATCATTGACAGACTAGAGATTTGTAGACAAACCCAATTCAATCAGAGACATTCCTATAAAAAAATGATGAAGCAACGACGACGACGACGACGATGGTTCCTAACAAGGAGAATAAGAAGAAGAAGAAGCCCTAACACATTGGGGACGAGCAAATGAATAATTCACGAATTTTGGATTTTTGATTTTTTTTTCCGGTCGTCACAGCTTCGTTCGCGGTGGTCCCCGACAGAGGCGACAAAAAACGAAAACGAACCTAGTAGTTGCCATCATTACATTGCATATGCGTTGTCGTCGTCGTCGGCCGTCGTCGGCCGGGAGGCCTTCATCATCTCCTTCTTCTTCTTCTTCTTGACAAAAAGGGAATTTTTTCGGTCTTGTTCAGCTTTTGCCCATATATGGCCATATGTGTGTGTGTGTGTATTGCGTTGTTATCCGTTATTCGCCTCCTCCTCCTCCTCCTTCTTCTTCTTCTTCTTTGAGAGTTAAGTTCGTCAAAATAGAAGGAGGCGACGAAAAAAAAATTTCCGAGTTTTGTGGGCGTGGCTTCGGCGTTGTCGCGCAAAAAGAAGAGCACTACTGATTTGCCCCCGAGCAGCATCGGACCGACATCATTTTACTTGGCATGACGATGTTGCCACATTACTTTTTTTTGTGCTCATCTATCTCTATTTGATCTCCTCTGATCCCACTAGTAAACAGTATTCACAGATTCAAATCAAGTTCGTTCTATTCTGAGAATGCTATTAGATAAACCTGCTGCGGACAACCTAGCACATGTCGGCAGCAGGAGTTCAATAATGGCATTCAGACAATTCGTTTTGTGGAGAATTCAAAAGTGCTCAAAATGTCGGCAGATGGGTTTTTATTCTGAACACGTGTTCAGTTTTTCCATTAAAAAAAATTCAAGAAATGCATTTTTGAATTTTTGACTAGAATATCAAAAAATGAAATGCGGTGGCAAAAAAGAATAATTTTATTTGCGGCGTTTCTCGCAAATCTGACTCGCCATCATAATAAATACCATCTGCGGACATTTGCCTTGGTTTCGAGAATTGTTGTCGACTATCTGCTGCGGACAATTAGTGCCGGAAAACATCAAACAACTGGAAATCCCAAACGGGTCATCGTTCTTCTCAAAAGTCGCAAATTCTGGACAGGAGGCGAAAAAAGCTAAACTCAAAGAATAATAATATGCAATTAAACTCAATTTTCGTTTTTTTCATGCTGCGGACAATCTTGATGAATTGTCCGCAGCTGAAATCAATCGAATTGCGACACTCGCATCTCAAAGTTTCTTCTTTTGGATATTCCAACTCGAAATAGTTTCTTTTTGGATGTGACCCAACCAATTGTTGGGTGCAATTCGAATTGAATAAAAAAAAACGAGGGCGGACATCGCTGAGAAATTCTGTGTGCTCACGGGGCAAGTGTGGTTCGTCGGGGAGCTATTAAAAAAAAATTCGCGCGAGAACGAGTAGAAAAAAAAAACGATGAAGCAGAAGCAGCAAGAAGGTCGAGATTTCGCTTTTCGAATGTATTTTTTGTCGGCTGCCGGTGTGTGTGTGAGAGCGAGTGCGACTCTTCGCCGCCGCCGCCGCCGTCGAGACCGACCTCTACACCTCACATATATTATTTTTATTTAGTTATTCGCACGATTTGCCATTTTATTTTTGGTCCGCTAGACGTGACTATTTCGTTTCTTTCATTCAAGATGCCCCAAGAAATGCGCGAGCGAATTGCGAACTACAAAAAAATGTGGAATTGATGCGAATTTCGAAATATAGCTTTTCGTTGTAGGACCCATATTCTGAAAGCGAATTTTCTGTTTCAGATCTTCCATTTTTTTCATTTCGCTGTTTTTTTAAATTTTTAAACCAAAAACTCTCGATTTTATTATTTTCATATTTTGTCTGTGCCCACATAGACGCCATTTTGCACACATTTCATTTTACACCTATCAATTTTTTATTAATATGATTTTCTGTTGAAATTAAAGAAAAAAGAGATTCTCGGGAACACTTTTATATCATTTCAAAAAAAAAAACAATTAATTCGTTATCGACTTTTTCAAATATTCAAAAAATGCGCGCTCGTTTCAAACATTGAAAAAAAAATTTGATTTGATACATTAAATTAGATGCATTTTTTGAGCATCTTTCCCTAAATTATTCACATATTTTATATTTTTTTTTTGATTTCACGGATACAATAAAATTGTGCAAGAAAATTGATCATTTTTCTCAAATTTTTTTCCCGCAAAATGTTCGTCAAAGTGTTTCCTAAAAAAAAGGAAAAAATTTCCAAAAGATCTTCTTAAAATAAAATGTCGAATTCGATAAATCCATTCCAAAGGTTTTTGGTCAAAAACTCAACCAGAGAATGAAACCAAGAAATGATAATTTTCATATCCAGCTTTTCAGATTTTTGTAGTTGGCAAATTTCAACAACACTACTAAAATTTGGGGCTTCCAGTCAGGCGGAATAAATTCCGGCCGCCCGTTTTTCGCCCGCAAATTAAACATAGTATTTTCGTGAACGGTCATTGTTTGGTTGTCTGAATTGATGCCTTTGGTCTCGAGTGGAAAAAATTCGTTTTCTTATAGTCACAATTTGAAAAATCATCTTTTTATATTGAATTTCAAGTGTCTTGGTCGGTGAAAAATGGCGTAGTAGAAGCATCTTCATTAGGCGATCTATTAAATATCATTTTGCACATTGAAAATCTTCAAATTCATTAAAAAAAAAACTCATAAAACTTCAGATAATAAATAAAGAAATAATGGAATTTGTCATGGCCGAACAATTCGCGGCCGCGGCCGCACGAATGAAAGCCTTACAAAAATCAATCATTTTCTCTATGAAAAGTACTTATTTTTTGGGAGAAATGAGCGTCATCCGGTTGGATTTCCGCGGCGAGAAATAATTTTGGTAAAATGTTCGATTTCCGTTCTCAAATAAAGAAAAAATATGTGTTCGTTTTTTTTTCCAATGTCGCCGACAGGATGAATTCGAGAAAAGTGTGACGGACCATCGATTTCCCGCATTTCATTCGACAACTTTTCTTTTCTGCTTTTTTTCTTGACAATCTTCCAGTTAATTGTCCGCAGATCGAATGCTTTTAGATCGATGTTCGATCTTCCGCGCAATTTTTCGTTGAACTATCATTTGTTTGAGTAATTGCTGATTTTTGTCTCCTAAAATTCCGGAGCTCACTTTTTAGAATATTCGAAAAGAAGATCGAACATGTCTTCTCTTGCTTTTCGAATAATTCCGAGAAATTGAGAGAATTCGTCAATTGGCCGTTTTTGGTTGGGGGGATGAATGTCGCGAATTTATTCAAATGTCATATTACTCAGAAACCCGGGGTTTTTGTTCGATCTTCCCGTGCGTGGCGGCGGCGGCGGCGGAAGATCGAACATGAGGCTAGCGCTTCGCGAGTAACCTCGTTTTGCACTCATCCTCGCTAGCCTCCAGTGTTTTTTGTGTTGCAACTCTACCAAACTTCCGCCAACTAATTAGTCGCCAAAAACCGGAAATGATGAAATTGAAAAGAAGGATCAGGCATTTATTTATAACAAACTGATGAGAAGCAGCTCGTCGTCCTTCTTTTTTTTTTGAGCGGAAAAAAACGCACCGGCCGAAAAGGGACCGCGAAACGTTATCTAAAATGCATCAAAGTGTCCCCCCATAAGTTGTTTTGTTGAATCGACGAAAAAATATATAAATTTATTGTTTATCGCATATATATGAAAAAAAAACTGCACCCAAATATTAATGTGTCTTTTCTTTCGAACCACAAATTTCATTCGTGGTCCGTTTTTTGCTCATTTTAAAATTGACAAATATTACTATTATTAATATTATTATTATTTGATACTAGTATGATCGATTAACTAATCTTATCAAAATTCCTCATTTCCTTGCTTCGCAGAATTGTTCTGCAGAATGAATTTGCTGTGGATTGTCCGCAGAATGGATTCTATCAATTTCATTCCAGTATTCATTTAAATGCTAATTTTGCTGTCTCTTATCTCAATCGACGCTAATATTTTCTCTAAAATTGTCCGCAGATGATTTTCAATAAATTGAACGTGACATGAAAAGAATGTGCAAGAATTTGCGCAAGAATCAACTAAAAATCTTGCCGAAATTATAAAAAATTTTCTGTTTTCAACAATATTTTTTTTCGTTCAACTTTCTATGTGAATTGTGCTTATTTACATCCATTACACCTCATTTGACGCAATTTTGCACAATGCATAATATAGCTAATTGTCAAATGATCGCGGAACTTTTTCTTTTGCAACTTAAAAAAAAACGTTTGCCTGAATTGAATTTGAATTAAAGTGAGAAAAATCTATAAAAAGTTTTTTTTAATTGAGGAAATTGTATGAAAAATTAGAACCATTTTTGAAGTGAATCGATTTGGTTTCGTTTTGCTCCCGTGAATTGTCCGCAGATGATACTCGTATATATATTCTTATTTTTGTGAATGCTATCTCCATTTTCAACAAATCGTGCTGTCGAAAAGATTTCGATGGAAATCATTTGAGAGAGTGTGCGATATTGAGAGACGGAGACATTGCTTTTGAGTTCTTGAACGAACCGTAACATGTCGGCAGCAGAGAATCGATGAATTACAGATGCGGTGGTGATTTACCGAGTGGGGGCCCGAGCAACAAATAGCGCAAAATGCTCTACAGTCACGTCACGCTGCTTATGCTTCGTGTCGTCGACGTCGTCGCGAAGACGACGGTCCAGCAATCGGCGCGGATGCTCGTCGCCGAGATTCACGGCGAAATCCAAATCGGCGCCCTGTTCCCGATTCATCGACAAATCGCCGGCTCGGAGAGCTGCGGCGAGATCTGGGAACAGTACGGCATTCAGCGCAGCGAGATCGCCATGCTCACCGTCCGACAGATCAACGAGGAGTTGCCGTTCAAACTAGGCCTAAGTATACGGTAAATGGTCGGCAGATCGTCTCGGTCTCAAGCGTTTCTTGCAGCGATTCGTGTTGGAGCGAACGAATAGCAATGGAGCAGACGATCGCGTTCCTACGAGAAGGTGTCGCTCAGTGCTCGTGCTGTCAAACTCCCGGCTGCAACAAGAAGAGTGTGCCGGTGGTGGCCGTCATTGGGCCCGGCAAAAGCTCGTCGACAATTGCTGTCCAGAATCTACTACAGGTGTTTCGGATTCCACAAGTCGGATATTCGGCGACGACTCCCGATCTCTCCGACAAAGAGCAGGCATGTTCCTTTAAATGGATTACGGTCGCTTCAATTGCTGACATCCTCCTTCAAATATCGCCGCGTCTCATTGTCTCATTGCAGTTCGGCTATTTCCTTCGCGTTGTGCCGTCGGACGTATTCCAAGCGCAAGCAATCAACCATCTCCTTCATCATTTCAACTGGACCTATGTCGCCGTGCTCTATTCAGCGGGTAGGAAAAATAAGCGGAAGAAGGAGAAGAAGCTCAGCAAAAGTGCCTCAGGCATTTTCTATCCATATTTGGGTAGCGAGGGGGTGGAAGAAGTAGCAAAAAAAAAGTGGGGGGGGGGGTGGCGTTAGGCGTGGAATTTAATTATTGGACGGAAAAAAAGGGGGTCTGAGTATGCGGAGGCAAAAAGCGCATATCTGACTTTAGTATCTTCGAAAGATAATGTTTAGAAGGGTCGCCCGACGGCCGACTCGGCGGTAATTCGATTTGTTTTTGACGGCATAGGTACTTGTGGAATACGACGAATTCGTTGCAGGCAACTACGGCGAAAAGGGATTCGAGAGTCTTGAGCGACTCGTCGGACAGAAATCATCGAATGTGTGCATCGCTTATCAGGAGAAAATCAAGACATTGGCCAGCGATGAGGAATATCGAAAGGTTCGGGGCAATTACTCAACAAGCGGCCAACAATGTTCGATCTTCCGGCGCGCGCGCGCGGTGCGGAAGATCGAACATTGACGGAAAATAATATCGCAATGGAATTTTTCAACAATAAAAGAAGTTTGCAGGTTCTTCTCAGTTTGTCTTCTCAGAAAGTGCGTCCGCAGGTTGTCGTTTGCTTCTGCGAAGGCGCCTCTATGCGCCAATTCTTCAAGGCCCAACAATTTTTGGCAAAAAAGACGAGAACTTTTAAGGTATTCGATAAATGCCTAGAAATTATTTTGTTTTTTCTGATCACGTCTGATTTTGTTCAGAGATTCCAATGGATCGGATCCGATGGTTGGGCTGATCGCAACGATGTCGTCGAAGAGCTTGAACAAGAAGCTGAAGGGTCATTCTCGATTCGGATTCATGCGCCAAAAGTAGACAATTCTTCTTGGATCGCTTATAAATTCAAGTTTTGCATAATTTCAGATTCCCGGATTTCGCCAATATTACACGTCGCTTCACCCTGAAAATAACACCCAAAATCCGTGGTATCGAGAGTTTTGGCAGCAGAAATTCAAGTATGCTCTCTGTTGTTTTTTTTTCTTTCGTCGAGTTTTCACGAGTTTTCCCGTTTTCCAGTTGTCAATTTGCGGTTTCCAAGGAGGACAAAAACAACGAGAACATCAAAATTTGCACTGGCGACGAGAATTTGGACGAAAACTACAAAGAGGTTCGCGATTCGCAATCAAAAATAAGCATTCACAATTTCGCTGTAGGACCCGAAACTGTCGCAAGTGATCAACTCGATTCGAGTGGTTGCCCTCGGTCTCAAAGCGATGTACTATGATCGATGCAGGTTGCTCGGAAGAGTCGTTTTCAAAAAAAAAAAAAACAAAAAACGATCGCGTTTTAAGGGACAATTCGACGTTGTGCACCGAAATGCTCTCAAGAAACGGCACTCTGCTCTACGAATACCTGCTGAATGTGACATACAGCGACCAGTTCAAACAGCCCGTTTATTTCGACAGAAATGGCGATCCGCCAGCATGGTGAGCGATTGACTTTGTATTGTCGAAGTCAAGCGATTTGACGAAATGAAAAAAAATTATTGGCTATGTGCCAATGCGTCTCGACGCAAGATTGCGTACATTGCATTTTAGCCTACGCGCATTTTTTATTCAGTCAAACAAAAAATTAAATCTTCACCGATTTCGCGAATTTGATCGCCTTTCAGTCGTTTGACGCCGACAATATTTGTATCATCCTAATCGATATACGTTCAGGTATGACATTTTGAATTATCGCGGCACCACAGACATTGACAATCCGTATAATGAGGTTTCTCAAATGTTTGACAATTTTCCCAAATCTCACTCAATTAGGTCGGCTCATTCAAATCTGTGAACAATGACGGAAAAGCCGAGCTGGCGATGTCGTCTGATATCATGTTCTTCGACAAAACCGGACGATTGCCGGAATCGGTGTGCAGCAAACCGTGCGGAATTGGTCAAAGGGTCCGAAAAAAAAGCGAGCACACGTTCAACGCAATCAATTGATCGAATTTTAGAAGCGCGAAACCATGGCGTGTTGTTGGATTTGCGAAAATTGTCTAGAATTTCAATTTGTGAATATCACCAGAAATCAGTGTCAGAATTGTTCGCTGGGATTTTGGCCGAATGCGAATCGAACAGGTAATAAATAGCATTTTGAAATTCATGCATGTGTGTTTTTTCGCGTAAGGTATGGTGTTTTGTGTGAACACCACGAGACAATTTAAATCTAAAATATTTGGTTATTGCCTTTTCCGAAAAATGGGAAAAATAGGCCGTTGCGAGAAAAAAAAACTTTTTATAACCGTGTAAAAAGTGCTTGGAACTTTGAAAACTCATCAAAGTTTCTTAAAAAACCACTTGTTTCGTATTTTTAATTTCAATTTTCAATTATTTGTATTTTTTGATATTCGAATAACAAGAAATTTCCATGAAAATTGTGAGTAAACTTAATTCGGTCGCTCAATTCAAAAACAAAATAAAATTATCGATTCATAGTGTGAAAAATGATAACACGTTGATCAATTTTGGACCATCGTAATTTTTCGAAGAGGGCGGTAATTCAGATTTTGATTCAATCAGTGGGAAAAAATCGGTACCTCGGATAACCCGCAATCAAGTTTCATCTTTTTGCAATTGTCTTGAATGTTTCTTGATTTCACATCGCTTTTCTTGCAGACTGTGTCCAAATCACACCAGAAGAAGTGTCATGGAAATCATTCGGCCATATTGCCGCTCTGATCCTCGCAATTATGGGCATCATTACAACCATCGGCACATTTTGTGTGTTCCTTCGCCACAATTCGACGCCCGTAGTGAAAAGTACCACTCGTGAGCTTAGTTATATAATTTTATCCGGTAATTTCGAATTAAAATGCGATAATGTAATGAGAATACTTGAGGTCTTGTTGCTTGTTACGCGGTGTCTTTTGCAGTTTTGGCAACGCCATCATCAATATCATGTTTTATTACTAGGTATATATCGTCAGCGTCAAACGACTGAAATAAATTTAAAAAAAAAATTATTTGCTATGTGCCAATGCGTCTCGAGGCAGTGAGAAGATTGCGTACATTGCATTTTAGCCTACGTGCATTAAATATTCAGTCAACGATTAATTTAAATCTACTCTGGTAAATGATTCCGAGTCGTATACGAAGAAAGCTCAATCGTATACGCTGATATCGCTCTTCAAACGCGGCCAAATACGATTGGGATTTCTTAATATACGATTGGCATTTCTTCGTATACGATTATAATTCTTCGTATATGATTGTGATTTCTTCGTATACGACTACAATTCTTCATATACGGTAACGATTTCTTCGTATTCGATTGGGATTTTTTCGTATTCGATTGGGATTTTTTCGTATTCGATTGAGATTTTTTCGTATTCGATTGAGATTTTTTTCGTATACCATTTCACTTTACACTACTCGTTTGGCATTTTAACGCTTTTAAATATACTATGGTAATTCATTTCGAATCGAATACGACACATTTGAAACCGAATACGACAAATTTCGGCTCCGAACGTGACCTAATTAGGTTCGAAATTTCTCGTATTAGGTTGTGAAATTATCGTATTCGATTATCTTTGGAATACGTTTCGAATGCAGCCGTATTCGTTTTGAATGCAGCCGTATTCGTTTTGAATGCAGCCGTATTCGTTTTGAATGTAGTCGTATATTTTTCAAATGTAATCGTATTCGGTTTTGAATTGAATTCGATTTGAATCAATTATGGAAGAAAAAGACAATCGATTAGACAAACAAAATTATTTATTGCAATAAACACAATAACAACCAACAGCAGGAATGAAACAAAAAATATGTATAGCAGGATGTGCGATTTTTTCAATTTATTTCTTCGGAAATACTATTTCGATTATTTGTTTTCGCCATTTTTTGACGAAAAATTTATAACTTGCTTCAATTTCGACATTTCCTTTTCTGGTAAATGAAAATCGATCGAGTTCGAAAATAATTTTCTTTTCAATCGAAATCGATAATACATTAATCTGTTTCGAATTATTTCAAAATTTAAATCGAATACGATTTCAAAATTGAGAATGAAGAATGAACCAATCGATTTCGAAGATTTTTGAATCGAAACAAGTTTTCAAAGCGAATCTAAACAATTTCTCAATCGAATTTCATTTCTTTTTCTATCGAATCAGATTAATTTATATTTTGTTTTTTTGATTTTCATTTAACTACGGAAATTCCAAGCCAACGCAAACCTGATAAACTGATATACAGAAAATTAACTATGGCGCGAGTTCGAGAGCTCCTCCTCAATTCGCAGCCTCCTTGCGCGATTACTAAAAATTTTCCAGTAAAAAAACTATAAAAATGAAATATTGACTAACCATAAGTATTCGATATAATTTTCCGTGATTACTGTAACGGCAATTCGCATCATCTTCTCTTCGGTGTCCGGGATTGATATACAATGTAAAAGTAATTCTGTAAAAATTAAATTATTGAAATATTATAGAATTATAGAAAACTGACCAATAAACGTATTGATTATGTGCGCTTCAATTGCAATATTACCTTTTTGAGGATTTCGGCGTGGCGTATACTTGCATCGAATGTTTTGAGGAATCACCTGTAACTATGAAAATAGTAAAAACATCGAAAATTATTTTTTACCTCGTTCATCCAAATCATAACTGCCTCGTGCACTATTGTTCGCAGATGACGCTTACAGGGACGCATCGACTGAATGATAAGTGAGAAGTTAACCAAATCTTTAAAAAAAAGTTATTTACTGTAACGAATTTCTTTTTACCATTTCCTTCAATGGCCGGCACAAGGGTGTCGTCATAAGAAGCAAGCTTCAGCGGGTCGAACATTGCAAATACCTTGTCCTAAAAATAGTAGGCAATTTATCTGTTTGACGCAATTAAATCACCAAATTCCCGCTATACGACGTCCTATTCGCTGGTTTATTACAAATCTTTTCCACCTAAAAAATTGAATTGATAGAAATTGAAGGAGTGTGTTTTAAACTGCACATAATTAAGTGATCTGAGAAGAATTTCAGAAGTGAATTGCAGTGATTAATTGATATTTGTAAAATATAGATTAACTAACCGAGTATGCGAGAGATTTAATGCAGCATAATGCCGCTTTCTCTGTATCCGTTCCATTTTTGTATATAGCCTTCAGAAGAGAATCATCGAAGGATATGAGTCCTTGGGCGTGGTCATCGAACTTTTTCTGAATAATGATCATATATTTTTTATTGCTACACGCTTACTTCAGCAATTTCTTTTTCTTCTTTGTTTTCGCTCAGCAACAGGTGCCAACTTCTGTTGCAATTGATATCATCGAATTTGTTGAAACTATTAAAAAATATATTTACATTGAATCATACTGTGGAAAATTGATAAATATAAACGTGCGCGCACGCGAACCGCACGCGCCCGAACGCGAAAAAATCTTGTAAATAGCTGCATTTCGGTGTCTCGCGGCAACAAGGAGTAAGCAACACTACTGGGCATTCATTAGTATTAAATATACTCAGCTCGTCAGCTCGGATATCATACGATATCGTTAACTTTTCGAAACCGACAAAATATTTTTTAAATAGAAAATTTAGGATAAATATGTCGCCGAATCCGGTTAATTAATTTGCGTTCGATTGTAATTCGTATTCGTTTCGGTTTTACTGCCAATTCGTATTCGATTCGAAATTTTGCGTATACGTTTGTAATACGCGTTCAATTCGTATTCGATTCGAATCGAGTTACCAGTGTTTTTTCGAACGTATACGATTGTAATTCTATCGTATTCGTTTCGGTTTTACTGTCAATCGTATACGATTCGAAATTTTCCGTATACGTTTGTAATACGCGTTCAATTCGTATTCGATTCGAAATGAATTACCAGAGTATGATGTAAAGATTTCTATACCTGTTTATTTAAAAAAAAATATGAAAGACAAAAAAATGAAAAAGAAAAAGGAATAAATTAATTAATTTTGGTTGGCGCATCAACCATTTTTTTCCACTGCTCGCGCTTTCGATCGTGAATTGTTTCCGAATTAAGTTCATTTGAATGATTAATCATGAGGCAGTCTTCGGCATGTGCAGATTTTGGAGAAAAACGCGAAAAATCTGATTATGACTAGTTTAGCCGAATCTTTATAATGTTGTCGAGTTTCTTTAAAAGGTTTTTACTGCGTTTCTTTTCAAAATCTGCATAGGCCCACTAAAAAAGTGAAAACTCACAGGAGATAGGTCATATGACCGTGTACCAAATAGGAGATTGTAGAATTCGCCGTTTCGTCAGCCATTCCATCGATGGTAACCGTCTTTTGTAAAACAGCTGAAATTAATTTAAACATATTTTAAACATTTTTCGCGCTATTTGAGCATACCAATCGCTGTGTTGACAAACCGAACTGGAAGCGTTGCGTGCGGCGGAGTTGGCTTAAACGATGTTGAATAATTCACACGATCGTTATTGGGAATTGTCTGAAGATATTTTTTGCAACTTTAAATAATTGTAAGATACCTTATCGACAAATCTGTTGACTGTAGTATTTATCACATGCTTCAGAGCTGCCTTCATGAACGGAATTTCCAAAAATATTTGGGCGACGTTGATGTCTCCTGTTAAAAGATTTAATACAAATTCAAAGCTTTCGAAAAACAAAAAACCCACTATTTCCATCCAGTGATGGAATAATTATTTCTGCGTCTTTAAGAGCTTCAGGGTTGTATACGGCGATCACGTCGATCTAAATTTAGAGAATAGCAAAATTTAAAAAAATACTCACATTGTTTTTGTTTGGCTTTGCCGCGAATTTTTGGGATAAAGTTTCTATCTGGAAGTATAGGGTTTCTATAGTTTCTATTGTGGTACTATGCAGATTTCGCCAAAAACTCAAACAGCGGTAACCATAATTATAATGGTTTTTGCCGGTTTTGACGAGTTCTGATATTTTTTTACGGCTTTTGATGATTTTAATGCTTTTTTTCGCGGAATCTGGTACCATTACATTTGGAATGATTGAACAATAAATAAAACATACCGTGAACATGATTCCTTTCATTTAGAATGTATGGTTGTAGAATAACCCGGTCACCGAACTTCTCATTGAGGAGAAATCCCAATACATCGCCATATTGCAGTGAATTTCGCCAACGAAACATCACGACGCTATTATCCGAAGCAATATTTCTTTGTATTGAGTAGTGTGAGCCTTGATAGCTGTATTTCTCAGTAAACAAATCGCCTTTTTGAGCCAGCATTGAGTACTTCAGTGGTACATCTGTCGTTTTTTCGATATCATCATTCTCCGAATATCGAAATAGCAGTTTTCTCAGTTTCACGATAGACACATCATGTTGTTTTCTCGTTGGGTCCGAATCAAGTCTTGCACGAACTTCGGTCGTCAAATCTTGCAAAATTGCAGCACTAAAATTTTTCTACGGTGTACAATTTTATAATAAAGCATACTTCCGCAACATTCTTTGCCCAATTCCCTTTGTGATTTCTGACGATAATAGTCGTTTCAAACTGTGAAAATAAAATCTCGCGAAGATAATGCTTCCCATTGGCCTAAAGCGAAATAATTTCAAAAATATGCAAAAACGGTAACAACCTCTCGACGTAATGACTCTTTGCAAGTTGTCACAGCTCGACATTGACACAAAATCTTCTTCCGCGCAAGTGAGCTCATCTTCAGACGATTCTATAGAATCTATAGAAATTAAATCTTGCTCTGTTTTTACTTTTAGTTATACCTGATGTTAAGTTTCTCTATTTTCTGAAAATAGTTATTTTCTTCATTTTTTCTGTTGTTATCACCTGTTTCTGTCTCGTTCCGATATTCCCTATATATTTTTTTCCAAGATTTCTCGTGTGGTGTAACGATATCGCTTTCGATATGCAAATAGTTTTGAATTTTGCGACATATCTGCAAAGAAAATATAGATTTCTTAGAGCGGAGCCAGTAAAATGCACGATTTTTTTGGAAAGTATATATATTAAAACGCAATATACGCATAAAAATCGAATATGAAAAAATTCGAAAATTTTCGAAAATTGTTTTTCGAATTTAGACGTCAATTTTAATGCATGTCCGCAGTGTATAATTGTGGTGGTTACACTACTGTGATAAAATCCAAATCGTATACGATCCTTGCAATAACGTATACGACGAGGAAATGCGGATGTTTCGTATACGATTACAAACCATTCATCAGAATCGTATACGATCCTATACGATTCACATTAACTAATACGATTACCATTAACGTATACGATTTTAATTTTATCTTATACGATGAAGAAATTCGCTTTTTTCGTATACGACTAGGAATCATTTACCAGAGTACACTAATTTCGCGAACTCTGGTAAATCAAAACCAATCGTATTCGACAAAATTCGGCTCTAGAATTAACCTTATCCGATTGGAAATTCTGCGGATAAGATTGTAAAATTGTCGTATCCGATTGGTTTTTTGGGTATTTTCGTATCCGATTGGTAATTTGTCGTATCCGATTAGATTTTCTTCGAATCCGTTTTGTTTTAATATTTCAATTCGAATCGGATTCGACAAAAAACCAATCTTATCCGTAGAATTACCAATCGGATACGACAAATTACCAATCGGATACGAAAATACCCAAAAACCAATCGGATACGACAATTTTACAATCTTATCCGCAGAATTTCCAATCGGATAAGGTTGATTTCGGAGCCGAATTTTGTCGTATCCGATTGGTTTTGATTTACCAGAGAATTTGAAGGCTCCGCTTCCCTTCTGTCGTTTGACGCCGACAATAAATATTCGAATGAAATCGAATTTTTTCGTCGATTATTCAGAGTAATTCCACCGATCGCATTCGCCGTTGTCTATTCAGCGCTTCTCACAAAAACCAATCGAATCGCGCGAATTCTCGCAGGTAGCAAAAAACGGATTTTGACGAAAAAACCGCGATTTTTGTCGACATTCTCTCAGGTTTTTGCTCAATTTCTTCTATTTTGTATGTTTTTTTCGATTTTCAGGTTGTCATCACTTGGATACTTGTCGGAATTCAGTGTGTCATTGTTGCTGTTGGTTTGATGCGCGATTGGCCGTACGCGACATATGCCAAATATGCACTTCCTAGGCAGTAAGTCTCTCATTTTTTAAATACGAAAAGATATTGTTTTTTTTTCATTATTAGGCTAAATTCAACGTTTTTCATTCAATTTAAACACATTTTTACCGCCAAAATTATTCTATTTAATCCGATTTTCAAGTTTTTATAAACAAAGATCGAATAAAGTTGTCTCAATATTGAAGTCGTTTGATTTTGAATTAAATATTTGTTAACGTGATTTAAAAATTGAACATTTGAATTTTCAGATTAATTCTGGAATGCGACACGGAGACCAAGTCATTTCTCATACCATTCTTTTGGGATTTCTTCCTTATTTCACTTTGCACATTATATGCTTTCAAAACTCGAAATTTGCCCGAAAATTTCAACGAGGCCAAATTTATAGGATTTACAATGTGAGTTGAAAACAACATTCCGATGCTTATTGATCTCGTCTAGGTATTGCACGGTGGTTGTATGGATTGCGTTCCTCGTACTTCATATGGGCACCATTCATAAAGCGCTCGTAATGAGCTTCTCCTATTCATTATCCGCTTCCGTCGCACTCGCTCTTCTCTTCTTTCCCAAATTATATATTATCATTGTGCATCCCGAGAAGAATATTCGAGCCTCTTATACGACGACGAAGCTCATTCGATGTCATTTTGGCAATTCGCAAGCTGCTTATGACAGCACAAGTAAACAGCAACATCTCGGCTCGAAGACAACTCAGCGAACATCGATGCAGAGCGGATCCGCAAGGTTTTCCCTTTGTTCTTTTATTTTTTAATAACTCGTTGTAGTAAATCATCAAGTATGGCTGGTGGAGTGACTCGAACAGCTTCTGTTCATGTTCCGGCGCCTAGGGGAAGCACTCATTCAACGGATGCTTGCACACAAACAGAAAGTGAGTTTTAACTCCCGTTTTGATTGCTATTCGAAATTCTTCAAATTGTCCGCAAATTAATACTTCTCTACACAGATAAACGGCGGCATAGGCACAATGGAAGCATAGTGGAACGGCTGTGGATATCATAGGAATCTTATATGCAAGTTATATGGAAGCATAATGGAAGCATTTTTTTGCGGAACCGCGTGTTTCGTATATGGAATGAGCCGTATGCCTTCCATATGGGAAAATAAGAAAACAATTTGATTGCTGTATTCAAAATTTATTTCATATTAACACATTTATTTAATTTAAAATAAAAAAAACAACAATGAAATGAATTTCAATTAAGATATAATCAAACCATTAGTTACTGGCAACTGCCGAACTATTCGAATCATTGTCAGTACTGACATCGAGCGGGACGCTGTAATAAGTAGATTATAATGGGCCTATTAATTTGAAAAACTTGTAAACCATTGTTACGTAAACTAAATTTTTCGAGAAAATACAATCAGTTTTTTTACATCAATAATTTTCTTAAAAATAAAAATAATGTATTTTTATTGCATTTTTGGAAACCCTTTAGTGCACAAAATAAAAAGTGAATTGGCGGAAGAAAGAACAACTCCAAAATTTGAAGCAAAAAGGCATTTTGGTTAAAATTTCAAAGACATATGAATACTCACATCTGAGGGTTGCTGGTAGAATCAAGCAGCTTCCTTAATTGCGCCGCGAGCGCTTCCGGCGCTACACCAAATCTCCTTTGAAGTCGTTGGCGCATTCTATCGCTTAATCAAATAAATAAATTAATAGTCATAGTTCAAAATCTTACAGAAGATTATCCATGACTTCTCGAACCATGCGTAATGCTTTCGCTTTGAAGTCATTTGTCGGTTGTTGCCCAAAGCCATGGATAAGAGCATCTGTAATATAGATATTTGCAATAAAGTATAGGATCTTTATATAGTCGGCGTCTGGCGACTTCTGTACTAGAGCCCCACTTAAAAAGATAAATGCCACTGAATGATATTGGTACGAAGGCTGTACGGCAATCGGAAATTTCGGCGATTCGGCTAATGGCAAATTACCGATCGAAATTTTCTTCGGCAATTTGAAAAACCGGCAATTTCGGCAATCGGCAATTCCATTGCCGCACAGCCCTGATTGGAACCAAATAATCAACAAGCTTTAAACTTAGGAAGTACTTTATAAAGACTTCATTGCGCATATTTTTCTAATTGAAACCATTTCTGGAGTCGAACAGGCCAATTTTTGATGATAACAACTTACAAATTGGGCGTACGAAGGTTTAGGAATTGGCGTTGATTTTGTTGTTTGTGAGGACTGTGGAGAAAAATTTTTTTGCTGAGTTGGCGAGTAAATTGGACTATCTGGATCTGAAGTGTCGAGCGAATTTGGTTCCATGTTAGGGACTTCTGGTTCTTTGTTATTGACTTCTAGAGCAGTTTCAGTTATATCTGACAACACTCTCGATCTTGTCTTCATCTGTAAAAAATTTCAAAACATTATGTTTTATTAAAAGAAAAAAGCGAGCGATAATAAAAAATATGTTAAAGTAAATAAAAATAAAACGGATTCGATGAGAAATTAAACACAATTCGATTGAGAAAATATTTAAATTCGATTTTAAAAGTGTCGGAAACGATTTGAAAACATCGTATCGATTTTAAAATTTTCGAATGCTATCAATTTATTTTTGGTTTCGATTTTGATGATAAATATGAAAATTTTTCCTTTATTTTTTAAAAACATTTTTCCTTTAATTTTGAAAAAAATTCTTTAATTTTTGACAAAAAAAAAAAAACACAAAAAATCTTGAAAATTCATTGAGAAAAAGCAAAAGGACAAAAATTTTGAAAACGAATTTCGAAAATGTGAGGCGTGGCCGCATTGTGCAAAGCGGCGCACGGTTTTGCAATGCTGCGGCACGCCTCTTCTACGCGCGTCTGCTACCAGTTTGGAGCAAATTGTGAGTAGTTTGCGATGCCAATTTCGGAAAAACCGGCAAAAATATATTAATACGACTAAATTGTAGTTGGCAATCTTTAAACAAAGTGAGGAACAGTTGACTGAATTAACATAAATCTGAGTAACATAAGTCATTAAATGGTAGAAGCTAAATTTCGTCCGTTGTGTATCATGTAATTTTCAAATTTTCATTGTTTATATGATAGCATAAGTTTTTTGTATTGATTTTTCTAGAAATTGTCTTGGTCTGCCGTCCAGACGCCAATTGTATAATGTTTATTGACATATGATTATTTTATCCATATTCCATCCATATTTGTTCCACGGCTCGCAAACACCGGAAGCATATTCATCCCGTTTTCATTCCATCCATATTCGTCCCATAATTCTTCCACAGCCACTAAGAATTACATTATGCTTCCTATATGGAAGCATTATGCTTCCGTTCCACAGATTTCCCACAATACTTCCATTATGCTTGCGTCGCGCTTAATCAGTGTATGCAATCGGTGTCCGGCGGCTGATGTACGCGGGTAGATTTACGCCCATGTGCCTTGAAATAGTCTCGACACTCGTGAATGCTTATCTTGAAATTTTCACGTAAACTCTCAAAAAAATGTTCTAATGTTCAAAATAACCGTTAGCCGGCGTGAGACCATAGCAAAAGGCGCACCACATAAATCTACCCGCGAACAGAATTCACCGGACGTCGGCTATATGCCAATATAAATGTATTTTTTGGTAAGACGCCCCCATGATAAAATAAAATTTACAGGGTTGGTAAATTGAAGCCGGGGCAGAAAGCCGGCCGGCCGGCCCGGCTTTCGGCCGTTCGGCCGTAAACAACGGAGTCGGGGGCCGAATCGCGGGCCGAAAATTTGACAGCGAAAAAAGCCGGCCGAGCCCAAAATTTAACAACCCTGAAAATTTAGAATTATCGTGGCCAGATGAATATTATTATTTCAGCGACCAACAAATTCACGCGCAGTTTTTCGATTGTCGGCCGCAAAAAGCCGGGACTCGATGACGATGTGCAGCAGCTCGTTGAAGCGTGTCGACGATATCAGGTAAGGATGACTAGATGAAACGAGCGTCGTGTTTTATTCGTCGACGTTCAGGATGAGCGCATCAATTCGTCGGCAGCGAATCTTTTGCTCGAGGAGTCCGAAGACGAGGTTGGCGCGCTTTTAGCGGACTCCATTGAGAACAGCATGCGAACGGTACTCTCGACGGTCGCCGGCAAAGGCGTTGTGCCGAGTTCGACGACGCCGTCGGCGCCGCCGCAGGAGGACAAGGACGGCAACTTCGAACAGGTAACGCATTTTCGGTCTACTATTAAAACTATTTTATTACTCCGTAAATTTGTTTTTATTAGTGACTAATTCTACATATCTCTCTAATTTTTGTTTAATTCTCTCAATTCTTTTTTTTTTCTTATAATATTACTTACTATTTTCGAACTTCTTTTACAGACGAACACTGGAAAAAAATCGTCGGTTCCGAGTTGTCTGTCCTTCTTTTTTTTTTGATTTTTGGTTCCATGCTTGAAATTCTTTTTAGTTTTGACTCAAAGACCTGGATGTTATAATCTGAAACGATTTGATTTTTGTTTGTCGTTGAGATTCTTCAAGATTCTCAACGACTCGCGATCTTCGTTCTCGGCTTTCAGTTCGGACTTGTTGACTTCCAGGTCTTTGGTTTTATCAAAAATCGAGCACAATTCCTTGGTTTCCATCATCAGCTTGTTGCTTACACAAAAATTCTCTCCCTCTCTTTCCCCCATTCGGTTTTTTTTTATCAGTTTCGCCCACCCCCAGGCTGTTATCAGCCGCGCTGTGTGCCTGAACCCCTGAAGACGACGGACCCCGTGCATTCTCCCTCCGCTCCGCTCCCAATATTCACAAAACAATTGTGGGCGGAGCTTGCGTGTGTTTGTGTGTGTGTGTGTGTGTGTGTGTGTGTGTTTGCTGCTGCTGCGATGCCGAAAAGTGAATAAATTGAGTTTGAATGTTTGCAGTTGCTGAGGAGCCGAGGTGTTCAGCCGCTCAATTTCTCGCAGGCCACACCGCTATAATGATGAGTCGAAGCAGCAGCAGTCGAAGCCGGAACAGCAGCGCGAATCCGTCGCCGACGCCGTCGATCGCCGCTTCGTTGTCCGATGAGGAGCTCGCGCAGATCTCCGTTCGACAGCTCAATCAGAAACTTATGGTAAGTCAATTTCATTCGATTCTTTTCGATTTCGTTTTGCTGGTCCCATTGTATGACAAAAAAAAATGCGACGTCAGCATAGAAATTTCTAGAAGAGCACAGAATGTCGGCCGAGTTAAAATAAAACGCGAAACTGATATCTTGGAATTGGAGCAATTATCGTAGCTCATTGCAAATTATCAATGTCCAACAAAAATGTGTATTACGAAATATTCAAGATTTCGTTTTTGTTCACAAAACGCTCGACAATCAGTGTTTCTGTTTCTTGAAATTCCAAGCGATCTTTCTTATTCTAGATTTCGATTCGAGAGATTTCTTTGAGTTAGGAAATATGTTCGAGACGGTGTGGGGTCTTTTTTGGAGGAGAAATTGTTTTAGATGACGTTAACGTCTTCTTCACAAATAATCCAAATAATAATAATAATAGATCGGCTCCGGCTATTCGAAATAAATGAAAACTGACAGTTGTGGTGGTCCACATATTCACATTTCGTTATCAGCAAACTTCCAGGAAACGATAAAATCGACGCTTTTTTTCGATGAAATATTCCCTCGAATACGCTATTTTCAATCGTAAAATGTTGGATAAAAAAGTGATCTTTAGTTGTCGAAGATAGACGAATTTGACAAATTTGAATAATCAAACGCGTTCGCCATTTTTTACCTTAGCACGAAATCAACAAATTTTCGCATGCGTCTTGGATATCTATTGTAATTTTTAATTAATTTTATAAAAAATCAAATCGAAAATGATTATAAGATCCCCATGGCGCCAAAATTTGAATTTGAATAAAAGGCAACCCCCCCCCCGTAAATTCGTCCGTCTTCGAAAATATGTAAAATTGACAAATAAAAAAATTCACATGTATTGGCGCCGGCGATTATTGTTCTTGGGTAGACGCGTTTCGTTCGGATCTCAAGCCAAACCATGACTGACCAACTCAATTGCTTCATCAAATTCTTGGGTTTATTTTGAGAGCTTTCAAGCTCAAAATTTTTTAGAAATGCACGGAAATGATTGTGAATATGAAAATTCACGTGATAATAACAGAATTGTCATGTGAAGCGAGCACTACAAGAAAAAGATGCCCGCGAATCTACCAAAAAAAACAGTATGCAAATGCTAATTATAGATGGATAAATTTAGTATCATATGAATATGCATCTAGAGTAATTCGTCGTTGGTTATTTAAGCAAAATTGAGCAATTCGTGCTTGTAGGGCAGATTCTTAGAGACGTTTTTTGCTTTTTCAAACAAATATTATTTCACAACAAATTTGAACTGATTTTTAATGCTCACTGTCGAACTTTTTGTGAAGATATTACGAAAAAATGACGAAAAGTACTTATCTCATCTTAATTATCTATTTTACTTACTTAATTCCATATACTTTACATTTTCTGAAGTACTAGAACCATTTCACCAATAATTGGACCATTTCACCATGCTGCTATGTAATTTTGAGATCGCATACATCAGCGGTTTAAACACCAGCTATAGTCATACCAAGCATTCGTGTAAAATCATCGAATTTGGTAGAGAATATAAATTGGACGAATTTGCAAAATTTTCGATTTTTTTTGTGGAAAAAAAGGCAAAAAAAATGAGTCAATCCATGCAGGATGTTGGACATTTCTTGGATATTAACCTGCCTTCTCGGCCTGGTTTCATTTGGGTACAACTGGTAACATGCGATTTTGACCCAGCCGCAGCAGTCGATTCCACGCCGAGGGAGCCTAGAAGCCCATTCCAATTTTACTGTAATAGTAAGCAATCTGTTAATGAGCTGATTCGCTGCGACGCCAAGAATGCATCGTTTAAATATTAAAATATACTCCTTTTTGGTCATAAACCCATTCTTTTATAAAATTTCACTCAGATTTTAGTTAAAATGATGGAAAATTGAACGTTTTTCAGGGTCAAGATCGCAGTTTGGTGATGGAATTGAAGCAGAAACGACGAACTCTTAAGAATCGCGGATATGCATTGAACTGCCGAGCTCGCCGAGTTCAGAATCAAATGAAACTTGAGGCCGACAATCTCGTTCTGCGCAATCAGGTAGCATATTCGAAACACAACATTTAATGAATCAAGGCAATAAAAATATTTTAAGATATTTGGCGAATTTGAACCAAATATCTTGAAATTCGAATTTAAAATAATTTTAAAATTAGCTTTGACTATTGTCGAACAAATTTTTGAGCGGAACGCAAAAGAAATGAATTTCCGAATGCGTCTTATATCATATAAAGACCATATCACTGAAATTTCAATAATAAAAAAAACAAAAAATGAATTTGAAAAAATTAAAATGGAAAATAAATGTTTAAATAAAAAAGTTGCTATTAAGAAAATTATTGAAAAAAATGAAGATATGATAATTTCAGGTAAAAAATCTTCGCGCCGCTCTTCATCAAGCCCAATTACGTCTCCAATTCTACGAGCCGTCAACCATGTTCGAATATCCGGCCACCATGGCGCAACCAATGCAAATAATGGCCCCAATTAGTCCGCAATTCTACAACGATTCGCCACTTCCGCACCAAAGCCACCAATTCGATTTCCAGCAGCAGACTCTCGATCACCAACATCATATCATGCCAACCTCGCCGGACTCACCGGAATTCAAACCATACTACTAACGAGTTTCCCTACTTTTTTTGTGTTGCTAGTCAATAATTGCTAATCCCGATATTCTGTTTTTTCTCCCCAGTTGACCCAATACATTACCGGTAATCAAAACACATTTCCTCCTCGATTCGTCGTTTCCTTTTTATGCATTCCACCGAATCACCTCTCTCTATTCTCTCTCTCTCTTTAATATTTTTTATCTGTTTCTCTTATGTTGCGATTCGTCTCCAAAAACTGATCAAATAATGAAAATCCTTATATCAGCAAATTCTGCTTGTGTGAGGTGTCTCCAGGAAAATGTTCAAAAAACGATAACACGCCGGTTTCAGGCCTGATAAGACAACGACAACGCGTTCCCGGCACGGCCCGGCACCGTCGCTCGGTTTATCTTTAACTGACGGCACTTGGAACCGACGAAAATTGTTGGCGCAATTTTTCATCGATAAACAACAAAAAACGACTGATTTATCTAAAAACGAGGGATTTTTCTACAATTTAATTTCAATTTCTCGTCTTTTCAATTTCGTTTGCCACTTTTGCATTATTTGCATCGCCGTAGCCGAGCTTTTGCCATTCTTCCTTGTCCATCAGACCATTGTTCATCCGACATGCGAAGTATTCTTTCGCTTGATCGCGACATTCGCTGTTCTGCTGCTTCTTCTCGTGCAGACACACCATATACCTGGAAAAATAACGCGATTTCTGCTATTGGAAAACATTGCAAATAACTACGTGGAACGCAATACATCACCGATCGCAGCAAATTGCCAAAATAAAACAATTTTCAATATTAGGCCGTTGTCGCGTCGCACGACTGCGAAAAATTGATTGAATGCAAAAAAAATTATAGAAGGCGTCAGGAATGTGCGCCTTTAATCTATCTTTATACCAAATCTCGTCAATCTACACTTAGTTTTCAGACACTATCAACAACAATTACCTAAGCATTTCCAGTTTGCACATTCCTTGATGGTCCAATGGGAATGAGCCTTTTAAAGGCGCAGACACAGTTTGGACACGTTGAAATGGTCCGGTTTGTGACATTTTCTAATAAGAAATGAATGAGTATTTATAATTTTTTCAAAAATACGAATAAAGGTGTAAACCTTTAAGATATCATAACAGTTAATTAAGAAATAACCTAATCTATTTATTATTAAAAAAAGAACAACTAAATATAAAAATAATAAGGATCAGATATCTTTTCCAGCTTCTTGTCGCTGTTTCACATATTTATCCCATGCCTGAACCGGAATCTCCGGCGCCGGTTTGTTCTTTTGCCAATATTCGTAAATATAGCCGCATGTGATCGCCATTAGCGCGCTCGTGCCAAGAATCAGCGTCTGTATATCTGACCTCTTCACCATCATCTAGTCCGATTCGATGCTGTTGTCGACGTCGACGTGAGCCCACCGACGCTGATCGTTGAGTCGCAAACGGGTTCCCTGAAAATAACGAATTGTTCAATTTGAGAGATGCTATCCACATTTGTTCAATTTAAAACTAATTTTGGATTGATTCAATTAATTGAAATCTGAAATTGACAATTTTTTCATATTTCATTTTTATTGTAACATTGAAATTTCAACACGTAAAAAAGGAAATGTTAAGTATTGAAGTAAATTCTCAAAAAAAACTAATTATTTTTAAAATAAAATTAACTAAAATATTTTTTTCGTTCAACTTCGAAACATTTCAATCAAATACCGTCAATTGCCCAAATGAAATCGTATCTTCGATCCAATAATAAGATGAAGCGAGTTTAGGCCAATTCAAATACAAATATTTTCTTTTCTCTTCACTTCGTCGTAGGACCCGAAAAGCAGCAAACGCAGCAAAAAACGCAGTGACTTCGAAAATCACAAAACTGTAGATTCCTTTTCGAACGGTGTTGCGCGTCGTCGCCAGTGTGATCTTCAAATATTTCGATTTGCAAAATTCACCTTTCCTTCAGAATCTCATGGAATATTTTGAAACCGAAATGTGCGGATTTGAAAATGTACTTAATTTTAACAAATGAATGAATTAACTTTTAACATATCAGCCCTTTATTCAACACTCATAATAACATGCGAGCAATAAACGATTATGAGCAAATAAGGATAAAACCTATTTGAAATGATTTAAAGGAACCACCGATATTGACGACGAAACCAAATCAACTACATCGAAACTGGGTGAGAAAGACACTTCTCGAGCAAAATTCAGAAGATTGAATTAAAAAGAAAAATGAGGGGAGATGTCAAAAATGAACAAAAGAGAGGAGAAGAAAGATGGATGATTATGCGAATAAAGCTTGAGCGGCTAAATTCATCAAACAAACAAAAAATGTGATATTTACCAAAAAAAGTGAAAATGTAAGCAATAGAGGAATGTGGTGGGTTAGAATGGAACGCACAACAAAAAAGAATAGCATGAGTTGTAAAGCTACAACTATCGATTGGTGACTATATGATAATACGACAAGTTTATAATAACCCATCAAGTTTCACCGATTAGTTCTTCTTGAAGCGCTTCTGCTTCGTTTTCTCCCAAACCGCCTGACGAGGCTCGTTGAAGCGCTCCATGTACTCGTAAGCTGGCTCATTGAGCGTGTGGATGCAGTCCTTTGAACAGCGGCAGCGCGCAAGTCCACCCGTAGGAATCATGATCGCACCCGGCTTTGGCATCGGAGGATAAACAAGCTTATGGGGAGGCGGAATACTTTTCATCTGCAAAAGTTCATTTTGAACGAAACATTTAACTGAATTCAATTGTGGTACCATTTCCTCGATGAGACGCATTAATTCCGGACTCGGAGTCTTTTTGCCAGTAGTGGTTTGGGTCGACGCTTCCGTCGAGTTTTCAGCAATTCCTGAACTAATCGGCTCGATTTCACCGCGATCGGCTTCCGGCTCACCCTCGACCAACATCTCCTCATCACTCGTCTCCGAGACACAATTCTGATCACCGGATTCGGTATTCGATTCCGAATCAGAAATGAATACCGCGTCCATCAGACTATGTCTCTCGCACCTTAATATACTCGAAATTAATTATTTTTTTTATTGAAAACAAGGCATTACATTAATGGTTAAAAATAAAAGAAACTCGATTATTTCCGATTTAAACATTAGAATTCCTATGCAAATCCCACGTGGATTCCAAAGAAAATCGCAGAAAAAAAGAGAAAATTAAACAACAAAACATAAAATCATTCAGGTCACGGCATCATTCGCCAACATTTTTTATAGTCCCGATCAAATTGGTAGATCAAATATAAAAATTAAAAAAATTTCAAACTTAGCTTCCATTATAAATCATTTTTTTAATAAAATTGCAAATTCTCACAATTTCTGCAAGATCCTATCGATGCTGCTCTTGATGATTTTGCAGGTCGACTCCCAAAACATATTCTTCGTCTCATTCCCGTAATCCAGACTATCACCTCTCAAGCGGGTCTCGTTCACCTCGAGGGTCTATAAAAACCGTTATTTTGTCAAATGTTTCATTTAAATATGGAATTAAGTTTTTTGAAATAAATAATTTGCTTTAAATGAAAAATACGTTAATTGTTTTTTGTTTAAAATCGATAGTCGCTAAGAAATGACTATTCATAGAATTCTATTTTATTTTTTTGAATAGAAAAATCCGTTTGTGCATTCAAAGTCACAGTATCAATGTTCGTTTATAATACCGATAGCAGAAATATTCGAATTAATATTCTCCGAAAAGCAACTACTTATGCATACCGTATCAAAAATAAAAAAAAAACTACCTTTTCGAAAACGTCGAGTTCCTGCTTGCAATCGCAATCTCTGAAGCTCACCGCATTGTAAAAATTTTGACGGACATAGCGGAACGCGCGAAGAGCATTGATCAATGATTGATGAATCGCACGATGTGGAACACGCACTGGATCGTATCCAATCGCCGCGCAATCCGCATTGATCTGCTCCAAAGAGAAAAGAGCATCTCCCAAATTGGTGAAGTGGCGTTGAACTTCGACTAAAATCTCATTCATACATCGAATTCAAGAAAATTGAAGAAAAAATCCCACTAGAGTTCGAAACTTCTTCGATGGCTTCATTGAACATTGTATCAAACGCCACATCCTTATCGACGCCTTTCGCCTGAAAAACGCAATTTTTTAAAGAAATAAAGCAAAAAAAAGATTATTACAAAAATATCGTGAAAATAGGAGACAATCTTGGCGCCAACGGTAAACTTCAGTACTTTTCGACACTTTTTGAGTGTGGCTTTTTCGAGACGAGACCCAGTCGGCGCGCAAAACTTAATAAGCTTTTCAGCAATGTCAATGCAGTCCGGCTCCAAGCTCGCCTCGTTCATCGAAGCGAAATCGTAAGATTCGAGAATTTTCTGAAATATTGAGAGAAACTAGAAAATGTATTTAATTATTCTTATACTTTAAAACTAAAAAGAATAATCCATAACTGTTACCTTGACATATTTTCTAAGCGCATTGCGATCCTTGTAATCGAACTTCTCCCTAGGCGGAGTTGCCGGCGGCGCCGTCTGACCAACGACGACCTGTTCATCGCTGTCGTTTTCCTCGGCGTTGAGACTTGCTGATCCGTTTGAGCCGTTGTTGGGCATTTTCTGAAAATTTGTTTCATAAACCCACAATTCACTCGTACTGCTTCTACTCAATAAAAGAGGAACCAAACACCAAAACGAATATAATGCGACGAACCCTACAATTAAGGAAAAAAAAAAGCGACACGGCGTGCCATGGGGAGAAAGAAGACAGCACGATTTATCGGTTAAGAAGCGGAAATGAGAAGTTGTGACATGAGAAAAAAGCAAATAATTTCAAAACCGAAACGAATGGTGAGAAAATGTACAAAAATGAATTCATTCGCGTGCGATTCTCATTTTATACAAGTTGATGACGTCACATACGATAATCGATTAAACAAAAAAAAACATAAATTTATGATTTAATTTTAAAAGTGAGAAAAAAACATGCATGTGGCAATTTGAAGAAACGTTCATGCATACAAAAATACCTTGGCAACGCGAATTGGAGATGAAGCTCTGTTCTCCGACGATGCTTGACTTTCTTGCTCCTCCTCCTCCTCATCCTCCTCGTCGAGCTCCTCATCCTCATCACTCTCTTCGTCCTCGAGGCTATCCTCATCCTCGCACTCCGAATCACTTCCATACAACGCATTAGTGCATTCCCTGCAATTCATAATAAAAAAATGTATTTAAAATAACATTTTTAAAGTAAAAAATTGTGGTTCAAAGACTGATTTAAAAATACTTTTTGCCATGGTGTTCCGAGACAAAAAATGTGAAGGAGACTGTGTACTATGCATTTTAGGGTAGGCGCAGCTAATATTTAGCCATGGCGAAAATTCGTAGATTTACAATAATTTCACGTGGTTGTTTTACAATTGCTTCGGGAAAAATCCTAACATTCAAGTCGCAGGCTGTAAGTTTCTAAAAAAAAATACCATAACGTTAATTTTAAATTTGTTTCTTGAACCTTTCGTTTGATAGGAGAAAATATCTAAATTTTCTTAACATTTCAGCATGTTCATTTCGAAATTAGTTGGCTAGTCTTTGCAGTTTTTGCATGACTCACTCGCAATTGCACGCGTTTCCCTCGGCATCGACCGGACGATTCGCGTTCGGGCACGTCGGACGCTTCTTCTTTTTGAACGCGTCCTTCTGTTGTACATTCCAGACGTAATCCTTGTTCTTAAAATCGATATAATTTCCCACCAGCAAAACTATTCGAGAAAACCTCCACATAGAGCATCATATTGGAGTCGTTGTGGACATGTTGAAAGAAAGTGTGCAGTTGGCCAGTGGTACTGATTGGCAGGTATTGATCAACGACTAGAATTCGTATTTAAAATAATTATTAAACTAAAATCATTACTCGTATAATGAAGAGAAATCGACGAATCGTCGCAAACGTCGATGAGATAATCAAGAAATTCCTCGAAAGTGATCTCGACGTTGCGATAAACGCGTCTCTGGAAAAGGAAAATAAAATCATACATTCGCAAAAAAAAAACGAGAATCCTGTGTAGTTTTATAGTTTTGATCCGTAATGCGGCGATCCACAAACATTTTAAATCAAAATTTTAATTATCGCATCGAAAAAATCGATGGCTTGCTGTCAAAAAGTTGTCTTCACTTATTTATGGCAGGTACTGTAGATTACCATGAGATATTTCAATAAAAATTGCACGCGCGCCTTTAATATCGATATATTTCAATTATACATTTTTTTTACTATAGGGAAGTTGGTTTTATCTATTTTTTCCCAGTATTAAGTAGTTAGAATTTGAAGCATTTTTCGATGAAACTAAAATTTATAATCACAATATAAATCAAAATATAAGAAACGAAAAGCAACAGTACAACAGATTAAAGCGTTTTGTCGGCGTCAAACGACTGAAGGAATGCAGGGCCTTCAAATTCGCGAAATAAGTGTAGATTTAAATTGAATGCGCGTACGCTAAAATGCAATGTACGCAATCTTCTCGCTTCCTCGAGACGCATTGGCACATAGACAGTAATTTTTTAAATTGCGTCCAGTCATTTGACGCCGACAATAAAAACTATTACCAAAAAAAAAACAGGCGTTTTGAATAATTTTGGACCATCGCAATGTTTCAAGGCGGTAATTCAAATATGAATTCAATCAGTAACAATTCGGATACCGTACTCAGATAACCTGCGAAGTTAATTCATCGTAAATCGACGCAGGATGTTCGTTCTTTGCGATTGCAATATATTAATAATGAATAGATTTTAAAGGCACACATACAATTTTTTATTGTTATATCTCGCCACGATCTAGTAAGATCGGGAAATTTCTTAGCAATCCCGAAACAGTGTTTATTTTAATCAATATTGCAGTAGCCTGAATAAGTCCATAAGAAAATTTGAGGAGATTTCGAGCTTCGAAAATATTTTTGGCTCCAGTAAATAAGGATACACGCAGTTACTAACCAACCGATACCCGTCGCCTTTTTTCAAATAGATGCGATTTTTAAAAATTAAATTTCGAATTACAGAAATTTTTACCTCGCGCACGTAGCAAACCATCTTGCGTTTCGGCGTCCCCACGTACATATAATTGATCATCTGAAAAATATTTATTTTTGAGAATAAAAAAACAGAAATAATACCAGAAAATTGTCGTTTTTACCGCATTTGATTTTTCTTCGTGATATCGTTCCACCACAATTCAAGGTGCACTTTGGCAAAGATGACATTACCATGTTCGGCATGATGACTAAAAAAGTGCCAAATTAATTCGAATCGATAAAAACGAGCGCAGCGTGAGTAATCCGATGGCGTCCGTGTTGCCATGGCACCAAATCCCGAGTTTAGGCCGAGATATGGAGTAGGATAATCATGAAAATGAGAGACACCAAATGAACATTGTGTGCGAAATGGAACAAAATGATAAAATAGGAATTTGTAAGCGAAAATTGAGAATATATGTTGTGTGTCCCAAAAATCTATGGCGAAGAGGGCGCAGAGGGCACTGCTCGGCCAGGAGGCCAATATTGTTGAAAATTCGGCCATCAGAGGCAAGCATATTTCGAAATTGGTATTCTTCGACAATTTCCAATGAAATATGAATGTCAATGGAGACAGAAAATTCTATAAGAAATTTTTATTTCTATCAATCACTGCAACTGTGCTACAGACGAAAAATGGTGAAAAGGTGGATGAAAAATAGATTACTCGGAAAAGTAGATAAAAACTAGGAGAAAAATGGGCGAAAAATAGATTATCTCAAAAATTGGTGAAAAATATACGATAAATGGATGACAAATAGATGAAAAATTGGGAAAAAATAGATAGAAGATAATGATAAGAAATAGACACTGAAAGGGTGAAAAATAGATGGAATTGTGCAGTTGATCGTAATGTGAATGCAGATGGCGCCATGTTAATCACAATTTTTTTAAAAATCAATTTTGGAAATGCCTAAAACTCTTCGCCATCGATTACCCAAAGAAGGTCTCAAATTGAGGAAAGGTAGGTTTGTTTCGTATATTAATATTGCTGATTGTTTATTATTTTAAGATCAAATTGCTGGTTCGCGATGCATGCCGACCAAACGTGTGGTCTTTGCTCGAAAAAACGCCCGGCTTTCACTTCGAAACAAATCGTCGAACAACGAAAATAATGAAAATGATGCATCAACAACATCCTTTCTCATGAGAGAACGATCTGAAAGCGAAATTGAAGAATTCTCCGAAGTAGTCGGGCCGTCATGCGTACCGAATTACCCCGCACATGATCGTGTATCGGAATTGGCCGATGAACTATTATTGTGCATGTATAGTTCGGTACTCGGAAAAAATACAGAAAATGGTAAAACTAATACTTTTCCAAAGACAAAAAATGGTTGCAGGCTTTTTGAGACGACTGGCAACAATTAAAAACTTCATCCCGATTGAAAGAGCCCGCTCATTGTGGTATGATTTCAAGAAGAATATTATGAAGCGTTCAATATGCGAAAAGTGTGGATGTCGAAGAGAGAAAGAATGGTAAACACATATACCACATTTCAAACATTATTATGATCAATTTCAGTTGCGGCGATTTGGCGACTTTTCTTATGCTGCCTCTCACCGAACAAATTCGCGGGATTGTGGAGTCGTCCTTTGACGATATAATGGAAATTCGAAAGAAATTGAAGGAAAAAGCACCAAACTTCACACACAATCTTCAAGGAAGTTCTTTTTCCAGTTCATGGAAATACGAGGATGAAAATCATTGTGATCTGAGCATGGTGCTAAGTCTGGACGGCGTCAATCCCCGAGGACATTTCAGGTATTATTATTATTTGTTTATTAAAGATGTGCCATTTAGAGGAAGTTTGTGGCCAATTACTTTACAGTTAGTGGATTTGCCTACAATGAAGTCGCAACTTTCAATTAATCTTGTAGTCTGTGGAATGCTGCAATTAAAAGCTAATAATCCAACAACCCTTGTTTTGAATACCGTCACGGAAATTATAATGAATCGATTGGAAGGCGAAGGGTCAACATTTGTTGTAAACAATATTTTATTTTCTCCATACCTCGTGTCACTCGTTTCTGACCAACCAGTAAGGATTAAGTGATAAAAATTTCTATAGATTTCAGTTTAAGGCAAAAAGAAAAATTCTTGGAATGAGCGGTTTTTCAAGTCCACAAGCTTGTTTTTATTGCGACTCTCACGGAACTCTGCACAAACCACTACTTGGAAACGGTAATAATCAATAATAATTTTAAACCCTCTTATTCATCGCTTATATTGATTTAAGATCGACGATTGGACAGATTTGGGGATAAGACTCTAGAAGATAGTATTCGCGGTGTTAATGGATTTGGTCCTGTTGCGGCGAAAATGGTGCAATATGTCAAGCCGTACAATACAATCTTGGATGTTCTTCACACTTGTTCAGATGGAATTGTAATGTTGATACTAAAAGGTATCAAAATTAAGTGTGACCAAAAAAACGGCAGAAATTCCAGAGCTCATGCCTAAAAAGTTTAGATGTTCAAAGAAAAAATCTGCAATGTTCGAATGCGATGAAACCATGCTCGAAAACTTCGACAAACATCTACAATTGCCAATTGAAGGAGCCGATTTGACTCGATTGCTCACTAACGGAAGGCAAAAACTAGATGTATGTTTCAGATATAATGTTTTAGATTTTTCTTATAGTTATTCAGACTTCAAATTTTCTTGTTTGCTATCTGCAATTCAAGTTTACCCTCAGATGGACGATGTGCAATTATTGCTTTAGGTCTTATTTTCAATAATATGTGCACGAATGGAATGTTGAACCATAGGGATACTTTTGACTTGTGTGACGTTGCAAAAAAATGTTTTTTGGATAACTCTCCAACGTACTTCACAATCAAACTGCATGTATGTCCAAAATATTTGAACAACGCAATCATGGTTTCATATATAGGAATTCATTTACCACTACGTTGACAACGTCAAGATGTTTGGAAACGTTGCGTGCTTATCTACTGCGTCATTTGAAGCAATGTACAAATTTCTAATTCGGGATTTTTGTACCCATATTACAAACAATTTTCCTGGAATTGTACTTCATAGGTATTAAAATATATTTAAAAAAACACGAATGAATATTACAGATATGTTATGCGAGTGAACCTCGAACGAGAGATTAAACGAAGATTGTCACAAAGCCCATCGGCGTTATTGAACAACTTTTGTAAATATGCGCCATCATTGCAAACTCCATTCTCTGGAGCTTCGAAACCTTTAGATATTATGGGACCAAACGGAGAAAACACGTTTGGAGCGTACCACTTGAATTTTGGAATCATTCGGTCAAAACATTGTGGAATCCACACAAAGAAAGATATATTGTTCACCAAAAATTCTTCAATGAGAGTCTGCAGGTGAGCAAAGATCGTTCATATATTTTTATGACGTTATTTTTAGATTTATCTATGTTTTCAAAGAAGCCGAAAGATGGATGTGTTGCGTCCAGAAGTTTGAAGAAGAATACAACAGTTTCACGTGGTTAAGGAACTTGAAATATCGAAAATTGTATGAGATTGTGCGGTGAGAAAACTACTCTCTAAAACTGTATTCTATCGATTTTATTTTTCTGCAGGAAGTACTCATTCTTATGCAACGGGAAGTTCTCAACGGAGGAGGTTTTTATCGGTCTGGATGAAATTGTTGGTATAGGTTGTTTGATCGAAATATCGAATGGGTACATCGCAATGTGCGTTTCTACAGGATGCGGATATCATGCATAAAGGCTTACTATTTTTTTCACTCCTTGTCTCTTTAAATATATGTCAAAAAATATATAAATCGTTTATCATGTCGTTGAATTCATCAATTTTCTCACGTTAAATTGGTTTGTAACCTATTTGAACAATACATTTTAAACAGTAATTTAAATCGGATAATGTAAATTTAGGAACAGCATGGCAGAACATGAACCAAGAGCTTCACCATTGTCGAAGAAGAAAAAATTTGAATACCTGCAGCCACGAGAACATTTCGATGAAAAATAGATGAATCCAAGATGCTAAATAGATAGAGAATGGCTGAGAAATAGATGAAGCGCTGATGAAAAATAGACTTGAAAATAGATCTGTTACAGATCCCTCTTTCATCCAAAGTCTGCACTATTTTTCAACTATTTTTTTAACTATTTTTCGTCTGTTAGCGCAGTTGCAGTGATATGTATAGGAAAAATAAATAATTCCGCGCCAAATTCATCGGGCGAAACACGGGCGAAGGCTAAATCGATTCGCCGTTCCGAGAAAAACGTTCAATCCGCTTCATTTTTATGCCACCGTTTCTCCGAACATGAAACAACTCGTATGTCTACCGTTCGCCGAGTTAACATTCAAACAGTTATGAGCTGTGCAAACACATTGACGGGCATTTTCAGCTACAGTACACGACCTTAAGAAATATTTTTTTTATAAATGGAGGTTTTCGGTTTATTATCAATTAAAGGGCGATCATCTTGTATTTAATTACACAGACAAGAAACGCCCTTTTTGGAAGAAGTAAACAGCCAGAAGACGTGACTTCAAATTATTTGATCAATTCAAACAGATTTTCGTTGAAATTGCCAATTTTATCTGCAAGTATTAAAAAATTCGAGTTTCTAACACAAGTCGAATACTCAAACAATCATGTTCCATATTGATTTGAACAAGTCGTGATGAAATTCACATCTTTCTGCCATCAATTATCATTATTGGACGTTAACATGCATAAAAGCTTAAAAATCATATTTGTTGCAGGAAGAATCCAAAAAAGGAGAACGTTAATGGTCGGTCGTGGTTCGGCGGATAGCAGAAGGAATGCACAAAAACATCAGAACGAGGACTAATCAATAATAAATAAATAAAATAATCAATTTGTTTTTCTCCAAAAAAAAAACAAACAAAGAAACTTCGAATGTTCCCAATCTGGAATGAACATGAGAAATCGGTGGCGGGAAGGAAGAAAAACAACGGTCAGATTTTGTATTGGATGCAATCAATATTCACAATTATGCAGAATATTATAATTATGGTCAAATAATAATATGTGTGAGAATGAGCGGATAGGCCATCGTGATGAGGCTCGTATAAAAATACAAAAACTCTTCCAAATAAGGAAAAGAATACAAAAATAAAAAGCAACACAAAACAGTAGAGATGAGTTAGTTGCGAACTGAATCATGGTCCTCATCTGTATTTCCAGGTTGCGAGCCGGTTCCAGACGTCAAACGCGACGCAGGGCGTTCTGCCGGAGACATTTCGCTCATCACAGACCCATTACGAAGATCTTCTGAAAAAAAAAATAATCGTTTATCGAAACTAATTTTTGTCACGAATTTGCTTTTCAAGGACATCCGACTTTGAATGACATTTCCAAAAAAGGTAGTGTCTTAACCAATTTTACAACACGTATTCACACATACCACGTGAAATACTTGTATTGCTTCCGAATCGGCGAGATTCGCGATGGAACACGGAAGGAGTGCGACGCGACGTCGTCTCGCGTTGTTTCAACAACGAGAAGTCGCGCGAAAGCGTCTCGTTGGCGTCAGTGAGGTCTTCAGCTCTAAAATGTGAACATTTTTTAATATCGAATGATCAGATCAATAAAATAAAATTCGTGAACGGAAAAATGTTAAAATTTTGATTCAATCGGGCGTTTGTTGACATCCAAAATATTGAAATTCATAAAAATTAAGCTCTTTAAATTATGGTTAAATTAAACAAAACTCGCTTCATCCTAACGTTGTAAGACTTTTTCCATGCGAGATAGAAGGCGGTACTTCATATGATAAATCACTCGAATAAAAATTCGGTAAGTTCGGTAAGTATCCTAAAATTTTACCTTCTGCGTTCCTCCTTCAATTTATTATTGAGACGATCACGTTCTGATTCGACATCTTCCAACTGATTGCGAAGTTGTCTGATTCTCGCATTGAGACGATCCGCAGCCAATTTGTGCTGTTCCGCCTGACGCTTCTCCTCATCAAGAAGTTGAGTCGTCTCAGCAAGACGCGATTCCAATCGTCGGACTGTTCGCGACTGGCGAAGACGATCCTGCTCTTCGAGTGATATTTGCTGCTCAAGATTAACAATCTTCGCTTCGGCAACAGAGAGTTGAGTGCGCATACGCGATGATGCATTAGCTTTAATTGAAGAAAAATTGTTTTTATTTAAATATTGTCACTCACTTTCAGCTTCTTGCAGTTGCTGCTTGAGTTCGCGATTCGCTCGTTCAAAAGCATTTCGTTCCGATTCATTTCTTTCGCACAAACTGCGCTCCATCGCCAAATCTGTGGTCATCTGCTCAACCTGTTGTTGAGCCTTCTTGATCTTTTCCTGCGCAAGATCATTAGCGGCTGTTTCCTCGTCAAGTTGATCTTCCAAATCAGCAATGCGTGCTTCCAATCTAAAATCGAACCATATTCAAGGAAACCTGCGAGAGCCAAACCTTCTCTTCTCCTCGTTTCCGATTCCAGACTGTTTTAGAGTCTCCAACTCATCGAGAAGCTCATCCCGCTCAGCTTCTGCTTTACGACGGGACATCGACACAGCCGAAAGATCGGAGTTAAGTCTCTTGATTTCATCCTCCATGTTTCTTGCACGCTTTTCAGCATCTCTCTGCGCGGCAAGAGCATCATCCATCGCAGTTCGAGCTTCGGAAGCCTCGAGTTGCACTTCCTTGTAAGCCAACTGCGCTTTCCTCAATTGTCTGGCCATCTCATCAAGCTGTCTCTGCCCCTCGTCATATTTCTCATTGAATTCAGAAAGTTGCGCCTCAAGCTTCTTCTTTGCCGAAACCGCTTGAGCACGTGCTCGTTGTTCAGCTTCGAGCTCCTCACTGAGAGTGCGATTCTGGGCGATCAACGTCTTCTTGCGATCTTCCTCGTCCTCTTCACGTGCAGAAAGTTGTCGCTCATGCTCATGTCGCGCAGCTTGTAGGTTGATTTCCATTCTGGATTTTGCGTCTTCGGCAAGTTGCAAAGCGTCTTCGAGATCAATGATCTGCTGTTCAGCTTTATTGAGTTCCTCTTCGAGCCGCCTCTTCGCCTTCTCCAGTTCGAAAACACTCTTTCCTGCATCGTCCTTGGTCGATGACAAATTGTCGACCTCCAATCTCAGCGTTCGTCGTTCCTTCTCGAGCTGCTCAATTTCGTCCTTCAGCTCGCTCATATCATTCATAATGACAAGGTTGCGAGTTTCAGCCTCGCGAAGCATCTGTTGAGCCGAATCACGTTCCTGTTGAGCCAGAGTGGTGTTATTACGCTCTTCAGAAAGTTGTTGATCGAATTTTCGCTGTTTGCGCTCCATTTCACGAAGAGCCGCTTGGATTTCAGTGAGTTCGCGTTGAGCGTCTTCAGCCTCCTGGATTGCCTTCTTCTTAGCGCGTTCAGCCTTTTCACGTGCTTGTTCAGCAGCATCAGCTCGCTCCTTCTCAGCAACAAGCTCACGTTCCTTCTTTCGTTGAATCTGAAACGCAACAATGATAAATTCAAAATAACGCAGCAAAATTATTAAACCTCTACGAACTTCTCCTTTGACTCATCCTCCAATCTTTTCTTTGCTTCGAGAAGTTGCGCCTTCGTCTCCTTCGCTTCCTTCTCCGCCTTCTCTTGAGCAGCAGCAGCTTCCTCGCGCAACTCGTTCGCCACCACAAGTTCATCTTCAAGTTGCCGAATTCGATTCTGAAGGTTTGTGCGATTGCGGCGATCTTCTTCCGAAGCTTCTGTCATTTCAGTGAGTTGCATATCTAGTGAGGCGATCTTCTTCAATAGATTCGCGTTTCTTGTCGTCTCCGAGTCTTTCGCTTTTTGCATGGACTCTAGTTCAGTGTTAATCTGCATTATCGTACAACAATGAATATGAGATCTCACAAGTCATTATACCTTATTCAATTTCGCCACCAATTCGTCAGTATTTGTCTGCAGTTCGCGCATTTTGTGCTCCTTGTCCATCAGCTGACTTTCGGCGGCTTTACGACGTCGTTCGGCTTCTTGACGCGCCGAAGCAACGTTGGCAAGTTCGGCACGAACGTTCTCGATGTCAGTTTCAAACGTCGCTTTTGCTTTGTCGGACTGAAAAATGCGGCAAAATAATAATAGGATTAATCCGTAAAATTTCGATTATACACAAGTTCGAAATTTTCAACAAAAGAGCACCAATACTCGGAAAAACAAACAGTTCAGTTCGGTGAGAAACTAATCAACACTTCAATGCAAACAACGCGTCCGAGTGGTCATCTGGGCGATATAGGCACCCACCATTTCCCTCCCATTAAATTATGTGTGTGCGTGTTCAATTAATGTGCGCGTATTCACTCAATAATGATCCGCTCAGATCATTTCAAACACTTGGGAAATCTGTTTCAGTAATTCGAAAAAAGTGAAAGAGAGAATGAGGAAAGCAGTCGGAATGAAAGAACAACATATGCAAGTAATCGCTTCCTAATCATTGTTAGCACAAACATTTAAAAACCAGAATCACGCGAATCAATTCCAAGAACAAACTTGAAACATTTGTAGATTTTTAAAAAATTGTATTATGGAAAGTTTTCTCAAAATCGAAAAAAAAAATAAGAAGACGAATCGAAATCCGAAAGTTTTGCTTCAACATTTGTTATTTTTTTGCGTTGACATCTATTAGTTACTAATAGTTATTAAAGTTGAATTATGTATTAATAGATACATTGTCTCATTAAGCCACATGCTCAAATTGATAATAATTTTTGTAGTTAATCTTACATTTTATTACCTAACTAACAGGTAGGCTCTAGAAAACATGAAAATTCGAAAAAATCTCAAAAGGCACAAAAGCGACAATAATAACACCCCGAAATGAGTGTTTCTTGTGCAAATGTGTGCACAGACACAAACTAGCGATGTGACTCGTAATTCGAGAATGCAAGTGTCCGAACGTGTGTATGTGCATTCTTGCGATCGCACAGGCGAAAAGCATAATTCCAAAACAGGAGCAATCGCAAAAACTATCCGAAAACGATGGTAGCCGCTTGGATGCTGCAGCGCGAGAAAAATGAACGAATCCCCTGGTGCCTCCCATCGCACAAAGGGTAAATAACTAATAAGACAAAGCGCAAATACCGATGCTTTCTGTCGTTGCAACTGATCGAGCGATTCCATCAGTTCCTCCAACTTCTTCTGATTCTGCACTTTCATCGATTCCAACGACTCTTCTGACGCTTTGATTGTCTCTTCAAGTTGCTTCTGCAACAAAAAAGGCCTTTTCTCACTATTTTGGTCAGAATACCTGAAGATGGGCGTACTCTTCGTCGCGTTTAGCTCTCAATTGTGAATGAAGCACAGTCTTGTCGTTGGACTCTTCCAGCTCCTGCTTATATCCTTCAAGCTCCTCAGCCATATCACGACGTGCCTTTTCCGCCTTCTGTCTCGCAGTCTTCTCCTTGTTCACCTCTTCCAAGGCATCATCGAGCTGAGCACGAAGTTCACGAATTTCTCGTTCTAGCTGTTGGCGGGCAGCAATTTCTTCATCATTCCTAAAAAAGTAAAATGAATGCACAACTATATCCATTTTGCTTACTTGAGGTTGATCTGCGACATCTCAGCCTCTTTTCTCGTTAGCTGACTCAACAATTCCTCCGCCTTGCGTGTCTTCTCCAAACACGACTCTTGTTCTTCTCTCAATTGACTTTCAGCAGCTCGTCGCGCAGTCTCCGCCGCCACACGCTGCTGCTTCTCCTTCTCGAGCTCATCGCCTTGTTCAGCGACAAGCGCTTCGAGACGCGTCTTCGTTTTCATGAATTGTTTTGAGCGCTCCTGCTCATCGATGAGCTGCGACGATAGATTCTCGCAACGCTCTTCAAGCGCCTTCTTTTCCTTCTGAAGTTTATTACCAGAATCCTCAAGCTCAGCCATCTGAACTTCAATTTCCTTCAATCTTGCCTCGACCGAATTCTTCTCAAGCAACGACTTCTGTCGCATTCGCTCCTCTCCTTCCAAGCTCTCCTCCAAATGTCGAACTGTTTCCTAAAACAAATGTTTGATTTTGTTCGATTCCGTCGTATTACTTACCATCAATTTTCTCTTTTCTTCATCAGCCGACTTCGCTTTTTTCTCTTCACTTTCAAGCCTCTTCGTCACGTCTTCAAGCATCGTTTGAAGTTCGTTTTTTCTCGCCACAATTCTGGCGCGTTCTTCGTCAATTTCAGCGCGTTCGAGTGATTCCGCATCAAGTCGTTCTTTGAGAATCGCGCGTTCCTCATCCATTTTCTCCATTTGTTGCTTAACATCAGCAATGAAAATTTCCGAGCGTCGCAGGCGTTCCGAAGTGATCTTGAGCTCCTGCTCCTTCTCAGCAATGAGTTCGTCCTTGTTGGTAACCTCGAGAAGCGGCTTCACCTTCGTCAACAATCTCCACCACTGCCACTCACGCAAACGCATCCATGCGAGACCATTGCGCTGAATGATTCGAATAGCTGTTTGTTGCTCACGACGGCGAACAAGAATACGGCGTCCAAGCCATCCACGACAATGAGCCTGAAATACGTGGAATCTAAGAAAAAATAGGATAGGTAAGACCAACTTGAAACGCTTCAATCAACGAACTCAATTTCTGATCGCGTTCTTCCTCAAGCTCAGCTATCACACCAGCACGGAAAAAGATCTTCGATTGGCCGATTCGATACAAGTTTTTGTCGATATCAAGAGCTTCGACTATACGTCGAACAGCTTCTTTGCCATCCATGAATCCAGCAGGAATCACTTCCGGCGTTAAAAGTTTTTCGTATCGCTGTCGGAATTCCTGGAACGGCAAGCGAGTCGGGAATCCTTGACGGCATATTCTTATTCCTTCGAGCACGCCGTTACAGCGAAGCTGATCAAGAACCAAGTGCGAACTAATTACGCCATGCTAAAATTTGTAAAAATAAGGGAAATGTTTATTTAAAAAAAAAATCGATTACCCTCTTCTCATGATTTGGAATAATACACCGAACGAAATGGGGATTCGTATTGCTCAATGTGCTCATCAATCTGGCGAGTTGTTCCTTGTAGAGTTGTGAAACAGTGCGGAACATGCCCTTCTTCGGAACTCTGGTTCCAAAAAGGCCTGTATCCGATGTACTATCGGCCGCCGACAAACTGCATACATCAGAAACTATAATACATTTATGTTTCGAATTAATTCTGTTAAAAATTTCATCAAACCGTCTTTCCACATTTCTCCTAAAATCACGTCTTTCGATGATCGCAAAACATCAATCACATTTTCGTTGAGAGGATCCATATTCTTAACACGCCATCCGGCAGCTTCGTAGTCGACGCGTCCCGCATAGTGAACAATGGCGAAATCGCTCCTTAAACGATGTTTACATGCATAAAATGTAAAACACTTGATAAAAACAATTGTAAAAAGCATTGACAGGTGGGATTCGAACACGCAAAGGAAATTCAACTTCATAAAACGTATTCCTTTGACCACTTGGCATCCACAGGGCACATTCTGAATATGAGGTATCTCCTACAGTGGGACGAAATGGTCGTAAACGGATCATCCACCACTCGCCACTTGCCAATGGTCCGGTTTCCCATCTGGGTGGCCCCCATATTTCAGAATGTGTGCTAGGATAACCGAGCATAACTTGGTTAATTCATTCGTTGGTTCGAACTCCGCCCGTGGCCGTTTTGGTATAATTTTTGATAGCTCCTACTTGGCACGAATCTCGGGAACAACATATTTTGGGTGTTGCGAATGTGTGTCGACAAGTTTCTGTACAAAGGAAGCATCGGATCCTTGCGGGAACAAGCACACATCATCGAGTGTCGACAAAACTCCCATCGGTTTCTCGATCAAATCAATCGTTGGTTGTAAATTGAGGCCAAAGTCCATGAATTTCCACTCGAGACCCTCGTCGACATATTCTTGCTGCTCGCGAACGAACATAGTATTGTTGAACAATTGCTGAAGTTTCTCATTCGCATAATTAATGCATATCTGCTCGAATGAGTTGGTCTCGAAGATTTCAAAACCGGCAATATCAAGGATTCCAATGAAGCTGACACCTAGCTGGCGAGTGCGATCCAAGGATTTGTTGAGGCGGTGAACAAGCCAACTGAAAAATGAGATTATTTTATAGTCAAATCAATAACTCGAAACCGGAATAGCCGTTCATAACACGCTTTCGCGATAGCGCCAACCGAGAATTTCGCTTGTGCCACATTCTGCGAACGATGTACCAAATCGCGCTGCACCTTTATCTTTGGCTTCAAGAAAGCCTTCATCAACTCGGTGACGTTAACTCCGAGAAGAGACGCGATCTTCTGTGCGACGGCGTCGTTGACAAGCATCGCTTGGTCTGTGTTCTTGTTCTCCTGAGAGAATTCCAGGTTACCAAACAAGAGCACAGCCGAAACAACACGAAGAATTCCTAGAAAAATTAGATTTTGAGATGTAAGAAAAAAAATGAAATAATTGCCATTTATTTCTTCATCATTGAGTCCCATAATATTCATTGCTTGAATGGTTTCCTTCAATTCCGCGGAATCATCAACTCCAGCCAGTTTGCAATCTCCATTCGAGATAAATTTATAAGTGGACATATTAGGCTCGAGGAGGAGAGACTCTGAAATACCATATTGCTCCACGTATTTTATTGAAAATTCGGGAAAATCGTTCCGAGTTTGCACAGACTATTATTAAAAACTGCGAAATATCTGCTGAAAATCTGCGCAAACTCGGCACGACTTCCACGAGTAGATCGAACAAACCTTTCTGTGAGCTCGACAATCCTTTAAGCATTTGATAGAAAATATGAAAAGTTCTCTCATTCGGCGCCTGTTTGAGAACGCGCGATTTTTCTAGCAAATAAAATTCGATGTTAGCGCCAGAAATGCATCCAGTGGCGTCAAAATGGATTCGAATGAATTTTCCCTTAAAAAATAATTTCGGTCAAGTTAATACGATTACAGCTCACAAATCGACTGGAATTGTCATTCTTCACCGTTTTACTGTTTCCGAAAGCTTCCAATATCGGATTCGCTTGCAATAGCTGCTCTTCGAGTTGGCACTAAATACCACATTAGAGTACTGCGTCACATAGAAATAGACAGTATTATAGAAAGCGGCTTATTTCTTTTATATTTTTCTTAGTATTTCTTTCATTATTCACTTATTTCTTACCATAAGTCGACTTTGTGATGCATCCAAATCGACAGATCCCTTTCGCGCTTTGGCGGCCAATGATCGATTGCCAGCCACATACGCCAAGTATTGGATCACTTTCTTCGTGTTTTCCGTTTTTCCCGCACCCGATTCTCCTCTAAACTTTTTTAATTGAAAAAATTTTTGAAATGATAGCAGATGGATCGTACGTGCAGAGAATTGATTGATCGTCTCGCTCCTGCAGCAGATTGCGATAGGCTTCGTCGGCGACCGCAAAAATGTGCGGCGGCATTTCTTTGCGTTTTTTGCACTGAAATTTAATACAATAATGATTTCAAAGAACACCGAAAAAGAAAAAAAACCTTGAATTGTTCAGCAATGGTATCGGTGTAAATCGGAATGCGCTTATAAGGATTAATAACAACGCAGAATAAGCCGGAATAGGTCTAAAGAAATTATTCGATTAAAATGTCCCAATAAGCAAATCTAACTTGAAAATGAAACTTACATAGTATAAATTTGAAAAATATCTTTGTTTTAAATTATTCAGCACGGATGCTTCATTAAGGCACGTCAACATTGCCATATCTTCGCATTTGTCGTATTTCGGAGGATTCGGCTTCTGACAATCGTCTGTCGAAACTCGCTGGCGTTCGCCGGTTTCCAACAACTCCACATCAATGGTCCCTATAATAATTATCTCAGTTATCCGTGAATGATGTTGCCGGCACAAACCATCTGGATGGGGGTTTCCGAGCGCCGAAGCCAACGCGAAACCGTCTTTTTCGCTGGGAACCCAGAACAACTTCTTTTTCGCCCAATCCGCGGTAAGCGCTGGGTTTAGGTAGTCAGTCTTGGCGCGGAGAAGGTCCAGCTCCACATTATTTGGTGGTTGAGTTGTCATCCTTATTCGAGCAGCTAGTATGTACAAATTGCTGAAAATGCATTGAGATTTTAGTGAATAATGTGGAAACGTGCAGAATATTGAAGGTCACGTGGTGCTACTCAACTTCCTACACATTTCGAAATGAGTATTCAAAAATTGAATCGATAAGAGGGCATATTACGAAAGAGAAAAAATGGCAGGTGGCTTGCAGCTTGCGAGAGCGCCAAACCGTTCGCATGACCCTTTTTGCATCGTCAACATCATCATAAAAAAATGCGAGGGAGGAGGGCAGTGTGGGAAAGCGAACATTTCAAATTATCATCGCGTTTTTATCTTGACGAAAACAATTTCAAAATACCCGGGCATTGTGTTGCGTTTTGGGCGCGAAACCGCAATTTCTCACGGCTGCTGCGAGGGTCGCGGACGCACGGCCCAAAAATTTCAAATCGCGCGCTTGAGGCGCGGTGTAATTTTGCGTGGCGGGCAATATTTGAATTGTGTACACCGCACGCCATTTTGCGGACGCGAAAAAATCTCGTGCTTTTCTCGAAGCCATTTTTGTGCATTCTTACATTTTTTTCTCATCTCGTATTTTACAGAATGGAACACAATCAAGAGGAAAATAAGGAGAAACAACAGAATGCTGAAAATAATGTTTCTGAAGGTGATTGATTTTCAAGTGTGAAAATTTATATTAAATTTTTTAGATCCTCTTGTTTCAATCAATGATATTGTTGAATACATGGAGAGTGCTGATGAAACTGCCGACGCGCTATTTGCAGCACAGGATGATAACGTGTGCACCTATCCAGAAGGATACAAACCGCGACAGCCGCTCTTTTCTTGTCTCACCTGTGTTGCTGAGCCAGAAATGGGCGGAGTCTGTTACGGTTGTGCGGTGAATTGCCATAAAGATCACGACATTGTCGAATTGTACACGAAGCGGTCGTTCAAATGCGATTGCGGTAATTCGAAATTCTCGACAAAGTGCGGTCTGTATGAGGAGAAAGACGCCAGAAATGAGTTCAACATTTATAATCACAATTTCCGCGGAAAGTTTTGCGAATGCAAGGACACTTTTCCATCGGAACATTGCGATGAAGAAATGCTACAGTGCGAGGTTTGCGAGGATTGGTTTCATCCTTCGCATATAAGCCTCGATATGACTGTGAACCAAGAAGAAGGTGGTTCTTCGGATACGAATCCAGATTCATTAGTAAGTAATTTTTCGTTTCGAAAACTCGTATTTCATTAGTTTCTTTCTAAGATCTGCATTAATTGCGTCATGAAGCTTCCATTTCTCAACGAAGTCGCTAAATCGAAAGAAGTGGTGTGCCATTCGAAAATTGAGACCTCGTCCGCTGATGCACAAAGCAAGACGTTGCTAATTCGAAACATGCGCTCCAAATTGTGCAGATGCGATGGTTGTAAGGTAAACATTGGCAGTTTACACTGAATTAGTCATCACATGGCAAAACTGCTGCGCTTTGAACCAAGCGACGTTAAATTTTTTTGTATAAATGAGTATCTACTGAAGAATATCTCGGGGTCTTTTTTATAACTTAATCAGCCTTTCGAGTTATGTTTGAAGATTTATTTTTACGGAAACCTTAATTTCAGAAGGTATACAGTCGCTTGGATTGTGAATTCCTGCTCGATGAAGAAGATGATTTGTCGAAGTTCGAACAAGAGAATAAAAGGAAAGCCGAAGAAAATCGTCGAACCGACAACGATAATATAAGGGATTTAACAAGAGAATTTGGCATGGAAGGTGCTATTCATCTTCTAGGCGGTATATTTCTTGACATTTATGCAAATTCAAAAAATATTTTGATAATATAGAGGTGAATCACATGAAACGGAAAATGATGGATTGGCTTGGCGGCATGGGAAACGGCGTCGTCAAAGCTGAAGACGTCAAGAAGTTCTTTGACAATTTGAACGAAGAACGTGCGGCGAAACGCGCGCGACGATCTTAATCCTGATCCAGATCCTCATTCTGATCTTTTTGGTCCTCAAGTTTCATAAGATCTCGTGCAGTTTTAACATGTAATCCTCTTGAAAATCCTGTAAATTTTGTTGTATAATATATTGATTTTAGTTTGTTGTTAAGAATTTACCGAATCGCATTTGATCGATGAGATAGGAAACGAGGATTGTGGCGGCTTGAAGACTTTCGCGATGGATTTTCCATCCTTGATATTCGCGAATTGTCTCGGTTATCGCTTCGCCGAGTTTGTCCCAGAAATCGATCTAAGCTTTTCAATTGCAATTTTTTTCTCTACTATATTGCTCTAAACTACTTACCTTCATACCGCGTTTCTTGTATTTTGCGTGTGATTGGCCGATTTGTTGGCAAATTTCCGAAATTTTTGTCGGATTGTCGAGATTTTGCATTACTGAAATTGAAAAACTTCTTCATACTTATTTATATTTTGCGGATTTTTGAGCCTTTTTGTAAAAACTCGACGATTTGCTGATTATGATAATCAATGGTTGATTTTTCGAGAACGTTTCCGATTGCTGATTGTCGAGCCATCATCCTTCTTGTAATTGTCCCACCACAATTTGCGGGACCCTTCGTACTCATATGCCTCCATGCGTTTCGAATAATCGATTTCTGAATTGAATAAATAATCGAGAATGAATGAATTTTTTTTCAATATTTCCATCCATGTATGGTCATGTAATTTCGTACCTGATATGAGTTGAGAATCTGATTGTCGGCTCGCTTCGAGCGACCGGTCGATGAGTTCGAGCCCATGTGTGCTCAGTTTTCGTAAATGTGCTTCTCGTTTTTGAGCTTCATTCCCATATGCCTGACGATTGCGAGAAATTACAAACAAATTGGCGGATTTCGACGTTTTTGTGAGTTTTTTTTTCGAAAAAAAATTGAAAAAGAAGAAATTTTTGTTTTATGAGATGATTATTTTTGATTTAGTGCCCAAAAACATGGCAATCGATTTTTATGAGAGTTTTTTGAAGAAGACTTTAGTAAAACTTAAGAACATTTAGAGATGTCTACAATGAATAATTCTAATTTTAAAGAATTCTTCAACATGGAGCTATCTCTGATTTTATGTTTTCGTTAAAAAAAGTATCAACCCTGTTTATTCTGAGTTAAATATTTGGGCTTCCAAAATTCTTGATTTATATATTAAATACACAAAGTTATTGCTGTATCGACGGATTTTTGAACTACTTTTAAATATCTCAAAAAGAATAGAATATTTCAGATTCTACTCCTCAATTTCCATAGGATTACGGTCAATTAGTGTCAATTACAACCATTTTCTAAATGAGCGTGTTGAATTAAACTCTCCAACATGCTCATTCGAGTATATTCGAGACGGAGTTGCTATGCTCAAAGATGGAATTGATCCATACGAGTCATCCACATTTCATTATGTAATCGAATTGTTACCCAAAATCACTTCAATAATAGTTTTCAGCCACCAATTCTTCTTTACGTGTTCAATTTCGTTATATCAAATGCTGAAAACCTAATAATTCCTTTTTGGATTCTTTTGGACATCGCGACTGCGTGGATTTTAGCAATTGCCTGTCAGAAAGTGACAAAAAATGAGGAATTGGGGTTATTGGTTTTTAAATTGTATGAGTTTTCACAAATGATTTGAGAAAATCATCGAGGAATCATGATTTTCAGATATTCATTCAATCCGATCACGATAATGTCGACTGGAATCTTTTCGATCTCCGTTTTGCATAATTTCTTAGCAGCTCTGGTTTTCAACACGTTCGTTCACGGCTCTTCCCATATTTGTGCATTGCTCATTTCGTTTTGGACATCTCTCACGTTGTGCCCATTCGTTCTCTTCTTTTCGCTGATTTTCCAAAAAAATCGAACGCCGAATGTTTTGGGAACCATTTCAATTGGGCTGGGAACAACCGTTTTGTTGAATTATTGGCTCAATGATTTTAAGTGGAATTTTGTAAAAGAGACCTACTTAGTGATGTAAGTTGCTTGAAATCATCTAAAAACAAAATATTATATCAATTTTAGAACAAATTTTGAAAATATTCAACCAAATGTTGGTTTGTATTGGTATCTTTTCGGACAAATCTTCGAACATTTCCTTTCTTTTTATATGCTTGGATTTGTTATTCTCTACTGTTTTATGCCAATTCCTGTGTCATTATATGTACGGTAAGTAAAATCAAAATATAATAATTTTCTAATTCTACAGTCGAAGTCGCTCGGAGTCGCGTCGACAATATTCTTCCTACAAAGAAGACTTATCCGTATTTTTTTTTTCAGGGACGATAAAAATCTCCATTTCACCATAATGCTGATCATCTCATCGATTTTCTATCCATATCCTACGTTGAATCATGCATCAGTGTTCTTTGCAATTATGCCAATTCATTCGGAATACAAAAAATGTTCGGAATTTCGTGTTGAACTTCAAAATGTTTCGATTTTCAGACTTCCGATATAATTTGATTATTGGAGCAACAATTGTGAGCACGATTGTATTGATGCCGGTTATGTGGCATATGTGGATTGTGAGCTCATCAGGAAATGCGAATTTCTTCTTTGCAGCTACCCTTTTTTATAATATGGCATTGGTCATCTTCAAACATTTTTGAATTTTGCAAAAAATGAATTTTAGATTGGCTTTGTCACCGACTTGTTCTTCGTTTACTCGCGGCGGCAAATCGACAAAGAATATGGCGATTCGATCAAACCACAAAGAAAATTCACTTTTGGAGTGTTTTAATTGTCTTATTTTTGTACAATACATATAAGTTATTCTTGTAAACTGATAGCATGTTGAAGTGAGGCGTTTGAGATAACTAATGGGCGAGGCCGTAACTTGAATACAAGCTTTTTCCGGATTATCGCATTCACTTTTGCGATCTTCGAGCCATCTAATCGGATTTCGTCGCTTCTCTGGATCACAAGTAACGGTCTGTCAATTTTGGATATCTGGAACATTATTATTCGAATAGTCATCGTTTACCGTTAAATTATATCACCTTTCCTTCTAGTGTTTGATTTCCAATAACCATGAAAATGGAATTTCGATCACCCCAACAGATTGTACCAAGAGTTTTCCCATCAAATTCGCCTTCTTGTGGTGACAGCAATCCGTGCATTTCAATTATCATCCATTCTTTTTGGCCATTTCTGAATTCACCAATTTTCAAATACTTTATTGAGATTGATGGCATACTCAGTCGGAACAAGATGAATCTGCATTGTGGAGGAGTCTGAAAATGTCATTTTAAAATTGGATTTATACAACAGGGTTATCTTTCTTTCTTAATCATGTTTTTAGTATTTCAAGTCTGCTTATATAAAAAATAAGATTGTAGAATGGTCAAAATGGGAAACGAATATAAAAATCAATCGAGCGAAATGCGGTTTTTTGCTTTCAGGGAACAGTGACAAATTTCGAGAGAAAAAAATACAAACTAAATGTATATTCGGCGAAAAAATTTAGTCTGTGTTTTTCCCAAAACGGCGTGATTTGCCCGAGGAGTTTTCCACACAATGATGAGAAAATTCAAACAGTTAAATAATAACATTTTCGATTTCCCGCAAATATGGCTTGCAATGGAGCAGAGTTGCGTCTTAATCGTTACTTCAAATTTGGATTCTTTAAATCCCGAAGCCTCCTTTTTTTGCGATTTTTGAAAATGTGTTATTTTTTTATGGACATACTCATGCAAAAAATGTTTTTAAAAATTGTACATTTTTGAAATGCAGGGAATTAAAAATACACATTTAATGTAATGTTTTACGTTTTTTTTTTTTGAATATATTTCATGAAGTCCGTTAAACGAATGTTCTTTTTTTGTTTGTTTTGTTCAGAAAAAAATGAGTCATTTAGGAAGACAATGGAAAATATAACGTTTAGCGATGATGATGAGTACGAAAAAGTTCGCGACAAAATGTTCGAAGGAAGTTTCGAGGTTTAAATTTTTTAATATTCTCGCTCTAAAAATTTCAAATTCAGGAACCTGGTGTGCAAGAACTCGAATTATTCGGAATGCGAGGACTTGTAGGAAAAAAACAACGAGAAGATGTGTTTTTAAGAGGTCTCGATGTCCCCACAAACTCGAAGGATCCTTATGAAGACAATGGTGTTAAAATTAATTCCAAGTTTCAAATAAAAGTGAGTCTTTAAGATTAATAAATTGACATTTTTCCTTTCTAGAAAGCGAATTTGGCTCAAAATTTTTTATTTTTCGGCATGGCGCAATTGCGATCAAAAATTGATGCTCCCACCGTTTATAAAGAAGAGATGTTAGCCGAGAGAGAGAAAATTCTGCAACAATATGAAGAGAATATAATTACAAATGAAAATGTGCAAAATAATCGCAGGAAACGGAAATCGATGCCTGAGAAGGTAAACAAAGCAAAGAAAAGAGATGAAGAAAGTGATAGTGAAGAAGATTCCGATGGAGATGATGCCGAAAATGTAGAAGAAAGGTTTGGTTTTTTGAATTGATTGGATTCACCTGAGAAAATTTCAAAGTGTCTGAATCAAATAAATACAAATTGCTTAGTCTTCATGAAAAAATAGTCACAAATTCGCCAGAATAATTGAAATCACGCCCAATACCAAATGGCACGGTGCTTGGCTCGCGCCTATTCCGCCCACCTAGTTCGAATTTCTAAAATATTGGGTATAATCTTAGTTGAGTCCTCCACATATTTCCAAAATTTTGTTCCGATGGCTACACAAATAAAGAAATTTTCCATGCGAGCGCCATATGAAAAATAAGAACAAATTCTGTAAAAATTAATTTTCATTTTTTTAGGCGACGAACCCTACGAAGAAGATCTGAGCCAGAGCAGAGTTCTGTGAAACGAAGTCGTCGAGCAATCATCATCGAAAGCAGTGATTCAGAATGAATCAAATTGTACAATTCGTGTCGTGTCATGACTGATATTTTGGTTTCATTTTTGTCGAATAAGATGTGCTTTTAAATTGAAACACACGGAATTATTTGAGTTCGATTTGATTGAGCAGTCGCACTCTGCCGATTCCATACATTTTCCGTTATTTTTTTCTGCTCATTTTTTGTGCCATTTCTCAATCGCGTTTGCTGACCAATACACTTTTCGGCGTAGCTCAACGAATTACACTGGTGCGCCCGGGAGCGGCACGAATAATAGTGAGACACCTCGAAGAGACGAGCGAGATTTGAGCAGCGAGGCGAACTCGATTGAGTGCAAAGCCGCGACGGAATACGACGAATTGGTGCTCGAGGCGGATTTTTATTGATTATTGATCAAAATGGGCAAATCACTTGGTGAGTTCTTTTTATTATGTTTTTTATTCCATTGTTTTATATTTAGGATATTTTTTGAAATCAAGAAATTCATCACGAAAAATGAGAAAACAGAACAAAAATTCTAGAAAAATCCAAAGATTTCGAAATTTTCTCGCTTGCAATTGGTGATTTAAAAAAAAATCGAATTCACACTTCAGAGCATAATAATTGCTTTATACAACGAACTATTTTTTAATCGATATTTTAAATTTGAATTATTACTTTCTCTCGTCTTTGGATTGTAATTTTTTAATTAGCAAGAAAATGCTTTTAAACGATTTACGTAAAATTATTGGAAGTTCTGTAATCTTATAAATATAATTCAGACGAAGAGACTATTCTGAAATCGCTTCAAGGGCAATCTGATGAGCAGAAAATTAAGAATCTTGTTGCAAAGCTCATCGAATCGGACAAGAGAGTATCGGAATTGCGTGAAAAAGCGACAAAGGTAGGAAATATGAGATTGAATTTAAAAATAAAACACAATGAAATGATAGGTTGAAAAATTATCAAAATTGAATGATAATTTGGAGAAAAAATTGGATAAAGTGAATCAGGTTCTCGTGAGAACTGAAGAAGCCAAGGGCAAGATGGAGGAGTTGTGCAGAGGGCTTCAGAAGTTGAACCAGCAGGTATTTTTGGTTATAATTTTCGATTGAAAATCATAATTTTATCAGATTCGCGAAGAAAGTGCGGCAAAAGTGAAGAAATTGGAAACCGAGCGCCGCGAAGCCGTCGAACAACTCAAGACTACTTTGAAAGTATCTAGCAAATCGCTTCGAGAACATTCATATGGAATTTTATAGGTTATTGAGAAAAGCATGTCGGCTGGAAAAGAAAAGTCCGATTTATTGGCTGAGGATAACCGTAAATTGGCAGAGAAATTCACCGAACTTGGAAAACAATATGAAGAACGCGTACAGGTTGGCGAATTTTTAAATATCCGATTTATCCGACGTGTTAATTACAAAACAGTATTTTTTTGCAAAAATACTACGATTATTTTTAGAAAAATTGTTGAATAAAATTATTTAGTTTATTTCAATTATTTTATTTCAGGTGGTTGAACAACAATATGAAAAGAAAGAAAAATATTGGGAGGAGTACTCGAAAACTAAAGATATCGAGATCAAGCTTCTCAAGGCCAAATTAGAAGCATCTTCGATAAATATGCAGAAGTTGGACCTTGAGAAGCAGGAGCTCACGAAGCACGTGATCGAGGAGACCGCCCGTGTTGGAGGTGCTCTGGAAACGGAGAAAATGCTCAAGGAGCAAGTGAAACAATACGCCGACAAGTACGCGGAGCTCACAAGTTGTCTGTCGAAGTCGAACACGGCGTTCGACAAATTCCGCAAGGAAATCGATCGGGTAAATGCGAACTGTCGGAAGGTTGAAGCTGACGTCGGATTGTGGAAGAAGAAATATGACGAAGCTAATCAGTAAGTTATTCGATATTCAGTTGAATTCAGTTGAATAGTTGTAAGTTTTCAATTTTCCTAATACATATATTGCTTTCTGATTATGGTCCATTTAAATTTGTACATTTTCGAGACATGAATAAGGCGTTTGAATTGCCGCCAAAACCGCGTTTCTTGCGAATTTACCATATTTTCGGTATTTTATCGCAAATTTATTTTTATTTTTGGTCTTTGAAATTGATATATTAACGTTTGCTGTTGGAAAGGTCATGAGAAATTGCATTATTATGTTGCGCACGAAAATTCGTGAAAACACCGTGACGCAAATATCATAGAAAAAACTAAAAAAAAACCCCTAATTACTTTTGAATTTTTTTCGGTTAGTCTTTTTGCAGAAAAGACTAAATTTGTTGACTTTGCACCTAGTTCCGTACTATTAGTGGGCCCATAATTCGTGTTGTATAAGCAGTTTCAACGGCACATCGAGTTTGGGGGTTTCTTAAATATTTAATTAAATAATTCGAAGTTTTGTCCAGATTTGTTAGGCAACTTCCACCCTTTTTATGAAATAATTGTTATTGTTCGAAAAATTCAAAGCGAAATTCGTGAATTACAAAATTTTCACTTTAAAATGTTTGACATGTTGAGTTAGGCTCCCTGAAACATTGATTGAGTTTTACGAAAATTTTGAAATCCATGGGATGATATCCAAAAATTGCAAATTTGGGTTCAGATATGTTAAATTCCGTGATTATTACCTCAATATCGAGTACGTTACCAAATTTATAAAAATTGTGGGCTGAAATTTGAATATCACGGATTTGTTGTTTTCTGAATGAATTTTTCAGATTACCTATCTGTTTTTTTTTCGTGAAAATTTCAGATCTGGCGGTATCGGTGAAAAAACCGTAGTTCCATTTTTTTCAATGTTTTGTTTTTCAGAAAAGTCCTCGTTCTCACCATGACGAATAAGGAATACACGGAGAAAATGGCAATCCAAGACAAGAAAATCGAGAAGCTCGAGAGTCTGTGTCGCGCGCTTCGCAACAATCCGGAGCAGTCGACCGCATAAATTGCGCATAATTAATTTTATGAGAATGTGTGTCTGTGTGTGCTTCTCGATCTCTTGTATATATATGATATATTATATTATATATGCACGCATTTTCAATGGTTTTCGTTTTTCTGTTATTATCTATCACTTGCCAATTTAAATAATAATAATTATTATAAATCATTTATTATTTAATTACTCCGAATATTATAATGAATAAGGCCACAAGAAATAGTAATATAGGGATTTGAATTGTTTGGAAGAGAAAATGAAAAACGAAAAACAAATAAAATGAGCATTGAAATGATGAAGAAGTGTCTAGAAACGTCATATGTTGCAGTCTATAATGTTTTTTTTTAACCAAATATGGGATAAATGGGGGTCCAATTTTCAGGGCATAAATTGGAATCGTTCGGGTTTGACACGTGTCAAGAGGAAAAAAGAAGCACCAAATATGGTGAGCATACAACAAAATAATGATATATTTTTTTGGGATGATTTTTTCAAATTTTTTTGGCTCAGAAATTGAAAAACCCTAATTACCCTTAAACAATTGAAACGACAAAATAGAAACTTATAAAGAAACACATTTTTTTTGGGTTTTTTATTTTCGATTTTTTCTCGAGAAAAATGTTTGAATATTAGACACCTATCCGGTTTTCCGCTTTTTTTCATAAGTGAGAAGGTTGTAAAAAAGACACAACAATGAGAGGTTTGCGATGGCGAGGAGAATCGGGACACGCCAGCGGATGAGCCATGCCTGAAAATTGGAAATCTTATTAAGCTTCATCAAATTCTCCTCTTTTTTTTTGCTATTATCCGGGTCGCGAGATTGCGGAAAATTGGCTAACGGTTGAGCATAACGATAGGCATTCCGCCATCTTCGAATTTTTCTGCTCATTGTGCACCGGCGAGACGTTTTTTTCAAAAAACTTTACTAATAAATGAAAAGTATTGTCGTCGTCAAACAATTGAAAAAAAGTGGGACCTTCGAATTTGCAAAATTACAATTACCTTCGCAAAAAAACGAGAACCCTGCACCGATTTACGATGAGTTTGATTCGCAGGTTATCCAGAGTACGGTATACGAATTCCCATTGTTTAAATTCGAATTTGAATTATAACGCGATGGTAAACTATTATGCGAGGTGCTCGTTTTTTTTGCGATAGTAAGAGTTCAAATTAATCGTTGACTGAATATACATAAAATGCGCATACATTATAATGCAATGTACGCAGTCTCGCGTACTTCTCGCTGCCTCGAGATGCATTGGCCCATAGCCAATAATTTTTTTTTCGTCAAGTCCGACAAAAAATGGAAAAATGATTTTAAAAAAGGCGAATAATCAAATCGTTCGAAGGAACGATAGTGAATTGAGAGTTTCGGTGAAAAAACTAACAAATTTAATTCGCCGAAATGGTTTTTTACTGCCGTTTTTACAGCAAAGTTTTTAGTGAAATTTTAATAAAATGGTGCAATCTTGCGTGAGCAATACATCAAATTTCCCGAAATTTTGCGTACTTTCGAGAAGAAACCATTGTCAACATTGTTCATGAAACTTTCAGGAAAATCACACTACAAATAGTTTGCTCATAATGCATTCATTGGCTTTTGCCTTTCAGTCACTCAAAAGCCCCCGCTTTTTTTGCGAGAAGCGATCGACGAAATAAATAAAGAAGCAACAACGTCAAGTGTGTTTTGCATTTCGTCGTACGTACCCTGAACGCCGGCTGTAGAATGATTCTGAGCGGATTGGCGCGCAACAATGCTTGTTCTTCCTGCTCGCGGAGAACTTCCTGACGTCGCTGCCCGGCGAGCCGTGCGGCTTCTTCGCGTCGCATTCGCACCTGAAGCCATTCATTCATCATTCATTCGATTCTCAGTTCCCTTCGAAACGTTTCTTTCTTTCTTTCTTTCGTTTTAGAGCACCGAATATTCAATATTGACATCGCTCGCAAGGTGTGTGTGTGTGTGTGTGTGTGTGCTCAAACTCTTGAGCTTTCAAGGACCGATAAAATTAGCAACAATCAAAGAAAAAAAATTGAAGAAGAAAAAGTTAGCAATTTTGTCACAGCTATGACGAATCATTAAATTGATTGAGCTTTTGATCACGAGAAAATAAATTCTTTGAAATGAATTCAGTTTAATAATTTTTTTGCAAATAGTTTGTGCACTCAGAATTGACGAACCCCTTGTGTCTCAAGTTCAGCAAGATTCGGCAAACTGCCCATCGTCTCATCGGTTCCTAGTTTCGATGTCGCCGCTGCGGCCGCGTGCGCCAATGCGTCGCCATTCCGATCGCGAGCCGATGCGAGCGTCGATCGCCGATTGATCCCAACGCCGGTCGACTGCAAAAATTGATTTTTACACACAAATATACGAGCTTCTTTCATCATCAACTTCGTATAAACGCAGGCGAAGATGAGAGGGGGGGGGGTAGAGAGAAAAGCTGAGGAGAGCATTACAATCGGTTCGGAACACTTACGCATGGCTCGTTGACGTCCGCCTGTCGCATAAGCGACGGCCGATTCCGACGAAGTTTGCTGTTGCCGGCCGCCTGTTGTTGTTGTTGTTTCTCAGCGGCCGCCATCACGTATTGATCGTAATGGTCGTCACTGCAATTATTGATGACTATTCAGAAATTCTCATCAATTCAATTGTACCTTAAAGAGAATCTAGATGACATTACAACAGTCGGTTGAGTGGCCAGATTTGATGGTCCCTGTTGTGCAGGCGGCTGCTGTTGCAATTGCTGTTGCTGCTGCTGCTGCTGCTGGTGTTGTTGTTGTTGTTGTTGTTGTTGAACAGAGCTCGGCTCAAAGTTCTGTTGCTGCGAACCTGACGATGTCGAAGGCATCATCGGACCATCTTGCAAATTATTCGCAATGAGATTCGGCTGCGGCACCTCCAAATGCTGCCCATCAACGATGGGGGTCACGATTTGTTGCGGCGAGAAGCTCGCATCATTCGCGTAGACGTACGTCGGTGTTTGGAAGCTGAAATATTCGAACTGATCCGAATATCAAAAAGACCAAATACTCACTTCACATGATTCGAAGTCGTGGGAACGTGATTGTGATACTTGGCTGACGTCGACGGCGCATCGTCGCTCATGTCGACAGACAAGTTCTGCAAACCAATTGAAAATGTTTAAAGGCGCATGAGCAAATATGGCTTACGTGTTCGAATGAGTGCTGCTTGCTGTGGGTCTGCGACAGATGTCTCGAATAGGAAATCGCGTCGGAGAGATCGGTTCCAAACGATTCTCCGCCGTTGTTGTCCTTGAGTAGTCGGCGGGTTCCCGGCTGCTTGAAGCTCGGATCGAACTGCTTCGCGTGGATTCTCGCGAGTTCCGAGTCTTCGCGCGCTTGCGCCGCCACGTACGTCGCCTGCTCGCTGCGCTCGCGAGCCGTCGACGTGCGCGACGCGGCGATATCGGCCTTCTGTTGGGCGATCGAAGCGGCACGTGCGGCAGTGCCGACGGCCTGCTCGACCTTCTCACGGAACTTCGACGCGCGCATGAAGAGAACGCCCTTCTTTCGCGCCGAGACCACAAGCACGTTGTTCTTGTAGCGGCCTTCTTCGCGAGTTCCGTCTTTCAACGTCGTCACTCCGAATCCGCATTTGGCGTTGTTTGCCCATTCACCATGGTACCTGAAAAATCGAGTAAAAAATCTGAATTGTAAGATCAAGATGATCGAATCTCATCTAGTAATGGGGGCTTACTTGAGTCCGTCGCTTCGCTCGCACACGCCGAATCCGCTCCGCGCGTCATTTTTCCATTCGCCCATGTACACCTCGGTGACATTATCCTCGATGGGCTCCTCATCCGGCGCGCTTCCATGATTGGCATGATGGAGCGAGTCCTCGCTGGTGCAGCTCATCGTCGAGCCGCTCGAGCGCAAACTTCCCGTCATACTCGCAACCCGTTGATGAATATCGCCGGTCGAATGCTGCTTTTTGATGCGGAGACCCGAGAGCAGAGTGCGTTTGACGGCGAGACTGCGTTCCGACAGCGAGCGGCGTCGGCGTTGCGGCGCCGCCGAGTTGGCGCGCAGCACGAATCCGCCGCGTCCGACGTGGCCGTCTTCTGGAAAAAAAAAACAAACGGCTCGTCGTGCCCGTCCCACTTCTAAAAACTCACTTTGATGTTGCTCCTCATTTCCGGCCTCCTCCTCATTCCGATCGCTTCTTAAGCTAGTCAGTGACGCGTGATTTTGCGATTTCGAGCGGAACTTGGCCGCATTCGCGTAGGCGGTACTCTTTCGAATGCCATAACCATGCCGCATTCCTCTCAACCATTGACCCTGATAACTTCCGCCGTCCACATAGATCTCCGTGCCGTAGCCGTCATGGAATCCCGCCGACCAGGTGCCCTGATATCTGGCCTGCGAGCTCGTCGACTGTCGGACACCATAACGACCCTTGTAGCCCTGCGTCCACTCACCTCTGAAAACAACGGATTAGTGGAAATCTCGTCGACTACTACGAAATAATAATTGTTTAATCTTCAAAATTTAAACCGTCGACATTCAAAGAAATCAACACGGCTCAAATTGGTGGTGCCGACTCCATGAATTTTCGGGCAATCTTGTCCTGGGGGCTACTCGTCCAGAACCCCGAATGGTCCCCGACACCCCGAACGACGTGCCCGCCAAAAACGTCCGCAGCCGCGACAGCCCACAATACCTGTATATCCAACGACCGCGCTGCTCGATTCCCAATCCGTGCCGCTTGCCATTCTGCCATTGTCCTTGATAGGTGTTACCCGATGGCCATGTGTAAATGCCAGAAAGCTAAAAAAAAAAACAATTGCATTCATCCAGACATCAACATGTGGTTGAAATCGTAAATTTTTGTGTGTGCGTGCCAGCCGAATGGATAATTAAACATTGAGCGGCGGGGGAGGAAACGGGGGATCTTTTTCTTCTTCTTCTTCTTCATCATTCCGAAAAGTGAAAAGTCGTACTATATATGTATATCTTCTCTATCTCTTCTCTTCGGTTTTTCTTTTTTGCAACAACGCAAATACTCACACAAAAATTTTCCCACCAAGCTGTGTAAACAATAAGACCGCCCCTGGGCTAAATGGGACCTTGCTCACCTCGAAACCATAGTGCCATGCGCCGGCGTACTCGCCTTTGCCCTGCGGCCCAGTGCACACACCATGACCGTGCGCTTTGCCTTCTTCCCAGCCGCCGACGTAGGTGCCGCCATCGTCGAAATCAAACCTGCCTCCATTCATTTCCCATGTCCCAGCTCAAAGGGTCCCTCTCGCTTTTTGGTTGTTGTTGTTGTTGTTGGTTGCTATCGTTTTTCTTCAGCTTCTTCTTCTTCTTCTTCTTGTCTAATCCACTAAATTGGGTAGCCTACAGATCTGAAATTATCACGAAATTTTCGAATCAAACGGCACCACTATAATTAATTGAAGTAGTGAATTGAAAAAATAAAAACAACAACAACAACAACAGGAGCGAGAAGGTTCAACGTGAAGAAGCCGCAGAAGCAGCAATGAAACGAAGCGGGGCGGATCGATAGAGAGACGAAAAGTGCCGCGGGCGGAGACGAGAGAGCCGCCGGAGCAGGAGCCGAAGCAGCAAGCACGAGCAGGCGGTGCTCTTCTCCAGCTCGCCTCGTGTCTGTTGCTTGCTTGCTTGCGCGCCGCCCGAGCCGCCTCGCCTAGTTGTATTTGTTGTGTGTGTGCGTATGTGCGTCATTTCAGAACGAGAGCACCGAAAAATGAGAGATTCTTTCTCTCATTTTCTCGTCGACGCGGCTCTTTTTTTCCGTTGCGCTGCTCTCCGCTGCTGCCGCCGCCGCCGCCGTCGTCGCTACGGTTGCTTCTCATGTTGCGTTGCGCAGGTGCTTCTGAAGAAGCTGAACTCACATTCAAATATGCCTTCTGATTGATTCCTAATGAGTCGCGATTTTGTCATCAAAATGCGGCAACATTCAGTCGGACTCATTTGAATATTTGCTAGATTTTTGTCGCTTCAAATATAAATGGGAAAATACTAAAAATAATAAATATTGAATATTTTCGAATAATTTGCATTCGATTCTTGTGGAAACTTAAAAACGACAAAAATCTTGTGATTTTTAAGATGCATGAGTCGAAAGAATAAGACGAAAAAAAAAAGGAGGATGGGCGTGTAGGAGGGTCCTTTCTTCTTCTTCTTCTTCTTCTTTCTTCTTTTTTTTTCTCCAATAATGTCAATCAACATAATCTAATTTTGCGCGGCTCCTGAGGTGGACATGGTCCCTAGGCCGTCTTGTCTTCTTTGCCGCTGGCGAAGGAGTAGCTTTTCGTTTGCGGATGCGATCGACGATGCGGATGAAAGAGATGGGTATGGGTGGACGAATGAGGAGGATGAGGAGGTCCGCGGAAATGAAATTGTTGAATGATTTATTTGAAAAGAACAAGCTGAAGGAGAAGATGAGTAGGTGGGGGAGGAAGCTTCGACACACACACACACACACAAAAAAGAACGAACAAAACTCTTGAGAAAAATGACAGAAGCAGCAGCAGCAGCAGGAGCTGGAGAAGATGAACAAAAAATTGCTGTTGGAGAAAGATGAAGAAGAAGAGAAGAAGAAGTCTGAATAGTTGACAAGGCCCGGAAATAAGAATCGCATTCCTCGAGGCGCGCTGTCGCAACAAATAGTATGGAAAGTGGAGAGACGCAGACGGTTTTAAAGTCATCAGGTCACTTTACACACACACACACACAGGCTTCGACGACGGACGGACGGACGGACGACGATGGCTCCATCGGAGCACTATGGATGTACATATAAATTAGACAGGAAATGTTCGGCTTCGTATCGGTAGATCAAAAAAAAAATCGAAATATTGACTAGTTTGAGTTGGAGATGGAGGAGATCTTGAGGATTATTGAGAAGCTCGCAAAAACACTCGATTTTGATCTCTCTTTTTTTTTTGCCGATAATGATTTGAAATGATGAGAGAAAATTGGGGGATCGATTGGACGATACGATGAATTTTCGCACATTTTTTTCTTTTATGATAAGAAGAAGCAACACTACTCAAATTTTTCTATAATTCTGGAATCTTAAGTTAAATTTAATCGGAAGTTTTTAGAAAATAAAAACGAACAAATGTATTCACATTTTCGGTCAAAACACGCAAAAAATTGAATAGACAAATTCAATTTTTTCAAGAAAAAAAAATAAATTTTAATTTTGCCTAAATGCAGATTTTTTCGACCGTTCTGAATTTTCAGATATGGCGCTGAAATTTCACAAAATCACGAGAGGTCCGATTAAAGCACGGGTTTTCGTTATATCGATTTAATGCTGCGGACATTTTTTTGAATGACATTATGGAAATATTTCCATCTGCGGACATCATTCCGGTAACTAATATAGACTAGGAGATGGCCATATTTGGGTGAAACACCATCAACGGCTGAAACCATCACGGACAGCAATCGGGGGCTACCAAAAGGACACGAAAATGAGAAGCGAGTCGAGAGTCGATGAGTCGGATTTTTGTTTAAACTCGACGGACGTACTGACTGACTGCCGAAACACAAAAACAGACAGGAGCAAGCCAGCCAGCAGCCGGAGGAATGGAAAAGCTTCGAGAAAAATGGGGCAAAGAAAAAAGGAATGGGAATGGGGGTGGGAGGAGGAAGGAGGAGAGGAGGGAGAGGGGTTTGGAGAGCACTTGAGCAGAGGCAGGAGAGGATATATATATATATATATATATATGTGTGTGTGTGCTCCGGTGAGAGCTCACTCACACACATATTTGTGTGTTGTTTTTTGTGTGAGTGAGGAAAAGAGGCGCCGCCGCCGCCGCCGCCGCGAGAGTGTATCTTTGTTGTCGCGAATATTTCATTTTTCTTCTCGCCGTCGGCATCATCTGAGGAGTTTTTGATCAAATTCTTCGAATCAACATTAAGTACATTTGAAATGCAAAAAAAACTGCGATGAAGCTGTAGTAAAATTCACGAACGAGAATAGTTGGGCGGCTTTTTGGTTCTCTGGTAACGCAAAACCAATCGGATCCGAAAAATTACAAATCGGATCCGACAAAATTCGGCTCCGGAATCAACCCGATCCGATTGGTAATTCTACGGATAAGATTTGTAATTGCATCCGATTGGTAATTTCTTGGATCCGATTTGTAATTTGTCGGATCCGATTGGAAATTGTTCTGATCAGATTTGTTTAGATAATTCGGATCCGATTCGATTTTTGTATTATTTCAGATCCGATTGGTAATTTCTCGGATCCGATTGGTAAAATTTTCCAATTCGGATCCGATTGGTATTGAGTTACCAGAGTTGTGAATTGCTAACTTTTTATTGGGTTGATATACGGAGTTGATTTACTACGATTTATATTGTCGCATTTATTATCTTCTGGCAAATTATACCTAATCGTACAGGGAAAAAACTGAATTTCTTTAGCACATGATACGATCAAATCAAAATTGCATTCTATTAGGTCCCTTACACTTGGAAGAACCGAAATGGCCGTGGCCGACTCGCAAATGGCCGTGGCTGACCCACGCCGGTGTACTCCACCCGGAAGAGTGAATAATCGGTTGTTCGCTTTTTGCCCCGCCCATTGCCGTTTCGTTTCTTTTTATTATTTAGTTTAATTACCCAAGTTTGAGAATATGGGAAAAAATATGGTAAACGAACTGTTTTGTGGTAGATTAGAAAGCAACGTGCTAACTATTCGATAAAATACAATAATCGTATTGGGTCTCGTTTGAACGACCATTCTATGTAGTCGTACACGGTTGCAAACCATTTAATTTTTTTCAGAATTACGCCAAAAATCATTATTCAAAAAAGATTCTGACCGTAATTCTAATATAGTCGGCGTCTGGCGACTTCTGTACGCGGGTAGATTTACGCGCATCCGCTATGGTCTCGCAAGAACTACATAGTTTCTTTGTATTTTAGAGGTAATTAGTTATTTTTAATTGCAATAATATTAAGTATTCAGGGAGATGATATAATCATCAAAAAATGAAACAGTTCAAGTGAAAATTTCAAAATAAGAATTCACGTGTGGCGAGACCATTTCGAAAGGCGCACTAGTAAATCTACCCGCGTATATCAGTCGCCGGGTGTCGACTATCGTGTTTTTTATTATTATTACTATTAGAGTAGTTCTAAAATTCTTAACCTGATGCAATAAGCGACAACAACTTTTCATCACAAAAACATATGTTCATACTAGTTCTAATAGATTTCATCTGCGGACATTAACCGTCACACTTGCTCATAATTAAACTGGAATTTATTGGTGAACCGAAAAAATCTCACTACGTATATGGCGAAAATGTACAAAAGAAAATGATGGATGACAACATCAATATATTGGGAAATAATCACAGGTAGCTCTCGTTTTTGGATAATCGAATTGCGGGAGTGATTCCGGCGAGATTCTCGACCATTCGAACGGCGCGCGGCATCGTCGACGTCGTGTCGTCGTCCTCTTCGGCGACTTTCGATAATGGCCGTGATCGTGTGCGACGCGACTAAGAACGTGTCGATAATTATTCGAGTATTTCATTGAGAAAAAACAAAAACAAAAAATTGTGTTGTCGCACTACAATTTCTCATGCTCACCTCTTTGCCGGAGCTTGAATCGACGTCCTCTTCCTCGGCCACCAAACTTTCCATTTTTCTTTGGGCACTCACAACTTCTTGAACTTTGGCGTCGATTTGTTTGATGACCGTTTGCCGGTTTTCGGGCGATGTTCTGAAATCAGCGAGCCCCGTTTGAAGGACATTCGAATAGCAACTAACGAATGGTCGGCGTTGATCTGAGCACTCAGCATTTTCCCAATGCTTCCGAGCTCTTCAATGTCATCTTGAAGTCGTCGCCTTTCGACAGACATCGTGATTGCCGTCGGCTTCTGACCAGCTCGTATTCGCTCCCGAATACACTTCTCAACTTCAGCGACTCTGTCAAGCATTTGCCGGTGTGTCGCCATAAAACTCTCGACGACTCGAAGCCTCGCCTCGTTTTTTCTGATCGCTTCTTCCAATTCGGCCCAAGCCTTCTCCAGCTTCCCATTCCGCTCGTCGTGCTCATTCTCGCGCATCGTGGTCCTCTCGGTGGTTCGTGCCATCGCGACGAGCTGCTTCCCGTAGTCGTATGTGCTCTTCGCGGTGTTGTCAAGAGCGGCGCGATCTTGTCGAAGATGACTCACCGCGTTCTCGTCAACCTCGGCCAAACTATATTCAGTGTTGAGAGTTTCTTTAAGCTCGACGAGCCACTTAATCGCCTGATCGAGATCGGCATATGTGGTGAGCAGCTGGATGAGCTGCTGCTGCTTCAAGCGACGGACATTCGCGAGGTCGTTGCATCTTGAATCTTTTATTCATTCTCGAATGATTTCGAATCAAACTATCAGACCTGTTTTGTCTTTGCGAAATGTATGAAAGACTTGACGCGACTCTCGAAGCGAACTGCTCACTTGGCAACACATCCTCGAACTGATGCGCCTTCCGCATCGTCTCTCTTCCAGCCTCCATCGCATTCTCAAATGTGAGATCTGCGAACACCAATATGAATAGCCTGCGGAGGACATCATAAACTCACTCAAGCTGCTCAATTTGTCGTCGAGAATCTTCTTCTCCTTCTGAATCTCGTCGAGATCGTTGAGTTTCGACGATTCGCCGTCGTCGGCGCACAACATTTCAAGCATCGCATCGTTTTGTCTCGTCAATTCCAATAGTTTCGCTTGGAAGTTTTTGTTGGAGACGGCGAACTCGGATTGAGCATTGACGCGATGGGCGAATTGATCGCCAACGAGTCCGACTTGCTCGCGCATTTTGTGAAGCGAAATCGAGTATTGCGGACACACCGCCATCAGACGAGTCGCCATTTCGGCGAGCTGGCCAGTCTGCTCTCCGATTTCCTGAAATTCATCTACTATTTCATCTCCGGAACCTCAAATCTTTCCGCTCCAGAATCAATCCGACCCGACTGCTAATTCGACGGATTAGATTGAATTTTTTGGATCCGGTTGGTTCAGTTTTTCAGCTCATCACAATCTTACCTTTGTCTTCTCCTTCAACTGCGCATGCTGCTTCACGAGACTTTCAGCTTCATCCAAATTATCAGAGTACTGCAAATGGGAAACCCGTCGATTGTCCGCAGCTCGAATTTCACTAACCTGACATAACGAGTTCAGCCATTTCTCGCCACTTCCTTCGAGCCAATCGAGCAATCGATTCACGCCAGCCGCGTGCTCTTCGATGAGCTCTTCCTTACTTTCTTGCTCTTCTTTCTGCTTTATTCCATTTATCGAATTTTTGAGATTTTCTGCTGCATATTTATCATCGATTCGCTTCATTGTGAGCAATTTCGTGATAAATTCATCCACTTAATTGATGTATTTTTTTTTGGGTTTTCGATTCGACGTTTAAAAATGCCTACATTTCGCTTCTTTCTCGGCATCTCTCTTACTCCGATCCGATGCAATTTCTGTTAAATAATCTTCAAATTGAGTCATTTGCTGAAAATTGTCCAAAATTAGGCGAAAAAAAGAAAAAATGACTACCATTCGTCGTTTATACCAATCATCCGGATCATACGTCGAAGTTCCTCCGAATTCCTCAGGCAATTGAGAAATATCAATAAATTTCGATAATTTGTGCATCGAAATGAGAATTGTCTGAAAATTGAGACGAATAATACATAAACGCAAAAAGAGGATTGCCTCTGAAAAAAACGAACCCGTAAGGAATATCCGCTGACGATCAAATCAAAATTGATTTTCTGTTGATCAAGAAACTTTTCCGGTTGAATTATCAACACTTGTCGAACTTTTTTGTATAACGCTTGCTAAGAAAAAAAAAGAAATTCGAGGTTATGAAAGTGTTTAATCCAATAATCGCCCCCCATCGAAGCTCCCGCGAATTTAGCAAACGTCTAGAATTTCACTATAAAAATAGCTTTTAAAAATTACTGGAAAGAGAGATTTCTGTTTCAATTGGAATTAGTTTCCAACTATAAACCAGGATAAATTCAATATTTTCAAATCAAATATTTTTAGGATGATTTAAGTTGAAAATCGGCATCAGGAATACTATTTCTAATCGAAAACGAATCGAAATAATTTTGCAACAATTTTTTCAAACATTTTTTCAGTGAACCTTTAACTGAATATTATTAGCATCGCAAAAAAACGAGCGCCTTGAATAATTGTGGAACTTCTTCGAGGCTGTAATTCAAATTCGAATTTTGTAAATCGGCGCAGAGCGTTCGTTTTTTTTTTGAGAATGTAATTGATTGTTCTTTCAACACAATAATGAAAGGACAATTCAAAGAAATGACAATCACCGAATTTGGATGTATTTGAAGAGAGTGAGTGAGACAGGGGGCCAATTTTTGGATTATCCATATAATTGAATACCAACTTGACATGCTCTCAAATAAAATTTGAGTTGTTTCAATTGAATATGCCTAGTGTCGATGATGACAGTAAATGTCGTCGTGGGAGGTAGTGTATCGGATAAAAGAGCCAGTAAAGAGACGAGTTGCTCATACGAAACTTCTGCAAAACAATTTGAGAATTTGAGCAACAATGTGATCTCATTTAATATTCTATTTGAGCCAAAAACAATTCGACAAAATGACAAACGTGTGTCGAGTTGATTTTGAGACTATTCTGACAAGGGAGGTCATTTTTTGCTGTCCGTCTTAAAATTTATTTATTTTTTGCATACAGGTTCTTTAGAAAATTTCCAAGACTACTCTTTTGAGACTACTCTTTTATGCTTCAATCTACATAAGGAGGAAGAACAAATGAGAAATGAAGAGAGGAATTCATACCTTGTATGGCGGCCGTTGATATTACTAATAGAACATTTCCATCGCGATCAGTTCCACCTGAAAATCAATCAAAAAATGAATTGAATATTTCATCAATTTATTTTCAGATTCGTTCTAGTTTTGGCTGCGTATCAAACATGTGCAAAACTCGAGTTTGCAACTAGAAACATATGCAAAAAAAACTTGTTAATTTCGCGCCAAGAAGAAGCAAAATTATATTTGGTTAGAATTGTTTGAATTTTCGACGGTTGTTTGTCTTCGACAATAGTTTTTTTTTCTCGCATAAATTGACATCAAAAGTGAGTTTTTTTTATTGTTTCAAACTCTCGGGGGCCGCATTCAATAACCAACAATTCGGCATTTATTCCGCCGCTCGCCATTCATTTGCTTTTATTTGTCCAATGACTTATACATCAACACGGTTTCCGATTGAGTGCGCTTCTTCTCCCCCATAACGAGATTGCCGTGGGGCAAAAAATCGATAAACTATGCGATATATATATATAGTTTGTGAGAATGATTGATTGGAAACCCGTGGACGGTGAAGAAGGGAAAGCGGCGCATCGGAATCGAACGCCGTCCGTCGTAAAATCGAAAATGAATGCGCGCCCAAATTTCAATTGACATGCAGGTTTTCATAACCGAATACCTGTCGAATATTGATTACGATTACTCGATGTCTACGCCTGCTTCGAAGGTTCTCAAACCGCTATGAATATCCAAAATGAGTACTGTAATCGAGAGACTCCGCAAACACCAAATTGGAAATAACACACAGTTTGTTTTCGGAAAAAAGTGACTGCCAGAATCGGCCGCTACGAGACTCAAAAAAATTTATTTTTCCGAAATTTGAAAACTCTCCAAAGTTTCTTAAAAACCGCAGATTTTGGGTTTTTATTTTTATTTTCAAGCATTTTAATTTTTCAATATAGGAATATCAAGAAATTTACAAAAAAATTGTGAGAAATCCCAATTCAATTGGGCAATTGAAACAAAAAAATAATCGATCAAAGGCGCATAGCAAGAAAAATGAGTTGGGTCTTGTGACGACTGATTCTGGCAGATTTCGGAAGCAGATTATACAGTCTTTCTAATCAATTATCTCTCGAAAACAATTATCGTTGTGGAGGAGAAGATTTGATAAATTTGATCTGCGGACGTTTTTATTAAAAATAAATTTTTAACAATATTGTTCCAATTAAACAGCACAGGTAACATTAGTGTTACTTCATGTAGCTGCGGACATTTGAAGGGAATTTTTGTAAATAAAAAAATAGATTGAAAGGCAAAATAAAAGCTGGGAAATACCAGGAATATAGGCGATTCGGTCGAGTACATGCTGCCGTTGTTTGTGCCAATTCATGAAGGCCTCTGCCGAATATTAATTAATAGTCGAAATTAATAATAAGTTTGGCGCCGTGCGTGATAACCTGTCGTCGTTTTGCGGCGGGAACAACAAGAAAACGAGGAAGACGGAGAAGATGTTGGGCCGAACACACACACACACACCGACACGACAACACAATACAGGCAGACAGGGGGCAGTGCGAGGAATGGGCGGATGGGAGGACGACGAGTTGAGATGGGTAAAAACGGTCGTGTACACAAAACGGCGCGATGCTGCTGAGAAGAAGAAGAATGAGAAGACGGCGGAGAATGCGACTGTCAACTAGCATGTTACAATTAAGCCTCAATCAAATCGCTTCTCCATTATTGTGGTGGGTTTCGTTGTGTAATTCACCGGTCGCAATGTCAAATTGATTAATTGACATTGATACTCGAATATTACAGTACATCCTGTCTCTCCCTCCGAAATCGCAATTATTATCGGCTTTGAAATCATTCGATTGCGGGGGTTTTGTCTGCTGCGAACGGTATCTTTTTGAAGGGATGACATGATGGAATTCGATTGTTGAAATCCCCTATAAGAACCATGACGTGCGTTGAATTCTGAAGTCGTCAATTCGCAACCAATTTTCTAAAAAAAGAGCGTGGCGTCACTCGATATTTGATATGTTTTATGACCAAATCCCAAAAAAAAATATTTCTAAAAACCACCCACCATTCTCTCACGACTTCGTTTAAAGGCGCATATTTCCGAAAAAGGAAGATTGCCGATGGCGGGAATTTGAAATCGGTGTCATTGTCGATGACTGCTAGATTCTTACTGAAGGGCGAAATAATTTTGATCATTAAGTCGTTGCAGAATACATCTTCTGTCGTTTGTAAATTGTATCAAGAATTAGAGAATTTTTGATTGTCTGAATCAAGTCTATCATCGTATTTTTTCTTGGAATCCTTGTAGGAAAATATTTCTTTTTAAATCAAGGTCTCAGTTTCGCGTTTTTATTAAAAAAATATGTTCAAGAAAACGACAGAAAGCAGCAGAATTCTGATAAAACTGATGATTCACGTATCAATTCAATGACGGAATTCAATTTGTGCTTGACGAGTTGAAATTACAAATTCGATAGAAGAAAATTGTATTTGGAATCAAGGGGACCATTTCTTAAAATGTGAACGTTTCCCTGTCGTTTTTTTTTTGGAATTTTTGACAATAATATTTTTTTAATCATGCTCAATCAGTTCCGCAATTACACCACACGCAAATTTGCACACATTTCACTCAGCCGTTGCTAGAAAAACAGATGGAAGATGGACTACTCTTCGGCCGTGGAGGTGAACACAGCCAAGAGGAAGGCTTCCCATGAGATGGTCTCTTTGGAAGGAGATCACCACAAAAACAGCTGAAGGAGCCGTTATCATCCCGTGGTTCACCCAAGCTTGGAAAGCTGAGCTTCGCGCCCCTCAACAGGCGAAAGACGAACCGACTAAGCGACTAAGCGAGTGAATTCCAAAAAATCATCAATCCAATTGCCTAATTGAAACAAAAAATAATCGATCAAAGGCGTATAGTGAAGAAAATGAGTTGGGTCTTGTGACGACTGATTCTGGCAGAATTCGGAAACAGATTATACAGTCTTCCTAATCAATTATCTCTCGAAAACAATTATCGTTGTGGAGGAGAAGTTCTGATAAATTTGATCTGCGGACGTTTTTTATTAAAAATAAATTTTAAACAATATTTTTCCAATTAAACAGCACAGGTAACATTAGTGTTACTTCATGTAGCTGCGGACATTTGAAGGGAATTTTTGTAAATAAGATTTTGTATACAATTTAATTCTTGGGTGTTGTGACGACTGACTCGCCGCTTCTTCTCGGACTATCAATAGACCGCAATTTCTTTTTATATTTTTTTGAAATTTCAGGAATGAATATTGTCGACGTTGCGCGACTGCAAAAAAATTTTAAAAGAGGCTTTTGGCTTATCCTTATAGATGGGGCCGTAAATCGACACGTTTAATTTGCGCCAAGACCACTGCCGCTGGTTTTTTTTTTTGGCATTTTGCCAATTCTCTAAACAAATGATTTTCCAGACTCAAGCAGTTTTTATTTTAAATTAAAAAAAAAAAAAACTTTTTTTTAATAAAACCCTATTTTAAAATTCGAAACAATTCGCGAAATATTTTCCAGTTTCGAATGCACCTTTAAACATCGAATGGAATTGTTACATGAAAATTTCTTTTCTAAAAATACAATAATCCAAGAAGTTTTTTGTACATCTCTGTGAAGCTCATACTGATTTGCCAAAGCAAATCTAACATCTAAATGAAAATGCAATCTGTAACTTCATACGTTGTATAATAACCCAAAATAATTGGACCAAGATCTTTTATTTTAAATCGCCAAGAATGTTCCAAAATTGGGCATTCATGACAATTCTTTTGCATTTCGATTTTGCAACGGGTCCTTGATTTTGATGGTCGATTTTGGAGAAAAAAATCACATGCAGATTGTTACAAGATGGAAAAATAACAAGAGTTTGAAGGCGATGGAATGTGGTTGCACGGAAAAAAAACCAAAATCTCAGTGGATTGGAGAGAGTTGATGACGCTAGTCAAAAAAAAAAATGACAATTCCCAGACAAAAAAATCGGGAAACAATCACAGAAGATGTTACAAAATGCAAATGACTACGTCTCGATGTTACCGTGTGAAGAAGGGGGGGGACGATCGAAAATCGCCGTTTGGCAAGCTTCTCCCAAAAAACGCTTGTGAAAAGCCGTCTCTTCTCAAAATTTTGCAGATCCCTGCGTGCTCGACAAACGACAATTCGAAACTATTCCAAATCTTTTGAAGATATGAAATAGTTCAGACACTATTCATATTTGGTGTCATTTGGTGGGACGGGGGGGGGGGTGAATAAATGAGGGTGGGAAGGGGAACAAATGGAGATCGGTTGACAAAACATCCCGATTCGAACAAATGAGAAAAAAATAAATGGAAAAAAAAACGCAGATTTCGATTGATTAAAGTGCAAAAAAGTTCTTGTTAATTTCGGTTATTAGAAAAACCAAAAATTCGCGAAATGAATGCTGAGAAACCATTAGATTTTCCTAGATTTTCCGGCTTGAAATTATACTTTTTGTTTGCAAAAAAGGCAATTTTTGAGGTTTGAGAAACGAATGGACAATTCTTGTAGGAAAATCTCTAAAACTCTTAAACAATTTAACATTAGTAAAATAAAAAATCTAGTTAATTCTAAAGAATTTACGCAAAGAATGACCACCAATTTCTGTGAAACTCGAACATTTTTTTGAAAGAATTTGGATTGAAAAACCAAATATTTTCAAAATTATAATAATAATAATAAAAACCACCCGAAAATGAGGAGGAAAATCGTTGAAAACTCGCAAAAATTTCAAACTTGGCAACGAAAAAAAACGAAAATTGAGAATAATCACCGGAATCAACAAGAACGTTTTCAAATAAACAGGAAAAAAGTGGTCACGAGACTAGAACTCAAAAAGAAACCACAAAAAAAGAGAGAAACAAAGAAAAAAATGAGAGAGAGAGAAAAAATGCCTGCGTTTTGATAGGGGAGCATATGCTGTGTGTAACCAAATTTGCACATGAAACCATTCTCGAATGAGAGAGAACACAAGCTAACACATATTGGAAGGAATCACATGAGACATGATTAGAATAGCAAATAATCAAGAAACAATCAAATCGTTATCATCCGGGGTGGAAGGCAGGTAGATCGGATATATCGCGAGATGAACCCACTAACATATATGGTGCACGCGCGTCTTTTGGTGTACAAAATAATATATATCAAAATTTCTAAACATTCGTCTAAATAATTGGATGATGGAAGAAGCGAGCGAGATTATGATGAGGTGTGAAGGAGCCTGCCATTCGGTCTATAAACAACATCAATCTATAAACAACAAAATACGAAAAAAAAAAAAGTAATTTTGTTGGAAGAAAGTTGGGTGAATAAAGGGGGGAATGTCGTCGAGGGTACACGGTGTTTTGTCGAAACGAGTATGATCATATATAGTGTGCGGTTTTGTGTAGGTATGACGCGTATTTTCTCTCCAACTACGAAGAAGCAACAGCGGCGATGAGCTGCAGCGGACATACGCGAACACCGACCACGTCGTCGACATGTCGCGACAGCGATGCTGACGACGATGTCGACGAGGAGGCGGACGATGGACGAGCGGGCTGCGATTGTTGCTGCTGAAATTGGATATTCGATTTGGAATTCGCCAGCATTTTCTTGTCGTAGTTTACAGACGCTCAAATCTACAGCAAAATTGCCACATCGAAAGCGAAAAATTTTTTGGCAAAAAAATTTCTAATTAAAAAAATAAAGATCAAGAAGATCATCTACGTTCTTTCACGGATCAATTCAGTTCTTGAAAAAATGTCAAATTTGACGCTAAACATTAAAATAACCACTATAACATAAATCGCTTTCGACAATCTCACCAAGGCGTCTTCAAGTGTTTCAACCTTCATTCTCAATAACAATGCATATTTCACGGTACTTGTTGTATTTGAAATTGGCCACCCATCCATACAACATAAATCAAAAAGAACCAGTTCGTAGCCGGCATATATGGAGATACCGTATGCCTCTTATCAAGGTAATTTTTACCTGATTTATCCAGTTGGACGGCGGCATCGGAATAGCACGCGCTGCTGGTGAATTACAGAATTGCGAAGCGGCGAATACATTGCCGTGATGAGGACTCGTCGAATGAGCTTTCCTATTCGGGTTTGCATTCAGCGACGTGTTGTTAAATGCTCCACTGCTGGTGGTGTTGCTATGATTGGAGCGAACACGTCCGTTCTTCGCCTTTAATACTCTCATTATAAATCTTTTTCATTTAATTTTTCGACCAAAAATCTTCATTTGCACTTAATAATCTGGTTTCATCGATTCTAATCTCAGCAAAAAACTGCTTAATTATAATGGATACGAAAATTTTGCAAGAAACGAAAGGGATAAATTGGATAAAATCATGGATACTAATGGGGTCGAATGAACGACCGTGAGCGAATTTTACAAAAAAAAAAAAAGAAACGCACGAATTGTTTTCTGGTTACCTAGTAAAATTTTGAATTTGTCAAAAAAGTTCTCATGGGAATTCGGTTCAAACAAAGTTTCAAGAGTTCAGTTTTGAAAAAAGAAGTTTTCTTCAAGTTTTCATATAGCCTGCGTCGCGCGGCACAACTGAATTTTTGAATCATGTTTTATATTTCACTTTATCACTACTACTTTCGGATTTTTTTTGAAGTTAAAAAATTGTGCGAAACACAAAAATCGAATAAACGAATTTTACAATAAAATACAACTTTTCACAAAGGAAGAATTCGATATTCTTTTCCTTAATGAATAATCAAATCGTTTTTTGATATAAAAATATCAAATTTAGAATTTCAAGATTCCATACTTCCCTATTCTATTTTTATCAAATTACGCCGAAAAATATGAAGACCCTTTCCAATTACATATGCTTCAATCGCGACCAAAAAATTTTTAGCCCGACAACTTTTCATGTACTTTCAGATAAAAGGGGTGTCATAAGGCTCAAACTCCCAGGATAAAAAGTTCAATTACGCCCAATTCCAAATGGCGCGGTGTTTAGCCCGCGCCTAAGCCCTTAGAAAATGTTAAATTAGAAAAAAAAAAACGAACCTGTTGTTGGCGCGTTGGTGGCGATGTCGAGCCACTAGCTACGTTCGATGCACGACAATACATATTTTGCATTTTAGATTTCTAAAATAGAGAAAAACAAACTAAAGCAAAATACCTAAAAATTTGCTTACATTTTCGTTGAATACGCTGATCTTAGGGCAATAGTTATACACCGGGTGAACCCGAGGGGTCGAAACGACCAAAAGATCTGCAAAAACATCAAAATCAGTACCGAAAAACGAAACCTGAAATCAGGGAACAACAACGAAGAAAACGCGCGTCGAAATCCGCCGAAAAGAGCGAGCGCGTCACGAGAAGAGGCGAGACGCGACGCATGACCGCGACGCGGCCCACACACCGCAGAAATCAATCGAGGCGCAACAAAAAACTGGCCCCGCCTGTCTGCCTGCCCGTATGCTTTCCTGTCGGGCCTGTCGCCGTGTTGGCGACGTGAGAAAAAAATGGAGGCGAGGGACACAAAATAATGAAACGGGCTCTCTAAAAATGGAGATAAATGACATCATTGAACACAAGTGTGACGTAGCTTAAACAACACACATCGCTGCGAGACCACTATCATTTCAAACGTTATTTTATTCTAGGCCCACGGCACTTATAATGAAAAATGTTCACAAACAGAATCTTGAATACTGCCACCCTCCTTTAAACAATATTATGGATCTATTCTACATAGTTAATCTATAAATGAAACAAATTCGAAATGTGCGGTGATATCGTTTTCTTCGCAATAAACGCTTAATTTCTCAAAAGAGGTACTGTAGGTTATAACGCGATGTTTGGAATTATTTTAAGAAGTATATGGTCGACCGACAGTACAATTTTTGCGAGATTATCGCGAAGAAAACAAAAGCGCTGCATAATTTATCCAAAGATGAAACCAATTTCGAGAGGGTTCAGAAAAAATGGTACCGTAATAAAACGACCACTTTTAAATTTCTAAAAATCAAAATTAATGGAAAAATGATAAGATTGACGCCCAGATGTTGGATAAAAACGATTAGATGAATTTGTGAAGAAAAAAACAGAAAATGAAGCACAAATAAAGTGTAAAAGTCGAAACAAATAGTTGTGAAAATTTGAGAACGCGAAAAAAACGAAAAAAAATGTTGCTACGATCAACTGAGCAAAGCTCAATTTGCGAGCATTTTCATCAAGATTTTTTTAGTAACTCAAAATCAATCGGATCCGATTGATTTTGAGTTATCCGAGATATAAATATGAGAACCTCTAAAAACTTAGGGAAGCTATTTATTTCAATCGCGACAAGAAATGAACACCGTGCGCATATTTAGATTCGCAGGTTATCCAGATTACGGTACCCCGAATTCCCACACTTTAAAGGGAATTTCGAAAAAAAATCGCGCTCGAGATCTCTGGTAAATGAAAATCAATCGGATACGAAAATAATTCTTTTTCAATCGAAATCGAAAATAAATTTATCGTTTTCAAATTATTCCAAAATATCAATCGAATCAAAGTTGAAAATGAAAAAAAAAAAACAATCGATTTAAAAAAAATTGAAACCGAGATTTAAAATCGAATTTAAACACACTTTCTCAATCGAATTTCAATTATTTTTTAATCAAATCGAGTTAATTTATATTTCATTATTCTTCGAATCTTATAGTTTTCATTTACATGACTTTATAAACATATTTTTAAAAACCAAGCGATTTTTTTTCTGCAAAGCTTTAAATTGATAATAGGAAGCAATATCAACAATTGATGAAAAAATTTTGGGAGTTGCACTATAAATATTGACATTGAAAGATGCCTCGTGGCAAAATTAAAAGATTTGCTCAAAACACCGGCAAAACGTCAATATTTTCGAAGTTTTGATAAGAATTTCTTTACTCCTTCAGAATCCTATTTAAAACACGATGACCTTTGAACCTTTTGTTGATTTCGAATGTCAAAATTTGATTTTTGTGTAAAAACTAGTTTTTCTGTATCAATTAAATAGCAACCACTAAAATGGGTTCCGGTTCGCGAACCACTCACAAAAATGGCACTAATCGAATTATTTTAGACGATTTTGATTGATTTCTCTTCTACTAAAAAGTTCGTCAATATTGACATTTTTAATCGGAAATTTATATCAATATTTAATTTTTTTTAAGTGAAGAAGTGACGAACGATGAAAAATGAAAACAAACCGATAAGTTTTCAAGTTAAATATTAAGATAAATATATGAGAACCAATAAAAAATCAGTCACCTTTTATTATATTTCAAACAGTTTTTGAAAAGGAATTAACTTTAAAGTCATAAAAAAAAAAGAAAAACCTTTTTTTGAAATCGTCAACTTCGCGACGTTTGTTATTTCTAACATGAAATGATCAACTTTTAGTTGGTCCCAGAAAGTTTCAGTCTCTTTGAGAAATCTGCAAGGAATAACTATTATCATCTTAAAAAATAATAATTAATATTAGATTTTGGACAAAAAACTGATTCAAAATATTTAGTTTTTAAGGGTTTTTATCAATTTTTTCCAATATCTTGAGAATGACATATAATAAAGAAAATTTAGACGTCATCTATTTAAAATAGTTGGTTGAATGGCAAATGAAGGCCGTTGATCTACAGTACCACTCTGCGAAATTAAATGTTTAGAGAGGAAAAAGAGACAAAAACGACAGCGCTACATAATGAAAATTTGTCGATTTTGTTTAATTTATACATTAACTGAATACGTCCATTACGGGAGGTGACTGCTGGATGTGTACACCAGGGGAGCTAAATAAAAAGATAGGTTAAAGGCGCACACCCTACAAGTCTCGATACCTCTTCCGCATTCGGAATTAAATGCACCAATATTCAATTTTCTGAAGCACATTTTACTAGTTGTGCTATGAAAATTTCACGCAAAAAACCAGGCATATAATTTGAGTCTAATCCGGCTTCAAAATTTTTTCAGCAACACTTTTTCCTCTAGATAGTTTCAAAAGTATGGAAAGAAAGTGGCAACCATGAAAATTTCAAACTGAAAATCCATTTCAATTACAAAAACTTTATTCGAGTACACAGAGTACAACATAAACAATTATTATACAGAATAAATTTGCGGTGAAGAGGTGTGGAACGCGGCAAGTACTTTATTAGGTGCAAATAAAGCTCTTTCAATAAGAATGGTGTGAGATCCAATTTAACGGGATCGGATGCGGGGTTAGAATGTTATAAATATTAAAACAAACCATATTTGGAAAAGGGATGCGCGCGATTGATTGGAACTTCGTGACGAGACGATTTACAACAAGAATGAACGATGATTCTCATTACCATAATGCTCATAAGTGGGGTTGCTGTTGTTATTGTTGTTGTTATTAAACGAGTAAACATCCGAAACAGGTCCCCAAACCGGATGACTGTGAAGCATATCAAGTCCATGATTGTGAACATGATTTTTGATGAAATTGCAGAAGCTTCCAGAATACGCCTAAAAATCCCGAGAATCAAAATAATTAATCAGTGTTAAATAAAAATTACCGAGTAATTATCGAAATTCTCCTGATTATCATTTTCGGTAGGATCGGTTTCATATCCCGACGATGATGGTGATCCAGGACGACGCATTCTAAAATTAAGCAATTCACAAAATTTTGAGAACTCCTAAATTACCTATGCCCACAATCACCAATGGAAGTCTCGATGTTGCGAATAGCTGGTTTTCGATAAGCTAGTGTCGTTACTATATTTTTCTCGTTCCTCTGCTTGTCCTTCTTGAGCTCCAAATTGGTGACTGGGACATCAACTTTCTACAATTTGATATTTTCAATTAAGAAACATTAAAACGCAAACTTTGGATTTATATTCGAGACGCTGCACTTGGACGTTGTTCGTCATTTTTGGCTTTAGCGGCAGAATTTGTTTGCGAACCGAATTTCCGCCGAAGCTGCTCGACGACGTTGACATGTGGTAGCGCTCAAGGTGCAGAGGCTGCGGATGATAGATTTTGACGAATTGTGCGTTAACCGACATATCGACTAAAATAAAACAATTTTCGCGCTTGACAAAGATCGTCGGTCAAATATCAAGGTTGAAAAACTCAACTTTCAATAGAATATTTAGAAAAAACTCACCAAAGTTTTAAAAGACGATATTGAAGAGAACGCATATCTGCGAAATTCTGGTTAATATAGGCGAACAGACCGTGGGAAAGTCAATTTTCCCACGGCCCCGTGGGAAACTGTGCAGATTTATGTCATGGTGTGCCACACTAGGGTATTACTACAGTACACTGCAATCCACGTAGGAATGTCAAATAATATTGCAATCGCAAAAAAAACGAGCAGCCTGTGCCAATTTACGGTGAGTTTGATTCGCAGAGTTTGACCGAAAAAATATCATGGTTTTGTGATGGTAAAAGTCTGTTTCCGGAAAAAAAAGGTTTTTAAAAGAATCAGAGAGGTCTTACAAGTACGCGTTGTTAGTACGCGATGTGCGCCTTTAACATATCCTTATGCATATGCTTGTAAATCTAGCATTTTATTTTCGCGCCAAAGGACTGCCATCACTTTTTGGGCATTTAGACAATTTTAACGCGACGTCGAAAATATATTCTTAAAAACTACACTTTTTTTAAAATTTCTTTTTTCAGTTATTTTAATTTTTTTTTGAAGGAAATCGCCAAGAAAATTGTCAGTAAACTCAATTCATTCGTGAAATAAAAAATTAAATGATCTGTTAAAGGTTCATAACGCGAAAAAAAATTGGGTCCTGTAGTGACTGATTCTCTCTAGTCCACATCAGCTCTGCGACAAGCCGTGGAGACTGCAGACCCAGCCTTCGATCAGTTGTTTAAAACCACAATATTCCTTCTTGAAGTATTTTGTTCGTCGCACCGTCCACTCTGCCTCCCTCTAACACTTACACGCCGGTTGTCTCCCTGGTGCACGCAGACATGCGTGGTGTAGTGTGTTCACTATTTCCGTTGCGCGCGAGTTAGCGGGTTCGTATCCGCGTGCCTTGCTTTTCTTCCAAGTGATGAAACATAATTGCGTGAGCTGGCAGCAGTGATCGCTAAATGTCATAGTTACACTGATGGGTTTTTTGTCAGTTTATTTTAGGTTGTTTACAAGGACTTTGTTTTCTTTTAACATATGAATACGTGTATTGTTGTGATTCTTCAGTTGGAATTGGTTCATATTCATTCATCGAGTACTCACGGTTTTGAAAATTGACGACAATTTTGAACACTCTGCAGATGATTAGATTAATAATCGTATTCCCAAAGATTGTCAACGAAATTCCGTTAGCTTCACTCACTCAACAGATTCGGTCAAACTTTAAAATATCTATGCACAATGATAAACATCGTCTTGAAGCGAATTTAATTATAAAACAAAGTTCTAAATTGGGTAATTTTTTCTTTTTTTCTCGACCAATGGAAAAAAAAACATGAAATTATTGTTTATTGGGATTATTCAATGATTCTTCGACCTCGTCAATTGAATCATCTTCGCTGCTGCTTTGAGCGTTTACAGTTTCATACTGCGCATAAATTGTGCCCCATTTTCGGAGGTTGTTTGCGAAAAGAGCAAGTTTCCACAAAACCATTCCGAGAATCAAATTCGACATTAATAGCATTGTTGTCGACACACCGTTTTCTGTTCGAGCATTCAATCCTGAATTTCCAATGAAAAAAAAATCAATGTAGTGGTCTGAATTAAAAAAAAAGAATTACGGAAAATGTCAAATCCGCTAGCAGCGTTTGTATAAAAATAATACAAAAAGTTGTTATCCGGTGAATGTTTCGTTCGATTCCTTCGAATTTTTTTTCTCTGATTATAAAAATCTAAAAAAAAATGATGCAAAAATATTCAATGATTAAAGTAGATTTAAAAAAAACCAGTTCGTGCAAATATCTTTGATATCATAAAATGTAGAAACGGAATCACTTTCGGAAAAGCCTCCTTAATTTATTTTGATTGATCATTTCAAAAATGATTCTTACCAACTGCTGAATGAAATTATTTCCACAGATAATTGCCCGGCCATTGCTAATGTCTTTTACTAATAATAGGCAAAAAAATCAAATCAATAAAGAAAAGAAATGACAAACCAGTTTGGCAATTATTGATTTCTGCATACGAATAGCATCGATAATTGATATTGTCGACCCGAGTGTGTTGGTTGTTTTCGAATCGCATTGCTAAAATCGGCGATATTTCAACGGCGCAAATTGGCTTCTGTAATCATGTCGAAATGAACGAATCACAACGGAGAATGTCGTATTAGAATAGATATGTCGGGTTTGCGTTGAATAATTTTCGACAAAATATTATATTTTATTTATTTGATTTTAAATAATTTTTCGCATAAAACATTTAAGAACAACTCGATTCCGTATTTGATTATCTGTTTTCGAATTGTTAACATCGCAAAAACAAAAGGCCAATAATTATTAACTAAATATTTTTTTAACTAAATTCACTAAATATGATTATTAACTAAATATAATTATTAACTAAATAAATACTTTTAACTAAATTCATATTTTTCAACTAAATAAATCCAATTTTTAACTAAATAAACCTAGCTGACAATGGATGTCTTTTTGCTGTCCGTCTCAAAATTTAAGAAGTGTATTGTCGGCGTCAAACGACAGAAGGGAGGCGGGGTCTTAAAATTCGAGAAATCAGTGTAGATTTAAATTAATCGTTGACTGAATATTTAATGCGCGCACACTATAATGCAATGTTCGCAATGTTGTATCTGACCTATTGGATCAATATTTCGATATTTTGAGACTTTTTATGTTAGTATCTTAAAAAGTAGCTGCGTAGTGGTCAAGCGGTGTTTCAAGCGGAGCAGAATTATAAAGCGATCCCCATGAAACGGACCATTTCGCTTTTGTTTAACTGTCATGGGACCGGGACCAATGTGCACAAAAATAGTTGTGTGCCTTTAAGAACCTACAGGGTTCCCTATTTTTCTATTTTTGAATCATTTGATGCAAGACGTTGGAGCAGCAATTCAAATCTAAATCGACCTAATATGTTTCAAACCTTCTCAAATCTATGCCAGATCATGTTTTTGATGTTATTACCTCGAATAAATAAGTGCTAAAAATTTCAGCTCGATTGAACCACTCGTTTAAAAGTTATGAAGAAAATTAATTATTGTTGAAAAATGACAAATGTATCCAGGTGTCGTAGGATCCTGCGTTTTGTACGCAATGCTAAGAGACAGTTACCGTAATCCTCGAAGCGATTTACGGGGACTTTTTTTTTTAATTTCGCATATTCATTTTTTTATTTTTCGCTCAATTTTCGTATTTTCCTTCGAAATTTGTTATTTAAATTTTGCAGAAACCGAGTTTAATAATTTATTTAGCAGAATAAGCACTTTTAAACGATATTTTTTTGGTAAAAACAGCAGAGATTAAAAAGAAAACATTTTTGTCGTTAATAAAATTATTTATTCGTGTTTTGCTTTTTGTACGCGTTTCTATTATCTTGTTTTTGTATTCTTCATTTTCGAAATAATTTTTAGAGCGACAAAATCTTCACGAAAATTCCCAACTCAACTGGACAAATGGAAAAGTGCATATTCTGAAAAATAAATAATTAAACTCGGTTTCTACAGGTTTTAAATAAAAGATTTCTAAAAAAAAATTATAAAATACAGCAAAAAATTGAAAGAAAATTTAAAAAAAATCTCCGTAAATCGCTGCGAGGATTACGGTAACTGTCTCTTAGCATTGCGTACAAAACGCAGGATCCTACGACACCTGGATACATTTGTTATTTCTCAACAATAGTTGAGTTATTAGAGTTTTATTGAACTCAAAGTAAGAACAGAAAATGGCAATCAACACAAAATACGCGCCCTTATATACTGGGTTGACGTGCTTCTCGAGAAATTCGTACAATTTCTAGTAAGCGAGATAGTGTTCGAGCTGATGTCGAAAGATTTGATAATGAACAATTCGGAGATGAGTTCGGCCATTTCCCCTTCAGCCCGAGCTCCTCAGCCAGCGAACGTTTCCAATTTTTTTTACCCCTTGGTTGCCCCGATTCTCACCGAAAGGAGAGGGCGATTGACCCGTTTGCCACGGTCAAACAGAGCTGCACAGAACTTAAATTTTCTAAAAACGGAACACGGAATCCGGAACAAATGTTTTTTTGACGGAACACGGAACGACTTTTTGGTGATATAAAAAATAATTTATTAAAACCTAATCCAACCCGAATACTTTAAAATTAACAGTGCAGAATGTGAGAGTTACCGCTATCCTAACACACAAAAATCAATAAAACATTTTTTTCGAATCTTCGTTTTTACTGAAATTCGCTTTTTTTGTGGAACACGGAATCAGGAACAAATTTTTCTTCTACGGATTACGGAACAGCAAAATTTCAGGGAAAACGGAAAACGGAATTCCGTGCAGCTCTGCGGTCAAACTTCCCCAGATTCCTCTGGTGGGGGAACTTTGTGATTTCCGCGAGAAATCGTGCCTCTCAAACGTACGGTTTCCGGCGGAAATCGGATTGTTCTTGAGGTCGCGCTAGCTCTCATTTCTCAATATTCGTCACCTTATAGCTGCATTTTTTAAGTTCAAATCTGGTGTATTTCCGCAACATATAAACTCCAGTTGGAATAACGTGTTCAACAGCCACTCGTCCATGCAAACAAGCATTCAGCTAAATCCGTTTGTTACTCAGTCGACAGCTCTGGTAACTCAAAACCAATCTGATCCGAAAAAATTCGGCCCTGGAATCAACCTTATCCGATTGGTAACTCTACGAATAAGATTGGAAAATTGTCGAATCCGATTCGTTTTTTGGGTATTTTCGGATCCGATTGGTAATTTGCCGGATGAGATTGGTTATTTGTCGAATCCGATTCGAATTGAAACATTAAAACAAAACGGATGCGACAATTTTCCAATCTTATTCGTAGAATTTCCAATCGGATAAGGTTAATTCCAGAGCCGAGTTTTGTCGAATCCGATTGGTTTTGAGTTACCAGAGAGTTTTGCAAATTCTCTCAACCATTTTGATTTGATGAGATTTTCGACCAAATTCGATATCAACCATTATATTATTCTCTTTAAAAGATAAATTCCCGTCAAAATGTTCTATAATAAAATGGATTTGAAATTTGTTTTTAGAAAGAAAAAACCTCGACCAAATCCATGAACAGGGCTTATGAATAGAATAAATACTATGAAATTCATATTGACAAAAAAATATTTGTAAAAATGAACGAATTGAAGATATTTTGAAGATAAAAAACGTAATCTGAAAAAAAATAATTATATATTAATCATTTCTATTATTTTTTTGTGAATCAATTATGCATTATGAAGCTATATCAATTGTTATTTGCATTCTAGCAATATCGTTAAATATTGAATCGAAAAAATATGTACCATTTCATTTATCGACGTTAAATCAAAGGAAGGGTATTCAATTTTCAATAATTTCTAAAATATTATAGGCGTTTTTCAGCTTTTCTCAAAAACAATGAAATTTTCTTTATGAATCGCTTTTTGGTCTTCACAACTTTTACATTTTTGCCATTTTCAAACGGCTCGATGAATTTGAAAATTGACGAGTTGGCCATTGTTGAAATTAAAATTGAAAAAATTCAATTGTTTTCTAGCAAAATGCTGTCATCGAAAAAGCTCGAAGGGGCGTGGCGACCTACAGTAACCGAAATCGACGCACCGCCCGTCCTGAGTGCTCGGCATTCGATATTTCATAAATTACCCTATTTTATTTCGAATCCATCGTTGAAAAAGGCGTTTTTTGATGAAAAATTGTGAGAATCGATTTGAAATTTTCCAAAAAAAAAAGAGACCGAAAAAATATTTGCGACAGATGCGACGACGATCGTTTATTCAAACTTGGTTTCCGCATTTATCAGAATTACATCGAAGCCGGTTTGCCGTTACAAATCCAATGTGCCACGTGTCAAAATTATGCTTCTGGTCTCAGCACGTTCTTCTATGTTTTGCCAGAAAGGTAATACTAAAATATGTCGCTTATGGACCTAGTCATGCAATGAAAAAAAATTTTTTTATTCAATTTTTTTTTCATTTAAATTCCCTATGCACGCACGTCGAAAATTACAAAAAATTGACGCGATATATCGTAATTATCCGCTATTTATTTTCAAAGGCGCACGCGAAAAGCTGCGCGGGTCACGTCGCGAAGTTGGTACTGTAATTTTTTAATGGCTGTTTTTTTTTTTAATTTTTTGAGCGTATTAAATATTTTTTTTTCGGAAATATGTAAAAGTATTTTGTTTAATTAACGCTAATTGTAAAGGTTTATCAAAAGCGGCACCGAATGAATTCTGCGTCAAATCAACACGAATATCACAATTTTTCACGTACATTTTTTACACACATTTTTTTGTTCAATTTTTCACGAAATATAGACATATATTGTCGAATTTGGAGTATTTATACCAATAATTGTTTTTTTTTCACGCCGTTACTCATTTCCTCTTCAAAGTTTTCGAAAAATACGGAAAAATAACACACAGAAACGCCTTTGAAAATATGAATTACGATATATCGCGTCAATTCTTTTTTTGTAACTTTCGACGTGCGTGCATAGGGAATTCAAATGAAAAAAATTGATTTAAAAAATTTTTTCATTGCATGAATGGTCCATTAATTAGTTATTTGGATATTGTTTCCGCATAAGTATTTATTAACAGAGATTTCGCTCAAGAGTTCGGCAATTTGTTCATTGAACGACGTGTTCTCAATTCGAATCCATTCTACTGCGATTCGGCTGACTGCGAGCAAAATCCTCGGGTCACATCGCTTCTCGCATATTTCGCTACAATAACAAACGAATTACTAGGTGAGAAAGGCATTATTATTTAAACTAGCTTTCAATTGAGCACACAAAATTGTTGGCACCGAGAAATTGTCGAGATGGTCCGGCGAACAGACGTCGACCGAAATGGATCGGAAACTACAAGGAACTCCGAATGGAGAGCTATACGTAAATACTCGCGATTATTTCAATTTTGCGCGTTTTCTCATCAGATTGATGTTCCGTGGAAGGAATATTTCAATGCAATGGATGCGAAAGATCAGCATCTTTTCACATTGTTCGGCGTCCAGGGTCTTACAACGACGTGCGCTTTTGAGCTTGATGGCGAAGTTGTGGGCTCGAATGTATTTGTGAACACTGATCCCGTTGGAGCGGTTAAGAATTTGGAGAACAGTCTGAATCAGTATTTTGTGTGGTGAAATCAAACCAACCTTGTAGAAGTTCGAACGACTGACGTGTTCACTTATGCAGATTATGAGAGCTTGGTTGTTCGGAAGGATTCGCTGAAAAACGAGGAAATGAACCTGGAGGTTATTTTTCGTTTCGATAGTTACTGTAAACAGTGGTCCCGTGAATGCAGAAGAAAAATGATTTCTGCTTTTCCACGGAAAATAGATTTCAGAAATTTTCAGCCGTTCTGTTTTCAATTAAAAAATTGAGAATTTCCAAGAAGCGAGAAAGGCGTTTGAATTGCCGCCAAAACAGCAGTACTTTGCGCAACTTGTGATTTTTTTTTTCGTTTTGATCTTGTGGAAATTGATATTGAATTATTGACATTTGAGATTTAAAATGTCAGAAAATTAAAATAATTCAGAGATTCGAAAAGGACGAACCGGTGTTGGTTTCGGTTTAAGCATCGGGGTTCCACGTGGGTTCCCAAAAACATCCGCAGTTTGTTCCAAAATTTTTTTGCCCTACGAGTACGAAACTCCAATTACACATCGTCCTCAGTTTAGCGCGTTGGGCTAAACCATGATATGGGCGACTTTTGTATCGACTTATTGAATTGTTTCCCCTGTTAGTCCCAAAATGTTCCGCCGGTTATCCCAAACCAAAATGTGTACCCTGTTCGTCCCGATCGAATTGCTGAGATTATGCGTGAAAACACCACGATGCAAATATCACAGAAAAAAACCAAAAAATAAGACCTATAGTCGATGTCCGGCGACTGCTGCACGCGTGTAGATTTACGCGCATGCGCCTTGAAAAGGTCTCGCCACATGTGAATGCGTATTTTGCTGATTTCGCGTGAACGATTTATTTTTTCTAGATGAGTTTCGCATTTCTTCAAATTCCTAACGTCGTTCGATTTAAAAATTATGGAACCGAAATAAGCAGTTAGTCCGTGCGAGACCAACCTAAATCTACCCGCGTCTGAATATTTTTCGATCGGTTTTTTGCCAGAACAAGGGAAATTTTTAAAAATCTAACATCGCATTACAATTAGGCCCAAAATTAATGCCATATTGTCTGGTTCAATTTGGGTGGTTTCTTTAAAGCTGCGCTTCAGAATACTTGAAGCGAAATTGAAGCCAAATATGTGTTTGGGAATGTCGTGCAAAGTTTGCACAGGCTTTCAGCAGACTCTGAAAAGAAACTGAGCCGAGACACGATCGAATTTTAAAAATTGTTTGAACGGATGCCTAAAAAATTTCGAGCAACTCTTGCTCTTTTTGATTTTTTCATATTCTGTGATGGTTTTTTGAAGCCCATTTGCAAGAATGACAAGCAAATCAAAACGTCCGTCGTTTATTTTATCAATCTGTTCTTTCGCAGATTTTCATTTCGTGGTCCGATTATTCGTGTTGTTCCGCTTGCTGTTGTCCAGTAAGCATTTGTGGGTACGAATTCCAAACTGCGGCGACATGGTTGATTTTCCAACTTGAAAATTCAAGTCCAATACAATAATTTTTAGCGATAAGGTTTTTTCGTCGAAATCCCGAAAAGGGTATTTATCAATTCGAAAAATTGTTCAGAATAAGCCGGTTCGCCGAAATGAATGGAATTTTTGAAATATTTTGAAAATTTCAGATCAAAACCAAGTCATTCTCGCAAACTCTTGACAAAATTCTGAATCTTCCGCCTTACAAGTCGAATTATTTTAAAGCATTTTTGTCAATCTGATAATTTCAGAAGCGAAGGTGTCGCCGTTTTCTCGTCCCTACTGCAAAAAGTTGAATTTAATGATGTTTTCGACGAAATTAATGCAAGTTTTCAATTGAAATATATTTTATTATATTCAATATTTAGCTTAAATATTTTTCTTTCAAATTTTCTCATAAAAAACCAATGCAGTAAAAATAAAATACGAAAAATGATTATTTTTCTTTTTTTCTCCATTGAAACTTTCTTTTTTGTCTGTTTTGCTGAGTTGGCAGCAAAAATGATTTTTTGCAGTTTTATGTCTTTCGTTTTTATTTTTTGTGAGCGCAAAAATTAAAAATTATTTCGTTTCCACTTTAATTCAGCTGCATTGTCCGTTTTGTTTGAACAAAAAATTACAGACAAGACTCATAAATGATTTCATCGCGACAAACTCGCCGAATAATAAATACTCATTTCGTAGTGGAGTTTTCATCGAATCGGTTTCTTGTAAATCCGACGAACAAAAATTGGATTGCACGAAATGGGCAAAATGTCATGGAATTGAGCTAGTAATCAATTAGAGCTTACAAATTAATGGAAATCGCATTTTATTTTAGGATGGTATCATTGAAGAAAACGCTGATGAAGGAATCGATTCGTGTACCCAAATTCAATTCATCGATGTTCTTGTCGGATTCCAGAGTTTGCGATTCGGGTGATTTTCACATTGATTTTCATTCTCCAATATCTATATGTGTAGAGCAAGGAAAGGAGATAAACTGCGTATTCGGATGGATCCCGAAGCGCACAATCCGAACACAAAATTCGTATGGAAGGTCAATATGCGCAATCCAAAGAAATACGATCAAACAAAGCATTGTGAGATTCAAGGAATCATTCAAAGGAATAATGAGATACTTGTGATTGGATTGAAAGATTTAGACCTGTAAGCCAATTCTATTCGTATTAAGGAACATAGTTTGTTTAATTTTAGGAGGGTCGATTTGATTCTGAATGATAAAAAGAAAATTAGGATTCGATTTTACGATATCTCGTAAGATTCTTCATTTTTTTTAAATTTGGAAAGCAGAAAATTTTTAGAAAACGCTCAAAATCGAATGCAGTTCTTGTTACAGTATTGGTGTGGTCTCTCGCAATCTCAGTATTCTTTTCTGTCCTTATTTGGTTCGTGTGGTTTATGAACAGAGAAAGGAAGCGACGAGTACGAGCAGTTCAACCTCCAACATGATTTTTTTTAGTCATTTACATTCATCATGTTACACGAAATTAGATTAAAAGTCGTTATAAAAAGTTATAAATGAAAAAAACCGATTTAATTATACATTTCAAAATCTCCGCCTCTTCATATCGCTCGGAACCGGTGTCAGCACAGCTGATGGAATTTTTCGTTTTCTCGATGCCATCTGAAGTGTAATTTATTTGAAAATTGGATTTTGGCTTCCACAAAGAAATATTTTGTTGTTGAAAATCCAATCTTACCGAAACGATATCTTTTTGATTAACATCGATATAGGAAGTGATTCGCCGGATTGTCTGAGGACACCCTTCGCTTCCAATCATACTTATATCCAACCCGCCTTCAACCAGATTGGAAACCCGCATTTTTGGTTCGATTTCAAAATCCTGCAATATGAAATTGAAAATGTGATGTAAAAACAACTACAGTATACATGAGAGATGTACGAAAAAATTTCTCATTTGAAATTTCAATAATTTTTTGGAATTTTTCAAATTTTTAATACATATGAATCCATGTGTGGAAAGCTATGAACAGCGCTTCCAACTGATCTATTTCTATCAGATCATATTTTCAAAGCAAGATCTGTGGTTTAAAATATTTTCAACGTGACATTAGTTGCGTAAGTATTGAAAATGGCGAAATATTGCAAAAAAATAATCCTACCTTTCCATTTTCTTGCATTCGACTTCTTAAGCTTTCCAACTCGAATTCTGCTGTTTGTAAAGCCGATTTCAGCTCTTGAAGTAGCATAATCTAAAATTGCTCGATAAAAACATGAAAAAAAACAAATAAGTAAACCTGCGAACGGAAATCATTATATATTTTCATGATATCCTCGTGACCGAATGGATTCATTTCTAAAATTTTATTTTAATTAAAAAAAATTCTAAATTAAAAATGCATACCCATATTGCTCTTTTCCAGAACAATCTCGATATTCTTGAGCTTCTTTTGACCAATATTTGTTGGCAACTTCATTTCTTGGCTGCGAAGATGGGCGCCAGAAGATTTGAATTCGGAGAATCTCAACGCAGTTACACTAATATCGAGCTGAAATTTCAATTTGAATTTAAAAGAAGCTCAAATAAAAATAGAATTACCGGGTTGAAAACTGCATGAGAAGATGAGGAAACAGAGCCCGTTTTGATGCGGAATGCGCTCTTCTTCTTCGCCATTGCGTTTGCCGACGAATTTCCCATTGTCGACGGACTTGCTGGCTGTTCGGACATATTGATGAGTTTCTGAAGATCGTGTGCCTTTCGTTCGCGTTCTTTCTTTCGTTGCTCAATTCTTCTCATCTCGGCCATCAGCTCTTCTTCTTCTTTTAACTAATATTAACTATTTTTTTTTCATGGAATATCATTACGTACCTGTTCTTTCGTTCTATCCCATTGCTTGCATAATTGTTCTTTTCTTCTCTTTTCATGATCTGCATCATAAGCCACGGGCGTCGAATTTGGATCTTGTATCAATGCAAGTTCATATAAAATGGAGTAGAACCGATCTTTGAGATCTTCCATACTCCTTGTTACACCGAACTTCTTCATATCGTAGCGATCCAAAACAATTGGCCATCGAATATCAAACTGTCGACAAACTTCGAACAGATAATCAGTTTCTTCACGAGACCAACTTTTACATTTTAAGTATTCTTCGTATACTTCGTCTGTATATGTCGGTATGTCAATAACCTACAAAATATTGAAAATTTATTTCAAAAAGAAACTACCTTATTAAGTTTTGCGAAAGGATAAGGCTCGTTCTGATTTATTTTGTCAACCCTTTGCCAGTGGTAAAGTTGCAAACCATCAGATCTCCCCTCATTTGTAAATGGCACCCATTTATACTTTCTCACTGCTCGAAATCCCATCTTAAATTTTAAATAAATAAAAAAGAAAAAGAACAAAAAGACCTTAAACTTTGGATTTTGATATGTTTTTCTCATATCCGTCGGCATAACTGCTGATAAGTCCTTATTTGATATTAAATTATATAGCTCACGAGCCATTCCTTCAGGTCGCTTTGAACTGGACGTGCTGGGTTTTACAGTCTAAGTAATTTTACATTTCAGGTTTAAAATCGAATACAAACCTTTTTATTTAATATTTTCATTCCACTTATTAATGGGCTCTCTTTATCGGTCTTTTCCCCGCCGCGCAGTAGAGATTGGACATCTCCAATCATCTAAAAATTTTCAAATTATTTAATTAATAAATAAACCAAAAAAAGGAAAAGAAACGAAAAGAAATACCAAAAATTTGAAAAAATAAAATAAAATAGAACGCTGCTGGAAGCAAGCGCGCTCCATCTCACTTTCGCGGTGAGATACGTAGGATCTTTAGGGTACGGTAGTCGTTGGCTGAGTAGCATATTCTTCAGCATTGCCACCTTTACATCGCAGTGGAATTTGCGATTTTTTCCATTTTTTTTTACTTGAGTTTTGTGCGTTTTGCATATTTGTTAATTTAAAAATTAAAAAATATCGTGTTCTATTTTTTAGCGCTCGTCTGATCTTGCCGTTTTTCGTAGAATTCTGCAAATTTTGAATTTTGTCAAGTTATTTTATTTTCTTTTCAGCCCTCAAACTGGATATAGAGCACAGAAAGGCTAAAATCAAAAGATAGCAGTCCTTGAAAGCTCACACACACAACTCTTCTACAAATCAACCATGGTTATTTTTTAATATCGAAATAGAAACTTTAATTTTATGTTTTTCTAATTGTTTATTTTTGAATTTAGGCTGTCGCTTACAAGAATGAAAAAACTGTCGGAGACAACTCGGAGCACAGAATCCGTCTTACCTTGACTTCCCAGAATGTCAAGCCCCTCGAAAAGGGTAAGATTCTATGTTCATAAGTTTGACGGAGCGATTAAACACAATTTTAAAAGATATATTGGCTCTTTGCCAGATGTCTCAAGGTAAAAAGGTGTGCACGTCTCTGCAAAATGAATTTTTCCATAAACGCTGTTTATATTCACCCCAAGCGTATATTTCCAAGTTCGTAGAATTATTAACGAGTGTGACTGCGGAAAATTGGCGAATACCAAAAAATTTTGCCAGTACGCAAAACTAAAAATATTGCTTTATGCGCCTATGTTTAAGGATATGCATCCAATGAGATTTTTTCTTTAATTTTTTTTGCCATTTAGTCAATTTTCCGCAGTTGCGCGACGCCAACAATTCACTTATTTAGCGAATAAGCCGTTTGACGCCGAAAATACGATTTAGGGCCAAAAGTATGGATTTAAGAACTTTATTAGTATTATCATCACAAAAAAATGAGCACCTTGAACAATTAATAATCCTTTTTTTGGAGCAATAAATATGATTCCGATATTCTGTGAATCAAACTCACAGTAAATTGATCCATTTTGTGTATTTTTTTGGGATTCTCGTTTTTATATCTCGCTGCATACCGCGACTAATAATTTCGATTGATGTCGAATCATCTTCATGGCTATATCTAATTCTTTTAACTTTTCAGTTCAAAAACATATATATTAAGCATAAGAATAAGTTAAAGGTCTTTCCGTACGATTAAGCGCCATTTAATCGTACGGCAAGATTTCTCTCTCTCTCTCTCTCACTTACTGTCGGCATGTAAGCTATAATGTTGAGTAGCAGCACGTCTTTCCGCCTAGAGACACGTAACCAATATTTTTAAATTTTGTTCATTCGATTGACACCTACAATTTCTAATTTATCGTTTTCAGTTTGCGCCCAGCTCATTGAAGGAGCCAAGGGAGAAAACCTCATCGTGAAGGGTCCAATCCGTATGCCGACTAAGGTTCTTCGCATTACCACCCGCAAGACCCCATGCGGAGAGGGTTCCAAGACTTGGGATCGTTTCCAGGTTTGTTTTTTATTTAATTAAAAAAGTGATCGTTGAGAGAGAGTGTGTATTATATATTTACAATTTGATAATTTAAAAATAGCGATAAACATTGACAAAGTATGGCGAAAACGAAAAAAAAAACATTGCCAGTGGACTGTGAAAGTGTTTATTTATGAGTCTTAGTATAAAGATCAATTAAAGGCTCATGTCCCAAACCCTTCTCCTAATTTTTAAATTACATTATTTCCTTTAAACCTAATTTCAATATTTAGATGCGCATTCACAAGCGTCTCATCAACTTGCATGCGCCTGCTGACGTGCTTCGCCAGATCACGTCCATCTCTATCGAGCCAGGAGTCGATATTGAGGTGACCAAGGCCGACTAAGGCGTTGGTGCGGCGCGAACGGGTAACAGCTCCTGCCGCTCATCAGAACTAATTCAGCTTTTACCTTGTTCGTTGTTGCCCTTTTTGGTTTTGATTTGTTGTGTTGGGAATGTTTTTAACATTTCATAAACTGTTTATTCAAGTTATTAAGTTATTCCTCTATTGAGGTCCATTAAAAAATCAGTATGAAATAATATGATATTTTAAACTTTTAAACAGGGTTGAAATTTGAGTCTGAAGTTCTTTGAGGGTTCATAGTGTTCTCATTTTTTCCAAGCAGGTTCAAATCAGTTTTCTATTATGATAACGCTATTTTTGAAACCAAAAATTGAAGAAACTCAACATTATCGCGAAATTAAATAAAACAAAAATATTGGCAAGAAGGTCAAATTAAGTTTTATTTGTTGAGTCTTTTGTTATCAATTATGGTAATTGCTTATTTCAGCATGTTAAACTTTAGTAATTCAAAATCAATCGCATCCGACAATTTGATTATCCGATCCGTAGAATTTCCAATCGGATTAGGTTGTTTCCGGAGTTCAATTTTGACGGATCCGAGTCGTTTTGAGTTACTAAAGTGTATTGTACGCAAACTCAATTTCGCTCATTTTTAATATTCTTTGACATTTTTTAAATTCGTACTTATCTCTGGGACCTCGAAACCCCAAAAATTATGCGTTCAAAATTCTCAATCATGTGAAATGTAAATGTTTAAAATAGTCGTGTGATAAAATGCATTGGGCGTAAATAAGTGACATGCTCATTTATAGAAATTCGAATTTCAATTACAGAATTTTGCCTAAAATACCCATTCAGGTCTGTTTTAAATAATGAATAAAACCGTTAATTTTTCAAAATGAATTCGAAAATGACATTGCGGACTATGCATTTTATTTGACGAAGATAGTCATGTTGTTTACTACGTAATCGATATTCCCGCAAAGTTTTTTTTTTTGAAATCTAGTTTCAAAGATATTTTTATAGTTTTAAAGGTTACCGCTTCCCCAACTTAATAATGAATTTTCAAAAAGTTTTTTTGATCCAAATATTGATTGTCAATACAGCGTTTGCGAAGCTTAAATTTTGAAATTGATAGAAGACAAATTTCAACTCATTTATATTAATTGACCGATTGAAATATGTATATTCTTATATTATCAAAATGAATTTTTGGCTTATCATAAATTATGTCAAAAAATTATTTTGCCGTTGGTTTATTTCGAAAGACGTGAGATAGTTTCCTATTTTTTACTGATCTTTTATTTTTTTACCTTTAATTTTTATTTTGGCCGTTCTCGGTTAACAATTGAGTTCTATTTTTTCCTAGTTCCATTATGATTCTACTCCGCGAAAACGTTTTTTTTTCGGATTTTTAAAAATAATTTGTATTTTTTATGAATATCACTCGGTAAATATGAATAACATTTTTCACTCATTCGATACTATCAGTAATAGTTCAGTTAGAATACGTATTTGGTGAATTTAGACAGATTTATTATTTCGTATCATTCTTGACGCCATGAAAACGTGGTTCCATCTTTTTTCAACAAAAAGGGTCATTTCCGTTTTTTGGATCCAACAATTATCAATCGGATCCGACAAATATGGAAAATACCATTCGTTTTCGAAAATTTTTCAATCGAATCCGTAGAATTAATTATCAATTGGATTGGGTTGATTCCGAAGCCGAAATTTGTCGGATTCGATTGGTTTTGAGTTACCAGAGTCAGTGCCTTGACAAGCTGACCAAAATATCCACAGTGTGATTAATATGATTTATTTTTGATAAATGGGTCGGTGCACGAAGTCAAAAGCCAGAATCTACCACACTTCCAGAAAAAGGAGGAGCAGGACCTTCTTCTCCTAGTGAGATGGAGACGCAGAGATGCAAAGCGATGCTGGCCTAAGCTCTAGTGAATTGTATAGGTGTCTGCGTCCACAATTGGTCACAGATTATTGCTAAACGTTAAAAAAAACATTTTAAAAAAGCATTTTTATATTAAAGGATTGAAATATATGTATATATATATGCGTCGCTACCCGTAGTATCAGTTTTGCGAGATTAAGCATAATGCAAATTGGTCGATGTTTTTATTTGCAATCACTTTGAATCGTTGATTGTTCAAGATGACATCTCCCGGGGCAAATGTGGATGAGTCAGAAGAATGCACAGTATGTGCAAATGTAATGATTCTTCCGTTTACGATTCCGGGATGTCGCCACAAATTCTGCTATACATGCGTTAAAGGTAACATATGATTTAAAATAAAAGAATTTCCCGAATTTCGCACAATTTCAGCAGTTAAATTGTTGTCTATGGGTGGATGTCCGATGTGTCGTCACCCAATTGACAATCAAGCTGTCGAGAAACCATCAATTCTGGGTGTCGACTTGAAGATGACATTGCCTGAATCATCCTCTGGTAAGCGACAGAGCATAAGTATAACTTAGAGCACTTCAAAAATATTCAATTTAATGAAACCAAGGAAGATTTCTTTATTGTGGTGGTAATTATGACAAAAATTTAATTTTTTAATATGAAATATATATATATATATATATATAATTGGATTATAGCAATTCGATGAGAATTCTTATGGTCTGAAGTGCTTTAACAAGTTTCTGTCGAAAAAAGTTGAATTTTGATTTTCAGAAAACGGTGATCAAATATTTTGGCTCTACGCGGTAAATATCAGTGCAGCGGTTCCTGTATCAATCAAATTTACAGGCGAAAGATCGCGGTTGGTGGAGATACGATCCGCGCGTCGAGAAGTACTTGGAAGAAGCTTGCACTAAAAAATTGGATTATGTCGAGGTTTGACGAGTTTCGAAATATTTTAAAACTAGAAATATTGTCAAAGATTACAATTTGTGGATCGCCATATGTCGTGAACCTCAAGAACATGATCCAGTGCAAAAAAAATGGCAACCCTCATTTAACGAGAAGAGTCAAGTAAGTGACGAGGGTAGTTGGGAAATGCTATGGTTTCGCGATTTCGCGATGAATCCCATTAGCGAAAAAAAAAGTTTTTAATGATTTTTAAAAAAATTTGTCTCCAAAATCTTCATTGCTCCGAAAAATATGTTCGTTTATTTAATTACAAAATCGAAAAAAGTGTAGGATGGGGTTCACGCTTTCGACAGTCTCCCAGATACCGAGTATGTAATACTTATTAGGTCTTTTTACATCTCTATTCCGTGTTACAGACGTGTCACTTCGCATGAATTCGACCAACTTCGCGTCAAAGGAATCGCCGGGGTCTTGGCAAGATAATCATTCCATTCTCGAATCTGATTATTAATCAAAAGGCATTAACGAGCGCCGTTTAAAATTTGTTTAATGAATGAATGAGCTTTTTTAAAACATAAATAAAATCAAAACCAGAAAATCGAAATACCAGCGAGAGATCGTCAAAACAAACAACAACACCCACGCCGAAAAAAAAAAATGAGTAGAAATCTTAGTAGCAATGAATTGTGACTCCCTTGGAAATCGACTCAGCCAGTTTCAACATCACCATCTTCTTTAGAACTTTGAGCTTCTTCGTATACTTCTCATCGAGATCTCGTTGCTTATCAAGTGTGAATGTGGCGAGGAATGTTGACAACTCATACAGAAGTTCTTTCGGAAATTCGTGGCCGGTTCGCTGAAAAAAATAAGAAAAATATTTCGAATATCCGCGTAAAATGAAAATACCACGTCATCTTCTTTTAGAATTGTAATTAAATAATCGAAAAGATCGTAATAATATTGAGTTGGAACATCGGGCATCATAATCAATGGAATCAAATGCTGAAATATTTGAGATTAACAAACGAATCTCAGATTGCAATGGTACCTTGATGCAATCCATCACTTGTCCGCTCAGAACTACTTTCATGAATCCATGATAAGCATAGAGGAAAGTGAGAGAAGGCAGTGAAAGAACTGCTGCATCGGACAAAGCCTTGATTACATTGAGGGAAGCGAGTTCCTGTCGGGTACTCGTCGACACAATCCTGTAAAGGAAATCAGAAGTTTTTCTTCAAAATGCTTTTTGTTTTGTCGACGTCGCAGGTTATCCGAAGTCCCACTGTTTAAATTTTGATTCAAGATTTTTACCGCAGCGAAAAAGTGCGATGATGGAATTAGAAAAACGCTCACTTTTTTTGCGATGTTATTATTTTGTAGAAATTATTCATAATTTTTTGTATACAATTCAGAAGCATCAGAATTCGGAAGCAGTTTTCTTTTCAATGTTCACTAAATTTGAAGAAATATTACCTGGTCACTGTAATATCAATGGTTTTCTTCGTTCCCGACTTGAGTGCCCATCCAAGTGCCGCACTCCAATGTCCCATTTTCAAATATCTGAAGTCATTCGATTAAATCTAATGAAAAATCCAAAGATTATATAATATTTGTACAGAATTTAATCAGAATTTCACCTAAACGTCATTGTGTTCGTCACACAGCTTTTTGCGTCCAACAATCGATTTTCCTCGCAAATTTCGTAGAGCTAAACAAGGATGTTCAAGAATGCGACGATCATTATGGAATACCTTCTCGGCCATTGCGTCGTCTTCGATATACATTGATTCTATATGGGATTCGAGACGAAGAAGGCCCTCAATACCACAACTTATCAAATATCCTGCTCCGATTTCCCACAAACTGAAATGAAGTTTGGAAAAAACAATGAAAACTTTTTTTTAAATCTACTCGGAATGCGAAATCAAACTGCTAGCGTAGTTGAGCAACAAATTGCGACGAATTGGCTCGAGTTCCGGATCAAGCGTTGATTTTTGAATAAGATCTACCAAATGAACCGAAAGCCATGGATTTTGCATTATTTGCTGAAAATAATCAATATATCAACGTTCATCAAAATCAAAAAACTAAACCTGATAAAAATTGCCTTCATCTCGAGAAACTATACACCAGAATGTGTCCTGTTGTCGCAATTTCTCCATATCTCCGTCATCGTCATGGAAAATAGCAAAGCAATTCTGAAATTAAAAAAATGATAATTATCAGTCCGAATAAACGAGCACCCTTCGCAGATTTACAACATGTCTGAATCGAAGGTTATCCGAAGTACGGAACTCAAATTCTTGCCGATTAAATTGAAATTTTAATTAGCGTCTTGAAAAAATGCGATGGTCCACAAATACCCGGGTTGCTCGTTTTTTGTGATGGTAATATATATTATTTGAATACCTCGGCAAGATCGACAACTTCCGCAAATGTGGCTAATGGATTTTTGACTAAAACGTAAAACGGAAGAAGATGCCACCAGTCGGTCAATACTCGCTTGGGAAGAGCATGAAGATACTGAAATTCGAAATTTTCAACTAAAAAAAAGGTTTTATCAAATTCCAACCTTTTCCTCGCCTATAAGCAATTTTGTCAAATAAATGATGTTCTCGTTAGTTCCGTACCGCCCTCGTTTTAGATTTTCGCGTAATGCATCTTTCCAAGCGACGATTTTATCGGTCTAAATCAAAATTAAACGATTTCTTGCAAAAAAAATATTTAGACAAACCGTTGCTTCATCATTTAAATAACTGAGATCGAACATTGATAGAGATTCGACAAAAACTTGCACAGCTGAATCTCCGGTAAATAATGATAGAAGTTCAATGGTCCGTTCGAAATGGCAGCAAAGAAGTGAGATGGCAACCTAGAACAATTGATGAGATTAAAAACATTTACATGAATAATTAGCGTACCCCTTTCCAGAATTCATCCGATTGAACGGCCACTCCTGGCTCAAACAATTCTCCCGACTTTTCGACATTTTCTTTGACAAACCAGAAACTTTGTTCGGACCATGTGATCAAATCAGCGCAAATTGAGCCGTCGCCCCGGTTGAAATACAATTTCTCGTAAAGAGTCCACAACGCGAAATCGGTGAGGAATTCGCTGCTCGAATGAGTGATCGCAGCATTCATAATAGACGATCGATACGCAGTCGAAACTTGACAAGTTCTGGAAAAAAAAACGCGACATTTTGATCCAAAAATTCGCAATTTTGCTTACGTTGATGCGTCGAGAATCTTATCGTCTGTTGTTGCAGATTCACATTTGGTAAAGATTGAATACATTTCGATAATCAGAGCTCGAACCGTCGGTTGACTGTAGAGTCTTCTCTGCTTACATACTTTCTCGATTAATTTAATTTTACAACCATCTGGATCTAAAAACATTTCGAATTCCGGAATTTTCAAAACCTTCATATTACCTTTCGATTGCGGATCTTGGAAAGCAAATACTGTAGATGTGTCTCCGATTGCAATTTCATACCATCTACCTTGTTCTTCTGACATACTGAAATGAAAAAAAATACAACCAAAGTATATGATATTTAAAGTATATAATATAAGACCAGCGATGATTAAAAATATTTGCGCCATGCAATTTTCACCAGAAACTGTCAGTATAAGAAATACGATTTGCGACGAAAATCGCATTACATTTTTCCGGCAGATATCTAAGCACGGATAAGAAAGGAACATCCATGGTGTATTTCATTTTGTAACAGTGTGTATCATATTTCTTCTACATGCAGATTCTAGTTCAGTTAAAATACTCTGAAAATAGGTAAATTCGCCTGAAATCAGTGGAAAAAAGGGTAAAATTCAAAATTTTTTCACAATTTCGTCTGCGCCCACCACTCTCCTCATTCTCACTTGCTGTTAGAATTGTGTTTGCGTACAATGCGCTACAATTGACGACGAAGATTTTAATGTTTATTATTGGCCGAATATTGGATTTTCTGTAGGCAGAAGCCTTGTTGTTTCATTCAAGTACTATAAAAGAATATTAACAATTCAAATTTATTAGAAAATGAAAAAAAACGATTCCATCTCATTTATTCATTTTCAGGGCTCCGTGTAGCTCAATTATTTCCCCAATAATCTTATCAAATAATGAGCAGTTCGATCTTATTTTAATTATTTTAATTGATTTAATCTCACCTGTTCGCGAACCTGAATAATTATCTCTGCGATCTCTCCGTCGACCGTCGTACATCTCGTGGCATCATTTTATATCTTTTAATAATTTCTGTTGCAGCGATGTCGCTAACCGATCGAATTCACAATGCGACTAGTTTAATGATGGAAAATCAAGAAGAAAGTCTTGAAATGTTCAAAAATCTTTTGGTCGAGTTGCGCGATTCGCGAAGGACATTCAATGAACTCGACGATGTGAAAGCAGTCGCACGATATGTCGAGGCAATCATTCGATCGATTTCAAATAATATTAGTGTGAAAAATGAGATTTGCGATGTTATGAATCGGTCGAATGGTAGTCCGGAGCCACCAGCGGATCCCGACGTATGGTCACCTCCGACACAGTTGCCACAACCATCGAGAAATACCAAGGTTTGTAATTGTCTACTGTGAAACCTTCTATTAAAAAAAACTTTTTGAAATTTCCAATTTTAGGATTTTCTGAAATCAAAAACCTTTTTGTAGCAAGCCAACTTATGAATTCGTTTATCTAGAATTTATAAATTATACAAATAATTTGCAGAAAGCTGCTGGAGCTCCTGGAAAAGCGGCACGCACAACATCAGTGAGTAGCAATGCTGGCAATTCGAATGCTTCAGCCGCAGCTGAAAAACCCGTCGTTTCGATGCTTCCTTCGAATAAAGCCGGAGAAGTTTTCGATACCTCCATGTATGATGTTGTAAGTTTTTTGTTTTTGCGTTTTTGATTTCCATTTATTTATAACTTTGTGTTGTCGGCGTCGCACGAATGCGCAAAATTGGAAAAATGCCAAAAAAGAACAAAGACTATGGTCTTGGCGCAAAAATAAAATGTAGATTTACGCGCCTAAGTATAAGGATAGGTTAAAGGCGCACACCGCGCACCGAGACCTCTTTTTAAAGCTTAACGTCGGCAATATATCACAACAAATAATAAATTATCGTTTTCTACTTTCAATTAATATTTTTTTTTGTTTTCTAGGCCATTATTCAAGCAGTTCGTTCTACAATGACATTATGTGAAGAAAGTAACGGAATGACATTGGATGAAGTGATTGGAATGGATGATGTTAAGCAAGTGTTGCACGAGGCTATCACCCTACCCTTAATGATTCCCGACTTCTTCAAAGGATTACGTAGTCCGTGGAAGGCATTGTGTCTTGCGGGACCACCAGGAACCGGAAAAACACTCATCGCACGAGCCATCGCTTCTGTGGCGAAATCAACATTCTTCAGTGTGTCGCCAACAGATTTGACGAGTAAATGGAGAGGAGACTCGGAAAAAGTTGTGAGGCTCTTGTTTGATTTGGTGAGTTTCAACTAAATATTATATTTATTTTGAATAAAGAAAATTGTAGGCTAGGTTTTATGCGCCTTCAATTATCTTTATTGATGAGATTGACACGATTGGAGGACAAAGAGGGATGTCAGGAGAACATGAAGCAAGCAGAAGGTGCTTTTGTAATTCAAGAGTTATTTTCTATTATCAAAATTCTAGAGTGAAATCTCAATTTCTTGTTGAAATGGATGGCACGAAGAACAAATTCGATGATCGTCGGGTGTTCGTCCTCGCTGCAACCAACATTCCTTGGGAAATCGACGAGGCGCTGCGTCGGAGATTCGAAAAACGAATTTTCGTGCCGTTGCCCAACTTTGAGAATCGCTGCAAAATTATTCGGACTTCTTTAGCAGAGGTCAGCGGGGGGATTTTGAATATCTAAATGTGTTCGATCGATAGAATGATATATTCAAGATAATGATTAATTATTGATTATTTTCAGATGTCCGTGGATGAAGAGGTCGACATTGAAGAGCTTTCTCGGCGTTCCGAGGGATTTTCGGGTGCTGATGTGGTGTTGCTCTGTCGAGCCGCGGCTTACAATGTACTTAGGAGGTAATCTAATTTGCACATTTTATGGACCATTTACGCTATGAAACCAATAAAAAACGGAAAAAGTAATTCTAAAAATCTTCAATTTCGCTGTCGAAAAATTTTTTGTTGATTCTCTACTGAATCCACACCCAATTATTTATTTTTCTGCACTTTTATAGTCGACGTAAGGCTATTAATGTATGGGTACGGCTCTGGTAACTCATAACCAATAGGATCCGACAAAATTGGGCTCCAGAATCAACCTAATCCGATGGGAAGGGATTCTACGGATAAGATTATAAAATTGTCATAAGGTTGATTGCGGAACCGAATTTTGTCGGATCCGATTGGTTTTGAGTTACCAGAGGGGGTAGAATTACGCGTGCGTCTTTCGAAATGGTCTCGAAACGTGTGAACGCTTATGTTGCTGTAAACGGCTAATTTTTTCTTGATTTCTTTGAATTTCCAACGCCATTCGACTTAAAAATTGATCTTTTCCCCTCCATCCGTCAATCATTTGAAGCCAATGGTCGAATTTTAAGAGAGAGAATATTATTCCGCTTTCCTCTTCTTCAAACTGACAGACGCCGAACACGGATTATAATTGAATGATTTACAGATTCAATATCGGTTCAATCGCGAATGAATCAAAAGTGGAAGCATTGAAGACTGAGCCAATTCGTATGGTTGATTTCGACAGCGCTCTCAAATCAGTTCAGTCCAGCGTTGATCCAGAAACCGTGACAAGATGTAAAGAATGGTGCGAAGCATTCGGCTCGAAATAATTCTAAACAAATCAAGAAACTTGTAAATAGCCGTTATATTTGTACGATTAGCATTTGAGATATTATCGATTTATTTTATTATTATTACTGTAATTATCAAGGAAAAATTCTAATGCATTTCTTCATGGAAGCGCAAAGAACTAGAAAAAAACTGGGTTAACTGAGTTAATAATGAGAATGCTTCTATAACTAAAAAAAAGGTTTTTGAAAGAAGTTGTGGGGGTTTAAGAATTGCTAAGAGTTCATGGAGCAACCCGATGAAACTTCGCGACAAAGAAACAAAAAAAAAAACAAGAATAAAAAAAACAATGATATAAACATTAAAGCAATTCACAAAATGGGAAGAAGCAAAGAATATTTCAAGGCGCATTTGCCGGCCGCCTTCAACATGGAAAAATTCTAAAATTATGGCGAAAATTGTCTACTAAACTGGTGGCTCAGCGTTGCTCGACGACGGCGCCGAGCTGCCGTTTGCGTCTTTTTGCTCATCCTTCAGCAGTGGGGTGTTCTCGGCGAGATTCGACTGCGAAGTGTGCGGCGATGGACGGATCACTTTGATCATTATCGGATCATCGTCGTCTTCGGGCTGCTCGATCGGAGCGTCTTTGGTCGATTCTGGCCTGAAATCGATGGTGTTTAAAGGCGCATGATTAGTGCAGCACTTACTCGTTGTGTGGGACATCGCGAGTCAACGAATTTTTTGAGTCCGCCGAACTTATGTGCTTCCACATTCCGCTGTTGTTAACCTAGAAGAACATTCGAATTGTGAAAATATTTCGAACGAAATGAATTTACCTCTTTGGTCAAATTGATGGAATGCGATGGCTCCTGAATGGCCGCCAATGGGATCTTAATCACATTTCCAGATGTCATCGGAATGTGCAAATGAGCTTCTGTCTTAACGGCATGAATCGTCGCCTGATTCTCATTATCAATTTCGATTTCAACCGGTTCTCCTTCGCTCATTCGACGCTTCAAATCTTCCTTCTTTCTCAAATGGAAATCGGGCATTGGGTCATCCAAATATTTGAGATCCGTCTTCGTAAACGCCTTCTCCATCAGTTTTCTGATTCCAACCATGACAACAAGCTGAAAATTAATTCTATTCTATTTCTATCGGGCAATTAGGATAATTACCATAATTGGGAACAGAATCGATGTGGACTTGATTGATTTGATAACCCAAAGAAGGGCAAGACATCCAATCTGAAAACGAGTAGTTGAGGAAAAAAATTCGAATTGCCAGCTGACCTGGAAGAATGTGAAGAGGTGAATTTTTCGGATCGGCACGTGTCGGATGTAAATCGTATCCGGCTGGTATTTCATTGGCATGAACAAGAGAAGGAATCGATCGAAGAGCTGAATGCCGCCCAATGCAGAAATACCCATGTAAAGGAAGACGCCGTACAAGACAGGCATTGGTATTTTTCCGAGAACCTACAAGTAAATGGAAACAATTAATGAAAACTAGAATCAAGAATAATTTGGGGAGATTGTGCCTGCAGAAATGAGAATCAAAACTCACGTTTGTTGCCAAAACCGACAGTCCGATAATAAGGAAGGTGACAATTCCAGTAACTCTTTGCTCGCGGACGCCAACGAACTGCGCGACTTCTCCCGGAGCCTTGCAATCACTTTCGACTTTCAGCGAATTGATGTGATTGATGGACAAAACAGTGGCAGCGACGTAAATCGGCAATCCGAGGAAGCCGACCATTATGATTGTGACGGAAAGGACAAGAAGATCCAAATGGTATCCACAACCTTTCTTCAGTTTGTTCTCCTTACGATTCACAATAACTGTTGTGATCTGCTGGTCCATGAAGATTAGGATACAAGCAAGAAGAGCTGGAAAGAAGGCGAGTGGGGCGGTCCAAAACGGATTTCCATCGAATGGGTAGACAATCCAACCACGACCATCCCAGGTTGGCTGAAAATGTCCAACTGTTTACTGAACACATTGGAAGAGAACTCACTCTGAAACTGCTGGGAACATTCAATTTTGGCGTGTTAATTCCGACGATCATGTCAATTGAGGTCATAAACGCGATAGCAAGCATCACAGCGAAATCGGACAAGATCTGGCGGACTTTGGTCGGGAAATAACAAGAGTTGCGAAGCTTCTTGAGAGTGGTGGCGAGGAAGAAAGTTCCAAGTGTGAGCAGGATCGACATGAGCAGTTTGTCGTACATTGGGAAGCACGAATCACCACCAAACGTTCCTCCAATAGCGCGACAATCGGGAAGAGCAGCCTTCGAGAAATCGATGGCGGTCTCGTTGAACGGGATGTTCAGCGAATTGCGTTTGATGTAATCGACAGCGCGTTCGTGACCAACTGGCGCTGAAAATTTGAAATATCATTTGTTTCTTTTTTCTGATGAGAGAAAATCCTTACGTTTTCCGGTCGTCGGAATGCAAAAGCAGGTTCCATCAACAACATCTCTCGAATAGTTGATCACATCGAGTTGCCCCTTGATTTTGACCAACTTCATGATAGCTTCATAGATGAAAATCACAGCGATCAAAGTGGCGAACGATTCCTCAGTGAAACGGGTTATATAAGAAACCTACAAATTACGAAAAACCCTTCGATATATATCATAGCATATTTTCCTACCAAAGAACTTGCGTCGGTGATAACCATAACCAATATAATAAACGCAGTCCAGACATGAACCCAGAATCTGAAGCTTAAGTATTTGATTCCAAATCGATGGCAGAAGTCATAGACGATTGTTTCGAAAACGAGCACCGGTCCGGTCGATCCGATGATGGTGAGCGGTTGTCCGGCGAACAGGTGATACAAAACTCCGCAAAGCGATCCTCCGAACAAGTTCTCCATGGCAGCCATTCTCTGATGTGTTGCTTCTTCCAAGAGTCCTCCGAATGTCACAATCGGGGCCAAAAGACCAAAGTACATAAAGCAGATCGAGGCGAGGCATTGAATGTTGAACGCGTCGGTGAAATCCGACACATAATGAGGAGCCTTGCGTTTGATATCGAGAATCAGACCGCCGAACAGTTTGCCGGTTCGCTGAAGAGCTGGATCGTTGAGGTGCGAGTGCTCCTCTTCCAGCTCCACTTCAAGCTTCTTCTTTTCCGCTGCCGCAGCTGCTGCTGGCTCGACCAGCAACTCTTTGCCGATCTACAATAACTTCCACCAATTGCTGTCATTCTATAAAAGAATGCCACACCTGTTTGCGTTTTTCCTGCGATGGCAGCTTATTTGGCGGCTCGATTCGAATATTGGGATCCCATTCACCAGGCGGCAAAACTGTGACTTGATCCAAGAATTCGTCGATTCCATCAAGAAGATCGTCGACGTCACGGGCTCCATAGGCGACGTCGTGGAATATCTGAAATTATCTAGGTCCACAAGTTGGCGAAATTCTTATTTGGTCCGATATTAATGGATTTTTCGAAAAATTTGAAAAACAAATTTCTACCTCATCGGCCATCAAAGTGGCTATCGCTCTTCCGATTTCACGATACTGTTGTCCATGTCCAGTGGGTCCCAAAAGCAAGAAGATGAATCGAGTGGGCACTGGGACCTCGGTCAGATCTCCCAACTGATTCGCATTGCGAAGACGCACAAATACACAAATATGGCGTGTGAGGAAATCGACCTAAACTAGAAGATTGAATTTAAAAAAATGGAATCACTACGAACCTCTCCAATAAGCACATTACTCGCTTCAACACCAGGCGGCAGCTTCTTGAGAAAATGCAAATTTCCTTTCGAAGCATCATCACTGGCAATGTCCTTCGGCACAGATTCGACGTTGGGTAGCGTGAGCTGATTGGGAGCAGTTGTAGCTGTGGCAGACGACTCGATTTCCGGTTTCTCCTCGATTTTGCCCAAATTTTTGCCGTGAGAAAACGATCGACCAATATCGGATATCGAGCGAACTGTGCTCAAGAATCCGCTTTTCTCGCTTCCATTTCCATTCTTTTTCGGCTACAATTCGTTTCGTTTAAAGATTTGGATTTTTTTTTTCACGATTTTTCTATTATTTGTTCACATTTTTCTGATTTTCACATTTCGTCTATTTTCTTTCGCTGATTAATTCGAGCATTTCACACCAAACTGCACAGCACGGGGGACATCAAATCCCTAGTGTCAACTTCAAACAACCAAAATCTCTATTAAATAAACAAAAAACCCAACCAATTGGAGTTTTAATATAAACAAAACAAATGGATGCGAAATCGATTGATGAAAATCGTCATTGATCACGCCTTTGAACTGTTCCGTTTCATTATTTGAGTTTCAGACCAAATTCTCAATATGATTTAAAAACCGCATAAGCTTACAACTATGGCTTCACTAATTATAACGCGCATTTATTTTTTATTATGTATACATAAATGTTAGACTCAACTAAATGATAGTTCATGCGATGCCACTAAAACTCAAACCCATGCCCCCGGAAGTGTCAATAATATCAACGACGGTCAATTCGAATCTCACTCCTGCTTAAAAACGATTGTCGTGTTTGATCTACGCAGCTTCCGGAAGCACGAACACACCGAGCGAGCACGAAAAGCCCGAAGAGATTTGCTCGACCTGCTGCTCCAGACACTGTGAGCGATTCGAAAAGCTTGAAGCGCGCGACGTCGACGGCGTACGCCCATCGTCGAACCAATTCGACATCGACCAAAATCCCGGCTAAAAAATTTTCGACGCCCATTTCTCATTTATAAAAAAAAAACGCGTTGGTATTTCAAGGTTCGTCACTTTTTTCTATTGCTGTTAAGATTTGGCGGTGGCGGCAAAATGAAATGAATTGAGAAAATGAATACCTGCTCGTATTGATGAACGTGCTTGCGAAGTAATATTTCGCGCAATTCTTCGCGATTCTCTTCTTGAATTTCGCCAGCGGCGACCAATTTTGCGAGAATTGCATCTGAAAACAAACTCCAATTAAAGACGGATTTCATCAGATAAAACTCGAGATTCTGTGCAAAATAAATGATTTAAAAAACTCACTTATAATTGAGTTGAGATCAGTTTCGGGCACATCATTCATAAAAAGCCCATTCATAATACAGCTTCTAAGCTGGAAAAGCGAATGAAGCGAGAGTGTGGCGACATGCGGTTTCGACCATCGGTTTCCGCCTGAAAATCGCTTGAAATTGTTTTCGAAAAAATGTTTGCAAAATAATTGAACCAACCCTGTTCGACGTCCTCTTCAAATTTCACCCAACGCGCAGTTTCTCGCCATTCGTTCTGGTCGAGCTCACCCATTTCGGTGAACAATGCTGGTGTGACATCTTTCTCTTTGAGCAGGAACATCACCCGCGTTCCAGGCGCTGAAAAAAAAATCTCAATTAGTCTTTTGGAGGCAATTCAGGTTCTCAAATGAGTTTTGTCCTACATATGTGCGCATTTCTGCGATGCTTCCGCCGCTGGAATTGGTCAAACTGCTCACAACTCGAGCTCCGCCGCAATTTATGCCGTCGCATACTATTATACTAATATAACTGCCCATAAAGCGTCTATCAGCAATTAGCAGAAGGTCATTTATGTGATAGATAACGAGCGCGTAATTTGTCCGCAGCAACAAGTAATGAAAAACTCACGTTTCGTGAAGTTCATTTCTTGAATTATTGTAGGGAAATTTGGAGACGCATCGCTTAATTCCCTTCTAATTATAACCCTCGCGAAAAATGCGTCATCGTCTTTTGCTCTTATCAATAATTTACGTTTTCAGCCCTAGTGACCATTTATAGAAAGACCAATTGTTATCAGCAAGTAAGTTGTTCGAAGATCTTCAGAAAACTATTTGGTCTCAGTTTGAGTTATTCGAAATATTCACCGAATCACAGGAAAAATTCAAGAACATTTTCAAATGGCATCCATTTTGTTGGAAATCGCCCAATTCTCTGCCAAATTGCACATTTATGGAAAAATCAAGGCGATTTGTTTGCAATTTTATAGCAATGCGCCCATTTGAAATCAAAATTTTCAATATTTTAATGTTCCTTCAAACAAGTTTATGACGAAGAGCTTTTAAGTAGATTTATGGTCCCTAAAATGCGAATTTTTCAATGAAAACCCTCATGGTCCTTCAAAGTCTTGAACTCGCTCAGTTGAGTCTTCTAAATCCCTTCGTTCTCGCGCTCGCTTCCAATCCATCAATCTTCGCATCTCGGGAATTTCGCGAAAAAAAAAATTGCTGCCGCAAATTGAATTGTTTGCATATATAATGACTCAAAAAACAGTTGTCGTCGATTTTTTTGGCGGACCAAAAAATAACTCAATTCCTTGGATGGTTCACGTGTTTTCCCGGCGGCGCCGAGTCCGAATGGGTGGGCGCAGAGAGCAGAGACGTCATTCGGAACAAAGTGAGGATGATGATGATGGTTGAGAGAAAGAGAGAGAGAGAGAAAGAGACCGATAGAGAGCCGAATACATTGGGTGGAGGTCGATGAGGGCGACAGACAGCTCCTACCTACTACGCGAATGCTTTTTGTGCTTTTTTCGTATGCTCATGCTGTCGGCTGCTTGCCGGTCTCCAGAACAAGAGCGAGAAGAAGAAGAAGAAGAAGAGATGCGTCGAAAACCCAATTTTTGTGTGTGTATGTGCACTTGCCAATACGAAATCATACTGCATCACCTCGTCCAGCTCCACCTGTGCTCAAGCTCCATATCGTATATAGCTATAAGAATAATCTAGGCGGCGACGTGACAATTGGACATTTGCGGCTTTGATTTTGGTTGTTTGGACTTGTGTGCGAACGAGTCGAGAGAGCCCGCGCACAGAGCTTTAGATTTGAGTTATTTATTAGTCGCGTCGACATGGAGACTGACAAGGCGAGGCAAAATCGTAATGCGCCTCTAAAGAAGCATGGATCAATCATTCTTCGAATAGTGCCACCGTCAGTTTTGCATCTTGAACATGTCTTGAACACAAGTGAAGCTCAGCGCATAACACGTGCAAAACGCGCGATGACTACTAAGATAATTAAAAAAACAATTAACGCATTTCTCATTATTTCCTCTTCTATCGAGAATATCTCATCAAATCAGCATCAAAACATTGGTCTCTGTGAAATTTACTTGGAAAATGTCGATATAAAAGAGTGAAAACCAACATTGGTTTCCGGGTAATTATCTCCCTCGTGTTTGTATAATAATGAAAAGAATCTCCTAAAGAAATGTCTTATATTGGCACCAAAAATCACTTCCATAAAGTAGAAATTAACATTTTTCGAGTTAAATGTTATGTTACTTTAAACTTAATTTCTTAAATTGACTGTTGACATAGAAAGAAATAAAAACAAAAGCAAAACAAATGACAAGGAATAAAATACGGAAATAAAATAAGAAAAATATATGACGTTCATAAATTCGCGGAAAGCAATTGGGCAGGTGATTTTTTTGCAATAGATTCGTACGGTAAATAAGTTTTGATTCGCAAATTAAAAAATAAAAATAAAGGACTCACCGAGCGATGACAATTCGATGTGTTGGCTCTCGCGTCGCGCCTTCGACATTCGACGTCGTCTGGAATTGTCACGGTTTTGATGGAACCCCATGCTCATCCACAGTGAGCTTCTCGCGGTGCTCGGCGGCTCGGCAGATCGCGATCGCGCAATCCGACTCGGATCTTCATCATCCGACATGATCGGAGCTATCTCGTACACACTCGCTCACACCGCGGAGAGTTGACTGCTTTTGTTTGGCAAGATATGGATATACGCATAAAAGTGCTGAGCCTGCTCAATGGAAATCCTCGTCTATGCGACCCGCCCTTTTTAATCAATACAACAATGCACTAGGCGGCTACTCTCATCTCATTCGTTTAATTCGAACAAGAAGATGCCAAATGCGGCAGCGCAAAAAGTGGACGAGGGTCCGAATCAATTAACATGAATTCGACGACACCCAACCATTTTTCATTTTTGCTGTTTTCTTCTCGTTTCGCTTGCCTTTTATGGGTTTTTCGCACCAACTTGCAGTTGAATGGAGTTTTAAAGGCGCATGTGCCTTTAAAACTGCATTTCATGAAAATGGCAAGTTTTCTGAATATCATGATTCAAACTATCTCTACTTTTAGGCATTTTGTTTCATTAGAAACAAATACTCTGTGTCGCCAACAGGAACAAACAGAGAATCATCAATGCTTTGCTCACATTTTTCGAGTTGGGACCATTATTTCAAAAAAGAACGTGAGAATTTCCCAAGTGAATAGAAGAAATTCATCAAAAATCTAAAGAAATTGTGTTTTTCGATGCGACTACACGGAAATGCTCATTTTTAATGTGAAATGTGCATTTTTGGAAAGATACTCGTTTTCATATTCGTATAATTCCACATTTGGCTGAATTCGAGTGAAAAAATGGCACGAACTTTACAAATATTTAAAAATTTCAAAAGAAAATCGCGTTTTTAATGGTTGTTATGAGAAAAATTAGCGATTTCCATAATTTCCGAATGATCAAATTTAATAATAGAATAATGATATTTTCGGTGCAATTTGGTACATTAATTAAATTTTTAATGGAATCAGAGATTTTAAGATATCGAACAACTTTTTAAAAAATGTTTTCTAGAAAAAACGTTGATATTTTAATGTTTGAAAATTCTAAATACTTGGTGATTTTCGAAGAAATTCTCGTCATCTCCTCCGTATTCGCTCACTCTCTTTCTCTCCTATTTTTTCCTCTTTGAAACTCACGTCGCCGCTGCAAATTGTTGCATAACTCACGGAAAAAAAACGACGGAGTGATTCTTTTCTCAATATCAAATCTTCGTCCTTATGACGTCCAACATTGAACAATTGTTCGCCACAAAATCCGCCTAATATTTACCCAATTTTTTGCAAGTTGGATTTTTGTGAGCCGCCGAGCAACACCAATGTAAACGAGTCGAAAATGCACTAGAAAAACTCACACCGACGTCATTTCCATGATAGTTTAAACTCTTGCTGAGGTTGACTAAGCTTCTCGTCGTCGTCGCCGACTCAATTGAGCATTCAACAGCGGCCGATTTAGTCACCTGCAAGAAAATGAGGAAATTTTGTGAACAACTCGAAAATTTGCATTCTGAAATGCGAAAGCAAGCAAAAATCGAGCAAGAAAACTTTTTGGTGAGAATGAAAAGTCGTGGAGAGGATAGAGGAGCGCCGAGCCACAGCAGCAGTAGTAGTAGAAGATGGAGCATGAGGAAGAAGAAGAAGATGGAGGAGAAGAGCCGGGAGGACAAGCAAAACCACCACGCGCGGCTGGCGTATGGGAAAATGCGACTGAAGGGTCCCGCACTACTCCCCTAACATACACTATTCGCCCACCACTGTGAGTTCTTCTTCTAGTATTATAATTAATATTATTGTAAATAGTAATTTATAAATAGAAAGTAATGGAATAATCCATTTAAATATTCATTCGTTTCACCAAAACATTCGTGAGGCATTGTGTAAATAAATATCGAGGTCCTTTTGTTTATGCGCCCGCTCATTTTTGATGAGAAATTGTAAATATTATGGAACGTGAAAAAAACTAAAAAAAAAAAAATTATGTTAAAATAGAAGTTTGGACTACTGTAGCTGTAAACACCGGCACGCGCAATTACACCGCGCGACATTTAAATATTCATCGTCTTTCTGAGAAAAAATGGCGGACAAATATCGGATTTCGAACCAACTTTTTATGGCGTGGAAGAAAATTTCGAAAAAAAAGAACGACGGCAGGCGGTTATGAATGGAAAGCAGAGCGTGGAGAGGAGGAGACTTTGCGGAGCATAACGGCAGAACAATTTTTTTGGTCGTTGTTCGCGGAAGGCGCGCAGACTTCGAGCTTCAAAAAAAAACTTGAAACAATTAAATTAGGTATTCTCAAGAGGCAGCGAACGGAATATTTGCAGACGAGATGGCCACTGGCTCGCTGCAAGAACACCACGCTCTTGAACTTTTCACGCAAACAAATCAGAGCTCAAGTTTCGCGCGGCAGGCGCACTGTCAACAAAGGATAAAAATAGGAAGACCGCAGTTTGGCAAATAGCCAGAGGTGAAAATTGTGAAAATCCATGTTTACATTGATGAAAAACAGTAAATAGTTGAATTTTCTGAATTTTTTGAACAAAAAGTGCGTTGTTTTCGACAAATTTAGAGGTTTCAGAATTTTCAGAAAAATTCTAATGTAATTTCATAGCGTGCTAATTAATGGGTTTTGAACATTTATAAGCAATCATCGAAACAGTGAAATTTGTCTGCCTAAGGAATTTCGTGTTCACTCAAACTTGAATTTTTCTTAATTCAAGCTTCTCGTTTGAAAAATAGAAATGCAAAGGCGGAACAAATTGAATTTCCTGGAAATGAATCTAGAAGGGAATTCCAATTTAACCAAAATACCACAACTGCGTAAACTATCAATTTCTCACCAATAATAAACGGCGAGATGTGCGGCGTAGTTGACAAAACCGATTAAAATAATGTGAGTTTGAAGCTCCGCCTCCGATTTGCTCAAATCGAGGCCGAGCTCGCAATATAAATTGTTTGCACGGTGTGGCCTGCCTAAATATTTATTCATTGCTTGTTTCGGATTCGCTGACGACGACTAATGAGAAGTTGTTGGAATGAAAAAGAAGAACACGAGGAAGAAGATGATGATGATGATGGTGTTGAGTGGAAAACAACAATAGATTGAGCAACAATATATGTAATGCGAACGTCGCGCACAACACAAAAAAGTTTACAACTTCGACTCAAAGAGCCTGACACAACCGCTAGTTGGATTTATCTCAGAGATCACCTGCTCACGCGCTGCTCTTTGAGTTTTTTTGCTCTGCCACATGAGTTCTAGGACAGACATCACAATTTCGTTGCGCAAAAACAAATATCTCATGGGTCCCTGTCGAAAATTCGAAAATCCGCTCCCAAAACTGGAAATTTGAAGCATTTTTTTTTTCAAATAAAATTGAAAGAATTAGCAATATAGGCAAGATTGTGTGCTCCACGAGCTATAATTCTTGATGTTTTCACATTCAGAGCATACAGTTTGTTTTCATCAAGAAAACTGCGGCCGAGAAGATTCAATTATAAAAAAAAGCCAATCAATTTTGAATGTTCTTTTTTTTTTTTAATTTTTTCCTTCTAACCAATTGAATTTTTCATTTTGCTTTTATTAGAATCAAACCATCAATATTGTGTCCAAAAATTAAATAATTCTGCTTTTTTATTTGCTTTTTGTATCATCTATTGCTCACCAAAAATCATTATGATTTATTTTTTAAAAGCAGAAAATTCGGGAAAAAAAACTTCTAGTAGGACGATTGGAGGCTTAACTGATCGAAACCTCGTTTAAAGGCGCAACTATTCATTATGATTGTAATCTAAAAATTGAACAGAAACTCAACAATGGAATCTTTATGCCTATAATCGAAAAAGCTATTGAATAATTAGTATTGTGCGGAAATAATAAAACCTGAAAAGGTTGTTGCGCGGTGAATTGCCGACGAAATTCTCATGGGAGCCAACGAACAAGACAAGAAAAAGCTTTTAGGAGATTTTAATACAATTTATTTTATGCAATTTTGGCGTCTCTCAACGAATGCCTCAATTGGGAGATGAGAAGAATTCGTGTGTTTTCGCATCGGCCGCTCGAATCCGTTGTTTCGGGTCGAATCGAAGCATTTTGAGCATCAAATCAATGGCGACTGGTGGTGCCTCCGAGACAGTTTTCTAAATTCCCATACTTTATGGCCTCGCAATAATTTTTATATGGTTTTTGGCGGGTTTGAGGGATGCACCGATAATGAGATGATCGGCGTTGCTCCCAAACCTATTAATACGTCTGTCGCATGACGTATAGACAGGCAGCCAAGGTATTATTTATTGTTGAGAACGGACGAATTTAAGGGGGGGGGGCGTTGCTTATTATTCAAATTCAAATTTTGGCGCCATGGTCTTATAATCATTTTCGATTTGATCTTGTATGAAATGCATTGAAAATTACAATAGATATCAAAGGTGAATTCAAAAAATTGTTGGTTTCGCGCTAAAATCAAAAATGGCTAACGCGTTTGATCATTCAAATTCGTTTTCGACAATAAAATTCAAAAGTTCAGAAGATTGGAACTTTTCTCAGCAAAAATTGAGACCTGTAATCTATTCTCAGGTTGTTCTTTAAGCGTTATAAACTCCATAGAAGGCATTGTGTCTATTTCCGGCCAATTGGAAGTATTCGGAGTTCCCAGCACATCAATAATCGCGCAAATCTGCAACACTCACTTTACAAGCTCATAAACATCGCGCGGTCAAACCACGGCAACTTCGGAGAATCCTTGAAATATCGGATTGCAAGTGTACATTTCGGCGAATACACAAGCTGTTGACCATATGTCGATAGCTGGTGTGTATGATTTACAATCCAGCAAAACTTCGATTGGCCGATAAAATAATGTGACCGTTTGAGGGGTCATTTCCACATTTTCGACGAATTTTCGCGAAATGTTAAAGTCGCAAATTTTCAAATTTCCCGTTTCTCGATGAATTAGCAGGTTTTCGGGCTATAATAACAATTCATCAAGGCTAGTAAAAAAGTCCAGATTGCAAGAAAATACTTCGAAAGATAAAAATTTACCTTAATATCTCTATGCATAATATCCAAGCTATGTAAATACTCCAAACCGTTTAAAATCTGAAACATAAAATGCCGGATCATTTCTTGATCCAAACATTTGTCTTGGATCAAAAACTCAAGATTCTAAAAATAAAAATTAAGTCTTAAAATTTTCAGATATCAACCGAGTCGACATATTCCATTTCCAGAATGCGGTCACTTGATTTCGGTGCTTGATGGCTTCCCTAAATCTAAAGTTTTTTCGAGTCAAATTGTTCAAGCGAATCTACCATTAATTGCACAATATTTTCATGGCTGCAATTTTGAAGAATTTCCAATTCTCTTTCATATCTCTCATCGTATGGTGTTTCTTTGATGGCCACCTAAACACAACTGGTTAATTGCTATCAATTTATATAAATTTGACTTCTTGAAAGAAACAACTCAAATGCAAATTCTGGTTAACAACTAACAAGTTAAAACAAAATTTTTAAATATCATGAAATTTGAATTTAAAAAAACACTTTCAATTTTTCCAGTTTTTTCATTTTTCGCTTTTGAGACTGTTGAGAACTGCGATGAAGCCAAAACGTCGAATATCTCGAAATTCAACAATTTGCGGAACATTCCCTCAAAATTTATCTCAATATTCGTCAAAACCAAAAAAAAAAGAAGAAAAAATGAATCCGTAACTCAAACGATTTTCCTATTTCAGTGTGTTTATTGAAATCAAATCATTGCTTTATTTAGAAAGGCAACAAAAATAAAATCAAGAAATACAGAATTATGTGTGCATGATCAATAAGAAAAGACATAAGATGGAAAGTAATAGCATAGAATAAATAAAATAATAAATAAACATGTGAATGTAATCACAACAAAGGAACACAAACCAATTTCTTTTCACTATTGCAAATAAAAAAAACTACAATGGACAACTCCGTATTCAAGCATTAAACACACTTGTTACTTGTGGTTTTACTAGATTTTTCGAAATTTGTGACAAAACAACGGGGGTTAAATTAAAAGAAAAAAAAAACATTTAATGACGGCGGGATTCATTATTATGTCCACGACTATTTCCACGTTGACTTCCACGCGAATTCCGAGAATAATTCGGATCATTAGTATCTCGACTCGATTCCTGACGGTGATGATAATTCTGAAAACATTATTCATATGTATATTTAATCTGTGGACAATTTTGAACAACTCTGGTACCATAGTTCTTTATCATTCCATATTGGTCGAATGTTTTTATTATTCGTAGTATTTGAAAAAAAAAAAACAAAAAAATTACTTACATTTTCAGTGCTTTGGAAATACTGTCGGCGATCCGCATTATTGTGATATTCTTTTCGGTGTTCATATTGTGGGCGCGAACGATTGAAATTTCGATTCGAACGATTCTCCCTAAATATATAATTATAAATTTTGAAAATACAAAAAAAGGTCCAACCTTGGATAAAATGGCTGCTGGAAGTGCTGATGGCGATTTTGCTCATAATTTGGTTGCACCGAATTTTCATAAGCAAAACCGCGATTTCTCGATGTGCTCGGCGCCTGCTCAATGCTCAATCTTTGCATCACATCATCATAAGGCTCTTCGTCACAATAATTTTTCCATTGTCGTCCATTATTTCGCTGTTGCTTGCATTTCCTGTTATCCTCATACTGATGAGAAAAACGCGAGTTCGCATCGCCTCCATAGAACGTATTCTGATCACCATAATGCTAAACAACGTAATCGAATAAGGATTGTTTTGAAACAGTTCACGTTTACCTCTTGTGGCTCTCGAAAATGGGAACTTTGACCAAAATTCTGATTCCATCTACGATGATCATTGTAATCATTCTGTCGATGATTCGATGATCGCTCATTGAAATCCTTAAAATATTATTATTTCTTTTTACTTGCTGACAAACAAAATGTCATTGAAATGAATAAATTCAAAAATATTTCAGAACCTTTCGATAATCTTCACGTCTTCCATTCCTCATATTCCTCTGATAACCTCCATTATTGCGTTCTCCTTTCTGTTGATTGTGCGAATTCGGCTGACTCTCCTTCTTGTAAACCTCATCCCATTCCGCTCGTTTCTCAGGCTTTTGAAGTTGTCCAACCGATGGCATATCAGCATCATTGAACCGGGAATTCTTATGTCCATCGGTCAACACATTTCTCATCGTTTCCAGCATATCCTAAACATTACAACTCAAAGTATATGAAAGTTTTGGGAACGAACAGTAAATTCCTGTGATGGATTTATGAACATGACGGGCGTTTCGATTCCTTTCGTCAGATAATACATAAATTTGAAGCGAAGTTGAAGAAGACTACGAAGATGCTGAAAAAAAAAATTCGGAACTTTTCGGATTTTTTTCGGTTTTAAACGACCTAATGACGGGAAATTCAATTTCGCAAAATCAGGGTAGATCAAAGAAATTGGAGATTTACGCGCGAGAGAAATAGTAACTGGGCGTACGCTAAAATGCAGATACGCGCACATCTTTCTGCCTCGAGACATTTGGCACGTAGCCAATATATCTGTTATCTTTTTTGAATTTCGCTCAATCAGTCGTTTACCTCCTTATTAGTAAGGCTTCTACGCTAGGCCGAGGCCGGGGAAACACAGGCGACCGCTCGCCCGCCTCGCATGTATATTCATATATGAATTGCACGCGAATGGCAGCGATCGGGCGGACGGGCTGGCGGCAGAATGAGCGGGAAATCAAATTTTTGACTGCGTAGAATCCCAACTTGTTTCTAGTAGTCAGTTATTAATGAATTCTTTCGTTTTTTTTTTTCATTTCCCACCAAAACTCTGCAATTTTCATTACGCAATTCCTCACAAAAGTGCAATTTTGGCGGAAGAATTTCAAATTCGTTCATCGGGCCCCGCCCGAACCAGGCGGTCGTTTGCCGTCTCTCCACCGCCTTCGCTCTCTTCGCTCGACGCATCGATCGCCCCCCGGTCGGCCAAGCCTCGTCGCTGCCCCGTCAACTGCTTCTCTTTCTCTCTTTTTTCCAACATTATAGTTTATTATTCAATATTTATATATTGCTCTTGCAGGAATGACAAATTGCTATATAGTGATCGAAGTGCGCGAAACTCATGTGGTCCCTGATATTGTCAATGTTCTGGTAAGGACCATAGATCGTCATTTTGAATTTGAAAGCGAGATAATTGCCTCAATTACGTTTATATTTTCTCTAGATGGAGTTAAAACATCGCAGTTTCAAATTAAATATTCGATATTTCAGCTGCAGCATCCTTCAACACGCTTCACAGTTACCTATGATATCGAGGGATACGCAGCCGAACGCAAGAAATTAAGCCAACTCGAGAAAACGACGACAATTGAAGATCTACTCAACACTTCGAGTCCACGAAAGAAGCCAAAACATGAAGAATCGGCAGCATCCGAAATCAAGACCGAGTATCCATTATTACTACAAAATGGGATAGAAGTGGACAAAGAGATCACAAATGACTTAGAAGATGAAGCGATACGAGAAAAAGCGAATAACATTGTGAAATGGTGCACTCAAACAAGCATAGAAGAAGCAGGGGAATCTCGAAAACGGAAACGACCGAGTCGCTCATTTCAGTGCAAGGTATCATTTGACGAGAAACACAATTTTTCGACGAATTGGGAGATTGGGCGATTCACAATTCTTTAATCCATTTGCAGTTGTGCGGCACATTCATCAAAGTTCGTGGCTATGATTACTATAAGCGTAGTGCGCACGCGATTATCCACTGTGATGTGCTTCGCTTCAAATGCCCACAAGAATCCTGTGATTATCGCGCGAAACATCGGTCGGACATTTGTCGACATTTAAGAATATCGCATAATCGAAATCCAAATTCGGTCAGAATTCCAGAGTGTTTGTGAGTCGCATACTAAACGACCATCAAGATAAGGGCATGAATTTCAGAACGCCCGATGAGGACGAGATACTGCGAAAAATGGTATTAGCCTGTTTCCCTGAAATTTTGCCGTATCTCGAAGGCCGTAAAGCCCAAATGAAATCGTGGCAGTTTGAAGAAGAAAACAAAGGAAATGAAGAAGCAAGAGATGGAGAAGGATCGGGTGGTGACAAGGATGATGACGACGATGACTACGAAGACTGATTCGACGAAGCAATTTTTAATATTTTTTTGAATACTGGGACAATTAAAATGACTCGTCAACCGACAACGCAAAACGGGAATACTGAAACAATGATGGAAATTGAATAATCGAATAAAACGATGTTTTCTTCACATTTTATATTGTTGAACTCAACAAAAAAATTGTCGGCGAAACCAAACAAAACATGCAAATGTGCTTAACTATGCCAAATTTGGGTCAAAGTTTGAGAATGGAACCGAGGACCTGGCCGTGGACTAGGATTTGAAAGTGTGTCGCGAAAATTTCAAAGCTTCCACGAATGGAATTTCTCCGAACCCCTTGTTGGCTCAATTCTCTTCAAAAATAATGCACATATTAGATTCGATGATGAATAAAATTTCAAATGTCAAGAATATATGTTGAGTAGGTCATCAAATCTATTTGCAATGACCTTACAAAACAATTGGCGCGAAATTTCAACGAGACAATGTTTTTGAGGATCAAATCAGTTATTGCGCGCATTTCTCGAAACGATGCTGATTCTCGTCGACGTAAAATCGATCGAACATGTCCCGGAACTGATCAATGTTCTTGTAAGTTCCGTTCCGCCTCATTTCAAAATTTTATTCGAATGATTTCAGCTAAAAAATAACGTGAAAAATTTTCATGTATTCGAGAACGAATCAGATCTTCGCAACACACTTATTTCCAACGAAAAATTGCAAGAGGAATCCTCTGTAGTGATCATTATTTCAATTAAAATTTAATCTAAAACCAATCAAAATTGCAGTCGGAAAGCTCCAAAAGTCGTGAATCATCGAGTTCGAGAAAGCGGAGTCCCGATACGACATACAAACCAATTCTTGATTGGAAATTCAAACATATTAATCCGAAAATCAAAACCGAATTATCAAACTACGAGGCAAAAACGAAGCGTGGGGAATACGAAGATTTCGAGTTGAACGATGAGATTCGAGGAGATCTGAAGCCACGAGGGAGGCCGATTCGCAGAAGATCCTCAACTTTTGCCCAGTATCTCGAATGCGCTGTGGGTTTTCGCTAGGAGGTTGGAAAAAGCTGAGAATTGTTTGTAGATTTGCAAAAAAACTATTCGATGTTCGAATGCAAACATCAAAACTCTGTCATCTCATTCGATCGTCCATTCGGATATCATGCGATTCAAGTGTCCGGTCGACGACTGCGACATGAAGAGTCGTCAGCGTACCACAATCAACTCTCATATGCTGCGTGTGCACAACATGCCGGTTCGCGGTGTCTCGATCCCAGAGTGCATGTGAGTATTTCAAATAGACGACCGCACAAGCAATTGGATAATAATTTAAGGGGGCATAAGGAATGGGAGCAGCTTTACCAACTCACTCACAAGTGTTTCCCAACATTGGATAATAAATAATGAGGCAATTACTAATCAACTCGATGAATTGTCACTACTCGCTTACCTCTCTTTTTCCTCGCACTGCATACCAAGGTTCAATTTCATACGCATCTATACTTCCAAATTGAGGTCTGTTTAAGATATCCTCATTTGCCCCTTCATCTGAAATTAATCATTATTTAGCTCTATCATCATTATAAAACAGTTACTTACATAATGCGTACTCGGTGATAACCGACATTTTCATTTGAATGCAGCCAGTGAATAGAAGAATGCAAACTGGCGGAACAACGGAAACCGTTCGAAGCACGAGTCCTCCATCGATCATTGACATTTCTTGATAGACAACAAACTGAAGTTCCGGCTCATCATCGACGCTTCGGGCTTTTATATTAGTCTGACGTTTGATGACCGTTGATGGATGCAGTGTCGAAGGTTTTTCAGCGCTGGAAATAAGATAACACATCTATATTTTTGCTTTGGAGTAAAATATTTTTGAATGATAAGAACAAATCAATTTTTAAAACGTCTTACTGAGTTTGGATTTTCTTGAGCTTCGCCGAATTACCGATGCTAACACCGACAGACGGATAGCAGCCCGCCGAAATCGCGGCCTGTACCACCGGCCAGCACTCTGCATACTTGTTGTATTCATAATTGCTGAGTGCTGACATCACGTCACGATCATACTCGATGAGCCGAACTCTCGCGAGTTCGTTGAGAATCTGTTTGCGAACACCGACGATCATTCGCATGGTGCTCGCATTGAGATAATTAGCACGACAATAAGCGAAAGTGTCACGAGATGGCAAATTGCTGAACTCGTCGATCAACCTGAAATCCAAATATATACTGATAAGCTCTGTTTGAAAAAATTACTTGATAAACACCAAATGATCGGAAAAATCGCGTCTCGCGATTTTGTCTCGATTCTTATTCATTAATTCGCGATCTGTGGCGGTTGTAATGACATCTGAAAATGAAATGAATTCATTCAAATTTGAAAATGCTTTTCTATTTAAAATGTGTACTTACATGGATCTCTGTATGACAATAATGCGACAAGATTTACAATCGGCTTAAGACACTTCAAAGCGAGTCCGAATATGATTAAGCGGGCTATAAACGAGGAAATATGAAATCAAATCAAGGCAATCGCAAACCTAGTTGAGGATCGAGCGGCATTTGAGCCATGATTCTTCCAAGCTCGGTGAGTTCGGGATCAACATCGTCAAAATCACCTTCTGGAAGTGATTCTGACACTTTACTCTCAGAATACAAAGCTCCCAATTTCTGAATAAAATTTGACGTCAAACATAAAGAATCCATGAAAGTGCATACCTCAAGAAAGTCCATGCTTTGCTCAATCGATTCTCGTGTCGGTGGCTCGGGAGCCATTGTGAGAAAGTCGGCAACTCGCATATCCTTAGGAGCAAAGAGTTTCGCATGAAGACACACATCGTATATCGCTGCTCGTCTCATTTCAGCCACCTGCGTCTCAGCCATCTCATTGTACTGTCGTTGACTGAACAGTCTGAAACAGTATCCACTGGCAACACGTCCAGCGCGACCAGCGCGTTGTTCGGCGTTGCTTTTCGCGATCGTTGCGACTTTGAGCTGACTGAATTTTGTGTCATGTCGATAGACTTTCTCCTTGACTTTTCCGGTGTCGATCACAAAAATAACGTCTTCAATGGTAAGCGAAGCTTCAGCGATGTTCGTCGACAAAATCTAGACAAATTCATTCATTTTCAGACATTTTTCTCCATTTTTTTTTACAATCTTTCGAACGGATCTCGCAACTGGTTTGAACACCTCATTCTGATCAAAAGAATTCATCTGTGAGTGCAAGCAAATAACCTCAACCATCGAGTAGTTCGTCAAACTGCATTTCCAACTTTCCATCTAAAAACTCAATCAAAATCCATTAAATTCTTGTCAAGTTCTTACCTCTTCGCGAACTTTGTTTATATCATCAAATCCGGGCAAAAACACGAGAATCGCACCAATAATCGGACTGTCGGCACAATATCGAATTGTTTCGCTGACCAGGTGATAATCAACGCTTTCATCGTACTGACTTCCACCGCACGCAAGATATTTCTAAAATAATCGCTAATCATCAAGAATCGACTATTGAGATTGCTGCAACCTGTTCTAATGCCAATTGTGGAAAATTGACATGTCGCAGCTGATTCATAACATCCGGCACAAAGAATGGCGGCCGATTTGGCAAAGCATTCGCCAAATCGTGTCTCATTAATTGCTCGGTGTTTCTTTCACGCCTCATTTGAGCCTAGAATCATGCGATTGAATTTTTCAAAAAAAAAAAAAAGAAAAAAGAAATGCAAAAGCTCACTCCAAACGCATCAGTGCTAATTGCCGAAAATGATTGTTGAGGTGGGATCGGGTGTGAAGGTGGCACATTATTCGGCGTATAGAACGATTGCGGCGGATTCTGGAAATTCTGATGCGAAGGTCCTGGCACACCATAGGTTCCATTCCCATAGGAATTGTGCGGTGTTAGCGGCGGTGGTTGCTTCGGTTGAAAATCCGGAACAATCGGGCGTATTTCTGTACTCGGACACTGTGATCATAATTCAATGATTGCATTTCATACCGTTTCCGTCAACTATCAAATCCATGTAATCATTCATTTCATTCTCCGATATCACATCTCCATCAGACGTCTGATATATACCACTCACCCATTCGCCATTCTCATTCACCACACAATTTCGCCCATTATTATAAGTGTGCTAAATTAATAAAAAAATTAACTTCCAAATTAGAAAGAAAAACCGTTAGCAACTGATAACCGTTATTTGGTGGATGAGTGGGCGGTGGATGATTGTAATAATGCGACGGGTTCCTAAACTATTTATTATATAAAAATATTGGTTAATATATAACAGTTGGTCTCAATTCTCATTTCAACATTAGAGATCATGAGAACTCCATCAAATGATTTTATAAGAAACTAAAAATTACCATTGAAAGAAAAAAACGAGCACCGTTAATTATTGTGAGCCATCGCACTTTTAGTGGCAGTAATTCAAATGTTTTTAACCGGTGGAAATTCAAGTTCCGAACTACAGATAAGATGCCAATCGAACTTACCGTAAATGGTGCGGGGTGCTCGTTTTTTTGTGAATATTATACTTACCTTTGATCAACTCTCTGGTAATATTGAGGCGGCGACCGGTCATGCCACGCTTCCTTCAAATTCGGCATTGTCTGCAACAAAAATAAAAATTCCGAGTTGCAAACTTCGAAAATCAAAAAAAAAAATCTCACATTTGCGTGTCGCATCATTTGTTGGTGACCAGCACCGTTGTTCGTCGAACCCCACGAATCCCAAACATCCATTGAGGGGAAGTTGTCATTCTCATTCCCGCCGAATACGCCGAATATTGATTCAGGCGGCTCATAGCCGATCATCGCCAATACTTCGTCGAGGAAAAACTTGTGGACATCGAAAAGTTTTGATTCGACTGAAAATAGATATCAGAATGTTAAAGAAAAGGTTGGTAATCCTACTTCGAATTACGTCGACATATTTCTCATGGAAATATGTTTCGAATAAATTCATGTTTCCTTCAATTGTCGCTGACATCAGAATGATCTATAACATTTTAATAAGTGATCTCGATGGTCCGTTCATATCAAACCTTGAGATCCCTCCGAAACCTTAAAGCCTGCTTTAAGGCAATCAGCAGATAATCGGTATTCGTTTCTCGCTCGTGAATTTCATCCTGAATCGCATATTCCAATATTTAAGAAATGAATATCACAATTTTCTTTTAAATAATAACATTTTTTGCTTTGAAATTTGTTCTTTTTATTATTTTCAAATTTTGATATCGATATATATGCTGATAATCATTGAAGAGAATTAAACATAAGCAAACCAAAATGATGTGCGTAATTCCATTTGCCATCGGATCTGCGGAGAGTTTCCTCAAGAGTACCCCGCTTGTGCAATACGTGAGAACAGTGGAATCGGATGTTCTGTAGAGAAATGGAGAAACAATGGAAATCAATGAAAATGACAAACTTCTGCTCCAATCGAATATGGTATCCAACCGTTTCTCCGAGTTTCTCCCCGCGTTCTCGACTCACTCGTTCGGAAATCGATATCGCGGCAAGTCGTCTCGGTTGTGTGCACATGATCTTTACCGGATAATTTTTCTCACAGGCGTCTTCGAGAATAAACTGTGGAACCTGAAACACTCCATAACTGTCATTTACGTTTTTAGAAGCATACCTGTGTGGTTTTTCCGCATCCTGTCCCACCACTAACAATTATCACGCAATTCCTGTTGATCGAGTCGATAACTCTATGCTTGTATCGGAATGACGGCAATTCACGTCGTTTCACATTTATCGACTCATTCGTGCATTTTGATGGTGGCGGGATCAATGGTCGATTCTTGATTCCCGGTCGATTCTTCGAGAATGTCTCATTTGCAGTTCGTTGAGAGATAAAGTCGTGTACATTTTTTTGACTAATCGGATATTTTTCGATAAATTTGTTCACCTAGAATAAGAAAAAAATATTTTTCTAAAAATATGAATCAAAATTACCGAATCAACTGTGGATTCATTTAAAATAATTGGTGTTGTTGATGCGGTAATAGCTCTCGTGAACGACTGTGTTTTACGCGAAATCACAATACGACGATTCGGCTCATTACTGAATATTGACATTAATAAAATGTGTATTATATTTATGCACCAATCCATGAAATGTAGTTTTTTTTTTGTAAAAAATGTAAAAAAAAAATACAATTTTTTATAATGCGGTGTTGCAAAAAATGTACGATTAATGTAATGTCTACATTTTTATTACATTTCATGAATAAGTCCATTAGACCCGTGTTGTCTTAAAGAAAAAATCCGTTAAAAATTTGGCGCCACGATGACTCACGATGCATTGTATTCTTCTTGCATTGTTTTTCAATTGCCCCCATTTTCATTAACGTTAAAACTATTAAAATTACTCACAAAATCTTAGAAACCTCAAAAATGTAAAGCATTTTTATATATGCAGATAAATTTTTTTTATTAAACGGCGTTGCTAGGAAACATAATATGCAATTTTCGACAAATTTCTAAATTTTTTTTATTTACCCAACACTTTTCGTTCCTAAATTCATTCGCCTTGCTAGCTCGTGAACTCTTTTTCTTTTTTCTCGATCCATTGGGGGAAGCTCGAGTGCTAAAATATCGATTTTTTAGATTTATCAATTAATTTCGACATACTGAAATCACCGGATTGTTCGAACTGATCCAGACGCTTTTTGATTTCCGCATCGAATCGCGTATCGGCCGCCGACGGCTGGTTGGTCATTGTGGCGTTCAAGAAACTGCAAGGAATAGAATTGATTACGGGACAATCTTATCATCGCCACAAAAAATGACAGAAAATAATCGTGTTGGTCGACGAATGGCCAACAATTGAAGCTAATAATGATGTTTATTGATTTTTCGCAGGAGCGGCACAATTGTTGTGAAAAAATAAAATCAGAATTTCGTCATAAGTATAAATCAGTAAACATAAGCTTAAAAATTTATCCACTTAATTTTTAATTGATCAAAAACAATATACCCATTTCGTTCCATGCGTCGATCAGGAATAGGAAAACCATTCCTATATCGCCCTCTCGATCTATTACCCATTTCTGCAAAACAAGTATTCTTTAAAAAATAATTATGAGAAAATTTAAAGAAAAATATCGATAAACAACTCCAAATATGCTTTGAATATGTCCGAAAAATCTGCACAGCACCTGACGCACATTCACACCATAATGGAATTCGCTTCAAATTGCGTGAATAATTATAACCTCTATGTCTTTCTGCCTTTATTCCAATTTTATAAACACATTGACAATATTTTAAATGTATGCCATTCGTTAATAATTGACGGTATTTCAAATTGCTCAAGTTCAAAATATGAGAAAACCGTTTGAGCAAATACGCTCCAATTTCTTACTCTAACCATCTACACTCTCCAGTTTTCCATTGTTTGTTAATAAATATTATTTTTTATTTTTGGAAATTTCAAAATCTTTATATGGGTAAAAAAATATATGTTCAGTTCGGCAAGATTATTTCAAAGTTTCCAGCAAATGCATGAAGAGAAACAGTACACCGGTGAAGGAAGAAACCGAGGTGAAATTTGGGAGATAGTTGGTGGAATTACATTCAATTCAAAAAATACAAGCAAAGTAAACATATGAAATCTACAATGATTTACACGTGAATTTTATTAATCGAAATTTTTTGTCACATTTATAGAAACACTGGGCACATTTTGATCGTTGTCTATAGGTGTTCTAGTTATTTGTCTTATGTAGAGAGTCGCATTTTCTAGGCATTCCTTAAAAATACTTTAATTGGCAAAAACATTAAAAAAAAACAAACCATAAGCATAAATAGCTCGTTTTTATTGATACCGTTTCCATTTAATAGTGCGGAAACCTCATTTCGGTCTAGTTTTACTGATATACCGTCGATTGGTCGTTCGGTTGTCATGTCGAGTACCTCGCAAACACTAAAGTTTATATTAGAAGTTTGAAAACCTTCTCAAAGCAACTCACTCTCGGATTAATTTTAATGGCAGTAAATGTGTATGAGGTGCGAAAAACAATCTGTGAGGTTCTTTTCTTAATCTCGAAACAATCAGATTCTCATATTGGGGAACTTTGTACAAGTCGTAAAGAACTGGCATATCGAGACGAGTAACTGAAACAAAAAAAACCGTGAGATTTCAGACGGAATTCAACCTTTGTCGAAGATAACATCAAAACAATCTTCTATAATAGGATTCATCAATGCATAGAAGAAAAAGTTGATTAATGAAAGAATGTGAGAAATCTTCATTTTATACAATGTCATTGGATTTCGAACAGCATCCAAAGCGGCTCGAATAACCCTCTCCGAATAAGGAACACGTATTTTTCTCTTAAATTGACACAATATGTATAAAACTGAAAAAGTTGCTATTTTTCACATACACATTCACCAGTAGACGTCGATCTTTGCATCATAAGTTCTAAAAACGAGCCACAATGAAGTGCGAGAAAATTTCTAAAATTTAAGAATTATGAATGCACAAACAAACCAAAATGGATACTTGTGAACAGCAGTTTCTACTCCATGAACACTGATGAGCGAAATCTTATCAGCAGTTAGAGTGTTCTCACTATCGAAAATTCCACTGCATTGAATCAATTCCGCATAACATTCCTTCGAGTTATTCGCCAACGAACTGAAAACGTATAATTAGAATTTGAAGAAAATCAATTATTATTTATTCAGAAATTACCTAAATGGAACAACTCTAAGCCCAACAGCGCCGAGAACTGTGTTATATTGAGAAATATCCGCAGATGGAATAGCAATTTTGGTTTTTCCACTATGAAAAATGAAATTATAGAGAATTTGACGAGTGATTGATGTTAAATTCAAATCCTTTTGCGTTATTTTCAGTGTAAGCTGCAATTTAAAACTATCTAATGTAATAAATTTCGTCATATTCTCGAAAATGTGAAAACATGCATACCTCATCCAAATCAAGAATTTCGTCATCATTAATGTATTCAACAAATGCTGGATATTGAATTGCTATTAATTCGCGATTCGTTGAAAAACTCTGTTTCTTATTTCCCATTGTGAATTTGATCTGCAAATCAAAAATGATTTCACATATAAAGGTTTCTCATTGATTTGTACCTTCGCATCTAATTTGAACATTTTTTTGATTCTCACTCCTGATTTGATTTGTTCCGAATATAAATGAGGAATCTAAATCGTTTTTTTTTTGCCTTGATTAACGTTTTATTCGTCTCTCACATTTTCGACGCGAAAACGAGGAACAACACCTAGTCGTTCTAACGGTTTACGTGAAGGTTTAACCGTCTGAGTTGTCATCATTTCCTCGATTCTTCCAATACAAAGGTAAAACCTGAAATATTTAATGCTTGTTGCATGATGTGCGATCAAATCTCATACAATCGAAATGCTTCGCGGTTGAAGTCGTTGCAATCTGGATGAAGAATTTGATTCAAGTTAGTCATAATCGATTGGGCCACAGTGCCTATTCTTAAAATAAAATATATGCATTACAAATTAATATTGGTATTTTTTTGGTAAACTTACAATACATCATTTCTACGATATTTGGTCAATGGGTCGTCAAGTTCTGAAAGATTGTGTATAATCAAAATCTGAATTTCATGAAACAACCGTCGTCTTCAATTTCATATCGATACTCTGCTTCAAGTTCTTCGAATCTTTTCAAGACCGCTTCCCTAACTGGGGCATTGTAGGACCACTGGGAATAATCATTTTCAGGATCATTTGTGAAAAATTTCCCTTGCGATCTGAAAAAAAGTAAAGACATTTTGAAACAAAAAAACAAAAACATCAATTAAAACTTACTGTTTCGATATGTAGTTTAAAACACCTAGATCATTAAGAATCTCCATTCGCAATTCATCCGTTTCGAGAAATTGCGCCATAAAATAAGCATCCATACATGTGAGGGACCATAATTTATTGATCACATCTTCATGCCGAACACCTTTGGGCGGAAGAGGGTAATCAAACTTCTCGATTTTTTCTATCAACATTGATTCATATCGAATGAAGTGCTTCTTAACTTTCCGATCTTCCGGATTCACACAAGGAATACGATCTTGTCCACGAATCTAAAAAATATCACAAAACTAGTCTAACATCTTGTGGTTGTTAACATTTACCTTAAGTATGAGATTCTGTCCATCTGGTGATACTGAAAACCGGGCGACATCGACTCCACCGGGAACTTCCTTCAATTATTTATTCATTGAATTAATTAAAAAAAAAGAGAAACCTCCATGATGGCGACCAAATCATGTTCGACGGTTACAATTAGATTCTCATTCGGCATCATTGCAGTAAACTTCCAATGTCTCTTCCAAAATTCCAAATGCCCTCGCGCCAATACATTCGATTTAAAAAGAACCCAAATGATGCCTGAGAGATACCACGCTTGAATTTTTCAAATTTCTTTAAAATTTACCATTTGTGGTAACTTCAAACTGTACCACTTCATGTTCAGAAACATCGAATCCATTGACCAGCATATGAGCTTGATTTGCAAGAAAAACTTCGAATCTGGACCAAATTAACCCTTTCCATCCTTTTAACATCTGTATTTGTTCATCACTCGTAGTCAAATATACCTCAAACCAATAATTATATAATGGAATATGTTGCTCTAGAGGATACCATTCCCGTTGTTTTCCCACATTCAACAAAAACCAATGACATATTCAAATCTGCCCTGGCACGATAGGCATCAATTGTCTGCTCGGCAGCATCTGTGTCGCCCAGCTTTAAAATATAACTGTCCCGGACATCAAGAGGGCATTCAGGTCTAGAGCAAATCCTGCGATTTGGGTCGGTTTGAGTACATTGGCAACCTGCGATGGGAAAATTGTTGAAAACGAAAAAAAAACGCGATGTTACGTCTTGTATGTTCCTTCATGTTATAAACTATCAAATAACAATCTTTTCCACGAAGCTAAAATTTTAAAATCGGGATACCGTTTTGAAATTCAATTATTACCACCCATTTCGAATTCCACTTTGAAAGAGTAACCTTCACCAAATTAGTTTCAACATATTTTCCGTTGTTCTTCAAAGCTTCCTCGATTACCAATCCGCGAGGACCAATAACGTATAACTGAATTTCAATTATTTCCCTCTTGAAAAAATGTTATCGTTACATTTTTGTCAGTAAGTACTGCTGTGTAAGTATTTGTGGCAACGATATCACAACAAGTCTGAAATTGATTATCAATCAAATTTTTAAACGCTAATTAACCTCATTTTCTAAAGGAAGTTTAATTATTTCGGGTTCAACGATCGTCAACCTATTCGAATTCCTAAATTCATCCCCGAAAAGAATATTTTCGGCTTTTCCGCATCCATACACTTGCAACATGTTGGTAAGAAAAACCGAGTGAACATTTGAAGTTGACATTTTTTTCACCTACGAGAATTAATTTCATTTTTTTTAAGAATTGGCGATCACCTCAGGAATCGCTATCCGTTCGTATGAATTCACCGGAACATTTTGCAGCCCCAAAAGGTTTTCATTATTAGTTCCGCGACCTACCAAATACGAAAAATGTGCTGTAAAAAATCAATTCATGTATTTGTGTCTATCTTTATATCATACTTGGCAACTTTGAATATAATCGGCGATTTCCAGTGAATTTTCCAAGAAAAAAGCTTGCACTTGAAAGCGGAACGATTTTTGATTCAGCTAGATGTTGACAAAGAAAAACTATGCATTCTGCAGGGAGTAAATGTATCTGTAAATAAGTAATCGTAGATAATAATATCAGTATGCTTCACAATTTTTGATTGGCACGATATTCAATAGTTATCGGGGTTTCTATGTATAATCAATGAGAAACGACTTTTCCTCATAGCGAAACATACAAACGACAAAAATTCGACATTTACAAAGAGTTCATGAACTCTATTATTTTCTTCTATATTAATAACTCATTTCTAATTATAGAACTACTAGCGGAATCGGATCAAAATTATGTATTAAACATACGTAGTTGAGAAATTGACGTCGTGCGATATGATTACTACGAGACAAAAAGTTCAATATATTTACAACGGCATCATCGATGAGAAGAGGCAAATTGTTATCTGGAATCGATTTCAGCGATTATTCCAAAAATTGATATTTTGAATACCTATGCCAAATTTAACTATATTCTTGTATAAAGTCATTATCCTGATTACGTCAACATGACTAATGTGAACACATCCGACCGTAAATTTATTATAATCCTCTTTCTTCTCCGGTCTTGCTATATCATTCGGCATAGCCAAACTGAAAAAAATAATCAAAAATGCCTTTAAAAATCACTAAATATTAATTAAAAGTTGATGAGCACTTGTATGGTTGGAAATGAAAAAAAACATGTACTAAAATCTTTATTCTAACAATGAAAATGATATTTTTAACATCGTAAAATACAGGAAATTCGAAATTACAAAGATGGCAAAAAATAAAGAGACAAGAGGCTAGGCATCCAAAAAAGTACAGACAATAAGAATAGTAGCAAAAAAGGAAATCATGCAGTAAATCAAGGTTATCAAATTATTAAAAACAATGTTACAGGAAAAAAATATTAGATTAGTTTATAACAAATTAATGAATTATTCCCTTTCGATTGGATGGCAGTTAGCATTGTAATGCTGCATAATATTCCGAACATCCTCATCATCCAGTTCCAATGATGGCACTTGTGTTTTGTCTAATGAATTTTCAATGAACTCAAAGCCAACAAAAGGATTCCGAAATTCGTGAGGCTGATTCTGGGCTTCCTCGAGTTCATTCTGAGCATCCTCAGGCTGATTATCTTCATATTCAAATTGATCCATGACTACGCCATCTTGATCATCGACATCATCTTCAGGCTCTTGCTGCGACTCTTCCTCATTCAACTGAAATTTCTCGAAAAAAAAAAACCATTTTTTTCCGAATTTCTTATTTTCCTACCTCCCCAAGCTGTTGCAACTTCGTCCTAAACTTTTTGCAGAGATTCCTAAGCCCTTTAACGGCACATCCATTTCCGTGCAAAAATCGCACAGTCTCAGCACGATTCAAATTAACGGAAATTCCCGTCTGCATTGGGCCAATGTTGAACTTGTTCGCCACACTGCGCGGTAATTTCTCGCAAACCCTTAACAAATATCAAATCAACCATTTGAGCTTCTCCTCACACGTACTCTTTGACCATTTTCAGTGGCGGATTGTCTCGCAGCGGCATCACAAAGAAAGTGTATGGGTTTTTGGCAATTCGTGCGACAACACGATCCTTGAAAGCCGTCAATGTGTACAAATCAAAGAGCACTGGATATTGGATGGAAGGCACTAAATTAACAAATATATTAGCAAAAATCAAACTGGCTTTTGATTTCTCACGTTTGTCGAAAAGAACATCCAGACTGTCTTCAATGAGATCATCCATCATGAAATAATCGCACAAGAATAGTATTCTCAAAATATCAGCAATATCATAATCATACAAGATTATAGGGTCGCGGAGGGCTTCCAATGCATTACGAACAATTGATTCAGACTGGTCCGGTTTCACACAAATCTGGATATTAATTAGTAAGAAAATTAAACGGTTTCTCGAATGTTATTGAAAAAATCATACCGGCCCAGGGGTATTCTCAAAACGCGTTTTTGCCAACAGCATATCAGAATGAACAAGAAGAACATTTCTAAAAAAAAAATGCGATTCGGTTCGTTTTAAATTTGCAAAAATTACTTGTGAACAGAAATTTGGCCTCCGTCAGATGCCACAATGATCACTTTATCTTCTTGCGGAGTGTTTTCTGGATGGTAAACATGAGGGGCCACTTTTTCGGTTTTCACCACCTCATATTTCACACAGGTTTTGCCTTCTCTACAAGTTTAAAAGTATTACATTAAATGGTAATAAAGCATTAAAAAAACATACCGGAATTTTTTCAAACAGAGTCCAACAGGTGCCAAGAATTCATTCTCAGTATTCGCATTTGGACACTTCAGGCAGTATTCTCCGCGATGGAAGAAATAGTTATACAAAATTATTTTAATTCTTTCAATGTACAATGGATTATTCAACGTAAGTGTCTTAGCCACCTAAAATAAATCAAAATAAGTAACAGACAAACATTGTTGTTTTTAACGTTCAACAGATCTAGTTCGTTGTCGTCGTTGAAATAGCTGACAAAATTCGGATGTGACATCGAGAACAATTCGAAATTGATCAAATGCTCGACTCGAACATTATCGGTAGTGTAGACAACAATCTTATGAGTGAATTCTATACATCCTGGCGTCATAATTCCACTAGCCAATTTTCTCGCACAAATTCCTTCGATCTGGAAACGTTCAATACTCCTCAGGCAAACATATGTATATAGTCGGCGTCCGGAGACTGCTGTACGCGGGTAGATTTACGGGAGTGCGTATTTTTCTTGGTCTCGCATGGACTAACTTGTTTTCTTTTTCGCATTTTATGGGTCGTTTCGATAATTTTTAAATCGAACGACGTTAGAGATTCCAAAAAATTCCAAACTCATCAAGAAACAATAAATCGTTCACGTGAAAACAGCAAAATAAGCGTTCACACGTAGCGAGACCATTTCAAGGCGCATGCATGTAAATCTAAAATTTCACAGAGTCACGGAATATTATTAAGAGTTTTTGTAATATTTTCAATCGTCTAACCGGGGTCCGTATGCACAATGCGATTAGCACCGGATACCGTATGTTTAAGAGATAGCATTTCCCGCGGAAATCGCGTTGTGCGTACTGCCACTGAATACTTTCGCTCACATTTTCAGTGCGGAAACGGGGTTTCACAATTGCTTTATATTTATCCACACAGCATTCTTTGATTCCTAATTGCATCAACCAACTTGAGAATTCCAATCTTGAAAGATTGGCATAATGACTGCAAACAGAAAATGTGTATTTTTTTTAAACATTTTTTTTATTGCATGAATATGTCCATTTACGAAAATTGTCGTTATTTTGAATTTAAATTTATCAAGGTGTCGTGGGATCTTGCGTTTTTGTACGCAATACACCGAACGTACTCGTGCATCGATTTACGGTGATTTTTAATTTCCGTATTTTCCTGAGAAAGCGTTTGTTAAAGTTTGTTTTTTTTTTCTTAATTTCCTTTAGAATTTCATAATTGTAAATCTGATTTAAGGTGGGAAGGGCTAACCTCGATCCTCGTGATTGCTTTTCTCGACAAGTAACTACCGCGAATTGTATTTTCGTTCTTTTTTTTTATTTTTTATCTCTTTTCTAGTCGCTACAAAAACGCAATATTCCACGAAACCTTGTTGCATTTGTCATTTTAAAATGATACCCTCGCAAATCAGTACAATGAATCGGATGACGAAACTTCTGCTTTAATGTCATAAACTGCGAAGCGGTTATGAACACCGAATTCGATACAGTTTCCCTGAAATTAGTAAATTATGAAGGTAATGCTAAATAGGCCAACATGACGATTTGCCACAGCTCCTCCTCTGTTTCACAATTCATGACTGAAAATAAATATTTAATACAATGTCGATAGTAAACTATACCTTGCTCTATATCTCCATTTAATTGCACTAAATGCAATACAGCTAAAAGATAAATGTTTTCGACCATATCTACTCTTCTAATTTTATCGACATCTGCCCGCACAATTTGAAGGGATCGTAGAATATCGTTATGAAGTTTCTCTGGAAAAATGAGCTACACATCAAATTCCCAATGTCAGAAATAAACTAATATTACCTGCAGCTGGCATTGTGACATATTTAGCAATAACATTCTCAATTTTGCGAATTCGATCAAGCTGATCCACAAGCTCGTCGATTCCAGGATTGTCATCTTTTCCTCTCAGCATATCTGTGTCCAATCGGAAGTAGTCAGCGTTGTACATTCCAGCAGATCGTTTTCGTCCCGACACATTCATTATGAAATTCTTGCCGTCCGGTGAAATGGAAAAATCTTTCACATCAACTGCACCGGGCACCTCCTTAATGGGGAATATTCAACCATGCAAAATACAAAGAAAAACCTCTAAGTTTACATATACTTCGATATTATCAATATTATATGGTCCGTTCCCGCAATTTTTTTCCTTGAAAATTCCCAATCTTCCACGCGTCAAAACGTGGGAATTGAACAAAACATACAACTCGCCTAAAACCTATCAACATTTCAATTTTCTTCATTTTAATTTAATTTACCTGTTTTGGTAATGTCAAATTTTTTGACTTCATGAGTCGTGACGTCGTATCCGTGAACAAGCATGTAGACATGCTTGAGGATACCAGTGCGACGGAATCCCCAAATAAGTCCACGAACATGACGATCGTCATTCAATTGATAATCCATATCCCAAATTGCTATATATATCTGAAAATAATTTGAAAGATGAAATATATATATTGATTGAACGAACGGTTGGAGTCAAATCATTTGTTATTTGCAATTTTGCCGATTTAATACCGAAATTGAGGGAGCCCTGGAATGCATTGTACTCTTGTTCGATTTCCGGAGTGTAGCCTCTATGCATAACCATTGGATAAACTCCATCTGAAAAACGGCCTGTTTGGTTTAAAGAAAAAAGTATCACAAATTATAATATTTCTTTTCTTCAGCTCTGGGTTTCAAAAGTTGGTAACAATTGGCGGTTTTTCACAATGTGTTAAGCTTGCCAGTTAGGAAAACAATGAATTCTTACTTGAAGGCTGAATAATTTTCTCTGCGCCATTTTTGAGAATAAGTTCGTTATCCTTAACGAGCATCTGAAACAATATGTTATAAGCATAACGGAGAATCGGCAGAAACTTCTACCTGACAAACACGCATCGGACGTTTATCCGAAAACATGTTATTATTTGTATACAATGCTTGTGGAATTCGCCCCGCAATCTCCAATGAGTGTTTTAAATTCTGAAATTGTGCACTAAAAAACTCAATGTTGCAGTTTGGAAACATACACGCTTGTTATGAGAAAACATAACCGTATAAGTTTCAGCCGCGCCGATTTCAATACAATTCTGGAAAAGAATGACATCATAAAAATCCAAGATTTAGAAGCAGTCACCATGTTATCATCTTGATGAGAATATGGTATCAATTGGGGAGTCAAACTGAATGATTTATAAGTTCTCGGATCAATACCCGTGTCGAAAAAATTGCCCGATTTTCCACATCCATAGGTGACACCCATGTTTGTCAAGAGTATTGTATGATGATTAGACATTGCAATGCGCTTCACCTAAAAAATCATCAGATGTTGCTGAAATCATGGAAAACGATTCTACCGGCGGTACTGGGATCACCATATATTTATCAACAGGTTGCCCGTCGTTTATTCCTAAATTACCATCAAAATTGATCCCACGTGCAAGCAAATATGAATTAGATGCTAAAAAAGTAAACGTTTGAAACAGTGAAAAGGATAATGTTGAAATCTCACTTGAAGACCATGTGATCATTCGATTCTCTCCAGAGAACTCTCCAAAGAACAAGCTCATGATAGAAATGGGATTTCGCTGGCCATTGCTCATTCTTTGAGAAATAACAGCTCGGTTTTCAACCGGCAACTGGCAAAGTTGTTCAACAAAAATTCGTTTAGTGAAATGGTTCGTCGTTTCAAGATATTTCAGCACATCTTGAACAGTTTCGTCAACCAAAGAAGCATCGTCATGCTCTAAATGTAGCTCTCACAACTATAATTCTCTCAAAACTCACCGATTCCATAATCAATTAATCGTCCATATAAAGAAACCGTTTCAATGACTAGTTCACCACTGACTTGAGGCACACCCTTCAGAAATTCACGAAAGTCCACAAGGTCGCCGAAAAAGTGCGACATCCTTTATGGATCTGAAATTAATAATTAATAATAACACAATGAACAATTAGAAATATTAGAAATCAAAGTTGGTAAACTCTCCGTAATAAAATCTAAAATAATCATTGAAAATAATCAATTTATATTTAATCAATAAACAAGAAGGGCAATGTTACACGAAGAAAATATAGCGATTTCAAGTTGAAGATCGGTAATTACAAAAAATAGTGTTAGTTTAATTATTATTTAAAAATATTAATTTAAAATAAAACAAATTTGAACTTGGCAATATTAGGCTTCAGTCACGTCGAACCAATCCGGGCATCGATCCCCATATTGGATTTCCTTCTTCATTATCACTTGGTGCCAACCTCACTTCAATCGAAGCGCCGTCTCTGTGTTGACTACGAAGAACACTAGAGATTTGCGCAATCGCCGAATCTTCCATTTCAACGAACGCCAATGGTTGTATGGTACGATCAAGACCATCTTAATATTCAAGTTTAGATTATCGCTAAACATCAGTTCGTTTACTTCGACGTCTTTCAAGAGCTTCTTCTTCCTCCTGAATTTTGGCAAAAGAAATTGTTGAATTTGACGGACCCGGTTCAGAATTTGAAGAAGAAGGTCCTTCTGATAAGGACGGTTCCATAGAAGAATTCGATGGTCCTTCTCCTGACGCATTTTGATTCCTAAATATGCTATTTCGATAAAAAATGTGAAAGCAAATATCTACCATGGATTAACCGCTTCTCTCGGCAGAAGAAGTTCGTCGGCTCTCACGTACGCATTTCTTGGCGGCCGACTTACTCTTGGCCTCATTTCCGCCGCTGCAGCTGCTGCATCTTCCGCCACCCGTCTCTCAATATCTTGAGCTTCTAAACAAATTCATAATTTCGTACGCAGATATTTGAATTGAAGCAATATTACCTTGCAGATCAGGAAATACATCATGTAATGACGACATAAATGCATGAACAAATTCAGGACGCTCAATTGCGAAATGTCCGAGGTGTTGTCGGGCAAATAACGCAGCTCCCCGTCCATACCGACGATCAAGTTCATTGTCGGCCGGAACTGGATTAGGGTATCTATGTCGAACAACCTCGAAACCGTTTCCGTTAGCTATTTCATTTCCAATCTGATTAGCCTCTTCGTTTCTATTCTGATTGGCTTCTTCATTTCTATCCTCATTTTCTTCCGCATTTCCCATCGGATCCGCTTCGTCGTTTCTATTCCGATTTGCCTCCTCATTATCACTCTCATTCTGATTCTCATTCTGATTCAACGCCTGCGGTCGAACCATATTCTCATCACGTCCAAAGTCGTATAGCATTCCTAGAAACTGATTCGCTATATCGCCATCCTCGTCATCATCATCAGATTCTAACTCTAGAATAACTTCACCTCCGTCGTTCTGAAATAATAATTATTATCAATCATAAACGGAAATTCAACACACGATGAGTTCATTGAATCTTGCTTCATTATTTTCTTCTTCGGCCAATTTTGCATTTATGCTGTCTTCCGCAAGAGGAATTTTTACTTTCTCGTCCTGTATAATTAAAGTTAAAAAAAAAGTAATTTAATAATCAGAAGTTACGATTTTTTCAAGAGCTTCAGAATTGAGTAATGAAGATAGTTTCGTCTGAAAAGAAAAAGAAACAATAAAATAAATGCAATTTGCTTTCAAATTACAATCAACACTGCCATCGATGCTTCGGTCGGAGCGTTCGTATTCAAATAATTAATAATCGCTTCATCATCGATGTTACCCAAGAAATACTTTCTTGTTGTTAACATTTGGAACATGGAACTCTCATCTGGCAATGATACCGAAACGCTGAAGCATTTACACTACTGTATGTATTACAAAAGTGTCACTAACTCATGAGCCAGTCTAATTGGAAGTGGAACTGTGCTCGCCGAGCCAAGCACCTCCGGCTCATTGATGAATCGCGAAGGTATGAGATCCGCAAACACCGGGTTGTTATACATATCGAAAATCACACCCATCTGATAAGAACCGACTGAAATTGAAAATATAGCTATTGGATTAAATTTACTAAGAGCTACCCTTCTCGATAAGGATATCAAGACAATCTTCAGTGATTTCCTCCATCAGATTGAAATTGCAGAAACACAAAACCTCAACAATCTGCTGTGGCTTCAACTGATATAAAGTGGCAGGATCTCGAAGCGCGTTTAATGCGTTACGCACAATTTCCGAAGAGAAATCAACTTTAATCCTTTTCTGAAATAAATTTTGATTGATATTTTTCAAGTGGCGTGTTTCGCGTTCATACAGGCTCTGGCTCTTTCGGCTGCTCTTCTTCCATCTCAATCCCGTAGCGACCATTACGTGCATTGTTAACATCGAATCGTAAATGTGCCAAAAAAGATTCCGAATGAAGAAGAAGGAAATTCCTCAATATTGATTTATTTTAAAGAACGAAATTACGAAATTCGACATACTTGTGAACAGCGATTTCCTTTTGATCCAGCGTTTCGAATATCACTTTATCACATTCTCTAGTACGTTCAGGAAAGAATGATTCCGGAATATTCTGATTATACTTCTCGGCAATGCAATGAATGTATCGATTGAAGCATCTTAAAATTCAAGAAAGTAGCTACATCATTACATTATATGATTACTTGACTGGTCTCAAAGCCAGACCAACAAGTAACATTCGCTCATTGTAAAGCGGTAAATCATCTTCTGGAATCTTCACACTGTAAGCTCCGCGTTGGAAAAAATAGTCTCGCAATAGCCGAATAACGTTCTTTTCCATGTGTCGCTCATCGTAAATTATGTTTCGTGCAAGCTGCAAATATTTGCGTTATCAACCTTTCCATTCAAGCTTTACCTCTCCTAGATTGATATTTCCATTATCATCGAAGAATATGCAGAATTTGGGATGCGAGACAGCGAAAATCTCCGCATTCGCCTTGTAATGTACAACCTTATGCAATTCGACATCAACGCTAATCTAACAAAAAATACTCATGCATTAAAATTAAAAAAACACCGATCATACTTTTCTCCTAAGAGATATATCTTCCGCGGTCAATAATCCGGCCTCAATTTTTTTCTTAAGAATAGCTTCAGTCTAAAAAAATAATAGATTGTAACACTAATTTTTGAAAAATCTTACTCGCTCAGAACGGAAACGTGGAGTCACTTCTGGTCTTGCTTCATCTTCAGTAACAGGATAGACATGCCCATGTGCGGCAATATAGTCAACTCGACAAATCGCTGCGGAGAATCTAAAAATGAATCATATGGAGCAGCGATGACATTATCGCTAACATTTTCAACGCCCACATATGCCGTCTATTATCTGGTTCGCCGAAACGAAGGGAAGCGAATTTCTTCACAATGCGGTCAATTTGCTCAGAAATCGTCTTCCTAAATATTCCATTTTCATGTGGTTCAATAAATATTAAAACAATAATAATAATAATAATAATGTTAAAATATAAGCTAAATATCAAACATACGGTTTTCCTTCTGCCAGAAATCTCGTAACTGCCATATCATGACGGAAGCGAAATTGCTGCGCGACGTGTCGATTTTCTGGACTTAAAATATTGCGAAACATTAATTCATGGACAGCGGTTCTCATGAATCTACGCTGTCTTCCTGAAAATTGTTAGTTTCGGTGCAACAGTTTTATTGTTGCACAACTTTAAAGGTTCGAAATCTGGAGTTTGATGGCAAGCAATTGTTTGGACGTAAAATTTGATAAATTTTATTTTTAATTTTTAAAATGCTCAATTCTCACCGCCTTTGTTCATGCAAAACATATTGTAGTTCTCTTCAAGATCTTTTAAACGCTTCATAACTGTCAATTCATCGGAAAGGTCTTTTGGATAATTGTCTTTATCAATAATAAAGAAGCAGCCGACATGCAGGAATCTGCAAACCGACGAAACCTTTGAAGACGTCAATTAATCGAAACCCACAGGTCCGGAGTAACCAAATATTGTAAAAATCGTAGATCACTGAGGATTTCTTCCTTAGAACATTCTGAAATTGAAATTTTTCAAATAAGGCAAACGCACTTTCCATACTTGCTGATACTTTATACTTGTCAAAAAGCTCATCAAGAATTTTGAGGCGATCAAGGCGTTCTAGGATCGCTTCCACCGTCTCGGGAATCGTAATTTGAAGTTTTTCCAATATTATTTTTTTCATAAACATTTTAGCTTTTGTCGAAACTGGCAGTGCCCTTTCATTATAAGATGCATAGAGATCATCGGCAACTCTTTCCCGTTTCAATTTGCACGTCTGAATTCAGAAATATAAAAACGCAATCACATATAATACTGACTTTGACGATAATATTTTTAAAATCCGGAGACACATCAAAATACGAAATGTTGTTTAGATCAGGTATCTCCTGAAAGCGCATTAATAATTAAACACACCTCAATTAAAGTATTTTCATACCTCCATTACTGCAGTCAATTGAAATTCGAAAATTTTTTTAATCTTCTTCGCAAGCTTCATTTTGTATTCGGAATCTCTATTACGTCTTAAAAATTTCAATTTTCCATGCGCAAGATAGTTTGAGGCAAAAAGAATCCATATTTCACCTGAAATTGAAAATCAAATTATTGCTGAAGAGATTAGTCGGCTTGTTGCTAAATTATATATTCTTAGTACCAGTTTACGGACGAACTCAAATAATTTGAATTGCTCTTCCACATTGTGATGGTTAAATTAAGCCGAACTCTCTCTCTCTCCTAAGAGTTTTCCATACGAGACTCGAGAAGAAAATTCAAATGATAAAAAATTCGTATTTCAAATTCATCCGTCCAAAATTATTACCACCGGAAACAAACGAGCGCCTTGCATAATTGTGGAGCATCGCACTTTTTGAGGTGGTATTTAAAATTGAAGAAACTTAGATACACTCTTCTTCGGATAACCTGCGGAGCTAACCCATCGTAAGTCAGTGCAGGGCTCTAGTTTTTTGCAAATGTAATACATATAATTTAATGCATTTTTTTTCGATTTTCGCAATGAAATAGAAAAAAAATGAATAAAATTCCAACCGTTTACGTTGACTTTGTATTTGAGAACCGCAGACCCTGTTACTTCGTAACCATTGACTAGTAAAACGAGCGGATCTCGTTGAGTTTCGTGCTCGTGATAGCAATAATGTAGTTCGAGAGTTTGCTTGTCCGCGTTTGTTCCGTTTAAATTAAGGAAACCCAACAGATAGACCTGTAAAATGGAAATAAATGAATAGATAGGTCGGCAATTCCCTACCGTGTGTTTTTCTCTTTCGTTGTATATTTCAACCTGGCTTGCCGAGATATCGAATTGAGTAATCTTCATAAATCGTCGAAAATCTACATCAAAAGTTGGTTCACCAATATCAAGATAGTGTACATTGTTATTTCCATAAACAAGCAAACTATGCTGTCTTGCTAGGACATAATACTTCTGAACACAGATAATCTTAAAATGTACCAGAACAAAAATAGTCTACCAGTGACGTTGGCGATTTTTTAGCAGGTTTATTGACATCTAGGAGAGCAGCCAAATTCGGGGCATCTTCGACGGAACGCCAAGAAATCACAAACAGGTTTGGTTGCAATTCTGTCCATCTGTTGTCGAAGTCAACGAGCAATGAGTCGTTGGGACGAATTATGTATAACTAAAAAAGTAGCAGCACTATTTTTTTAATATACATCTAATAAATCTGATTGATCTTTGTCAGAACAAAATGAAAAACAATTATCAGTGTCAAAAACCAATATACTACCCCCTAGAGGCCATTTGTTTCCTTTTTGTTTATACTCTAACTGCCTGCGCATCGTCTGCAGACGATTTGATTTTCTTTCAACGATGTTTGTTGAAGTAAACACGAAGTGGGCATGAGGGATAACGATTTCCATGGAAACCACAAGGCTGATTCTTTCAATTTTCACTTATTTTTATAAATATCTTCCAAACCCTCTAATTCACGGAATTTCATAAATCAATTTGAATTTTAAAATAGACGATACATGACTGAACGAAAAGTGGTTTCTAGTTCGCAAGCAGATATGTTTAACAATAAAAAAAGAGAATTCAGCGCAAAGAAAAAAGGAACATGCAACTGAAAATTTACGAATACCTTTTCGTTGGTCAAAATTGCAGTATATGTGTCGGCCGCAGCAATATCATAAATATTCTGAATGAGAAATGAATTGGATAAACTTCAGACGATAAAACTAATGAGAAGCACCTCTTCTGGACCAAAGGGCAGAGCTATTTCCGTCGGCATCATAAAATATCCATTCTTCTGAGATTCTTGGTCAGCTCCAAACAAGAGATTCGCAGTTTTTCCGCATCCGTATAATTTGCCAAGATTAGTTGCAAACACGGAGTGTTTGTTGGACAACGCGAATCGTCGAACCTAAATTCTGCACTAAAAACTATCACGAGCAAATCGCGTACTGATGGAATATCGATGACTCGGAATTTTTCGACAGGTGCTCCATCGGACATTATTCCCAAATTGAAACATTTATTGGATCCTTTTGCAAAAAGAGTTGTTTGCAGTTCTGAAGATGGCTATTAAGATGTTAAACAATCAATCCAATTGATAATCACTTGAAAGCGGATGAGAAGATTGGACATTTCCTGAAAATTTTCCATGAAGAAGAGACATTCGTGAAAGTTTTCCGCATTCATCGGAGGCGCATCTATTCATCAAAAGAAGGCGATGATGAGGCGGAAGAAGATTGAACTGAATACGTTAGATTTAATTTATTTTCAAAATTAAAAACTTGCTGCGGATTTTCAAGGCTACGTTTTAAAATACTCTGAAATAGACTTGCCCAATTTTGATGCGATCTAATTTACAGCAAAACCAACATTCATATTACCGATTTCTTTCAAAAATTTTCTTTATAAGTTCAAAAATTGAAATCAAATTTCCAAATTTGCATAGACGGGCTCATTTTTTTTAAAGTTAAACGAAAATTTTTTTGTACTTTATCGCTCTCGAAACCTAACCTTTTCAGTCAAAATTCTGTTTACACATGGACTACTTCTTCGGGCAAAATTCAAAATTTCCGTCATCGCATCTTCAACCATTTTTTGCGACTTAGAATCTAAAATCACTTGATAATATACATCAACACGCAATTCGGTTGCCCATACCAATCGCCACTTCGACAATCTTCTCAAACAAACGGGCAATCCTTTCAATCTCCGTTTCATTAATAACGTCACTCGTACCCAATGCTTGAGCTAATTCCGGCACGAGCATTATTGAAGATTTTAAGGTTTCGTTGAATCTGTTCTCCGGTGGACGAAATGTTAAATGTTCAAAAAATCGGCCACCGGCAAATAAAAGAGGTATGTCAACCAGGTCTGCAAAAAAAAAAACCGTTTGCGAATAAATACCGTTTATTATTATTTGATTCAAAACCGATACAAGAAAACGTGAAAACATGAGATGCGTGTACGAAAAAAAAAAACAATGAGAACAAATAAATTCGAATAATTGCTTGAAATCGAGTAGTAGTGTGTACAAGGTATTTCCACAAAACAAATTGGAAATCTATTGACAAAAAAGTGAACGTTTCTAAAAAAAAAAGCTAGTGAATGCAAGTAGATATGTGAAACATGAATGAAAGTATAAAATGAGAACGGAGATGCTGGCTCTCAAGTCATAGAGGGCACGACGAATAAGAGGACTTTTCTCGTCTCGCCATGCAACGCAGCGCCATAACCGCCTGCCTCTATAGCGGTGGCCAGTGATACGTCGCATGGGGTGAATGCGGTATGAATGGTGATAAATTTTAGGGTTAATTGCTAGTGTCTATTTACATGGAATCATTAAGCTCAGGGTTTCCGGATATCTTCTCCATATCCTGCTCTTGAGTGACCTGCTTATTCTTTTTAGCATTAATGCAGTGCATAATATTCTCTTTATTCGATGCGAAGTAGTACCGAGTATTCTGTGTATTAACCTAAAAATCCGGAATATGGAGCGTGGAAATAGTAATTGTCGTGCTACATTTAACTTCTGCGATATGCTGTCAATAGCCGGATGATCAATGGAAGTGCAGTCGTGATTTATTAGCTCATTCTGGAAAACGTATCTGACCATTTGGAGCAACTACTTCGCGACACACCTTTATTTTCTTGGACAAAAAATATATTCGGTTGTAAAACTTTTTTCGAATCACTTCGAATTTCTAAAATATTTGAAATATTAATAATTAATATACTATAGTTCACCTTATTGAACGTTTGAGCGATCCTAATGCATTCTGTTACAAGTTCATCGCTGGGCCAATTAAAGAAAAATCTTCTGCCGATCGCTTCCTGGAATTTTACGTCATAGTGGACATTTTAATAATCAGTCTACTCGGATCTCTTCGCGCAATAATTCTTGTTGCAGCTTGAGGCTCGTTTCCGAAATTGTTCGTACTCTTCTAACATTATCTTTATTCGCTTTAGTAGTGATTTTAGTCATTTCGATGAAAAGGCAGAGGCACCTGCAATAATTAACGGATAAAACCACCCATCTGCCGCGAAATTAGCTCCGGAAATAAGCTGTCAATGTAAATAAACACGCGTTCGGTACTACTTTTGACATTTAATCCAATATTCGAAAGTGATCCACTATTGTTTGATTCGAAAAAATGAATAAGAATAAATCAAAAAGCTAAAACTATGGAAAAATTCGACGAGCCTTTATATTCGCAAAATAATCTAATTTGCATATCGCGATGAGATACTGCAAATTAAAAATTTAGTGCGCCTTTAAATATACGTAGTTTGAATTCGTGCCAAAGTTTGTTGCAGTTTGATTAAATCGTAACGGTTGTAATTTTAAATTTAAACATTTTTAAAGGGAACACATTTTAAAAATAATAACCAAAAATTTCTGAAGATTTGAAACGAACATATTTTCTCTCAAATTAATGAATATTTTCATGAATAGGCTCATCATTGTATTAACTTTTTCTCATTTTGGTTTCAACCGCGTATTTCCCCTAACAATAATTTAGTTATTTTAACCATTCCAGTTCAAATTTTTCTGCGGCATATATTTAGTTGTCGATTATTCAATATATTTTTCAATAACATGAAAGTCGAGAAGTACTCGAGTTCCAATTTTGAACTGTGCGGTGTCACAACAAAAACACGAACAATTCGCGGCATTCATTCCCGCATATTAATGCCGTTTGTAAGTGGTCGATATACCAGGGTATCAGCTACTTTGGCACCTCGCCGGTTATGTATACAAATCGGAGGTCCCCCTCTTCTCATAAATACCAAAAACGCATACAATAAGAGGGCGGAGAGTGCATTATTCGCCCGTGAGCTCCGCCCGTGTCTTTGTGTATTCATCGTTGTTGGACCCCACTACCTCATATGATCCTAATATAACATAACCTACCGTAATAACAACAACAACTCATATTGAACCGATTATGCTCACCAATATTCTGTTCACAATGTTTGCTATTGTAAGTTAATTTAAAAACACGGAATAAGTATAGCATGAAACGTTAATTTCCGGAATAAATTCCAGAAATGATTCAAATTTTTATTTGCTTATTTATTTCAGGTAATAATTCAAGCACAACTTGATCTAGATAATTCTATAATAGGAAACCCAAAAATCGACTGTAAACCGGATAGTATCACATTCTCATTCAACACCAAAAATCCTTTCAGGTATCTACTATCACAAATCTCTTTTTTTCCTTTTTATTGAACTTGCGTCTTTTGAATTGGCTGAAATAGTTGAATTTGATTGCTATATGATTGAATCATTTAGAAAAATGCATTTTTCAGAGGGAATGTATACATTCGCGGTTTCTACGACAAACCGTCTTGTCGAAAACGGTATGAGGTAATGTCTGCACAAGGCGGTTATCTCTCAATTCGTTTGAACGACTGCGGGATGACAAGAATGCGGCAGGTAGGGCTTTTCAAGTTTTTTCTTCTCTAACACACTATCTCATAAGTTACGAAGGCCACACAAACAGAAAACGATTATTGGGGGATCTTTTTGAGAAAAATTCATTACCATTAAACCGACGCATTTGGAAATAAAAGAACAATAGTACAACAGTAGAAGAGATTTTTTAATTGTGAAAAAAAGGTGTTTAACATAATTGAAATGAATATGTATGTTCAACATAATCAGCCAAAACACTTTAAAAATTTAGATAATTGTTTGAACTGTTTTAAGATGATGCCACGTGGAGTTTCTCTTCACGTCACGTTTGTCGCCAATTTCCATCCACTGTTTACGACGAAAGAAGATCGTGCTTTCGATGTCCGTTGTTTCTACGCTCATCCAGATTCTCAAGTAAATACTGGAATTGAAGTTGGGTAGGCTTAAAACTGCAAGAAATACACCACAATTCACCATCATAATTTCCAGAAATCTTCCTGCCGAGACGCTTGAACAGGCGACGACAGCAACTCCGCGGTGCGAATACAGTCTTCGCGAGACCATTTTCGATGGTCCGCGCGCCGGAAGTACAAGTGTCGGTCGACCGATTGTTCATCGATGGGATTGCGATACCAATGGTAATGACGATATTCTCATTTGTCTATTCGCATAGATTCAACTTATTAAGGAAATTTCGGGATTCTCGTGAAAAGTTGCACCATTTCAAATTCACGTAGCTCGGTGCCATTTATTGACGAACATGGGTAGAGAGTTTGCTTCAATATGTTTTATTCGGCTATTTCTTTTTAGATGCCCTATATCCCAAGATTTTCCGCAAGTCGTCTATCTTCCTTCTCTCACCTCTGCCTATGTCATAATGGAAGCAATTTCGTTTCCAGACCACGCCACCGTCGCGTTTTCATGTCAAATTGCAATTTGTGACAAAACAACCGACGAATGTCTTGGAATCTCGCCTCCGCGATGTAATAATCTTCCGAACGTACAAGTAGGAAGTTTCTCGAGAAAATTAAGACAAAGATTTTTTTGCAGAGTTCTATAATTATTGACAACAATCTGCCACTGGATATTGGTACGTTTTTTTTAAATAAAATTTATGATTAATATCGAATAGATACCATATAAAAATAATCTAAACTGCTTCAGACGGAATTGGCATTGAACCCTGGATGAAAGAGCCAAGTCCAATTGATGATAACAATGATACATTGATTGTGTTCTCATCAACCACTGAATTGCCAACACCTATGCCAAGATTGACAGAACTTCCGCCGCATGAAGACATGATCGAAGTAAACCACGTTCACAGAGGTTTGCAATTTTTTAATAATAAATCATTGAAATTAACCCCTTAATTCTTGAGAAGCGCGGCAAATTCGACTGGCACGAAATGTGATCGACGTGATGTCTCCAGAGCTGTTTGTGAGCCCTATACGAGACACTTCTGAGAAAAAAGCTCCGGAATCAAACTGCATTTCCGGAGAGGTTTTGGCTTTTTCTTTTGCCGCAGTAATGCTCATTTTCATTATATCCCTGTCAATTGTCGTTTTCCTCGGTGGAAGATTTTTCAAAAAGTGAGTGATTGTCCTTCTAGTTTTTAATGATTTTCTTTTGCAGAGAAAAAGATATCGAAAGAATTACCCACAATGATGCATATTATTTAAACAAATTTTAAATTAATTAGCTGCTTGAAAACCTATGCCATTATCTTGCATTTCCCTCAATTTGAGATTGTATTCTTTAACAAATTACTTTAAGTTATATTTTAATTTTTAATTACATAAATAAAAAATAAACCAAAAAATTGAAATAACACAACAGAATAACGCCTGAGTATTCAATGTTATACAAACCATATGTTTTGAAATCTTTAATTACTTAAACCATGCATGAAATGTGACTGTTTCGTTGTCGATTTCATAATCTTTTTCATCCGGAGAAAAGAAAAATTCGGGACCGTTCATTCGGGGCATTCGTTCTACTGGCATCGAAGACTCGACTACAGAATCTTCTATTGGGTCTTCTATTCGATTGACTTCAATTTCACTCGCTGTAGTGTGTGGTTGTGTAGTTGTTGAATGTAATTCCTGAATCTCGAAAAGTCCGTCCGGTTGATCAGATTCAGTCAAATCGTAGTCCATGTCATTCCGATTCAAACGATTATGATTCTTATTGAAGAAATCGTGAATATCCGATAATGTCGGAGGCTTGGAAGTTGAAGAAAATGGAGTGATTGCAGGTGGAGCTACTTCATGTTGGGTTACTTCATCTGGATCTGACAGTGGTTCCGATTGAGGCAGCGGTGGTGGTGGAGGTCGAGGTGGAGGTGGTGGAGGAGGAAGAGGATAGGTGCGAGGATGGGGAAATGCTTAAAAATTGGAATTTTTAAACCGATATAGTTGTTTCTTACCAGAAAATGCAGGAGCTGAATGGAAAACAGGTGATGGAGGAGATCTAAAATTTGTTCTGAACTTTTGAATTTTACGGACTCGCTAAGTGAAATTGTAACAATTTTTTGAACTTTTTGCCTTCTGGTAACTGAAAACCAATCGAATCCAACAACATTCGCCTCCAAAAGCAAACCGATTGGAAATTCGTTTTTTTTTAAATTCGAATCGGATCCGAAAATACTATGACTAATAAAATAATTTTCAAACGTCAAATAATTTATAAATGTTGTTCAGAATAGTTTAAACATACCGACAAGCGATTAGTGTGCACTGTGGTTGACATGAATTTGCCGATTCGATTAATCCGAAAAGAATAAAAACAGCAATTCGCATTTCTCGCGGTACGCAAAAATGAAAAACTTTGCAGTTTGTCAAGACATTTGTCTTTTATTAGGTGGTACTAGTTTCGCGCATTAATTGTATTGTATTATTATGTTTTTTATTATAGTATAGTTTGGTATTCGAAAACATTTAAATTTATTTCATTAAAAAAAATGTCAGAATTCATTTTGCAAAAAAAAACACAGAAAGAGGGTTTCGGTGTATTTTTGATGGGTGTATAAATTTTTACATGAAACGCCCTCCTAAATTTGAGTTTAGCACCATTTCATCAATATTTATAATTGAAGTATCTTCATAGCTTTGTTTTTTCATCTTTGCATTCTTCTTCACTGTCTTCTCCATTTTTCGTCCACCACGCTGGTCTTGCATCGGCAAAAATGCAGAAGAATGTGTTGACAACCAACAGAATAATGGCATGAGCCAGGAAGCAATTCCTCCAATCCGCAAATGAATTTTCATGAAGAATCATGTTCACAAAATACGGTTCAATGAAAATTGTCAACGCCCAAATGTTCATTATCTGAATAATAAGTATTAATTGAAAAAAAAAAAGACAATATTTTAAAAAGAATACCTGTTGCATTGCAAAATACGCGTATTGTTGAGAATGCAAAGTCGCACATTTATTGAATCCAGCAGTGTTACAGCCAAGAAGACTTTCAGCAAACACCTAAAATTTGAATTCTATATTTTTAAACTTGATATTCAGTGTACCAAAATAATAATTGCTGTTAAATGGTCTTTTTGAGGAATAAATGCGAGAACAATAAAGAAAACTGCTGAAACTCCTAGGGCAATCGTGTTGAAAATTTTGGTTTTAAGAGTTTCTGATATGCATCTCAAACAAAAATAATTGAATTCATTTCATAAAAATCACAAACTTTATCAAATCACTACTGATTCCTGACGTTAATTTCACGAAGAATTGAAAAATGATTGGAAGCGCCGCGAGAAATCCCGAAGAAAGCACATCGTAATCAAGGTAGTTCTTCATGTATTGCGGATTGAACATGGAAACGAGTTGAACTGTGATCAAGTCGCCTATTGCACCAATCCAACAGGCCCACAAAGGGAGTGAGGTGATAATATGGCAAAGTGGCAGATTTTTGGAGACTTTTTGCTGACAAATTCAAATTTGGCAAAAAAAAACATGAAGAAAAATTTACAGATTTTCTGGTTTTCTCGAGTTTGTCCAACTCCCGACGGCCGATCCAACAATGCTCTTCGGGATAATTTTTGAAGAACAAAAGAAATATGGCAAAAACAACGACACTGACACCAGCATGCACGTAATACACACTCCTCCAGCCAGCCGACGACGAACAAAGCCAACCGGAGACAGGCATCGTGAAAATGTTGGCAAGTTGGGTGTTGCCAGTGAGAAGCCCGATGAACACTCCATGCTCATGAGGTGTCGCCCAACGAGCAGTGATGCTACCAGCAAGCGGAAACGTTGCAGAAAATGCGACACCTTGAAATATTCTAGCGGCAGCGAAATAACCGAATCCAAGTGAACTGCATAATGGCACAAGTGTCGTCGACACTGGAAAATGACTATTTTGAATTCAAATTTAAAATGAATGAGCAAATTGAAAAAAAAAAACACGTAATTTTAAAATTACATATTTTCAGAAAATTCACGTGGTTTGTCTCCGAATAAATGAATAATTATCTTACCTGCTGATATGATACCAGCCGATATGAAGACGTACTTATGGGAAAAGTGCTGATAAGCAATCGAATACGGTATCGAAGCTGCCAAACTTCCAATAGCAACACTCGACTGCAAAAAACTCTCTTCCCATTTCGTTAAATTCACTGAAATCGAACATCGAAGTACCTCGAAAAAAATCCAGAAGCATACCATTATTTTTCTCATCTTGCATACAAATTTTGGTGAAATTGAATGTGTTCATGTTCGACAAAATCGAGGTGAGACATAATGTGGCACATATAAGCGTCTAGAAATTGCAAAATCGACTATTAGTGTGAGAATCGGTTGCAAATTTTGAATGAACAAACCAAAAATCGCACAGGAACTTGCATACCACTGTGATTAATGTTTTATCGAGAAAAATTAAGCATGCGTGCATTTAGATGATAAAAAATCAATAATCGGATCGAAAATTGCTTTGTGACAGGTAAAAATTTATTGGAAGAATTTTTGTACCAAATCGTGTCGAAGTGCATATTCAGAGAGTTTAGTACAAAATAAAAAATAATAAAAAAACAACAATTAATGGCACTGGGAGGGTGCAACCAAAATTTCTGTTATAACAAAGAAAAAAGGAACAAAAAACATGATTTGCAGTAATTTTTTAATGTTATCATTTGGAAATATTCGTTCAGAAGTCTGAGTCATCGATACAGTTGAGCGACTTTTCTACCATTTTCAGGTCGTCTGAAGTAACAGACGGGCTGAGAACTCGTCCAGTTTTTGGCGGCAATTCTTCATCATCTGTTTCCTCGATTCTTTTTTCTGTCAATTTCGCTTTCTAAATTGTTACGGAATTATTTATTAAGAGAATTATTATCTCAGGAAAATTGGCTAAATGCTAAAAAATTAAAGGAGAGGTTGTGATGCGCGTTGTGCGCCCGTTTACCTGTCCTTATGCGTAGGCCCGAAAATAGGCGCCAACTCCACTGATTTTTTGGCATTTATCAAATTTTCCGCAGTCGCGCGACGTCGACAATATGGGCCATTCATGAAATAAAAATAAAAATACACACAACGTGGGTTTTTAAGTAAAAAGAAACTTCATAGGAAAAAAGTGCAATTTTTTCATTTTTGCATGAATAAGCCCATAAAAAATAATGTACCTCAGCCAGATATTCTTTTGGTTTTGCAAGCTTTCGAGTGGATGGCTTTCGCTCTGAAAGAAGAAAATTATACTTTCCGAAGACGAACACTTAAATCACAGCTGTCTTATGAGAAAATAGTTGAACATGCCAATCAATAAATTGCCAGTTTCTTCTCAATATAAGCAGTAAAGCAATTCCTTTTCGATGAGAGTTTTTCAAAAATGCAAATATGGAATTGCATTTATTTAGGGACGCGAATTAGATTTTTTGATTGCTTCAGCAGTCACATCGACATTACATATAAAAATTTTCTCACGTACCCATCGGTGGGAGATCATCCAGATCGTTATCATTTGATGTAACCGGAGTTTTCTTATTCACCACCATAAGCCTCGCTTCTGGCTTATTGTCTGGCGTTCGAACAACTGCATTGCGTACAAATGGCTGCTGAGTTCTCAACGATTGCACGGCAAGCATAATCGGCCTCGCTGGAGCTGCCATCGAACTAACCGGCTATATTAATGCAATTAGTAAATTTCAATGCACAGACGTTCTTACTCTACATAGCCTTAAACCCGTACGATTAGGCTTTGATGATTTCGCATTTTTGTTGACCTCAGTGCATAACGGCAGATTTCCTGTAAAGTTGCATCTAATATGGCATAGTCTATTGGTTTTTATTGAACTTGCTGACCCTCTTGTTGTAGTGTTATAGGAACCTTCTTATTTTTATAGAACGTTTTCAAATGGATTAGTAATTTTCGCGGGTAAGTGCGAGAAAGGTCACTGTTAGCCAAACCTGAACTATCCAACGGTTTCGTTTTCGGCGCATTCGTAGAAGATGATTCCGCTGAAAAAAATTAAAACGTGTTTTGTATTTCATGTGTTGAACCTCTACGCGGGAAAAATTCGATGCTCGTAGCTGGACGGCGATTCGTCGACAAACTAGCCCCAAATGTGTCGGCAACATTATCTAGAATTAAATTTTCAGGGTTGTTGTAAAAATCTAATGACATTACCAAAAGAGACGCGCTTCTCGAGCAACAATCGGCGTCGAGCCCTTTCTTGCTCTTCACGATTGGTATTGTTGGATGCAGTTGAGACAATGCTTCTTGTTGATGGAGACGAAAAAGTGGAGCTAGAAACTGTCAGCCCTAAAATAAAGCATTTCTAATATAATGAAAATGTGAAATTACCCCCGAGCTGTTTAGACAAATCAATGATCGACCTTTTCGAGGATGATTCGGAATTCGGTGAATCATCTGATATTTTGAGGGTTCCACAGTTTGCTCGTGACACTTCGCAATCTGGCGATAACATGTAGTATTTTCTATTCTTATTCACCCATTCTTCTTTTAATTTTATTTCGGCGCCGCTCAGTCCAATGAAATCTTTAAACGTCGATGTGGCAAGCATCTTCCATGATTTGCTGAACACTTGCATTGGATCGACACGCAATCCAAATTCCTCCTCGTATAGATCGCTGAGCTCACTGAGCTGCAAACAAATTGAATTTTCCAAGTAATTTCTCGTTGACATATTACATGCATCGGTTTCGGGTAGACTTTGGCCAGCATTTTCATAGTATTGTTTCGGAATGTGACAATCGACGGAAAATCATCAGTCTTTGTGGTCGGCGCAAATACCGCTCTGCTGTCTTCTTAAAATAAGTAGTTTAAGAAAAAAACCGAAAATCACATATTACCAGCGTCGTCGCCGCCGAGATATACATGCGTCGTAATTTTTTTCGTGCTCGAAGCCTTCCGCTTTTGGTCAATTTTACAATTAACTGGGCTATTCGCTTTTTTTCCTTTCGGCATAAACGGTTTATTCAAATCCATATTTGGCTGCAACGGCTGCTGTCCCCTTATTTGAACTGTCGGTAAAATTGGGCGTTTGTTCAGTTTGACCGTTACGGACTTCTGCTGCTTTGGAGATCGGTAGTTAAGCTGAAAAAAAAATAAAATAGAAAATTGAACTATTAACATTTTTTAACCGAAAATCCAATATGCGTGTGTGGACGATGAATTTTTGATGCCACTGCTTTCTTCTTCCGTTTGTTATCCTTCTGTTTGACAACCATTTTAACCAACTCTTCGTTGGTATTATCGGGACTGAAAAACACAAAATAATGTTGGCATTTGATTTGATATTTTACATAATCGTATAATTTCCATTTGGAAGGCGAGTAATTTTTGGATGTTGATTTAAAAGATCGGCAAGATCCCGAAAGCCAGCCTCGTGATACCTTTTATCATAAGAATACCCCAAACTATCTCTGAAATATAAATTAGTACCTTTAAATTCTCCAACTGTATTATTTACAGCATTTTTGGCACAATTTTGCCAAACGGAAGACCATCTTTGCAATGAGGTAGAATTACCGAGTAAATATCGGTGTTCATTCGTCTTTTTATAACATCTGCAGACATCTTGTCTGAAACGAAATGAAAATTGAAAGCGAAAACCCGTTTTTGAAGAAAAAAGTGGTTATTATCGATTTATTGATTATATTGATATTTTATTTCATCAGATATTATAGCGGAAATTTTGAGATCAAACATTTTTGCGAATATATAAAGTTTCAAGCTTAGTTTTACCATTCAGAACATTTAAATTCAATTGAAATATTCTCTATTTTTCTTTTTTTTATTAGTTATCCTTCTATAAACGTAAACATCGATAAAGTAATAACAGCGAAACAGTATTGAATTTTTGAACAGTGAAAAAAGGAAAGAAATTTTTCCAACGATTGAAACTGTTTAATCTAAATCTTTAACCCAAAATCGAGAAATTTTGAGTAAGCCGAGCAATACAGATTGAACAAGCCGGACAAAAAATGGAAAGTCAAACTTGTTCAATCGAAAATATTTGAATATTGAGTTGTAAACGGGCGAGGCAGTGGTTGCGGACATCCTAGTCTACCGTAATACCGAATTTGCTTACTCACATTACTTGTCAGCTATTTAATCTTAATGTAGAAACGGTGTTTCGGTGAAACGCCGGTAAAAAGGATATTTGAGAGAGTGTGTGATTTTGAGAGACGAAGACATTTCTTTTCATCGGCGTTTCGCCAAAACTCGCTTTTGCCTACCGTTTCTACGGCACAATTTGCTACGTAATATTTTTAAAAACAATATTTAAATGTATAATTTTATGTTCGAATTCATTCATTTTGTTCATTTTGTAAATATGATCTCAGTTTTTCTTGCTTTGTCGGCATAAAATAGCCGTGGCCGTGGATTGAAAGTAGAAACCGTCTATTTTCCGCGGCCTCCTCTTTCTTTTTTTTTCCTCTCTCCCGGATTTTTTCCATTTTTCTACTTTTTAGGTAATTCGCTATGGGATTCTTTTGGAAAACTGCCAAGTATGCCTTTCTTTTGTTTCCTAATCCAAAAAAATTGTTTAGGTTCGGAATCAGAGTGGGGCTGGTTGTCGGCGCCATAAAACTATCAATTGACAATGATATTTGGTCCACGAATAATGTTAAGGTAATGTGTATACTGTATAAAAAAAGGAATTTAGATGATTGAATTATTGCAGGGTTCTGAGCTTTATCAGAAATTGAAAAAGTATATCGTACCAGGAACCCTTGTTTTCCCAGAACAAGTTTGTTTCTTATAATCGAAACAATTAAATAATTCTTATTTTGTAGCTTCCATCAAAGCAGGACGTTGAACTTGAAGTCGGCGGTCGATGGAACAATGGAGTTGATAAAGTAAATGTTTCAAAAAATTTAATACTGAAAAAGAAATGAAATTGGAAAGGGCTCAATTATTAAGCCTAAAACAATCAATCTTGTGGATATGCGACAAGTAAAATTTGCATGAACCACAGTAACTTTTGCATGACTGCGTGAATTGCATTATAGCGTGTGCCCATTCGAGTTTCAGTCAACGGCAAATTTAAAACTATTTCGCGATTTTGGAGACTACGCCTCCCTTCTCTCCTTTCACGCCGACAATAAGTGTTCATATAGTCCGTTACTGAAAAAAAAGCGTTAGGCGCTTTGAGGAGCCGCACTGAAGCTGATTCGATTGCTGCTTTTTACAGAAACACTACTATCTAAAAAAGAGTTAATTTATTAAATTTATGCCAAATTGATATTTCTTATTATTAAGTTCGGCATTTGTTTGAATTTCTAATTTGTTTAAAATTGAAATTAGCCATAAGATACACGATTTGTCCGCGCGAGACGATGGCGAATGTCGCATGCTGATAAATCTAACGGCTCGCAACAGTCGTGTTATGCTAACTATATTTTAATTTAGTATAAGTCGGTTACATTCTTCATTTACTTAGTTACCTATATTCTTAAAATTATTATGCCCAAATTTCAGGTATTCAATGCCATCGAGAAGGTTCCATCGAGTTTGAACACCGTAGCGAATCGTCTTATTAATAATAAGTAATGTAGAAATCATTTCGGATATCTCGATTGACTAGGTCCCGTCGTTCATTGTATATTGATTTTTGTTGAATAAATTTTCACTCCGAATTAATTAGTTGTCCACCCAAGCATTTTATCAGCCCGATGAGCCCGCGGCGCCTATCGCCATACTGATAATACGGAAATTTGCAACACGATCGAGTTTTTTTGTTCACTCCATTCTGCCTACTTGAGTGAGGTTCAACATGAGCTCGCCGGTTGTCTCGAGGCTCGCTTGGGGTCTCATCTTCACGTCAATTGACGTGATTTTCTGTTTAATCTTTGCATGTATGCACAATGGATCTTTCGCAATCTCAAATTTCACCTCGCAGTTTTCAAATTTCTCAGTATTTTCAAGGTAAGATTTTAAAAAAGAATGTTCAAAAAATAAGGCTTTATTAATAATATCCATTATCCAGCACAATTGACCTTTTTCTTCTTCAATTTATTCGGTTTGGACTGTGGATGGTCCCGACTGGAATTCACGTTGCAAACAAAGCTGATACTTTGGTAATGTGGAAGGAGCCTATTTTCTGCTCGGCGCTGTTGATTTGTGCAGCAAGTCCCACAAAATTGCTTCTTCTTACTGAAAATCTGAAACCAGGTATCTTTATAAAAATTGTCTAATTAATCCAATTAAAACGTTTAGATGAATTCCTTTCTTTCGGCGATACTGCATTTTTGATTTGGAATTTCGTCGCTGCTATTATGCTGAATGTGTCGTGGTCCAGATTCTTCTCACGGACCCCATCGTCATACATTATTCTCGATGAAGATGGCGAGGTTAAATTTTTCAATTTTTCAATGTTTTAAATTATTGCTAATTTTCAGTTCGATGTTCTTCCTAAACAGACATTCGAGCTCATCTTCCGTTTATTGCAATATTGTAAAAGAGAATGGCTGTGGCATATTTCCGGATTCTCATGGCTCTTTATCTATTCAGTTAGTAAGTTGCCAATATCTTCGTTTCAAAAAAAAAACTAAATTTCAGCACGAATTTTCGTGCCGTATTACACTGGTCAAGTTATTGCTACCGTAGTCGCCACAAAATCTTATCCTGCTCTGGCGAATGCGGTTTATATAATGACGTTCATCTCATTGGTCAGGTGATGCAGTTCCAAATAACTAAATTTATTAAAATAAAACGGAACTTTCAGCGCTGTTGCGGCCGGCTTCCGTGGAGGATCATTCGAATATGCATATGCGAGAATTCAACGATCGATTCGATTCGACCTATTCACTGGATTGGTCAAGCAGGACGTTGCGTTCTATGATGCGCATAAGACTGGTAGACAACGAATTTAATTGCGCATAAGTGAATATTTGGATTTTAGGCGAAATTACTTCCCGTCTTGCCGCAGATTGTCAAACAATGTCCGACACAGTCGCTCTCAACGTCAATGTATTTTTAAGGTTTTTGATAACTAAATGTAGCTGTATTTTTTCAAATAATTGTTTCAGAAACACCGTGATGCTCTTCGGATCAATGGGATTCATGATGAAGCTCTCATGGAGATTGTCTCTTGTTACTTTTATTTTGGTGCCTATCATTTTTGTGGCTTCAAAAATTTTCGGAACATATTACGATGTAAGTTGGCAGTTTTAAAATATGTTTTTTTTATGTTGATAAAAATTTATTCATAACTGTTTAATCGAAATTCGGAAACATCCTTGCTATTTTCCAGATGCTTTCTGAGAAGACGCAAGACGCTGTTGCTTCATCAAACGACGTCGCTGAAGAAGTGCTTTCAACAATGAGAACCGTTCGTTCTTTCGCCTGCGAAAATGTTGAATGTGATCGATTCTATGATAAACTCACCGATACTTTGAACGTGACAAGAACAAAAGCGATCGCATATGTCGGATTCTTATGGGTTTCAGATGTATGTATAAAATAATAGTTAACTTAATTATTTTTTGAAACTCCAATTCGATATCATTTCAGCTGTTCCAATCGTTCATTATTGTTGCTGTGTTATGGTACGGAGGTCATTTGGTACTTACCAATAAACTAAAAGCCGATCTTCTTGTTTCATTCCTCCTTTATCAAATGCAACTTGGTGACAATTTACGACAAATGGGTGAAGTGTGGACTGGATTGATGCAATCAGTTGGTGCGAGTCGCAAAGTGTTCGAGTATATCGATCGGGAGCCCCAGATTCAACATCGTGGTGAATATATGCCGGAAAATGTCGTCGGAAGAATCGAATTCCGCAATGTTCATTTCAGTTATCCAACAAGAAGCGATCAACCGATTCTCAAAGTAACTTATGTTTCATGAAAATCCATTTAAGATGTAACGCAGAACAATGCAAAAATTATTATTTTTCTTCCTTTCTGCATTGAAATGTTCTCTTTTTTCATTTTTCCTGCATTACCCCTCTAGATATTTAATTTCAAATCATTTATAAACAATTCGCTTATGCTTACAGGATCTTTCGTTCACTGTCGAGCCGGGAGAGACAGTTGCTCTAGTCGGACCATCGGGATCCGGAAAGTCTTCATGTATCTCACTTCTTGAAAACTTCTATATACCTAATGCCGGTCAAGTTCTCGTCGACGGAGTTCCACTAGAGGACTATGAGCATCACTACATTCACAGAAAGGTAAACGAGCGTATTGCTGGTTCTCAATCCTAAATTGTTTTCAGATCGCTCTAGTCGGTCAAGAGCCTGTGCTGTTCGCCAGATCAGTCATGGAAAACGTTAGATACGGAGTTGATGTGCCAGATACTGTAAGACCAGCATTGTGGAGTAATTAGCAATTAAAATTGTCAGGAAGTTGTAAGAGCTTGTGAAATGGCGAATGCTCATGGGTTCATTATGCAAACGACACAGAAGTACGAAACAAATGTTGGAGAAAAGGGAACCCAAATGTCTGGTATTTGTCTCCTTCTTATTTATTTGTTTATCAATAAATTTCCAACATTGCAGGAGGTCAGAAGCAACGAATCGCGATTGCACGAGCTTTAGTCAGAGAGCCGGCAATTCTTTTGCTCGATGAGGCCACTTCCGCTCTTGATACGGAATCTGAGCATGTCGTTCAGGAAGCGATCTACAAGAATCTCGACGGCAAAAGTGTAATTCTCATCGCTCACCGATTATCGACTGTTGAGAAGGCCGATAAGATTGTGGTTATCAGCAAGGTTTTTTTCCTCGATCATTCAAAAATTGATGGCAAAATTAAAGGGGCGCGTTGAGCAAATTGGCACACATGAGCAGTTACTTGCACAAAAAGAAGGCACATACGCGAAGCTTGTACAAAGGCAGATGATGGGAGATCAGAAGCCGAAGAAGAAGAAACAACATCCTTCGGATCAGCCAAGGTAGGAGGAATATTACACATAATATAATATATTTTCCCTGGTTAACATTAATGTGTTATCCCAATTAAATTTAAGTTTTTATTCTTAAATCTGATTAGTGCTATCAATTTTAATATCGTTAAAATATTGAGAACTATCTAAAGTATCATTATTTTTTAGGCCAACTCGCTCAATGAACGTCGGCGGACCATCGCAAGGAAACGCAATGTCGCTTCTTTCAACATCATTCAGTCAGTCCGCTAGCAGTGTTACATCTCGTTAAATCCTCTGTTGAACATTTCCACTTTATTTTTTATTAATTATACAGGGTGTCATTTAAGTTCCCGCACAAAAGTTTGACGCCATGTAGAGCTTCGCTAACGCACTTTTCGTACACCAATACAATTTATTTTTATTGAACAAGGTATATTTTACTTACTTTCCAAGTTTCACCTCATTCGGATGTGCTTCCGAGAAACGGCGAAGGCTAACATCCATCGCGCTTCCATTATCGAACTTCATAAGCAAAATGTGAGCCCGAGAGACATCATTCAACGGGTCGGTGTGCCTTGTAGAACGGTTTATGACACCATCAAACGATTCAAAGAGCTAAATACGACCAGTGACCGTCCCAGACAAGGAAGACTCGTCTCAGTAACCACTCCTCAGAAGATCAACGCCGTCAAATCGAGGATCAGCCGAAACCCCCACAGGAGCATGAGAAAGATAGCGTCAGACATGGGAATGAGCATCTTCGCTTTGGAACAAATCGTCAAAACGAAGCTTGTACTGACCCCATATCGTGTCCAAAAAGCGGCAATTCTATCGGCCGTCAACAAGCAGAGACGCTTCGAAAAAGCAAAACGACTTCTTGCTCGCACGCGGTCTGGACAAGATCTCGTCACTGTCTTCTCCGACGAGAAGCTATTCACTGTGGAGACGGCATTCTACTCACAAAACCATTGAGTACTTGCCCAGACATCCCAGCAAGCTTCTGAGAAAGGAAAAACAATTAATCGAGCCTCACATCCTGCCAGTGTGATGGTTTTCGGTGCCATCTGCTCAACCGGGATGTGCCCCCAGGATTTCGTGGATCAGGGAGTGAAAATGAACAATGAAGTCTACGTTCGGGACATTTTGGAGAAGCATGTGATGCCCTGGACCCAAACGCATTTCGGTGGGCAGATATGGGTCTTTCAGCGGGACGGAGCACCCGCCCACACTGCCAAAACTACTCAGGAGTGGTGCCAGACCCATTTTCCCGACTTCATCAAGTCATCCGAATGGCCTGATTGCTCCAAAGATCTGAAACCGCTTGACTTTTCCGTGATAGGGTCTTGCAGGAGAAGGTCAACGCAAAACCCCACTCAAGTGTAGAGGCTCTGAAGAGGACATTACTGGCGGAGTGGGACAATCTTTCCATCGAATACCTGCGTACCACAGTCACATCCTACCCGAAGCGTCTCCGTGAAGTCATAGCTGCGAAAGGAGGCCGAATCGAAAAGAGTTAATAGATAATTATTTGTTGTACTATAGATAAATAATATTTTGAGTCTCGTTTGATTTGGACTTTTAGTTTCAGAAATATACGTCTTCAAAGTTGTGCGGGAACTTAAATGACACCCTGTATAACATAAAAACCAAAAAAATATTCTAGAGCACTTCCAAATATTCATAGTCATTATCGCCCATTTCGCGATTTCTCAATGATCTTCGGCTATTCTGAAATGTTCTGTTTTCCAGAATAAATTAGCTCATTTTCTGATTTTACCATTGTTCTTGAAGTTCGAATGGTTCCGTTCAAACTACGAACTTGAGAATACGTTGTCTGAGTGTCATTCCAGCCTAAAGCATTCAGTTTTGTTAGGATTTGCTCGATGACATACCGTGAACGGGACTTCCATAGTTGTCCGAAAGCAATGGAGCGACTGAAGGACTTTTCATCCCCTGAAATATTTTTGTTGCTAAAAAGTTAAGAAATTTTAGAAAAACCTCGTAATGGATCGAATGAGCTCTTCGACTTCCTTGAAAATCGGAATAATTTGTGTCGGAAGGTGAATATGTTTGGATCGGGCTGATAACAATATAATATATTGTCACAGAATGCAAAACGATCTGAATGTTCCTAATTAAGGTAGAAAATTTGAAAACTCACCAAAAATGCGTAAAAAATCGAAATGATGAAGGAAAAAATGATGAAAGCAGAAGAATAATATTCGGGATTGAGGGAAGCAGTGCGTGAATACTCAAATATGGATGTGATTGTGGAGTAAAACAGCAAAAATCCAATGATGAGCTGAAATAGCCTTTCGGAATTGTTCTTCATATATATTTATATAAACACCTCAAAAACTAAGCTCGGGATTGTCAAGAGGATCTTGTAGCGGATTTTAATCTCTGGATCGTTTTTAGTCAAGTACAGCGCGTATAGGAACAGACAACAACTGAAATGAGCACTGTCAACTCCTGTTTACGTTTCGTTCAAACCTCAGAAAGAAAAATACAAGCATGAATGAACACTGCTCGATAAACAATGGTCTGGTTATCATGAATTTCGGCAAGTTCAATACGACTTTATGCAGCCATAAACAAGCAGAAGCTCTGAAAAATATGGCATGGAATCGGTTTGATAGCTATTCAACCAACTGGCATCGAAATTTATTTCCGGTGGTATTACAGTAGGTGGGCAGAGAAAGGTGTTCTTGCATTGAGCGAATCGAATAGCATATGAGAATGACATACTTAATAAAAGACAGTTTCTGGAAAAATATGTTGAAAGTCAATGTCGGGGCTGAAAATCAAGCCAAACCGCTGCCAGCTTTAAGTATTTGCTATAGAAAATTTCGAAAGACTCATCGTTGAATGTCGATTCAGCATTTCGAGATCGACAAGGTCGATACATTTTAGCAAATCGAGTCTACTGCAATAATAACCGATCAAGGACTAAAAATGTGCGAGAAAAGATTTGAATATTTATTTTTTTTTAATGTGTAAACACGTTGACGAACATTTGCAACATATTATTCTACCGTAAGCGAATTTCTGATTTACCCCCAAATCAGAAATTTTCTTGAAATAATGTTTGTGAGGCACTTCAATAGAGTGCAGACATAAAATCTCGTGTCTCGAAATCGTGCAAACGCATCCCCACTAATAAGGGGTTGCCCAGAAAAGCGAATCTAGTACGATTTTTCGCAAAATGTACATTTTATTTGGAATTCGGCCAAATGACAAGATTTTTGATAAAACAATGAAGGAATAAACGAAATAAACAAAATATAAATAAAGAAACACAAAAAAACGAAAAGACAGACAATTAAAATTAATTAAAAATTTTACAATTCGGTGGGATGCGATCGTTCTTCGTCAACTGTCTCGAGTTGGCGAATGAAACTGAGTGGAGTCGACGAATTGCTAGTCGTCTTAGGCACGCTGAAAAAACACACACTTCATTTTTGGTTCTTTTTTTTGGAATTTCGCCAACATTCTCGGAGGTGTGGCTCCTTGACTCGTGTCGTCTTGAATAAGAGCAGCACCAGCTGAAAAAATGAAATCGCTCCACGTTTTATTGGCATTTCCGGAATGCATACAATTATTGGAGAAAATGGCATTGCACACGAATTGAGCGATGCATTTAAAACAATTAATATCTATAGATGTTATAGGATTATTGAAATCTACTTTTTCGAACAAAGTGGATAATATTATGAGCCATATATGTAACTGATTTGAAAGTTTATAGCAGTTCCTAATGTATTTATTGCAACGATAATATTTACCTTTAGCATTATACCTAACAATTGCTGTATTAGGGCTTGAAAGAGTTGGAGCTGTATTCCGACGAAGTGACGGTTCTCTAGACCTAATTGGACCTGTGACAGTACATAAATAATATTAAATATTAGACAAATTGAAGGTTACTAGTAAATTCGCTTCGCTTCAGCCAAGATTCTGCACGTCTACGATAGTACATGACACCCAGCACAAAACTGTAAACTAAATAAGCGTATAAACCCCAAACGATACAGATTGGAACGATCACAAGACGCATCACATCTGGAATATCAAGGTTTTCGCAGCAATTAAGTAACAGCAACATACTGAAAAATTTCACAGTAACACTCGAATCATGGTCATTTATGTATTCGGTCAAAACAGATTTCGCAATTCGCAATGCCCATACAATCAGCGGCGCTACGAAAGTTGTCTGAAAACGGAAAATCATATTTTTTAAATTTAATTATCTTACTAAGGACACCGAGGATGCAATAAATAAGTAGAAGGGCGGAAATTTTATTTGAAACGATCGTCGGTCTGGATGTAACTCGGAAGTTTGAATTCCGAACAACCCAGAAATCGCACTAAACAAATAAAAATATGCCAAGAAATTTAAAAAATTTTTAGAAAATGATAAGTGTGGTAGTGGAGCGGATCTGCAATATATTATTCATTTTTTGACGTGAAAAACATTTCACGTTTCATAGATTGAAAGCCACTGCCGTCCATCAAATATTGGTATTTTCGGTGGCGCATAATATATATTATTATAAGGGGTAGTTATTAAAAATGCGCATATTGATAGAGCAATTAACAGTAGCTGGACACCGAACACAACACTCTAAACAAATGCAATTACATTAAAAATCCGTAACAAAAATATAACACACCCTAACATGCAATTGATCGAATAGACACCTACAATAACCATAGCTATGGAGACGCCCAGATTCAAGCCGAACTCTTGTAAAAGAAGTGTTTCCACGGGGGCTTGTGTTTTGAGAATCAGACATTATTGTACATGTAAACCTGTAAAATTGTGGATTAATAAAAACATTTGTTTATTTTTTTAATATATTGGCAAAAATAAGTATATCATGAAAGAAGCATTTAAGCGTTCCAGTGTTGCACTTATCTCGATAGTTTATTTTTCTTGTCGCGCATAAAAAAAGAAACATTTAAAGGTGCAAGTAACTTATAGTAAAAATAACTAATAGCGAAAATTTGTAATTCTAGTTTGAATACGGTAGACTAATTGGTCTCAAGAAGAATAGCCGCAAGGTTAGTACGAGGTCAAAATTGCAGACTGCTCGTAATTATTTGAAGTTTACTCTTTCTGAAATAAAGAGAGAAAACTAATAAACTCGAGTTTGGAGTAAGTATAACTATGTCTTCAATTAAATAAGTTTTCCTCTACTCTTGAAGTATGATTTTCCTCATTGAAAAGAGTTTGTTTGCAGAGATCGCGCTTGCAATAACATGCAACGAAACCAACGAATGTAATCAAACCTTTTAATTAAAAGGAAAATAATGCGCTTATTTAGAAAGTATCATGGGATTGTGGTTAGTTGTGTTGATGACTCACAATTGAAGAACTTAGTGTTAATCGTTAGTTAAAAAATATTAGTCCTAGTTATCATAAATGTTCAGACAAGCGATAAGGAAAAAGGACGAATTGTGGGAATCCACGAAAAATGCTTTACCATAGATGCCAGAGACGCCTCGGTCACAATTGTAGATGAATTAAAGCGTGAACTGTAGTGTCTTGTTTTATTCTAAAAGGATTTTCATGCTTCAGACGCATTAAATCTCAACCCTTACACTTTGGCGACGCAATATCATGGTTAGGTGAAGATATGGATCGAGAATCATGGGTAGTCATGGAATTCCACCGTGAAAATCAAATTAATGAAGCTCTTGTCGATGGAAATGGGAAACAGGTAAATAATTCATATTGCGTAATATTTATAATTAATGAGAAGTATAGATAAAAGTTGGAGGTGTTGTGCATCCAAGAAAACCACTTTTTTGGAATACCATCAAACCAGTCCAAGTCGGTAAGTTGGCATTATTCATACATTTTTTATTTTGCACAATTCCAGATCCTGAAAAAATTGTCGATATTGAACCAGATGTCTGGGTATCAGCTTGGATTGTTGTCAATTGTGTCGGAACCTCGGTCGAAAATACTTATAATTATTAAGCGTTATCTTGGATTTTTCAGCCAGAAAATGCTAAGATTACCTTTTCATTCGGAAATTTCGATTGTTTTGATGAAACTCAACAATTTCGTGTATCCCAAGCGGTAGTTTTCATTTTTTTCCTTATGAATTATGATATTGTGATAATTTTAGCCATGGAACAGTGGTATTATTTCAAAGTTTTCAACAGTAATGGCTGAACCAGATCCAGCGGATGAAGAGCTGGAAATTGATTGTGATAAGCCAGAGGCAGAAATTCGCCCACAAGACCGATGGGCAGATGTAACTTATATTTAATCAAGATTCTTAACTTAGGTTATGATTCAGGTTGTTTTGAAACAGATTGGAATCTACATTGGCGATCGTACGGTCGTTTCCAAGGATTTGCCCCAGTATGATTTCATTGTACCATTGCGGCAAAAATTTACAAAAAGAGAGGACGGCTCAAAGGCAATTTATCCGCTTTCTGGAGAATATGTGTACTTTTGCGCTTCTTGGTCAACAATACACAAGAATTTCTTGATTACTTCAATGGCTACGGCCTCTGATATGAGGCCTCATAAAGTAACAAAAATGGGATTTGTAAGAAATCTTTTGAGAAAAAAATATTGAGAGCGAAATTCAGATTCGAATTTCGATTATTCAAGATGAAACGTATAACGGATTATTTCGAGATTTGAATCGTACTCTTGGTTATATCGACGATCCAGCTCGAAGGTTGGCACTTTGGCCGTTGTTCTCCGAAAAATATACGACTAATAAAATTGCCAAGGTTTAATTTTAAATGAAATGTTTTTCAAAAGTTTCATATTAGGTGGAAGTTGTAGCTGTTCGAGCTACGGAGAACAAAATGGTTCGATATAGGGTTGTTCGGCGGGTTTCCGAAGATTCTGACATGGAGCAGTTTGAAAGCTGGATACAGACAGATGAAGTACTTAATGTTCATATGAAATTCTCACAAATTTTTTATTTAGGAGAGCGTTTTCAAAAATATTACTGGAATTGTTGTTTCGACCGATGGAACTGTTGTCTCTGCGGTTCTCCCCAACATTATATTCAGGTAAAATTATGCTTGTCCAAATTTATGATATTTTTAACTTTAGTCTCCCCGAAGGAACGCGACCGCATCCAATTGGAACGAATGTTAAGTTTGACGCAATGCACGAATCAGGATTCGATAAGGTCATTCGAGTTTTATTATTTGATTCCATTAATCACAAACGTTATTTTATTTTTTAGGAACTAAAGATTATTAAATACAAAGTGATTGCCGGTGAGACGACATTGTCTTGCGCTCGTCGATATATTCCACCGAATGTTCACAAAAAGACGGTAATTCATTAATTCCCTGATTTCTAATCAAGTTTTTGCGCAGATGTTGTTGAGAGTATACCTTTACCGCGTTCCGTCTTCTTCGCAATTGTTACATTCACCAATTTTAGGATATGTAGACCGACGAAACATCAATATTGATGATTTGGGCCAAATGTTCACAGTAAAATTTAAATGAATCCCAATTTCAAAATTTCTAGGTTTCCTGGCTGGGTTATGATGTCTCCGACGACAACGGTAGGTCGTCGAGCTTGTACAATGTTTGAGCTTTTAACCACTTCTGTTGCACCACCAGTTGACGATGAAACAATGAAGAGATCGGCTGGAAGTAGTCTTGCTGGATCTACACACGGATCAAGATGTTCCCACAATTCTTCTATTCTGTCTTCGGTGAGATATTGTTTCAATTACGATCAATAATTGTTGCTTTAAGAGATTTAATGGTCCCGCATTCCAAACGATGCGATCCTCTAGCGAAGCATCGTTAGAAGGTTCCGGATTGTAATCATATTGTTGCTTTGTTTGTTTGTTTTTTTAATATTTTTTTTTAATTAATTAAAATTTTTTTTGGTTAGAATCTTTCATTATGCATTCGATCGAGTTCAACCTTCTCTTTTGCGCGAATGTGATTAAAATAGCACAATTTAGAAAATATTTGAATATTGACGAATGAGTACATCCACACAATTCCCAATGTGGTTTGTGTAATGTATTCGATCCATACTTGGATTCTCGCCGTTGTCGCAAGTGAAGAAAGAAGCGCTATCGAAATGCTGAAGCATCGAATTGAATAATATGTCTGGAAGATTGAAAGAAAGTTTTTGATGCATAATGGTCCCTTACTATTACAACGCCCAACAAGGGCACAAACATTGGCGTTGGATTTCTAGTTATCATAGAAAGTTTCGGAATCGATGAATATAATAAAGAAAACAATAAAAACGAGCAAATCGTGAGCAACGGATTGATAATTTCCAAATAAATACGAATAAGGCATTCAATAATCTGAACGAAATCTAGATTGCCGAAATTCGAAGATGTGCTACCGTGGGAGTCGAAGTGAATGTCAATCCATGGCATTCCATGTCCTCATATGGAATTGCGCGGCACAGAATATGCGAGAATTCCGAGCCAATTTCTTTTCCGCCAAAGTAGATCATTCCAGCAAGTGACGAACATGCAATTGCCTAAATTGTCGGCAGCATATCATTTTTTTTTTGAAAAGACGTTTTGCGGAATTTTGTTAGATAATTCGAATTTGATTGTTTCGAATAAATTTGATTGTATCACATCTTCAGATTCCGGAATACATACAAAAACGATTTAAATCGAATTTTCGAGGAGAATAGATTTTGCGCCCTTGTTTTCTAAACCATTTTCGAAAAAAAAAACAAGCATTTTCTTTGATTCCAAAAATTGGGCGGCTCAATTTTTGTTATTTCATTTTCTTTTTTAAATATCTTACATTAACCATAAATTTGGCAACAGGATGACGAAAATCTTCAAATCTCGGCACCTCTGGTTCCTGATTTGCCGAACGCGATTCAGGCTCAACTCCAACTTCAGGCTCCAGATTCTCAGGCAGTTCAAATTCGAACGGAATCGGCGACGGCATTGGAGAATGCGTTCGCGAGGACGGCGCCTTGCTAAAATTTCCATGATCCGGATTCTGATCTACGAAAAAAAATCCGAAATTTTTGAGCAATTTTGAGAAAACGCGCAACTCACAGCAACTCATCTAATAATTGTCGGAAAAAAACATAAAATGAAAGATAATTGGGGCGTGGGCAACTCTTCATTAATTTCAATCAAGCAATAAAACAATCACAGTATAAATGCCTGTCAAATCGTGAAAAGAAGCAAATTCTCATCGACGATTTCAAAAACAATTATTAATTCCGTGTGTATGTATGTATGTGGCGGCGTGGGTGGGTGACTGGTAGGGTATGGGATGGACAAAAGTGAGCGCGAGTACTCCATTATTCAAAAAAAAATGAAAAAACCTCTATCATTAATCTTCTACTTAAATACATAAAGGGTATTCTGGGGAGTGTGGGAGAATAACGTTCATAATACACAAAAAAAGAGAAGAAATGGTTCGAAGTGAGTAGGAAATAAGAACTTTTCGAAAAACAAACCCGTTCGGAAATCAGGGAATATGTTGCAAAAAAAATGGAAAAAATGAAGAAATTTATGGAAGTTTCGAGTACATTTGGGCCAATTGCGCCGAGAAATGCTCTTTGAGCTTCGGGCGTTTGCTCTTCAATGTCGGTGTTAGTAGATCATTCTCAATCGAGAACATTTCAGGGCTCAAATAGATATCTTTCACCTAAAAATGATATTTAAAAAAATCTGCGTAAAAGAAATACCTGTTCGAATGAGAACAATCCACCTTTCTTTCCAACAGCTAACATGTCTTCAAGAACAATCTTCTTAACTTTCTCATTCGCGCACAACTCGGCAATTGTTCCCTTGATTCCTTCCTCTTCCATAGCTGGGACCAGCACCTAAATTTGAATTGAATCATAATAGCAAAAAGCGCATCCTCTTGCCTCAGCATCAGGTACAACAACCGCGATGAGACATGTCTTGAGGGATTCACCATAGACGAACGACTGGGCGACATATTTCGATCGGACATAGATGTTTTCAATTTTCTCAGGAGCCACATATTCTCCTTGCGAGAGTTTGAAGATGTGCTTCTTGCGATCAACGATCTTCAAAGTCCCTTCCGGTGTCCATCGGCCAATATCTCCGGTATGCAACCATCCGTCCTTATCAATTACTTCAGCAGTTTGCTCAGGATTCTTGTAGTATCCTTTGAACACAATATGCCCACGGATGCAGACCTAAAGCGAAAAATTGATTTGAGATGGGATGCGTTGATTCGAACCTCTCCAGCGTTATCCTTGGCAAAATAGTTAAGCTCGGGTACGTCGACAAGTTTGATCTGGGCGGATGGAATAACCATTCCAACATGTCCAGCTAGGGAATCGCCTTCCATTGAAACCTACAAATCGCCAATATTTCTATTTCGTTTTTCCATTTTCAAATTCTACCGTCGCCGCAGCAACGCATTCAGTCTGTCCGTATCCCTCAACTACGACGCATCCCATTGCGGCGCGCACAAACGTGAGTACGTTCGTCGACAATGGCGCCGATCCGGTAATCATCAGACGCACGCGACCGCCCATTCCTTCGCGAACCTTCTTGAACACCAAATTATCAAAGAAACCATCGTTGCGAATAGTGAAACTACAAATAGGCTGCTTAATATCAACGTGCACACGGCGCTTATCACTCACTTGGCCATCTCTCGCGCTTTGTACGAAATGGCAAAATCGAAGAGCAGTTTCTTGAACGTCGATTTGTTCACCTCGGACATGACTTTGTCGTAGAGACGGTTGAGAACGCGCGGAACCACCGGCACCACTGTCGGTTTCAATTCTTTGATGTCCTCGACAAGAACGCGAATATCACCCCTGGAAAACGATCTAGAGTTCAATAAAAAAGCGAATAAACACACCTGTAGAATCCAACTTTGGCGCCAACCATGAAGCAAGCACTCTCAATAACCCGTTCGAGCATATGTGCAAGTGGCAAGAAGCTGATCATTACATCGGATGACGAGATGCCACTGTGTTTGAAGAAGTCCATACAAACACCATCGGCAATCACATTTGCGTGAGTAAGCATGACACCCTTGGGTGTTCCGGTGGTTCCGGATGTATAGCAAATCGTCGCCAAGTCGTCAGGCTTTGGAGGAATCAACTCCGGCATGTTCTTCGCTTCTGCTCCAAGCTTTTCAAGCTCGTCAAACGTGATGACACGAACATTGTGCTTCTCAGCATTTGACTTGAGTTCATCACTAATCGTTTCCATGACGACAAGAGTGTGCAGGCTTGGGCATTTCTCCTTGATCTTGAGAAGACCTACAAGTCAACCATCATAGTTTCACAAGACCATTGAACAAATTTAAGGGTGTCCAAGGTACTTTGCTATCACCAAGGCATAATCTTATTTTTTTATTTTGATAATAACGTTTTCTTATCATCGTATGGAGCAGAAACCATAAAGAAAGGCTTACCGAGAGCTTTCGATGCGTCGTCACAAATCACAATTTTGATCTCAGCCTGATTGAGAATGAAAACTGAAGCTTCTGATCCGAGTGTTTCGTATATCGGCACAATCACGTTGGAGTAGTTGTATGTGGCGAATTCGGTGACAATCCATTCCGGTCGATTCTTTGAATAAATCCCAATGTTCTCCTCGTTACCGGTTGGAATGCCAAGTTCACGAAACGCGTAACCAACATTCTTAGATCGTTCCAAAACCTAAACATTTCAAAGGTTCGAAAACAATCACAAAGATTGAAACTCTCACCTCATCGTATGTTTCCCAAACGTATGGAAGAGATCCATCAGGTTTCTTAACACGATGTCCAAGCATTGGACCATTATTCGATAATTTTGCTCCACGGCGAACTCCCTCGAATAGAGTACGAGCATCGTCAAACAAGAACGCGCGAAGATTGTCATCTTTCAAATAGGCACTGATTCTTGATCCATCCTGAAATCGCTGTTTCGAATCCAATCGCATAAGAAGCTGAACATACCGGCAAAACTCTGCTCTGATTCATCGGATCCACCAATGGCTTGACATTTCCCGTGTAGGTGACACCATTGATAGTGTATCCATTCGATGATCCTTTTGTCAAGTAGTATCCAAGACCCATTGTGACAGCGGCGGCGGCTCCAATTGAAACGTAAGGCTGCAGTGGACTGTCTGAAGATGGTGTGGCAAGCAAGTCGACAAAGTTTCTGCAGAAAATAAAAATTTGGTTCGTTATAGAATCGTCATTATGATATGAATATTGTTGATTAGGGATTTTGGTCTCGTTTCCAGAATTATAGTTTATATAAAATACCGAACTTTCACATTTCACTGAAAACCACAAGTGTTCTAAAAATGGTGAAACGTAATTAAAGGTAATCAAACAGCCCTCAAAAATTGCGAAAGAGTACAATATTGTCTAAATAAGTAAACAAACAAATAAAAAACAAACAAAAAGGGTTGTGAGTCACCATCATCGAAAAAGTAAAAAAGGACCGAAAGAACACACACACACACAACACACAAAAAACATATACGGAAACATGTTCATGTGACTTTTGCACTATACTATATTCAGCACAATAATACTAATAACAAAAAATAATAGAAATACAATAAATGGCGGGAAAACCGGACCAGGCGGTGGCGCGGGAGGGTGAAAATCGGCAGTTGCGAGCTGCGAGCTGCGCACAACTCAAACAAAACAATTGTGAAACATTATTTGCACAGTAAATATCTTATCAAACATGTATGTATATTTTGAAAATGGTAGAAACAATGGTGAATCGTCTCGCCTTTTTGAGAAAACACTACCCATTGAAAAGAATATTGATTTTTGGGCGCTTCTAGGAACAAAAATGCCTATTTTTCTCATTAATTTTCAACATTTTTGAAATATTAACTGAACCTTGGCGACATTTTAGAAACACAAAAATAAATTAGCCACGTAATAATCAAAAATTTAAAAAAAAACAATGTATTAATTATCAGGCATTATTTATTTTTTTTTTTCGAACGATTTTTGAATTTTCTATTTTTCGAAAGTTTCAAAATTTCGAATTTTTCTGCAAAAATTCATTTTTGGTCGAAAATGTGATGCTAATATAATTAATCCAATTAACGTTAATTAGTTCCATCACGTTCGACCTAGCAACAGTTTGAGAAAAAATGTTTAATTTGATCAATTAGAATTAATTTTTGACCAAGAACTCGAAAAAAAACTATTGTTACCGATTTTCTATAGTTTAGATAAAATTTACAGGAGAATAAAACAGTACAAAAGATCGCATTTACGAAAAGACGATTTGCCTAACTAAATCGGCAAAAAGTTCGATCTTGATTATTCTGTATACAAGGAAACTGGTTAGTTAGGAATAAAGTGTCACAGTGAAATCACGGAATAAAAATTTTGAAAAATTAAACAATCTCAAAATCTTTTTTTTTCAAACAAATTCAGTCCCGTATAAGATTCAATAGTTCTAAGCGATTTCGCGTTCGATTTTAAAAAATAAAAATAAGAATAAGAAGAAACTCACCTCGATTGTGTATGAACCCAAGCAGCAGTTTCTTTAATAATCATTTTAATTGAATTCGTGTGATGTTCGGCTGCGAATCTCGTCCGATTTCTCTCCACTATACAATTCTAATGAATATAAGAATGAATGTTTTTTGTACTGGAATGAACACGGCGGGTTTGTATTGATGCGAATTAAGATATAAAGAAGAACACAACAAGTGAGAAATGAAAAGTGGAATGAAATGAAGAAAGCGAATTGCTATGAGGTGCCGCCAAAACTTGTTTGCATTCTGATAATTCGATTAAAAATTCGAGGGATGCTCTCGCCGACGTGTTTATGCAAACGAACAATTGCAACTTTGACCGATGCCCCGATCACACCATTTCTCTTATCATATCGCTCCATAGACGGACAAATTTTCGACGCGTGCCAGAGAAAGAAAAAGATAAGAGGTGTTTTATTGCGACCAATTACAAGCGGCGGTGTCGAAAAGGTGTGAAAACCGTTGAAACAACAAAATGAAAACCGGAAAAAGAAAAAAAATAAGAGAATCTCAGAGATGAATATTAATTCCGAAATATTCAGATATGGTGTAGCTTGTGGCTCAAATTCGGCACAATTTCAAGGTTTTGTTATTTTCTCTTGACATTAGGACTTAAATAGATCATTGCAAAAAAAACCGATTCTAAATAATTATAATAGGTCATTTCGACGATTTTCAGATATAAAAATTAATTTCTAAACCGATTTTTCACGAGAAAAAATAAAAATTTGCGAGATTTTGACTTGGGAATGGACTTGAATCGGTCACGTGGTTCCTGTTGGAGCCGTGACCTCGACACGTCACGTGACACACCACGTGGCACACGTTTCATAGGAGCGATATAAAAACCCCTTTTTACGCTCAATAATCAGTTATTCATATTTGTGTCTAATAAATATATTCTCTACGTTGGCTCGTTCACAAGGACACAACAACTGGCGATCAGGATCTACGCACCATGGACGTCAACACAGTCAAACTGCTCTTGGCAGAGCAAGCGAAGCGGCACCAAGACTTCGTTCGAGAAATCACCAAACTGTTGATGGAGGGACGACCAGGCACTTCACCAACCGCTCCCGCACAACCAAACACCCAAACAGGGCTTATCGACTCGCTGACGACTCGACTACCGACATTCTCCTTCGACCCGGATGAAGGAACCACATTCGAAATCTGGTCGAATATTTTTATTTTCGTTTCACAAAATTGCTCAAAACGTTTGAAAGATATGACGGAAATCGAAATCAACAAGTTTTTCTAAAGAATTTTTGAGCAGAAACTGCGAGCAAACACATTTTTTTCTTTCTCTCACCAAGACAACAAAATTCAAACGGAAACTAATAAAAAACTCTCAGGGTTCAAAAATGCCTCAATATTTCGCCTCAGGACCAATCACCAGAACAACTGTTTCGGTTTTCTTTTCTTTGCAAAAATTATTCGCGTCGACTCGGCACGCAAATCGTTTGAACGATAAACGCCGTTGCAAAGTACATCCAACGCGACCTTTGAAACCACACACGCGAATTGATAAAACAACAAAAATGGGTTTGGATGAAAAAAAATAGCAGAACATACATCGAAAATCAATAGAAATGGTGACAAAATACACGAAATGTGAAGTGGGCACATGAGATGAGAATAATGGAGGGGAACGCGGACGCGACGGCGGGGGTAATATAACGAGAAATGCAAGAAAAAACGACGCAATTCATTCGAGACGCTTTCTTCCATCTCGTCGATTTACCGAATATTTATTTCGAATCAAAAATGTGTGTTCGAGCTCAAACAAAAAGTTTTTGGTAGAAACTACAATGGTTGGCACGGCCGCCAAAATGTACATCGAAACATTTGGCTGACAGCGGAGGAGGAGGTGGCGAGGGAGCGCAAAACGAGAGCGGGGCCACAAACAAAACGAGTTATTCGTTGCTGTGCATTCACGCGCACGCCAAACTGCACACGATATATTTTGGCCCTCTCCCAGCAGACTACGAGTGTTCTGGTCCGTTTACTAATTATATTCCGGCAAACACTCACCTTGTCTTTTTCGTTATTATCGGCTCCTCGTTATTATGAACTTCGCGCGTGCAGTGCTGATGTTGAACCCAAGAGTTGTCTGAAAAAGAAAAACAACGCTACACAGTGTGGCCATTAATCAAGAAATGTGAGAAAATGAAGACTACATGGGGTTCAAAAATTGGGATGGGTGGAGATTGATAAGACGAAGATGGCAAGGGGATTCGCGCGAGAAAAATGGGGTGATCAAATCATCAACGCGGTTACGGTAGTCACAAGAACAACAATCAAATGAAAAGAAACACACCTAGAAGTGGGTAGGGGAGAACGTTGTCGTCGTATTGTGTTACATTGTTTCTAATAATTGCTAGAGACGACGGAAATTCGAATCAATTTCGCGGCAAACATGCGTTCCTAATAGAAAATTGGCAAAAAAATGACAAAGACACAAAAAAAATTCGCGAATTTTTTCGAGTAATTTTGTTGATTTGATTATGTGGAGAGCGGATTGCATCAGTGAAACGCTTAGTCTATTTTGGGTGTATTTGAAGAAATGAATTTTGAATTTCGATTCCCATTTCGTGCCAATCGAACCAAATAATGTCGTTCTTTTCTTTAATTGAATGTATTTTCTTTAATATGTATGTATTTTCGAAGGGCTACCAAAAAAGAATCAGGTTCCCGCGGCCATATACATGGCTCGGACACACTTGTAGGGGGCCATGTTTCGTAGGATCAAACAGATGATTGTATTCACAAAAATGTCCACAGATGATTAAAATGAAATTTCTATCGTTAATATTGAAAACAGCAGGGCTCCGGCCATGAGCCCAGTTCTATTTTAATTCAACATGATAATTTCGGCTGACTCGGTGAGAGAGAAAAAATGCGTCGGTTCGGCTTCGACCGGACCGAACCGTAGTCAACCATTCAGTCGACATATTGTCGACGTCGAGCTACAATATATAAAATCGTGGTCCGGAGAAGAAAAATTATTGAGAAAAATCGAGAAATTAATCAATACTGTTAGAATTTTTGCGGAAAAAAATTGCGAAAATTTATCAGTGCAATCGGGAGTCTCGAGAATTTTGTCTTGGGGAAGTTTCAGAAACTCTCTCGTGGTCCCACGGTTCAACCAGTAGGATATTTTATTTGAAGATGAACGCCATGTGGTAACCCGTGGACATTATTTTGTAGCAATTTTCATTAATGCTACTGTCTCCAATACGGAAAAGTAGATTTATATGTTTGTTTCATACTCCATTGGTTGGTCGTGGTATTTTTCAAAATCGCATTTAAAATGAAAGAAATGCTCTAAATGCCACCATTATTTTTTTCTAACCATCTATTATCGTTCAAAAAGTAAATCGAAAAAAAATCCAGCGATTGGCTTGGAGAATCCGAGCAAATCGATATTCGCAAAAAGGAAAAAAAAATTTGATTTTAAATTTACTTCCACTCAAAAAAGAAAAATTCGAGAATATTCGAGAGAAATTGTTTAAAACCAAAAATTGTCGCAATTTGAATTTGAATGCGATATTTTGAAATCCGATAAAAACTATAATTCTTTTTTTGTTTCACGTTTATCTAAAAAATCTCTCATTTTCTATTATAATCTTTGAATAGAAATTAGCGAAATTTCGAAGGGAATCGACTAGATGGTAAACGAGAAAAACGAGAAGGCGTCGAGCAACAGCGATGAAATTAAAGGCAAACACAAATTTTGGCTTCTCAACAAGAATCTCAACAAAAGTGTTCGTTTAGAGGGGCAACATTTTCAGAAAAAAACAAAGTGAGTCTTTTTTGTAGAATCAAAAAAAGAGCAAACGAAAAAATCGATGGGCGCTAACACCGGACAAAGCACAAAAGGAGCCACCTAGTCCGTCTACAATTCCACCTTCACCCAAACCCGATGCAAAGGTTTTTTTTAATTTGATGAATTAATTCATATCCTATTTAACATTCTAGACACCAGAATCATTCGCTGATGGACGAGAAATGCGGCAGAAATATTTGAATGTGCCCAAAACTCGGTCAGCTGTGGAAGAAGAAGGTGCAGAGGTGTTCGAGGCTGTTCAAGATGTTTCGATTAATCAATTAATTCATTCTATCGGCGAATCGGTTTCAGGCACAGCCGGTCTTCGCCACCACTCTGATCCGTCCTGGTAAGATGCGATGGAAATCGGATTTGGTGAGTTTTGCCGTTTATAAGCCATATGACGTCGTTTCAGGAAAAGGAAGAAAAGGAAGATGCAGGATCTGGATCAGGACGTGGATCCGTAACCGGATCGACCACCAAAATAGAAAAACCGTGTTCGGTAGAGGTTACAAAAACGACACCAAGAAAATCGAAGGTTCGAACGAAAGCTGACATGAACGCTCATGATGATGAAGAAGACAACCCGAAAAGTGTGAAAATGAAAAAGGCTGTAATATCAGAAATTTGAGAAAAAAATGAAACGATGAATCGAGATTTTAGGCAGAATCTGCGGACGCTAACAAAGCCGAATCGGACACGAAGATCCCTGTAAAGGAAAAAGAGAAGTTAGATGATGATAAATCAGCAAAATTGCTTATGCGGATCGAGAGGCTCGAACGCGAAAACGTTGATCTTCGCAAAAAGTTGAATGAGGTTCAAGTGCTGCTCAAAAAACGCAAACTTGCTCTGATGATGTCGTCTGGCATCAGAGAAGAGAGGAGTCGAGATTTGGTAGGTCCAACCATCGCCGATTAAGAATTAGCGGTTCAGTCGGAAGATATCACGAAGCTAGCTGAACGAACTCTGGTGATTATGAAGAAGAATCAAATTCTGGACAAGGCGTTGGATGAAAAAAGCAATCGAATTTTGCACAACTTCTTCAGAGAATGCGAAAAGCCCACCGAGAAGGTTGCAATTATTTCAGCTTTCTGGAATATTTAAAATTTTTTCAGATTGCTAGTCTCGTTGAAGAAGCGATCACTCGTGGATTGAAGTATATGATCAATTATGGCGATCGGATTGATGAAGTCATCGACAACGAAATGCGCACATTTATTTGCGATATGAACATCGTATTAAAAATTTTCTTTTTTTTGTTTTGTTTTTGAATTCGAAATTTTAGGCGAAAAAATCAATTCTCCGCGCCATGTTTGATCATCCCGAATTAGTGCCGGATATGTGGGGAGGCGGTCCGATGCTTGCGAAAATCCGCAAAGAGAAGGATGCCGATGTCAGTTTGCTATTGAATCGTTCTGTAAATGATCATTTTCAGAAGGGTGGTCAATCAGCCGGACAAGTCGAGAATCTGAAAGCGGTATTCAACAGAAAGGTTTTCATAGAAACAAAAAGAGAATATCTATTCAGCCAGAGAGCGAGTTGGAGATTCAACCGACAATGGAAACGAAAAAAATTGATTTGGCAACTACTGAGGTTCTTTATTCTTTTCTTTTCTTTTTTAAAAATTTATTCAATCGATCGAATTTCAGCGAAGAAGAAGGAGAAATCATAAGGAATCATAAATATTCAAATGTATGTAAAAATAAAATAAATTGGCGTGATACTACTCATTTTTTTCCATTCTTTTTTTTGTTTATTCCATCAATTCTATATTTTTGACTGAAACGAGGAGGTGGTTGTGACATCGTTTTTATTGTATCAGAAGGTGAACTCATAATGATTGAATTCCTGTTCATATTTTCAACTATTCTTATTATTGTAACGTGCGGAGGAAAAAAAGAGAAGGTAATTGGCGAAATGGTGCAATTTGAATGGTTTTCTCAATCAGCAGACTGATGCTCCGTCGCCCGTAAAACCGCCGACAAAACGTGCGCTAGTCTCTCTTCTTTTTTTTAGTCTCAAATTCATATTGATTCAGCACTAGCAGCAGCACCGTCGGTATCGGTTCCGTTAGCGTTGAAATCGCACGGAGATAAACCGATCGAGCCAAAATCGGCTACTCCTCCGCCAGTGGCGACGAAACTTGTAAGCATTCTTTTGGGAACCAAGAAATGATTGTGAGGCGCTTCACACAGGCTCAAGTTGTTCCGGAAAGCGAGAGATCCGAGAAATCTGGATGCGGAATCGATATTGCTGAACCACCGAAGATCGTGACGGAAGCCGATGTTGCCAAAGCGATGGCTATGATGAAATCTGGGAAGAACAAAAAGGTTGACGCGTTCTTCTTCTTTTTTTTTTTTAGAAATTTTACGATTGCCTTCGTTAAATTATTCTAAACAAAATCGCATGATAATCAGGACGGCGAAAAGGACGAAACGAAGAAGGATGAGTCGAAAAAAGATGGCGGCAAGAAGAAGGAAGATGCGAAGAAAGACGAGCCTAAAAAGGATGAAGAAAAGAAAGATGAAGCTAAGAAACAAGCAGAAAATGACAAAAAAGCAGAAGCAAAATAGTCGGCGGAAAATGAGAAGATATAGACGGTTTTTTGCTGGTTTTGAATATATACATATTATTTTTTAATTTCATTTATTTTTTCACTTTTTATCACAACTTTCTCTTGGAACAATTCAGGGACGAAAAAATAGCTGTCGAAAAATTAGCCCAAAGCAATATAGGGTGCGTTGTGTGCCTTTGAATATTCGCAAGCATGGACCCGTAAATTTACACTTAGTTTTGTGTCAAGCTGTACGCGGGTAGATTTACGGGAATGCGTCTTTTGAACTGGTCTCGCACCGACTAACGGTTATTTCAAATATTATGAATCGGTTCGATAATTTTTTAAAAAATCCAAGGAAATGCGAAAATCATCAAGAAAAAATAAGTCGTTCACGTGAAAACAGCAAAATAAGCGTTCACGCGTGGCGAGACCTTTTCAAGGCGCATCCGCGTAAATCTACCAGCAATCGCCGGACGCCGAAATTCGATATTTCTTAAAAACTGTGTGTGTGTGTTTTTTTTTTTCGAAATATTCCTATGATTGAAATTGTTTGACAATCGAGCTAATTCATCTTCAAACCGCAACGTGCCAATTAATTCTCGCTTTTGTGGGGGGTCAAAAAAGCGAAAGTGAGTAAAGCGGGTGCGAGTTCCGCCGAACAATTCGGTGCGAAGCGATTCATAATTTGCCGAAAACAGTAGCAATTGGAGAATTTTGCAAAATTTCAGGAATCTCTAGGCTTTTCCAAATAATGACATGACCAAATTTGAAAGACTTTTCGAAATTTACATTCGTCTTGAAGCGTGGAAAAACTGTTTGATGTGTTGACAAATGTGAAAGTATTTCGGCATTATCAAATTCATTGAATATTCTTATCATGTCTTAATCCAAACAATTTCAGACAACAAAGCTTTGTAGTCTATTTTTTCGAAAATTGGCTAAATGATAGAAATTTTTTGGAGAGTTCTCGATGTGCCCTTTTAATCTATCCTTTTTCGTAGACCCACAGATCCACACGCCTTGTTTTGCCCGACCAAAACTGCCATCGAGTCGATTTGAACCTTCTTCGATCATTGCCAATGTTTCGTTGGAGTGATTTGGCGTGAATGAATTGCTTCAGGAAGGCGGTGATCGATCTCGACCATCTTTTCTTCTCTGGTAGCCCAAAATCAATCAGATCCGACAAAATTCGGCTCCGGAATCAAACCGATCCGACTGGAAATTCTACGGATCACATTGTGAAGTTTTCGCATCCGATTCGAATTGAAAAATTAAAACAAAACGGATTCGAATAATAACCAATCGGACACGACAATTTGACAATCTGATCCGTAGAATTTCCAGTCGGATCGGGTTGATTGCGGGCCGAATTAGGTCGGATCCGATTGGTTTTCAGCTACCAAATTTGTTAGTCACTTAGTCGGTATGTCGTTCGCCGCAGCTCAGCTGATGCTGTTGAGTGCTCGTTGGGGATTTATGGAGCTGCTCTTCAGAGTTGTTCCAGGTCCGTACGCAACTTCAGGTATGACGTTGTGCTAGATATGTTTCTTCTTGGTCTTGGCTCAACGCGATCCAACAGCTTTGAGCAGTTCCGATTCGGCTCGACATCTTCTGGTGATCTCCTCGTTCACAGTATCGTCTCGATGTCGATCCAGCGGTTCATGAATCGCGTGTTTTTTGACTGTTTGGAGGAGATTGCCTCCAGATTCCAAGACGAACGATCTATTGGCAAATTCGGTTTGTATGATGACGGTTTTAGTCGGACTGGTGTTTAATTTGTAGCTTTTCGATGGTCTCCAAATATTTCCAAACTTTCGTCGTTATCCAATCCGAGTCAAGGTACCATATTTGCACAAGCAAATGGTAATAAATTATTTTATTTTTGATCCATTTTCTGCTACAAAAGTCCCTAATAAAAGCAGCTACCGTAATTATTCTCCATCGCGAGATTCATTTCATTTTTTCCTTTTATTATTTCGAGATTATTCTGAACAATAAGGTCTTGCAGCGAAAACTTGAGAAAGCCGCTTTTTTAGAAAAACACTATCAAACTTCAAGATCTAAAAATTCAATTCAATATTGTGATAAGGTTACTGTAGCAATAGTTCGTGTGTGGAATGGTTTTGCGTACGAGATTCAGTCAACTAGTCATAATCGAGTAGGGTCTTGAAACGATTATGAAATCTCGGAAGGCCCAATTATAACTATTTTCGACAGTTATTGGGCTTCAAACCATGGCAAGCCACGTCACGTCATCCATAGAAGGGCATCCAGTTTTTCATTCCGGTCCGTGTTTCGAAATCGCCAATTAGACAGTGGGGGAGATGGCCGGAGAAGAGGTATAATAATAATAATACGAATAATACAAACATGGAAACGAAGAAGACGGTGGAGAAGAAGCTTGACGCGCATTTTTGGTCATTTTTCTCGATATCCAGTCTGTGCGTCGTGGGTATAATTACCTATCGGAGGAGGAGGAGGCGGAGGAGGGCGTCGTTCTCCGGAGGAGGTGGACACTTCGCTCCGTACTTGGCGTTTTCACCTGTGACTTTCACATCTCTTTCCCTTATTCAACGTTTTTTTTTTCTCGTCTTAATTTTGCCTAAACAACTCTTCATCGCATTTTTGCAATTTTGTTTTCAGTACGCCAAAATTTTGACGACACCGCCAGATTCATGCATTTTCTCAAGATTCTCATCATCGCATGGACGGTTCGTTTCGATTTTCAGCATTTTTTTCCAAACAATATTGTGTGTTCGAAATATTCAATTAATTTCATTGCAGAAAACGAGCCATTTTAAGTTTTTAACCACAATTTTTTGACTTCGATGTAATGTCGGAATTTTGTTCGAAAAGAGCTCACAATTTCTTTTGGAGTTCTGCTTTTAAAAATTTGCCAAAAGTTTGCCACGAAATTGTCGGTGAGCGATGGTATTTTCTTGGCAAACCTTCGGCAAATTTTTAAAACAAAACCCAATATGAAAATATAAAAGTTGGCGCAATTTCTTAGGGTTTCGCTCGAGATATTTTAGAAAATTTTTCAAAAATTTTTATGAAAATATAATTATGCAAAAAGAGTTGCCTTTTTTAAGAGTATTTCCATAGAAATTATTTTGTTTTGAATATTTATATAAAAATTTTAATTGAAAACTTGCAAATTGAAGCTTCAATCGTCTTCCGACGACTGGAATTGGCTGAATTAATTTTGGAAGTCTCTGATTTCGTTAATTTTTGCCCGAAGATTGTAAATTCTTAGTTTAATATTTTATTATTCACTAGAAATTCAAATGTTTTTGAAACCCTCGTTTGAACCGACAAGTCGGTTCGAGACCATAGAAGACGACTAAAGATTCTTGGAAAAAAACTATCTATTTTAAAATTCGTTCATTTTTTTTTACATTCACTGATACAAAATGGGATAATATTTGATTTGTTTTTTTCTTTCTGAAACCACACAACGGACACAAAATTTCTATAATAATAACATTTTATATTATTTTCGGCGTCGCGCGACAGCGAAAAAAGTCAAATGCCATAAAAATAGCAATGACGGCGAGCCTGACGCAAAACTAAAAATGTAGATTCACAGGTCTAACTATAAAGATAGGTTAATCTCTCTGTGATTTTTTGCATTACGCCCACAATTTAAAAAATAAATATATTTTATATATCTACATCCGGCTATTGCTGTACAAGGATAGATTTTACGCCTTTAGAAATACCACAAGCGAACGTTTATTTGGTTATTTTTACGAGAAAAATCCATATTTTCATCGTGAAATTCCAATTTCGTTGAATTTTTAAAATTGTCAAATTGAGTCCTAGAATTCGAAATAGGTAGTTGGTTTGGTCTGGACGGGACCATAGCGAGAGGCGTATGCTCCAATATACGTATTAATTAAACGCATTTTTCGAGTTTTTAGAAAATATCAATTTAGGTTCGAATATTGGCTTTTTTCTTAAACGATCTCTACATGAAATGTATTTTTTTATCAAAATAATTTTAGAAAATTACATTAAATTTGTGTTTTTCTCGCTGTATTAGAAAAACGTGTAATTTTTTACATTTTTAAAAATTACATTTCGAGAAAAAGTCCATAAATGTAAATTTGCCTCGTGTATTATAAACCAATTATTACTATTATGATCTGCTTCTGAAAATAACGGCTGCGAGTCTCATTGTCAGCCGAAAAACTGAAAACGACTTATCCAAAAAAATATTTTCGATATTTAAAAACTTCTCCAATTGTTTTTAAAAACTAATGATTTCACGCGTTTCGTGTCCAATTTTCTATTATTTCGATTTTTCATTTCTGAATATAAGCAAATTTTTATAAAATTTGTAATACAATCGCTTATTTCAAAGAAACTTAAAAACCAATTAAAGGCTCACAACGCGGGAAATGAGGTGGGTCTTGCGGTGGCCGAAATTTTAAAAAATTAATTTTTCCAAAGAGTTCAGACATAGTTTTTTTTATTGTTTTAAACTACAGTGTAGGTCGGTTTTGATAGAATATTGGTAGTGTGTTAGTGCCGAACCGTCAATTTAGATGCAATTATAATCTACTTGAGATGAGGCAAAAAAAATGAATGAAATGAACCATGCAATTATGGATATATAACAGTTATATGTGAATTTTAGTTTGCCATATATATCATATTGCGTAAATAAGCGGCGCGTCAGTGCGCGTCGTCGTCTGGTTTAATACTCGCAATAATTACGGGTGCTTATTTCTGTAGGGCTGGCGCGGTGCCAATTCGATCAGCATCGACAACGAGATCATCGGACAACCGGACATCGAGTGTCTCGAAGACGAGATTCGCATTTTCGTCAAAACGCGCAAAATATTCGCCGGTTTGTCAACTCATTTGAGTATTTTCCCAAATAAGGCGAATCGATTTGAATTCAGGTCGGATATATGCAAAGGGGCGGAGCGATCACGAGGAGTGTTACAAGGATGATTTCGCAAAAGAACGAACCACAAAACCACATTTCGATATTCAATTCGGCGCGTGTGGAATGAAGAGTTTACGGTCTGTCGATCCACGTGGAATGTACTACGGGATTACTGTAGTCATCTCGTTTCATCCGGTATGCGTTTCGAACAAAAATACTCATAAAAATTTGTCCACAACGGCAATTTTTCTTTAATTGAAAATTTCAACAAACCGAAATGATTTGCAGCTTTTCATCACGAAAGTCGATCAAGCATTCCATGTGAAATGCTTCTTCGAAGAAGCGAGCAAAGGCCTCACAGCGGAACTTGGCGTCAGCATGATCCCAACAACCGAGCTCGAGGCTCGACATGGGATTCCCGGATGCTCCTATACAATCCATTCATCGAGCATCGATGAAATCGATGCGGGGAAACCAGCGGGCTCAACCGTGCAGTTTGCCAGAGTCGGAGACAAGGTGCTCCACCAATGGCACTGCAATGATCGTACTGAATCAAATACGATAAATTCAGAATCAATTATCAAAAATTTTAGACATGTTCGGAGTTCTTATAAACAATTGCTATGTAACCGATGGATTCGGGAAGAAGTCGGACGTGATTGATGAGCGAGGATGTCCGATTGATCCGATTCTGATCACCGGAATCCGTTATTCAGCTGATCTTCAAAGAGCCTATGCAGAATCGTCAGTATTCAAGTTTGCTGACAAACCAGGAGTTTGGTTCTTTTGCCAGGTGAAAATGTGCATGAAGAAGCATGGAATGTGCGATGGGATTACCGTGAGAATCGGATTGATCACTGAAATTAATTCAATTAACTTCAGCCACCATCTTGCGGTTCCGTGTCAAAATTGTTGTCTCACAATGGAGATGAAGATGATGAGGACCAACCTACTAGAGGGTTTTCGATCAACGGAACTCCTTATTAGGAAATTCATTTTCTTTGCAGGAAGCATCCAAAGAAACCACCATCGGATTACGATTATGATGGACAATTTGAGAGGACGACGCGACGACGCACAACTACGCCTGACTATGATTATAATGAGAATGAGTCACCGAAACTACATAGGTACGATTCTTTCGGTTGAGATACAGTAGCTATCGCCATTTTTTCCATGATTTATTGTGTTTCATTCGAATCTATTGAATTTATTCAGTTCGAATTCTCATTCCTACAACAATGCAGTTACTCAATCGTTGGATTATGACACAGCCACAATTACCGCGTTTTCACCACCAATTAATCCGAATCCGCCATCTCAAACGGTATGCTTTTATTCTCTGCATCACTACGGTGTACTGAAAAGGTGTATACACTGGCACATAAAGATGCGGACCTTGCAACTTTCGAAATTTGGCCAATCATTATTAACTAAATATTTTTTAACTAAATTCACTAAATATGATTTTTAACTAAATATAATTATTAACTAAATAAATAATTTTTAACTAAATTCATATTTTTCAACTAAATAAAATATTTTTTAACTAAATATGATTTTTAACTAAATAAATCCAATTTTTAACTAAATATAATTATTTTTAACTAAATAAACTTAGTTGACAAGGGATGTCTTTTTTGCTGTCCGTCTCAAAATTTAAGAAGTGTATTGTCGGCGTCAAACGACAGAAGGGAGGCGGGGCCTTCAAATTCACGAAATCAGTATAGATTTAAATTTTTCGTTGACTGAATATTAAATTCGCGTACACTATAATGCAATGTTCGCATTGTATCTGACCTATTGTATCAAAATTAAATGATAAAATTTCATGTTATACGTTTTAGGTGTTTTTATATTAAATTAAAGGTCAGGATTGAATAAATTAGAGTTATTTTAGGATACTAGTAATACAGTTGTTGCGTTACAGAATTTTAAGACCGCCCCTGAATTTGAACGCCGCGCAATGATTTCGATATTTTGAGACCAACCAGTGTTAAAATCGTGTTCAGCATAAAAAATAACCAATACAGGGTGTCATTTAAGTTCCCGCACAACTTTGAAGACGTATATTTCTGAAACTAAAAGTCCAAATCAAACGAGACTCGAAATATTTTTTTTCTATAGTATAACAAATAATTATCTTTTAACTCTTTTCGATTCGGTCTCCTTTCGCAGCTATGACTTCACGGAGACGCTTCGGGTAGGATGTGACTGTGGTACGCAGGTGTTCGATGGAAAGATTGTCCCATTCCGCCAGTAATGTCTTCTTCAGAGCCTCTATACTTGAGTGGGGTTTTGCGTTGACCTTCTCCTGCAAGACCACATCACGGAAAAGTCAAGCGGTTTCGGGTCTGGGGAGCGATCAGGCCATTCGGATGACTTGATGAAGTCGGGAAAATGGGTCTGGCACCACTCCTGAGTAGTTTTGGCAGTGTGGGCGGGTGCTCCGTCCTGTTGAAAGACCCATTTCTGCCCACCGAAATGCGTTTGGGTCCAGGGCATCACATGCTTTTTGAATTTATTCACCCATTTTTATGACTTTTTGCAATTTCGATTTTTTTGCGAAATATACTTGGAAAAAATTAATTTCCATAATATATAACTTTTAAACATTTAAGTCAATGAAAATAAGTGCTAAAAATTTCAGCTCGATTGAACCACTCGTTTAAAAGTTATGAAGAAAATTAATTATTTCGTATCATTTTACTGTAGGATTATTTAGTTAAAAATAATTATATTTAGTTAAAAATTGGATTTATTTAGTTAAAAATCATATTTAGTTAAAAAATATTTTATTTAGTTGAAAAATATGAATTTAGTTAAAAATTATTTATTTAGTTAATAATTATATTTAGTTAAAAATCATATTTAGTGAATTTAGTTAAAAAATATTTAGTTAGTAATTATTGGCCCGAAATTTTTATCCACATTTTGAGATTTTATTCCAGACGACTCAGGAAAGCGTTTCGAAAACTTTCGAAACCGAAGACGATCTGACGCCGGTGACATCAGAGCCGAAAGGCAAAAAAATCGGGAAAAGTGAGTGCGAAAACCAGTTGTGGGCCCGACAAACACGAAGGCCAATTTGTACATGTCTAGCCGTATTTGGGTCAAACTAGCTAATTGGCTTTTCGCATGGAAATTTTTGAATGAAAGTTTCAGAAATCGAAAATCTACGACATAATATTGCACAGAATAATTAATTAATTAATTAGTTTCCTTATTTAGGTGATTATAATGATTACGATGAGGTTACAATTCCTCCAAATTTGACGGATCTTCTCGCCAATCTTCCAGATGATTTAAGCAGCGACAGTATTCAAAAAATGCTAAGGTATTTTGAATAAATTTTTAAGAAGTTTATATTATCAATATTCAGAGATTCTGTCGACGATCCGAAAGCGGTTTTGGAAGAATTCAACAAATTACTAAAACAGAAAAAGGTTAGTGTTTTTTTTTTTTAATTTGAAACAATTTGTGGACTTTTCAGACAAGGAACGCACAAAAACGAAATCGATCTAGAAATTTAAGAGAATTGAAAGCTGGTGATTTAAGAAGCGGTGAAAAAATCGATCAAATTGAGGTATTTAATGAAACAATTTAAACTAAGATTAATAATAAAGAAACATCACAATGTAGTGAAGTTTGTGCAAAGTTTCCTTATTAATATATTTTTATTTGGGAAAGAAGTTGAAGAAGAAATTAAGATCCTGTTTATCCTTATGAAATGTACAATTTGATATAATTTAGGTTGATTGGACTTCGAATCGTCGAAAAGATATTCCAATGGAGCCCCAAATCGGAGAAGATCAGAAATATGTGAAACCAATGATCGGCGGACAATTACTCATTTTCGATCTTGATGAAGAGCCTCCGGCTGAAATTAAAAAAGATGGTTTGTGATTTATCAATTTCTATACTCGAAAATGTTGAACTTCGCCATACCCAAAAGGATTTCCGGGTAAATTTTTTTTTGGGGGGGGGGGGCATTCAATATAATGCATCAAATTGAATTTTTAATATAACTCATATAATTTATGATAAAAGTAAAAACTGAAGGAAATCAAAAATACCGCTACTTAAAAAATATGACGCGTAAAAAATTGTTTTATATGTTTGAGGTTTTCGAAGTAACTTAATTACTGTATTTATTTAATTCATGCATCGGAAAAATTCTCGTGGTCATTACCATCGCAAAAATAACGAGCTCCTTGCATAATTATGGACCATCGCACTTTTTCGAGGCGATAATTTAAATTTGAATTCAAACAGTGGGAATTCTTGATAACAGTGGGAATTCTAGATAAAAAGCACCGTCAATCGGCGAAGGGTGTGTTTTTTTGAATATAATATATTGACACAAATTTATGTGTAGAGGGATTGCTTTAGCATTTAGCTAATTTTTCGACAATATACTTTGTTTTAAACTTCTTGTTGTCCTTGAATTGTTCCAAGAGAAAGCACTCTTGAATTGATGATTTGCAGAACCAAAGCCATGCTCATCCTTATCAAATAGCAGCTTGTTCGCAATATTCGCCGGATTCGGAGGATTATTAGCTGCATTGATCGCCGTCATCGCCTTCCTTCTAATGCGGCTCAATTACCGTATCTGAACAATATATCATACAATCGTTGTTTATCAATTTCAGGTGAAAAAGATGAGACTACGCCGATCTCGAAACATTTTCACACTGCTCAACGCCGCTTTTTCGAATCGACCTCCTAAATGATTTTTTCAATCCCAGCCGACATCCTTTGTTTTTGTTTCTAATTTATTCAGCTTCCAGGGTATTATGAAACCTTATAATAATAAAGTCAAATTTACAATGTGCATTCCAGATGCCAAGAAAAGAAAATCATAAAAGTTACAAACGCTATTTACAAAATTTACAGAAGAAATGAGACTAGAGATTCTTGTCGTAGAGGGTCAAAGCAGCAATGTAGCCGTTTTCCATAACCTGAAAGTTATTTGAATATTGATTATGAAAGTTGCTTCCTTCTACTTCGACGACAATTTGGTGAATTCCATAGCAAAACGAAGATCCAAACGGATGAGGCTCCTGTCGTTGCAAGACTACCGGACGGACCCCTTTGTCCGAGTTCGGATCGTAAAACGCCGCCGAGAATTCGTCAAACTGCAAACACCAAAAAATAGGTAAATAATTGTTTGAGAGCTTATGAATAAATTAAAGGGTTTCAGCGTGTGAAAAACGAGAACACAAAAAGTCGTCATTTATCATGTTCGGTTTGTTTTTTTTTCTTCATTCAACGACAAAAAACATACAAAAAGATTTCTCACTCATTTTTGAAAATAAGGAAAAAATTAAGCAATTTGGGTTTTAATAAAACCAAAAATCATTATTTTTTCGGTTATTAAAAGCTTTTAACCCTTAAACCCTCACCTTTGAATGGGTTTGTATCTCAAACCGCAGGTCGTTGATGGCAATAGCGAAGTTGCATCGCGAATATCTACAACACAATTAATCCAATTATGCAATATGCGAACAACAAAGGCGAATTATCAAAAAGCGCTTACATTCCGAAATTTGGATGACCCGGCGCATTCGTGTGAAGGACGAACTTGATGACGCGTTTCGTCACAAAATCGAACAGAATATCCTGAAAATCAACAAATCATTTCTCAATTTCGTCTTCGAAAATTCGAAAAACAATTTTTTTCGCATAAATATTCAATTAATTTGCATAATCGTGACGCTTTGTTGATGGATAATGGGAACCGATCACCTGTTCCAATGTTTGCCCAAATACGGCGAATATACAAAAACAAGAAAACAACACAAATTGACATTTTCAAATATCAAAAAGGTAATTTTTGAAAATAATGTGCATTGTCTTGAATGTTAAATTCTATATTTGTTTTATCTTAGAAAATTAAGCTTTTTTTTAATGTAAATTCGGACTATGACAAATAGATTATTTAAAAATTCCATTTTTCTTTTAAGGATCGGGGTTGAGATATAATTTTGAATTACATCAAATGTCCTTTTTTCAACCTTGAATTGAAAAAAAGATGTCATTTTTACACTGCATGGTAGAAGGTGGTTCCCCGAAGAAGAAGAAGAAGTTTCATTTCGAACTCGATTCCGATGCTCTCATCAAATCCTATTCTTCCGAGCCGTAATTAAAATCTCAGTCTCGCAACTTATACAACAACAAAGATGATATCTAATTTCATCGTTCCATTTTGAAACTGAAGATGTCATTTCCGGATGCGAGTCAACAAAAGCGCGCGAGTTTCCCCGCAACTCGGAGCCCAACATTGAATGAATAACCAGAGGCCATAAATAATAATTATCAGAGACTGCGTCGGAGCTTATGAGCAAATCCATGGCTCGGTGATCGACATAAAAGGCGAACACGCCGCCCGAGTCATGCTAATTAAAACAAGCCCAATGCAAACATGTCAACCCATTGACACGACGAGACAACGGATTAGGGTATGATAGGCAGGTGCATCTCATATTCCCCCAATAAATTGCTGCGTCTCTTCACAGTACGCGATCTATCTGTTTACAGTACATGTCAAGTAGCTTTTTGGCATATGTTCGACGCGACTACCGCATGTTTCAAATTTTCACTCTTATTTTATCACGACGTCGGCCGATGAGAAGCGAAAACTCAACACATGTTTGTATTGTCGATGGCCCGTATCGTATTGGGACCACGGGAATGGGAAACACGAACGAATATATAATGAATTCCAAGTCCAACGAATTCCTAGATTTCTAGAAAAGTTTCGAAAAATTGTTTTTGCAACAAAAAAAAAAGGAAAATCACGAACACATTTCCGCTTACGCTTATTCATTCAAATTCTCCTCCAAAATTGAAACAACGCTGTTGGCTCAGCTCGCCGAGTAAGGCTCATCAATGACAAATTGCGTTCAGAAATTCGATAAGCGGTCTCATATCTGGGAACGCCTTTAATGTCTCGCCGCCACCCCGACTGCACTTCCTAATCGGGAGCCCCCCCCCCCAAAACACACCCAACGCCAAACAAGAGCACACAACTAATCAACGCATTCATCAAAAATTCTCCCAAACCGACGAAAACAAAACTAATAATAAATGGAGCCGCGATTTCGAGGAAAACGAAAAAGGAGCAACGAGTGCCGAGCACACCACAGCCACCTATTGAAATATCTCAAATTGCACTCATTTATGAAGGAAAACCAAAGGAGCGCATCCCTCCAAAAAAAAAGTGTGTTGATACACTAGACAAATGCAACGGCGGCAGTCGCAAGCCCCCACCGGGCTGGCTCCGTGAGCTTTCATTCAATTTGTGGCATTCCTTCTTTTTCTTCTTTGTTCTTTTACTAGCAATTGTTTTGATCTGCGCACTACGTGTACGAGTTGCTGCAGACAATGCAAAATCCAATTAGGCCGTTTTTAATAGATTGCTCAAACAAATTGTGCGGATGATCCTTGAAGCGCGGTTTGCGGAAACCAAGTGCAAATACGATGAGATAATCCAATGAAATCAAAACGGCTCCGGATAAGCTTCTGAGAATTCTATTCCAGTGTTCCTAGATGCATTCAAATTCTCACACAGAAGCATTTAACATCCACAAATAATTTGTAGAAATTCCTAATGACGATAACCCAAACATGGAACTCCCCATTCGCAACCAAATTAGGACCCGAGCCGATGAAAAAAAAAAACAAAACAAAAACAGAACAATGCTAACGACCCCCCCGAAGTCCACAAATTTGGTCGCGCTCAATTTGCCTCGACGAACTTTCGACAACGTGCGCATCCTTTCGCCCTCGACTGGTCACCAATACCATACCTATTATTAACCGTACATTTAGCAAAATGAATATCCGCCCATTATAATCCAACTAGGTCTCGCCTTGTTCGACATAACTCAATCTATTCAATATGGGCGGCGCGCACGAATGCCAATCATTACTATACGGACAGGCGACTGGCGTATACCGTCGAGGCTCGCTTTTTCTTTTTTAATCGCCGATAAATAGCAATTGTGGTTTCAAAATTATATGCGAAAAACTGATTGATTGGTTTACACAATAGACTAGCAGTGTTTGGAGTGGGGGTCAGCGGTTTTTAATAGAACTTCCATATATGAATATGTGCCGATTGAAAAGGAACTGTCAATAAACTTCTTTGGTCCACAGAGACATTACGAGGCTGAAACTACTAATTAGTCCAATAGAAATGTTATGTCGAGAGAATCTTTTTTTCAGAAGGATCTCGAATAATGCCCGCAAATGATTTTAATTAAGCCAAAAACTTTTATCATGTATTGTCGGCGTCAAACGACTGAATGGAGGCGGAGCCTTTGATTTTGCGAAATCAGTGTAGATTTAAATTGATCGTTGACTGAATATTAAATTTGCGTACGCTAAAATGCAATGAACGCAATCTCACTGCCTCAGGACGCATTGGTACATGGCCAATAATTTTTTTTTTTTGATTTTGTCAAGTCGTTTGACGCCGACAATATGCATTATCTATTTCCCTCAATAACTACGTCATTATTTGTGAATGATTTCTCGCACCCAATATGTCAATCTTCATGGTGCGTTCAAATTTTTTTATTTCTCCACGCCGCCGCCGCTCAATTACCCAATCAAAAAACCCTCTTCATACCACCAACCAACCAACGCATATTTCGACAATCGGTTGTTGTCGCAGCAGCAGCAGCAGAAGGAGTGCGCAACAGCTCGCCTATTTTTTTTACGAGCCTCACAATGAATAAAGGTGTCCAAAAGGACCTTGGCACTCATAATTGGACGAGGAGGAGAAGGAAAAATGATTGAGCGACGGAATGATTTTATTGTTTTTGTTTGTTGGGTGGTGGATGGGGACGTCCAAAATTCGACATATGGTGGTTTGGCGATGGCGAAAACTAAACGAAGATGGCGAACAAGTGGTGCAATTTATATCCGCCTCAAGACGTGCATGAGTACCAGGTTGACCCCCCAACGTTCGAATGCTAACATTCGAGTTTTCTGGAAGACCACCAATTTTTCGACAAAAAATAATTTAACTTGAAGGACCTTGACAAATAACAACAACAACTCTAAAGAATGCCACTATGTCAAATCTGGAATCTAAAAGACATTGTGTGCTTCTAGGAGCAATTGGAAGCTCACGCACCTCTTCAAGAAAACTAGAAAGAGTCCTGCACACCTTCTCCTACCCAGAGCAAACAGTTGAAGCTTATATTGTATAATGGCGGCGGTAGTTTGGCAAATCTTCTAATTACTCTAAAAGGTGCGCTCAAATCTCGCCGCCAGCTGGTGCGCCAACGAATGGTGTCACCACTCCGAAAGGTCACACAAAAAAGAAGAACCGACGACAACATTCTAATCCGACACAGCGGGTGGGAGAACCCATCGTAAATATGCTTGAATCTTCAATTCTGAATGGCGAGGCCTCAAAACAAATCATCCCTCTTTTTTTTGATTCTTCTTTTTCTTCTTTCGTGTTGAAAACCAATACTACTCCAGCAACTCCCCATAGACAATTGAGCTCGTCGTCTTGATAAACTCGCCGCCATTCCTCACACTTGTCGGCAACACAGCGTTCAGCATGTGAGAACGTGCTTTGTGTGTATGTCAAGGTGTTCGACTGATTGATTAATGAATTACGAATGAGCTGTGGGGTTGTGAGGGGGGCGAGCGGCGAACGGCGAGCCAAATCAAAACCGCTCCTCCGCCAACTTCCTGCAAGATTCGTCGCCTTCTTAATTGGCTGGATTCGAACCAAAAGAGGGAAAAATTAGACGAGGGTGTTCGTGTCTTAATGAGCAACGTGTGATAATAGAATAATGCCAATGTTTGTATGCGTCAATGTTTTCAGTTATGGGCACCGCTTAAAGGCGCAATAAGATTCCAAACATGATTGTTCTAAAAGAAAAGAATGCTTATAAAATCCCAGATGCATATTCCAAAACATCTCAACGCGAATTTGAAGGTCACCTCCTCCTTCATTCGTTTGATGCCGACAATATGAAGAATTAAGCTGAAATCTATTCCTAGCTTGATGGAGTTTTTATTCCATTTTCTGCATTTTCACATATCGTTTCGGTATCTTTAAGTAAAACAGTCATTTTTGAAATCTATTAGACGTCATGGATCTTTCTTTCCCAAATTGTGCACTTCTCGCCACTTATAATTTGCCTCGGTGCCAGAAATCATTAAAAATTTACAAGACGACTCGGCAATCGAGAATAAATCAGGCACCAAAAGGTCACATGCTTCTTGATAGCTGGTGCCAAGGTCAACAAAAAAACGACGACAAACGGTTAGTCTCTTTCGTCGGGCCCCTGATAATTGGCACCCTTCGCCAAAAAGAACAAGCGTGAAACAACATTAGGTGGCATCCCATGGGTGGTGTTGACCCAACACACACCACAACGAGAAGCCACGCCCACTATCCGTCCTCGCCCGTTTGTCGTCCGGCTTGCCTGCCTAGTGCTTCTTTTCATTCTTTGTTTCGCTTCAGAATGATTCCGCTTCTGCTTCTGCTTCTAATATTTGAACCGATTGTACAACCAAGCCCATCGTGTCCCACACATTGTGAATGCGACCTTTCATCATTTAACAATTCATCATGGTCGGTTTATTGTCGAAAGAATGTGATCAATGAGACGGTCTACGCGGAAATCCTCAACCAGCTTCCTCTTACGCTGCGTTCGCTTCACATCCAGGTAATTTTTCAAACAACTCGAGCTCATAAATTGTGCACAAAGTGCTCACTGCTCGGGAGGTGCTTGCGGTCACCAGCAGTTTGTTCCCCGGAAACCAACGTCCGACGGCTCAAAAATGCATTAACCGTGTCATTTTGATTGAGTAGCTCACGCATTTTCTTCCGCGAACAACAAAACATTTCGAAATGTTGTTTTTCGCGCCAAATTGGTCATTTACTCCAATTTCGGAGACAAATGGATTTTCGAATTAAATTCCAAGGTGAAATTCCGAAATCCGAGTTTGTTTTCCGAGAATTAGTATAGCGCCGGGTGACTCAATTGGTGACTACTGAAATCCAAACTCTAATTCTAAAATTTTTGTAGAAATCGATCAGAGGTGACATGCGCCTTTAAAATTTTATCTGAACTCAAATCTTATTTGAACTAATTCTAGGCTCCCGATTGGCGCGGTCGCAACAAACTTCGCTGGAATGACAACATCAACCGTTTTGCGCAACTCAAGGTGCTCCGTCTGGTCGGCTGCGATATTCCCGCGATGTCTCGATCCATCCGATTGCCCTCTCTTGAAGTTCTGGATCTAAGCTCCAACAAAATTGAGCATGCTACAATGAGCAACTTCGCTGGAATGCCGAAACTCCGCATTCTTGATCTATCCAACAATCGCCTCAGTATTCTTCCCACAGGTGTTTTCACCTACTTGCGCTCGTTGCGGACCCTTTCGCTAGCCAATAACAATATAACGGACGTTTCGACGAATCTATTACGCGGTTTATCGGCTCTTCGCGTCCTTCGATTGGATCACAATCGGGTTCCCATCAACCAAATCAACGAGATATTCAACGACGTGCCGCAACTCGACGAGCTCTACCTTAACCATTGCCAACTCGGCTCAATCGCTAACCTCTCACTCGAGCGCATTCCGCAGTTACGCAATTTGGGTGTCGGCGGCAATGAGCTGCAACTGGTGCCCACGAGGGAGCTGCAAAACTTGCACCATTTGGCGGTGCTCGATGTCTCGCATAACGCGATTCAGGAGATTGCAGCGTGCGCGTTTTGCGCCAACAATCTCACCAAGTTGGACATTAGCCATAATTTATTGGGATTGTCAAAACAGCCATTTCATCCGGACGCGTTTCGCAACATACCGATCCGTCATTTGGACATCTCATTCAATCATATGAACGAGTTTGACTCGAAATGGCTTGGATGGGCGCAAGACGTTCTTTCCTCTTTGGCATTATCAGGCAATTTTCTCAAAAGTATGCCGAAATCTTAAAGGCGCATAACACACGATATTATTTTCAGACTTCAATGACACCTTCACCCACACTTTGAGATCTCTAGTTCACTTGGAGATGGCATATAACGAGATTCCGTACATACCAATCACCTTGCCAGCTCAGTATTACCATTTGCATTCGCTCAATATCTCCGGCAATGGCATATCGTACATTCCGGACAACTTGAACACAATCCTGCCAAATGTCAAGGTATGCGCAATGAAATCTGAGCTCGCGCATGCAGTCTCTCTAATTACACACGCATTTGCAACATGATGAAATATATACTGCAGGAGCTCGACATCTCCAACAACAATTTCGTCTCGTTCAGCCAATCTGAGCTATCATTCCTCAACTATGTTGATCGAGTATACTTGGCCGGCAATCCATGGGACTGCTCTTGCGCAATCCAAAGTATCCAGGTTGGTAAACATTTGACTCCAGTTGCTATTAAAGTTTATGAGCCGAATCCGAATCGTTTTTTTTTTCTACCATGATCTCAAATATTTGTGATTCATGGAAAGTATTCCAGAAAAAAAAACATGTTTGCATGACAACCAAAAACTACAAGTTTAAAAGAAATTTAAGAAAATTATGAATTATAAATCGTCCAATTCGTTTTTGAAGAGCTTTAACCAATCTTTTTTTTCATTGATAATAATTCATCGACTTTCTAGGTTCACATGAGAGAACGTTATGCTATGCGACATATTCTGAAGTACGATGAAGTCCGTTGTGCAAGTCCTTCCCTTGTCGAAGGCCATTCGGTTCTAGCCATTTCTGATGTAAGACTCTCCAATCATGTCTTCCAACCCGCGTTTTCCATTTAAGGTCAACGATTGTGCTGTGCTCTTTGGAGCTCGCTATGGGCTTACACAAACCAGCGAAATGCTGATACTCCTAGCCGCGCTGATATGCGCAGCGATCACACTTCTAATGCTTCTCGGCTGCATCTATTTCCTGCGAGAGCGTCAATACAAAGGCTCGTACGTGACACGGGAACATTCACGGACCCCATTAACCATGGCACATACTCATAGTTGTTCATCAAGTACCAATGGCCAACTTTCTCCGCAATTCGATCCATTCCAGGTGGATGGAATGAATTCCAGCGAAACGTTTAAGTCAATGCCTCCTTTGATTCCACCAGCCCCTCCAAAACCCGCATCCGCCTATTTCGGTATCTGATCCCAATTTCCGTGTGATTCACTCCCCCCTAGTCTGTCTTCTTTTTTTGTATATAATCCAGATCTCGATGAACAATACGGTGTATTCTTGCTTCTAATAAACAAATGAATTAATCGAGTTTGATAAATGAACGAAAGGAAGCACACAGGCGTGGTGCGAAGGTCAACTCATTTGTCAAACGCACACCCCGCAATGCATAATTGAAAAGAAAAACAATCGGTTTCGACGAAGGTAAGTGAGCAGAGCAACGAGGAGCATCGGCCAGCAGCAGGCAATTGCAAATCAATCTGCGACGATGACGGAGAAGACGTTGCACAATCTGTTATGACACTCGGCCCAATTAACTCATAAACAATGAGGAACACACGCAATCGCGCGATGAATTGATGACAGTTTGCGCGAATTATCTTGTAAAATATGAGGAGAGACATGTCAAATGACATCCATAAATGGGTTTGGTTCGCACATGGAACACGAACAAATCGAGCGACTAGAACAGCGAATGTGAAACAAATTCAGGTAATGTTGCAAAGATTGAATTGGATTTAGTCGCATTGACGGAATTTCTGTTATATTCCACCACATTAGATACCGTAGTAACCCAACTTTTTCGATATAATTCTATCTCCCCGTATTGATATTTTCTAATCTGTCGCCATAAATATTTCGGTCGTGCCCATTATGGTTTTTCATTTCGACAAGAATAAGAAGAAAGAACGGCAAATTGGGCTTCTGGATGTAATGGGACCTTCTCAGACCTTCAATTTGGGACGGCAGAATTTCAAAAAAAAGATGACCATCACACCTCATTCTTCGCGCCAAATGTGGCGTGTTGAAGGGGCAAACCCTCAAGGTTACAATCAAATCCAGCGTCGAGGACCGCCGGCCGGCCGGCTGCATCGTAAATCTTTCCTTTTCCGGGAAAGAGCCGCGAGCAGGAAGACAAGAGATCATTATCAAATGCACACATTACGACGCTTTGCGTGTATCGCAACCAGCAATCAAATGTGTATATCCCCCGATGAATCATTAGTTAAGCTACTAGTAACATCAAATGAGCACTTACCAATCCCATGCTAAAATAATTGAAGAAGAAGTGTGGAAGGCCAATAAGTGTTTCCTTCGTTGAACCACGATGAATCCTGAAATGTTATTATCCAAATGTAAAAAAAACACGGTTAGAAGCGTAGATGATAAAAGGCTTACTTCATTTTGTCTTCCGACTTATAATATACCTTCGACGGTGCCCCAAGAGCTGTCTGGACTACCTGGAAATTAATATTTCATAATTCTCGGGAACATAGATTGCAAATTACCGAAACCGGGTCTCCAAAATAGATTTTCTTCTCAACACTGTACACTTCAAGATCTCCATCGATCAAAGATCCAGCTGGAAATTATTTTTAGAAAAAGGAGAAAGAATACTTCATTAATTCGTGTCGTTTTAAATCAAATAAGCAATGCGTAACTTATAATTTGAATTGCGCGGACTAAATATTGCACAAATTGAATTTTAAAGGTTCCCCCAAAATAATGTGTGGCAGTTGACCCGGTGCAATTCAATATTTCAGATTTGGGGAAAAACGACAATATTGTTTTAATCATTTTATAATAATTTAAATTCGACTCACTTTGTGTATCAAACGTAATATGAAGACCAATAAGATCCCCATTTTCCCAAATTGCTTCGATTAATCGTGTGCGATTTTGTCCGCAGAAACACGAGAATGGAATATCCACGGACCTAAATCAGAAAATAACATATTTGAAAAAGAATAGAATATCGCGGAATACTCGGGTCTGCTCAGATCGGTTCCCTGGTATATCGACATTTTCGTGAGTCTTGGTTGACAACTGGCATCATACTTGAGAGAAAGCATGTTGGGACCGAATCCGGGCTGAATTCGAGTGATTTTTGAAAACATTTTTAACATACCTCAAGCCGAATCGCGTCGTTTGTGCCGTTCGAATCGGTTGGAAAGCAAAACGACAGTCCTGGCCAACTTTGTACATACATTTTCTGTTTTTCATCATAAGCTGCAACAAGTGGAAATAATTACTGGTATTGTAGACAGAATTCGGTACCTCCTGGATGAGTCGATCCAAAAACATTGTTCAATTTGTCCAGTGAAGTTTGTGCAAATGGCTCAGAAAAAATAACATTTCTAAAAAGCTATTTAATATATTCTCGCGGCCTTGTTTTGAAAGTTTACCCATAGCTTAAAGAGATTCTTGATAAGTTGTCAACTTCAATAAGCTTTAATAATTGAGTCGGACCATCGAAATACAGTTTTATACCATCTGAGCTGAGATATAAACAAACACTACATCCAAATACGTCCTGAGATTTTAATTATACTCTATTCTATTGATCAAATCGTTACTTTTTTCGAGTATTTCAATTGAATTTTGCCAATAAGGCCCGCATTTTGCTGACACATCGTGATTATTTGATTCAATGGCATTCCTAGAAGAAACATCAGCTTTTCGTTCTTCAATCCTACATGGGGAACCACCTGAAACAAAAATTTCAAATTGGTTTCAAAGTAAAATATGAAATATGAAAAGAAACTACCTCTAGAGTGAGCGGCGTCTTATTCGGAGTCAAATCGATCGGCGCTGTCTTCGATTTAGCACTCATCTCTTTAGTAGCTGAAAACCGATAATCAATGTCACTTGTTTTTTTTATTGCTTTATCGAAATTAAAACACATGACTAGTATGAGACATCAAACAGGTCCGGTAGGGCGCAGTTGCTGCATCTCTCGAATTACATATCACAGAATATTGAAAAAGTATTGAAGTTATGTATAAATGACCCTCAAAGGGGTAAGATTCTTCGATTAATCAATTTATTCAAAAATGTGTTTTAATTGAATCTGGTCGATCGATAATAAATTGACTTATGCAACCATTTCTCACAATTTCGCTAAATCTTTTTTTAAATATTGTGAGAAATTTGTAAGAATACGTGACACCATATCAATTGAATTTTTCGAACGGGTTTTTCGCAAAAATAAGACATCCATGCCGGCGCCCGCAAATTTTCAAAGAGACGTGCTCGTTCGGAGATATCTTCCGATTGTTATGGCATTAAGCCTATTTTCCGTAGTCGCAAAATATACCACCTTGTCAAGATAACAGAAAAATAGGAAAATTCAGCAAAAGTTTTGATTTATTCACATAATTTGCCCATATTAGTAATAATAAAAAATCGACCGGAGAAAAAATTTCAACTGTTTAGAAAACCCGTTGTGAGATAAAATGATTTAAAAACGGGTTATCGCATCGAATTTAAAGTCGATTCAACGTCTCGGCTCGCTTCTCGGAATCGGCGAACAGTGCTTGAATGAGTTTGACGATTTCAGCGCGATTGAGATGCTCAGCAAGTGGTCCTTTTCCATTAAACCATCTCATTTCAATATCCTGCATGCGGTTTCCAAGTACAAAAATGATCTCTCTCAATCGGAAATACTCGACAGAACAGAATTCGGTGGCTCTTCCCTTGTCTCGATACTGTATAGATGAATTTCGATATATTTAAAGAAGGGATTGTAAAATACCATCAGAATCTCGTCAATCGCTTGAAGCAAATTATTGAAAATATTTGCCATCGCATTCGCGTCATTCTCTCGAATATCACTCGTTGACAAAATATGACGAGTAACTGAATCAAGAAGAAAAGAAACCAACGAAGCAATTGATTTGCAGTAAACTATTTCAGTCATTACCTGAAAAGAATGTATTGCTGACGTCGTGCGACTGTGGAAAATTGGCTAAATACCAAAAAATTTAAAGAGGTCTCGTTGGTCTCGAGTGTGCCTTTAACCTATACTTATACATAGGCCGTAAATCTCCAGTTTAAGTTTTGTGCCAAGACCATTGCCATTCATTTAGCCAATTTTCCGAAGTTGCGCGATGCCGACATTATTTTTAAAAACTTGAAAAATACTCACATCTCTGAATGTTTTAGCAATAGAATTAATGTAAAGAACACAGGCGGCCAACGATTGCACAAGCTTCGGCTCTCCTTTGGTATCAGTGCTTGAATGCGAAGATGAAGTAGAAATTGTGTTCATAAAGGCGTTCTGTTGCATCTTATAGTTTTGCGGGAAATGCTCAAAAGCTGCAATTTTATGCTCATTTGGGAATTGTAAGCATTTAGATAATACCTTGATGATCATCCAGATAAACGGAGAGGTCTCGACGGCTTCTAATCAACGTCTGTTCAAGGCAATCTGCAGCAGCATCGCGAAGTCGAACGATGGAATCGGCGATTAGTGCTTCGAACACTTTCATCTATAAATTTCGAGAAAATTTGCTGAAACTTTCAATACTAAAATCGTACCGAATCTTTGTTTCCCACTTCAAACGGCATTGTCATAATGCAATGAGCAATGTAGTGGCAATTATTGTAAAACATCGCTGAAAAAGAGAACACGATACGAGAGTTTGGGCGGAATGAATAATTTGAACACGCGGAACACAATTGTTTGCGCGATTTCGGTACACTCAAATTACTCGAAGATTTCTAACCGGCAATATGCGGAACAGAAGTGAAACTTTCGGCATGCTTCCTAGGAGATACAATAACGTAGAGTCGAACAATGTTCTGCGCTGTCGTCGACAATTTCTCGCGGGAAGCTTCATCTGTCATCTCAATAGCGGCAGTCATGACATCTCGAAGAAGCTCAACAAACTCAACAGCGGAAGTGCTGAAGATGGATATTAAATTTAAGATCTTTCCAATTCTCTTACCTAACAGTGCATTTCTGAATAGCGAACAAACTCGGATATTCTCCTTCTCTTCTGAACAACTTGGCCAAATTTGGTGCCTTTTCCTCCATTTTTTTGCAGATAACCTGTTCGATGGAATCCTGTATAAGCGATTCGCCGGCGCGTTGTTCTGTGCTACTTCCAACCTAAAAAATCACAATAAACACTAGAAATACTAAAAAAAAGTCTAACTGTTTTCATGTTCGTATAGCTTTCGTTAATCAGTTTGTTTGCTCTTGTAACAATTGCAAAACAGCGGCGATTGATGAAAATGGTTTCTCTGTCGAAGTTGTAGACAAGTTTGGAGGCTTGAGTGAAGAATTTCAATTCCTGAATATAAAGATTTAAATAAAAAGATATAGATTAAGAAAGTCTAAATGCATACTTTCATGTAATCGACGAATCGTTCACCGCGTTCAATGAGTTTGCAGAAAGCTTCCTGATCAGCATCACCTGATTCGCAAAGTGGAGCGGCGATGGCGATTACGTCCTGAATAATAGGTTAACAACGTGTAAAAATATAAAAAAAAAATAATACGGTAAGAATTATTTTAATCAAGGGTTCCTCGATATATTTGCCAATTGCAGAACGAAAACTTTGCATAGAAGCATCGAGAAGAGTGAGATCACCGAGGACATCAGCGAGTTGGGCGAAAAATTCCTCCATAGAACTTTAAAAGAAAAAAAATAAAATGTAAGTGACCAAATTAGCAAATTACGTAAGAACTTTCTCAACATCCATTGACTTTTTATTGGCGTTTTTGGGACTTGGCAAAAGTATAAATTTAAAGTTTTTCGGAATGGGCTCCTGAAATTGAAATTATTTTGCAACATGAAATGCTTCATGAAAATTACCTGAATCAGGAACACATTTTGTCCATCGCGACTTTTCACAATAGCTGAACAGAACACGTCAACAATAATTGATTTCCAGTTTTCGAGTCTCTCGTTCAATTGTCCGATCATGTTCATTGCTGTTAAACTTTGATTCAATTTTTCAAGATGTACTGGATCTCCGACTTTAACAATAGTCATTGAGATATTTGATTTATCACTCGTTTGCTTTGAAATCTGAATTAAATTTCGACTTTAAACACCAATTGGAGTAATATCTCACTTTTGGAAGCTTCATATGGATTTCGTATTCTGCTGAGAGGAAATATCTGCATTGGAAGTTCATCTGCGAGTATTCAGCAGCAAAATTTTTCAATGCTGCTGTCATATCGTATCCATCTTTTAAAATCTCCTCAGCTTGAGCATTAGCATCCCGTAAATGCTCTTTACAAGCTATAAGAGCTTGTCCCCATTTCATAGTATCACTTGAAGACGATCGTAGAATAATTAGTTGCTCTTCAATGGATTTCATCTAAAATTCAATGAAATTTGGAATTTTAAAATGTTTACTTACCACTTGAATAAATTCCAATAGTTTTTCACAAGTTGAAGCCTGCTGTTTGTATTCTACAAGCTGTAAAACCCCCAAAATTTTCTATGATTTTCAATTTAAACACACCCTTGTCGTATTTTCCTTTCCGCATTCGTCAAGCAAACTACTAACTTCATTGCGTTTCATATCCGCGAGTTCTTCCAAATTCTCAAGACGATCAAAAATACGGCGAGCTGTTGCTGGAATATTAAGCGCCGGTTTCAGCTTATCGTATTTATCCTCGATGTCGTTTGAAATCGAGATCATTCCATCGCGTAGTTGGCGAACAAGCTCTTGATAAGCGAGCTCAACTGATGTCATGATGCTAAAATATAATTCGTTGCGAAAAAATCCGACTTTTCACAAAAGAAAAACGAAGAATGAAAAATTTTAGCACAATGGCGCGAAATTTGAATTTTCTAAACGATGCTCCGCTGAACAGCGCCCGTTTTTTACCTTATAACCTACGTGAGCTATGTTTTTTATTATTGTTTTTTTTTTTCAAATCTCGGTATACTTGTCTTGCAAATCATAAATATTTTTCAGTTTCGGGTAGAAAAAAACCTGCGTTTTTCCCAATTTGTCGATAACGATTTTATTTCACCAGAGCATTATTTATCGATTGAGAAATTTCAGGCAATAATGCTAGAACATAATCAAATTGCGATGTCAATGCTGGCAATGGCGGAAACTTTGCGAACTCAACATCCACCAAAGCTAAAAATGGCTATAAAATGCGCAAGGGTAAGGAAATCATTTATCAATGCGAATTTCGATTCTTTTTCCAGGGTGCATTGAAATTAAATCTTTCCCCTGAAACTGTAGCTCATTGTCAATTACAATTGGGAAAATTATTGTTGTTTTACACGGATCATTATGAAATAGCGAGACAACATTTACATTATGCCGTAAGTTGTAATTTTATAAGCATATTAATTATATTTAATTTAATTATAGTATGAATCCTTAACGACTATGGGCGATTTTTACGTTTTAAAACGTCTCGAGGCCCTTTCTCTGCTATGCGATCTTTACATTCATAGCCAAATGTGGCCAATGAACACAATTTTGGGGCTTATCCGAAAAGAAATGGGATATGCTAAACAATTTTCGCATTATCATCACAAATTGCTTCTTTATTTCATTGTAAGCCGATTTTTTCAAATTACCCTGAAAACGCTTGAAATTCTCAGGAAGCCTGCAAAATTGAAAGAAACACAAAAGCGGCTTTGGATGCATGCGATCTTGCTATCCAATCAATTGAAAGCCACAAACCCATGGAGTTATATTTCCGGATAACGAAACATTTGGTTTGTAATTATTACTATTATTATTATGCGAAAAATAATTGAAATTGTTATAGGTTCGATATCAAATGTTGCGGGAAGAGCCTGATCCGCAAGATGTTCTTCAAATAGGTGCAATGATAAAAGAATTGGAACAAAATCCAATCATGGAGTTTCATTTGAAGAATATTAAAGGTTTCTTTATGTGCACTAAATTGGCTTTCATGCTTTCCGAAGGATTGGTATGTGAATCGACTAATTTCTATAATTTTCCTTTTTTTAATTACAGTCCAGAACGTCTCGGTCGCTTTTAAGACAGCTTCAGCATGAAGTTACTACAACTTCTAAAGATTGCATTAATGGCATTAGGTTGGATTTAAAAAAATTAACTATCAATCTCCTTATAACTAAAGTTTTTTAAATTTTGATTCACGATCCTTGTATTTTTTGTTCATGACACTCAAAAATCATATATCGTATACGTTGAAAGATTTAAGATAGGAAATTTGTTCTATTGGGGGAAGTGTATGTTAGAGAGAATTATTTGTTTTTAAAATTTGAGCAAATTTTTACAACATCTTTACCAATAAAATTTCGGTAAATTATGAGTAAATAGGATAGTTCTTTAAAAAAAATTCCGACAACACTCATAAGAATAAAAGTTTTTAAATTCCAGATGGATGGATGAAACCGCAATGACCGTTTTTGCCTGTGTGATGACTGTCGTGAGTGCCGTGGTCCAATGCAGTTACGACCGTGCTTATAAGTACCATATGATTGCCATCAAACATGCTGATGATATTATCACAAAGGTGATCCTTTTATCTCTTTAAAGAGCCCATAAATAGGTATGTTTGTAGTCGACACGAACCCCTCAAGAATTCGCCGTGGTTCGTTGCATCAATCAAATGAAAATGACATCTCTCGAATTGATGGCGACGTGTAATATTATGGCTTGTCGGCCAGACGCATGTCTCAATAATGTAAGCTTTTAAACTAATCGGAATCAATTAAATTGCTCGTTTGAACTTTTTAAAACTTATATTTAGATGCGCGACATGATCATATTCAGCTCAAGATGTGGTGGTGAAATTCTTCAACGAGAATTCGAACCGCATTTGCAGTATCTTCTTGGAATGCTGTGCAGCTATACGAAACAGTATGACTTGGCTGAGAGGCATTTCGCAAGTGCTATTGAGGTATTTGTCCAATTATCGTTAATAATGTATTCGTCGCATTTTCAGATGTATAGCAAAAGAGGAAATGATTCTAACATTCTGTGTCTGCTTTATGTAAATCTTGCACTAACATATCTAAATCAGATGAAACTTGTGGAATATTACGATATCGCAGCACAGTATGTTTCAGATTTTGTCTTTTGAAATTTTCGGATTTCGATTTTTAGCTTAGCCCCATCCAGAATAGCAGATTGCTCGCCAATGGTTCGGAATAACGTCAAATTCTTGAATGCGATTTATTACCATTTGAATCAGAAACCGAATGAGTGCAAGTATGTTTATTAGAAAAAAAATTAGATTTTAATTATTTTCTCTCCAATTCCAGAAGTGTCATTCATGAATTGTTACAAGACGCAAAAGCTGAAGACTTTTTCCGACTTCATGGTCTCGCTTTACTAATGCTTTCATTATTGGCGCCGGTTGATGAAACGGTATTGATTTTGCAAACTACTATGTAGTTGAAATTTCAAAACAAACTTAATTTTTTTTAAATATAAATCAAAATTATTCTACATTTTCATGTACGATAATGAGTATAATTTCAGAGCGTCAAGCCGACAGTTGATTGGAGCAAAAAGTCATATGATCACGCGGTTGTTCTGTGGAGTCATAATTTTTATGCGAGTAGGTGAAATTGTCAAATAATAATTCAATTTCGGTCATTCAGAATTGTTATCGCGACGAGGTGAAGACACGACGGAGATAATGGCGGAAATCACGAAATCGTTTGACGCTCTCAATGTTGATCACCTCATACGGCAAAGTATGGAATCACAGGCTGCTAATCTTGTAAATGTAAGCTAGTATATTGTCGGCTTCGCGCGACTGCAGAAACTGGGCTAACTGCCAAAAAATGAAAAGGCCCTTATGGTCAGGAGCCCCGGCCAATGTTATTTGCCCACCATACCTGTAAATCTTCTCTTTTAGGTTTGCGCTAACATCGCTGCTATGCTAGTTTTTTTTAATATTCAGTCAATTTCTTGTAGTCGCGCGACGCCGACTTACGAAGTTTTTATATATCTTAATAGTAAATTTTCAGTGGGTTGATGGAAATGTACATGATTATATGCCAAAGGACGACTTGTAAAATAGAAAAATGTTATATTCTGTAATGTTTGTATAATTTTTTTTTCTCTGCGATCTTATTTTCTACCCTTTTCTCTCTTGATCTCTCACATAAAAATGGTTTGCATTCTATCATAGAATTTATATGTGTGTTCGCGCTGGTTTTTTGCAAATGAACAAAATATAACTTTATATATTTTATATGCAACTCTACCAGTGATGTTGCGAAGTTCTGCGAATGAGCCTAGATCGGAGCACAATAGGCGAGCAGATCATGTAAATTGCAACCCATTTTACAGCAAATCGTCTGGAGCTGTCTGATTGATGGAGCAATGAGAGCACGCTTTCCTTAAAATGCTTTGATAAGCAGGTACAATGATTAAAATGCTTGAAATACTTTGAAACGGCTCCAGAATGTCTCGTTTCCTACGACGCATGGAGCACGTCATCGACCAGGCCATTGTGAACGTTGAACCTCCCGGTGGACACATCTTCATTCGGCCATCTGAAAAATTTATCTACCCTATAAAATTTAAATATAGCCCATCGTTTAAATATTAGAACAGTTTCCTGTTCGTGATTATATTTTTAATTTACGCGCCAAATTTTCACGAGAACTTTTTAGCAAATATGTATCACAAAAAACGAGTGCGTTGCTTAATTGTGGACTCTCGCAGGGCGCCCTTTTTTTTGGGAATATATTATCTTCTTTAGAAACGTCAGTTTACTAAATTAATAATTTTTGTGAGAAAAATTATAGACATTAATTTAGATATAATTCATTAAGTATAATCAATTATGTGAAATTTTGCGTGGCGTTTATAATATGAATCTCTTTCAATTTTTTTCCTCGAGATTCAACTTTTTTTTGTTTAATCAATTTTTTCTGAAAGGTGTTCATGAATGCCGAATAACCACAGCTTACATCTCGTATGCCAACACTTAAACATTTATACATATGTGCGAATTGAGCTGCGGGCATTGCTCCGTGCTGTTAAAATGTTTGAAGATCTCAAACTATTTACATATTCGTTGAACTTTTGAATTTCAGTAATACGTATATCATCTGATATCATGTTGAGGGTACTTTGAAAATTCGCTGCAAAATTTTTGATGAAGTTTTCAGAATTTTGAACAGATGGCACGTTTCGAGAAGAAAGTTCCCGTTTTCATCCAAATTGAAAGAAATGCTTGAATTTCGTAAGAAAAAATGGTGCCTTTTGTTGGAAACAATACACAATCGTAGAATATTCAATCAAAGTGCCGTTTCGCGGGCAAAATGGTCCCATTATGTAAATGTTGCTGCTCATTTTGTCGAACTCATTTTTCTTGTTTAAATGCTTCTTGCTTGCCTCTTTCGTCGCAATTGCCTCATAAATAATCGAGAAACCCTCATAAAATTTATTACAACTATTTTTTTTGGTTTTGCGCTGGAAATTTCGAAAGGAAAAATCATGCGGGTTTCGAAGATCAATAAACCGCAACTTTATGCGTTTCGAGAAAACGAAAATTATTTCAACAGCAAATCAACGAGCATCTTGAGTATTGTGGAAAAATGACGAATGTGAAAAACTGCAGCGAAATCCTATGCATTGTGTGCGTACACCGAGTCGCACATCTCGATCTTAGCTACAGTAATCTCAATTGAAAATTATTTAATTAATTATTTAAAAAAAAACTTCTGTGTTTTCTTGACGAATTAATGGGTTTATGTATATTTTTGTTGAAAAACTGTAATAGTAATCAGTTTTGTATATTATTCAAAGTTAATTGTTTTATATAAAAAGGAACGATCAATAATTTATTAAATAATTTTCAATTGAGATTACTGTAGCTAAAATCGAGATGTGCGACTCGGTGTACGCACACAATGCATAGGATTTCGCTGCAGTTTTTCACATTCGTCATTTAATTGTGGACCATCGCATTTTTCGAGGCGGTATTTCAAATTTCGATTTCGACAGAGAATCAAACACACCGTAAATCTACACGGGTGGCTCATTTTTGTAAAAATATTTTAGAAGTTGAATTTCGAAATCATAATAGTTCTGTTCAGATTTGGAAAAACTAAAAAAAATCGTTGAAAACTAATTTTGCTCAATCTGCATATTTTCAATAGAAAGTCCGACCATTGACGGAGTTCTCCATAATATTTTAATATGCATACAGTATGGATATCAATTGATATTTATTCTCAAAATTTTTTTGAATGGGAGGTTTTGGAAAATTTTTGTGAGCTAATTTTGTGAACTAAAAATTTTTTATTAAACGATGTAAAAATTGCTAAAATTTTCAAATCAAAGCGATTTTTTCAATTTATAGGAACGGTCTATTAAAAATTAAGATTTTATCCAGCTTCATCAAGTATTTAGAATTTTTTTTAATTTTTTGATTTTCAGTTGACGTCTGAATAATTGTGAGAAACTTCATTGAAATGAAGAATTTCTGAATTTTCTTGGGCATTTCCAGAACTTCTTTTAATATATTTTGCATTCGTTTTTTTTTTTTTAAAAATCGGATTTTACACAGATTTTTCTTGTAAAACCCGCAAAATCACATCATTGTCGACTGCTAATCGTTTTCGCACTTTTTGTCGTCAAAATAACAAGTACAATATTCACTGATATAGATTATCTGTATTGTTGAAAAATGACAAATGTATCCAGGTGTCGTAGGATCCTGCGTTTTGTACGCAATGCTAAGAGACAGTTACCGTAATCCTCGCAGCGATTTACGGGAACTTTTTTTTAATTTCGCATATTCATTTTTTTTATTTTTCGTTCAATTTTTTTAATTTTCTTTCGAAATTTTTTAATTTAAATTTTTAAATTTTGCAGAAATCGAGTTTAATAATGTATTTAGCAGAATAAGCACTATTAAACGATATTTTTTGGTAAAAACAGCAAAGATTAAAAAGAAATCATTTTTGTCGTTAATAAAATTATTTAATCGTGCTTTGCTTTTTGTATGCGTTTCTATTATCTTGTTTTTGTATTCTTCATTTTCAAAATAATTTTTAGAGCGTCAAAATCTTCACAATAATTCCCAACTCAACTGGACAAATGGAAAAGTGCATATTCTGAAAAATAAATAATTAAATTCGGTTTCTAAAGGTTTTAAATATAAGATTTCTAAAGAAAACAAGAAAATTCAGCAAAAACAATTGAAAGAAAATTAAAAAAAAACTCCGTAAATCGCTGCGAGGATTACGGTAACTGTCTCTTAGCATTGCGTACAAAACGCAGGATCCCACGACACCTGGATACATTTGTCATTTCTCAACAATACCTTATTTGGAGTCTTTTTTTTAAAGTCTCTTCCTCTTTTCAAAAGAGGAGTGAGGAAGAATTTCAAAAATTCGTTGTTTTTAATTAACTCGTTAAATTTGTCGGACCATGATCATCAAGATACCAGAAATTATACATACATTTCAAATAAGGTCTACTTCGAACCCAACAACTTTTTCGTATGCATTATTATTGAAGAATGTGATAGGAAAAAAGAGAAGTAAAAATTCGCAAAAAAATGTGAGAAAATTCTTGAAAATTTATGCTTTATTTGTTAGAATTTGAGGTGGAAAATAAAAAATCGAATCGTTGTCCAAAATTATTCAAACAGAGATTTCGGGTTCTCCACAGTTCAAATTCGAATTCGGTGTGTGATAGAAAAACATTTTTGATTGAAAGAGTATAAAATTAAATTTTATTGGTAGTGAGAATAAATACGACACCTACTAAATCAAGCTAAAATATTATAATGATAAAAAAATTAAAATGTACAAAGTCGATTAGAAAATTGATTTTTTCTGATTATAAAGAGAATCGTGGATGTTTTAAGCAAAACTAGATAATTCTGGTTTGAAATTTTTTTTTTCATTTTAGAAGTGTTTCTTAACAGATGGAATCTTTAAGATATCGTATAAATTGGTTTGTAGACTTCAAAATTCTAACCTGTCTGCTGCAATGAGAATGTGCACAAATTGAGCAGAATGCACATTATAATGAATAGAACTGACTCGGTCCGCATATTAGCTGTAGTTGCTGAAATCCCAAGTTTTTTTCTTATAATATATATATATATATAGCACGGCGCAATGAGAGCAATGCGAAAGTGGGCGGAGTCAGAGGCGGAGCCACAAAAATAAAATGACGAGGATGAAGAGCAACAAGCAAATTTATGAGAGGCAATTAAATGCCATATAATACGATTTCAATTTGTTTCTTTTCATCGAAAATAATTAAAAATATAATGGATTTTTGTTTGAAAGAAAATCATCATAAAACATTGAAAAAAAATTGACGTCGAACAGAAAATTATCAACTGCTTATTTAACTTTTTATTCGCATTTTCAGACGGTAGATACTGAATGGGGGGAAATGATGAATATTTGAAAAATGTAAAAAATTTAATCGTCGCGAGAATTGAACTACAAAAGCATATTTCGAGTGCGCCTTTAAATTGAGAATTATAGGCGTAGTATCCATCGAAGAGATGAAGCAGAAACAATTGTAAGCAGTGTGAACTCCCGGGAGGAAATTTCCGGGAAGTATTCGTTTTAAGATTGCCGGTATTCTCGAAAATTTCGGGAATTTTCATCTCCACAAAAATCCAGAAAAGTCCCGAGACTTCCGGAAATTCCCAAAGACTTCCGAAGAATCTCCTTGGAGTCTTCGGAAACTCCTGGGAGTCTTCGGGAGTCTTCGGGATTTTCCCGAGACTTTCCCGGGTATTCGGCACAGCGTCCCTAAAATTTCCCGGAAGTCTTTGGGATTTTCTCGGAAATTTTCTACATTTCCCGGGGAAAAAAAAACTGCTCGGGAAAATTCCGCATCTCATATGTCCCGGGAGCACACATCGATTGTAAATATTTTCTTGATGTGCTCTTCAAATAAAAGACGAAACCGTGAAATTTTTAATTGGTTTCGTTTTTCAAACAGTTCGCTTAAGGCTTAGAGCAACAACTCGCTCGGCCGAAGCCCAACACTGATCTACCTAAGCCTATAACTTGTTAGCCTAAAATAAGCGCACAAAAACACTCATATGGATCAATGTTTGATATAACCTTACCCCCATTCAGAAATATCATTTTTCAGCTTCCCCCCCCCCATTCAGTATTGGCCTTTTCGGACTATTGTACATATTTTGGAAATTTGCCAAAAATGCTCGAATAATCAAAGATGTTGACAAAAGTGTTGTTTTCGAGGCGAAAGTGCTCAATCAAAAATAATATCACACAATTGTACTCGGAGTTTTTGACTCATAAGAAACAACCAACTATTGTCGTCGGATTTCAAGGCTAATGAGATGAATGGGAAATATGAGAAATCGTTCTTAATTTGCTCTAAAAACTATAATGTTTTCTTGGAAAAAACTCGATAATTTTTTGCTATAATTGGTCTTGTTGATCATAGGATTTGGAATGAAAAGACTGGACGTGATTATATTTAAAAAAAATTCCCTTTCATGTTTTTTATAGAAATTTGTATGCATGAGAAAAAAAACAAGTTTCCACTTTTATCAGCCTCCATTTTTGGACTCGAAGAAGCAAAATATTCGCGGGAATTTGAACTCCCATAATTACCGTGCGTTTCTCACGATTTTGTTATTTTCTTCACTGATTGACAAATAAATAAAAAATTGAATTTTGATCGACGTTGTTAAGGAATGGGGGTCTTTTGGACAGGACTCAAGTATGTGTTCACCGATTTCTCGTGTTGGACATCAACGCATGGTGTGCCGCACATTGGAATGGCGAATGCCAGATGGCTGAGGTAATCAGAATCGAGGATTTAAAAAATTATCTTTCGAAATAGAATTTGCATTTTTTTAAAAATTATTCTTACCAGCCTATCCATGAAACGAACTTTTTTAAGCAGAAAAATGAAAAAAAAAAAGAATCACATTAAATGTGCATTTTTTTACAACCCTGCATTTGATGAATGTGTAATTTTTAATATTTTTAATAATAATTGTATGAATTAATTAGGTCCAATTAAATTATACATTTCCAGTTAAACGTTTGATTATTCTTCACGAGACAAACCTCATACAATTTTCAGAATCTTTTGGATTCTCGTCGTTCTGCTCTCCGTCGCTCTATTCCTATGGCAATTCGCACTTTTGCTCAAGAATTATTTATCATTCAGTGTCAACACAGAGACGACGGTATGTGAATTGAAACCAAAATTTAATTGGCCAATGATGAGAGCGAATAAGGAATTCATTCGAGGGCGGCATCCGACCGATTTTTGATTCGAGGTGAATGAAAACACCCCAATTTGCATTTATTTTCGATTCCGGCTGTTGACAAGAATATGAAATTCAATGTGCTCTCGAGCAAAGGGACCACAAATCGACAATGCATTGTCTTATGAATGAAATATTCAAATGTTTCGCCGTTTCCGTGTACTAATAATTCTTGATAAAACCAAAAAACATTCGTGTCGAAAATCGAAAAAAATTTCAACAAAATAATAGAATCTAACAAGACTCAGAACATACTGTTTAAAGGACCCTCGAGCAGATTTTTTTTTAGATTTTACAAACATCTTTACTGAAATGGTCATACTCTTTGTATGATTGTTTGAAATTTGAAAACCAAGCGAATTCCACGAAATTCGATTTCAGAATCGACCCGATTCAACTTGAATTTCTGCGAATTCGAGTGCAAACTTGTTGGAACCGATTGCTGTTTTTTTTTCGCATTCAATTGAATTTAAGTTATCATAATTTGGAAATTTTGAGAAATTGTAAAAAAAAAGAAAAGTAGGAAACTTGCCAAATCTGCAGGGAAGTTCATTTTAACCAAAATAAGTGCAACAAGTTTGAGATATTGAGATAACTGTTTCAGATATTAAAAAGACCATGATGCTGGAAATAACCGCTTCGGAAAATATCATGACAATTCATAAAATGTCTAATTGGTTCATAATGTAAATGCTACTAAATTATATATTTTACTATTAAATTGAATAATCTGAGAATAATGCGTATTAAAATAATCACATGGCATAGTAGTATACTAACTAAAAAAAGCTAAAAATAAAAACTAAAAATGAATTCTCACATTTCTATACTACACTTTTTCAGAGAATTGCGTTGACATCGTGTGATTCTAAGAATTAAAAAAAAAAACAATTATTATTATTATTATTATTATTATTAAATTTGATTTAGCTTCAATTCGCCGAGCGAACATTTCCAACTGTCACAATTTGCCATTTGAATCCATGGAAACTCGACGAATCAAGAAGTGTCGACGCGCAAATGAGCTCATTGGTATTCTATTGAAAAACGCGTAATCGAACGAACGAGAACTCGTGGCATACGCGTACCAAAATGATTTCTTTCGTTAAAAAATTTTACTTATCTAAAAAAATATCATTTCCAATTATACTATGAAAAAAATAACAATTTGAGATTGATGCTTATAATGAGGAAGCTTCTTCTCCGAAATTCGGATGGTCTGGCTCATTTGACGCAAAACGGCAGCAACAGGCGGCGAAATGGACACTCCTCTATTCGCAAAGACTACAAAATGAGCAATATAATGTGAGCAACACTACAAGATATTGTATATGCAAAATATGAACCTCAAAGAATTTGACGAGCTTTTTCTCTTAAATAACTAAGACGATTATTTCAGCAAGACTATAATATTGCGTACAGTTATGCGGATATGGTTGTGAGTTGTACATATAATGCGAAGACTTGCAATTTAACGTAAGGATTTCAATAAATTGTGTTTAGAATTTGAATAATTATTGTGGAAAAATGACGAATGTGAAAAACTGCAGCAATATCTTATGCATTGTGTGCGTACACCGAGTCGCACATCTCGGTCTTAGCTACAGTAATCTCAACTAAAATTATTTAATCAATTATTGATGATTTCTTTTTTTATAAAACAATTAACTTTGAATAGTATACAAAACTGATTACTATTACATTTTTTCAATAAAAATATATATAAAACCAATAATTCGTCAAGAAAACACAGAAGTGTTTTAAATAATTAATTAAATAATTTTCAGTAGAGATTACTGTAGCTAAAATCGAGTTGTGCGACACGGTGTACGCACATAATGCATAGGATATGGCTGCTGTTTTTCTCATTCGTCATTTTTCCACAATCCATTGACGGCGTCAATCGACTGAAGGGAGGCGGGGCCTTCAAATTCGCAAAATCAGTGTAGATTTAAATTTTTAGTTGACTGAATATTAAATGTGCGTACACTATAATGCAATGTACGTAGTCTATCGTACTTCTCGCTGCCTCGAGACGCATTGGCATAGAGCCAATCATTTTTTAAATTTCGTTAAGTCGTTCGACTCCGACAATACTAAATACATAATATGGTGCTGCTTCTCAACTTTTGTATACAATTTTTCAGTGATTTCACTGATTTTTACAATCCCACTTATGGAAATTGTTTGCAATTCAACAATGATGGCCACTATATATCATCGCGAGCTGGACCTTTATACGGTCTTCGAATGGTTATGAGAACTGACCAGAACACTTATTTGCCATGGACTGAGTCTTCTGGTGTCATCATTGATATTCACATGCAGGATGAGATACCGTATCCTGATGTGTTTGGTTACTTTGCACCTCCCGGAACTGCTTCATCTCTTGGTAAACACAGCCTAATTAGAAAATTCAAAAAAAAGAGCCGAAAATGAAACAAGATTGATTTCAAAATATTCTCACAAAATTTTTAACATTTTCTCAAAACCAACGATGTTTGATCCATCAGTTTTGCAATGATCGAACATTAAAGGAATGACAGGGACAATTATAAGATTAAGGTGTTAATTATGTGTCTACGAAGCGATTATCAAAACCTTATGGAACATGCACCGAACAGAAAACATTGGATACGACACATTATCAAGGAAAATATACTGTAATTGAAAACCTAGGGAAAGATAAAATATGGAGTTTTCAGGTTGAAGCTTGCTTCCGAAGTTGCCTACAGGATCGGATTACCGATCAATGCGGTTGCTACTATCCAGCGTATTCACATGCTCCCAATACTACAGAATTCAAAACCTGTGATGATGGAACATTGAAAAATTGTAAGTCTAGAACGCATACATAGAATGCATACTGTTTTTTTTTGCCCAGTGAATTGTATCGATGGTATAAACAATGCGAATTCGACAGAGTTCGACGTGCTCACCGATTGTAACTGTCCGCCACCTTGCGAGTGAGAATTAGAATTTATTTATATTTTATTTTTTTTCGCTGGTTGCTCATTGATGAATTTCAGAAGTGACTCGTTTGGCGTGACAGTTTCTACTGCAAAATGGCCGTCGACATCTTATACGGTAATCAAATCAATTTGCTAGTCGAATACTTTTCGTTTCAGCCCACCGATTGCAATCCGAGCAAATCTGGAAGTGGACCATGGGTTGACGCTGGAGAATCTTGCATTGATTGGTTTGTGCCGTTCATCGGATGTTTCATTCAAAATTGATCATCTAAGGTATAAGGAGAACACACTTCTTATTGAAATATACTACGAACGAATGAACTATCAAGTTCTTACCGAGTCTCCAGCTTATACTTTTGTCAATTTCATTTCGGATACCGGCGGACAAGTCGGACTCTTCCTTGGTATGAGCATTATATCGGTCGTTGAGTTTTGTGTCCTCTTCTTCCTTATTTGCTATTATTGTTTAACGCACAAATCGAGAAGAATGGAGATTGAGAAAATGGAAATGGATATCAAGAAAGCGAGGGTAACACGCAGAAAAGAAGAATTTCTGTTGAAAACTCTTGTTAAGGATGAAGTCGAAGAAGTCGCTGCAAAACGAAAGAAGCATCAAATGGACAACGCTGGAATCTACGAAGTCGACCACACCGATGTTGTGCCACCGAAACCTGTCGATAATACTTAATAATTTATTGTCAATTAACAAATCAAATTAAAGAAATCGTTGAGTTTTGCTATTGGAGAATCTTGAAGCGAATTCTTTCAACCTATCTACAGCTTCTTTACTGGCTCCAGGTTTTAGGCCACGAACTTCCATGTCTTTCTCGCGATCGAATGGCCGACGCGTATTTGGATTGTACGCCTGAAACACACAGCAAATGTTTCAAATTAAAAAAAATTTTGAACAACAAACCTCTGGAGCTTCTTCTCTTCGTTTTTTCTGGTACATTTCTACAAGAGTTGGGCCTGCGGCTTTTTCTTCAACAATTGCGGCTTGACGAGCATCGGATTCAGCGATGCCTGGAGCAATTACAAGCTAAAAAATAGTAAATGTTAACAAAATATTTGATAACAAAAAACGTACTTTTTCTTCAGCTTTTCGTTTTTTGGCTCCTGGAACATCTTCCCATGTCGAATCCCTCTCAACAGCTGTTCCCTTCTATATATGTTTCTATTTATTAAATTTTCATCATAAAAAACCTAATACCTTAAACGTTCTGGCTCCCAATCCAATATTGCCAAGCGTTTTCGGCACAGATGTCATCCATTCTTCACGTTTCGGTTGCGCATTCTTCTCTTGTTCCTCGGCTTCTCGTGCAACAGCAATACGATAGAGTCGTTGAAGCTCTTCCTGCTCTTCAGTACCTTTAGCGATTGGACGAGGACCCTGATATGTTCAATTATTATATATTAATGGACCTATTTCGTGTTTGCAAAAATGTCAAGTTTGTCATTTTTATAATACTTAATTCAATTACGCTAAAAATGACTATTTCGACTTTTCGCAATACGCGGAATAGACCCTTAAATATTGAGAATAGGTTTTACAATATCCTCCTCATCTGAATCATATCCTGGTGGAAGAGAAGGGCCGGCGCATGGCTCGAAATTGGACGGAAGTGTTGGTCCGTAGCAACGCCCAACCTATAATTTAGTTCGTTTTTTTAGAATAATGTTTCGTTACGAAAAATTCGCTTAAAAAAACCTATGGCAGCGGTTTTGGAGTAAATCTAAAAAAAGGTAGATTTACGGGCTTAACAAAAGGATAAGTTAAAGACGCCACGCTCAAAGACCATATCTAGATTTTTTTGACATTTAGCCAATTTTCAGCAGTCGCATTACACCACAAAAGCTTCTCTTACATCTTCGCCTTCTTCCTCTTCTTCTTCATGTTGTTTCTCATCTTTCTCTTTAATTTCCTCGTCGAAATATTTAACGGGATTCAAAAGAGCCTGTGGAATGATTGGCCCAATCACAAATGGCGGCTAAACAATCTCAATTATTCGAATTAATTCAACGATCACAACCTGTTCCTCTTCTTCTTCGTTTTCTCGGGATTCCTCGTCTTGCCCGGGAATTACCGGCCCAATTACGATTTTCTGAATTGCATATATTAAATTCGGCAAAATAATATCAATATACTTTTTTGGTAATTTCCGGTCCAATTTTCCCAGCGTCTGCAGATGTCTCTTCATTTTTTTCTTCGTTTTCTTCTATTTTCTTAAAAATATCATTTAGTTTTCAATTTTTTGATTATAGTTTACTTTAGCTAAATGAGGCGGTAAGGTTGGACCAATATACGCCATTTTCTGCAAATCTTGAGGTAAAAATTTTTGAATTAAGAACAATAACGGAATGATTTAATTAAAAGTAATTTTACAAATTTAATATCGCAAACAATTTTTAATAGTGACCGTGCTTGAATTATAATTCGAAAATAGCGCGCTCATGTGGAAAAAATCTATTTTGATGTTTTTTTTTCTTTTCTGAAAACCTTGGTTTGCCGTAAACAAAACAAAGCGAGATTCAGTAAAAAATTGAGGCGAAAAATAAAAAGAAGCGTCCTGGCCGTGGACGAGGCAATTCTCCAACGAAAAGTTCGGTCACGTGAAATTTAATTTCGTGGCTTTTCATCATTTCCTTTTCCGTTGCGCATCGATCTGCGTTCACGTTTTCAAAACTTTTATTCTTGTGCGAAATTCAGAACAATAGAAGAAGAAACGAATGTCATGGCTTTCAAAAGTTACCGATATTGCTGGCGCTGCTGAAAATTTATTAAACAAGCTAGATGAAAAGGTAATATTTTTGTATCCTTGTGGAAATACGAAAAAATGTTTTTAATATTCAAACATTCTTATTGGTAGAAATTTTAGACTGGTGATGCAATATTATCTGCGAAAGAGGCAAAAGCAAAAACTAGAAAATCGAGTACTGCCATTAGCATTCCGGAAAATGTAGTGACCGAAGACATTGGGAAACCAGCTCCGTCGATACCTTCAAGAGCTCAGAGCGAATATGCGGGTAACAGTTGGCGATATGAGCAGTCAAGTTCAAATAGTCAACCTGGCGCGTATGCGGCGACTGCATCAGAAAGCTGGACAATGGTTCTAAACTCGAAGAACGTCAATTCAAGGAGAGATGATGATGATAGTCGTAGTCAGAAAAGCACCGGTGGACGAAGCGTTGCCAGTTTTAAAACTACATGTAAATTTCTCTGAACATTAAAATTTTTAAACTCATACATTTCAGCGGATGCTCCAGGCAATGAACTATCTAGCATAAAATCTCAGTTATGGGCAAAAGAATCACAAATCGCCGTGTTGAAATCGAAACTTAGCGTAAATTATTTCAAGATAATTTATATTCTAATACGAAATTTTAGGAATGCGAGAAGAAACTTGAAAAACGAAATCAGGAATATTATGAAATGAAAGCTGAAAAAGAAATAATTGAGCAACGCTCAAATACGCAAAATGTTGCAAACGATGAATGGGATAGTCTTCAAGAGCTGAAAAATTCGCGGAAAAATGCTCAGGACCAAAGAGAGCAGGCAATAGAGGAGTCAAATAAGCTGAAAAGGAAAGTAGTTGCACTTGAGGAAGAAATTCAAGCGATGGTTGAACAGTTGCGTCTTGCTAAATTTAATCTGAATGAAAATAAGAAAGAGTTTGATGAATATAAGACAAAAGCGCAGAAGATATTGAACGCCAAGGAGAAACTAGTAGAATCTTTGAAGGCTGAGGTATGCAAAAAACGCCAAACAAGAAGCTGAATTAATGTTTTAGCAAGGAATTGGTTCTAGCGATCGCCCTGTACATTTATTACAAGCAGAATTTGAGGAAATGCGGGTCGAAAGAGATTTGGCCAAGTCTGATTTGGAAGCTGCTCAAATGCAACTCTATACGCTTCGATCGGACATGGAAGAAATGGAAATCCAGATAAGGTTTGATTAGTTGAATTTCCCAAAGTTGCGATTTTTAATACTTAAAATCAGTTTTTAGAGATTTGCAATCTCAACTTTCCGAACAGAAAACAAATCATTTGGATGAGAAACAGACGTGGGAGAGTTCGATTGCGCTCCTCAATGAGAAAGTGGAATGTGCACGAATTGAAAACGAGTTCACAAAACAGGAAATGAAGCGACAAACTGATTTACATAACACAAAAATGGCGGAAAAAGAGAACGAGCTTAGAAAAGTTGTGGAGCAAACGAGAGCAAAGTGGGAACATGAATTGTCATCGAAACAAGGGAAATGAATTTTTTAGGATTCGAGAAGAGCAATCGAAGTTTGATGATGATGGAAATGCTCAGCTCGCAGATTTGCTGCTCCAAAAGCAGACACAGCTTAAAGAGGCCTTACGGACCAATCAAGTGTTGAATGTGAGGCTGGAAAGACTTGAGGTTAGAATTTTCATCATTTGACAGACATCGAAAATTTCAGAAGGCTTCTGCTGTGAAAGATTCAACGTCGATCAACATGGAATCGTCATCAGGTTCTTCTCCAAGTCATCCTTTTCTCTCGAATGTCCATGATCCCCGGGCCCGAAATGCACTGCAAACGATTGATTCGACGGCGTTCAAAATCCTCTCCGTTCTTCGAAATCACCCCTCCGCTCGTTTATTTTTTATCGGTTATATATTGATAATGCATATTTGGTTGTTCTTCATCATTCTCACTTACACCCCAGAAATGCACTAATAAGGGAACATATTTCAATGTGATAGCTAACCAGTGATTTTTTTTTAAGATTCGCCACTAATTCTTTGCTTCGTTGTTTCATAGCTTCTAATTGTATAAAGGGATTGTATTTTTCGTATTGTTTCATTTATTATTGTTTAATTCGTGGGTTTCGATCCGTCTTACCGGAAACAAATAATCGTAACGAGTGAGAGAGAGAGAGTGCATTGATAGTAGAGAGTGCAGACAGCGAGGTTTTCGAATGTGACTCATGCGGTGTTGAAATGTACAGAATCTTCACTCATCTTTGATTTATTTCTTGTTCTCGTATCAATTTGTTATACCCATTTTTGGATTTGCAGAATGTCATCCAAAGTGCCGCCAACTTTGAAATCAATTGGACATTATATCAAAATTGCCAACGAGAACGCCTCTCGCGATCCGGTTATTTATTATTGGTGTGAGTTTTTTTTTTCCTTTTCAATTTCCATAGCGGATATGACGTTTTGCGCGGCGAAAACGGTTCAAATCTAGATAATATTCTCGTTTTACAAAGTTCCAAAATTCGTTTTTTTAATGGTTTAAAATTGCTTGATTTTGATACGAATACGTGTTTTTGTGTTTCAAAAAAGCAATTTTAAGTTATTTTATAGAGTTCCAAATGATTTATAAAAGTGCTGGTTTTACGAAAAAAAATTAACTGTAAAAATGTGAATTCATACAAAAAAAAGTTCCGTTAATTTGAAATATAGCCCAATTCAAAATTGTATTTTAAAATAATCCTTGGCTTCAACGTTTTTTATTTATAAACAAAATTAGTGACAAAAGTTGCACTTTGAAAAATGTTTATTGTTTATTTGTTTCAGGTCTCTTCTATGCTGTACAATCTGCGATGCAACTTGACAAATCGTCTCCGGAGGCTCTCCAATTCTTGACGAGTCTTTTGACGACACTTGAGACCGTCAAGAAACAATTGCATGGAAATGAGGCGATTACGAATGAGGTGTTTCTTTTTGTAAATTTGGTTCTCATTAATTTAATTGATTTTAGACAATCGCTCAAGCCCACATTGAGGATTTTGCGTTGAAATTGTTCAATTTCGCCGATAACAAAGAGAAATCTGGACAGGTTGTTCGCAAAACGTTCACATTTTCTTGATTAAATGGATTGCAGATCGATAAATCGGTTGTCCATGCATTCTACACGGCTGGCCACATAATGGACATTCTATCATTGTTTGGAGAAGTCGAGGAGCCATTCGCTTCATCAAAAAAATACGCGAAATGGAAGAGCACCCAGATATTTGCTTGTTTGAGAGATGGAACACCGTACGTTCCGAGCTCTCAAGGAAACAAGAGTGTCGATGATGGTATGGAAATCAGTTTCAAATCAACTACAACTTTTCGCTTTTTTTTAAAGAACTTGCCGAATTTGGTCAACAATTCCAGCCAGGCGAATCATCGTCGTCATCTTCAGCTGCAGTTGCTCCTCCAGCTCCACAAGAACATAATTATCCGAATATCGGATTTGGCAACTTGCCAAGTGTCCCTTCAGGTATGAAACACTTTCAATTGGAATCAAATATATCTGAGGTAAATCGAATAAAATGTTTTGAGATTCATTGAGAAACTAACGTGTCTCTATAATATTTTAGAACTTATTATAGGATTTTAGAATTTGCTCAATAAATTTTAGAAAATCTTGTAAGATTTTAAAAAGTATTTTTAAGTTTAGCGATTCTCAATAAGTTTTAGAAAGTATCAATAAACTTTAAAATTTCTCGCAATTTTTTAGAATTTATTATTGAATATTTGATTCTCAAAATATTTTATTTGATTTGCCTGAGCAATTCGTTTGTTTTTTGGAAACATATAAGTGCATTATTTGTCAGTTTCGCGATATAATCCGTGAGCTCATTATTTTCATTAAAAAAAATTGAATTTTGAGTTCCTCAACCACCAGCGAGATCAAATCTTCCACAACCACCTCCGCCATCCTCATTCGATGTGCCGTCGATTCCAAACCGCGGAACGTCGAACTATTCTCCATCTCAACCTGAGCCGTCATCAATTCCAGTTCAAGGAGGGCAACCAACTGCCGAGGAGTTTGCTGAGACTCGCAAATTCATTAAATATGCGTTGAGCGCTGTTGACTATGAGGATACGAAGGCGATCCGCGATAACCTCATGAAGGCACTTAGCGTCCTCCAGAAATACTAATTGTTTCCACTGTACTATCATAAATATTTTGCCAATGATAATAATTTGATGTTTTCTTTTTCGAATGGTATTCAACCAATTTCTGTATTTCATTCATAATTAGAAGCACTCCTCAATAATCCATATTTAGCTCGAGCTTGTGACACCATGCACGATGCGGTGGAGAAAAAGAAAAAAGGATTAAGACTGTATGTTTGTTCATTCAATTTTCTTATTCATCCATTTGTTTAGGGTTGCTCGTAAGTCGATAATGAGTAAATGGCGTAAGCTGAATTCTGATGATTCTGATGTTCCGCCTTCCACGGAGCCCGAAATTAACGAGTCACCTAGTCACATACTGCGGCTTAAATTGAGCGAAGCTGTCGCTGCAGATCCTTCTCTTGACGGAGTTCCATTGCCGACCTTCTTCAGATATGCAATCGATTACATTGAAGAACATGGCTAGTTTCAAAATGTCGATGATTAAAAAACATTTCATTTCAGGTCTCACCACGGAAGGAATTTATCGTCTTTCACCGCCTAAAAATCGTCTGGACGAGCTCGAGCGAAAAGCGAATAATCGAGAACCACTTTATTTTGCTGATGTACATGACGCTACTGGATTAATTAAACGGTATTTATGATTTTTTCCGCGATTGATTCTGAAATAGGTAATTATTTAAGGTTTCTTCGTCAGACTCCTGAACCAGTCCTTCCTGTGGAATTTGAACGTATCGCTGAATCTTGTCAATGCGGTCTTGCATTTGCCACACAATTAAAGCCAGGCGCAATTTGCACTTGTGGAAAAGTTCAAGAAATGAAAGAAGCGCTTAAATTGCTCGAAATCGAACGTAAAACGTTGTTCTACTACGTCTTCCTCCACGCCCAAAATGTTATGACAAAGGTAAGCGAGGGCCGCATTCTTATACGCAGTTTATCGCGCATGTGGTGGCATCTGTTGTGGCGCAGATGGGTGAGCGCGCGTTTCGAAAATATCGTCGCGGGTTCGAAGCCACGGTGTGCGAGTTTAAACTGCGGTGACGATGATTGCTTCTTACCTACTAAGACAATAACAATGGTTAGACGTTACTCGTACTGTCTGAGCAGTTTTCCGTTTTGCAGGAGAAAGAGAACAAGATGGGGCTTCAAGCGCTTGGGCTTTTGCTTCAGACTGTCCTTGAAATGTCGCGTAAATTGGTCTGTTTTTCGGTGCACGCAATTCGAGCATTTGACGGAAGACCAGTAGAAGGAGTATGTTATTTTTTATTAAACTGTTTATTAAAAGTACGACCTTATTTTAGGGGTGCTATCTTCTCGAGGAGAGTTTTGAAATTGTCAAGTGAGTTTTTTCTAACAAATTGGTCCAAAAACAAACAGAAAAAAGAGTAACCGTTTGAAAAGTGCCGTCACATTGTATGCAATATAGAGAAGGTGTATATACAACTGAGCACGATTGAGCATTCATCGAAGCATTATTCATGCTCGAACTATGAGGCAGATTTGGAACATTTATCGTCTCGAGCCCGGTTGTGAATCTAGCTCGATTTCGACCATGCCGTCTTCGATTTTTGCATCTTTTCCTTGCTTTTTTGCATTTGGCGATTTATTCGCACCGTCGGCATTCACTTTGCGGTTTTTCTGGAAATATTGAGATTTTATTAGTGTCGTTTTTTTTGTGAATTGAAATACCTTCATAAAAAGGACGACAGCCGCCAGGACAATGAGCGAAACGACGACAATTGCTCCGATTGTAATCGCCACAGCGAATGTACCTAAATTGAAACGAAATAGATTAATTAGAGGGTTTTTAAAGAAGAAAAATATTAAAAAAAATCGTACCATTCTCGATGCTTTTCGACATATTTTTTGTCTCGACGAGAATGAAGGGTCGCGTTTTATAAATATTGGAAAAGAATGGGATGAGTCAGCTGCGGAATGTGAGAACTTTCGCGGGAGGCGGGCTTGCAAAACTTTTGGCGAAGTTTGATGCTCGTTTGATGCTCACAACCAACCAACTTGTCGCGGCTCGTGCTCGCCGAGCAATCTCGTCTCAGTGTGACACTTGCCTCTTTTTGATGCTCTATCTTATTCGACTATCTTGGGAGAAACAAATTTCGCAATTGTGTGTATGAAATTGTGGCCGACGACGGCCATAAATGACGGGAAACGAATTGATGGAAAATATATAATAATGGTTTTGAGAGGAAATTGTTTTTTTTAACGAATTCTAAACACATATTGCGCTAAGGAAAATTCAAAGCTTGGTTTAATTGCGGTTAATTAGTTTTTGAAATTTTTGCAAATAATTGAGAGGTTTAAGCTAATCTGGAATAGAATTCTCACCCGCATATTTATAAAATATCGAATTAGCTTGAATTGTCCGAAGATGACTTAAGTGATAGCTGTGATTATTTTTGCATGGGCATGATATGTTCATAGTATCGAGTTTCACAACTAGATTGCCGTCTCACGTTGATATTTGGTCATTAAATTGGAATTCGCAATATTTCACGGTTTTCTTATTTCAAAACGGTTCCAAACCTTTCTGATTGTTGTAAACACCCTTTGTGTCGTCGGTTTTCGACAAATCGTACACATCACGTCGCGGTTCTTCCTTGAAGAGAGTGTCATTCGTTTTTCCGCCGACAAATAGGTCTGGCTGAAATAAAACGATCAAGTATGAATCAAATCGAATGAATCGTACGATCTTGAGCGCTGTCGTCGATTCTTCGACGGCACTTGCTTCTGTGGTGGTTGTTGTGGTTGTCGTGGTCGTATCAATGCTCTCATCGTACGGTTGGAATTGCTCGGGCTCAAGGGCGAGCACCAATTCGTTTCGCAATGTATACGGACGATCGCAGAGCGTTTCGTTGGCATTAGTGACTTTAAACGGCTTTCCGTTGTTTCGTGAAGCCTTGTTGCGATCATCAACAGAGAAATAGACTGAAAATTAGAGGAGGACTAAAAATGCTCATATTTTCAAATCTTACAATGCACGAGTTCAGCATCACAAACGTATGGATTCGAGGAAACATCGATTTCTTCCAAATTTGGAAGTTGTTTCGGGAAGTCTGGAATCGTTTTAAGTTTGTTTCCGCGAAGAGACAGCCTCTTCAATGTGTCTTTTTGAGCGTCTAGAACATCCTTATCGATTTTCGAAATGTTGCACTTTGTGAGATCGAGCTCTTCGAGCTTTGGATAGTGTTTGAGCCCATCTTTGTTAAGTGAAGTGAAACCGCATTCGGCGAGTGACAATTTCTCGAGTTTCGAAAGACCAGTAGAAGGAAGCTGTAATTCGAGTTTTATAGAATAAACGAACGAATTCGTTGATTCGAACCTCTGTGATGGGGTTATGACGCAAATTAAGGGTTTTCAGCTTTTCGGTGAGTGGCTTGAAAGCTCCTTTTGGTAATGTTTTGATCTCATTATAACCCAGATCGAGATCTTTCAAATTTGAAAGTCCGAAAAAGACGTCATCCTCAAGGTTCCTAGGTTCAACCAATGATTTCTGGACTCACAAGAAGCCACCTACGAGATATAGTTTCCTGCAAGTGAGAGTCGCTCAACATTCTCAAGGCCGTCGAAAGCGTAGGCGGTCATGTTCTCAATGAGATTTACACGTAGATCAAGCTGAAGTTATGGGCTATAATAGGATTCAAAATTGATTCGACCTACTTCGCGCAATTTTTTGAGAATCGCGAATTGGCCTGGCTCAAGCGACGCGATCGAGCATCCGGCGAGTTTGAGCGTCTCGATTTGAGGAATCTCCTCAAAAAGTTTCATTGGAGGTTCAAAGATGCCATCAGCGCGAGAAAGATCCAAAGTCTTCAACGCTTTGAGTTTTCCGATTTCATCGACGACAGTGTTGTTGATGAAGTTGTGATCGCCGATGACCAACGTCTCAAGCGATGTCAATGGCTCGAATGCGCCGTCCTCGATTTGTGTTATAAAGTTTCCAGACACGTCCAAATAAGAAAGCTGCAAAAAAAAAGAGGTTCGACGCGTAAATTGTTTGGCAATTTGTCTCGGTTTCGGTGGCGGATCGGAAGAAGACGAGTTTTTCGACTAGTGGATAATTGCATAAGATGAACGTGTTAGTTCGATATGTGTGTGTGTTTTTTTTTCTTCCAGTCTTTCGCCGTCTTTAAACGCGTGCTTATTGAATGACCAGTTTCGAGAATGTTGATTAACTGCCACTTGAGTCTCGATGGTTTGACCCGGAAGAAGTGAGGCAGTTAGTTATTTTTGGACGAAAACTGTTTTAGACCGAAATTTTGTGAGACGAGTTGTCTGAATTTTCACCGGGGTTGACATTCTTCAGAATTTCTCACATTATTGAGTGGTTTGAATTTTAAAAAATCGTTTTGAGGCCGAGGCGCCACTTCCTACTTTCCATTTTTTTTTGTTCATTTTAATTTTGAGTGTGACAAAAACGTGTGTTGTTGCAAATATCATGATGTAGACGATGATTAGTCATCAACATCGCTACATACCGTACTCGCTTGGTCACCGTGTCTGTTCGTATTGGTGGCTGAAGAGCAGTTTTTGGAAACGCGTTAGCAAGGCTTGTAAACGAGCGTGCGCGGATGAATAACCGCGAATCAGCGATGTCATTATACGACGCATCATCTTGTCTTGTTCGTCTCACGCTCGCCCGCGCACATTACATTCATTCATTGGCAGTATAATTTTCGGATCACAACCCTATTCGTCGCCCGCCACCATTGCCGTCGTTTAATACCTGCTTCTTGTTGTCGAACGTTTCCGCTTCGAGGGACTCGAGTTTGTTGTTGCTCAATGAGAGCGTCTCGAGGTTGTTGAGCCGGTTGATGGCCTTCGGCGCCGATTTGAGATTGCAGTTCTGAATTGTGAGGTTTCGCATTGTGTCCTCGAGCCCGTTTAAGCTGTCGTCGGCGATTGTGAGCTCGTCGTCGCCGGTGCAATCCTGGATGTCGAGCGACTCCAATTTCGGCGCGATTTTCGCCACCTCAGGCAGTCCCGTGTCCGGAAATTCCATGTGTTGGATGCTTAGCTGCAAATTTCGCTTTGTTTTTTCGTTCAATGAGCTCTAAAAACCTTTGAAGTTGTGAGACTCGCTTTCTTCACAGCATCTGCAGCCTTCATCAAATGGTCCATGTTGGAGCCATATAAGCATGAAATGTCGACCTTGTCATCCTTTTGAGGCTGCAAATCATGACTCATTGTCAAACAGGTTTTCATGGACTGAGGTTTTGCCCAATGTCGCGCTGAGTATATCAATTGCAGATTTGTAGGATGTTAAGGTTCATCAGAATCGAAGGATTTTGGTCGAAGACAGACGAAATTCGCCAATCTCAACGCGTTCAGAATTTTTGGTCTTAGCACCAACTGAACATCTTTTCACAGTTTCCTTATATGAATACTGTGGTTTTGAAACGTAGAGAAAATCGAAAATAATTACAGACTAAGAAGGGTCAAAGTATAATTAATTCGCTCATTCCCGACAATAAAGAAACAATAAATATTACGCTAATAGAAATAAACGAACCTTGCAAAAACATAAAATGAGATTGTTGAGTTGCTCCTGCGTGAGATCTGCCTGATTCTCGAGCACATCCAAATCGGGACAATTCGGCACACCGGCTGCGAACAGGCAGCCGATGACGAACGGGAAAACGGCGGCGACAACGTGTCGCATTTAGTTTGAACTGTGTTGTCCTTCTTCAGCCCTTCAGTCTCTTCGTGATTGTAACCCGCTATTCTGGAAATTGAAATCGAATGAGTGGTTACAGTGTGATGATTGAAGCATGATGTGAAGAAAAAGAAACATTCCTCCACAAACGGGAGGAGGATCGGAAGATTGAGGAGGTAAAAGGGGGCAGTGGCGTCGATTTAAAACATTAATTTGATTATTATGTACGTTATTCGAATTTTATCAGGTTTAGGATAAGCATTTGACCTTGAAGGATCTCTTTTAGATAAGTCGTCAAAATTACAAATTTAGGTAGTAATTTCAAACAATCTGAAAATGTGATAATCAATTCGTAGTTTGATTTGCTCTTTTTGAAAACTTGAATCAAATGAACTTTGGAAAAAGTGGGCGAGACGCATTAATACGATCAGAAGAAGCTTCTTTGATCCAAATGTAACGAGTTGGTAAAACAGGTTTCATTAAATAATTAGGAAACTCGTTTTGTGGAAACAAAATTTTCTTAATCGAGGTAAAAAAAAGAGCTAGCGTGTGCGTGTTTTTCTGCATTTTTACTTCCAAATATTTACATGAACTTTTCGACAAAAATAATGGGCACACCGTGGACTAATTGTGTGGCAAAAGCAACATAATCGATGAGATACGAGTTTGAGATATATGTATTATAAACGCATTGGGCCGAGGACAACAGGCAACAGTTTCGGACGACGGCGTCTTATTTCTGCGCCCTCTGCATGGCGGCGACGGCGCGCTCACTTCTCTTAGTCGATGTCGGTCGGTCGAAAAATGGGCGGTTCCCGCATGGCGCTGTTCGGGTTCGGCCTTCTTCTCGTATTTCTCCATCATCTCCTCCTCTTCGCATCATCCCATCCTCGCCGTCTTCTTCTTCTTCTTCTTCTTCTTCATCTCCCACTTTTGGGAAAACAGGCAGCAACATTTTTGTGAATTTTGTTAGGCAACCATCCAAATGGGTCAATGTTTCTTATCTCGCAATTGGTGCTGCTTGTTTCTGATGATCGACATGGTTTTTTTTATTCGGTTCTGAATTGAGACAGACAGCGGGAAGGAAAGAGCTTCCGGTGTGCATTCGCTTGGAAATGATGATGACTACACGCTAGTAATCGTAGTAGTCGTTTTTTGGGCGAGCCGCTGAGCAATACAAGGTGTCATTTAAGTTCCCGCACAACTTTGAAGACGTATATTTCTGAAACTAAAAGTCCAAATCAAACGAGACTCAAAATATTTTTTATCTATAGTATAACAAATATTTATCTATTAACTCTTTTTGATTCGGCCTCCTTTCGGAGCTATGACTTCACAGAGACGCTTCGGGTAGGATGCGACTGTGGTACGCAGGTATTCGATGGAAAGATTGTCCCATTCCGCCAGTAATGTCTTCTTCAGAGCCTCTACACTTGAATGGGGTTTTGCGTTGACCTTCTCCTGCAAGACCCCATCACGGGAAAGTCAAGCGGGTTCAGGTCTGGGGAGCAATCAGGCCATTCGGATGACTTGATGAAGTCGGGAAAATGGGTCTGGCACCACTCCTGAGTAGTTTTGGCAGTGTGGGCGGCTGCTCCGTCATGTTGAAAGACCCATTTCTGCCCACCGAAATGCGTTTGGGTCCAGGGCATCACATGCTTCTCCAAAATGTCCCGAACGTAGACTTCTTTGTTCACTTTCACCCCCTGATCCGCGAAAACCAGGGGGCACTTCCCGGTTGAGCAGATGGCAACGAAAACCATCATGCTGGCAGGATGTGAGGCTGGATGATATGTTCTTCCTTTCTCAGAAGCTTGCTGGGATGTCTGGGCAAGTACTCAATGGTTTTGTGAGTTGAATGCCGTCTCCACAGTGAACAGCTTCTCGTCGGAGAAGACAGTGACGAGGTGTTCTCCAGACCGCGTGCGAGCAAGAAGTCGTTTTGCTTTTTCGAAGCGTCTCTACTTGTTGGCGGCCGATAGAATTGCCGCTTTTTGGACACGATATGGGGTCAGTCCAAGCTTCGTTTTGACAATTTGTTCCATAGCGAAGATGCTCATTCCCATGTCTAACGCCATCTTTCTCATGCTCCTGTGGGGGTTTCGCCTGATCCTCGATTTGACGGCGTTGATCTTCTGAGGAGTGGTTACTGAGACGAGTCTTCCTTGTCTGGGACGGTGACTGGTCGTATTTAGCTCCTTGAAACGTTTGATGGTGTCGCAAACCGTTCTACGAGGCACACCGACCCGTTGAATGATGTCTCTCGAGCTCACATTTTGCTTATGAAGTTCGATAATGGAAGCGCAATGGATGTTAGCCTTCGCCATTTCTCGGAAACACATCCGAATGAGGTGAAACTTGGAAAGTAAGTAAAATATACCTTATTTAACAAAAATAAATTGTATTGGTGCACGAAAAGTGCGACAGCCAAGCTCTTCATGGCGTCAAACTTTTGTGCGGGAACTTAAATGACACCCTGTATATATCTATATATATTACATATGTAGTAAGTTGGACATGAAAATAGCATGCACATTTTGAACGGGGATTTATGGGCCTGACCGATGACAGATTGTTTGGGATGTTTGAGCGGAATGGAGGGGGGGGGACGGAATGTTGCAAGATATTGGCTAATTACGGTCTTGACCTATTTGGAAACTGATTTGCGCTTGTTAACATTCGTTAGAAAATTTCCGAATTTCCATAAGCTTAACCACAAGGAAGCTGATATTCGATTCAATATATAAAAAAGAACATTATCGTCAATATTAAATTCGTTCGGCTTCATTGCTCCATTGTGAAAAGTTTATTAACAATTAGACCTCTATTTTGTGTGTGCTTTTTTTTTTAATAATGATTTATCAATTTTGCAGATATGTGCCGCCTTTGACAAAAGACGAACTCGAAAAATGGTTGGATGGGAGCGAAAAGGACGAAGTGAGCGCAGACGCGGTTCGACGCGAACTACGCAAACAGGAATTCTGGTTGGGATTGCTCCATGAGAAGGTGAGGCTCGGAGAAAGAACGAACCAAAAAATATGAAAAGAAAATCGCCGTCGTAGTAGTAGGACGGAGTAAGTGAAAAAAGGAGGCGATGCCCGAGATAGTGGGATTAGCGCGCAAAAAAGATGAATCGGGGCCCGTGGTTAGTTAGCGTTGGTTTTTGCCTAGCGAACACGCCCTTCTGAAATGGCCTCGAACTGAATTCGACCTTGTCATTTGAAGGATTTCAAATTTTACGGTCCTTAAAAACCCACATTTGTCCATTTCGATGGCTCATCGCTTCTATAAAGGTGGCGAATTTGAAGGCTTTAAAACATTGGAATATAAATTTCCATCTGCGTACAATTCGCGGTTTATGAAACTATCCGCAGATGTCAATTAAATGTGATTAATGCTGCAATTACATTTGAACGATGAACCGAACCTCATCATCGACAATTATTTATTGCTGTGAAAATATGGGAAAGAGGAAAAGCTGGAAACATTACTATTGAAGTTGAACAGTTTATTGAATATTTTACATTATCTTCAAGAATTCGATCTGATCGATATAAATTTAAAATTGAATAGTCTAAACGCCTAATTAATAAGTTAATTAATAGTAATTAATACGGTAATATATAATATTCATTGAATTTGGCAAAAAGGTCAAACGACGATGTGATTTGAATCGGTATCATGATTCGCTCGCGCAATTAACCGCTCGTTTTCATTTGATTGCGTTATCATTTCGAATTCCGAGGATGGTTGATCATCATTCGATTCGATTCAATTCAATTCAATTGGTTGGGGTGTCAACGAGATTACACAAAAAATTGGGTGCAAATTACGCCGATTTCGAGCGAACTTATTGAATTGTTTTTTTTTCATTTGGTCTTTTCTTGAATGTATTCGGTTGCAGATTAGCAGTTGTCACGAGAAGGGAGTCCAAACTGCACATCTCGACGAGCTCGCTTGGCAAATTCAAAACGGAATCACGGGTCTTAAACGAAAAATCAAGGTAGGTTTCCATCTTTTCTGTGGCATCTTTGATGTTCTTAATTTCAGATGTTTTCCGATCTAACAACATCATCAATCGCTTCCGCTCCGATCACTTCTGTTGATCACGTCGATACACGCTGCATCGAAATATATGAGGAGAAGCAGTTGATGGCGACACAGCAGATGTTGCGAGAAGACGTCGCCGCTGAAAAGAAGACGATCGCCGGATTGTGCTGGAAGCTAGAGCACTCCCAATTGAACTCGGAAGAAGTGGAGGAGGAGACGGAGGAAGAAAAGGAGGAGGAGGAATGGAAAGAAAGGTGCGTATTCATCGAATATCCCTTATGATGGCTAAAACATCTGTATGCGCAAATCGCGTTCTAACGCGTACATTTTTTCGTATGGGTGGGATTTTCGAACGCGTCGCACCAATTATATCAAATTTATTTTGAAACCAAAGGGGTTTCCATTGTTCAACAAAATCAGCAATGAACATCTAAAATTTTGGAGATATATTTCTCATTTTCCTTCAATCTTCAGATGTAATTTGGAGGAAGCGGCTCGAAGTGCACTGATTTCCGAAATAGCTCGTCTCCGATCGGAATGTGCCAACTTAAGGGCACGTCTTGAAATGGAAACCTCGTCCGAACAATAGAATAAGTATATAATCAATTTTTGTCGAACCATGTCACACAATTTCTCACTGCTTTACAAAATCCGCCCAGTGCATGCAATTCATTTCAAATGCTATTAACAATGCAATATTGAGTCATATTAAGTGCCAAATTCTCTTATAGGAACATAATAATCATTGTGATAATTCTCTCTGTGTTTTTTTTTGGGTTTTTTCCTGCATATCCTTGTGAATATTCTTGTTGTGATCATTTTCAATCATTTTTCACTTTCCTTTATAAACATTCGCTTCTTTAATCGACTTTTCGTTGTTTTTTTTTTTCACAAATCTGAAACCGTGAGATCGTCTGAAAATACCTTGAGATTGGCTTGAGATTTTTAATTTTCCGAATTCAGAATGACAGATTTGTTCAAAAAACCGAAAAAGAAGTTGCAAATTAGGAAAAAGTTGGATGCTGAGCAAGAGGATGAAAATCAAGATGGTATTCTGATGTTGAGCGATTCTCATTATATCTATATCGTTATATCTATATTTCAGCTGAATCGACAAGAGTTGCCGATATTCGCGATTTGCAAAAATCGCGAGAGCGGAAAAATGGTCTCACGGAGCTTGAATGTGCTGTTGGAATCCAAAAGGTAACATTGATGGAATGGATTTTTTCGTTCAAAAAAATTATAAAGTGCCATTCAATTTTTGGTCCCGATTTCAATTTTAATTTTGTTTTCGAAATGGCCGAAATCAGAAGACAACATCGATCCATCAATAATACTGTTTTTTAGGCCGCTGCCCTTGAAGATGGCATTCAAATGACAACGAGTGGTGGAATGGTGATGACATCGAAGAAAAAGGCGGCTATGGAAGCGGCGAGCATCGAACAAGGCCTTCGAGAACAATTCGAGAAGGAAACTATGCTTCGAGATGAGCACGAGGAACTCCGAAAATATATCGATGAGGGTTTGAAGGATGCCAAACGGAATAATGTGGAACCAAGCACGACGACAACAAAGTTTTCATCGATGACAGCTGAAGAAAGGGTATTGATGATTGATTTAGAGTTTTACTAATTCAAATATAATTTGAGGATATTGCTCTTTTGCGACAAGCTGCTGAAAAGGTGAAAGCAAATAGAGAAAAAACGGAAACGGAATTGCTCTCGGAGCACATGCTCGCTGGAATTCCAGAAGTTGATTTAGGAATAAGGTTGGTAGTTTTTTTCTCGTTTGATTTGTGAAATAGGAAAATAGCAAATTCGAGCATGAAATATCTCTAAAAGTTCATTTAAAGTTGATTTGAATCGAATCCTTTTTTTCAGTGCGCGTATCACAAATATCCTGGAAACGGAGAAGAAAAAACGATTCTTGTTGGAAAAAGCGGCGGCGATTGCAGCGGGCCTGCCGCCGCCGGTCGAAGAATCCGACGAACCTGTGAAAAAGCAGCGACGCTTCCAAAATCGCAAATAAAATCTCAATTCACTTTTCATTTCTATCGCTTTATTATTATATACATATAATGTTGTTGTTGTTGTTGAGTGTGGAATAAATGTACAAGAAGAGAGAAAGAGAGATAGATAACCTAATTTGCGGCCGCCTTGACAACTGATAACGCCGATTTAAATGTTATCGATTGAGGTCTTCCTGAATTGAGAAACAGTGGTTTTTGACACATTTTAAACCGTAATCCGCCTGTCAAATAAATATGTCCGCGTTGTTTGCACTCCTTTTTGCGCGCTTTTCTATTCTATTCTAATTCCAACTCTATTCAGTTGCTTGTTATACGACTTGACGACAGTATCGATCGATTCCTCCAAATATGGTGTGGTTTGAAATTGTTCAAAAATTACAAAATGTGATTGAATATTTCAGACGGAGTTCTTCAGTCAAAATCAGATTGACGGTGAGTTTTCCTTTTTTTTTGTATATAATAGGGACATGCGAATTCGACATATTGTTGAAAAATGACAAATGTATACAGGTGTCGTAGGATCCTGCGTTTTGTACGCAATGTTAAGAGACAGTTACCGTAATCCTCGCAGCGATTTACGGAGTTTATTTTTTAAATTTCTTTTAAATTTTTTGCTGTATTTTCTTATTTTCTTTAGAAATCTTTTATTTAACATCTGTAGAAACCGAGTTTAATTATTTAATTTTCAGAATATGCACTTTTCCATTTGTCCAGTTGAGTTGGGAATTATTGTAAAAATTTTGTCGCTCTTTTGTTATTTTGAAAATGAAGAATACAAAAACAAGATAATAGAAACGCATACAAAAAGCAAAACACGATTAATGACAAAAATGATTTCTTTTTAATCTCTGCTGTTTTTACCAAAAAAATATCGTTTAAAAGTGCTTATTCTGCTAAATAATTTATTAAACTCGGTTTCTGCAAAATTTAAATAACAAAATTTCGAAGGGAAATACGGAAGTTGAGCGAAAAATAAAAAAATGAATACGCGAAATTAAAAAAAAAAGTGCCCGTAAATCGTTGCGAGGATTACGGTAACTGTCTCTTAGCATTGCGTACAAAACGCAGGATCCTACGACACCTGTATACATTTGTCATTTTTCAACAATATCTGAATTATTTGAAGCAAAAAGACGTACACTTTTGGCTACTGTAATTTTTTAAAAATCTGCGAGGATTCAGTGGTCTATACCAGACAAAAAATAAACGAGAAATCGAAAAGAATGTCGGTGCGTTCACTCGATTGAGAAATAAACTACATGCGGAATGTCGTCAAATAAAATGTATAAGTCCGCAACGTTTTTATTCCTTATCCTTTGTGTTATGTAGTTCGTTTCCCGAAGAAAAAAACGGCTACCAGAAATTTTCGCATCCAGACTTTGTAGTTCAGAAGTGTTCTATGGTAAATGAAAATTAATTGGATTTGAGAATCAATCGATTTCGAAGATTTTTGAATCGAAACCAAGTTTTCAAATCGATATTAAACGCATTCTCAATCGAATCATGTTAATTTATATTTCATTTTTCTCCGCGTGTTTACTTCGCGTGTGACCGCGTGTTTACATCTAATGCATTTTATTCGACGCCTATTTGAAAACGTCTGATTTTTATGTGATGAATCCCACTTTTTGGCGTTTCGAGGTCGCAGTAATACAAATTAAAGGAAAAAAGAACTCAATGGAGGAATATTTAAAAATTTTTAGCTAACAACGCAAATAGATTTTTTCCTTGAAATTTTTGAGAAATTCATTAAAAAATATTTAGCGGAGGTTTTCTTTGAAAAGTTTAGAAAATTTCCAACAATATTGGTTTTGCTTTAAAATCAACGCGATTCGACTGGAAATTCTGCGAATTAGTTTGTAAAATTATCGCATCGAATTGGGTTTTAACCGTTTTTTCATTTCAATTTGCAAATGATTTTTCCCTATCCATTTGGGAAGATTGTGAAATATTTGTTAGAATTTGGGAGATTTCGTTTATTTTGAAACCATTTGGCAATTCCTGGCGAGTATTTGCAGAAATTCGAGAATGCTTCAATCTGTATTGCGCCGAAGGTGTCATTATCTCAGCGGCTCAACTGCGTTGTGTTTTGAGAAGCCTCGGCTATTCGCCAACTTCTGCAAAAACAATGGAATACTTCAAAAGACATAATCGTAATCATTGAAATTGCGTCTATTTTTTGAGTGTTCGATTTTAGGAAAACCAATCGAGTTTTCAACATTCTTGGAAATCGCGAAAGAAGAACAAAATAGCGGCGATTCGCTTACTGAGATTATCAAAGCCTTGAGGGGATTGGATCGGCAAGGATTTCGATTGTTTCCATCGAATTGATCTATATTTCAGAGATGGTTCGAAAGCGATGCCGTCTCGCGAGCTTCGAGCAATTTTATCGTCAGTTGGAGAGAGGTTGACTAAGCAGGAAATTGATTATCTCCTTTCGCAAGTGGAAGTCAACGGAATGGTGCCACACCAAAAGCTTATTCAATATATTTCTCGATAATTTATAAATGTTTTTTTTTCGAATATGTGGATTCCAACAAAACATAGATATTATCTAGAGGGCGAAATCGTAAAAATGAATATCGGACCAATTAATATGAGACAATCAATTACACGGCGACCTATAAAAATCCTATAAATGTTTATTGCAAGGTCCATTAATGGTAATGTGCAGATATTGAAAAAAAGAACCGACCCCTTTGACTTTTAATCGCTTGTTATTGATTTTGGAAAAATCAAATTGAATTTGCGTGAGTTTCGAACGCTGATAAGAATCGCGATATATTGCATTACTGGTTTTCAGGACTTTCAAACTGCCGCCAGATTAGTCGAATGTTCATCGAAATCGAGGAAACTGTCCGATTCCTCTCGACATTTATGTACGGCCGAATTCCGCGCAGGTACGTTCCGAAAATTGCGGCGAATCTCACCTAGAAACCGCATTCAAGCAGAGTCAAATCATTTTGTGCACATTTAACCAATTTGCTCAGTGAAATGCTCATCGACAAAACGTGCCAGGATCAATACGATCTCATCGTTTACGCCGATGGTCGCTCAGATGATGCCATCGTACAGGTATTCCTCTTTAAGCATTTTTTTTAATCGTACGTTTTTTTGGGCTGCTCGGCGAGCTTATGTCCACCTTGAAGAACTTCAAGAATGCATGAATAACGGGCTAATCATGGAAATAATGAGCGGAAGAGTTCGTGCGCTAACACCGTCATCAGCCCAACTGGTCTACCCAAAAATTAATCCCATCGATTTTTGAATATTCATTCTCTTTGTAAGTTTTATTCGATATATTTAATTCTTATACAAACACTGAGTGTTTGGGTATTATAATATCGCGCGCGGATGATGTGTAACATAAACTATGTGCACAGCCACAGAAAACGGAGAGCATGAATAACTTGAATAGAAGAAAATGATTCTTGTGAACATCACATTCAGATTTCAAACGGCCTAATAAAATAGGCAATAAGTATTGATTTTTTGCAGAATGTGTGCTCCGAATGCAGCAAGAATTCGCAACAATGACTTTTTCGATCAAAAGAAACAAGAAAAGTTGTAAAATTGTAATGTTTGTCTCTCAACTTCTCTCCGCTTTCCAATCCGCGTTTAAAAATTGAATAAAACATTTGTAGGTAGCCAAGTCACGTTTATTCATTTTCATCGTAAATACAATTCGAAATAAATGCATACACACACAAAGCCTTTAGAGTGAATATTACAACTGTCCGGTTATCAAATACAATAGTAAATTCACTGGGGCTAACGGAGACAAGGCCACAGAATACGTATGCGCCTTGATCAGTTGAAATCAACACTCTGTCGAGGGCAAAAAAAAAATGAAGAGTCGGTCAACGATGGCAGGAAAATGAGAATCATTTGAAAGAATTTGGGTTAAATTCAGATTGAGTTAATTAGTTCATAATGATTGAAGTAATAATTATTTTTAAAAATATATAATTGCTTCTAGAGCTTTTTCGATAACTTGTCTTTAAGTTTGAATGCGGATTCTGTCACATATTTGATTCCTTTGTTCACATTGCTAGTGACGAGAAGGCGAAGTTTGGCGGGATCGTTCTTCTGGATTTGCACAAAAACGAATGTGACGACAACGGCGAGAATCAGGAACACAATCGCCTCGAGATACCAGAATCCCATGCGTCGCTTCAGATTTCTGTGCGACGTCTTCACGCGATTCGTCGCCGACTTCACTCTGTTGCAGATGCCCTGTTTGATTCCGCCAAAAATGGCGCAACATTGCGGAGCGCCTGCTGGCAGCGGACGGTGTGGCGAACTCTATAAACATGCTCGCACCAAATATAATTATTGGATACCAAGTGTACCTGCAAGTTGATGGCCGGTCGCTCTCGCGATTGCGTCAAATGGCGAAGACTGCGCGACTCATCGTCGGCCCTCTCAAACGTGCGGCTCGTGCGCTCACCGGTCGCGGATTCTTTTGCAGTCTCAAGCTTCCGCACAGTCGTTTTTGGTGTCGTCTTGATGGCGGCTTTCGATTCGCTCTTCGGAACGGCGGCCGCGCGACTACGGGACGTCGATCGCGACTTGGAAGCAGCTCGGGCCGGAGGAGTCTACAATCATACGATGTTGCCTATGTGCCATCTGTCGCCAATTAGCATATATGGGCTCAGGAAGCTATTCAAACAATGGGCCAAGTCGAAAATCCATAATAAAACAACTTGTCAAGCACCATCGAATTTGAATATTTATTTTGGTTTCTCTATTTGCTCTCTCACCTTCACAGCGGTTTGACGTCCACGGCTTCTGCTTCTCGATCGTGAGCCACCACTACTTTTTTTAGCGGCAGCCTTCGTCGGCGATTTCTTTGGTTTCTGCGCTCTCAGCGACCGTGCTGGCGAACGGGATTCAGAATCCTTCGCCGCCGCCGACGTAGTTGGAGTCTTTCTAGATTGCGATCGTGAACGAGTCTAAAACTTGCCACATTTTACTACAATTGTTGATGTTCAAGGTCAAACAGTTGGCCGAATGCCAACCCATTCTGGCGTTATGCCAATTAACGGCGAATCACAAGATTAATGGGGGATTACAATTAAATGGATCCGCTCATCGGCATAGATAGTTTGAATCTTTCTTGTTGGAGGATTGAGTGCTAATAATGAAATGTCCGAATCATTTGATTAAAATAATTTTGGGGGAAGATTTGAAATTGAAAATTGAAACGAACCATTAATGCCGGAAATGCAACAAGAATGTGCCGAAGGTGTCGAATTGGCGACGATCTGAAAAGAAATCGAAATGAGAAAACAGTAAGGCAGGTTGATTAATGTGCAACAGCAAGAGACAATACACGCCAAAAACCCAAGAACACAATAGAATCGAGAGCCGATGCAAAAGAGAGAGAGAGAGAGAGAGAGAGAGAGAGAGAGAGGGAGAGAATGGCGTACACGATAGCTAAGTGACCTCTCGTGGGGGACCTCTGCGCCATGGCGACGAGACAGTGCACGAGACGGTGAGACGCCGACAAAATTTGGCTCGCTGCCAATCACTGGGCGGGGCCGCGGGTGTACAGGACGCTGGCGTGGTGGTTGTGTTGGGTGGATGTGGTGTGTATTGATTTGCGGAAGATGCGAATGGTGGGAATCGAATTGGCGTTGGGTGGGAGGGTGCAATCAAACTGTTTAGGCCGTTGTTTGCATATGACTGGTGCCAATTAGAAGTGATAACCGCACTGATAAAGACACCGCGAAATTCGAAATTTTGAATTTCAAATGATCATCAATAAGCATCATTCAAATTTGAGAAGAATTCGATTTTTGGAAGTTGCCGAATCACAGGATTCCATTATTTTCGGAATATGTTCAAGTCATATTCAATAATAGCTGAATTTCGCACTCATAATTTGAATAGAACACGAAATTTGATGGCTTGTTTGCTGCTTTAAGATCAAATTTCAATTGACCTGTGCTAAGAGAGAACCATTCAATAATAAATTGTCGGCTTTGATTCCTTTTTTGGGGGCGAAATTAATGCGACGTACAATTTTGGCGTTTTTCTTCATCGAAATGGGCAAAACGAGCGCAGCCAGAAGAGTTTTGATGAATTGCGAATGATGGGGTTCGGAGAGAGAGAGGTGCTAATTCCACGGCTACCATATGTCGTTCGTCGTCGTACATCACAAAAGCGTATTATTGTTACTTAACACTCGTCGCGACCAAATATGGCAAGAAGAACATCGCGACGCGATTTTTGCGTGTCCGAGCAACTCGACCGCGCCGAGCAAGCAAATAGCCGGCTCCGCGACGACTTGCCCTACGTATTCATTCGTCGAATCCCGCGTGCCGAGTCGGTCGGTAAGAGAATTGCAAATAATGAAGCGATGTCGCTACACGAATCAAACCGCTTCTTCTCACAACCAATTTCTTATTATGGGCACAAAATGCGAATGATGATAGGCTTTGAAATAAATTGGTTCGGCCTATTCATTTTCACATAAAATAAATGTTTCAAACAAACAGAAAAAAATGAAATGTTCGATTCTCAACACATTTGATTAGAAAATTGTTCAAACAGACAAATGAACTTTATCGAAACGAAAGTGCAACTTGGATATTGTTTGTTTGAGAAAATCTGTATCGAAACAAAAAGATAAGAACATTGAAAAAAAAAATTGAATTCAATTTACCCAATGAGAACAAATAAATAGTTGAATTTAATTGGCGATTTTCTGGTGGACTCAAAAAAATGCGAAAATTCGATTCCCCGAATCAAGCTGATTCGACTTATAATTCTGGAGATATCATTGCAAATTTGTCGCATTCATTTGTAAAATTTGTTTTATTCGGAATCGGTTAGTTTTGAGTTTTGTGGAGCAAAAAAAATTCAATGTTTGGTGTTTTATTCCCATTTTTACCCAATCGACTGCCAAAAAAAATTAATGTGAAAATCTAAATCGATGTTGCTGTGGACATCGCAAAGGTATGACTGAAATTGTCCGCAGATGAGTTTATTTAATAATTTAAAAAATTTTCATTGCAGTCGCAAAAAAAACGAACACCATGCGCCGATTTAAGATTGATTTGATTTGCAGATTATCGATCGTATTACGGTATCCGAATTCCCACTTTTTAAATCGAAATTTGGAATACCGCTCTCAAAAATATACGATCAATGGTCTACAATTGATCAAGAGGGGTCGGTTTTTTTGCGATGGCCCACAAGAAAAATATTTGGTTAAATGAATATTAATAGAAAACAGGTTTCATTCCTACAAATTACTTATACATATAATTTCAATTTTATTAAAAAAAATGAAATCAATTTGTTTGAATGTATCGTCGCTCACGTGTTGAAGAATTGCATTTTAACTCATTCTGTGAATTCATTTTACATTTTCAAATGGGCGAACCGGCGGCGGCAGCGGCGGCGCCGTCAGCATCGACGTCAACGTCTGGAGATCGTCTTCCACTGGTCAACGATGAAATTGTTGTAAGTAGCCGAGATTATCGAGAGTTCGATCATATGAAAATTGTAGACAGATTCGGGAAAAAAGTACAAATTGAGCGCAATACTTGGGGACGGCGGTTATGGCACCGTTTTCCAATCACAGGATGGTGATTAGTAAGAGATTATCATTGTTGAAAAAATATATATACCGATTTTTAGTAAAGTTGCCGTTAAAACAGAGAAGTTTAGCAAATCGCAATTAAAGATTGAAATTCATGTCATGAGAGCTGCCATGCAAAATAATTGTAAACATTTTTGCGAGCTTATTGATTGTGTAAGTGAATTCAACAAAACTGTTTGCCGCCAGCAGGGGTCGAACCTGCGACCTTGGGCTTATTAGACCCACGCTCTAACCGACTGAGCTATGGCGGCCGATGGGAACCGCCGTCAAAACGCCTGATACGTATGGGAGGCAGAGTTACGACGGGGAGGGGGACATAAACATGTGGTTATGAGAAGACAGACGGAAAATTGAATTCGACCACAATGTGATGGAGCGTTGTCAAAAACACAGGACCCTCTGTTTCAGCTCAAAGTCCTCTAGGGCCTGTGCCGGACAGGGGCTCACGTTGGACCCGTGTTTGAATTTCCATCATGGCTAATAACAACATATCGGCGAAAAAATGTCCGCAGATGTGTACAATGAATTTTCCTGGAAAATGTCCGCAGATGTGTACAATGAAATTTTTACTATTTATTATATCTTCTTTCTTATTGACAATGTTGTAGTGATACGAATGTTCAAATTTTGCAGGGGACGAAAGGAAAAGATTTTGATTATGTTGTGATGACGTTATTAGGCAAGGATTTGCACAAATTGCGAAGCGAACTGCCGGACCGCAAATTCAGTCTGAACACGGCGACGCGAATCGGAATCCAAATGTTGAAAGCGTGCGAAGAACTTCATCGAATCGGATACGTTTCACGGGATATTAAACCCGGAAATTTCGCGCCCGGAATCAAGGCCAACCGGCAAAGTCGAACGATATTCATGTACGATTTCGGATTGGCACGAAAGTATATTGACAAGGTTTCGATAATTTCTGGAGCTTGTCGTGCAATGAACAGCAAAATTAAAAAAATTTTGTTTTCGGCAACGCGCTAGCAACAAAATTTAGGCAATTTAGGTCTTAATGCGCGATATGCGCCTTTAACCTAAACTAGATTAGTCGTTTAGCCGCTTAAATTGTTAACCCTTTTTTCTCAGGTAAATGAAAATCAATCCGAAAATAATTTATTTTTCAATCTAAATCGAATGTAAATTAATCTGTTTCAAATTATTCCAAAATTGGATTTCAAAATTGAAAATGAGAAATAAATCAATCGATTTCGAAGAAATTGAAACCAAGATTTCAAATCGAATTTAAGCGTTTTCTTAAGGTTAATTTCTTATATTTCGAATCCAATTGATTTTAATTAACCTGAGTTTTTTAAACGAAACGAAAATTTAGTTATTGAAAAAACCAGACCGAATATTCCGGTTAACCGAACTAACCGGTTATTTCAAACCGGATTTTCACAATCCTTTTTTTTATCCCTGTTTTATACCACCGAATTTTCACAAATTCTAAAATGGTCTCGAGTTGAATTCCATCGAATCCCACTGATTTTCAGATCTAAAAATCAAATTGCACGTGCTAGAAGATTTTGAGAAAAATTTGGCAAAAAACCAAAAAAATTTTGTTCAACAAAATATTCAAATTCAAAGATATTTTCTCATTATTTTTTTTTGCCTTTCCTAAAAAAATTGCCTTGATAATTCAAAACAAAAAAAATGAGATGTCTAAATGAATTTGCAGAATAATAATGTGATTCCATCGCGAAAAGAGGTCGGATGGCGTGGAACGACTCGTTATGGAAGTCTGAATGCTCACAAACGTCTCGATTTGGGTCGACGAGACGATTTGGAGAGCTGGTTTTATAGTTTAGTTGAAATGACACGAGGTACATTGCCGTGGAGGAATGTTACTGGTTCGAATTCGACAAATACAAACGATGATTCTCAAATGGCGATGAGTTTCAGAACGAGCCAACGTGCAGAGAGCGAAGGAAGCGGCTCGCACGAGTGGGCGTGTCCAATTTCTGTTCGAGACCCCTGCACAATATGATAAGATATTCACGATAATCGATAGCTACTCATTCGAAGCAGCTCCCGATTATTGCTTACTAACCAAGTATCTAAACGAAGTGCACTCGCGCTCCACTGCAATTGATTCGCAACGAGTTTGTAGGCACGCGAAGAGCGCCAACTCAGAGATCGTGAGCACTGGGATTGGGAGGATGAGACGGTGTCGACGACGGTGACGACCATTACGTCCTTCTCGGACAAAGAGCTGCGAGCCAAGCACGACCAGTATGCGTTGAGCACGTTCCTCGCAAATCATATGATATTTCGTTTAGGTCGAAGTGATTTGATACCCCTCAAATTAGTCAATAAATGCCTACATCGATCATCCTTCATCTCAATACTCTTTTGTTCATTTCCCTTCGAATCTCGTCAGCTGATTTATTCGGTTTGAGCCTACACGCTTCTATAGTTCCCAAGTTCTCGGACTCCTCGCGGAAGGGTTTTTCAAAATAACAAAATTCGACGGACTCGTCAGATCGATTCCCAATTCTGGAATTTCGAATAGCGGGCACCTGCCGAACAGCGGAGGAATAGCGGGGCTCGGCTCAGAAGCTGAGCGGAGGCTCAGGCTTGTCCAAGTTGCAGCGGTTCGCGGGTTCGGCCCCTGATAGCCTACTACTTGTCGTTGTAAGGAACACCAAGGTGTGCGATGCTGAAAAAAGATAGAGCGGACCGGTTCGTGATGAGGTGTTATCTGGTACGAATGATGGAAGCCCCCCCCCCCTTCGATGACATAACGCCGACCGCGCACCTGTATACAAAAGCGGGTCTCACTTGCATCACCAATAACGAAGAAGATGGCGAACGAGAAAAAAAACCGACGTGAGCGATACAGTTTTACAGCGATTTGAATATTTATCTTATCAACATCTAGATATTTTAGTTTCACTTTCAGCCCGTCATTGCCATTTGACATATCGATTCTACAAATCGCTGTCGCGTTGAGGGCTTTTGGCCGATTTGGCCTTGGTTTTGGCGTGACAGCACTGGTTTCACGGACTGGTTGATTCGCGAAACCGAACAAGCATTACAATGTTAATGTGAATGGCATACACTTGGCATAATACATACACGCCAAATTGCTGAACTGACCGTTTTGGCGACTGACGATTTGAAATGTTCCGGCGGGCTTTTTTCGCGCAGGGTTCAACAAAAAAACTGAGGGGGGTCCTCGGCCATTATGGTTTTAGGCTTATGGTCCGTATTCTTTTTGATTCGCGTTCCAGCAACCCGGAGTGTGGGTCTGATAAGCTGAAGGTCGCAGGTTCGACCCCTGCTGGTGGAAGACGTTTTTTGTATTATTCCGGAGATAAAATCTGAGGTCGTCATTCGGCTTGGCGATTCCTAGAAAAAACCGAATCCGTTGGTGATTTGGTTCGAAACTTGAGACTGAACCAAGTGATAATTGAAAAGGATTTATTCATTTGCAGACATTTGAAGGACGCAGTTTTGCACTCTGTTAAATGTCGTCCTTGAGAGAGAGAGATCTCATCGCTTCGATTTTGATGCTCTCATGGCTATCTCAGAGATAGATCTTTTCGCTGAGAATCGACAAATCGCAGCGAAATATTTGAAAAATTCGTTACTTGATCGAAGAGATTCTCCGAATTTGAACGACACGATGTAGCGAACAACGATCGTCGAGGGACCATGGACCATGGAACAATAATCGAAACTTTTGGAATTTCAAATTGGAATAAAGCGTCGGAATTCGAATGCACATTCTTCGAATGAAAATTCTTTTCGCTTTTGATTATTTTTTATAGTATTATGCAAATTCGAAAAAAATGAAAAAAACCGGTAAATACCCCTGAAAAGCTCTAAGCAGATGAGAGCAAAATGCCTAAAATTTTTGCCATGGCGAAGTTTTTCGGAGTAAACAACACCATTGTTTTTTTTTTTTTCATTAAATCGCTGCGAGAATCATGACATTTTTTTATCATAGGCGCCCTAATAAGAAAAATAGGAACCGAAATCGAAACATTTGGGTTAAAAAATAAAATTTGTGAATAATGTTGCGTTTAAATCGCGCGTGCAAATATTTCATAATTTCTACAGCGAATTATTCAAAAATTGTGGGTTTCGAAAAACGTGGCCGTGGCCGAGGTTTCAGCTTTTTCGTTTCTATAACCTGTTTCTTTTTTTTCTAAAAATTGATGTTCCGGGTTGGCTTCTTTGTTAGTCGCTCAAAAATATCTCGACACGAAAACTGACATAATTCATTGAATGTTACACAACGGAGCGCGAAAATGGGCGGCGCCAAATTGGGGGAGGAGAGGGCGTCGCGCCACTACTTATTGGCGGCAGAAATCGAGTTGAGGGCAGCGACGACGACGACGTCCTCCGTCTTCATTCGTCAAACGTATTCTCATAGTACCTTCCTTCCCATCGAGGGTCTTATTCTTCTATATTCTACCGTATACTCAAACAGGTTTCGATTACGTAATCCGATCAAGGCCAACACTCAGAAGAAGGCTTCTCCTTTCTTTCTGTCTGGTAAAAACGAAAGAAATTTTTCGAAATACTCTCTATCCGTCGTCGACGGCCATCCCCAGGCCACCCCGGCCGCAAAAACCCGTTTGAATTTTGTTGTTGAATGATCGTACCACGCCCCGCATCGGACAGAATTGATTGTGAAGGACACCGACAGTCGTCGGACGGTCGGACCGAACGAATCTTCGCCTATTCCTTTTCTGGTATTCGGTGATGATCAACGAATTCAAGAATCAGGTCGTGCCGACTGCCATGTTGCGCAACAAAGCTAATATTGCACTCGTCCCGGCCTGATTCTTCGAATTTGAATTTTTGCACAAAAATGTGCTTTTTTATTGGAAAATTGTGAGTTTTATTTAAACGGGTGCGAATTGTATTCGCATTTTTACGAGCTTTTATTCAAATGAAACGTTCAGCATTTGAATAATTTAAAATTTTATAAAGAATTCAATTCAATACAAAAGATTTGTGCTTTAGAATTTTTAGAATTTCGAAACAATAGCACAATTGCGCTTTCAACCGATTAAACAATACAAATTGTTTAAATGTTTGCGTGTTCTAAAATATTTCTCAAAAAAAAGAAAATACATTAAATGTGCATTTACAACCCTGTATTGGAAAAATGTGTAATTTTTCGTTTCATAAATAAGCACATTATAAAGTTTCACTGGAGAATTGTGAAAACGAAATAGAACGTCGTCTCCAATTTGAAATCTTTATTAACAAGCGATACTGTACTTACGGTGTTGTGCAAACACCGCATGCGTTTAATTCATAATTTTTTTATGTTTCGATAATGAAGTTTACCGTTTTTCCGAAAAAGTAAAAAGTTTCATGACATAAGCTTTTGAATTTATTTTTTTTTCGAATTTTTTTCTACATTCTTATGATGACTAGACTTGTGACAATTTCAGTTTTCTGACATCATCTACCATTCTCATGTTTGCAAAACAAGGGGTTATTGCGAATCTCAAGGTGACCGAAACTGACGAAAATAGGTTCGAGATAAAAATTCAACGGTTCAGATGAATTGAAACTCGGCGACGAATAGAGCTTATCAAAGGGTAGTCTTCTCCGCAATCGACATGATCTCTAATCAATGGCAGCTGTTCATTTGACCCGTCCAATCGCACAATGTTTCGATATCTATTTTGTGATTTTGTCTTCCGCGATAAAATCATTTTTCTTCGTCTTTTCTTCGTCGCAAAAGTGTAAACCACGTGCGCCTCCACGTTTTGCTAAAAAATGTTGAAAATTTCTCGAAAATTTTTCAGAATGCAACGTGTTCAGTCGCTCCGACCGCTTCTACCCAAAGGCCATGTCACCTATTATAAAGACCAATTATTGATAACTAGAGGAGAGAAACAGTTCCTGTTCGATAACAACGGAAAGAAATATCTCGATTTTTTTGGCGGAATTGTCACCGTTTCAGTTGGACATTGCCATCCGTAAGAGTTGAATTGTAAATTCTCATAATCTTCGAAAGATCAAAAATTTATTACAACACAATATTTAACACAACTGTTGCTTTTGCAAAATCGAAGAAATTGCAAAGAAATTCCTAAAATTTAGATGAACTCTAAGAAAATATATGGCATTATTTTTGTTTCAGTCGACATTTCGGATTTCAAAAATTTTCAGCGTATTCAAATGATTTAGTTAAATTTTAATCGATGACTATAGCCTAGCAATTTTGATAAAAATCTATAGTTGTTAGTATAAAATGCCTCGGAAATTCCAGGAAAATCAACGAAGCGCTTGCCCAACAATCGAAGAAGCTGTGGCATACCACCTCAATCTATCACACCGAACCAATCTATGAATATGCTCAAAAACTTCTCGGCAAATTCCCTGATCCACTAAAAGTGGTTTTCTTTGTGAATTCCGGATCGGAAGCGAATGATTTGGCTCTGGCTCTTGCGAGAAATTATACCGGAAGATTCGATGTAATTTCGATGAGAAACGGTTACCATGGAATGACACAAACTGTCCTCGGAGCAACCAACTTGGGTATTTATTTTTCAACAACAATTAATATCTAAAACATTATTTAGGTAATTGGAAGCCGGTATTCCCCCATGGTTTCAATATTTTCAAATCCTTGAATGCTGATCCCTACCGTGGAATTTTCGGAGGATCGAATTGCAGAGATTCTCCAGCTCAGGTGAAAAATCGCAAGTGTAATTGTGGTACCAATCAATGCGAAGCTTCTAACAAGTAAGTGTCGTCAATTATTTTAAATCAGTAAACCAAAAACATTCTTAAAGGTACATTGAACAATTCGACGAGATGCTTCTTCATGATTTCTCGCATTCATCTGGTCCGGCGGCCTTTCTTATCGAGTCGATTCAGGGTGTTGGCGGAACTGTTCAATATCCAAAAGGGTTTATTAACGATTAATGAGCGAAATGACCAGAGACCATCCGATTTTCCAGATATCTGTCTCGCGCTTACAAATCTGTTCAAAAAAGGGGTGGACTTGCTATCGCCGACGAGGTTCAGACAGGATTTGGACGACTGGGTTCACACTTTTGGGGATTCGAATGTATGAAAAACGATTGGATAGCTGTCAAATGGCATTGAACTTAAATCCCCCAGCATTTTGAAATCTAATGAATATTTTGTTTAGCACAAGACGCGATGCCGGACATTGTGACGATGGCAAAAGGAATTGGAAATGGATTTCCACTAGGCGCTGTCGTAACAACCAAAGAAGTCGCGGATGCGTTTAACAGATCATTGTATTTCAACACTTATGGTGGAAATCCGTTGGCTTCAGTTGTTGGAAAAGCGGTTTTGGAAGTCATTGAAGAGGAAAAATTGCAAGAAAACTGCGCGAATGTCGGGGATTATTTCATCACGCAGCTTAATTCGTTGGATGAGCCAGCAATTGGGGATGTTCGTGGAAAAGTTAGTTGGTTTTTTTTTTAAGTTCCATTCGAAACACTCCGTTTCAGGGACTTATGATTGGCGTGGAGCTGGTCGATGAAGCTGGAAAACCAATGCCTGCTGCAAAAACCGCCGCCATTTTTGAAGAGACCAAGGTTGATTCGGACAGCAAAATATGGTTTCGAATTTTTTGCTTAATTTAGAACCAAGGACTTCTAATCGGAAAGGGAGGAATTCATGGAAATGTCCTTCGAATTAAACCACCAATGTGCATCAGCAAGCAGGATGCTGATTTTGCGCTCGATGTGATTTCGAAAGCGATCAAACAATTCAAATAATCATATTCTTGTTGAAATGTTTTAGTTCATCCTTTTTTTGTTATCGGGTCTCAATAAATGTGTTTTTGTTAATAAGTATAGTCGACGACGGACGAATTTGGGGTGCGATTGCTTTAATTTTTTTGAATTGCCGCCGCGGGTCTCGTATGGAAATACTCTGGTAACTCAAAACCAATCGTATTCGACAAAATTCGGCTCTAGAATTAACCTTATCCGATTGGAAATTCTACGGATAAGATTGGAAAATTGTCGTATCCGATTGGTTTTTTGGGTATTTTCGTATCCGATTGGTAATTTGTCGTATCCGATTGGTAATTCTACGGATAAGGTTGGTTTTTTGTCGAATCCGATTCGAATTGAAATATTAAAACAAAACGGATTCGAATAATTACCAATCGGATTCGAAGAAAATCTAATCGGATTCGACAAATTACCAATCGTATTCGAAAATACCCAAAAAACCAATCGGATACGACAATTTTACAATCTTATCCGTAGAATTTCCAATCGGATAAGGTTAATTCTAGAGCCGAATTTTGTCGAATACGATTGGTTATGATTTACCAGAGTACTTAGAAGCTTTTATGTTTTCTAACTATCGTACTCTGGTAATTCATTTCGAATCGAATACGAATTGAACGCGTATTACAAACGTATACGGAAAATTTCGAATCGTATACGATTGACAGTAAAACCGAAACGAATACGATAGAATTACAATCGTATACGTTCGAAAAAACACTGGTAACTCGATTCGAATCGAATACGAATTGAACGCGTATTACAAACGTATACGCAAAATTTCGAATCGAATACGAATTGGCAGTAAAACCGAAACGAATACGAATTACAATCGAACGCAAATTAATTAACCGGATTCGGCGACATATTTATCCTAAATTTTCTATTTAAAAAATATTTTGTCGGTTTCGAAAAGTTAACGATATCGTATGATATCCGAGCTGACGAGCTGAGTATATTTAATACTAATGAATGCCCAGTAGTGTTGCTTACTCCTTGTTGCCGCGAGACACCGAAATGCAGCTATTTACAAGATTTTTTCGCGTTCGGGCGCGTGCGGTTCGCGTGCGCGCACGTTTATATTTATCAATTTTCCACAGTATGATTCAATGTAAATATATTTTTTAATAGTTTCAACAAATTCGATGATATCAATTGCAACAGAAGTTGGCACCTGTTGCTGAGCGAAAACAAAGAAGAAAAAGAAATTGCTGAAGTAAGCGTGTAGCAATAAAAAATATATGATCATTATTCAGAAAAAGTTCGATGACCACGCCCAAGGACTCATATCCTTCGATGATTCTCTTCTGAAGGCTATATACAAAAATGGAACGGATACAGAGAAAGCGGCATTATGCTGCATTAAATCTCTCGCATACTCGGTTAGTTAATCTATATTTTACAAATATCAATTAATCACTGCAATTCACTTCTGAAATTCTTCTCAGATCACTTAATTATGTGCAGTTTAAAACACACTCCTTCAATTTCTATCAATTCAATTTTTTAGGTGGAAAAGATTTGTAATAAACCAGCGAATAGGACGTCGTATAGCGGGAATTTGGTGATTTAATTGCGTCAAACAGATAAATTGCCTACTATTTTTAGGACAAGGTATTTGCAATGTTCGACCCGCTGAAGCTTGCTTCTTATGACGACACCCTTGTGCCGGCCATTGAAGGAAATGGTAAAAAGAAATTCGTTACAGTAAATAACTTTTTTTTAAAGATTTGGTTAACTTCTCACTTATCATTCAGTCGATGCGTCCCTGTAAGCGTCATCTGCGAACAATAGTGCACGAGGCAGTTATGATTTGGATGAACGAGGTAAAAAATAATTTTCGATGTTTTTACTATTTTCATAGTTACAGGTGATTCCTCAAAACATTCGATGCAAGTATACGCCACGCCGAAATCCTCAAAAAGGTAATATTGCAATTGAAGCGCACATAATCAATACGTTTATTGGTCAGTTTTCTATAATTCTATAATATTTCAATAATTTAATTTTTACAGAATTACTTTTACATTGTATATCAATCCCGGACACCGAAGAGAAGATGATGCGAATTGCCGTTACAGTAATCACGGAAAATTATATCGAATACTTATGGTTAGTCAATATTTCATTTTTATAGTTTTTTTACTGGAAAATTTTTAGTAATCGCGCAAGGAGGCTGCGAATTGAGGAGGAGCTCTCGAACTCGCGCCATAGTTAATTTTCTGTATATCAGTTTATCAGGTTTGCGTTGGCTTGGAATTTCCGTAGTTAAATGAAAATCAAAAAAACAAAATATAAATTAATCTGATTCGATAGAAAAAGAAATGAAATTCGATTGAGAAATTGTTTAGATTCGCTTTGAAAACTTGTTTCGATTCAAAAATCTTCGAAATCGATTGGTTCATTCTTCATTCTCAATTTTGAAATCGTATTCGATTTAAATTTTGAAATAATTCGAAACAGATTAATGTATTATCGATTTCGATTGAAAAGAAAATTATTTTCGAACTCGATCGATTTTCATTTACCAGAAAAGGAAATGTCGAAATTGAAGCAAGTTATAAATTTTTCGTCAAAAAATGGCGAAAACAAATAATCGAAATAGTATTTCCGAAGAAATAAATTGAAAAAATCGCACATCCTGCTATACATATTTTTTGTTTCATTCCTGCTGTTGGTTGTTATTGTGTTTATTGCAATAAATAATTTTGTTTGTCTAATCGATTGTCTTTTTCTTCCATAATTGATTCAAATCGAATTCAATTCAAAACCGAATACGATTACATTTGAAAAATATACGACTACATTCAAAACGAATACGGCTGCATTCAAAACGAATACGGCTGCATTCAAAACGAATACGGCTGCATTCGAAACGTATTCCAAAGATAATCGAATACGATAATTTCACAACCTAATACGAGAAATTTCGAACCTAATTAGGTCACGTTCGGAGCCGAAATTTGTCGTATTCGGTTTCAAATGTGTCGTATTCGATTCGAAATGAATTACCAGAGTAATATGAAAGAGCATATTTTTAAAAGGAATTTTAAGTACTTTGGTTATTAGCGAATAAGACGATTTTGTTTTGCGTGACTAATTATGGCAGGCCACGCAATTCAAATTTCTCAAATTCGTCCATACACGACAACAAAAATTTTCTAAATTTAATTTAAAAACAGACGAAGGAAAATTAAAAAATAAGACATTTCAAATTTGCGCGTATTAGAAGTGTGTATTATTGCGTCAATGGTGTTGCGTACCTATGCGTTGTCGATTTACGACGTATTATTTCCACATTTTAACGAATGCTAAAATCATGAATTTAAAGATTTTCAGGCATGGAGGAGACCACCGACAATGAAAATGCAAGAATATTGTTGAAAGAACGGTAATTCTCAAATAATTAATTTTTTATTCTAAGAATGATATCTACAGATATGATCTTTTACAATGGGCAAGTAATGTGGAACTTCGGACACCGAACCTCATGATTCCAGTTCAAATTGCTAATTATGTGGAATCTTTACCATTTTGCAAATTGTCTGTGTCGCCGTAAGAAGAACATTCATATTAAAAAACTTAGATTGTGATTCTATTTTAGAAAATGTGACCGCGTTGCTCTTATGAGTTACACACGACTTCTGGATATTTATACGATTACTGGAGAGATTTTAGAGCATGAGTCAAGTGTACAGGGTTAGGAAAAAAACAAATTCGGTGAGCAATTAATCGATATTTGTTTTCAGTTCTCGAAGAAACTTCTCCGGAATATTGTATACTTCAATTTTCCTCATCAGGAACCCTTATTTTATCATCCCGTAGCACACCACATATTGACGTTTTTGACAATATGGGTGCTTATTGTTACGACATTCCCCTTGAATCGCATGAAGGAATTTTCGACGTGAACACAGCGGTTTGCGGAATGCAAACAATGCCGAATCAGTCAATTTCTTCAAACGATAAGTTTCTGGAAATCCTCTATGTTCTTCAATACTCTGGACAATTTACTGCGTTTAAAATTGGGTAAATTAAACTAAATAGTTTTATCGAAATAATTTGGTGAAAAATTATAGAAGACTCTCAAAATATCAAAAAATGTGGTCAGTTCAATTAGACATTGGCCAGACCGGTTCATTTGTGGTTCTTCCACAGTACAATTTACTCCTCGTCGCTTCTCATTATAAGGAAGCAACGTCAATTAACCCACCTGCCGGGCTATGCTCATTTAGGCTAATGGATTCGGAACCATATGTCGAACCAATTAGGATATCATCACCTGATGGTATGATTCTTTATTTTTACTTTGTTTTATTTAAAATTAAAACATAATAATTATTAAGGCGGTTGGTTTTCTCGTTTGCCGTTCTCCACCTCATTCATTTCGTACCTACCGAAAATGTCGCTCTCTAAAAATCAGCAACTACTCGTTTCGGTCGCCACCTCAGGATCTTTATATCTTTTCGAAATCCCGTCGACTCATTTGAAATTTTGTTTCAATTATATCAGTGGTCCGAAACCAATGGAAGCTTGTTTCGTTGATGTTGAAGTAACTTTTATTGTTAAAAAAATGCAAATAATGATACATTTGAAGGAAATTGCGATTATATACGACACGGGACTACTTCTGAGGTGCCACATTGATGATATTGAAGAGAAAATGCATTCAATGAAGAAAAAAGGAAATCACTTAGATGAAGCTGGTTAATTCTTTTTTTTTCCTTTTCATTGTTTAAAGATAAATTCTAGATCAGAAGGACATGTATAGCGAGAATACAATCATGGTAACTCCAGCACTTCGAGAAATCTTCCTTCTGTCTGCCTCGGTGAGTTCATTTCGCATTCAAAATTTCAATAGTGAATCGGTTTAGGGAGATACCTCTGTGCTCAGAGAAGCGGCTCATAAGCGTGTCCAGCTTGCTGGCCAAATTTGGTTCTACACCTTATGGAACTCATTCAAGAAATTGGTGGGAATGGCGATGGGCGAATCAGCGGAACCTCTTCAAATGGCGACACATCTCGCGAGATTCGAATTCACTCTTGTGCATTCGCCGACTCGGACACTTGAGGAATTGTTTAATAGAACGGTATTATTCGATGTTGGATATTCTTGATTGATAGTAATTATTAGCTCGTTGAACACGATTATACGAGAGCTCGAGAATTGGCCACTAGTTTTCAAACCATCGATATTGATGTGGTTCTGAAATCAGAATGGTTGGATAAATGCGCGAAAAATACTGTCAAAGTGGAAGATGTCGATGATATACTGGTTCGTGTTTATTACTGAACTCTGTTTATTGCATGAGTTCATGAGACAATGATTTAAACCATTCAGGGAAATATCAAAGATAGCGAATGGGTTGCTGAACAATGCACAAATGTTAATGTTGAACAATTCGATGTGCGAGAAGCATTAATTGATCTAGGTAGACCTGATTATTCGAATTGATTTGCTATTGAATTAATTGAAGGACTCTCGCGCAGTGAATCCAGCATCACTTGGCGTATTCGTCTTCTCCATCATCGTCGACTATTGGAGGTGTGCAAACCCAATAATGATATCGATGTTTTTCTACGAGAAAGGAACAGAAGTTGTTTGGATGCTGCTTTGAAATTTGCGAGGGTAAATTTCGATATTTGATCACAAAACTCAATAATCAATTGATAATCAGAATGGAGATATTGAGTCGCTTCTTCGAATTGTCGAATCGAACATGGATATATTAAAATCTCATCAACGGATGATTTTGTCGTCAATTCCATCTTGCATCAATCCATCGAAATATCAACATTTTATGCCGAAACGCACAGATGATGGAATAATTCAAGATTGGGAGCTGGAAGAGGTCATTTTGAAATCACACCTGGCAAAATTTAAAATCGTAGAGATTTAAGGCAAACTCATCGGTTAGACGAGAATTGGACGCGATTTTGAAAGAAAATCCTGATAGCGAATCACTTGTTCGAGCCGTCAACACCGGAGATGAGCCGGATGAAGCAACATTCGATTTTATCCAGTGGGTTCGCGAAACTGTCGACAAAATAGACTTTGAATGTGGAATGACGGGAAATTGTATCTCATTGCTAATGATTGCTATCGAGAGAGGATTTAAGGTGAATAAAAATAATTTGTTTTTAAGAATTCTGATTTTCAGGAGCTTCAAGACGATGTTCCAAAATGGGATCTATATTCTTCATATATCTCGATTTGCTCGTCTGTTAGCGAAAGTATCTTATCGTTCGAAGATTGTGATGTTCAGACATTCGTCGATAGATTCACAAAGGTTTAAACGCTTTGACTGGTCTCACAAAACTGAACTGCCTCTTTAAGCTGCTGGAATCTGAACTCATTGAACATGCGTCTCCTATAATGTCCCTGATTGAATGGAAAGTGTCTTCAAAGGGTCTTGAGGCGAAAGATTTGGAAAATGCAATCGTCTCGCTGATGACGCAAACAAATGAAAGGTTGACGAATGTTTTGGCTGAATTCCGAATGCTGAGACCGGATCTCATTACTGATAATGTGGTATTTACTATATCAAAATATATATTATAAGAAACTATATAATTAAGATTCTTGAATGTCTTCTCAACATGACTTCAACTGGGGTCGAATTACTTCAATCTCTGAATAACCTTCCAACGGAACAATATGCTAATGTCACGTCTGCTTTGGGTTCTCTAATGTCGAGAGGTGTCAAAATGACATTCAAGGCAATCTACGAGAGTATGAAAGAACCGTGAGTGTTTCAATTATTCAAATGAGTTTATTTTGATATATTCAGAGATGGAGCTCGACGAGTTTTGATAAAACTTTCTCGTAGCGGCCACTGTGAAACTCTTGAAGACTGGACAGCTCTAAAGGAGGATGTGCTAGACATGGCCGAAGGAATTTATGGGGACCTCATTACAACTGAAGAAGCTTTGGAACTCGTTGCGCAAGAGATTTTGGAATATGAACGGATAGGACAACATTTGGAACTCATGGATCTTGTGCTCACCATGAACGCGAAACAGACGAATCAGAATCATGAGCGAAGATTGGGATTGAAGAAAAGCGCGGAGGTTCTGCTATCGAAGAGTGATGATTTGATGTCTGAAGCGACGCACAAGGATGATCCATTGCTAGGAAGAGCGAGATTCTTCGCCATCTCGGCAAGACCGATTTCCCTAAAAGGAGCTGAGGAGAACCTTAAATGGTTGGATGCAATTGAATTAGCTCAAAAATTGGGATGTACAATGATGCCAATTGCAATCAAGTAGAATATATCGTATTTCATTCGTCAAACAATTTTTTTTTTCTATTCAGACATTGTGATCATGACAAACTGCTCAATGACATAGTACATTATGGAAATAATTATAAGAAGGTTAGTGAAAATCAATTATATCATTAAAAATACCTCGAGTTGTTCAGGGGAAAGAGATCGCAGAACTTTCGACTCTTCTGAGCATCGACACTCCAGTGGCCACAGCTTTGTCGTATTGCGCTTTAGCTGCATTGAACGCGAATGATTCGTCGTGTCTTGGAAAGTATATTGGAAAAATTATTAGTCAGGCTCATGGTATTCCCGTCGTACACCATCTATGCATGAAAATATTGGAATCGCCTCATGTGCCCACTGTGAGAATCCTCATCGAATTCACGGGCCAGAGAAATAATTTCGATTACAGGATATCCGAGATATTTGCACTTGTGCACTTGAAAATTGTTCTGAGCAACAACTTCTCGCTACTGTTGATGCAATCGTCGCCAGTGAGGATAAATTCAATCGAAACCAACTGGTAATGATTTTGAAATAATTCTATTTAAATCATTTTGTTGTAGGGTCCGAAGATTCCAGCCAACGATGTGCCCGTTTGCGATCAATTTGCGCAGGATCCAATGTTCACGCCGGTAGGACTTGTTTTTTTTTATATATATGATCTTTTTTCCCTAAAAGGGCCGAAAATAAAAAAAAAGAAAATAAATTTTTTATAAATTTTTGGGTTGGGATTACATTACTTTTGTGCTTCGTTAGATATCTTCTTGATTTGACCAGTTGTTAATTAAATGCACCAGGTTAAAAGAACATCTACATATTTTTTCTGACAAGGGAGGTCATTTTGCTGTCCGTCTTAAAATTTTTTTATTTTTTGCATACAGATTCTTTAGAAAATTTCCAATCGAATGAACTAGGTCGCTACCTGCGCAAAATCTGTACCAAAATCTGTAAAATCTGTATCTGTATGCAAAAAATAAAAAAATTTTAAGACGGACAGCAAAATGACCTCCCTTGTGAGGTTTAGTACGAATAATTTCGTATTTCAGATTTCTCAATATCATCCGATCGAAATTGACGAGAAAATCAAGAAAATCGTTGAAAATGTCAAACGAAGGTCAAAAGAGTATACCATTGATGAGGTAAATGAAAATTCAATGAATTGCATTAATTTGTAAAAAGATAATATTGCAGCTTAAACGAATAATGGCTCATGAATCGGCGACGGTGGCATTGTGTTATGCATTATTACGGCCATATAATGAAGACGAGCCATGGACGAATAATGAAAAGCTTCGAAAATATGAAAAGGAGATTCGAAATTTGGAAGAACAAGGGGTTCCTTTGAATATTTTGACAAAAATCCCTTTCTCGAACTTGCTTTACAATGCGAATCAGAACGATGAGAATGCAACAGCTTTGGATCGAATTGAAGACTACGGTGGGATTGAATGCGGGTTTTCTGATGATTGCAATCATTTATTGCAGGTTGTGACAAGAGTCGATTTATTGGAGATCGGGAGTATCGCGAGGATGCCATTATTGGATTAGCGATGTTTCAAAATTATGCGTTAATTTCGAAATATATTCTTTAATTTAAGGACCGAAAATGAGCAGCAATTCGCCGATTCTCTCGAACTTGCCAAAATCTACAATGTTGATGACTGGCTGCTGCACATGACATCGTTAGAGAACGCACTAGTATCGTGAGTTATGAGACATTTGCAAAAAATCGAGTATTTCGATTCAGATTATCAATTCTTGAAGCGAAAAGTTTGTTGAAATCCCGCGGACATTTGAAAGTGCTCCGAACCAGAATCGACGAGTTCCATTCGACACTTCGCACTTCGGTGCTTCCGCTTCTCGGAACTAATGAACAATTTATTGCATACTCCTCCCTTTTCGCTGAATCTGAACCGGAAAAGCAGACAGCACCGATTATCAAGAAAATTCTGGAGAAGAAGAAAAGTTATCCAAACGTTATCTTCTCCCACTCAATTTTGCGATTTTAAGATATCAAGGCTACTAAAATGTGGACGAATGCAAAATATCTCGCCGATGTTTTGATATCGATTCCCGACAAGATTTTGTGGACTATTATTGATTCTGTAATGTTGATTCCGGTAGGGCCCGAAGCTTGTGAATCTACTGCAAGAACATTACTGGATGGCACTGATATCAGACCCCCCTCACATCCTTTTACCTTATATTTATTGCTCAGAAGGGATGCTGAGGAGTTCTTAGAGCTTGTTGCCGTCAAATCGGTACCAGTAATTTAGAGATTCTAATATTTATTTCCATTTTTCAGAGAGCCGAAGAGATTAAATATTTGGAGTCAGCGTGTATGATGCTGGAAGCAACTCCAAAAGTGCCACATGAACTCGTTGAAGCTGTCAGGTCGGTTTGCCGAATTTTTAATTTAATTGTAATACGCGGGTGGATTTACGGGAATGTGTGTCTTTCTCTGGGTCTCATGCGGACAAAATGGTTATTTTGCATTTCCGATAATTTCCGTTCCGATAATTTTTTAATCGAATGGCGTTGGAAATTCAAGTAAATGCCAAAATCATCAAGAAAAAAACTAATCTTTCGTGTGAAAACTTGTATTTTAAAAGTCATTCCGTTAATTTTGAATTGCAATAATAGTAAGTATTCAAGGAAGCGATATAATCATCAAAAAATCAATAGTTCTCATGTGAAAATATCAAAATAAGCGTTCACAAGTTTCGAGACCTTTTCAAGGCGCATACCTACCCGCTAACAGCCGAACGCCGACTATATATTTATGTTTAGGAATCGAGTTGAAAAAATGAAACGAGCCACGGCCACTCCTGAACCACCACAGCCTTCAAATGGATTCGGATTTTTCGTGGCTTCTGAAGAATCGGGCATGATGAATCGTAGGAAACGCAACTAATTTAAATTTAACGTGATGCCTTACACTAGTCGCTTTTGGTTTTGTTTTCGTAGTTGGTGTTAATTGTGTAAATATTTTTCTATAGATTTATGGGTTCTTTTTTTTCTGGTGCGTGATAATAAATTATTCTCTTACTTTAAAATATTTTATTCATTTCTTTCAGGCATTTCATTCCATATGTTTTTATATAAGTTTGCTTATCGAAGACAAAAAGAACTGCTGAAATTTTTCAGATGGGAGATGAAGAATGGTTGTGCTCAAGCAGTTATAAGCCAAAAAGCGATGAAAGTGAGCATAAAAGATTCTACAAAATAAATCTTCCCAATTTAATGTCGCTTTGAATTGTCCAAATTGCAGTATTGTCACATGGAAGCCAAGGGAAGAAGAAGAAAAAGCGAAAACTCACCGTTGTAGTTTCTCCTAAAATAATTAACCCATCCAATTTCCGAATTTCACCGCGACCATCGATAAAGAAGCAATCAGGTCCCTCAAAAAATCTCGGCATGTTTCATTACGAATATATATAATTGCAGATGTTGAGAAATCAGTTAGTGTTGCGACATCCGTTCGTCGGCAACCAGCTGTGCCCCACAAAAAAGGTCGCTTCTTTTTTTTTTCGTCGTGCGAAATTTCATGAGAAATCATTTTTTTAGTTTCGCCTGCATTGAGTCAACGGAAAAGTCCCAGCGAGATTTTTGGACAGTATACGCCAAAACGGAGGGTTTTGGAATTGGATGTGATTCCGTTTCAGCCGAAAAAAGTCAAAACGGATGACGAAGACATCGAGGACAATAACGATACGACGGCAGTTGATGAAGTTCATAGCGATTGCTCAGGTCAACTATCAAAAACCAGCTGCGGACATTTCACTGGATGTTTTTGCAGATGTCTCGAATATTTTTGATGACTTGAGTCCTATGAAGAATGTTACCGATTTGAGTCCTGCTAAGAACATTCCTGAACAGCCGCCGAAATTTGATCCTGAATCAGTTGCTGACTTAGATCCTGAACTGGTATCCCAATATGTTTGCAAAGACGAGTAAATATATTTCTAACATTGTGTTTAAAGTTTCGCTTACTTCAGGATTTCGATTGAAACATCGCCTGAAAAGAAATTTGCGATTCCTAGTATTAAACCAAGAAAACGAATTCGATTTATGGAACAACTTGCGGCGGAACCGTCGGAACATCGAGTACACGTCTTCGATGAAACTGTTCCAGAGGATGTGATTACACAAGTGACTCAGTGTTATGCAATAGAAGAAACGAACCATTGTGAAGGTTTGTCGGAGCATTCATTTCAGTTTTCTTTCAAATTATTTTCCAGATGATGAGAGTGTTTTCGATATTGCCGAAGACGCCGAAGAAGATATTATTCGAGAAGCGGTATTGTTGTTGTTTTTTTTAGTTTGGCAACTTAAGACCAATCGGATCCTACAATATTCAACCCGATTCAATTGGCAATTCGACTGATAAGATTGTAAAATTGTCGTATTAGATTGGTTTTTAGGGTATTTTTGGATCCAATTTTAATTAGGTTGTATCCGATTTGTCTTAATTTTCCAATTCAAATATGAATCGAAATATTTACAGCCGTATTCGTAGAATTATAAGTCGGATCGGGTTGATTCGAGACTCAAATTTTGTCGCGTCCGAGTGCTTTGAATAACGGGAGTAACTTTAAAAGGGCATCCAAAAATGACGCAATCTCAACAAAACCGTTGTTTCGCACCATTTGCCCATTTCCCACATAAAACGGTGGTGAATAATTGTCTCAATCTTAAAACTAGCAAATTTGAATAATGTGAAACTAGCAAGTTTTTTTATTTTGCTTTAGAAGGAAGAATACATTAGGAGTATCCCGATTGTCGAAAAATCCGTGGAAAATATTCTGGATCGCGACGAGCTGAAAGGATTAGCCGGTATGTGAATAAGCGATCAAATGAGCCGTCGCCGCCGCCAATTATGCGCAATTGTTTTTGCAGCTCGTTTTGCGTCAATGATGTCGACGAAAAACAGCGAGAGGCGCATATTGAAAAGCGATGTGACGATCGGAATGGTGCCCAGAACCCAATTGGTCCCATTGAAAATTGAACGGGTTACCAGGTATGATTTGTTGTTTCGCACACCGTTTGTTCATTTTCGCTCTTGTCACGGAAGCGCAAACAGTTGATAAGTGTTAAATGGATGTTTGCCTCTTTGGCGGGATCCTCGAGAAATCTGGCACCAAAAACAAACAAAACATAAAGTTCGTTTCAACTTTCCCAGAAGAACCGCGCGCTCGTCTTGTGCACCGCCCAATATCGCATTTCAATGCACGAACAAATGTCTAAAAATGGGAAGGAAAACTTTTTTTGGTGCTTGTTTTGTTATGCAAAATGAATGAATCCCAACACATTGTCCGCTGCTTGCCGCCATCGCCTCCTGTCGAAAATGAGCTTGTGCAAACAGTGAACCATCATGCATGGATGAATAAATAATGGGATGAGCAAAATGAGCAGGAAAGTCATGAACGGCGCGTGGGAAAAAAATCGACACAAGAAACTGAATCCGGCACCGTTTTTCGTATAGTTTGTGGGAATATTCGGCGAATGATAAGACAAACCATTGGGCTTTCTATAATTGAGCAAAGCTAGGAATTGAGGAGTTAGAGAAGTGAGAGTACATTCAGATGGTGATGTCCATTTGCAAAAAAAAATCAAAATACTCACATATCAATTTTCTAATTGAAACAATCGAATGATTTTTTTAATCCGGCGAACACATGGCAGTGTATTTGCATTTGTCGAACCGCCGTTTATCTTTTTTCCTTTTTGCTTCTTTTTGTTTGACGCTTGAGCGAGTGGCATTGCAAGGACTCCGAAAAGAAATATTCATAATAATAATTATTATAAAAATGAGTCATTCGATAGGCAAACAGAACGCACACACTCAGACTCAGTTAATTGCATCGATAACATTTTTGAATTTCAGCTTTTCACTGTGTGTTGTTAGCGAAAACGTCTACATATTTGAGGTAAATAGGTCTCGAAGCGAATACTGTAACCTATCGAGACCCTTAGCTTTCTTCGTGAATTCTTGAAATTTAATAAATAGGCGCAATTTGTCTCGATGCACTCAAGGCGGCTCAATTTCAAATGATAAACGGATTATTGCGAAAATTGCTTTCAATTTCACAAAATACAACAAAACGCCCCCACGGTGTTGACATTGTTATAAAATCGTTTCGAAATCCTTCAATTTTTGTATGAAAATGTTGATATTTGATAAAAAAGAAAGAAACAGGAGGAAAATTGCAATATGAGTCAGAGGAAATGAACAATCAAAAGAAACAGTATGAATAAGAACATTTTAGGCTTTGGTTTCGCGCTCTTTTGAAATTGCTTCCTTTCAAAATGCCGATCTGATTGTTTAGATATGATAATCGGTTTCTAAAGCAAGGTCATCAAAAAAATTGCGAAATTTGCACAATTTGATGAATAGACATTTGCTGGTTGCATTATTGCCGAAATTCGAACATTTGATTCGCAGTTTCTTTTAAAAAGGAAAATCATTTGAAATTTCATTTTTATTAAATTAATTAAAAATTATATTAAATTAAATTTTAAAATTGAAGAAAGTGATATCTAAAAATTAGAGTGGAATTATCAGAGATAAAAGTTCTAGATTTCATACAACGAAATTCATCGACAGACTTGTATTTACTTTATATTTAATTTTTGCAAAATTTCTACCAACAATGAGAAATTTTAAAATTTAAACATCGAGTCAAAACCTTTTTTGCTCTAAATATTGCCCAAATTTGGATTTTTTTAACGAAAAACGTTCGAATCTTCGTAAAAGTGCACATTTTAAAAATATCAATCAACCAATTTTTTTTCAAAACAAAAAAGAAACTCATCAACATTGTAATTAGGAATCGGTTGGTGCTCATTAGCTGCTTCCAAATTTTTAATCCAACATTTTTTGAAATTTCGCAAATGTTTTGTTTGCAGCGCATTTGGTGTGGCGTTCGTCGTTCTCGACGACAATCGTGTGATTCTCACGGACCCTCAAACGATGCTGCAGTCGTCTCAGCAGCGGCAGTGCGCAGCGACGCACCATCGCGGTCGGCGAGACGCCGCCCCATTCGTATGCGACCACGCCCACATTGAAAATGGACGACGGCCGGCAGGCGTCGCAGCCGCCGCTTATGCGATAGGAGCACTGCCGCCTGAAATTCTGGTGTACTCCACGAGGACAGGCCCAACGAGATTGATAATCGATCCGCCGCTTCTGATTGAACGCAATCAGACGTGACGGACCACCGTTTATTCCAAATCATGCGTTTTCTATTATTCATCGTCACACTTTGCTGTTGTTGTATTCCGCTTGCATTCACATTACGGTCAGTTTTATTGCTTTTTTCCGTTTTTGCCCTCCAACGGATTCTTCGCCGCTTTTTTTCTTCGACAACCTATAAATTTACTTTTTTGTTGCGCTTTTTTTATCGGCCGATAAGCGTAAATTTGTGACGAATCGAAAAGTGAACGCGTTTTGACGGGTTAAACACGACATGCGGAATTATTCGAAGAATTGTTGATTTTTCTTTTGAGAAAGTTGAATTGTCTGCAATTTATCGTAGAATGTTATTCACAAATCAGAGCCCTACAGTAGTTTTCATACAAATTCGCAATATTTTTCACTTTTGTTTATCGAAAAAGAAAGTTTCCTTGTTCATTTTGTGTAAAAATTAATATTTCTTTAACATATTTAGAAGTCGACGTCTAATATTCACATAATTTTGCAGAATGCCACAATGTTATATTTTAAAAAGCGCCGGAAATTCCTTATCTCAAAGAAAAATTCGATTTTATGATCCGCTTTGTGATATTGCCGCAGAAATTGAACTATTGTCAATCCGATGAGTTGTATAAGATTTTCTTTAGTTTCCAAAAATCCAGTTTTTTTTTATTGTTTCAAATAATCATGCATTTTACAATAATGTCGGCCGTTTTGCCGGTTGCTGCTCACTGAACAGTCAGTTGCGCGGCCGCAAAAACAAACAAAAACACAGCCGATTGAAGAAGAAGAAGAAGAAGCGCACTTTTGAATGCACTTTTTTCTTCCCCTTATTTTTTTTTGACTGGCGCCGACAATCGAAGACTGTATCAAAAATTTTGGGGATTTTGGGAACATCGCAAATAATACAAACAAATTTTGGATTGGCGGCAACGTTTTGGCGAGAGCCAGAGAAAACATTGGATCATATTACATTTGGGGTTGAAATTGCGCAAACACTTCTACTTTACGAACATATTATGCAATTTTCTTGAAGTTTGCTGTCTTTTTCTTGGAAATTTGAGAACATACCAGCTATATATATAGCATAGAAATATTACAAATGTATTAAAAAACATATAATGTTGAGCACCGGAAAGCATCGACAATTGTCCAATATTTCGATAATTTCCGGTCGAACGTTCGAGATTTTTCTCATTTTGACTGTCTCTAAATCGATTTTAAGAACGAATTTCTTTTAAAGTCGCCAAAAATTAATAAAATAGCTTGTCGTTACACCGCCCCATAAACGGCGAGAAATAGAGGGACAAGAGATGCGCGAAGGCGATAAAAAGATGTGTAGGTGATGATTTACAACTTTTGCGCGCGCAAAAGCTGTCGCCAAAATGATGTCGAACAAGTGGGAAGTTGGAGGGGGTCGACTTGGCTGTTAGTTCATCATCATCATCAATCCACTGATTGATGTTCCTCAAATTCTTGATTCCAATTATTGCAGATGTCAGTGCACGACCGACAAAGGAGGAATTGCGTGCTATAAGACGTGGTGCCAAGTATACAATAATGGGACAAAGGTTCGTGAATGCATATTGAATTTATGAATCATGACCAAAAAATGAGGAATGCGGCGTTTTCCTTGAATACGAAAAATTTTACTGGTATGAAAAAACCCATCTTCGGCAAAACTACAAAATTTTCAATATTTTTTAAAATGAAATTTTTGAAAAAATGTTTTTTTTTTTTCAAAAAATCGCACTTGTTCTTTAAATTGAATTGAACTTGAACTTTAATTAATTTCTAGTGAATTTCAATGAAATTGAGTTTTGATCTGCTCCCGAAAAATGCAATTGGCCCTCGTTTTTTGTTTGATTTCACATTGAAGTCTCGAGGTCAGAGCATCACTTAGAATTTATGGCCAATTTAATGTTGGTTGCGATCCGTTCCGTTCCGTTCCGTTCGGTTCCTTCTTACAAGTGCACGTTGCGTTCGATTTCTCGTTTTCTCGAAAAAAAAACAGACATTGAGCGAAGAGAAAGGACATCAATATTTGCGCAATTCTTGCATGTTTTCGATTTTGTGCGCAATCAGCTTAACCTTTTGACTGCGATGAAAAAAAAAATGAAGAAATGACGCTCTACGTCAACAAAAATCTGTAGGAAATGGTCGAGAATCGAATTTTCAGAAAGCGGCGTGTGTAATGGTTCGAAGTGGCTCGACGCAACATTTCGCATGTGCACAGGTCAGCGATGATTCAGAAGACACATGCCGAGTCGATAATAAGGACGGCAAGACGAGGGTAAGCGCTAATTCATCAATTTTTGGTGCAATGAGACGCCAAAAACATCAATGATGGTGTAGATAAAACAGAAGAAACAGTAAGATTTAAATATTGATGGAAAGAAATAATGTGTTTTAAAATTTCTGATCTGCATCATATAAAATGATAAAATTATTTCAATATTTTTTCCACGCATTTATTCCAAATTTCTCGTTTGTTTTTATTCGTTTTTTTTTGGAGAAAAATAAGCGGTGCAAATAAAACAAAAAATATCGAAATGCTCTGCTGTGGACGCTCTTCCTTTTTCTCGGCAAAAACACCGAAATTTCAAATTTGCGAAGCGATAAAGCAAAAATTAGTAAATAATTTGATAACATTTTAAATAATTTGATAGCATTTTTCGCTTATCGCACACTTTTTTGGTTGGAACTTCGCTGCGCGCCGGCTTCGACCGGTGGTTATACAATTATAGTAAAAAAGACAAATATGCGCATTCTTGCTATATGAGATGAGCAAATAGAAACACCAATATTTACTAATTGGTGCAATTGGTGCAATACAATAATAATAAAGCAGGTGAAGAAGACTTGTCATGAATGGGTTCGCGTCATACTCAATCAAAATCGAATTTTCAGACAATCTGCATTTGCCGCGGTGAAGATTACTGTAATGTCGACCTTGCTGGAAGGGTTAGCGATGATTCGATGATGTTGCCGAATTCGGAAGAAGAAGGAATGGTGATTAACAATGAATATGATGTGAATGATCAGGAAATCAGCACTAATGATCTTACTCCGCCTGAAGATCCTCCAGAGGTTGTGGATATGAGGAAGCCAGTCCCACCAAGAGTTATTGATGAATCAATTCCGCCATGGCGACGAGTCAATCCGATGAATTCGGGAGAAGTTTGGAGACCGCCACCGCCACCGCCGAAGCCGATTCCGACAACCAGTAGTTCTACGACGACGACAACCTCCACCACGACGACAACATCTACTAGAAAACCTACTACCACAACTAGGAACTATGAGCAAGAATTGCTGAAATATCAAGAAGAATTGAGACGAAGAAAAATTGAACACGAGGAGATTCTTAGAAGAAGAGAAGAGCGGAGAAAGAAGCAGCAGGAAGAAGATGAAGCTCGAAGGGCCTCGCAATTTGAGAGCAAAAGGAAGTTTGGAGATGATGCTCCAAGAGTTCCAACCCCGTACAGACCGTCGACTTCAACATCGCAAACTAGCACTTACAAGGCACCAGATTACACAAGATATTATCATAATAGGTTAGTTTTTTCAACAAAAAAAAAAGAAATGAATTTTTAATTATAGACATCAACATAGAAGACCATTGGATCTCAACTCGCCGATTACAATTTCGAACTTTAGTGCTATTGTATATCCACCTCATGGTTTGAGAAGAGTTATTCCAACTACAACAAGCACAACGACGAGCACAACTACAACTAGCAGTTCAACTACTACCACTTCAACCACAACTACCACAACTACAACAACTACACCACCTCCTACAACTACTACGAAGATAATTTATCCACCGTTAGGATTCAAGAAGGCGTCACCAACTACAACTACAACCACCACTACCACCACAACTACTCCAGCGCCACCACCATCGACGACAGCAACTGAAGCCACTACGACGACAGTTGAAATGCAAGAGGTGAGAGTTTGTTCAATTTGATACGAAATTATTCAGCAAACTTTTTGAAAAACTAACACATTTTGTTTAATCTTCGAAGATAGTCGACTTCCGGCGACTGATGTTCGCGGGTAGATTTACGAATGCGTCTTTCGAAATGGTCTCGCCACGCTTGAATATTTATTTTGAAATTTTCACTTGAACTGTTTTATTTTTTTTGATTATAATACTTAATATTATTGCAATTAAAAATTATTAATGACATCGAAAATACAAAATAAGCAGTAAGTCCTTGCGAGACCATAACGAAGGCGCATTCCCGTAAATATACTCGCATACAGAAGTCGCCGGACACAGGCTATTATAGAATTATTATTGCGGTCATATATTTCGACGTTCTTTTAGATTTCCCGTGAGTCTGAACCCGAAGAGGACGTACCGGACACGATTCTGTTCAAGAAGCCCGTTGTGCGTCCGCCTCCAGAGAAAATCGAAGAGTACAAGAAGCTCGCCGATTCTGAGCCAGATGCTTCGCTTAATTTATCGTTTATTTTGTGTGCAACACTCCCATTCTTGATTAGATTTTTGCTTTTTTAGAGTTCTAGTCGATGATATGTCGCTTTATTTCGTTTCGTTGGTTTCTCGTTTTTTTTTTGCTCACACAGCTCCGGGTTGACAATTGTTTTAATTTTGCATTTTATTAATTGATCATTGCATATATAAAATTGTTCGAATTTCGATTATAGAAATGGGTATGTTGGGTACTTCGTGCGATCAGGACATCGGCAGTATGATCCGTCTTTTCCAGGAGGACCGGGTGGTCCGCGCTGAAATTTTCTTACTAATTCTGTAGGGGTTCGTTTGCTACCATTCCAGGTTTTCCTGCTCTTCCTGGGGTTCCCACTAGTCCTGACAAGCCAGGAAATCCTTCAGGTCCTACTTCACCAGCGTCACCAACTGCTCCTCTTAATCCTTTGGCTCCTGGCGATCCTGGCAGTCCGGGCTTGCCTTTTTCACCTGGCCGACTTACTACCTGAACCACATTTTTGCCGTCTTTCCCGGCTAGTCCTTGGTTTCCGGAAATGCCTTCGGCACCAGGCTCTCCTGGTTTCCCAGGGGGTCCGATGACGTCGAAACCGGCAGCTCCTGGAGTTCCAGGGATACCAAGGGCTCCTGGAACTCCTGGCAGACCTTGTTGTCCAAGTAGTCCTGCTGGTCCTGGCGGGCACTTGATGCAGTCATTTGGGGCCATATCTTAAAGATCGGGTTGTGTATGTTTGGTCTCTGTATTTGAAATGTCGAGAGTTCTATTTTTTAATTTTTTGATTCTTTTAATCATTTTAAAAATTCTAATTGACGATCTAATCCAAATAAATCAAAGGAATACATTTTAATTTTTTTTATCGAGATATAACAAACCCAATGAGTTCCTGACCTTCCGAAGAATCTAAATTCACAAGTCATACTTTTCTCGGACTACTGTATATATAAAGTGCCCCTCAAAACGTTGCGTCAAACATTTTTAATATCCAGCATTTTTTTTAAGTCGAGGAGGCATAGTTTCAGATTTTTTTATAAATGGATATTTTTTTTATTCAAAATTGTTATCGCACAATTCTCAATCATTCCGACCAGGAATTCGAAGACATTTTCAAAATAACACGATTCAACTTTTTGGTCATTTTTAAAAACTGTTGAAAATGAGAAAAAAGGGTCTATTAGAAACCACCCCCCGCTTTTTCACCCCCAATTTCTTGGTTTCACCTCTACTTTTTCACTGAACTTCAAAATTTACAGTTTCAAACAGTAATTCTTAACGGTAAAATTTTTTAAATTTGCAATAGTTCAAGTTTTCAAGAGGAGATTCACAGAATTGATGTCTAAATTAGATTTTTTAGAAACTATGTAGTGTTCTTATGAAAGGCTGAGAAATTTTAACAAGTAATGAACTATGTATTCTCGGAAAACACGATTCAGAAAGATTTCGTATTTCGTAAACGTGAATCTATTCCAACAATTGTCAATATTTCAATTGTACGATTGTGCATTTTGATATCAAGCTTCTTTGCAAGCCTACATAGTTGCTGAAAAATCTAATTTAGACATCAATTCTGCGAATTTCCTCTTGATAACTTGAATTATTGCAAATTAAAAAATTTTACGTGTGTTAAAAATGACTGTTTGAAACTGTAAATTTTGAAGTGCAGTGAAAAAGTAGAGGTGAAATCTAAAAATTGGGGGTGGTATCATAAATAAAAGGAGGGGTTAAAAAGTCGGAGTGGAATAGCAGGGGTAAGGATTAAAAAGTGGGGGTGGCTTCTAAATAATAGACCGAAAAAAAGACTGGTTTTTATTGAAATAAGCCGAAAGAAATTGAGGATCGGTGAAGAAAACGACAAAATGTAACTATAATTCAAAAACTCACATGGATCCATAGACGATGGTCCGTTTTCGCCAGGTAGTCCATCGGATCCATTATCACCTGGTTTGCCAGGAATTCCTGGGATTCCTGGCGCACCTTGAACTCCTTGTGGGCATTTGGAGGAAATGTGTTGGGAACACGAGCATTTCGAAGAATGACGCCTAATACGATGTACCAGGGCTAAGGATTGAAGTGAAGCCTGAAATTCAGCAAAAAACAATCCAATGAATCCGAAGGATTCTGTTCGGACACGTATCTCCGAGCCCATCATTAAAAAAAAAAAAAGAAAAGTAGAATTCAGATCGTACTTCAAACTCATTTCCAGCATCCAAAATCCATTGTTCGAAATCATTGAATTGTTTATAGACGAGAATGAAGATGAAAAGAATCGCCGAAATTGGCGCCGACACAGCGAATATCGCCGATTTGTGCATTATTCGCCTAACATTGTGTAATTCGCGCATATTTATAGATCGCATAGAAACGGGTAAATGGACGATTTTGATGCGATTGGCTTCTCGTTTCCTTTTTTGTCCGTCATCATCATGTTGTTCGACAAAACCAAATCCTTAATTGGGGTCAACACTACCCATTTTCGCCAACAATATCGTCATTCTCCTCTCGTCATTTTCGTTTTCATTATCGCGCTCTTTCAACTTTTTTTTCTTTCAACTTCTTTGCAATTTTTATTATACATATTTTTAATATTTTAAATGATGCCTTCCATTAAAAAGAGAATAATTTTTTCAGATTTCTCTTGAATTTTTGAGTTTCAATATTTTATGATTCAATTGAAGAATATTTAAACAGTTAGGAATTGCTGAGTAAGATTTTCAATAAGAAATTCTCAAAAAAAATTCTAAAATCTCATTTCTCACATTTTGCGCGTATTCGAAAAATATTTAAATACATTTTTTGAAAAAAAAATATTAAAAATTGAATTATGATTAATGGAAAATTGATTTCGATACAATTTTTGATATCAATTCAACTATACTTTCATTCTTCTCATTTCCGTTGTAAACGACTGACTGACTGTTCATGAGCCCAATTATTTTCAGAAATGCATGACAGCCGTGAGGCTGCCTATGCGGCGATAATCCTAGTGTCTCTGGGTATCAGTCTCTCGACGATCTCCTCGTTTGTGATCTCAATCCAACCGCTATCCGCGCTTCTTCGATCATCGCTGTCGTCGGCGGTGCGCGATGCAAGCTACTGTCAGGTGCGACCTTTACCCGCCGCCAACCTACATCTATCAGTCATCAACAAAAATGAAACAAAAATTGTTGGTTTCACTTTCTTGCAGGAGAGTGCAAACGAGATGAAGACGATGGTCGGCGATCTCGATCGGCAGTTTCTCAATATCAGTAGCGAGCGGCGAAAAAGAGATGAGATCGACGAATTCCTGCGACAAACCGGACTGACGGCCAAGAGACGAGAGTGCGAGTAAGAATTTCGACTTCAGCTCATTACATTTTTGTCATAATTCCTTTGTAGGTGTCGTCATCCACAGGGACCACCGGGTCTTCCGGGAAGAGACGGTCTTCCAGGAACTCGCGGAGCTGAAGGAGCTCCCGGTCTTCCGGCAAGACTTCCGTGCCAGCCAGAAGTCGATATCAAGGCGATCTGTGTGGATCCTTGTCCGCGAGGAGTTCAAGGAATTCCAGGAATCCCTGGTGTCAAAGGAGACACTGGCAAGCCGGGAGTGCCAGGCAAAAATGGCAAGCGAGGCGAGAATGGAAAGGTCGGAGCGAAAGGACCACAAGGGCCGCCGGGAATCCCGGGACTCGGCGGAGAACCGGGCGATGCTGGTGCAGACGCGATTCCGAAGCCATTCATTCCCGGACCACCGGGGCCGGTTGGAGACGAGGGAGACATGGGACCACCGGGACCACCGGGAATGCCCGGAATCGATGGTCCGATGGGAGCACAAGGGCCAAGAGGAAAGAAGGGAAAACCAGGATTCCCTGGCAACGATGGTGCTCCAGGAGCCGAAGGCTTCATCGGAGAGCGAGGAAAAGAGGGAAACAGAGGGGTAATTGGTTGTCAATCATTTTCTCGTTTTCAATTCCTTTTTAGGTATGTCCCACATATTGCGCAACCGACGGAGGCGTGTTCTTCGTCCAACCGCCCGATTGGATGATCAATTGAAATTAATAAATTTTGCGATCTGCTCAGTCTCAGAATTATTACGTGTATGGATATAATAATAATAATAATAATAATAATAATAATAATAATAATAATAATAATAATAATAATAATAATAATAATAATAATAATAATAATAATAATAATAATAATAATAATAATAATAATAATAATAATAATATAATAATAATGTGATCCTATTCATGAAATGAAATAATAAAATGTGAATTATTACATTTATTACAGCAAATTTTTTGAAAAACTAACACATTTTTTTTTAAATCTTCGAAGATAGTCGACTTCCGGCGACTGCTGTACGCGGGTAGATTTACGGGAATGCGTCTTTCGAAATGGTCTCGCACCGACTAACAGGTTATTTCAAATATTATGAATCGGTTCGATAATTTTTTAATCGAATATCGTTGGAAATTCAAGGAAATGCGAAAATCATCAAGGAAAAATAAGTCGTTCACGTGAAAACAGCAAAATAAGCGTTCACGCGTGGCGAGACCTATTCAAGGCGCATGCGCGTAAATCTACCTGCGTACAGCAGTCGCCGGACACCGACTATACATTGAAAATATTTTTATAAAAATAAACGAAAATGGCAAAATTTTAGCAAATGATGCACAAGTTTTTGAAATTTCTCCAACGTTTACATTTTCTTCTTTTTTTTAGTAATTTTTTAAAATATTTTTATGCCATGAATATATCCAATACGGTAATAAAAAGGATTAATAATTACTAATAATAATAACACATTTTTTAATTCTTCTATTAAGACGCCTTGGGAGTCTCGTATGGAAATACATCTAGGAACGATTTTTGCGTTTTCTGAATATCGTAATATGAAAGAGCATATTTTTAAATGAATTTTAAGTACTTTGGTTGTTAGCATACTTGCAGAGTTCCGGGCCGACCCGCAACGACACTCCAAGTTTACAGCGAGGCCTTTGTTTAGCATAATAAGAATTTCGAACTGCATTATTTTGAGTAGAATTAATTGTTCTTGAAACAAACACTGCTCAGATTTCCATGAGTTGAAATGTTTTATTGATAAGCGGTTCGAAGTTATTCAATATACATCATTATATTCAAACTCTTCTTCATCGTCGCCTAATCCACAATGGTTATATTTATCGCAGTATTCGACTCCGGGGCAATCAAAATCGTCGTAGCAAAGAGAGGGGTCTTTGCTCTTTCGAGCGGCGCGTTTTCCCGAGATGGTCCGATGCGATTTGATGCGACGAACTTCGATAGCTTCTCCGAAAGTCGCGAGGAAGCACAGGACACCGAGGAAAACAGCCTAAACAGTTAATTGAAAAATGAATTTCAAAAAAGGCAAAGAGACTTACCAGCAAATTCATGTCGAATTCTAAACAATGATTTGATTCCCAAATTTGGTGTTTTTTATACCCCCCAAAAGCAATACCATTAATTTTATAATTGACTAATTTTGGTCATTAAAAACACATAATTTTCAAATTTTTATATTGCTTTTTTTCTTCAAAATAAATGCCTAATTTTAAATTTTCTGAACTTTCTCGTACGAAAAAAATCTGAAAATGCATTGAACGCAGAATGTTGGCTAAATGTCAAAAAAAATCTATGATATTATATGGATTTAAAAAAAGTATTTATCCAATTTTAGCAATGTGACAATTAAAAAAAAATTTTTCTTTGTGATATCAAAATTAGAAGATTAAATGAGGACAAGTGATTCTGCGTCAAATTTTATTGTTCAAGTGAGAAAGATTAATTATGAGGGGACCACTCAGATTTTTAGAAACTCTTCTACACTTATTATGATACATATTATCATTTAAAAAATAACTTTTCTTGTTTTTCACAAAACGTCTGAATTAATCTTCGAAAATAGCCGATGTCCGGCGACTGATATTTGCGGGTAGATTTACGAGTGCGTCTTTCGAAATGGTCTCGCCACGCGTGAATGGTTTTCTCATGGGATTCCACAGCAACGCTTTTGTTAAATTGTTGTTACGACTGAAAAATTTGTGAAAATTGGTTCCATACTCTACTCGTTTTGACTCGTCGTTTCTGCATAGTACGGAGTTGATGGTATTCTATCATTTTTGATCATAGAAGTTACTGAATCTTTCAAATACTGTTGCTCGGATCAAACCGGTCTGTTTGAATATTATCAATTCAAACACCGTTTTCATCTAAAAATTTGAGGATGTATTCTGTTGCGATCGGCGGAGTCAGTGGAGGAGGAAGAAGAACACAGGAGCACAGTTGAGATCCAACACCTTTATTTGTTCCAATAAGCTCCAACATACATATGTATTCAGCGAATTTTGAAATAATGACGTATTCTTTAAAATAAGGCTTTCAATTGAGAGCCTTTAATTGACAGTTCGTCTTTCTCAGAGTAGCAAATAAAAAGGGCTTTCATTAGCCATTATAGTGAATAGCTGAAGCATTTCTGTTGAAATTCATAAGCATAAATTTGTTGACCCCAAAGAGACATTGACCCCCTGAGCACATGACCCCCAAGAGCACCTTGCTCACTATTTTGTTGCCATTAGGCCATAACTCGCAATTATGTGTTTCCGAAAATAGGGCTGCCAGAATCGGTCGCCACATGACCTAACTGATTTTCAGATTAATAAGTTCTGAAGATGTTAATGTGTCGAAATGATTTATTGAAACAGTTCGAAGTTATTTAATGTTCGTCGTACTTCTTGAAGAGTTCATCGAGAGTAAGACAATAATTATTATCGCAGATTGTTTCAAAGGGACAATCAGCTTGGTATTTGCATGGCAATGACCTTTGCAAAAAGTTGGCGGGTTTTCCCGAGATGGTCCGATGCGATTTGATGCGACGAACTTCGATAGCTTCTCCGAAAGTCGCGAGGAAGCACAGGACACCGAGGAAAACAGCCTAAACAGTTAATTGAAAAATGAATTTCAAAAAAGGCAAAGAGACTTACCAGCAAATTCATGTCGAATTCTAAACAATGATTTGATTCCCAAATTTGGTGTCTTTTATACCCCCCAAAAGCAATACCATTAATTTTATAATTGACTAATTTTGGTCATTAAAAACACATAATTATTTCGAAATTTCTTAAAACAAAATTTAATCAAAAAACATAATTATCAGTTTAAAAACTCGGAATTCGTTTCGATTTCTTGTTGAGATATGCTTCAACAAAAAGAGGATCGTGGGACAAATTGGACAAGTCTGGATAATGCTTTGCTCTTCCAGTCAGACCCGTCGATGCTTACAATCAAACTCCGCTTGTTTCGGCTAAAAAATAAGGCGCCCTGGACGGCTCTTAGGCGAGCTGTTGTCATCATTTTGGTATACCTGGATTTTTCTTGCTTTTGGAAATAACATGATTTTTTAAGAGATTTAGAGTATGCAGATTGTACCCAACTAATAAATGTCCTCCAATGCACGCACTTATCTTATCTCGAATCTCATGACTCGCTGAATTCACTGACCAAGTGATAACCGATGTTCCTATGTGCTAAATTCAATTTTTTTAAAATCAAAACTGTCTGCTTTAAAACATTTTAGATAAAAAAAAATAAGAATACGAATGCTTGTGATTTTTGGCTCGCAAAAAGTAGCTCGTACTTTCTATATTTTTTGGCTTTCCGATTCTGATAGCCGATTTTTTCTAGAAACATAATTTATCAGAACAACTTATTATTTATTTATTTAATTATTAAGAAAACACTTTTTTTCTAAAATCAAGACCGATATTCTATATCGACCTTGCACACTAATATTTGAATAATGCCACGAGTTGCAATAATTAGTTCTTCGAATTTCAATTTGATAATTGAATTCGATCATGATTCGAATGATGATTCATTGCAGTCAACCAACCACCAACTAATCCATCGCGAGTTATTAATAAGCAGCAGACATGAGCACAATCATCGCAAGAATGACTAATCCGAAAGTTCACTGTCTCGCTGTCTGCCGCTCACTCCGCGTGTCCAACGCTTTCTCGCCGCATCGCACGAGATTCGCCACTCAGCGCTGCGAAACCTCTCTCGTTCGCTCTGATTTTATTTTATTTTTCCAACGTTTTTCGCCGATTAATTACGAGTATTTTCGTTGATATTTTTCAGATGCCTACACGAGTCAACGCCAGATTCGCCGACGATTTACGCCAAAGCGGCGTTTCGTTTGCAGCAACTGTAAATATCAAAATTGTGTCGAGAAATTTAAGCAATTGAATTCAATTTAGCACATTGGAACGGCGGTTATCACTTCGTCAGTGAATTCGATGAGTCGCGAGATTCGAGACATGATCGCCCCGTAAGTGTATCAATATCAAAATATATAGTATTTGAGAAACAGACAATCATAATTAGAAATTTCATCACTTCATAAAATGTTCACTTTGGAGAAGTTTCAATAAAACTCGTGAACCATCTACTAACATTTATGAATTCTTTGTTTATTTCAAAAAAAAGTATTTTCGCATTAATATTACATTTTTGAATTGCAGAGAATGCATTTTGCATATTTCGGGTCTTGCCAGTCTCGCTCCACCGCATGAGATTAACCCGGCAGTTGCAAGCGTAAGCTTTAGTTCGGATTAGCTTTCGAAAGGTGCACTCATTTTGTAGTATATTGGCGAGATTGTGCAGGAGACGAAGAAAATCGAGATAAACATCACGTCGAAAATGATCAAGGTGATTTATCAGAACCGCCTGCTCCACAGATTGCCACTTCATTTGTTTTCGGTGGCCGCGAAAGGTGAAAAGGTGAGAAAATGTTGAGAAAATGCATTGAAAAAAAATGAATATAATAGGGAACTCGAATGGAAAATATGATCGGGTTTATTGCGAAAAACAAGCAAGAAACCGATCGCAGATGTTTCGTTGTCGACACGAGCGAGATCAACAGGATCTGGGATACTCTCAATGCGGCGATTTACGTTGCCCGATTGGTTAGTTGTGTGGATTTACGAGAAACAAATTGTATAATTTCATTTTGTGCATTTTAAGCAAGTTGATAAGCGTTTAGAAACTGGAGATTGCATTTTTCGGTGGACACCCCGGAGTGGAACCTGTCGTGATAGAACTCGGCTGTAATAGAACTTGTTTGGAATAGAAATTTCTTTAACATAACTCGCGGTAATAGAATTCGCCCGAATAGAACTCACCGTAATACAGGGTGCGGCAAAATTACGGGTGCATCGATAAAACGTAATAACTTTTTTAAAAATCAACAAAACTCTTTCAAATTTATACCAAAATTTATTCAACACATAACAATCACAAATTAATTATTGTTGTTCGATTCTTCCTTCTCGATTCTTGATAACTTCCTTCAGACGCTTCGGATAGGCGTCGACGGTGGCACGCAGGTATTTGGCGTCCAATTTGTCCCATTCCTTCAGAAGGGCAGCTTTCAATGAGTTCACATTTGGGTGTGGGAAAGCTGACACCTTCTCTTGCAAGACCCCCCAGACAGAATAGTCCATGGGGTTCAGGTCGGTCGACGAAGCGGGCCAATCCGTTGACTTGATGAATGATGGAAAATGACTGCCGAACCCGTCTTGTACAATATTGGCTCGTTGTGCGGCGCTCCGTCTTGTTGAAAAGTCCACGACCGATTTCCGAAGTGAGATTGGGACCAAGGAAGGAAATTCTTCTTCAGGATCTCATTAAGATAGTAATTTTGATCAATCTTCACTCCGGGATCAACGAAAATCAGTGGTGTCTTGCCGTCAGAACAGATCCCACCGATTACCATGATCTGCTGAGGATGGGAACACGATGAATGATTCTGCCTTTGTTCATAGCTTCCTCAGACCTTCTGGCGATCACTCTGTGGTTTTGGAGATTGAAAGAAGCTTCTACCGTAAACAGCTTCTCATCCATGACGAAAGTCGTTAGATGCTTTCCTTGCCGCGTGCCAGCTAGGAGCGATTTGCACTTTTTCATTCGACCTTCTTTATTTTTTTAAGTTAGAATGGCGGCCTTTCTGACACGATAAGGTATCAGGTTCAGCTCATCTTTGGCAATTTTTCCCACCACCTCGGACTTACATGGACATCTGACACCATCTTTCTGATGCTACAATCTGGATTTCGACGAACTCGTTCCCTGATGATCTTGACTCGCTCCGGTGTTATTAAAGAATGTTTTCTTCCTCTTCTAGGACAGCTAGAGGGTCCTCCTATCTCATCAAAACGTTTCCAAGTTGTTTGTACGGTGTTGTGGTGAACTCCAAGGATTTTAGAAATCATCTTGAACGACGTTCCCTTTTTTCAAGTCGATGATGGCCGCACGATGAATAGAATCAGCTGTCATTTTTGTAATACGAAACGGATTTTCATGAAAATTTCAGAAAATGATTAAAACGTCATAGAAAATAAAATAAAAACATAAAACTGCACAAAAAATGCGACAGTGCACTATGAGCTTGCGCCAAAGTTATGCACCCGTAATTTTGCCGCACCCTGTATAACTCGCCGCAATAGAACTGGGCCTTAATGTAGGTCGGTTCTCAATAGAGTGCAATTGCATGGTTGTTAGAAAACAGAGTTCTATTACGGTGATTTCCATTCTAGCAGAGTTTTATTACAGAAGAGTTTTATTCCAACGAGTTCTATTGTAGCCAGTTTTATCACGGTGCAAGTTCTATTACAGCCGAGTTCTATCACGGCGAGTTCCACTCCGGGGTACCACCTAGTTTTCACTTCGCGTGTTGAAGAGTGAATCGCAGCGTTCAGTGACTTCAGACCCTTGGCTTGGGGGGTGTTCGGAGTATGCTTACGGCACCAGCAGCTATTCTTGTGATTTATCGGGAAAGTCGTGCAGAGTTTGCTCAGACTTTCAGCAGGCTCTTATAAGGAACCAAAAGAAGAGTCTGCTGAAGAAAGGCGCAAACACTGCTGAGACACGACGAAGTCTACAACAGAGTCTGCGCAGACTCTACACGACTTTCGCGAGGATCTCTTTCTGAAGCTGTATGCCTCAAATATGTTGGCCAGAGAAATCTCGCGAACCCCCCCCCCCCCAACTCTGACCTTTTCATATTCCTACAAAAAATCGAATAATTAAAGGATGAGAGCCCAAAAGAGCAGCCAACTACGTCAAACGACGGATTTGCTGTACCCGAGTTGCCGAGCAGATTTCGGAATTCTGTGACGAGTTCCAGCACCGAAAATCTCGATCCCGACGTCGCGCGAGACGTTAAAAATCAGCATTGGTACCACGGGATATTGTCGCGAGTCGACGCGCAGGCTCTTCTCAAAAATCCCGGCGATTTTCTGGTTCGGTAAGTGGCACAATTGAAATTGAGAAGTTTCTCGAATTTATTTTTGCTGCTTTTCAGACAGAGCGACCATTCGCCGGGCCAATACATTTTGAGTGGTTTGACGAGTGAAAACGAGCCGAAACACTTGATTCTTCTCGACGATCACAAAGTAAGTCATTTTCGGCGACCTCCACTCCGACGGCAATTATTTAGCTAAAACGCCTTTAAATGTACATACCATCAAATTTGGCCGAATTTTCGTGTTTTTGTTTAATAGGAAAAGGTCATAAATTGGCAGATTGCCAACCATCCAAGCAACTTGTCTTGTCTCTCAAACGATTAATATTTTCCGCATGAATTCGACGAAGATTCGATAATTATGTAGAAAATCATGTTTCTTCTTTTTGTTGTTGCAGAAAGTCCGCACACGTGATCGCGAGTTCGCCACAATCACTCACCTCATCGATTATCACACGTTGAATGGAATTGCTGTGGTCGTCTCAGTGAGCAAGGAGCGACCATCGGAATCGGCGCTTAATCTCATCAATCCAATTCCAAGAGCCTAGAAATTTGTTCCCTCAACGCAATTCAATGATATAACACTTCTTTCATATTGTTAGAAATCTTCGGGTTGTTGACAGGTACCTTCGTCGCTTATATCGTTTTGAGACCCAAACTGAAAACGCAGGAAAACTTGAATTTGCTCGCATTTCGTAGGTATCATCACTCTTCGACGTAAAACGAATCCAGTGAAGCATATCAATGTATTACCATAATCAAACAAAATGCCATTGTATGATGTCCTTCTAGAATGTCGCGCCCCCTTCGTTCGTCCAACCCCGCCCGCCCCCAACCGAGTCGATCGCATCCCGTCGCGTCCTACCTGTTATTACCTAATCGTCGCGCCGCGACGCCTTGCCTTTTTCGGCAAACACACCGCCCCCAATTATTTTCTTTCGTTTCTTTCGGTTGTTGTATATTTGGACGACTGCTTGTACCGATCAATATAATAATTACTACCCGCACAATCTACCTACTTAATATTTCGCCTACCTGATGAGGCTCCTAATACTTGTGCTATTCATTTCCGTTCATTTCTCATATTCTGTCTCGATTGTTGATACTTCGATTGCTTGTGATAAGGTTTGAACTCGTCTCATATCTCCTCTGCCATATTAACACCAGTTTGTGTAATAATATATAATAATATAGTCAATAAAAGTTCATAGTCTTCAACATCCCTAAAAGTTCGTTAAAATTAAAAAAAAAATTGCTCATTTGAGTTGAATTTGATATCAAACGCCTATTTTTTTCTCCATAACACATTCGAATCGAGCCACCCTCTCAGAAAAGAATTCTTTAAAGTAAAATTTCGAGCAATTCTAAATTTTAAAGAAACAGTAAAGTATTGGCGATCGATAAAAATGAATTACGACACTAATTTTCATTGACTATGATTTCTTCGTATTCATGCCATTCGGAAAAATTGAATTCGTCAAATTCGTTGAAGCTCAAAAATGAAAACGTTCAAACACACGGGTTCCGTTTTGTCTGTTACACTATGACGCAATTTTGCACACATTTCTTGCACTCTAATGAATTGCTATTTTAAAATGGAAACATTTTGAAATTAAAATCAAAAGAAAAAGAAATGGCATCACTTATTATCAATATTTTTTTCAAAAATAAATTTTTTGAAAATTCAAAAAATGCGCGCGTAATTCTAACATTTCAGAAAATAAAAAGTCTACTTCATTTCGTTTAATATGTGCACTTTTAGATTGAAAAACTATCATAATTATTACTATAGCAAAAAGAAATGAGCACATTGAATAATTGTGGACCATCGCACTTTTTCGAGGCGGCAATTCAAATTTCAACGGCGCTCGCGTTTTGTTGCAATTGCAGAAATAGAATTAGCAATAATATAATAAAATTTGGAAAAATGAATCCTATTTTACAGGCAGATTTCTTGTTGAAAATAAAATTCGATGAAATATTCCACGGAACAATACGAAGTAGATCGAATAACCCGAGATGCATTTATGTGAATGGCACGATCCAGCCCGACTCAAAATACCAATTAAAAGTGCGATTTTGCTGTAGAAAAAAAAAGGCCGAAGAGATGAGTTCCAGATTCCATTAAAAGGTTGTTCGACGAGAGAAAATGAGGAAGGGAATTTGGAGAATGAAATCGAAGTTGTGAGCTCATCGAGCAGCGAGTTCGACGTTGAGAATGACAAGAGATTCCTGCTCACTTGTATTCCGGCGGCTCCAGTTCCCAAGTAGTCACAATTTGCACATTTGTCCGCAATTTGTACGTTTTTAGAGAATCTTTGGTAACGGTCTCATTCGGTGGAATTACGATCAATAACGAGGCGACGACTGCTTCGACAATTTCAGAAAACCGGGTAAATTCGATGCATACATTTGTGGCACCACTCAATAAAAAATATTTGTCGACCTTGAAATAACTTTCCGATTCATTTGTTGTTAGCCAGAAAAAAATTGCCAAATTTGTACACACTTTCACTAAGCTTTTGCCCGCCAATTTGCAGACAGTCGATTATGCGGTGAAAGTGCTTGACGGCGACAGTTTGGAATCGACGCCGTTGACTCGGCCGCTTGCCGTCGGCGACAAAGTGGTAAAAATCGAGTTGCCAACTCACCAAACGCTCGATTGTTTGTTCGTTTTTTTTTGCGATTTCAGACATACTCTGTGGAAATGGATGAATCTGTGAATGGAAGAATTGGAAAGTGCTGGGCGAATGACGGTGTCAGCGAGTTGCCGCTGTCAGATGCACAAGGATGCTCTCTGCAAAGCTCTGGAGAGGTTGAAAATAAAATGATATTTATCTTCAAAATTCAAACATCTAGCAAATAATTAAAATAAAAAATAAAAATGATTTTTGTCAGGTTTGGGGCGACTTCAGTGTGACGAAGAAGAACGGAAAACGCATTTTCTACAATCATATCAAAGCCTGGGCGTTTCCAACAAGGTGGGCCAAACATTTTTGAAAAAGAAAAAATCTGAAATTTAAATTTCAAAAGGCTTCCGGCGACTGCTGTAGATTTACGGCAAATGGTCTCGCCGTTGTTTTTAAGTGAATCATTGATTTTTACTTGTTGAGTTTGTTTGGCATTTACTTGAATTTCTAACGTCATTCGATTAAAAAAATTATCGAACCGACCCCTAGTTAGTCAGTGAGAGACCAAAGCATACACGTAAATCTACCCACGTACAGCAGACGCCGTACGCCGAGCGCCTGTATTAATATTTTCTTTACCGAAAATTCCTTTTTTTTATTTTTTTTATTAAATTAAACTTATATTTTAAGATATATCAATAATGGTACTATGCAGATTACGCAAAAACAAAAAATTAAAAATTAAAAAAATCCTAAAAATCGGTATTCAAATTGCTTAAAACCTCGGCCGCGGCCACGTTTTTCAAATCCCACCACAACTTTTTTTTAATAATCCAAGAATGCACACTGCAGTTTTTAAACCGATCTTTTTTTTGCGTAACCTGCATAGTATCATAAATAATAATTTTGGACCGTATGAAATTATTCTCCGGACAATCTTCCGTCGTCTAATAAGATTAAAAAAAATAATAATAAATTTAAATTTAAATTTAAAAAAAATAAATCTCAAGCGTGTTGAAAGAATTTGAGAAGCCCGAAAAAGTTTCGAAATTCCAATCTGATGTGACTTCTTTCGTTGAATCGAATAAATTTCAGTAACGAAGTGAACATCTTCTGTAATCTTCACGTGTGTGTCACATGCACTCAACCGAATTGTCGTGGTCGCGAACGTCGTCATCCGTCGGATCCTCGCGATCCGTTCACTTCCGATGTTGACGTGTCGGACATTTCGCCGCCGATTCCAATTCGAACCTCATTCCGATTGAAACGCGAAAATACGGCGAAAATCGAAAAACAAGCGGTCACCTCATCATCATCATCATCATCGAGCTCATTTCTCTCAACTATAGCTCTCGTTTATTATATCATTCAATACTGCTATTATAATAACTAAACAAGAAAAATAAAGAATTGCGCTGACAAAATAATTGTCTTGAAATTGCTGAAGCTTGATGACGACCAGATTTTTCTTATAATTGGAGCGGTTGTCTGCCATTTTGTCAGGCAAAAAAATGAAAGTGAAATTGAAAGTGAGAACTTTTTGGATGCAAATTCTCGAACAAATTGTCTCCAGCCAGATATCATTTTATAACGAATTTCGATTCATTGATAGCATTTCGTTGAAATCATTTTAAAATAGTACTATGCAGATTTAAAAAAAGAAACACAAAATAGCCTTCAAAAAAAAAAAACATAAAATGCTTTAAGCAGATCAGAGCAAGGGCAAAAAAGCCGCGTTCCGGTTTTTCGAAGTCTACAGTACCACAGTTTTTATTATATCGCTTCAAGAACCATAAAAATTTTGTATACGCACCTTTAATCATCATAGAAAAAATAGCAACCGTAATCGAAAAACTTGGATCAAAAAACATAAAATCGCAACGATTAAAGGCGCATATGATAAAATTTCAAGATTCGATGACCGTCGTTTTTTTTTTCGTTTTGCTCCAATTTGCTCAAAGCTTTTTAGGGATATTTACCGGTTTCTTTGGCATAATAATACTCAAATTTCTGTTAGAAAGAAATTTCTACTGAAGTGTCCGATAACGCTAAAAAAGAGCAAATTGTCGCCGCCGAATAAAACTTTTAGATAATCGTAAATATTAATTCTGATTTTAAAAATTTTGCTGGTAAATCTGACTTCATTCTCTCTCTCTCTCTCTCTCTCTCTCTCTCTCAATTTGTATTGTTTTCTCTCTCTGCTAAAGAGAGAAAATTAAGAATTCGATGAGTTAACAGCGATTGTCTGTCTTATTAATATTAGCACCAAATAAAAAAAAGCAGTACCAAATTCGGAGGATTAACAGCGATAACGTGTCTGAGTGTTTAGTTGTGCTCCCCTCACCTCTTCCTGCTCATCGAGCCCATACGGCGACTCATCTCGAAATTGAGTTATCTTGATCAAAAATCCATTGACCCTCTCGAAACGCGCATGTAAATTAGGCAGCCGGCCGACTCGTCGAACAATCTTGAAATAAATGAGTGCGCTTTGAAGATGAGCCGCTGTCGCGTCGGACCCCGAGATTCGGACCAACATAACAATACGCTCCGTCGTTGTTTTTTTTTTCTTTTGGCTAACACCAAATTAGTTCGATTCAGACGCTTCCGCTCATTTCTCTTCTTTTTCTTCTCCTTCTATTTTGTTCGTCCCTCCCAAAAAAGGGCAATTCAATTTTTTCGTTCCGAGTCGGTTGTTCGCCCTATAGGAGATATATATATATATATATGGATGCATCCATGTTGTGTTGTTTTTTTTCGATGGTCCCAAAACCGCGTTTTTGAATTCCCGCGAGAGGTTCTGGCGACCGCGCGAGCGGTATTATATGACCGAAACTGTCATCAATCATATCGTTGTGTCTCTCTCTCTCTCTCTCTCTTTATTCTGTGTCGTCGTGAGGACCAACCAAAAAAATGTGAAGGCGGGGACGAGCATCGGAATAAATCACTCGGACCCTCTCCCCCCGTTGTCTCCTATCTTGCGCCACAGATTTGTTGAGATAACGTTTGCAACTTTTCGCCTTTATCATGCCCGCATTTTTATTTTTCGAAAAACTTCTCAACATCATGTGTTTGATTAAGAATGAGACCCCCCCCCAAGTAGTTGCTCATTCGACGAAATATTCTCGAAGGATTCGAATGATATTTTTCAGACCACGTTTTCCACTAATAATTTTTTAAATCTGTGATTATTTTTCTAGAATTTTAATTTTTTTCCCATTAATTATCATAAATATAATTATTTCAAAATCAATTGATTTCTTAATCGAGCATGCGCCTTTAAAATTATCTTTAAAATTAGGCTTTTTATAATTCACAAATATTCGTGTGATTTCAACAGATCACTGTGTCAATCTGTACATAATTACACTTCTGAAAACGTCGAGTCTGAAAATTTTCAAAAAAATGTTTGAGAGCTAACTCGAGCTTTAAAAAATCCATTGATAGCAGATTTCAAACCGCAACTTTTTTTTTCGCAAAACCGTGTTTTAAAGGCGCACATTCGGACTACGAGTTTTTCTATTTTCGAAATTTTTTGAATTCCCTGCACTTTGGATTTTCGTCTCCCATTAATTAGTCTTCACCAATTGTTTATTCATCGAATTTCGAGATCGACCATCATATAGAATATTCATCGGATTCGGATTCGAACTCATAAATCAGTTGATCGCATCCTTCCAAATTCAATGCCTCCTATCAATGGTTTTGGTTTTCATTCAAAAAATCAACTTCTATCGAATTTCAGATAAATTCTTATATCAATTAACATGATAATTTATGCGTTTTTGATCATCGATATTATCTCGATTATGCACATTGTCTACGAATTTGGCCGCTTTCGAACCATTTCCGGATCTCGCCTCGTTTCGTCTTCCGTTCAACACAATGCTGCCACCATCGGTTATCATTGATTGACCAATAAAAATTTGCGTGTTTGCCTCCCGATAATGCCTATTTTTGTATAAATAAGACAAGAGCAATCGAAAAACGACGACGTGGTTGGCTAGGGTGGTCCGATCTGATAAAGAAGAAGAAGACAAAAACGGGCGGTTGCGTTCGGCGGTTCGCCAATCCATCATTCTACAAGCTCCGCCCCACTTCATTCATTTTGTCAGCCGTCAGTCGGTCGGTCGGCCTCTGGCCAGACCCCCCCCCCCGTCTTCCCCATGCCCGTCCGTCCGTCTTGTCCTTTCATTCTCTTCTACCAATCGCTGCTCTTCCCCTCCTATTATCACTTGTATTATTGAGTCGCATCTAATTATCATAATTGTTATAGGTATGCGGAACCTGCTACTTCCCCCCGTCATCCTCCTCCTCTCAAGTTGGCGAGCCGCTCGTGCTCAGAAGTGTCAGCCGATCACACACGAGATGTGCATTGATCTACCGTACAATCTGACGAGGTTCGTCTCAATTCCTTATTCGGCAACGTCAGGTGCTCACTCATTTTATTGTTTCGTTTTTTTTTTGATTGCCTCCTGCTGCTTCGCTCGTTAAACACACACACATTCACACTCATTCGAGCTACTCCCGAAACAAAAATTATGATAATGTGATGGTGATTACGTGAGAAATCAAATTGTATTTATTGTGAAGCGAAAAATCGTTGCATTATAATTGACGACAAATTGCACAGTTTCTGCGAGAGGTCGTAGGGTATTGGAAAAATCTTTTTAAAAAATTGAGAAATATTAACCAGAAGACCCCCCCCGCCCCCTTTAAAATAATTCTCGTAAATTGATGTCCGCAGATAGAACGAGTGGTTTGAATTTTCAAATTAGCACCTCATCATATTTTTTTTGTCTGCGTCGAAATGGCAACACACCGAAGAAACACATGTGGTGCGCTCAAAAATGTGACACGCGTATGTTGCGCATTTCGCGACACGTGTGTGATTTATTCGCTTCGAAATGAATATCATCGACACCTTTTTGTTTTGTTTGTCTTCTCAGTTAAAACAAGACGGCGAACCAATCCGAAATCTGAGTGGTTTGGTTTGATGACAAAAAAAAACAATCACCGTGTTCTTCGTTTTGTTATTTGATATCATAAAAGTGCGGGTTCGCGGCGTTTGACCATAAAAGTCGATACGGGAGAAAGGAGAGGGGGGGGGGTCTATCGCGATGCACATCCAATGCCATTATTATTATTATTATTATTATTGTTTTGATTGCGAGCGATAGACACGAAATTAGACAAACATTGTACGAGAGCACCCATTTTTGGGCATCATTCCAATTTTATTGTGCAACTCCAAATTCTTATCATCAACGTTTGAATTGAACTCTCTTACAAGGGAGGTGTTTTTACTTAGTGGTTTGGATTTTTCTTCTAATTTTGCACATCAACCGATCAAAAAATTCCCAATTCAAATTTGAAACTTCGGACCCAAAATTTTGGGACTTTTGCAGAAAACGACATAGCTCACTCGATAGGGAATTTCTTGATCTGTTTGTGTGCAAAATTAGAAAAAATTCCTCCCTTGTTAGCAAAGAAGGTTTGTTATAATTTAGTAGATCAAGAATAATGAACCTTTAAAAATGGTCTCGACTAACACGCAGACAATTATCGCGTCGAGACCCCCACTTTAAAATAAAACCAACAATTTTTTAATTCAGAATTTGATGGGAAGAGCATTTTTCTGAATTTATCCCATCGCAATTCGATAGAATTTTGATTTTTTTCGTCTTTTTTTTATGCCACAATGATTTAAAACCAATAGCTCATCATTTTCGCGTTTAGTGTTTGTTCGGTAATCCCTAGTAGGAGCACCTTCTCGACGACCCTTCAAGAACCACATTATCATCATTTCGAAATGGACCATTATGTTGTGGTAAAGAGTTGCACGAGTGAGAAAGTGTAAGAGCTGGAGCAGTAACGGCACGCCGGAGCAGGCAGGAGCAGCAGCAGCAGCAGCTCCTCCAGCTCCGGTGATATATCGATGGGCTTACTATCTGGCGGCCCATAATTCAAGCCGGCGACGAGATGGTGCGAAATAGTTGGCGATGCGAAGAGACGCAGACATTCGACAAGCCGACACTTTTGACGAAAACGCTCGATTTTTAACATTCTCCCGACTCATTACAATAATATATAAATAACACAAAGAATGAAAGAGCACCTGGGCGAAAATTGAGCACATCTAATTATAATGGGACCATTGAAATCCGGGGGTTTATGAGATGACGAAGCGGAATTCGAAAGAATTGAGCATTGATAATTAATTGGTTCTTCGAAAATTCGAAATATGCGTACGTGAGATTCAAAGTGACATCTATTTTCGTCAAAATGGAAATGTTATGGTTTGGGGATTATTCGAAATTTAAACAAGACGACCCCATTGATTTGTGCTGCGGACATCTCACTGCTAGAATGCCGGCTGATTCAAAACTATATCAATATGATCAAAAATTTTCAGTTTTCCCAACATGGTCGGCGAAGAGAATTACAAAGATGCTTCGGAATCGATATCGACATATAAGGCATTATTATCAGTGGTGTGTTCGGAGCAGCTCAAATTCTTCCTCTGCTCCGTTTATTTCCCGATGTGCAATGAGAAAGTGAGTGATGAGGTGTCGTCGAGCGCTGGTAGATCAAATCGTTCGCAGATCGCCCAATCGATCGGACCGTGTCGGCCATTATGCCTATCAGTCAAAGAGAAATGTCTGCCCGTCCTGGAAGGGTTCGGCTTCTCGTGGCCCGATGCAATTCGCTGTGAGAAGTTCCCATTGGAGAATAATCGCGATAAGATGTGCATGAAAGGGCCGAACGAGGAAGGGACCATTCAGCACGAGAAGCCCGTCGAATTGGTAAGTGCGTTGCATTGTAATCATTCAACTCGGTCATTTCGTTGGCCCCGAAAATTGTCGGCAGCACAAAATCGTTAATTGATTGAATCGATTGTGTTGCAGTTCGACGAGACCAACGACAAACTCGTCGCCCGCCACTGCACCATCGACGAGGTGTTCGTGAAGAAGTCCGGCAAATGTGTGCCATTATGCACCGGCACACAAAGGATCGCTCAAGTGAGTCTTTGTCCGCACCATATATGGCGGTTTCCCGCCGCCGCGGGTCCGCTTTAATGTCGGCCGATTCGAATAGCAATAGCAATAGCAATAATAATAATAATAATAGCAGCAATGTTTTTGTAGGTTGAGAGAGATGCCGCCACAAAACTTTTGCTTTTCTTGGCGTCGTGTTCGGTGATTCTCACGCTCCTCTCGACGTTCATTGTCATCATATCGTAAGGATCGAACCGAACCGTTCGTTCTAACTGTGTTGTTCAGCAGATTCGGCGCACTCAACACCATCGCCGACGTTTCGCTGTTCTTTGCCAGCGTCTCGTTCGCCGTCAGCGCCGTTGTCTACATTTTCAGCATTTCGTTCAGAGAACAGGTGCGGCATCCCGTCGAACCATCCCAATGCTGATTGCGATCGATGATTCAGGTGTCGTGCACAGACTACACCCATCACCTCCTTTTCGTCATTGGCGGCCTCTCACATGTTCCTTGCTCGTCTGTCGGTTCGTTGATCTACTACTCGTCGACGTGCGGACGCTTCTGGTGGCTTTTGCTGTGCTTCACGTGGAATCGAGCGACGAGAACCTCACAAATGCTGGTTGGTTGCCCCCCCCCCACCTCCATTTTTTTTTGTCAAAATTCACCAAAAATGTCTTTTTTGTTTAGGAGGAAGCCACTTCGCGAATCCATATGTTAGTCTGGGGCATTCCATTGGGTCCTTTGATGCTTGCCCTTCTAGCGATGTCGATTTCAGCGAATCCCCTGACTGGCATCTGTATGGTTGGAGCTTCATCGAATGTGAGACCATTGGTTCATACCATTTCGAAATTTGTTGTCTAATTTCCAGGCAACTGACTGGATCTTCAACTTCATGCGTGAGCTCATTTTGTTCGTCGTTTGCACATTCGCGTTGACCGCTGATTGCTGCCGACTGCTCGGCTCCGACTTCTCGGAAGTCAACAGTTTCGCCGGCATCATCGCCGCCTTCTACCCCATCTCGGCGCTATTCTACATGTAAGCTGCGGACATCTCGCTGGGTGCTCGCCGCCGTCTACATGTCGCTTATTGCAGGCTCTCATTCGTAAACGAAGCCGCTCAGCCAGCAGTGAGCACCTACTCGAAGACGTTCAACATCGTGTCGTCGTTGAAGTTCTCGTTCGATCTCGTCCTCTCATTGATCATCACCACCTTGTGCTTCATCTATTTTCTGTCGAGGATCTCGAAATCGCCGAACTCGAAGGCGTCGAAGGAGGGTTATCAGCCGGCGGTGCCGAATCTTCCGCAGCCGGCGATTCCAGTCGCTGCCCGATCCAACACCTACGCGTCCACGTTTCGGACCAATATGATCTGATGTGATCCGATTCCGAATTTCCAATTTCCAATTTCTTGCCAAGACTTCTTCCACATATTTAGAACAGAGTACTGCATTTTCTACGGGTTGCCTAGCACGCCATTATATATTATTTCTATGTATTATTACTATGTAATTAGCTTCTGTGTTTGTAAATAAACTCGTCAACAAGAATCTTGATTTGATATTAATTTCGGGTTGAATTTGATATTCAAGTCTTCATAGATTTTTTTTTCGAGAATTTCGAAACAAGCTTTCAACTCTGAACAAGAGCTTTCATTTGATCTACCGTTTTGGGTCTCGTATGGAAAAAAGCTTTTAGGAGCGCGTTTCGTCACCGTCGTAATATGAGAGAGCATAATTTTTCGAAAAATGAATTTTTCGTATTTTTGTTATTAAAAAAGTGTCAAATGACGAAGAATGAGAAGATTTTATTTTTAAGGGTCCACAATTAATTGGCACCAATTCAAATTTGTCATTTTTTTTTTAAATTCGTTCGTCCATATGATCACTTTGTCAGTGCCTATATATCGTTTAGCCCCAATGAAATGTGGCCCCTCAAATCTCGAAATCCGATTGAAATCGATATGCGGACATTGTTGCGGGTCCCTGAAAAATGAGAGAGAGAAAAAAAAAATAGAATTACGCCCTTCGTTGCCTAATAATCATGTATAAAGCGAAAAGGGGTTCCTGGGTTAAAGAAAATAAAAGACTTCCGATTGGTCTTGTGCTGCATTGCGCTGCCATCCACTCCAATTATGCCTATTTTTGCGGTTCGTTAAAGGCATACTCGCCGCAGGGTGTACACCAATCTGCGGAGACACCATACACGCCAATTACCCGAATAAGAAGGGGGGGGGTCCCTCCGATTTGGGCACAATGCTCGGTAATTAGTCCAACTCTATTTTTCGTGGTCCTTCTCTTCCTTATTGGCTCCGCCCACTTCGTTGTGCACACCTTGCAAAAATTCGACAAAATCCACTTCATAGTGTTTGATTAATTAGTTAATTAATTAATTAGTGTTAAAAACGGACCATAGCAATTGGAATAACTCGAGCAAAGTCCGAAATGATTATAATTTTGAGACACGGACCATTCGAATTGAATGAAACCAAAAATCGACGGAATATGAAAAACCTAGCCGCCGTCATTTGAAAATGTTTGATTTCGACAAGAAAAGCCACTCAAAAGGGACAATAAATTAAACAAAAAAAATGAAAATCGAAGGTTTCGAAATGATCTCAATTCGAAATTTGCAAGTCTATCGAAGAAAAGCAGAATAAAAGTTTGAAAAAAAAACAAAGAATTGAATTGACAAAAGACAATTATGATAATGAGTTGGTCGGCGTAGAAACGTGTGAAAGTTTTGCTCGATGCCAATTTTGTTTGAACGCGATTCAATCAAATGAATTCAATTCAAGCGCGTCGATTCTGATCGAAATCTTCAAATCATTGCTTCTTTTTTTTCGATTTAATATTATTTAAATCTATTGAGAAGCCAAAAAATACTTCGACGTGTGCGAATCGTCCGAATTCGAAATATTGTTTGTGTTCTTATGTTGTTAGACGCGGTGCGGCTCGCGTGCGGTCGCAGTGATCTTCCACTTCCTCATTATCTTCTTGAGATGCCCAGAAGAGGGCACGCGGAAGGTCTCGCGGCGATCGATTCGATCTTGCCAATTTTCGCTTCCTTCAGTGATGTCCCAATGAGAATTGATATACCACGTGCTCGTTGCATTCCAAAACCCCCCTCCTCAAACAGCTAGCGATATTCCCAGAAGTTGTGCATTCACTAATTAAGTCGGCCTCAGAATGTAGTGCGAGTCGAATAATCATGATTTATCTGGAGCCCCACCTACATAATTTCAAATTGCCACACTAGGCAAAATCGGGTCGCACACAAATGAACGAAATCGCTCACACAAACACACACACTCACTCACGTTTCTCATAATTAATCACTAGAAAATGAGCATTACTAACTATAATATATATAATATAATATGTAACATGTTTGTATGGATGTGTACGCATGTAGGTGTGTGTGTGTGCACGTCGAAACCAATTTCCTTTTTGGGACAAGTGTGTGTCAAGCCTAATTCCGATTATCATTCAACTGTTTAATCATCAAAATTATAATTATTCGCCCCGATCTCCCCCTTCCCAATTTTTTCTCATTTTTATTTGACCGTTTTCTGATCTCGAGGTGGGCGTGGCCTGGTCTTGGCTGGAAAATAGAAGGTCATTTCGGATATTTGATGAATATCCGATTTTTTGATGAATACTTACATCTTTTCAAGAAATCCGAGAATATTTTCAAATAAAGATTACTGTAGTTGTTTAAAGGTACATGAGAGAAAAATTTTAAATATGATTTCTAAAATTTTAACAATTTCGTTTTCTCCGTTTAATTAAAACCGATTTCAAACAGCCAGGCTAATTTATAATATTGAATTTTGAAAATTTTTCCGCAGTTGAAAATTCGCACAAATCTCAACTACTCACACTCGTATGACGCGGAAGATCGAACATTTCTCGAGCTTTTTGAGTTAATCTGCATTTTCAGCTTTTTGCATTTTTCAAAAAAAAAAGTATTCCATTTTATTTTTTTAAATTCATTTTTTTCGGACGAAAATCGTCCACTTTTGAAAAATGTCTGAAATTTGTGATTTTTTTTCGCCACACCTACAGTAGTTCCTCATATATGTCTATTATTCATCCACTGCTAATTGGTGGTTTCGATGGCAACGAAAAGTTGGAGCAAAAACGAAAACAGCGGCCGAATCGGGCCGGCGTGATCCGATCCGAATCGCGCTCAGAATGAAGCATTCAAAAATCTTGACGGAATTGTCCGCAGATGTCAGACAACCTGGGGTCTTGTTATATCAAACCTGCGGACAATGTTCGAGGCCGAGATTCAAATGAATACTAAAAAGTAATAGTGAAAATAATAATGAATCGCTGCTCGTTTGCTGTACACATTTCGGCGTCTCATTCAAAATTCAATTAAACCCTAAAAAGGCGAAACCGATTGAGAGAACCCCCCCCCTCTTTCGGTCTCTCTTTACCTCATTACCTATTTAGGTAAACGAAGAATTGGTCCGGTTCTCATCGTTGAGTGAAAAATCCAATTCGAATCAAGCTAAACGCTCATGTTGTTGGGCTTATTTTTTTCTGTTCGCCACTCTTCAAGACAACTCAATAAAATAAGTTTTGAGCGAGTGAAAAAAAAAATAGGACAATCGAGTCAAGAGCCGCCTTATAGACACATACATAAACGAGGCGATTTTGAGTGGCCGCCGCCGTCGAGGCGAGCGCTCCTCGTGCTCCGCTTTTCCTTCGTCCGGGCCCGATTACCCATTTCCGGATTGGATAATTACTTTCGTCTCGGTGATCTCTTCTCCTGGCGGCTTTGCCTCCTTTCCTATTGCCGTGCTCCATTCCATTCCATTCCAATCGCTCTCCTCCTGCTCACTCGCGTGCGCCCACTCCAAAATACTCCAATTTGCTCTTTATACGACCATTAGTCAACTTATTTGAGGTCCGTTCAAACGTTTTTTTTTCCAGCTGCTCCATTCAATTTATCGCCGCCCCTCATTTCTGTTTTATTCTTAAAATTCCGTTTCACGTACATTTTGATCTGCGGACCTTGTTGCAGTCCCACTGGGAATTTCAATTAGACCTACAGTAATCCCGAATTAGATCACAACAGACGACTACCGTTATCATAATCCGGATTTCAATCCCGCGAAATGTCCGCAGATAGAATTGTGTACAAAATTTGAGAACATTCAAAATTCAGTTTCATCCGATCTACATGCACGAAAACCTTGAAGATTAAGCGATTTCGAATCGACTAATTAACAATAAAAGGTGTCCTCGTGGTGTGTGTGTGCGTCTGTCTGTCTTTCTCCACAAAAATAATGACAATTTACAACATGCAAATCAACTTTAATTGCGTTCGCTCGTCTGCTCCTTTTTTGGCGTGGCGCCAAGGTCGCTGACCCGTCAAACTGCGTCGGCCACGCCTGCTTATAATAGTAATTATCTCATCGTTGCCCAAATAAGCCTAATTTGCCATCGTTTGGCTCACTTCTCCCAATTTTTATTTCTTCCTCTCTTTTTCAGCGTGCTTGTTTTAGAAGTTGCCGCGCCGCGCGTACGCTTCATATTTGCTCCTTCGTCGTTGCATGCAGTGTGTCGCAATGGTGTAGGTGTTGCGCGTTTGGTTGTTGTGCTGAGAGTCGCGTTTTCGAGTCCCCCATCGTCAAACTCAACGAGTTTTGCTGGATTTTCAGTCCAAACTCGATGTGTACGGATTCGCCGTCTTGCTTTTCATTTTGTTCATTTTGTGTGCGCCATCCAAGTTACGCGATGTATGTACACAGACACACGCGCACACACATGTCCAAGTCTTCTTAATTAATGAAAAGCATCCTAACGAGTCTCGTCCTCATCCCGTCATTTCGCTCACCGCCCTGAGTAAGAAGAAGAAGAAGAAGAAGATGGGGGAAAAAAAGTGTAGAGTTGTGTCGTCTAAAGAACGCCTCATTAGCTCGTTTTCGTCTCCTGCAATTAAACATTGATTTGTTGGTTTTAATTTAATTAATTGCCGCCCGAGTTCGGCCATCCCGCCGCCGCCGCCAGCGCGAACAATGAGCCACCATTTTTATTTGACATTTCCTTTGCTCTATTTCTTTCTTTTTTTTTGCTAATTCCCTACAATTTTCAACATTTGTCAGAGTCAATACGAATCCCGCAGCGTTTCAGTCTATTGGATTTTTCTCGAATTTCTACTATATTCTTAAACTCGAAACTATATGATATTTATTTTGAATTTTGATGTTCGTTGCTCTTTTTTCTAAGCTAAAATCATGTCAAAAAATATTTGCAAGTTTGCACTGAAAATTTGAAAAAAAAATGGAAGATCGAGCAAATCGATAGCTTTTTGAGTAAATCGGTTCTTCAAAAATGAATTTTTTTTTTGAAACTCAAAAATT